GGCTAGGAAACGACGCTGACACGGAGAACGCATAAAAAGTCTTTAAAAGCTAATTTTGTTGTTGAAATAAAGCGATCAGTATCGGCCGATGATTTTTCTGTCTGTAAACTGGCGTGTTTGACTAACAGTTGGTTTTTTCCCACAAACGTTTGACTGATGAAATTGATATGGGGTGTTAAAAGGACTGCCATCAAAGGTGAATTTCGGTAAATATTTGCTGATCAGAGGAACTGAATGAAAGAAAATACGCCTTAAAATTACATTGTTACTTAATATTTTTGGAAGCATTTGGGAATGATCTAATGACTGTTATAGGACAGACATGTACGCCTTTAAGTTCTTGATCACTCGTTTGACTCTGTTCATTTCTGACTAACCAAAGTACCGTTCACCTCATTAACATCAAGCCATGATTTTCTCTGCTTTTTTCACAAAGAAGAGTGTGCTTCTTTTGCTATGGATTTGCTTGATGCAAGAAAGAGCCAAAGGTATTTCATTTTTACTTTTAGACTTTTCGTCGTTTCTGTTCAATTTCCTATTAATTTTGCTTCCATTCAGAACAGCAAGGCTTTTAAGTTTGGATATATAGAGTTGAATTTCTTCTTTACAAGTAAAAGCGTTTAAACTACGTAAATTAGCCAAGCAACTGATAACGTTAAGTCGCAAGCATGGCCTGTAACGTACCTTCATTCTAGTTATAGCAAGAGCTTGTTAAACCCCGCGCCCCACCCCCATTTCTTAGAAGCAAATGTATCCGGGGCACCAGACCTTAAATGCTGTCAGTCGATGAGCTGAGGCGAATTTTGCTTGTAACGTATCGTCATTTCAGTTGTAGCGGGAATTAATCAAATCGCTTATCCTAAAACAACTGTCAGTTGTTGAATTGAGGTGAAATTGGCCCATCTAAAATAAATATGGCTACGTTGTTCGTTGGCCCAAGCAAACTTCTTTCCAATGTCAAAAATGTCATGTGTGTTCCTAAATGGGATATGACAGTCCCTGAAAAGGCAATTTTTCAAAAGGAAAGAAAGAATAAAAGGCATGTTTTACTTCGTCAAGTACGATACTAATGAAAGTATTTAAGAAAATTCGAGAGACTCTGATTTCCGCATCAAAATGTATAAGTTGAACTCAAGGCGGGGGTAGGCGGAGGCTACCCAAAGTTTTCTTTCCACTCAATTCAATTCAATTCAATTCAATTCAATTTTATTTGTTAGCAATACAATATTATCACAGACCTAGGTGACCCGCAATTAGCAAGCTATTCTAGGCGGGCCACCCTTCTAAAACAAGTGCTGTCTCTGCTAAGGATCACATACCGATACAATTAAACAAAGATAATCATTAATAAAAATACAATTGTTAAATAAAATAAAATAAAATTAAGTCCGTTGAATAATTAAATAATCAATTGCAAAGTTATCAAGATATATAATACAATTGAAACAAGACCTAAACGAAGAGTTACTTTATCAAGAGATATTTACAAATTTCAGAGCAGCGTATATCAACATTCATCTCCTCAATTTCCAAAAAGTTTTAACAGGCGATTTTTAAGTTCACGCTTAAACGGGGTTCTGTTTTTAATACGAAGTTCTTTTGGGATGCTATTCCACAATCTTACACCTATTCTAGCAAAAGAAAATAAAAGTTGGTTAGTTCTAGACGCTTTAACGTACAGATTAGCCGTTGCTGAGAATCTTGTGAAATGGTGATGAACCTGCTCGGAGTGGATAAAGAGCATAGAAATATTAGACGGGGCACGGTGATTATCAATGTCATGCATCAAAGAGGAAACCAAATGAGAATAGAGCATAGTTATTGGTAAGATTCTGGAGTTAACAAATAGCGGGCACTATGAGATTTGCTATCCGCAAAATACATTAGTCGTAGAGCACGTTTTTGTAAAATGAGAACCTTATTTAAATGAGTGTTAGCAGCTTGTCCCCAGGCAATAAGACCATAAGAGATATAGGGTTCAATTAAGGAGCGGTAGATGTTAAGAAGTGTGGCAAATGGGACAAGATGTCTTAACCTGGCAATTATACCAATTCCTTTACTAACTTTAGATGAGATATAATCAATATGATACTTCCAAGAGAGGTTATTATCTATCAGAATTCCTAGATATTTCACAAAAGTTTTTGTTCTAGAGATACACTTTTTTAAGATCGTTATTATAAATTTTCAAGTGAACTATGTAGTCCAATTTGCGTTGGTAAGGATGGAAAATAACAAAGTTAGATTTACTAGTGTTAAGAGAAAGTTTGTTTGCGTCCAACCAGTCACCCACTTTTGCGAGTTCATCATTAACAACTTTTTCAAGATCCTTAAGATCTTTGTTTGAATAAAGCAAGTTAGTATCGTCAGCAAATAGGTAAAACTCAAAAATCTGGGAGCAACGGTAAATGTCGTTAACATAAATCAAAAAAAGAGAAGGGGCCAAGTACAGACCCTTGAGGGACACCACAAACTATCTCTTCTATATTCGACACGGTTGAACCAATTTGAGTCGACTGGTTCCTGTTCAACAAGTACGAAGAGAACCAGTTATTAATTATTCCTCTGACTCCATAATGATATAATTTGTGCAGTAAGATTGAGTGATCCACCGTATCAAAAGCCTTTTTAGGTCAATAAAAATACCACAAGAGAATAACTTTGCATCAATATTAGTTTGAATTTTGCTTAAGATATCTAAAATTGCATGTTGGGTTGAACACTTGTCTCTAAATCCATATTGAGAAGTAAAAAAAAGATACCGTTTTTTTCGCAATGTGATTTAAGACGTTTAGCCATCAATTTCTCAAATAATCGATTGAAGACAGAAAGGAGGGAAATTGGGCGGTAATTACATGGATCAGTTTCGTCTCCCGATTTGTAGATAGGAATTACTTTGGCATGCTTCAAAAGATGGGGATAAATACCCGTTGAGATAGACTTATTCATCATGGCAGCTAAGAGTGGAGAAAGGATATGGCGCCCAGATTTTAAAAGATGAACCGGGCAAGAATATAGGCCATATACTTTATTACTGGGTATAGCCAAGATTTCCAAGTCCACCTCGGATGGAACGACGGGATCAAAAAAAGAAAGACTTAAAGTGATTAGTGCCGACAAGGTAGTCCTGGAAATTTATCCTGGAAGGTGATATATTGCGTGCAAGCCGCGGTCCAATAGACGCAAAGTACTGATTAAAGATATTGGTTATTTCAGACGGATTTTGTGTTACTCCAGAGTTGTTAGAGCGTTGAAGGGCTGATACTGTTTTTCTGTTACGCTGTCTGTTCAATAGTTCATTAATCCCCTCCCACGTTTTTTTTTAACATTTCTTAGATTTGTAGTGAAGTAAGCTTCATAATACAATCTTTTACTGAGACGAGAAAGAGTAACAATTCTATTCCTATACAGCTTATATTTTGAGATATCTCCTGAATAAAAGAGTCTATTCTTTATTTTGATAGATTTACGTAGGCCCTTAGTTATCCACGGTTTGGAAAATTGTTTAGCCTTGCGCCTAGATAAGATTTTGAGAGGAGTGTGTTTATTAATGAGCTTGTTAAATTTATTGTAAAAAGGAAGAAAAGCATTTGTCTACAGATCCATATGTCATTGAGTTATCCCAATCAGTATCCAAGACATCATTAATAAAGCATTCTTCAGAGAAGTTGGAATAATCGCGAATTTTATGTTTAGCAGTAAAATTTTTGGTATAAGACTGTGGATAAAACAAAATTGGGAGTAGTGATCACTAATGTCTGACACGATATTTCCACCTGAAATTTTATGATCAAATCTATTCAGAAATATATTATCAATGAGTGTGGCAGAATTATTGTAGACTCTAGTTGGTTTATCAATTACCGGGAAGAACGAATAACATTGTAAAGATAACAAAAATTTTGGGAGTAATCGGAAATTTCAGATTTGAGGAGATCAATATTGAAATCGCCCATAAGATAAACAACTTTATCAGAGGAGCTAAGTTTTTCTAAAGTAAAGTCAACATAATGGAGGAATTGTTCCGGATCATTATGCTGCCTATAAATCACTCCACAAACGATATTTTTACTCTTTAGGGATTCAATTTCGATCCATAAAGCCTGAAAAGCGTCTTTAGATGTTCTCTCCAGAACCTTATATTTCAAACAATTATTAATGTACATTCCAACACCTCCACATGATAGAGGTGTTGGGACATATTCAAACTGATAGTTTGGTATGCAGGCATTGAAATCTAGCCCAGATGAATTTGTAATTTTTGTTTCTGTAATACCGATTACACTGAATTGGTAGTCAAGTTCATCTAAAAGATGGACTTGAAAATTATCAATGTTTTTCCGCAAACTTCTTACGTTAGTATGAAGCATAGAGAAAGGACATTGACTATCTGATTCAACAAAGACTCTTTAAACATAGAAAAACTATAGGGTGAGAAATATTTACATCTAATTTGTTGCATGCTTAAGTTTCTGTCGGGATTTAATGTTGATTCGGTATTTAAGCGAAACAAATCTAAATCATAAATACTATGAAGTTTGTCTAAGTACTTCTTGGTCGGTAAGTCACTGTTGAGAATGTTATTAAACTGTCCATGAGCTCTAATAATTTCAACATTCGCGTATGGAAGTTCGCTTAGGGTAGATTTAATTGTACAACGAACACGTTTCTTGCTAACACTCATACTTATTATCTAAAAACAGACAAACAACTCTACATCAACATGAATACTTAGCCTTCACGTCCATTCGTTAATCGGTGCAGGTCCGTAATATCCTTAATCTTGATGGCTCGAGACGTGGTATCTTTACGAAGATAAACATGCGATCCCTTCGACCAGCAATACTGATAGTGAAACTGCTCCTTGAACCTCTTAGCTTCAAATAAAACCTTTTGCATCCTTGGCGTTAAATGGTCAAAAATTCTAACAGCGGAAAGGGAGGCATCGTCAGGTAAACCAACAGCAGATGGGGCAACTTTACTTGCATTTCTTTTATGATTCATGACATCATCTTTTGACAATCGTCTAATAAATCGGCAAATGATTGGCCGCGGGCCGCCATTGTCATTGCTTCTCGTTGGGACTCGATGGGCTGTGTCAATGTCATGAATTGATACAGCGGATCAATTGCCTTAAATAAACATTCACATAGCGCACTCGTAGAAGCCGAGGATTCATCTTGACTCAATTGAGGGACACCAACAATCTTAACATTATATTGATAACTGTACTCTTGAAATTCATCGATGCTCCTGGAAACTCTGTTAACTTCAACAGCAATCTCATCAAGCATGGCACCTAAGCGATCAAGTTCTTTACCAGCAGAGACCCTGAATCGCTCAAAGTCATCATATTCTTTACTCATGAATTCTAAGCTTTGCTCTACTTCGTCATTAGTCGCTGCAGGTTTTTTTGACTGCTCCAGCAGCATCACCTTCATCTTAGCAATCTCATCCGCCATGACAGACAGTTGATCTTTAAGCTTACTGTTCTCTCTCTTAAGGCTAGCAACAGACTCGGGCATTCTTGAATCTCTCAGAAAGCAAAAAAAGAAAAACGATCGTGAAAAAAGAAACGAAAAATTATCCAAAACGAAACGAAAAATTATCCAAACTTGATTAAGATTAGCGGAGCTCGTAAAGTAACGTCCGTCCTGACCAACTCACCGCTGACCAGTTCACCACTCCGTTCTTCCTGCTCCTGCTCCTGCTCCTGCTCCTGCTCCTGCTCCTGCTCCTGCTCCTGCTCCTGCTCCTGCTCCTGCTCCTGCTCCTGCTCCTGCTCCTGCTCCTGCTCCTGCTCCTGCTCCTGCTCCTGCTCCTGCTCCGAGTTTAAATGCTCGATTAAAAAATGAAGTCGGAAAGGCAGAGTGTCACCTAATTTTCCCTCATTACAAATATCAAATAAAGAGTTTTTTTTTACCTTTTTTTTTTTTCTTTCCTAACATGAGCAACATAGCTTATTGACGTTTCTTTCCCTCTTGGAAACAGCTGCTTAATGTAAGAAATGAGCAACCAGCCCTTTCAATTTCCAAATTTCATCCAAGACAATATTTCAAAGCCAAGTTCCAGTTTTAGTCGTGAGAAAAATGACACAATGAAATTAATAAATGACCCCTTGTTTCCAGGTTATTGTGCTTTGTTTCCGGTAAACTCTGAGAAAAAAAATTAAAAGAGAAGTAAACAAAAGATTATTTTAAATTACTCTTTCACTGAGCATGGGGGTTTCTCACCATCAGCGATGATTTTCGGTAAACATGAAGTATTGCTAACTGCATCAGACGTTTACGACATTCCCTAATAGGTACTATTCACCTAAGAATGTTAGGTTATCAGTTTACTCTCCATTTAGCTCTCATGTAATCGCTGATATGTTCCTACTGTCTACAAATAACACTGTGACATCGAGGACGTCGTTTAAGACGATTTGAAGCATTTTTTTACTATTTTTATATTTTTCAAATATGACATAACTCATGTAGAGCTTAATCTTCCTATCTTTCCAAGCCTCTGAGAAGGGAAAGATTGACCTTCAATTGACAGACGATGACCTGAACTGTCAGTACGTTTCATTCAGCGGCAAATTCTCCACTGATGGAACCCCCGTCAGAGTATTTGCTTCAATTAATCATGGAAATAAATCATCAGGGGTCCATGATTTAGCTTTTATTTGGATCGAAGATGTTACAACAAGCCATTTCAAAGCCTGTCTCAAACAGAGTGGCAAAAACCCAGAAGGCAACAGAACTATGATTGATTGGTTTGCATTCCAAGGATCACAATTGGGAGTATCACATGGCCAGATTCGTTTTAACCTTTTCACTACTGGATCACAATGCAAGTGGGTTAAGTTTTCTCAGGTATGGTTACCTTTAATGTCAGTTGTTACTAATGAGTAGTTTGGTCATTGACTGTTTGCATCAATTTAACTCTCTTCATCTTCTGAATTTGTTTTATTTCTTTCTGGCACAACTTATGGACACTCATTTGAAGTCTTCAAAGCCTCTATTTCATTTACTCCTTACTTCCTACTTACTTTAGTTTTACTCATATACGTTGGGTCTTCCCATTTTTTCCCATTTAACCAATAAATTCATTTACTCATCATCTGCTTAGTCGTGTACTCGTTAATTTGACCTTTTATGCTACGCCTCTTTGTCTATCTTCCATTTTCCATCCTTCTCTTTTAAAGCTGTCTTTTGTTCCATAAAAAAAGTCATGACTATTTTACAACGCAGAAGAAAAAGCTGTGTGTTTTCTCTTTATATAAGGCGTTTTCATCAGTTCCCAAAATCCACGTGACTGTGCAACATGGAATTCCAAACAAAGGGCAGGACCCCATGAATGTTTGGATTACAAACGTTTCCGCGAATCGCTTTGAAGTTTGTTTACAAGAGTCCACAACGTTCAGCGGCCTTCACGACAAGCTTTCGGTGGTATGTAAAAATGCAACCATGACAAAATCTATTTCACGCGGCCGTGGAATCGCTTCAAATTTTCTATTGCTCTTTCACTTGGCAGAACTGGATGGCGTTCGAATATTACCCGTCAGTTTGGAAGGCAAAAGAGTCCTCATTGGTGAAGTTTTCCGAAAACGAAGTACCATCTGCACGAGACAGTTACGCCCTGTGTAAGGTATGACCAAACAAAGGTTATTTTCCGAGTACTTTCAAAGTGATTACTATAATTGACCTTGTTCACCTTAATCATGCCTTGCTTTACTAATGAACAAATGACAAGTTATATCACTTGTATCATAAAATTCGTGTTCGATCGATTGTTTCCTTCGTTTGTTTGTTTGCTTTACTTTTTTTTTTAATTTTAATTAATTGTTTGTTCACTTTCGTTTTCAATTTTAGAATTTGGAAAATTAGATCTTTTTTCTTTCATCAAACGTAATCTCCACGCAGTTCAACTCATATTCTTTACATGGAGACTGCAATCTTATAATCTGGATCGGTTAATCTCCCTTCCCTCCCCCCTTCTGCATGAGGATAAAATGATGACCGGTAAGTGATACCTAGAAAACCAAATGGAACTAACATACCAATTAATATAAACAATTGTAATTTTTCGGAAACGAACCTCTTCTGACATAAAGTTTCCAAATACATTGAGACTTTTCCTTGCCATTCAAAGATTCAAAATAACTCTTCGAGCGAAAGAGAATTCCGTTCTCCTAGAGGGATAGATCAGATACCTTTAACCTGGGTTAAGCCAAGCTTCGAGAAATATCGCAATGAAATAGGACCTTTTTCGCTTTGCAGAATGTCTCCTTTTCAAGTCCATTTTACTCTGCACCAGTGGTACTCACCACTGTCATTAGTGGTGTCGGAAACAGCGCAAACAGTGGGTGTCCAGCGAAAGGTCCTTCAATAACTTGGCTGGAGGTGAGGCGATGTAGTTTGGGGTCATTCAGAGCATTAGATCATTAATATTTACAAAAGGCAAAAACAGCCTTCACATGAGGACATCGAACCAATGATTGTTGAATCAAGACAATTGAAGATTCAAATCAGTTATGTGAGTCAACTGGGGCTCGTAATTAAAAAGTAGAAAATAGTATAGAGGCAAATAGTTTGAGGTAATGACTACAGCTGAATGGCCGTATCTATAACTTGTTAGAGATTTTGCTTAATCATCATCTTTTCTAAGATTACTATCATAAAACACGAGCTGTATTGAAAGAAAAACGAACAAACAAAAACGCAGTTTAGTTAGAGCAAACCTACTGCGTCAGCTACTGCCACGTTCAAGGAAAGAAGTTTTAAGTTAATTTAATAAAAGTTGCATTTTTCCCTCTTCTTTGATAGAAAGTCTCCACCTATTACTTTCGAGTGTGTATCAAGGATAGTGCTGGGTATGATGGTCAAAGAAGCAAAGTTCTGGTAGATTACCTGGTTATTGGAGGTATAATGTAGTACAAGAAACTTATTCTATCCATGTTTTTCTCTAACATATCCTACGTACGGTCGATTTTCGTAAGCAGCGCAGTTGTTATTTTTCGTGATGTACCAAACCTAAGGAAACTAACGATTCACGGGCCGGGATTCATTGCTGTTCCGACGGAATAAATTATCAGAAAGTATGAGTAGTTATTGTCGAACTACAATCGTATTATGCAAAAGGTTTTCAAAGACAATACCGCTGATTTCAGACTGTTTAACGAGGAACGAATGAAACCTGTCAATGAATAGTTAAACGCTTAGAAATATGTTCATTTTACTACGGCTCCTATTACCACTTTTGATATGATGTAATACACTTTTTTTCTCTTTAAAGACTTATCAGCCGTGTCAAACATGAAAAATTCCTTTGCAGATCTCGATCCTTGTACAAATGCAAGTTGCAAGTATCACAGCCATTGTGTAGCCTTGTCTCCAAACCGATTTACTTGTGCTTGCGAAAGCAGCTGTCCGTCATATGAAGAACAGGTCTGCGCATCTAACGGTCGCACATTTCCCAACTTGTGCTTGCTTAAGCAAGAAATATGTATAACTCGTGGGAATTATACCAAGTATCATCCTGGAAGCTGTGAAGGTACATTTTCGGTGATAAATAAGTCGTGGTTTCGTTGACTGAAGCAAGCTTTTCTTTATGTGTACAGATAAACAAACACGAACAGACAGACATGAAGATTAAAGAAGAAGCTGTCAATTCGTATTTTCAAACCATGGAATAAAGATTCTCGAGTTCACTTAATTTCAGAAACAATTAGGCGAAAAACTCACATAAAGCTTTCAACTCGCTGTAGGTTTCCCTCTTCAGAAAGGAAGACATCGATTTCGAAACGTTCCTTCCTGGGCAGAGGATCATTGTGAAGTCATCAAGTTTACACCATTTAGATTTTACCCAGACCAGAAAATTTACATACACCTTACTGTTAATCATGTGAACTACAGTGACTCCACTGTGGTACATGAAGCCACAACACCCTGGGTTGAGAGTGTTAACAGCAGGCGAGAAATGGTTCTCGAGATGGTGGACTGGGACTAGCTGTCAAACGGTTACCTTTGCTAAGGTATAGTGAGTTGTAATGTTATAATTTTTAATTTAGTTCGAAACAACCTAAGAGTACACGAAACAAAAGAAAGTTTCCCTGTTTTATTTCTTTTCGCATACGTTAGTCATTTCAAAACTGTCAAGCCCTCTTTTGTTTAGGAAAACTAGGCGCGAGAGGAGGGGAGGGGGTGGAATCCACTTTGCAAGGAGTGAGTGACGTTCTTTGGCATTTAAAGATAATAGTACGCAGCGTTTTGAACTCTTAAACATACTGTTGTAAAAAGTTAGGCAAGGGTCAAGATTTTTTAATACAAAATAACCCGGCTATGTTTTGTTTTTGTTTTGTTTTGTTTTTTTTTCGTTTTATCTTCTAGTTCGTCGGTTCGTTCGTTTGTTTTTTACTTATACGCAGTACGGCATGATAAGCTTATACTTTCAATTTCAATATTTTTTCCGACGAGTTGCTTCCGCCAATTCCTACAGGGAAAATATTCCAAACCACCGACGATTTTTGCAACCGCTGAGCACTACAGGTCGCGCCTAAAGCATGATGCCACCACTGTATGGCTTGAAGATGTCACGGCAACTTCCTTCAAGATTTGTCTTCGGGAGCTGCAAAATTTTGCCGGGGTTCATGAAGACATATCGGTGGTAGGTATTTGTGACTCTATTTTTCCAGACTAATTACAGAGCAAAATAGTTTTAAAAAAATGGGAAATTTTATGAATTATGTAATGTACCATCATCCTCTACTACAGGAAGGTAACTTGTTGAATTCAACTCCCACATGATAACGTATTTCAACTAATTTGTATGCTTAACTTGCGATCTGCGGAATGGAATGATATAAGTCAGAGAGCAGTAAACTAGTATCTATCAAAAGGAAGTGTTTAAATGGTAGGTCGAAGTGAAACCCTGGAACCAAGTGCGACTTTCTATGTGCCAATATTGTGCCCATTTTCTTTCTATCATCATTTTCCGTTAGAACTGGTTGGCGTTTGACTCCCTCCATAGACCACTGTTTTCAGAACACAGTGAAGTAACTTTCCAGAATGACGTTTTGCCTTCCGAGAGTGACAACTTTGCTTTTTGCAAGGTAAGCACAAGACTAAATACGGAATTAGTGTTAGTCGCTGAACCTTAGGAATTTCTTTCCCCAAAGTTTGGGCTACCCATCGACCTAAAAAATTATGTGGAAAATCAATTTCGTATGGCGACTGTCCTTGAAGTACCGTTTTTGAAAGTGAATAATGTTTCTCAATGAGGAAACAAGATCATTTAGGCAGAAATATTTGGTCCACGCAGGGCAAAATAATCTCATTTGCAGTTGGCGAATGTGTTCTACAAATGAAACTTGCCATTCTTCTGACGCTAGAATTCTAGCTCACTGCTCACATAATTGAAGCATACATTTTTAGAAATTCAATATTTTATTATTTCAAATTAGCTGGATGCTGTGAAAAATGACTAAACTGCTCCCTACCAGCGAAAAAAGTTGTATTTCCACACAACCAATAACTATGTTCATTGCTACCATATCGCTGTGATTTACACCAATTAACAAATAGATTTCATCTTACCGTCCACATGTTCACCAAAAGGTCACATATGACACCAAAAAGTGGCGTGAAAAAACGAGTGGCACACCATATTTTGACGTCATCTATGATTTATAACTGTACAGACCTACGGCCACATAGAATCTACTTTTTCTTTATCATATAAAAACTAATTTGTTGTTAACGATGACGTCATCTATGCGTCTGTCCTCAATTACATCATAGGTAAGAACCGATCAAAAAGCTTAAAGGATTCAGCTTATCGTATAATAATCAATTCTATCTTTCGTATTTTAAGAATGTAAGTTTCAGGTGGAGCTACAGAAAAACACCAATAGTGTTGTTAACGGCAAAGCACTCCACCAACGACGGAAATGCAGCCGCAGAGTGCAACGGAATTGCAAGCTGGATTGAGGTAATCTGCAAAGCTGAATTTGCTGAGAAGCATCGGAAAGTCCGTTCAGTTTACTCGGCTTTTTTCTCCTTTCGAAAAAAATGAGTAAAGTCACTGGCTAAAGAAAAGTCCTATTTTTCTGTGTCTTCAGCATGATAGAACAGGCAACGACAGGGAAGAAAGAAAAAACTTGGCTCTCTTATGACCAATAATCTACCCGATTACCCGTTGGTTGCAAATGCAATAAGCAACAGAGAATTCATATTGGGTATTTTACTTCAAAAATTTTATCACGAATCATATGTTAAACTTCTTTAACCTTTTAATCATCTGCTTTACGTGTGAGTGTGACAGAGTGAGTTCTTGTATCGTATCGTAAATTGCTTTTTCGTGTATCCAATATAAGTTGTACCATTTTTGCCTGCTTTTTGCTTTTTCGAAACTTTTTTGTTAGCTTCCAATCTATCTATTTTGTCACTTTTCTCCTTTGAATTATTTGACAAAGCGCTGTGTCCTTATCACATATTCACATATCTCTCCTTCAACCTGAAAGACAACACGCAAAGTAAAAACATACATACCCCTTGTCAGTGATATGTAGTCCACAAGAGACTGGTTAGATTATAACACACCAATAAGGTCATCTCTCAAGAGTACGATAGAGCTCACTTGACCAACATTTCCGTTCGGCTTTTAAAGCCCTATCTCTTTTTTTATTGAGTTCATCACCTGTTCCGGCTTCCGCATTTGTGTCAAGGAACTCTTCATCCAGCGTTTCGATCCACTGACAGTGTCATATGCTGTACTAATAGGTGAGGGAATTCACTTGCCAATTACAAAATTACTTATCAAGAATATCAAGTATCCAGAATTTGAATTGAAAGGGGCTTAAGCACACAATGATAGGAGGGTCTTCAGGCCCTTTGAGGAAATGTTTTCGGGCTCTCAGGTCTCCTCGTCTCTTACAGCACCTACCCTTCCCTCCCAACATAAGAATTTTGCTGTCGTTCGAACATTTATTTCAACAGATATTTGCGAGGATGACTGGGAATATTTCAATGGATATTGCTACAGAAAAGTATCTTCCTGTGATTCATGGAGCAATGGCCAGGGAACATGCGCAGCCCTGGGAGCTAATCTTCCAAGTATCCATAGTCAAGAGGAAAATGTTTTTGTTCAAAGTCTACATGGTGGAGAGCATTCTTGGCTGGGGCTCTCTGATACCAAATCTGAAGGTCCTGAAGGGAACTTTGTTTGGAGCGATGGAGCACCATTTGACTTCAATTTTTGGGCGCAACACCAACCGAAAAAATCACATAAACAGAACTGTGTTCATACACTAGGTTTCCTTCAAGATCATCTGTACAAATGGAAAGATGTTAATTGCACTGAATGTCACAGATTCACTTGTAAGAAAGGTACGACATATTTTGAAGAATGAATCGGAGATGTTGCCATTAGTGGAGAATTAACAGCAATGTTTTGAGTCTTTTTTCTTTCTTACGTCCACTTATCTCCTATCAAAAGATAACCTTACTCAAGGAAAGGAATGCTACAAGGTTAATAACTGATAAGCTAACACATATATGTAAGCCTTTTGGTCGTTAAATGGGGAACTATCTATTTCTGTTGATATAGAAAATCTTAGTCAACTATTGCTTACGGCATCAACTACTAGCTTACGATTTGTTAAACGTTACCTGAAGTAATAATCTCAGAAAAAAAAGAAATGATGCCATGAAGTGACTTCCCTATGTTGATACTTGAATAGCTTTAATGACCATTTTTACTTTTACAGACTACAACGAATGCAAAGATCTTTCCTTCGATTGCCCAGAGAATGCCACTTGTGTGAATAGAGATGGTACCTACTCGTGTCGATGTCCTTTTGGATTTCGTTTAGATGGGAAAAACTGCTCAGGTCTGTAAAAACATGACACCTTTAATGAACAGCACATAATATAATTGCGAAAAAATTAACATATACGGAACAATATAAAACTGTCGTTTTAAATATAAAAAGGCCTCTAAGAGAATTTACGAATAGACCTCCCTTCTCAACCCGAGTTACGAAAGGTAAAAATGTCAATATATCTGCTAACAATGTAATAATGCTTTTGATTTGGGTGTCAATTTTCAGATTTGTGACGTTACCACTGCAAATGACATCATCACTGATAACAGACAGATTTATAACAATGTTTGACCTAATACCTCTAGATTTTCATTTTTATTCGGTGAAATGTCTTCATTCTATGGCACATTAGGGAAATGTTATATCCTGACCTTTTGAAATGGTAAAAACTGAAGATCTTTCAAACAATGTTGGATGAACCTCGATTATCGGGACTCGTTGAGACTGGACGAAATAGTCCGGATAATTTAGGTTCCTGATAATCGAGAACATGGATATTAATGAGGAACAAAAACTAATTATTTTAAGAGAGCGACATTTGATCATGAAACAAAACATTCACAAATCGTTTTTAAAAAAAGCATGGTCTACACCTCCACTTTCCGTTGGGAATACCTCCACAAGTGTGTATTAACAATTAAAATTAATGAAAAATGTTTTTACATTGGCCTAAAATGTCAAAGTAAGCCAGTTTGTCTTAAAGAAGAACATCGCGTGCGCATTGATCGAGAGTCCCATCATTCTTCCAAGCTACATGATCTGGATAGCGTAAACATTGTTCTGTCTTTCCATTCATAATAAACACTTTTTACAACATTCAACAGCGTCAGAGTTCGAAACAATTTTCTCATCTTGGCCTTCATGTTCCTCATCGCCGCTACTTTCATCTTCGAAAGAAGACTTCCAATAACGCTTTCTAAAATTTGCTTATCGAACAGCTGTGGCGAAGTTGGGAGCTCATTTTCACTCAGCAACAAAGCAACTCTAAGTCAATCCGACCGCATTCGAATGTTCTTCATTAGTTAACACGCGTACGAGCGCTGCTTTTGCTTTTTGGAAGCGAAACAAACTCGCTTTTACTTCACTTTTCAACCCTGCTGTTTTAAAAAAGAATATGGCTACGGATCTTGATCTTGACTTTTAAAAGAAAAAGTCCGGATCATCGAGGGTCGACTGTAATCTCTTAATAGGCTATTTGATATCAATTGCGAGTGGCTAAGAATGGGCCAATTTTCAAAAGCATTCACAAAAGGAAACGCAATAAATTTCACTGGAAAGATCTCTCAGTTTTTCGTGCTCCCAGATCGTTACCTGAGCAAACGTAAACTTTCGAATCTGTCGCCTTTTCGCAATCTTTCACTATGGATATAGCTGCTAGAAACCCTTAAGTCACTATTATTAAAAAACTGTCCTATTTTAGGCTGATTTAATACTCCTTTCCCGCTAATAATCGTTTGATGGTGTCCAGGCGCTATCATTTTTTTTTGTTTGTTGACATTTTTAAAGCTCTCACGGTGTTCGTATCCAGATCTCGTGCGATCAAAAACCCTATCAAAGCAAATTTTGTTCTTCAAACAGATATGGACGAGTGCAGCTCAGAATCGTTTCCTTGCCATGCAAAAGCCCAGTGTTTCAACATTCCTGGCTCTTATTCCTGTAAATGTTTGGCAGGATATTCTGGCGATGGAAAAGTAAACTGTACATGTAAGTAAGAACTTTTGACTTGGTCTCCATCCTTCTGAAAATTACACTCCACCTCGACTCCCATCAACACGAGCCTCCAAGAAAAATAGAAAGAAGGTTTGAGTTAGGTAGAGCGCTCTCTTTCGAAGCTAAGGAAAAAAGCGCTGAAATTTGGACAAACTTCAACCGCATTTCTATTCTGTAGCTTTATATTCAGTTTAACTGTTTCCAAATGTCTTAACTTAGACTCAGAAGCTAAGAACTGTGCTGAGCTGTACAAATCTGGTAAGTCAACCAGCGGTGTTTATGTAATCGACCCTGATGGTTCTGGTGCCTTTGATGTATACTGTGACCAGACAACAGCCGGTGGGGGGTGGACGGTGTTCCAAAAGAGACTGGATGGCTCGGTAAGTTTCTACCGCGGCTGGACCGATTATAAGAATGGCTTTGGTGACCTGAATGGAGAATTCTGGCTGGGACTGGACAAGATACACCGTTTGACAAAAACAAAGAAAAGGCTTCGAGTAGATCTGATGGACACCAAAGGCAACACTGCTTACGCTGAGTACGACATGTTTGCAGTTACCAGCGAGAGGACTAAATACAAGCTCAGCCTTGGCACTTATTCAGGTAAATGAACGATGTTGTGTAGGTGGGCCTCTGCTTGTGATACTAAACTTGTTTTTCTAGATAATGGTTCTCGTTAAATGTGGTTTAAATTATGGTATGACATCTTGTTTTCCTTTCTTTTACAAATATTGGGCGGGAGGTCCCTAATGAAGAAAACTACGCCCGGGTCATTGAGTATCCTTTGTGGCTATAGTCATCATCGGAGAGCCAGGGGCTGTGAGTCGATTTCAAGTCAGGGCGGAAGAGCCCCTGGGGACATTGTTTTACAATACTAGTTCCAAACGGTCGCAGCCGTTCTGGCATCTGATTGGTGCCAGAAAATCTTTGTGTTTTTCTGCCCAATCAGAGTGAAGTATGCTTTAGAGTCCTTTCGTGTGTTTTAACACGAAGATGTACAAGAAGCTCAGTTGCTCGCCTTGTTTGTTTGGGCCGTTCAACGAAGCTTTGCCCGAGGTGAAAAGTTTCAGTCTCAGTACACAATGTAAGAGAAATCGATCAGATTGTCCGCGAAAATCTTATCAGAAATTATATTGAATACTTTCGCAGGTATCACAAGAGAACGTATTTAAAAGTTTGCGAGGTTCGTATTAAACATAATGGTTGAAGGCGTTAATATGTCGCTTTAAACGTTAGACGAGATGTAAGCTTAAATCTTTCTAGATTTCTCGTATAATTTGCTGTGACTGAAACTTTGCCAATTCCGTGAAGTTATTTGGTCGCACGGACCACGCAGGTATATCGAGCAACTGGCGCTTATACTTACATGCTGAATCTGTATTTACCTGTGCAATGCAGCCATTATCAAATATCTTAATATCTTTTTGGATTTTTTTTCAGGAACTGCCGGTGATTCTCTTTCTCGTCATAGTGGTCATCCCTTTTCAACCAAAGATCAAGATAATGGCAAAGATAACTGTGCTGTGCTTTACAAAGGAGCCTGGTGGTACTTCGGCTGTCATCAATCTAACCTGAATGGACTTTACCGTCATGGGAAGCATTCATCTTATGCCGATGGAGTCAACTGGCGTCACTGGAAGGGATATTACTACTCCGTCAAGAGAGCTGAGATAAAAATTAGACCAGTTTCGTTTTAGAACGTCCTATTTTGTTTCCAGTTCAACGTTGTTTATTGTAAATTGCTTTTTTATTAACCAAAATTCACTGAAACGGAGTTATCGTAACGATGAAAACGATTCTGTAATGTAAAGCAAAAAATCACAAGAATGAGTGGGTCATACTTGTTCATACTGATTTAGCGGAGAGACTTCAACTTATTCAAAAGAAAATGATCGCAGTGGGTTCATACGTATGATAGAACGCTCTCAATATTTGTCACTCTGTCTGGCAAGGTAAATTATTCTTTGTTTTTTTCCATCAGCGTCTAACACATAAGAGAATAAATTACTGACTGAGCCATCGGCTGAATCAGTACGCAACGATATGTGGATTAAATACCTGCGAATAGGCGATGACAAAGTAATGAAGCCGATAACAATTCATGATAGACAACAGGAAGATTAATAACGTAAAAACACTGTAAATTCAACTCAAGTCAAAGCTGAGTATTAAAGGCTAGGAAATTTGTTAAAAAAGTGCGTTTGGTAGTAACTAACAACTTTGCTCAATCTGGTTTGTGTCGGTGCATACTACATTCGGCATGGCCGGATAGAAGTGGCTGTGAATTGCTCCTAGCATGCCGTCAGGCTTAGAGACAAAGACCGACACAGTCATCTGAATAACATGTGAATGATATGAAAAATTACTCTCCTCTTTAAAGTAGGGAAATTTAATTACAATAGCGAAATCTTCAGTGGAAGGATGTGCGTTCTAAGCTAGTTTCGCAAGTTAGTAAGGGCTACGATTTTCATTCATTATGGCATTTAAATAACTTTTCGATATTCCGATAGCTACAAAGAAACAACCTTCATTTTGACCCCCAGCTTTGACTTCTGAATGACTCACTCACTATCACGTAGTGCAGAATGAAGGCTACAGCAGGAGCATGGCTTTCAAACAACTCACGAAATGAGTACAAGAAAAAATACCCATTCCTAGCCACTATTTAGACCAAGGGTGTAGTTTCAATATATTTTTAACATTTTAATCTGCTAATTGCCTAGTATCACCGAGAGGTTTTTGATTTAATCTTTCAGAGTCTACCTACTATTCAATCGTTAGCTAAGAAATAAGAAATTAAACTTAAGGCTGTAAAAAAGAATCGTATGATTAATATGCTCAGTGATATTGCAATTTTAACAATATTCCATAGGCTTGATTTCACATTCGGTTCACTACAAAAGATAACAAAATTGTGTACATGTTAATTACCGAACAGGAAAACACAATGAGTTCACGTAACTTTGTTCCGTATTGTGATCACGTCAATTCTCATTTCAAGTCCATGGTCTTTCAAGTTGGTGTTTTACACAAATGAGTGCACTTATTTACTTGACATTAAGAGTAAACTACCAATCTAAATTTCTAAATAATCGATACAGCGACCGACAGCAAGTCATTCAGCTGAATTGCTCCGCTTTGATAAACTGATTTCTACGTGACACCTTCAGTTAACGTGCGTGAATGTCAGAACTGAGCCGCTTACCTTACCAAATGCAGTGACGGAATTTGAATGACTGCCCTTAGCAAGAGTTAATAATTGTCCTCAGTCATCCATTTGATCTGATTTTTAAGTCTGTGTTTCTCTAGAATGAGAAATCTGAGTGAGCATCAGGCAGTTTTAGAATTATTGCTATTTGTTCTTCATCCCTTTGACAAGACAATACAGGCGAATTATAGAACGGAATGAAGTCTTATTAATTAATGGGTCTCAGAACAACTGATTAGAAATATGTAATTTTTTGTTAACACATAGAATAAAGCGGCTATTGGATTATGGTGCAAAGTCTGTTCATGTCATTCAAAGTCACTGATAAAATCGCTCCCTCTCCAAATACAAAGCTTCGCTTACTTCTTTCTTATTTTCACTGTCTAGTTGAACCGCTAAGGGTTGATTCGGTTCCTGTTTTGCGGCCAAAGTGGAATCGGCAATATTCTTTGTTGTCAACCATATCCACGCTCTTAGAAAATGTCAATCGAATAGAAAAGGTTAAACGAAAAGAATCACGCTATACGCTACAAAAGACTTTGCTATAAGGCCAATTGGTCAAACATAAATTTATGACACAGACAATGATAAATTACCTGAACAGATCATGCTACCGTATTTTATTGTGTTTACCACTCTCTTCCAAAGCCAAGGGAGGATGAATTTGTTAGCGGCAGTGTTTACCATAACCATGGCTGGCAGGCTTGAATCGGAATTTGGAAAGAAAGGAACTTTTCAGGCATGTTAGTATGCAGGCTGATAGATAAGCCGCACCATTTCCTTTCTTACTTTCTCATAAATTTAATGGAGTGAAGTGAACATAACTTTTCGAACCGAGGTCTTCCCAATTATGAGCGATGGAATTTCGTAAATTACCAATTGTCAACATTAGCCGATATCAAAATGAAACGACAAAGTAATCCTTTAAAAAGCTGTATACTATACTATACAAAGAGCGGAAAAAATCTTCCCTTTCAAGTCGAGGACGAGAGAATTTTTCAGTCACTGAAATCGATGACGTTAATAGTGGGCGTGTGGAGCGGTACAACAAGAAAAAAATGCTCGCAGTTATTTAAATGACGCACACAATATGTTGTATTAAAATGGTTTGCATCAGCGTTTTCACCAGTCCATAAAGACCGCAATTTATCTACAGTTAGGCCGCAGCCAGAATAAAAAACAAGTACGATGACTCCATTTTTCTCCGATTTTGCTGCAGTTTGCTGTTCTTATTGTGATGAGTCAAATGTCTGCTGAGCAAGAAACGGTGCTAATAGCTCTCCAGTCAGTTCCACGCCCACAAAGCATTGTAATAACGTCTACCACAGCCTCTCTTTAGGCACGGCGAACAAGAAGATCAAAACACTTCTTCAGAAAATAAAGAAACAGCTTCCATACGTTCAAAATGATATCAGCATCATCAAAGAAAGAAACAACAAACACCGGTGTTTAAACAATCGACCCTGATGGTTCAGTTGCTTTTAACGTCTTTTTTGACCAAACAACAGCTGGTCCGGTTAGGTGGAGGGGGGGGTGGACGGTGTTTCAGAAGAGACTGGATGGCTCGGTTGATTTCCACCGTAGCTTGACCGATAGCAAGAATGGGTTTGGTAACCTGAACGGAGAACTTTGGCTGGGACTGGACAGGATTCACCGTCTGACAACAATGAAAAACAAGCTCCATGAGGATCTTACAGCCTTCAAATGAAACACTGCGTTTGTACTTTCCGACGTACTTTCCAGTGAGAGGACTAAGTACAAGCTCAGTCTTGGAAAATACTCAGGTAATTACAGTGGAGAAAATAGAAAAAAAAAATAAAATCACATTCAAAAATATGATTACCTTTATTTCTTGCCGATATCAAAGTTATCTGAGATTAAAGTATCTAGCGACCGGTTTGGATGACATTTTAAAGCAAGCATTGATTAGGCCATTACCTTACGCCTCTTTTCCAAAGCGAGGCCTGGTGCTCAACCACTCATATGAAATTACATTAATTTGCATGTGAATGAAAACTTATCATATGGGAGGATGAGTAATAAAAAATGAGGCCAACTGTAATTCGAAATGGCCAATTGAATCTCCATATCAAGTCTAATCTATAAACAAACGTAAGGGCTGTAACCAGTAGTGCGGTATTTTCTGGACTCAATTAGTTCGCGCTGAAAAAAAAGGATCGAAAAAATAAACAATTCAAGATCATAAAAACAAAGCAATTCTTGTCTTGAATTAAAAGGTTTTTTATTTTTTTTATACTTATTATACGTTTTACGGCAAATGGTTCTGGTGATGACTTCCGCTCTGGTTGTCGAAACGTCACTCACCACTACCGACAATAGTCCTTCTCAGGACTACACTAACCCGGACGATCAAACTGCACTATTACATATAATACGTTTGTTTGCTGTTAGAGATGGGGTTTTGGTATTTCATGAAAATAGGTAATGTCCTCATTACACCTCGAGGAAATATTTTCCAGCAATTTCAACCAAATAGGTCTTATTTATAATTGAAAACTCACCAAATATTGGCAGCACATGGTGATTTTGAAGCCTATTAGCACCCGTATTGTTCAACTCATGCCGAGTTGAAGTATCCAATTTCATCAAACGCCTTTGGGGTAAAACAAAATTAATATGAAACCTAGTTGCATCCTTGAACGAAACACAGAATAGCTGCGTCCACTGACATAACACAGAATTCTAGATTCACCCTAGAAACAACAACAACAAACAACAACCTATCTCATTTACCCCACAACATATCAATACAACAACAGATATAAATTTTGATCGATAGGGACCGGTACCCAAATTAAATTAACCACGGGCTTGATGAAACTGAGTTCCGGGAGGTTATTGGGCTAAAAGAATTGATAATTCTAGTTAAAAAAGTCCTGTCTAAGACCCTTTCAAAGATCCAAACCAATTTGGAGGTGATGAGAAAAGGCCCCATGGTGTAATGGTTAGCACTCTGGACTTTGAATCCAGCAATCCGAGTTCAAATCTCGGTGGGACCTTATACACTTTTCGTTTTCATTTTTATTTTCATTACCCTAAAACATATGGTATCTCTTAAAAAGTACGGTGGGGAATTTTGTATTTAGTTGTCTCTTCCGTCAAAAAATACGTTTCTTCGCTGTTAGAGATGGGGTTTTGGTATTTCATGAAAATAGGCAATGCCCTCGTTATACCCCAAGATAATATTCAACAGGCATTTCAAACAAATAGGTCTTATTTATAATTGAAAATTCACGAAATATTGGAAGCAAATGGGGATTTTGGAGCCTATTAACACTCGTACTATTCAACTCATGCCGAGTTGAAGTTTCCAATTTCATCAAACTCCTTTTGGGTTAGACAAAATTAATATGAAACCTAGTTGCATCCTTGAATGAAATCTCAACTGTATCAGATTAATACCAGAGGTAGCTGTACAGTCTTAGTCTAAGATTTTAAAATTTGACATTGTTTGGCTGAATCTTTATATAAACAAAATGGTTGCTAAGTAGTGGTTATAGGAAAACAGGACTTTTTGCGAAAGTGGCTTTTTTGCGAGATGTTTCCACTGCGTTAGCAGCTAAAATTTTTGCAACAAAATGTCGAACCCTTTAGTGTAGAACGCGTGGCCACTAGAATATTTGAAAAGTGGGGAAACGGAGTTCGCAAGTAAGCACAGCCGTCTCCTCGATCGTTAAAAAGTATGCACAAAACTCTAATGCTCCGTCCTTATATTATCGGCGTTGAGGAATGACGAACGAGAAACTTCGAAAAAAACTTTACGTCTCGAATGACGTTTTTTTCAAATTTGTTTATTTGATTGTTTTTTTTTTCTTTATCACTTTTTACAGATTACTATTATTGAAAAAGGCGATATTTAATTCCATTACAAGAAAGTTCAAGAAAAACACCCACGGCAAACGACCAATTTTTTGGGAGGCTACTTTCCACTGTTTTACTCCCTTGTGTAAAAAGTATGCACCGAAAGTAAAAGGAGACTTTTTTCAGCAGCGTTGATAGAACGACTACACGAAAAATTAGTAATTTCATGAAACTCTTGCTCAGGCTGACTTTTAACAATACTTCCCTTCAACAAATATTTTATTTAAAACTAAAACACCAGTCGATGCAATGAATATTTTAATCCTGCCACCCGAGGCGAAATAAATTGCCCAGCCAATATGTGTTTTAAGATAAACTTGTAGTTGATCTAGAGTTAACTTGCCTCTTCCAAGTTTTAGAGAGGTACGATTACACTTAATTTCTACTTTTTATTCTCCTCAATTAATATGTCAAGTTTTAAAGAATCTTTATGTCATAAACCACAAATAAGAGGTACGTTTGTAATTATGCTGCAGGTAGGATTACGAAACCTCGTTTTAATTTCCTATAATACTTGTCTGTCTCCGCAGCACGAACATTGTAAAGACAAACCCCTTGAGTAATAAATATAATTTTTTTTCGACTAACTTTCGTTAACATTTTTTCGTTGTTGTTTTTTTTCGGTGGTAACAAAAGCCTTTGAAAGAAATTTCCATTCTCTTTATTATAATTATTCCTAAACGACTACTCAAAGTTTTCTTTTTTTCTCCCGTCTACTAACTTTCTAGTGTTTATTCCCTATAAAAACAACATTGCCTTCGATAACCAACCATTATTCTGTTGCACTGCGTGGGATTCGACTTACAAACGATTTGCAGATGCTACAGTTTGGCGCCATAAAGATTTTGCATTGATAATTTCCATCATTTGGGAGAATCGTCATCTGTTCAATTATAAATATCAAATCTCTAATCAACTTTCAAAATAAAAACTTGTCTTGCGTCGTATCGATGTCATTTGTCTTCAGTTTTTCTCACGAAACCAATTTCTTGTTAAGAGAAAAAACTATATGTTATGAACACGACAAGCAAGCAAAATTCTACTTTGGATGACGACTGTTCTGGTGCACTAAAAAATGCTGAAATCGTAATTTTGTCAGCGATGAACGGTGTGTTGGCGCTTATCTCCGTTGTTGGAAATGCACTCATTTTGGCAGCCATTTACAGAGTTCAAAGCCAGAGGACCCCTTCAAATGCGTTCGTTGCTTCTATGGGAGTCGCAGACTTCTCCGTGGGTCTGTTTATGAACCCGCTCTGGGTTGCAAAGAGTGTCTTGAACATCTGGAAAAGTGACAACCATCTTTCGACAACCATTGAAGTTCTGACGATGCAGACAATTGTAGCCACTACTTTCAGCTTATGCGCAGTGAGCGTGGATCGCTATATAGCAGTGACTAAAATGCGTTATATCGAGATTATGAGTTGGAAACGCATCCGAATCATAATCCTTCTCGTCTGGACCTTTTCCATACTGTTTGCGTGTTTCCGTCTCCTTATTACAGATCCCCTTCAGCTACCAAAGCTGTGGCTGGCCGCTACAGTAATCACTGTCGTAGCGCCTTTAACACTCATCTCCATCTGTTATTATCATATCTTTAAAGCAGCTCGCTTTCAAATTAAAAAAATTTCAGCCTCTGAAGAAACTAGGATTAGTGTCGATCAAGCTCTCATGCAGCTTAAGCACCGTAAGGCAGCTTTAACAATAGGAATAGTTGTTGGTGTTTTCACAATTTGTTGGACCCCAAGTTTGGTGATCTCTCTCGTTCAGTTCTTTACTGTTAATAATTGCCAGAAGCTTATGATAAATGGCTACTGGTTTTGGGGAGCGCTGGCAGAGTTTAGCAACTCGGCTCTTAACCCTTTCATATATTGCATGAGAAGCAGAGACTTCAGGAAGGCTGTAAAGAAGGTGATTGGTGATTGTGTCTACTAACGGTAATTTTCACCGATAATGAGCTTTGAAATAACTAGACAAGTACGCAGTTTCGATGCGAAGGCTGCTGAGTTAAGGATAATTTGCATGAAGAATTTGTCACTTAGAGGTTTAAAATCGAAGTTTTTACGATTTTTCCGCTTAGGCCGGTAAGTATCAAAACCTCCTTTGATACCATCAATATTGACGAACGATATTCGCGCGAAAAGCCTCACTAAGATCAATTTTATTAGTTAAAATTTCAGGTGAAAAACTTTTATAGCCAAAATATGCTTTACATCAAGTATAATTGAACGAAACAACAAACACGTTAGCATAATTATAAAGACTATCTGAAACTCCAAACAATGTCCCCAATATATAAATTTTAAAAGATAGCTTGGTTTTTTTATGCCAATATGATAAATTATTCACTCAGCATGTTGTGGAAAAAGTGTATCTCCCTTCAAATACGCCCCACATCCAAGCCAAGATCTTTTTGATCAATAATTTTATTGCAAAATGTAACTGTCAAAAGAACAAAGAAAAAAGACTGGCAAACATTATCTCGTATTTGCAGTTTTACCTCTCCATGGAACATACGCTGTTTCTTTAGAAGAAGATAAATTGTCTCTTAGTCTTTGTGACAAGTTAATATAACTGATTATCTTATGAATGCAAAAAGCGCACATAACAAGCGCTGCTGGCATCGAGTTTGCCCTCTGGCTAATGTGTAACAAAAAGTCGTCAAGAAATAATTGCGTCAAGATGTCAGGTGTTCACTACGGGAGAAATGTCGGCAACGTTATTTCCAGACAGTCTAAATCGCTCGGATCTAGCTTTGGATATATACCTCTGTGACACCTTGAGATGATCAACGTGAAACTTCTCTTGTAAAAACGTAACAACTGTTTTAAAAGATATCGCATTGAATCTGAAGGGCAGAGTTAGTATTCAGCTCTTTAGAGACGAAGGACTAAAAAAAATAGAGCTCATCGAGCTAAATATACGGATGACCCAGCTATGCTACCCAATCACAACCTATGAGAAATAACAGCTCGTTGAATTTTTTCGCAAGTTACTTGCAAAATCATATCACCACAAAATTCGTAACGGTTGGGAGATTTCTGATAAAACTCTAATCAGTCCATCAGTCCAGTAGTCAAAGCGTCATCTCTATACTTGGGACGAGAGTGGTTCCTCTAAAGCCCATTTTGTCTCATCAGGCTTACAGCTTTGTAGAAATGAAGAAGGGCTTTAAGAAGATTCACTCGAGCCTAAATTCTAAGTCAGCTGAGTTTTATCATTGTGTTGGATTGTTAGGATGACCTAGCTCGAACACCATGGGCAAACGGGAGGCACCAGGAGTCTAATAGAGAACTTATATTCGGGGCAACTGCCAATATTTTTCTTAGTGACTCTTTCAGCCCTAAGTATCCGCTTTAATATCCTATCGGCAGGTGTGTGGGGGCTTACGGGACAACTGTCCTTGACAGATTAAACGTATTATTAGAACACTAAGCCAAAAAATTTCACGAGACTTTCGAAATGAACAACAGAGTAATTAAAAACACTTCGCTCTGACGAAGGGCTAACTCTCGAAACGTCAGCTTTACAGTGGCCAATGTACGTTGTCAACTGAGTTGATAATACTAAATTACCCTACTTAGATTATAACCCTGATTCTAACCCCAACCCCCGCTCTACACTGGAAGCCTAAAGGGAAAAGCAAGAGGGGCCGCCCCGAGAACACCTGGCGGCGGACAGTGGAGAAAGAAGTAAAGGAGATGGGGAAGACCTGGACTGAGAGGCATCAAGCTCATTGCAAAGGACCGATAGATGCGGAGAGAGCACGTTGCTACCCTACATGCCACTTAGGCGTAAAGGGTATGAGTGAGTGAGTGATCCTAATTAAAAAACTACCGATCTTTGAGAACTAAAACCCAAACAAGACTTCCCGTCGAGGACTCTAAGCAAGGTCAGTAGTCAAACCATAACACGACCAGCGGTGGCGATAATCGTCCGAGAACAAAGCCCTATCACAACTGTCAAGGACAAATCACTCAGAAGCAAAACTATACGTGTGGTCTTGCATGACATGACAAAACAAGGCTTACAAGACTCGCACAAGAACCTCAAGATAATCTCACATACCTACACAATTCAGCACCAAAACCCTCAGCCAGAACACTTCTTATTTCAGTGGTTCATAACAATTGTTTAAATTGAATAGCTATTCAGAAGTGCATGACCGTAAAAGACCATTAAACTCCATTTGGAACAGCCTCTTCACAAAAGTGGTAGAGATAAGGGTAATCCTCCTTGAAAAGTTTTTTAACAAATGGTAGTGATATTTTTCGTTTAGTCTCTAACGATTATCACGGAGGGGCTTGGAATGCTCAAAAGTAACTCCACAGTCAAACTTGTATTATATTAGATATCAACCGGAACCTCACAAATGTCCACTTAATGCACGTTCTGTTGTATTATAAAATGAGAAGAGGCCGCTTTTCGGTCTGTCATTATCGCCTACTACTTCGACTCAAGTGCATGTTTTTAGCTCTCTTTTTTCCTATAAATGCTCTTTTATAGCGGGTTGCTAAGACAGGCTAGGCATACCGTATAAACCCGCAAAGTTATTCCTCGAGAGGCCTGTATTTCACTCTGTGGCTCTATGATACTTTCATTGTTGGACTATTGCTGTGTAGTTGGAATGGCTGCATATAAAACAAACCGGGACTACACAGACGAGCTGAAATAGCGAGCAGCTCGTGTTACAGGCACTGCTTAGAAGATCGGAGGAAATATCACCCTTGTCTACAAGTGTTTATATGCCCGCAAAGTCTTGCGCCCGCTTTTCTATCTATCTCATCGAATCATTTACCTAGTGGAATAAGCAACGAAACAACTACATTCTTCGAGAAAGTACTTAAAATTTGTTTTTGATTAATTTAGTATAGGTAAGAAATGTAACGCCACGCTGTTCGGCACAGGGACTTTTATCAGCTCTATATGTAATGTGATTTGTGTTGTGAGCTCGTTTAATTTCATATTTTCAATATTTATATAGATATTATATCCATATAATTATATATGTACTTATATAGATCTGTTGATTTTATAATGATTATACAGACCCCCCTTAAAATTCAGCTTTAACCTGAACTGAGCCAGCCTGTTTAAATATTGCTACTAATAGCTGAATAAAAGGGTTTCGTTGCAGTAGGATGGTTTCAGGTAAATAACGTATTATTGTTTGTGGTTTACCATGCCTAGGTAATACATCTTGCTCTTTTAATAAACTTTGAATCAATTTAATAATAACATGAGCTAAGTACAATTTTAAAACTTTCAAATCTTCATAAGGTTATAGTTCTATTTTCACTCGATTTTCGTTTTGGAGACAAAATGGCGTCTGCCAAAAAGAGGATGCAGCTGAATACAGGTTAGTCTTTGAGTAAATATATAAAATGCAGCCATTCTCGTCGTGAAGGCCACTAGTTTTCATGTACCGTTTCAGTCAAGAAACGAAATCGTTGGGATCGAGAATGTAGCGATGCAAAATAGGGAACTTGGATGATTGACGTCAGCTCAACGAGTTTCCACGGTTCTTGTGAAAATCGCGTTTCAAGTCTTCGATCCTTGTGGATTCAGCTGGGACATAGACCTCATCCTCTCTCGGCTAAAATCATCTTTATTGTCTAAAATTTCAATTTTGGCAAAACTTTTGGCTTGTGGTAAGGTTATGCTATGTCCCTTGTTATATTCAGTGCCCCATTATTTTTACCATTCCTGGTAAGAGTTCGTTATCACCAGTTTGATCTCGTTCAGCCTCTGGAACACAGTATATGATAGTCCACAACCGAGCGCTTGAACAATTCTTTGTTCCACAGTCCATCAGGCTTGTCATTATATCACTGCTAGAATCTTTCACGTCATCCACGGTCAGTGTTCTTTTAAATTAGGAACAAATTGGCGTCAGGGATAACTAATTCTACGGTGGAAATGGAAAGACATAGAATTAAAAGTTTAGTCAGGTGAAACTGGAAACATCCCGAAACGTCCTCAGTTATTTTCTGCTCTGCCTAACACCGTTTGTTTTCTGACATTATTTACGGCAACACCTAACACAGGTGTACCAACATGACAGCAATATGTTTCGAAATCCCTTCCGAATATCCTTGTTGAATGCCACGTACAAACACGGGTTGATTGCAGATGTTGCGTGGCTGAGGAAGAGCCCAACAGACCCGATGCTAAATCCTCCTTGGGGAATTCCGCAGAGATATTCATGCACTTGAAAAAAGTAAAGAAAAAATGCAATGTGTAAAGGAAGCCAACACAATGTGAAGACCACAACCACAATAATAAGCATTTTGAGGACATTTTTCCGTGCGTCTAACTCTACGGCTCTGTTTGAGCGACAGGCCATTGGTACCGGCCGGATCCATACTTTGTAAACAACGCAAGAGTAGAAAACACAGATGATCAGCAGAGGTAAAGCGAAGAGGAACACAAACATAATTACTGTGTACACCTTTGCAGCTGTTTCCTGGTGAAACAAAGGCGACCAATCTTCGTAACAGTAGATAACTCCATTTATTTCCCTGACGCTCATGGCGTACAGAAGCGGAGATACAGAGAGGAAGGACGCCAACCAGATAGCAACAACCATGTACTTCGCGATCTGGATGGTCACAATCTTCCTGAGAGGAAATGTAACAAGACAAAAACGCTCGAATGCGATGGCCGTCAGTGTTAAAATGGAACAGGAGACCGTTGAATCAGATATAAAACTTGCAGCCTTGCAGACGATAATTCCCGGTATACCGTCAAACCAGTGATACCGTCCTGTTATATGCCTGGCTAATCTTCCCGGCATGTTGCAAAAGGTCACTAGTATATCCGCGGCGGCCAAGTTTATGATCAGGCGATAAGTAATAGTATGGAGTCGATTGTTCCTTTTCACCGTGCTGATAAGCAGAGTGTTGCCCACAAGAGACACCAAGATGACCACTGTATAGCCAACGGTAAAGACCGTTTTCTCCGCCACCCCTTCCATCTCGGTTTTACACGAATCTCCGGACAAGTTTCTTGGGATATTACTGGCGACATTTCTAGTATTATTCATTTCCATGATATCTGTGAACTGTTGATCAAAGGTGCGATCCCACTGAACCAAAAACGATTATGCTACTGATAAGCAAGCATTCGGCGGCGCGCCAACAGGATCTTACGAAAATACAGTCGAACGAAAGTTAGTCAGGTATTATCGTGCCCTTTTAGTCACCTGTTGCCCATTGAAACTCAGAGGGGATCAAAGGCATAAATATCTGTCTCTGATGGCTACCTTTCCTGGTATCATATATCGACGCATCCTGCGAGTCCAGGCTAAAACACTCAGAGCTTTCTTTCTTTCCAGATAATTACAAAAGTAATTAAAAGAAGGGGAAAGCAGTAAAATAGGTCCAAATATCGTAAATATTTAATAGCTTTAAGTTTATTGTTTGAAAAACGCTTGTATTGGTCAAGAATGTGCCATATGGGCTGGATTTTGTGCCAATTAGCACCGAACAAGAGGTTATGGTTTTAAAAGCCTTAGTGAAATCTCTCCAGTCTGCGGTTTCTAAGTTACAAAATTATTCATTTCGCAACCAACGTCTTTCCCTTGACGAAAATGTTTCTATTTAACCGGATGTTGCTTAATCTTTCCGCAAACGTTTTAGAGTTTTCAGTCAACATTACTATTTTTCAATAAAGTTTACTTTTCAAATTTTAATTATGAGTCAATTATTTCTTTCAATTATGAGTGTGCTGTTCAAGTGCCGAACTTAGGCGCGAATATGGTTTTTAATTTCATTTAGGTTAACAGCAGCTTTGATAATTTATTCATCCAAACTTCAATACACGAGACACCTTACTTTCAATATCGGCAGACTTAACAATGAATACTTTGTCTTCATTTTGGGCAGAAACAAATTTTACCGAATTTCGTTAAGGCGGAATTTTCTTTGGTATTGAATAAAGACATACTGATTCAATTCGAGTCTCATACGTATGTCTTATTGATTGAAAATAAAAAAATAATAATTTTCCGGAAAATTGAGTATTTAGCCAACGCTTTTCTAGAATATATGAAATGGTAAAAAATTTTAAGACAAGCGAGTTGTTTTTTTTTTCTTTAGGTTGGTTTAATCCATAGTAAAATCTAATTTCAACAGATTCTTCGCTGATTATTCGTCTAACCGTGTGTTCCCTAAGTTATTTATTTCATTCATGTTTTCATGTTTATTCGGTTATGGACTCCGTCTCGCTTTATTCCTCAGCCATTTCCCTTGACGATATTAAATTTCAATTTTCACATTCAACGTTTTGTTTCATAAACACCAATTATTTTGCTGCAGAGGAATTATAAAGGAAACAATACATGATGATGATATTTATTGAAGCCAGGTTGTAATTCAAATTCGTTATTACACTTTGCATGTTACTAAGTCGCGACAGATCGTTTCTCAGTGCCGATCAGAATGCGTTTTCCCGCGCTGCAAGCTGTTCGCACGTTTTTACTCAGAATTTTCATCGACTTCTTATGATATATTCCATTGTTCTGATGTCGTTTAGTACCCTCGATCGTTTTAAGTCGTTTCATGCCCAAATTCAGTACACTCGTACTGCTCTGAGTCGATTCGTACCTGAACCGCTAGTCGAATTGTACCCGACCCAATACGCATTCATTCGAGCACGTGAACAGATATCGATTGGTGTGTGCGACAAATTAGAAGGGTCAACAGAGTGAGATACAAAGAAAATTCTGCTGTATATACATGTGACCTTCTTAACATGAGCACTAAATCATTGCTTAGCGCAAGGTAAGTGTGATATTTTTTTACAAAACAGTCTACTGTCTATAATTGTGACTTTCTTAACAATAACAGCTCGTGTAAGTGAGATTTTCTTTTTTCTCCCTTTTTCGTTTATTCGTTTTTCTATTGGCCGTTTTTATGCTTACGTCTTTAGCATAAAAACGGCCATTCTTATTGTAAAATACTTAACATGAAAAAACATACTTTATTAGTATGGGTATGGAACGAATCAACCGATTGGGCCCGAATCGCCCTCGCTGGATACGAAACGACTGAGTGCGAAACGACCGTGGGTACGAGACGATTGGTAATCGTTTTGATTGGCTGTTGTGGTTACTTTGTTTATGGCTTACGACATTCAAACAAAAGTACGCTCTAACTTAAGATGAATTTGCATCCCTTCACAGGAGAATAGAGGCAAAACACTTTCGCTTCCCGCGATAAAAACTGAGAAAATAAACGCACCGGCGATTTAAAGCCCTTGGATTCTCTGTGAAAACCGGCTGTCATCTGTGATATAAACTAAGTTTTTGAGGTGGTGACGTTCAGTTCCAAGATTTATGTTTCAAATACTTTCGTCTTTTTTCTTTAAATTGGTGACTCAATAATATGAATGATGAAGATGAGGCCGTTTTTGTTTTCCGCATGCGTAAGATAATTCACGGGGAAAGGGGTGGTTGAACGCTGTGAAACAGTTACTCATAGAGATTTGAAATCTCTTAATTAAGAACAAAGTGACGATAACGTGACGCAGAAAGGATGTTGCGAATTACCACAAGCCCTTATTCATTATTTGTTTACTTTTTTTTTATCCATGGGATGACATGTCCCACTAGTTGCTTCTTCGGGCATTTTGTTAGCTTTCGAACCAATAACTGATCAAATCCATTTGTGACGCTAGTTATTTTAATTTGCTCCGTTCAATTTCATTGTCTCCTCCATCTTTTAGCAAAAAATAGGGTTTGGCTTTCCCTTTACAGAAAAAATAGAAATTTTACAAAAGGAGGCAGAATTCTAATTTCATGAAAATCCTGATCTCGTTGTCCCCCCATGTCAAATTTGACACGGTAAGCTGATTTCCAACAATCTGTATTCCGTCTGATCACTGTTCCAGGTAGATAACTTGAGTACCCAGGATAGTAGCCAATCACGCGCTGAGTGGCGTGCACGTGACTGTACAATGGTATGATATCCAGGATGATGGCTCTTGCGTCATTGGCTTGATGTGAAATGGATTCCGCCTGGTCCAGTTGCACGTCTATGTATAGTATGTTTCCATGGTAACTTGTTCTTTTCACGAATCCGCGATAATAAGAGTCGTCTCTTCCGCGAGCAAACACGCGAGCTCCGACTGCAAGAGAAAAGAATGGAGCATGCCAGTTAAGCAGAGCCACAGGTCTGGCCATGATTTCTCGAAGGGCGGATAATCCTATCCAATGGAAAATTCTCAATACCTTTGGTTAACAGTTATCTGCTAGTTAGCGATTTATCCTTTGGATAGCGTTATCCACACTTTTTACAACTGGGCCCTGCAGTTCAGTATTCTCCACATTATGTCAATTCAATTAGTTCTTAAATGAAAATGATCAGTGTGAGTCTTGAAAATTGTATCCCAAACTTTTCAAGGGTAAAATTTCCAATCCATTAATCTTTCTTGTAAGGCCGCTTCGGCAATCGACCCGGTCTAAAAATCAAAGAGGTAGCAGATATCAGAACGTCAGTCGAACTGACATTTGTATGATCACCTTGGCGAATTGAGGAGAAAAAAGGGAGTTTACGCAACATATTCAGCGTGCAGTTTTCGACTATGTGTCCTCGGTCCAAAGTAATTTCATACGTTTCCGTGTCATTTCCTGGACAAAAATCATCAGACACGAAACCAAGAAGGTATTGCTCGCTCGCATTTTCTTTTGGTGACGGTGCGATCACGCGATCTCCTAAGCTGGTCCAGTTGGGAGTTGTGTCATGCACTACAGCCGTTACATCCTCATAACTATACTCAATTTCATTGCCATTGTCCAGCAAAACAACATATGTGGCGATGAATTTCTTTGTCACGGTACCAGGAGAGTAAGTGGCGTCTGATTGTCTCGCCAGAACACGTTTTCCTAATGGATCATAACGTAAAAGGATTAGACAGTTTATGACATTTTAAAATACTCTGACCATCAACAAGCTAATTTTTGAGTGAATGTGACAAATATTTTTTTTCTCATTTTTTTTTTTAACGGCAACTAATACTGTTGCTATGGTGGCCACATATGTCAAGCTAGAAAATCAACAAGATATTTTCCCAAGGTTTTTACATCTATTTGTGGTATTGAGAAAAATAGAGCAAGAAAGGAAAAACGACTTTTACGATATGAAATACTTATTTTTCAATGACCCATTAACCACCCTGTGAATTTCAATTAGCAATATGTGTTTTACCTGGATCAGGAGCAAAAATCTCTATCACGGAAACCAGCAATACCAAAAAAATCCCAAGCAATCTTCTCAAAAAAACCATCTTACGGATGTTGGATACAGAAACTGGAGCCTGTTGAAGTTGTTTTACATGAAATTGAGTTAATATTCGTCTGACTGATGAAAGGGAAAAAGAGGTGCTAATCATTTAGAGATGAGAGTTTGTCTTTTGATCACGTCGTGTTAAGTGTATTTGAAGACTCTTTTTTTAACTTAAGTGTAGTGTATCGAGGGCGATAAGAGTTTTATAAAAAGGTAATTTTTGGCGAGAGAGAGCAGATTTGCAATACTTCAAACTAACGCCATTTCATACCATTTGATCGCCTCATACTTATGCCGTAAATTTGACCCAAGACTAATCCAAATTAGAAATTTTCTTAAAAGAACTAACGTGTGTCGTTTACGAAATAAATTCCGGCGGTTGCTGATCTTAAGTACTATCGTCAGCAATGAATTTGTGCCTCCTTTTGAACAACGACCATGATCGATGAAAAGTGATTTTGACAGACAACTGTTGAGACTGAACGATGCAACGAATTGATTTTAACCAGTTGAAATGTTGCAAACGTCATAAAACGTTATAAATACTAACAATATCTTCTAAAGCAGTTAAAGAGTGGAGTTTTATCGTGGAGTCAAATAGGTTGCCTGCTATAACTATTCAATTCCAAGCGGGGCTGTTTGGGAAATAAGGCCACACCAGCATTCATGAGAAAGCTTTGAAAATGGAAGACTTGTTAAAAATGGAACACACAAATCGAAACTGCTTCGTAAGTGAGAGGCTGGATAAAATTCCCTAAGCAAACTCTCCAAGCCAATTTTCTGTATCCTGAACATTAATAGCGCAATTCATAAAGTTAACAATCAGTGTAGTTTTATACGTGGCCGTATCTCAGTAGGACTGAAAATAATCTAGTATTCGCTTTATAGTAATGTGCAATAGAGGTCAGAAGCTTAATAAGTTTCAAATAAAATACTCAAAGCTTATACCTTATTCAGTTTTATCTGAGTCTGCATGCAAGGTTTTTCACTGTTTTCTTACCTGTTTCTCCGTTCCGATTGGCGAACACAGCGTTTACTTTGAAGCCAGAACATTTATTTTCAATTACATAAAATCCACAAGTGTTTACTCAATATGTATTCCAATATAGATTATTTTGACACACGACTAATGATAGTTCAAAGTAGAAAGGCGAGAGAAAGCTGTTTCAAAACGTGTGACAGGAAAAACTTAACATCCAAAAAAGTGATTTCAGTCTTTCCGCCTCTAAATGAAAAATGGAATAGAAACTTGAAAACTTCAAATACTGAATAGTACACTTACCCTTTTAATTAGTTACTCATCCAAGGATCACAGAGTGCAACACACTTTGCATTAGTTTGACATGGTTAACTCTAGTAGATGTAATGTTATTGAAGGGCTTGATCGTGTCGGGAAGTATTTGAAGTACTGGAAATAGACACACTTTAAAATCAATATTCAGAAATGTATATTGTAGCGTCCTTTTATGACTGATTTTTTTTAATACTGCGCCCTATCGTTCTAGCATTACAACAGAAGCGGGTCGGGTCTCTTAGAGACAACCTGACAACGACTTAATTGCTTTGAAGCGGCACCTTGTGAGCCACAGGCAACCCAAGCTCCAGCTGTGAGACGCAACGATGTCAACTTCTCAATAACAATACCTCACCTTACTTCCACAATGCATCGCTCGTTGTCTGACCGCTTACTTTGTTGAAACGAGGCCATTATAGCGAGTCAACCATTTCTAGGTTTCCTACTTTTTCTCTTTGGAAATGGTCTTTATTTTACGAAACAAGATGATTAGAAGCACGAACAAAACTGATCGATCGACCGTTTTTGACGAAAAATAAAGGAGAGCGAGTTAGGTTGCAGATCGAATTAGGAAAATTATGGTAACACGGGAGAATGTGTGTGTTTGTCCTTTCAAGTCATTTTCATCTAATGTATGAAAGTCAAACAAAGCATATTTAATTTTTAATTGTATAGGTGATGAAATTAGCAACACATGTTGAGACGGTAAGTAGAAAATTATTTTGGCACTTTGGGGCGGGTGAGAATTTTTTCTTTAACTGTTAATTTTCTTCATGACTTAAGAGGCTTTAAATGAGATGACCGCGACATTGGAAAAAAAACCTTTGACTCTTTGCAGAAAAATGTCTCTACTTGTTCAAATTGTCACTCGCTTCGCCCTCGACTCAGCAAACCCGGTTAAAAAGCAAAGAAAGAAAAAAATTCCTCTTTTGGCAGGCTGTGTAGGATTCTGATAGCTTATCAACTTTATTGGTCTCATAAGCAATCTACATACATTGTAAATCAATGGTAGAAATGCTTAAAAGACCAAATGGGATTGAGCGAACCGGAAAAGTATCCCATGCGAAGCGCAACCCAAAATCTGAGTTCAAAAAAATAAAAGAAGATAATAGACTTTTTCAAAGGAATTTTTCCTTTTTTTCCTTGACAAAATAATAAGAGGCCGTACCTAACAATTGTTCCATGAATGTCCACTGGATATGAAAGGGTAAATAGCCAACGACGCACGTAGCAACAAGCGCGAATGGAATAATTAAATTTTGCTAAATCCTGAACTTTTGGATTTAGGGAGCCCTTTTTCAGCTCCGCGACAGTTGGCACATTACATTTTCATGTAAGGTGACTCGAACTATATAAACAGTAGCCTCTATTTGGCGCGAAAATATGCACACGGATATTTGTCTGTGGTCATTATCTGTTCCAAGATGCGAACAGATTCCCGGGAAGCGAAGCTTAAGGAAAACTGCGAGCTTCCAGGAACAGACAAATTTTCGCGCAAAGCAAAGGCTCTTCTGTTTATTATCCTTCAAATGTTTTGCAACGGGAGTGAAAAAATTTTTACGAATAGCTTCCTGTTTTCTGCGTGGGATGTTTCCTCTGAGTGTTCTCTGGTACGACTTTATAAACAAGCAAATATTCCCTTCTTCTGTAACAACCATAAAACTCTCTCTCTTGTTGAATTAAATTTTAAACGAAGATTTATCGTGGCGGACGTAAGGTTCGAACATCAGGAAAATCATTTGGATGATATCCTCGGATATCCCCCTTAGTGATACGTTTAGACCAATCGCGCATGAGCAAAAACATTTGATGGATCCTAAGAGCCGATAACTGGAGTTAAGTGAACCGATCAGAACATTAGAAGCACTGTATTCGGAGTTGAAAATTTTCCAAATGTCGTATCCTTTCCGATCTCCAGTACCGTCCATTTAAAATAAGGTAGAGGTAATTAAAATTACATATTCGATTAATTGATTATTCATTCATTTTTTTGCATCTAAAAGCAAATATTTATCAGTGATAAGAAACTGTCTACTTTGCAAGTCCTACTTCATGCTCTCATGTTTAATTTTCTCCTTTTTGAAAGGACCAAAACATGTAACAGCCGCTGAAAGCTTTCTTCTCCCCAGGAGCTCTCCCCAGGTACTTCAAGGACAGAGCGTACCGAGCTCAAGGTGCCTGGGTCGAATTTGTTTTCCCAGCATACACCTGAAGCCGACAGAAAATTGCTCTCAACTTGCCTTACAATAGTAATCTTAAAGTTGTACGGTCTATCTCCACTAGTTATCAGGATGGCCCTTAACGACGCTGAAGTTCGAAAACAAGTAAGTCTCTACGTTGTTTATCCCTTTTTCCTACAGTTCGAGTTATTCTGAGGTGCAGTTATCGGTAGTTCGACCTTAAAGTAAAGGTTATAAACACCTGAGTCGCTTGTATTGCAGATCGAACATATGATGGCATTTATAGAGCAGGAAGCCAAGGAAAAGGTCGAGGAAATCGACGCCAAGGTACCTTGATGATGAAAACGTTTATTCTGTAAATAATAATGCCTAAACTCTCCCTATAATCCAGAACCGGTGTGATCAGCTGAAACACTTACACATTTCATCGGTGTTCGATTCCTTTTTGGTAATGACGTCACTGTGAGTTGTTATCTCTTTCTAGTAGGATAAAAATTGGCGCTTTCTTGTTTGTGACCAACAGTTAAGTATTCGTTGATCGTGATTGTGCTGAATTGAAATGAAACACAAGGGTTATATCCTTTTCTTGTGTTAAGCTTTGAAACTTTCCATTCTTACTTTCGTTCGTCTTCCCCTCGTCCTAACATGTCTTTACATGGTTCCATCGGCTCAAAGGGTGGATGTTCACATTCATATTCCCTAGATCTTCTATTTATCTTGTGAAAATCACCGTTTACCTTAAAGTGTGTATCTTCACTCGTGACAGCTGACACCCAATACTCTTTCAAGTTCATGCAGAGATCTAGGTGGTCATAAGTCATCATTCTACAAAAGGCAAAATCATGTTTTAGGAATGGTTTTAAAAAAAAAGTATATCAATGAAAATAGAGGTGAAAGGTACAGTGTACTCTTAAGTACCCCTTCCTTTTTTATTCTTGTTGATGGCCTCGTGATCTATCCATTGCTTACCTATTACTGGCACCATATTACAACCTTAGTTTATAGCCTTTATACTGGTCAAAGAAAAGGGTGGTATGTCTGAAGCTTTCTCAAAGAATGAGTTATCAAAAAAGATGCTTTTCTCGGGGAAAGTCTACTAATCCTGGTTGACTTAGCAAAGCTTTGGGAGCGCTGGTTTAAATCCCAGAATGAAAAGTATCATCTAGAATGGTTAACCCTTTAACCCCTAAGAGCGACTAGCATCTTATTTCTCCTTACAGCATCATCCCTAAATGAAACATTAAGGTCATGAGAATAAAGGGGATGATCACTAACTAAAGAAGCTCTTGATTGCTGAACAAATTCTCCTTGTCAGAACCTTAGGAAATGTCTAGGGAGTAGTAAGGAGAATATGGATACTGATGTTAGGGAGTAAAGGGTTAAAGCAACCCCTTCAATTTTGTCCCGTTTACCTATTTTTAGGCAGAAGAAGAGTTCAATATTGAGAAAGGTCGCCTCGTACAGCAGGAGCGTCTCAAAATAATGACTTTTTATGAAAAGAAAGAAAAGCAAGTTGAGTTGCAAAAGAAAATGTAAGTGTAGCTTAGCCGCTGTAGGTAATTAAATTGTTATAGGTAGGAATATGATATACATGTATATTATATTTCATGTTTTTGAAGACATTTTCATCAGATTTTTTAGAGATGTTGGGACTGAGTAATTTATGTCTTAAAAATTTTTGCTGTGATCACAAAATTTCCAAGAGATTGTTAGTTTTATTTCCAGTAGTGAAAAAAATCATTATACAGAATTATTGAGAACAAAAGTTGAATGCTTGTTAGCTGATCGCCTTTTAGTTTTATTAAAAATCTTTAGCTCAGTTTATCTTGAAGCCTTTTTGTTTTTGGTACCTATGGCTCCTTTTGTAGTATAGTTATGTAACCAAGCAGAAGTAAAATTTAAAACTCCAAGCTAAACTCGAACAATATCTTGTAACATTTAGTTTTAGCTGATTTTTTTTTGTTGAATAATTGATGTTGTGAATCTTTTGCCTTGATGAATAATTTAGTACTTGGATGTGAAAATCCACAAAATGAAAAGTTTCATCTTTGCATACAAAAAGAAAATTTACCTCAAAATCTATTGTGTAGCATATAATCACATGTACATATAACACAATTTTGACAACATATATCTAATTTATATATATATATTGAAAACAATCTTTGCATACATATTTTTTGTCAATGTTAATATTTAGTCAGAGATCAAATCAGTTGAATCAGTCACGACTGAAGACCCTCAAGGCACAGGATGATCATATCAAGGTAATTACAAACTTACTTTAAATGTGAAGACAAGATTTGGTCAAAATTACAAAATTTTGGTCAAAATGTCCTACATGGTTAATCCTTTACCTCCCATCAGCGACCAAGACAGAGTTTTACTTTACAATGATAATACAGTGTCAAGCAGATGATTGATGAGAATCAGGAAAAGCATCAGAAGTGAATCATTAGTTTATCCAGTGCAAAATTCTTCAAACTTGCTTCAATTGTGTAGCAGACAGGAAGGAGAATTACAAAATAAATGAAATCTTGGAAGTGGAAGGGGTGAGACTTGCAAAACAATCCAGATTGAAGTAGATAAAGGGAAAGATTGGGAGAAAAATCAAAATGTCATTCTTACTATTTGTATTATCAATTTCTGGTGAAAAGAGGAATACCTAGGTTTTGTTTTAGTCAATCCATTAAGTGGATGAATCTTATCACATGTTATTCACAGGCTATACTTGATGATGCAGTTAAACAGCTTGGTAAGGTGACACAAGACAAGACTCAGTATTCGCAAGTTGTCAAAGGCCTTATAACACAAGTAAGTTTAGCTTCATCTAACATCTGGTATTAGACATAATTGCTCAGGTGAAAAGAGATGTGCATACTCTTATTGGTAGAGGATTGCATTATATCTCACTATAATCACCTTGCACATGGTGATTATACCAGGGGCACTAAATTTCAATGTGGCTGCCTCACATTTTGTCATTGTTTCAGGGTAATTGTTTGCAATTACTTGGTATAAGTACTTTAAGTGTTTTCATGAAAATATACTGTCTCCTCTTCAGGGATTATTTCAGCTCCTGGAGCCAGCTGTGTCAATTCGGTGTCGCCAACAAGACCTTGATGTTGTGAAGGTAGTATTTTTAACTTTGGATTTCTATGATATATTTGCAAATCTAATTATAACAAATGTAGGTCTGAATCTCAACTCCTTATTAAAATTTTTGATTGTATATGGCCTTGCACAAACATTGAAAAAGGTAGTTATGTCTGAACTTCTTGGTTGTAAGCACATTGAAAAGGGTCTTTTTTAGTGCAATTTTGTGTTTGCTTTCAACAAATTTTGAATCCATAAATTTTGTAAGATTTTTTTCAATGGAAACTGACTCAATGACAGCCAGAATTATAAAATAACAATGTAAACATTCGGTTAATGCTTAAATAGATATTTCTTCACAAAAATGAAGCCACTATTTGGTGCAATGCAACATAAAGATTTTACAAAGTTTGAACATACTTTAACACCACACTGAATTTTACTTTTTTTTACTTTTATAAAATTTAATAGGAATGAAAATTAAAAGATTTGAGTTGTTATAATATCTTAATAATTATGCAGGGTGTAAAGGATGCTGCTGTTGAGGAATATAAAAAAGCCACAAAGAAAAGTGTAGAATTAAGCATTGATGAACAGACATTTTTGGGCTCTGACTGGTAAGTATGTTGTTTGATGCTAGAGCAGTTAGAAATACCATACTTCTGCACCTGGGCACTTACTTAAAATTTCAGCCAAAAGGAGGGTGGCTAATGGAGAGGAGGGTGCTTAATCAGAGGGGGTGCGTATTTTCAAACTGTTATTCTGTATTGATTCTTCTGTAGTTGAAGCTTAAAAAAGTTAGAAGGTGGCAAAAGAGACAGGTTTTCCTTGTATCCCTACTATTTGAAAAAGTGAGGGAGAAGGGGGGTGCCTACTCAAGAGGGGCAATTGAGGTTGTTTTAGTGATTGATCATTTCCTTTATTCTCATGACCGTAATGTGATTCACAGGTGATATTGTAAGGAGAAATTAGACACTAGTTACTCTAAGGGGTCAAAGGAAGGGTTTAATAGTGATTTCTCAGGCTCTTGTGTTATCACTCTGAATTTGTAAGGTTTCCAGTCAGCCCTATGCCAGGTGAGAGACATTCATAGTGGTTCTTACAGCAACAATCTCTGTTTTTTTTATGGTAAGCAGGAACAAAGTAGACAATTGTGGGTTTGCACAATGCACTCATCCTGCCTCACTTTTGAATTGTGACATTAGAACTGCATCAAAATATGTTGAACTGTCACCTACACAGACTGGCTGTAAACATATCCAAACCAACCTTGTAATTTTTATGCAATTATTTTGTATATATTTATATTATTATTCTATTCAACTGCAGTGCGGGTGGTGTTGAATTGTTAGCAAAACAAGGACGGATTAAAGTTGTAAACACATTAGAGAGCCGCCTTGAAATGATGAGTAAACAGGTGTGTAATTATATCCTATATTGAAGTAGCATACGAGTTAATTTTTTACATACATTTACCAGTAATAGCAACAAAATTGTTTAAATGTTTCTTTCATTGTTATTGCAGATGATGCCAGAGATTAGGGAGACTTTATTTGGTGCAAACACCAGAAGAGCATTCTTCGACTGATGTGCCCAATTTCTTGACCACAAACTTTGTTTTCTATATACAAATTTTCCTTTCCTATCTTAAACCATATGACCTCCTACTGATAAAAAAATGTGTGTAAACTTCTTTCTGGATGAACATTCCTTTGAATTTACTTGGAAGGGGTTATTTTTGTTTTGTTTTGTTTTGTTTTTTGTTCATTGTGTTTTGGGTTTTTTTTTGTTAGCATGTGCTGGTTGTCAATGCTAGTATTGTTTTGTTTTGCTTTGATTTGCTTTTTTTTGTTTTCCAGGCTCTGTTTTGGTCAGAATTGTTTTGAAGGGCAGAGGGGGGGAAGCAGAAAGGGCTTTTCCATGTCCTGTAATTAAATAAGATTTGATGATACTTGAAATAAATAAATATAGGAATTGAGAAAGCTAATTATGTAAAATTTTAGACCATGACTCGGATTGTCCCAATTATCTAGTAAACTTGAATAAGGCTTCTAAGTTGACCCCATAGTTTCTGTTTTGTCCTCTTGTCACAATAAGGTTTAACCCTTTACCTCCCAGAACTGATTAACTTTAACTTCTCTCTATAATATCCATACATTATCCATCACGGGGTTAATGAGAACACTCAAACTTATCAGGTAGAAGTTGTTATCCAGTACTTTTGACAAATTCTCGTAAGTAACTTACAAGGAAATTTATAGCAACAAGATGGGAGAATTATCAATCGGATCTTGGGAATTAAGGGGTTTAAATAATATCATTACATCAGTGATGCCATTCATTTTCAACTGTTTAATTTTATCCTACTGCCATGTGAAGATGAGATTTTGACGTCTATTTTATAAACTGTCAAAGATACCTGCCACATATTCCTATGAAGTTCTCTGGTAATTCTCATCTGACGGTTTTAACCTTTCTCTGTCATTTGTGCAACCTTTAGAAACCAGCTACAATTTACCACTGTCCCATAATTTGGACAGATCTGATTCGTAAAATCTTCAAGAGGGGAATTATAATACTACATGTTAATAAATACTGGTTATATTACCCTACACCTTTGACAGAAGTCTAGTAAATTTGCAAAAAGCTTTGAGCCTTGAGTATTAACACGAAATTGTTGTCCTTTTTTTCTGTGTACGCATGAAGTTGATTCATGCCCCAACTCGTTCTTGATTGTTCTTTTATTTACATGAACCGTTAATTTTATTTTTTTATAGCCATCTAGCTCAAATTTCTCCCGCTTCAAGTCCCAATATTTTTTCAGCCACTCCCAAGAAGTATACCATCTGGGCAATCCCAAACAACGGTGCAATAACGATTATCCTTGGCACTACTCCTTTATAAAATGCACCTATCCCTTCATTTACGTAGGTTTTTTGAACGCAGTCCCACAAACTGTTGTAGGCAGCTTCTCCTCCTGTTCTTATCACCTGGAGCCTTGTTTTGATCACATCCAATGGAGTGACAGCTGCACTTCCTATCATAGCTGGATTGAAACAACAAAGGTTATTAGTTTTGGTCATAACACGATCGCGGATACGTGATGTTTGGAGATACTATTTCCTTGCTGGCTGGTAATCCACGCGAAACAACCTTCCGTGTTTGTAAAAGGATCAACTAATGCTATTTTCTGTATTTCTTCGAATTAGCGCCCACTCTCCATTGGGCACCTTTCCCCGATTAAGCGCCCTCGCCCTAGGCCAAAATATCAAACAAGCGCCCACCCCCCAACCCCTCATTTTCCTAGATAGTAAGGATACAAGAAAAACCTGTTTCTACCCCAATTTATTAACTCCTCAAGCGTCAACTACAGCTGAATCAGTACAGGTTAATAGTTCTTATGAGCACCTTCCTTCCAATAAGCGTCCCCCCATTATTCGAGGAAATACAGTATTGACGATATTGAAGAAGTTCCGGCTGTTTTCTGGTTAATTCCCAATCGTTTGTAGACGAAATCGACCTCTGTTTTTCGATTTGGTTTGTTTTTCTTTCTGCCTGATCGTCTTTTTTTTAAGAGGAACTCGATTTACTATTGAAGTGAACAGAAAGCAAAATACAACAAACTAACCAGCAGTACACCCTGCCATCAAAGATTGTAGTGGCCCTGGGGCATGGTTGTGTGTCCCATCTCCCTGAAACTAAACAAAAAACACCATCGCTAATTCATTCCCGGGGCAATATACCATGCGAGCAGGCCTAGGTTACTCATACTTCTGCACGGGTTTTCTCGCCCATGGGAAAATGTAAGGCAGGGCTGGTATGAGGCTGTGAGCGACGCGAGCCGGCGAGTGATTATCTAGGATTCTGCGTCCAGTGGCACTACTAACCAGGGCTTGCTAGCGGGATAACGGTAATTTTAGTTACGCGTTTCTTCACTTACCTCAAGTCTGAGATAGGCAAATAGAGGAAAGTAGATGCAGGAAAACGGCACGTCCCTGGCGAGAAAAACAATGAAAGAAGTATAGAATCAGCGTTTAAAAAACACTCGAGAGATATGACAGACTACAAGACCATAGTGATCGTGGCGTGATATTTGTTGACTTTCTCCCCCACAGTACCTCAGTAATGTGGCGCCAAGTCCTCTGTAAATGCCACTTATACCCTTGCTCCTCATCAGGTCATGTGCTATTCTTAGGGCGGATTGGGGGGCTGTGCCTGAATTGGTGCCGAACGTCCTAACGTTTGAGCTCGCCGCCGCCACAGTGGTAGTTGAGTTGGCTATCCGGGGAGCTATTGGTAAAAAAGTAAATATAAGACTGAACTTGTTTTCTGACCAAATATTACAGGTTTCCCAACCCTAATGAATAAAACAAATGTAGAAGTCAAACTGAGCTAGGGTCCCCTGTAAGTATAACGTACCTGTTGCTTGTGATCCAGCCAACTGAAGCTGTATTTTGAGCATTTCCATCGGTGTGGTAATGACCACCTGGAAGGAAAATAAAACAACCAGACAATTTCATATTAAAATAAAGCTCATAAACTACGGAAAAATAGATTTTAGATGTTGTGAGATACGTAATGTCGCCATAACTGAGCGTTGTAGATAATACCGTGAACAGTTTTTGACTCTCACCTGACAAAACCCAGCAGCTCCACCAGCGATCATCTCTTTGCTCAAGGGAAGGGTGTGTCTGAAATGTAGACAGGAAAGAAGGATTGGACCAGCGAGACGTGACACCCCTTGGAATTGTTTATTGGGTTATCCCAAATTGCCAAAAGTGAAAAGTGGCAAACACTAGCGGTAAACGATGGAAAAGATTAAAACGGATTCGAGGGCGAAAAACACTCAATTTACTTTTTAACTTATTTTCAGGTTTAAGTTCAGAACTTGGATCTGTAATCGAACGAAATCAATGTATCCATCACCGATTTCCTCGAAACCTAAAAACACCACAAAGTTTCTGATCCGGTGAAATACCTTCTTCCACCATACATCTGTCTTAGCTGGTCGTTTACAGCAAGTTTCAATGCCTTTTCCGGGTTTATGAGTAACAAATTTACTCCTATGCCTAAAGGAGATAAAAAATGTAAACCGGGGTTTGATGGTTGAACCATTGCTACAAATGATTTTTATCAAACGCATTACAATCATCTGTTGACCTCCATACCTTCATAATAGTACGTGATTATATAGTGTACCTCTGATGAGGTGATTTCTGAATAAAGCATCCACATCTCCTAACAAAATGGATAACAATAATACTTGAAGCGATCGTAATGATCCCTTAGACGGAACTAACCTTTGTATAAACCTCTCACCCCTTCTGCTCTTGCCACTTTCCATAGACAGTCCGCTCTACGGAAGAAATAATCGAAGACATGCTTTTAAGGTAGATCTTGCTGCTTCTAAAGAGAAGGCAAGGACCATTTGCGAAAGCAAATTGCCTCAAAAGTCAATGGAACTTCGCATGATGAAAAGAGTCATACAGTTAAGATATTTATGCTCTGATCACCATTTTGTATATTAAGTTTTAAAGCCTCGTTTGAATGAAAAAAATTAAGCCATATCAACGTCAGCGATCCCAAAAACTGTTCTGTTGTCAAAGGTTCCATGTTTGTTACTAATTTTGCAATGACCTTGAATGAACAACTTGGCACAGTACCACAGTACTGTAGAAGAACACACTCCATTGAATACTGCAGATCATTGTGTTTATGAAATCCACATGCAACTTACAAGTTTTTGTAGTGCTTTTGAGCCCCAAGATGTCTTTGATCCTGTAGTCTTGTTTTACACAAATCCAATGGGAAGGTGCATGCAACGCCGACCACTCCAGCAATAGCACCATTTATAAGTTTGGCTAAAAAGCTAAGCAAAAAAATTCAGTGTTACAGCGCCATGTTCTTTTGGTGTACATCTACAAAAATTTATTTTACCGACAGTCGCACAATTTTGTGAAAATAATACATAATAATATAAAATCGAAAGAAGTTAACTGAACATAACATTTAAATGCTTATAAAAAAAAAAGAAAAAGTTGTAAGCTTCTAAAAAAATGTTCTGATAACCTCTTTAAGTGAACAAAGTAAATCACATTCAGAGTCAATATCACCAGTTCGCTTGTTAATTAGTTATGCGTTTCAGCAGGAGCGAGCTAACCTAATTAATACTTCATTCACTTTTACTCATAATCGTTGTTTGGTTTCAAATTAAATTTACTGGAGATTTCTTTCCCTATTGATACGATTTTAATGAACTGCACACAATAAACAGAGCTCTGAATGAGCTTGTATTCCAGAGTGGAATTTATTTAATCTTGGTAACATTAACAAAGAAAACCTTTCTGTGATTTTTCATACGCTAATCAGTTTGGATTTTTTTTTCGGTCGCAGATACAAAAACTGGAGGCGTTTGTAGGATGTTGAGTCTGTTGCAGAAGCTTATTTCCAACTAATTCTTATTCTGATACTCAGCTAAACTGATATACTTATCCTCAACTTGTAAGTTAGAACTAAGCTTCTCTTTTTAGCGTAAAATGACTTGCTTGAACTGGTGTCTATTTTGACTTGCAAGTTTTCTTGATCTTTCGAAGTACGCTTTGTCAAGATTAATAATTGATTATCTCAATTTTTTGGCTTAGTGAGGAAGTCAGCCAAAGAAAAATCAAGATGATACGAGGGTATGTCAATGAAAACAAATCAAGCAAGGTTAAAATGCAGTCGTCGTTCTTGACAGTTCTGCATTGATTTCTGTGTAAAATTGAGCTGACTCAAAAAGTAGCTTTGAAACAGTCAAATGTGTTGTTTATACAAACTCAGAGTTTTAAAAATACATAGCTTTCAATATGTCTCCGTGATATAAATCTGGTCTGGCAAAAAAAGCGTAGATTTTATCGCGGAGTTCGTCATCAAGTCAAATTACCGAGATTTCCTACATTTTGATTTAGTTTCAAGCGAAGAATGCAAATTGTCTATTTTTGCTTTAAGAACGTGTTCAAAAAACATAGGAGTTATTAAAATTGCAACGTCAAAGCTTACCTGTGATGATTTTCCATATAATAGGATCAATGTTTGGGGCTGCGGACTGCGGAAGGTTGGCTTCGAGCAGCGATGATGGTACCTACGGCTTCAGCTTGCTTCGGGTGCTTGCGCCGTCGTTAGCGCCACAATTTCTATCACACTGTCCAATCAGATTGATTCAAAGAACTTGTGACGCCAAATTGGACCAATTAGAGGACGCGTTAGATTCTGCTTCACTTCTTAGCTGATGGTCGAAGAAGCAAAACAAAAAAAAAAAAAAAAAAAAAAAAAACCAAAAAAACTCGCGGAAACTCAAGCTTGAAACAACAAGTACTGAGCAATATAGTTTGTAGCTAACTTCCATGTTTTCCTTTCTTTTTTTTCTTTCTCATTTTTTAATCTTCCTGTCGCCCTAGGATGTTATATTTGATTTACTTGTGACTTTTTGCTGAGAAAAATTCTGTTTAATTCGGGACACAGTGTTGCAAAACAAAGTAATCATCTATAGATGCAGTTGGTTTTATAGGACTTTTGTACAAAATTGTTGGCATCATCGCGAAACGACATACGAAAAGTAACGACGCATTCCATCAAAGGAAGTCCAAAACTTTTGTAGTGATGCTCGAGTTGGGGCTGGTTTGAGGGAAAGGGGCTGAGGATGACATATCGAGCAAGACCGATCCCCGACCTCACCCTCGCTATTTCCAATTCCAGAGGTTTGCTACCTGGAACAAAGATCGCGACTAGTTTCTTTATTTATTCCAGGTTTTCATGGGAGATAGCGTGACTACATCCGTCACGCGCAAGGTAGATACTGATCATGGTCGACCTGTCAAATGTTGATGTAAATAGACAATGTATGTATACGATATCTAAGGTGACTGTAACCAAATTTACGAACGGCATGCAAGAGGAGAAACGAATGATAAAGTTGCGGTTTTTGAGGCTTAAAGACTATCAACCATGATGCGTTTCCAACCAATAAAAATTGTCTACGGACAAATGCAAAATAGTGATTTAAAATTGTTTATGTTTCGATCGAGAAAATTTGAGAACTGAACGGGACTCAATTAATTACTGCGACTGTGATGGCAATAAACTCATTAGCGGCATCTGACAAGGAACATACCAAAAACATAACATTCCATCTTGGTTCACAACTTTACCAAAACAAAGATAAAATTTTAGTTTAGTCTGCGCAATTATTTATACCAATGTGTTTCCCTTTAAGAAGAAGTAGTCACTTTCCCAAAAAGGCAACTTAAGAGAGCTTGCTTTCACCATTGCATTACGCGGTAAATAGGAACATCAATAATTGCGATCTCAAAAGTAATTCAAAAGATCATTGACTTACCTCGTCTCTTCGTTCAGATGCGTCGAGTAGACCAGCTCTGAAGAATGAGATGAAAGTCTTTGATACGAATAGGAGAGCGATTTCGTTCCTGAGAAGCCTGTTCGGCTTACCGTGAAATCTAGCACGCCGTGGATGTGAAAAAATGCTAGTCGACTTGTATGGCGTTGTTTAAAATTTAATTAGCTTTACGGCAGGGTCGTCCAGTTGTTTTTAATGATTTATTTGAAACCCTTAACTGGAATTCACGTTTGCCGCTTGAGGGCTGATGCAGATTTGAGAATATGTCACAAAATCTGTTATCATCGTGCGGTTTCTTTTCGAGTTTTCCCTCAGCTTTTTCATCTCTTGTTGCTCCTAGTAAGTAGAAGTCATTAAAAAAAATTGTCGAACAAGAAAAATGAAACGAGGACCACACCCAAACAGGTGACGTCAATTAAATTAAACCTTTTGACTTTCAAGATTACCTGCATGAGACAGGTTTCAAACAGGTGAATTTAATTTTTTACCAGTTAAATGCATTCGTACACACTCTGTTTATTGATCGGCATTGGTACTGAGGGACAGAGCACACGTGCAGCGAAAAAGGGGCTAAGTTCTGCCCCAGTCTCCGCTTAGATGCTTGTATCGTCTACAGATCATGCAGTAAGCATAATATCCAACGATAATCGCATGCTTAGGAATGATAAGGGTTCTTTGAACAACTAGTATTGAATACAAAAGAAATTTACAAGTAGCTCGAAACGTAACGAAAAATATCGCTAGGTGTGTTTAATGTAATAAGCTATGTCCATAGTTTGTTAAAATGCAACCGTTTCCTTTTTATTCTTTTGTTTGGTTATCGAGCTTTTTATGTCATGACACTAATGAAGACGATTAATAATGGCAATAAGAACGAGTGGAGTTCAATTCGGTCTGTAATTATACGAGTGATTAACAAAATCGGAGGACCGCGAAGCAGGACTCCGATTTGTCTATCATCGGTATGATTACAGACAGAACTGGACGACACAAAGTCCTGTTAACAATTAATCATAACCGTTACAATTCCTGAAAACAACAAATACATTTTGGACAAATATCTACGGTAAAGACGATACCTAAAGTAAAACATTCCTCGATTTTGGAAATTCCACAAGGTTTTTTTTTTAGGATAAGTGGTTTTGTTGTGGTTATCGTGATCAGTTCTGTGATTGGTGGATTTGGCTGAAAGGTATGATTGGCTTCTTTAACTGCCCGATTACAGGTGTCCAATCACAGCCAGCGGTCCGATAGCAACTGTACAGAATGATTTGTGAAAAATAAAGTAGGCAATGCACTCATCACATTTGATGAAATTGTAATGGTTATGATTAATTGAAGAATTCACTCTCTTTCTCCAACCTTTCACTGCCAGTCTACTTGTCGGACAGGCGCCCATTCTATACCCATTTCTTCATGACTGGCTTCTTTGTCAAAACCCTTTAAACGAGAGAATGGCCAGCTTTTCTAAACTGACTTTTAATTAATGAGGGCGTCGTCATTGATTCTTTTTGTCCAAAGGAAAAAAATTGACCTCTACTACCGAACGTTTTGTTTAGCTTTGAAGACAACATAACGATAATTTTCATAATGAAAATTTAAACTATTTTACCCGAGTCCAGAAAGCGTATAATTCGGAACAGGAACAAGATGGTACCGTTGCGAAAATTATCGCAAAGTGCCTCGATCTGGTACACGATAATGGAGTTACCCTAGTTACGCATTATGTTGTTTATCTTACAAGTTTCACCTTTTCATCAGTTCCATTGTTTATTTAACTACAAAATAGAAATCGTATATGTGAACTGCGGATTATGAATTGCTTTCACATTTTAAAACTGAAAATGTTGAAAGTCTTCTTGAGAAATAACTGAACAGCAAGAACATTATAAATCATGACATGCCATATAACTATTTAATTAATTGAAATGATCAATTAAAGAAAGCTCATAAAAACAAAATTTACATGTTTGTGAGTGAGAATATGTTTTCCTTTTTTGGGAGGGAACGGGGGGGAAGGGGGCAGTATTAGGCAACTGACTTAAGCTCATAACTTCTACATCAAGAAAACGAAAACTAGAAAAAATAACTCTGAGTTTCTATTAAATACTACACTACAAATATTGTGATGCTCTCCAGCAACTTTAATTTTGAATAAAAAAAATACTGAAAGTTTAAGTTACAAATAGAAAAGAATTAAGAGGCTATGACACTCAAGACATGCTAGATAATCAACTTCATACATTTCACCAAATAAACAGTGATTCTCAAAGAGTAATGACAAAAAATGCATCTTGGGTGCTGTCATTTCACCATGTGTAACAACATCTCCTAAGTTTGTCTCTCTTGAACCTAGCTTCGATATTGTTGAATTTAACAGCTACATGCTGTTGCTAAAAAAAGGTGTATTTTAATTTGAAACAATTAAGTATCGATTAGCAAAGAGAAAATCAGCTCCAATTCAACTGAATTTTAAAAAATGAAGTGTGCAACAGGGTGCACATTCCCATTGTCCTTTTATTTGTGGGAAGATATGTTTTTCAAGAAGGCCATCCCTTGCCAGGCAAAGCAGCTGTCATTATCAAAGCAGCTCCTCTTTAGCAACATGCTTCATTTGTTGATTGACTGCACCACTTAGCGACCTCTAGAATTCACAAATGGGGCCTGAGTAAAGAAACAGATACAAAACCATGTTTATATTGTATAAGTTCAAAAAAAGATATCATGTGCAAAACTTTCCTGTATTGAACTGGAAAAAAAAAGGAAGAAAAACTGGTCCAGCTCATGAGTAAAAATTGATAATGAGACCTAGTTATAGTCTATTTGAACCTATGTTGGGCAATCAAAATTAGAGAGTTTTCTAATTGTAGAACAAATGTTTTCATAACTCTTGCACAATACATAGCTTTATTCCAGGCAACGATAAGTATTAAAAATTACTTTTTCACTAGGTGTCTGAAGGTAACTTGACTTCAATGGTACTTTAGTGAAGACAATTTAGATGCCATGGCTGTAGTTTGAACACCAATAAAGACCATTTGAAGAAATGGCAATGGCCATACTTTGGGGAATCAATCCAAATAGAAAAAAATTGCGAATAGAAGCAAAAACACTGACTGCAGTGAGGTTGAACTTACAATTCCACCAGCCTCTTGCATGGGACGGCGATATGAGCGACCCAAATATTGCTCAAAATAGCCCTTCACTGCACCACAAGCATCAGACGTCATTAAGCACACTCTTTTACCCACATAATATGCAAATATCAAGTTGGTCCAGTTTCTGTCTCGACCAATCATGTTATCAATTTCTTTACTGAATCTGTCATAAGTCAGATCAGCAGCATTATCCAGGACATATGAAACCAAGTGTGTCTGAACTCCCTGTAAAGAAAATAAACCACAACAAAATAAATAGTGGCAATAAATTTTGTTATGATGCAAATTAGTTTTATGATTCTGATGTTGATATCAGAACAGATCTTCATTCAATCTTGTACTCCAACATTAACATGAAAGTTTTCCTTTCAGCTGTCACCAAGTTTCACAGAACTTTCAGCACTTATCATTTATACTATGGAAATTATATCATGTGTAAAGACAGTAAAATTTTATTCCTAGAAATACATTGTGGTATTTATTACATCCATGTATTACTGTGCCTAAATACATGAACCATGGACTCATGCTATTGCACTAAGAAGAAATTAGATACTAGTCAATCTTGAGGGTTTAAAGGGTTAAGATCTACTCTAAGTGTTGTAAAGATTGACATTACTTGAATGTGCAAAAAGCTACAAATGCATACAAAATCATTTTACAACATACAAGTCACATCAACTTAATCAGTACAAGTAAGTAAAGCCTTGATACGGGACCAAGTGACCCATGGGGCCAGTGCTTAACTACTGTTTTCTTAACATGAAGCAGCTAGGAGTATTGCTACTCCCCCCTGGATGGGATGCTAGTCCATCACAGGGTTACCCCCAGCACATTTGCTGGTACCCATTTGTACACCTGGGTGAAGAGAAGCACTGTGAGAGCAAAGCATCTTTCTTGCCTAAGAACACAACACAATGACCCCACCCAGGGCTCAAACCTGGACCACCCAATCCAGAGTCAAGCGCACTAACCATGAGGCCACCGTGCCTCCACCAACTTAATCAGGGAATACCATTATTTCTAAGAATAAAGTCTGACTGCTAATTAACTCTGGTTCTTTTAACTTAAAATAGTTCCCACTTCCCATTCCAAAGCAAAAAGTTTCAAGTACAAAATCAACTCACATCAACTCGATCACCATATTGTTGATAAAGTGCATCACCAGCCTGTTGCATCTGACGTGCAAGGTTCGCCAGTTCCGGGTTTTGAGTTGAAACAGGCTCATGCTGAGGTAACACTCCATTACTGGAACTTTGTGCGACAAGTTTACTGTCAGTTACAAGATCATCCTCATCTGCTTCATCACATTCACAAGGAACTGGAGAAGATGAACAATAAAATTTAAAATTCTTTCACTTTTGCCATCTAGTGTGAAACTCTCCCTTTATATATGCTAAAAATTTCCACAAAAACATAATCATAAAAAGAGAATCAGTGTTCTACTGTGACAATATCCTCTCACAAAATTGTTAACAGACATGTTTGTCCAACTGCGTCACCTGTTTACTTGATGAAGGATTGAAATAACATTCTGGGAGAGGAATACATGTTTACTCCTTCAGGGTGTTCAAGGGTCAACCAAACTTTCTGTAGCTACCACACTGTGAAATTTAGTTTAGCATTAGTGCAATTTGCTCACATCAGCTCAAAATAACTCAAGCATTTTTTTTTACTCTGAGACTTGCCCTGTATCTGTGTGTAATGTTGATGCACTAATAATCCTACAATGCAATTAGTGTTTTCTTTGTTTTTCTAGTGTTCAGTCATACTTTAGTTATGGTGGTGACACACTTGGGGATTTTATTCACTAATTATGACGAATATGATTGGCAGCAAAAAGCACAATTACAGTCAACTCTCTGCTAACTGACACCCTTGTAAGAGGACAGTTCTACTGATGAACACTTTTTTCACTTTCAATTTTTGCCTCCCTGTCAAAAGCACATTCCTGAGCATTACCTTACACATCCCTGTAAGCAGAAACTCTCTTGTAAGCCGCAAGAAAGTAGCTTACACTTTCCCATTAGCAGATATCCACCCTACTTTTCTTTCATGCCATTTATGGGAGTCACTCCTGCAGGAGGGAAAATCTTCTAAAAGACACTTTTTCCAATTCTGGAGGATGTCCACTTACAAGAGAGTTGACTGTATCTCACATGTCAGATATGGACCATTTTTATATGCTGAACACAGTGATCAGTGAAAATTGCAATCACTTCACCAGTACCTGGAAATTTTGCAGATCACTGTGATTGGCAAGTAAAGTTGACGAGAGTGTGGCACTTAAGTACTTTTAGCCTGCCTTGAAGATGTCTTAGTGTTTAGCTGTAGGAAAACATCTTTGCAAGCTGTGCTTTCATATTTGAAAGCAAAATTCTGTTAATACAAGGGCCAACTGGAATTTTCAGGGTTCACTTATTTTAAAGTAAGGCCATACACCATGAAGTACAAAGGTCATGAAGATTTACTTAAAAAGTATATGCTTATCCAAACTTGTACAAGTAAAAATATGAGAAAGACATTGAGAATTAATGCAGAGATTGTACAATTCAGCATTTTTTAAAAACTTCCCTGTTTTCCTAGAAATACTATTTTTAGAAAAAGGGAAGTTTTTTCCTGCCTAACTTGTCATTTGAGAGAGTGATTAGTTTGCCTTCCTCATTCCAGATGTTCCTTTGAAACAGCCAAAATACATTATTCAGTTCCTTAACAAAACCACATTTCACTAGATTCTTGTGAGCATATTCATGATTCACAACAAAGAGATACATGTAGGTACCTTAATAACATGCGCTGTTCTTTCAACAAAAAGATCTGTAGCAATCTGGCACAAATTTTTTTAACTCTTAAACCAAGAAATTACGTGACACAAGCCTACTCAAATATTAGAGATTATGAGATTGAAGTTCGACTCAAGAACTGGTCAAACCACTCACATATCATCCCTTGTCGTCAAATCTAGTTTAATTGATAGGACCCCATTGTTCTACTTTGTTTTAAATAGGGTGATGCATACGTGTAAGGAAAATCAATTAGTATTTAATATAGATAACACCTGCCAGTCCTTAAAGAATAGAGAAGAAATATATTAGAGCTGGACAAACGGAAACACAAGAATATTGTCTGTTATCACCGCCAAGAAGACGAAAGTTCTCTACAACTTCATTAACTTCGACAGGATCATGCAAAGCGAACCATGTGTGACTTCTGTCTGATGCAAGGACTATGAAGGAAGCCAATGGCTTATCAATTGGAATTCAATGACACACAAAAAATTGCGCCGTGCAAAGTGTGCAGATATCTACAGAACTTGACAAGAGTCCTAGTCATTCTAACAACCATAGTTCTATCGAGTCCTATCGAGATTACAACTATCAAATTCAATATCTAGGGTACGACTAATAGTTACCTCGAGACTGTTTGTAATTTTCATGGCCCTTTTTCTCGAGCATGATTGGGGAATCTGCTGCTTCTTTGGATGAATTTTTAACCATTAACTTGATACTTGCTGAATGGGGCAGTCTTAAAAATTCTTCGAAAAGCAAACACGCTTGTTTCTCGATATCCTCTAAACTCTCTTCGTAGCTTTCCACAGGAGCTCTCTGAGGTTTCAGATCGGAATAAGGCATGCCTTCTGCCATTACGAAAGCACTTGTTCCTTCACCAAGGGTCTACTGAATCTGTTCAAGTTCTGCAGATTAAAGCAGTCTTCAAGGATTCTTTGAAAAACAGGAAATTCGATTTTCCGCTGAGATTTTGACTTTCCCTAAAGGCTCAATTTTACGTCGTGTACGGTAATTTCCCCTTAAAAATGCCGTCATCGTGCCTCGTCACGTCTCCCAATTTCAGGCCCAGTCTTTACCGAGTGTTCATCCTCTTGATATTCGTATAATAAACTTTAACCTTCCTCTCTTTTCGAGCTTCTAATCGCTTTAAAATGCTTTTATCGCTATAGAGCAGTTTGCCTGTGGTGTTGGAGATTTCACGTGACTCGAAGGGGTCAAACCCATATTTCCTCCATTCGCTTTCAATTTCAATCGTGATGGCAGAGGCACTAAGGAAAAGGTCGCTTCCTTGCCCCTGAATGAAATCTGCCTTTCACATGTTATTTCTGAATAAGCAAAATCGCGACGTGGCATTGCCTAAGCAAGTTGCTTGTTTGTTTGTTTGTTTGCTTTAGGGACAAGTTTTAAAAAGCCTGAATTTTTATAGAAGTTTTTATTATTTATTTAAGTTTTTTTTTCTTTTTTTTTTGACATTATTTGCTCCTTATCTCAACCGAATAAAACGACCGTCAAACAATTTCACTCGCGTAAAGAAAGAACCGTTTCAAGAGCTCAGCATCGATTGCCCCATGATCATGACGATTGACAGCTCTTTATTGTTCCAGATAAAACCATTTACAGAGGGCTCTCTCCTATAAGTTCCCCTAAGCCCAAATCATTGCTCCTTATGCTCTTGAGATAAATGTTCTAGGCCATGAAAAGAGCAATATATTGCTTCACAAATCCCTCTGAATCAATCTTTGACGCGAAGTTTTGACGGAAGTTCACGATGCGAACGTCATGCACGCGCTGCCCACGCGCAGCTCGGCCGCGAGGAATTTGTGCCCAGTTCCCTGTCAGCCACAGTTTGCAATATTTTTTACAGAATGGTATAACGTATTGCAACCAGAACTATCTTTCTTCTATATCTTTATCATGGAACAAGACCCGGTAGAACAAACATACATTTCACAAGGAACACCTGAGGTTACTACGGATACAGATTCTGATAAAGAAATGGAAAACTGTGGCCCCGAAAAATCAAACATTGATCGTTGGGCCTCACTCGAACGAATTCGGGAGGAAACTCGAATTGTAGTATTAGACTACCTAGGTTCGTTACCAGCAGATAGGCTGACTGCTAGGAACTTTACAAATTCTGAGAACAGGGCACCTTATCTTAAAAGAGCTATAATTGGCCTGTCGAAGAGTGCTAGCGATGCCGGAGCTTACGAATCTAAGAGGAAAAAATTTTTGGAAATGGCAAAACTACAGCGAAAGTTATCCTTGAACTTGAAGAGAGACATTGAAACATTTGACCATAACAAACTCAGAGGAAGAGCAGAGAAGAAAATGTAAGTTGTCGGTTTTGTTTGAACGTTTTAATGACAAGTCTATTGCGCAGTACACTATTTTCAGGTGTTTTAACATGACGTTTTGGGGGTTCAGATGTTTCCTGGTTAGATTCTCTGATAGTTTGCGCTTGTAAACACAACTCGAACAGCTGGGTGAATCAATCAGGAAAGACAGTAAAATGCGACTGTCTGAATCTCATACGTGTGAATCTCAGATCGTGACGCATCCATGTATTTGAAGTGCAGGAAACTCCACAAAATCGCCACATTTATAAGACTATTACAATGGTTCAATGGTTCGATATACCCCCCTGCTATCATTCGGAACTTCAAGGAAAGTAAGAATTATTGCTAAGCCCACTGAATCACGCACTGCATTTTAATTTAGAGGAATGAATAGGAGTGTGATTTTCAAACTACCTCTTTTAACTCAATCAAGCCTTCATTTAGTATAAGAATTCCTTTTCTTGACTTCTTTTTTTAAAAAAAACGTGTCTTACGAGCCGCCACTAAGGGTGATGATAAAAACGGTTGGGCACTTTATGGTTTTAAAATGTCTGGTAATTAGTGGATAATTTACATATAATGACAAACAGGATAGTCTTATTGTCACATTTCGCCCTGTGCTTGTGTCTATCTCTTGATGCAAGTCAAGAGATATGGATTTGGAAATAATGTTTATTTTATTTACTTCACTTTATATTTAGTAACATTTAGTCTTTTTGAGTTATTTATTTCTTTTTAATTTTTTATTAAAAAAAATTTTATAAATACTTTTCATTAAAAAAGTATTTTGACTAGTCTCTGATGATGACTTTTGCTTGTTTTTTTTAAAATGTCAATCTCATCTCTGCTATTAAAATCAGTGCTTTTCTAACCAGGCAATGAGGCCACACATTTGGTTGTTACTTATGGGCTCAAAAAATTTACTATTAGCATTAACATAAGTTATAAACAAAAGTTGGAATCAACATCATTCTTGTTTGTTTGAATAGGGATTTTTACAAGAGACCAAATGAGCTCAAGCTTCCACCGCTTTCATGTAAATCTTGCTTTGATCGTGACCACACTCCTTCACCTGTGTTATCTCCCGAGGGTCGTGTTGCTGCACGACTGGACAAGATCAGTCAAGAAATTATGGAAATGGTGCCTAATTTATTAGATGAGCCCTTGAAAATGATTCAAGCAGAATCTCTGTCATACGAACAATTTTGCAAAGCTGCAAGACATCTTACCTTTGATCATCACATTGTTGGCTGGTCAAAGGTTGCACTATTGTGCCATTTTGCTCGTGAAATAGCCATTATTGGAGAGTTAGATGATAAGCAGCTTGAGCAGTTAGCTGAACACAGCTTAAAGTTTATACAAGAGAGTACAGCTGAATGGATAGAAAAGAAGGGAGGATGGGTAAGTACCTAAAAAATATAAAGTAGATCCTTGCAAACTCAAATTCTTAAAGGAACCAAAAAATGGCTTAAGTTACAAGGCTGTCTTTAAGGTTTGATGTAGGAGGGGGAATGAAAAAATTAGCCAGGGTACAAACTGCTCAAGGAAGGGGTAAGGAGCAGGAATAGAATTTTGGGGCACAAAAAGAACTTTTTGAGAGATTAGATGATAGATGACTTGGGATTAATGTTCATACTTTGTATGATTCTTAGTTACTTTATAGACTGAGGTATCTCTGTGTTTTAACTTATTTTTTTCTATATATTTTTAACTATAGATAATAAATGTTTTTACTTTTTACTCTTCCTAGTTGTTTTATGATTACCTAGTTGATGTTTTAGCACAGAGGGCCACTAGTTTATCCGTTATACTGTCATGTGTTACCCTCTCTAAATAAAGTTCTTACTTACTTACTTACTTACTAACAAAATACAGTTCACTTTGGCTGGAAAATGTTTTGGCCTCCTTAGATCATATATCTCAATACCAGTGGCAGATCAAGGGGAGGGGCCTAGGGGGCTCAGGCACCCTCCTTATTTTGGTGAAAGAAAAAAAAAAAAAAAGGAAACGCAGAAGGAAGAAAAGCCAGCAGGGCAAAAAAAAAAGCCCCCCTTCCTTAGCTCAAGGTCTGGATCTGCCACTGAATGCTGTGGCTTTACTTCATTTCCAATAATGGTGGATTTTAGTTTTGAGTATGAAACTGAAAACACCTTCCATATGTTGTTATCAGGTTATTATGACCTTATAGTTTTTCATGCTGTTTATTGTGGGATTCAGAACAATGTCACCCACTTATTAGGAAGTAATTATGGGGGAAAAATTTAGGACTTTGACAACTGACTGCTTAATACAAGGTCATTGCTTAATAAGGTGTTGCTTAATACAGGTTCATCTGTTGTTAGTCTTGACTGTACCAGTTTCCAGGTTTTAACAATCCATCCTACATTTTGATCCCAATATTATCTGTTAATCTTAGGCTGCCTTTGATGAGGAAGACGAGGATGACATACATGACACAAAAAGTCTCATAAAGAAGTATTATGAAAGAGAAGAGAAAGATGGAAAAGAAGGTCCACAGTCAAGACCAGCCAGTGGTACAAGGAGCAATAGAAACTCTTGGGAGTCCTGGTTGAAATATGGTGTTGCTGCAGCAGCTGTTGGAATAGGTGTATGTTACTCACTTGTCAGACAGTAATCAAGGCTAAAGATGGAAAATATCCCAAGTCAGTGATAGGCATTTGTTTGGAAGGGTTGACTTCACCAAAGTCTTGCTGACAATGAAGATAATAATCCAACTACTTCTTTGCAGTTGACAGGGGGTAATTGTTCATGGGCAGGACCATAGCTTAGAAGAGAAGCAGAATGAAGGAGTAACTCCTTTTGCAATAATGAGTGTGTGTATTTTATGCACAGTATATTGGTGTATGTAGGTAGTTTTAACCATCCAACACCAGTAGTGAAGAAACTTAAAGAGTGGGTTATTAAAACCCTTTTAATCTATTGAGTTTAGTCAATTAATTGGATTATTGATGTATTAATGAATAATTAAGAATAGAAGGATAGGTTTCATAAATCTTTTACAGTAACCTAAATAAGAGTTAATACAATCATGAGAATTCTTTGCAAGCCTTTATGTGGTTGTTTGTTTTGTAATAAGTATTTCTTAGATAAAGAGAATAAATACAAGCTATGATTATGGATGCTCTTGGTGCTATTTTTAGTCTGGTAATTCTTTGCTGTTAAGAAAAAGGGTTGCAATGATTACTTGTTGTAAAACTTGAGTTATATCATGAATTCAAGCAATGAAATGCAGAACCAGAAACAGTGAGATTTGATTGTGAATTTTCTCTTTAGTGAGGTGGTGGAAATGTTAGAAAAATTTGATGAAGAGATTTTCCACCTTGTTCCTCCTATAACTGGAAAAATCACTGTATCTCCTCTCTGCTCTGATTTATGGTTTATAATGAAAGGTGTCAAAAAGGAAGTACTTTGAAAAGTTTAATTAGTTTGCAAGAGCTGACAATACTTTTGCTGTTAAGTAGCCTCTGCAATTACTCAAGTAAGTTACCCACCCCTCTACCCCCTCAGTGTGAGACATGGTGGGCAAGTGGTAAGAGCACTGGACTCTTGGTGAAGAAGTCCAGGTTCAAGACCTGTGGGGTCATTGCACTGTGATCTTGGGCATGTGCTAAACACCTGAATTTCACCATGTGTCTCTCTACTCAGGAGTATGACTGGGTATTGGTGGATAGTCAGGGAAGCCTGACAAAATGCTGGAGGGAACCCTGCAATGAACTGGGTGGAATCCAGGAGGGAGGAGTAATAATCTTAATCACATCATGCCATAGAAACCAGGAAAAAAAACGCCCAAAACGTCAGCTTTTTTACTCTTTACGGTGGCCAATTTACGTTTTAAACTTAGTTGTTAACACGAAATTACCTGCTTTCTCGTGAGGAAACTGGGCACTAAGTTGCATAATCACTGAAACGTGGATAACATTCCAGCTGGCAGCAATGGCGGGCGTCTCTCGATCCGAACATGAGGAATTTCAGAAAGTTTTGAGTATTATGGGAGACGAAACCACTTGTCCTGTCTGTTTAGAAGAATTTCAGGAACCAAAATGTCTTCCAAGCTGTGCACATAACGTTTGTGAGCGGTGTTTGCAGAACATGGTTCGTAGAAACAGTATTACGATTTCATGTCCTCAGTGTCGAGAAGAATCGTTTCTTCCCCCCCTAGGGGTGTCGGCCTTCCCCACAAACCATCTTTTGCTGCGTCTGATCGATAACACTCCCGCAAGGAAAGAGAAAAAAGCTGTTACTGAAGCCTTGAGATTTTGTAAAGAGCGGGTAGAGGCAGCAGAAAAAGCAGTCAAGGATATGGAAGATTGTTACGATAAAGCGACCGAGCAGAGCCAAGCTATGATATGTGAGATCAACACAATGGCTGATAATATTATTCAGTTGATAAATGATAAAAGGAAAATTCTGCTTTCTCAGCTCGACGATTTTATGACTGAAAACTACGACACTGACTCCCTTCGAAAACAGAGGGAAGACATGATCGATTTATTTCAAAAAGCGAGAAGCTCCATCCAGCAAGCAAATGAAATTCTCAGTGGGGATGACATTGAAAAAATTTTAAAGTTCGGAGATGTGTTAGAGGAGCAGTTAAAAGAAATAAGCTCAACTTTGGATACAAGAACTCTTGAAGCTAGGAAGCTATCTAGCCAAGCAGAAATATACTACAACCATTTTCAGGTGTTAGAATTACATGAGAAATGCGATGAAATGCTCGGGACATTGACAATGTCTGTTACAAAATACATCCACGCTGGAGCCAGTGCTGGATTGATTGACTATGGCACTTGCGGAGAAGTAACAAAGACGATCGAAACTGAATTCTTTACTTTTGCCTTTGCGGTGTCCAGTGTATCAGGTGAGATTGCGGCACTCGATGAAGAGGAAAGGCATGTACATGTCTTCTCTTCACAATTAGACTACCTTACATCATTCCGCATTAGATACGGTGACTTGTGGGACATAACATTTTCCAAAGATGAAGAAATAATTGTTGTGAACCGAGAATGTAATCGCCTTCTTCACTACGACAAAGAAGGTACATTTATCAAAAAATATGTCAAAGCACCAAATGACTCTGTGAAGTTTACAAGGATTTCAACAGATGGTAGTGGCCGCCTGTTGGTGACCTCAAGTCCTCGAGACTGCTGCGATGAGCCTGAAGATGAAGTACAATCTTGTATTCTGGTCTACAGCCCTGATAGAAGATTTCTATTTAGTTTTGGCAAAGATAAACTGGCTTGCCCTCAAGATGTTGTTTATCACCAAGGGAAGTTCTTTGTGACTGATGGTGATCTTGAATGCATCATGGTCTTTGACAGTAATGGTAAATTTCTCCTTGATTTTGGAAACAGGGATCTCTTAGACCCAGTTGGCATAACTGCTGATGTAATCAACAATGTAATTCTAGTTTGTGACTGTAGTGGTAATTCAATTGTGGCCTTTAAACCAGATGGGGAAATGATTTCAAGAATTGAAACTGCTGAAGAGCCAGCACATGTTGTGCTTTCTGCTTGTGGGGCAAGCTTAGTGGTGTGCTTTAATAAATCCCTTTTTTTCCAAATTCTTTCTCACCAAAAGAATGAGCAAACTGCATAGGAAAATGCAGAGTAATATAGTATACCATGTTTCTCAGACATTCTGAGATTTCTTTTTTCAGATCAAGTAAAGTTTGTGCTGTGAAAAGTATTTTGCCACGAAGAAGGATTGAGTTGGTAGAGACAAACATTTTTTTACTATGGAAATTTGGATCTCCAATAAGTGCTTAAAGTGAGTAGATCTTATTGTAGAGCCATGTGACTCAGTTAAAGGCAAATGACATTATTTTCATATCTTAGTACCCATCATTTGTTTGTTTGTCTGTGTTATTTGACTGGAAAAGTTATTTCCTTCTCTAGAACTTCATCTTACAAGGGAAGAAAAGTAAGAGTCACTATAAATTTCAAAATAAACTTAGGAAGAAATTGTATTTATTGTTTTGCCATATTTAAAGTTTTCAGGATAACTGGGAACTGGAGGACAAGTTTATGGGCTTTATCCTGAACCATTTTACTCTCAAGATCTGTTTTGTGATTCTCCCTTCTCGCTGCTAAACATTTCCTTGTAACTTAGGGTAATTTGTGTTAGATTAAGATAACAACTTTAACCTGCTAAATTTGAGTATTCTCATCACCTGTTTTCTGGATAATGTATGGATATTACAGAGAGAAGTTACTTGTTAATCACTTCCAGGAATTAGAGAGTGAAACCTTCGGTTAATTAGTAGGATGAACATGCAACCTCATGGTACAACTTCAATGCATTAGTCTTAAGGAGAGATGAAAATTAACCAAAGTATGGTGTCAAAATAACACCTTAACACATAATCTTAACAACAGATTATCCTCACTTATTTTTAGATTAGTTTAGATAATCTATTAAAAGAGGAAATGGTTGTCTGCTAATCAGATCTTGGGAGTTTGAAGAAGTTCAAAAAGGGTGGAAAGATAATTTTAGAAGAATTATTCTTACAAAGTATTCTGTATATCGATATTTAAAATTGCATGGACTCATTGCATCAGATTATAGACAAGGTTTCCATTAACAAGACAATCTTTGTCTAAGAATTAAAGTATTAAATCCTTTAGCCTGATTGTTTTGCATCATTTTTGAGAACCACTCCCCTACCCCCACCCCTCTCCTTATTGTTGACCGTCCACCGTCCCTTTGGTAAAAATTTCTTTCTCTTCCCAGCCTTCTACTGCCATTAAAATCAAAGGTGGCGGCCGTAAATTAACGAGCACTCGCTCGCCAAAATTACGCCTGCTCTGTTGGGTAGATGAGCTCAGAAAAAGGACGCCGTGATGAGTGATTGTCAGCCCTCAAAACGTCAAGGTTATTTTGCCTGTTATCACAAGTTAATAACAAAATTCCTAGCAAATATTTTACGAAAAAACTGTCCCAGCCAGAATTCCCATTTATTCGTAATTTTACCAACCAGCTCAAATAAGGCTGAGAAGCCGATATTTTGAATCAGTGTCAGTATCTGAGCAATTGCACACCGACCCCTCCCCTATCCCAACATTTTCTCTAACTTGACGTCAATTGATCGTTGTTGTGTTAGAGAAGTGTTTGGTGAGCATTTGCGCAGATACTGACGTGGATCCGATATTTTCACGATCGTCTTCTTCGAGCACTTAATGCATGCATGTCACGAGAAGCACAACGAGACTATTTATACATAAAAGAGTCGCTTTTTTACGTTTTCAAGAAAGCAGTTATCAATTATATGTTAAAGAGCTACTTGGGTGAGTCCACCAGATGTGGTTGTTGAACTTGGTGACTTATTGAAGGGCAATCGTTACGTAATTTTTTTTTTCAACCGTGTTAGTTCTCACCTTTTTTTTTTTCTTTTCCTTTTTTTCACCCCTTTGTTAGTTCAAAGATTTTGGATAGAATTACGAACGTGATCTTAAAATTCCTCCCAAAACCATTAAGAAGATAGGAAAGGGCAGGTCTTTATCCGGTTAACTAACAAAGAGAAATTTTTAGCCAAATTTATTTTTAACTTCTCTCCAGGCAAAGATTTCTTGAATCTTCTGTTAACTTACTTCTTGTAGGGAACCTTGAAAGGGCTAGAGTATCAGAGAGATCGAAGTGGTCGAGGGAAAATTGTAAGTTGGCCGGATCATTGTTGCATAGCATTAAAGCGAGATATTTTCGCTATTACTTTCGCGGATTAGTTAATTATATTTAGATCACAAAGTTTCGGATATTAGGTTATGGCAACCACAGGTGGGCTACGTGGAACGGTGCTTAAACGATGAGTGCAGATTCATTTTCAATTTTAAAAATCGTAGGCATTATATTAACGAATCCTGATACATTTACAGAAACATTTTTTATTATTACCTGGGATTCGGCAGGAGAGATGAAAACTGGAACTTTAGGGCTGCAATTGAATTGGCATAAAAAAGATTCGTTTTCGAAGCTTGTGGTCATCTAACCCCGGCTTCCGGTATTACTTCGCCATGAATAAGAGTGCTGATACGTTTAAAGTTTAGAATTTCTTGTGATTGTCATTAGGGATTCGAAATCTTGAGTAACGGTCGTATAGAAAGAGTTGTGTGTTCTGTCAGGTTGCTGAACCTAGCCTGTCGACCAAAGCTTAGGCTCCCTTTTCTACCCAACCTTCGCGCCTAGCTTTGTCTCGACGTTGAGGCAGGGATGGATCTTTCATCAGCTGTACTGAATATTTTTTGTTTTGTTTTTTCTTAAGAAATGTGATAATCACATCTTTTATCAAATTACCTCGGATTCAGAAACTCTCTTAATTTAAATCTAGAGGTCATCAATGCTTAAATTTTCCGTTCGTGTGCAAAAATTCCGAACTACCATCTCAGCATTTAACGTTTTTACACTAACAGGCTGACGGTTTTGAAAAAATCAAATTTATTTTGACTGATATGTGAAGGAACAAGTCACTCACGGATCATCCATACCTTTGGACACGATTCGCGTTTTACCACCTGCCGTCAAATTCTTAATTTTTCTTTGACCACTAGTTAGAAAACTAAGAGAAACACGATGATAAGAGAAGACTTTCGAGTAGACGAACAGTGCGTGAACAACTTGTAGGGCAGACAAAGTTGGGTTGTAGTTGTTTGATGAGGAGAAAGAACTAAGTAGAACAGACTATCTTGAGAAGAAAAATAAATTGGAAAACTGAGAAGAAAAAGGAAGTCCCAGGAGGAAGCGCACGGAAAGGAGTGTACAAGACTCTTCAAAAGTTGAAGGCTCGTGATAAAAGCTGGAAGATAAGCATTTCGCATTTGATAAGTCTTATTGAAAGCACGGGTCACGGACTAATTGATCGTTCCCTAAATATCACGCGTCACGCTCTAACTCTGCGCTGCCCTCACGCTCTCTCTCCCAAAGGACCGCTTTTCGGCATAAATAAATTTTGACAGGAAGACTATTGTGCTGCTTTGTCAGAACTTATTCACGCTCTTTTAAACAAAACGTTGATAAATTGGTTTTTATACGCATTTCAATAACTAGCTTGAAAACTGTCTCAATCCTCTTAAATCAAACAAAAATAAGCTGATCTGAGGTGTCAGCCAGTGCAAATGGAGTCGGCGCTCTGTACATCCGTTGTTGACCTTCTTACTGAATGAGCTGTGCTTTGCACACAATATAATCTATAGAAATTTGAATAACGAGCAGACTAGTACCGCCGAAGGGCAAATACGCACATTATGGTGTCAACCATAATTAGCTTTCAATTTCGATTTTAGCCAAGGTAAATATTTTACCCGAACTTCTGTTCTTTGTAAAATTGTTACCAGGTCTTCTCGAGAGTAAAAGACAAAGAACGCTGTCATAGGAAAGTGCTGGATTCTCGCTGCCCACAAGTTGACAAACAGAGCTTTACAAACTCGCAGTCATGTAAATATGACTCATGGCTCTTCTGTTTACTCCCACGCCTTGATTTCCGAGATAATTTCTCACCGAAGCGGAAATCCACAAGCCCTTGTAGCGCAAACAGCCAGCCACGAATATTCCAAAGCGACTGTGCCTATCTCGGCTTGCCCGTACATTGACTGCGATACTAAAGTGCGGTAATCTGTTTGTTTGATTGGACACTTCTCTTTAGATCTGGTTTGTAATAACAGTATTAGAGACACTGCTTCACTTGAGACCTTTGTTTTGGTGTAACAAAGCGATTTCCAATGAAGCCTACGATGGTTTTGACTGACGAAGACATCCAACGAATTAGAGAGTCTTTGGCTAAGACACTCACACCTCGTCATAAAATTGTTATCGCCCCATGCTTGGCTGAGGTATTAGTTTACAAGATTCGGCTCAGCATTCTACGACGACCAACTAAAGAGAAATGGAGTACTGTCGGCCGAGGAGTAATTGCTTTAATCTACAATACCGACAGCCTTGGCCAAAGGATTGAAGTCTGTTTGACCTCCCTGAAAACACGCGCAGTTGTGTGGAAAGAGACGGTAGTTGCAGACTTAACAAGGATCGAGTCACCTCAGCCAACTTTTCACACTTTTAATAGTACTAAAAACTTTAATGAAAAGGCCGGGATTCGCTACGAAAATGAAACAATTGCGAGACTTGTTCTTCGGGCTCTGAGCGTGTTTTCTTCTCAATCAAAATCGCTCAGTAAAGATGCATCAAAAGTATCTGGACATAAGCCGGCTTCAAGGTCACACTCGTTCAATGTCGCCCCGAGACCAAGGCATCCTCGCGCTCACGAATCTGCTTTTGAAAGGTGTACAGTTGCCTTATCGAATATTCAGATACAGCAAGTGTTCAGCACCGAAGGACGACAATTAGCCGAACGACAAACAGCGACACTGTTTGAAGGAAAGACTGCGTCGCAAGAAAACAATCGACGTCTCGTCTCTATAACTGAGGGGTGCGAGAAAACCATGAACGACATCAGCCGCTTTGAAAACCCATCCAACAAACTTTTCACCTGCCAACCGCGGCCCGTGCACCGCAGTTTAAGTTTGGTAAGGCGATGTACAGAACCTGTGTTTAAGAAAAGAGACTTGATGGTCACCGATTTATGTACAACCGAACTTTAAATAAGTTGAAATCCCTTAGGAAAAATAGAAACGCTAAATATGAACGACAGAAATTTTAAACGCTGCCATGAAATATGTTGTGACGGTACTGATGTAAGTTCAAGAGCTTTGATTTGTTAAGGAGTACATTGCGTTGTCGACGGCGTGAAATTTAATATTCAAAATATGATCATGTTAAACTCTGCGTGAATGGAAACCTAGAAGACTTCATAATGCAGAAAAGATTAACTGAGCAATTAAGGAAGGATTTATAATATCTACAGAAAGATTAGATCAGTTTCAGATTGTGTACAGAAATTCTTTCCTCAAGTTAATTTATTGAGAAAAATAAAGCTGCTGGTATTTAATTCTCAGACGTGTCTCCTTAGTGTAGTCGAGCTAATATTGGACTCAACACTGCGTAAAATCACAGAATTTAAACAGACCAATTCTGTATTGATGAATAATTACCTCTAATTAGTCATTTATTTACAAGTCAAAAGATACCGTAAACAGATTTCAACAGGTTCTAACCACTGGGAATCTTATCCCGACATCCCAATTTCGAATCCGGTTTCATAAAATGTAATTTTCCTCTCGAAAAATTTTCCTGGGATAAATTGCATGCATTTATTCGCAGGAAGTTTCTACATAATTACGTCGCCCCAAACCTCAGTACTTCATCAGTGACACATGTCCGGTGCCGGCTTCCAACACAATAAAATGTGGTCACCAGTGGGTGGCTTTCCTTATGGGCTATCCTTGTGGTAAGTGATGACTTAGCTTTGGCATGTGAAAGATAAACTTTGAGGTCAAATCAACCGTAGGCAATTCACGATTCCTCTTCGAAAACAGTACTGCAGTTTTCGACGAGATTTTGGGTAATAATAAATGTCGAAGGACTTAAACAGTCTGAGAAAATTCAAGTACGAGTTTCGTAATATATCGGACCAAGTGCTGTGGTGACGAGAGTACTTAGGGGACACTCGACCTGAATGGGAAATGAGCTGATAAGGAAACCTTTGTATTAAATAGTTGCTGATTAAGTAACTTATATAGAATAACCTCGGAAACATTAAAATTCAACAAAACACCTTGGTTAACGACAGGTTTGTCAAGACTCTCGTCAAAATTCTTTACATGTTCATTATCAAAATGATTCAAGCGCTTCATCTTCAGTGAACTATTTTTCTGTTTGTGTATCGTTTCCGTTTGAGTAAAATGTCGACACGAACCATTTTAGCTATATTAACACCGGATGCTTTTACTGAAAGACGAACAACATTGTGAACTGACTCAGATTTGGCTAGTTTCAATGATCTCCAGTCAAATACTCACTTTAACTAAGAGGGATCGGAAATGAAATTCACTGAACAAGAGACTGAAAAATATCGACGATAGCCACAAGCTTTCGGGACGGCGAGACCAGGAACCCAGGAGGTGTGAAGAGACGAGAGAAGGCGCAAGAAATAACAAACAGCTAAACAAGCAAACAACAGACGACATTGCAAAATAAAGAAAAGAAAGTTACCCGATTTTTACCAAAATCAAATAGCGAAGCTGATCAGAACAGTATTTACTTTGTGAAATTTACTTGATTTACGCCAATACTGCCACGAGACATGACACTTGATCAGGCGTTGTTCGGTCAAATTATCTGACAGCACAAATTTCCGGCTCACATAAAACTTGTAAACTTTTTGCATTTACTTGTTTACGGCATGTCATCCGTCCTATCAGTATGGAGTTCCGGACGGTAAAAAAATAAGCGAAATGTATCAAAATATTCTTCGTCAAAGAGCAGATTTGTGGTTATTAGAGAACGTAAAGATTGGCAACTTTCCATTCAGTGATGCAGCAGAATTTTCCTCTGTGATGCCATCCGTCTTTTTTTCATTTAGTTGTCACAGGAACAAAATCTTATTTCCGCAACTGCGCATGAAACATAAAAATGGTAAAAATTCGAATAAAGAATATGTGATGGATGATAAACACAATACGCCTTTCATTTAGCTCGAAACATTCTCGTTTATTTATTCAAGGACACTACCTATCACACGAAGCTCACAGTTTTCCTAATTACCGAGATTGAGGTACCAATCAGAAATTCAAGCCGTGAAATACTTGCTAGAGAAGCTTTTAAAGTTAATTTCAGATGAATACGCAACAAATGATCAAGCCTCGAAATGCACAATCATTTTGAAATGATGTGTGAATGATAAGAGTACAAGAATCTACTTGTAGTGTCCAGTCGCCCTCTGTAATTTGATCTATGCTTTCTTTATTGCTTGCCGCCAGTCCTCTCTAACATAATCCCATCCTAGCCCCGTTGATATCTCTTTTTAAAACATTTACAGAGCCATGCCATAATACCAGGGATGATTTACGCTATCCGGCTTACGGAAATTCAGATCCACTTTTCGTCTCTCTGGAGAGAAGCTAAAGTTACGTTTTGTGATATGATTAGTTAAATTGCAAGTGGAGCAACTACTTGGTTCATTTTCTTTTCCATTCCTTTCATTTACGTTCTATGCAAGGAGGAATGACCCTCTATGATCCTCTGGTATGTCATAATTTTCTGCCCCTTTAATAAAATCCTCCTGATTTATTTCATTTCGGAAAAAAAAAATTTTATCTCTTTCTCTCCTGATTTTACCCATCTGCGATCCTCGTAACCTTTCGTTGTCCTGTCTGGGGACTCACAACTCAGGCGATTGTACCGGAAGTTCACCGCACCCAGTCACATCCGTCGAAAGCAAAAAAGGCCGTGACGTCATACTCCTGTGACTAAGCTTCTTCATTTGCACTCTATTGTAAATGAATGTTTTCCGTAAAGAGGGTTTTTTCAGTTGTAGCGACAGAAAGTAACGGAGAATTTGTCACAAGGGTGCTCTCTCACTCAAAATGGTGCATTATCAAGTGACAACTTTGAGGTGCTACTAATTTTTCGGTTGATGTCAGTCGGAGGTGTGCATTGCCTACAGTGTCTGTATTTTAAATTGAACTGTTTTTAATTTGAAGTCTCCGTCGGTCACGTCTTGTTGGAATTCGCTGTTTTCGATCAGTCATGTCCATGAGGACGACGCTTAGTGACAATGCCTTGAGCGAACGTTTATCGGACAAAGATATTTTCAAGATCAAACTTTCGTTATCTTGTTTATCGAACCGCGTTGTGGTGTGCGGAACAACAGCAAGCCTTTATCTTTGGCAACCGCCAAGCATCGATCGTCCTTCGAATCAATGGACCCTTGAGCGAAGTGGAGTGCCTGTGTTAGTCATCAGCACTGGAGACTGTGGGGCGAGGAATCCTAAAGGAGTGCATGTGAGTTTAGTAGAGAGAGATAGCGGCTTTGCGACTTGGAAAGAAACCCTCACTTCGAACTCTAACTACCACGAACAACAAAAGAACTTTCATACGTTGATGCTCTCTAATGGGGACGGGTCCATGGCGGGGTTTCGCTTTAATTGTGAGGAATCTGCTCATATTTTCTTGAAAGAGGTCGAAGCTGCAGTGCAAGAAATCCTGTCGTCTGTTTCGGCTCCGGAATTGAATAAACTACCCACGACTACAAACAGGGAACGTTTAAAAAAGTTCCGCAAGCTAAAAAAAGTTGAGATATCAACGCCATGTCTGTTTAGCCATGTTACAAGTATAACGTCGGCCACACAAATCGGCGAAGGAGAAAAATCCAAAAGTAAAAAGGACAAAGACAAAGGAAAGACTTTGAACGGAGAACTAAGCAGACCCGCACACATTAGAAGAGCTTTTAGTATGTCGAAGAGAAGGTAGTGCGAAGATATCTTTGACTAGCTTTGACCTGTTTTGCATTCGCTGCCGGTCAAGATACCACGGCATATCTTGGATTGAGAGGCTGGAGGGATTTAAATATTCGCCCCATCTTTGCTGCGTTTGACCAGCCAGTTTTATATAGATTAATATATAGAAGTAAACATAGTCATATATTTTAGAGCGTCAATTTGATGACTGGTTTATGTATTTGTGGGAAATAATGTCACTACTTTGATCAAGTTGTTTTGTTTAAAAATCGATTTATAAGTTGTCTATCGCGACAACTTATAAATAAGTCATCTTCCGCGCCAGCGGCAAAGCTATTAATTCGTCACACGACAGCGTCAAATGCATGCATCGCTCTTCAAAATCTTTGGTGTATGCGGTTTCCTCGAAGAGGGTAATGGGTCGCGACTGAATAAATATCGTCTTTGGTCCAATATTTTGTAAACACAATTCACTTTTCTGTGGAATGCATTTTTAAGAGTTGTAGGTACTTATCTACAGACTAGGCTGTTGACCTAATGAATAGTTGTATCCGTAAATGGCATTAGCGTTTCTTTCAATCAATGCTGTAATTCTCTGAGGAATGTTTCCAAACAACAGTCAAAATGCTCATGTGGGAGAGAGGTAGTTTTGATATGTAAATCAGCAGATTTTCTTGTGACTGTGGGGCTTAAATTTAACTTTGCCTTTTGGACTATAGAACGGTATGGTGCCACGGGCATCAGGGACAAGTTGAGGTCTGTAGGCTTTTCTCCAACATTCTCAATTAGGCATATCTGGAGAATGTCTGCACTTGCCATGTGAATTCAGACATGTTATCTCTATAGATTTCTTTACAAATCCTTGGCAACCTTCCCAGACTGCTGAGAGAAAGTCATGGTATACTGATCTCATTTACAAGCCTTTTGCAAGCATATAAGTAGTTTGAATAAAGGGATGCTTGAATGACTGCATGTTGAGATGTTGAATTTTGAGAAGAAAATCTGGCAGAGCAGTTTTTTGTCGTCAAACACCATCTGGCAGATCGCCAAGGGTCATTATAAACAGCTATGACCTATTTCCTTTTTTACAGGATGTTGCCCAGAGTGGTATACTGGTTTAGAATGCAACTGCAGGTCATTCAAGGTTATCAGCCATTTAGAATGAAGCAATCTTAACTTAATTTTATTTAATTTTTAGCAACTGAAAAGTTTGACCAAAATTGGTGGATAGGCACCTTAGTTATAGTCATGTGATAAAGTATTGACTGAACCTACCATCCTTCTGGGTCCTGATATATAATATTTAAATTGTCAAAACAATCTTAAAAACAATACCAGGGTGGGAAATTTTAAGTCCATGTATCAATTTTGCAATCAAGACACAATTACCTTACATGCAACACTGATGGAGTCTTGCCCTCTTGAAGATTTCAGCTACACAGTTCTTAAAGGAACAATTCTCATTTACAGGATGAGATACAAGATCATTTTTAGGGTGCATTGATGGTTGAATTATGAGATAAAACTGTTTCTTAGAATGCAGAGTTGTTGCCCGAGATGTTGAACCAAGCAGAACTTGGCTCATGAGCATGCAAAACCTAGTTTGATCTTGAATTTGACAGGTAGTTATTTATAGCCCTTAATAACAGGAAGTAAGTGACTATTTTTACTATTTATGTATCAAATGCCAAAGTGATTCTTGTACTAGAAAATTTTGAAAAAGAAAAAACGTAAAAACCAAACAAAACACACCAAAATAAATAAAAGTAATGGATGATGAAGCCAAGAAATAGTGAAAGAGTTCAATTTTCTCATCACCCAAACAGAGGAAAAAAGAAAAAAAAAGAGGAAAAAAAGGAATGAAAACCTTTCCACACAACAACCGAAATTTACCCAGGGTGCCTCTACCGCACAAATCTATTTTATTTTGATCGGGGTGGTGGTGGTGGAGGGGAGGCACGGGTGGGACAGATGTTTCGTCGCCATTAAGTATCGTTGAGCAAAATGGCGGACGCAATTGATGCAGGGGATAGCTGCGCGGCATTTATTCTTCTAATCCTTGTCAGACAGTGAGTAGTTAACTTCTCTCTCATAACCTTTGTCTGAACTGAAATAAGCAAACAAAAATTGTAGTTAGTGGAGTTGACCGTCTGAACTTGCTTTTCATCCTAGGACAGCTCGATCGGACGTCTGTTTTTCTCTTTCACATGATTTTAAGGCATAAAATTTATGGGACAAGTAGCTGCATTAAAAACCCTTTAAGAGGGAAATACGCTTCGCATACAATCATTGTCTGAACATTTTATTTTTAATTAGATGTTACTGTGACGTGTCGTAATCCAACAAATATGGCTGAACTTTGTGATGATTTATAGTTCTTTGCAATTTGCTCGGTTTTTGTCCGGTTAAAAAATGTTGTTTTCAGGGTTTTGTGGAGGAAATAAGTGACCTCCTTTCGAAAATTTTATAGATCCTTACCACTTCTGATAAAAATTGAGCTTTTCTCTCTTCTATACTTCTTTAAAATTTTATTTATTTACTATAGAGCCTCAAAAATGAACTGATTGGCATAATGATTACCAGAGGGACAGAACCGAGATTTGATATATAGATGAGCAATTTAATTTAACATGATAAACACTGCATTATATGTTATTGTCTGATTCTTTCTACTCTGAAATTTTTTTTGTAGTGGTGAAACGCCAGAAAACAAGGCAAACATCATTCAAGGTGAAAACTTGCTGAATGTCTGTGATTGTAAATCCTACAAATAGTTACTTTGATTAAAAACAATAACCTGATTGGCTGTTTTTTGGTTGTCAAACTTGAAAGGTTCCCTTCATCAAACTATTTTGAACATTTTTCTTACAGAGAGAAACAGAAGCCTCCATTTGGTATAAAATTGTTCTTGGATAGCTGTCAATTCTGACATCTGCTACAAGAAGCAAACAGTTTTAAATTTCAAGAGTGTATCTCTCTTTTGAGCTTTGATGAAAATGTTATGTCTAAGACTAAATGTATAAGCATTAGTTTCATTTGGTTGGAGGTCATAGCTTTTGCTATCCATTACTTTTTTTTTACAAGAGTTAGACCAGGAGTTTATGAAATTCTTAGCATTAAAATGTTTACTGCATTGAATGTTAACTTTATGGTGATGACTGAAATGGTGTTATAAATGAGCAAGACTTCTTCTTTTGCAACAACACTAAAGGGCTCTGCCATTCTTAATTAGATCTAAATGAAGACTTTCTTTACAAATCATCTGTGATATCTGAAAACTGGGAATGTTACTTGGATATTACCCTGTTTTAGGTGTTGGATATTCAGTCTTGAATGCATTAAGACCAGTCATGGTTGAGAGAAAATAATTTATTTGTGGTTGATAAGTTTCAGTTCTCATTGTGACAAATCTGGACTGTTTGAGTTATAATTTCATTAGTGTTGATGACAAGTTGACTGAATCATTTTGCAGGGCAGACAGATACTTTGCTCTCTGATGAAGGTATAAAACAAGCCCAACTTGCTGGAAACAAGTTAAATGATGAAGTTTTCTCTCACATTTACTCAAGTGATTTGAAAAGAGCTCGAAAAGTATGTCAAACTATTTTTTCCTTGTTGTGGAAGTGGTCATGCAGCAGTAGAGAGTGGATAAAAAGTTTATGAAAATTAACACTGTTCCTGTGGAAATTTTTTCTTGTTGAAAGCTGAAGAAGGATTTATCTGGTTCCACAGAAGTACCTCATTTTCCTAGTTGTTATTTTCAATTAATCAGTTTTTTTTATTGTTATCTGACCTGGTGGGTGAATGTTAGTTTTATATCCTAGCTGACTGGTAAATATAATTTCTTTTTGCATCTTTCAGACTGCAGAGGAGATTATCAATCAAAATAATTGCTGCTCTCAAATGAAGATTGTAGAGGATTCTCGTCTGCGAGAGAGAGTGAGTATTGAATATTAAATTTGTACATACCATCTTCTTGTTTCACCCTCTCAGAGTCTGCCCTTGGTTTGTTTGTCCTTTGATAAATTGTTTCCTATATTGATTGAAAATAGTTCATTGTGATAACATAGTAAGTATTCATCAAGAATTAGATTCATTGTAGTTAAACTGCTTACAGTCTCTTTTTTGTCTCAATTTGAAGTGAGCAAGTAGAAATAAACAAGAAAAACATTTTACAATAATTTTTTCTATTTCTGTTCCCAGGGTTATGGTGTAGCAGAAGGAGTATCCAACCAGAGGTTTAAACAAATGGCAGCAGAGAACAATATGAAGACAAACATATTTACACCAAAGGGGGGAGAAACAGTTGCTGAACTCAAGGAAAGAGCAACAAAGTTTTTGAACTCCATAATACATGAAATTGGAACTTCACACTGTAGTGACTCTAGTAGTTCCATTCAGAATGACATTTGTGTCAATGATAAAATCATTGATGAGCCACAGACCTCAAAATGTGTCACACAAAAACAAGAAAAGATGTCACAGCTAGCTAATATTCTGGCTGTTTCTCATGGTGGACTCATAAGGCAGCTTCTGCTCCATTGTATGGATGATTTACCCTCAAAGTTTCCTCCAGGATCCAAAAGGAGAATTTCATTTACTTCTCCAAACACTGGCCTATCAAAGTTGAAAATATATTTGAAAAAGGAAACAAAATTACCAGAGTTTGTTGAGTGCTTTTATTTATACAATGCAGAACATCTTAGCTAAAAAAAATTAAATACAAAACAAGAATTTCCTTAATGATTGTCTCCAGGTGATGTTCCTGGAGGTGTTTTTTTTTTTTTTTTAATTCCAGTCTGGTATTTAAAACGATTTTGCAATATTTTTTGAGAGTAATTTAATAAACATTATAGTTGGGGTTAGATCCCTCTATACCACTGTATCATAGGCCATAGAATGACCTATGGACGAATGGTTGAATAAATATTTTTTTTACCAAAAATGAGTGATCAAGTTCAAGATTGACAGTAAATTTCTTTTGCTTTGCTCATTTTACCATACACCTGGATGAATTGTCCTGAATCTTTCAATGACAAAATTGAATGCCTTAATGTCACATTTTTGCTATCTATGGTGAATTGGTCATTCCGTTACACCTCCAAGGGAATTGTCTTATTTTGATCTGCATTTCTATTTGGGGAAGTGGTCTGAAGTTTTCCCTTCATTCCTCTTGTAGAAAACTCCACTTTTCCTTTCCCTCAAAAAATCATGAACATAAACTCTAGTTAGCTTCTAGAGAACTTGAACTCTAGATAGCTTCATTAACAACATGGAACTTTGTCAAAGTACAGAGTAACAGTTGAATGTTGATCGTTAACAAACATTGTGCAATTTTACAAACCTCTATGAAGTGGACACTGGGAAGGTCCCAAGGGTGTCCACTTATAGAGGTTTCACTGTATTAACAAAAAGCAAATTGTACATTTTATTTTAACCCTCTACACCCTAACATCAGTAAGCATTTTCCTCATACTTTTGTCCAAACATTTCCTGTGATGAACAGGTGAGGATAATTTGTTAAACAATCAAGCTTATTTAGGTAGCCATCATTTCTGTTATTCTCATGACCTAAATGTTTGATTAAGGATGATATGGTAAAGAGAAATTAGATGCCAGTCATACTTTGGGGTCAAAGGGCCATAAAAAGACAAGAATTTAAAGCCAGGTATTGCATAAGAGATTTACACAAAGCTTCATGAGATTCTAGAGTAAGTTTTTTCTTTTGTGTACCAGTACTCTGTATTTTTGCTAACTTGCTCCTTTTTGTAATTTCTGTCCTCTTTTTGTGTGTTATCCATGTTGTAATAAGAATAAAAATAATGATTGTCATAATAAATTTTAATAACTACAGAAGCTCTGACTTTCTTTTAGCAATGAAGGCTGTGGTAAGTCTACATGGTATAAACAGCATATCTTCTGTTTGAACACCATAAAAACACATGGAATGAAAAAGCTTCTTGAAAGAATCTTTTAATGTCCAATATATATATTTAAGCTGTATAGTACCCTATAATACATAAATTTGTTGACAATAACAACAAAACTGATCCAAGCATAATTACTGAAAACTGCCTCTAAACTACTTTAGTTTATCTATATAATAATATTTTTGCTTTGTTTGGAAACATATACCATTTTTAAAGAATTTCCTCTATCACCACAGTACAAAAATATGGTGCACCTCTCAAGGAATTTTCTAAGCCAGTTGCCAGTTTTTCTTCCCTAGCAACACAGAAGTTTTTATACCAGAAACACCTAAGTTAAAAATTAGAATAAAACAGGTTTTCTTTTTTTTCTAAGAATGATATTCATTAGACAGTGTGCTCACATACCTAGTTCACATGACAATTAAGATCACTTGTGAAAAGTTTTGCTTTCTTACTTATGTTTGATGTGTGCTAAGTGTTTGCCTAATAAATGTTCTAAGAACAGAACAAGAAGTGTATTGGACATTTCTATTAACATGAATGTAGAGAGATAAGAAATTAAGTGAAAATATGTACCACTTTACACTTGAAAACTCCCCTGGTACTTAAGCTCCACAACTTGAAGCAATTTTATGCTCAGTACAGTTAAGCTGTACTGCTTTAGATACACATGTAAAAATGTCTAGTTCGAAAATACTAACTAGAAAAAGAGATTAATAGCCTACATCGTTTGAATGAGTACACTAGTAACAGTCTTTAAATGTCAGAACATTTATAAGTAATTACAAACCCCCTTAGTACAAAGAAATTCACCACTATGGTGCAGTTTAGCATCCACAAAAACAGGGAAAAAAAAGACATTCAGCCAGCGACTACAGCTGCAAAACTTAACTTCAACAATTCCCAGCAAATTAACATTCAATCAGTGAACAGCTAGGAGAACATGTAAGCTAATTTTTAGCAATTTAGAAGAAGAGGTGAAGAAAAAAAAATTGGAAAACTGACTAGAAAAAAAAATTTTCTCATATCTTTCTCACAATCTGGATTCATTGCCAGCTTCAGATAACTCTTTCACTCCTTGGAGTAAACAATAAGTAATTTCTCCTCACATTCTCACTGCACTGTCAAGAAGAAAGATAGTAAGCACAAGGAAGAACAACAATGGGTGTCAGTTGGAGAATATAAAAGATTTTTGATGGCTGGAACTTACAATTGGAGTAAAGCTGACAGTCATCTCAAATGTCTTGATTAAAATTAATAATTTCTAGCTCCTATAACTCACAGCAAAATGCAATATCACAACCCAAAGCATTATCAATGTGCTTTAAAACAATTTTCCTTATCTTGCATGGATAGTTTTAGTCCTCCAAATGGCTGATGTTTTCTTTCATTTACATAATACAAGTTATTTAATATAAAGAAATTGAAAGAATAAATTTTACAAAGGAAAAAGATATACATATACATGTTCTAGAAAGCAGTTACTTTTAATATAATATTTTTTAGTCTTTAACTAGTCGGTAAATATGATGCTGAGCTCCATGTTCACTAGTTGATACTTCAAACACATAGGCAAGGCAGAGTAAGGTTTCTTGTGTCTCCCTGTTTGATAATACCTACAAATGAATGATAAATAAATAAAATATGGCTGAATTGTTAGCAGCTTACCAACACCCTATCAGCAAGTCTAAAAAATTAGCAAGTTGGCTATAAGGGCTTTATCCTGACAGCCATTTGTTGATTACCTTTACCCTTTAATCCCTAAGAGTGACTGGCATGAAATTTCTCCTTCCAAGATCACCCCTGAATAAAACATGAAGGTCATGAGAACATGGGACATGATCTACAACTAAAGAAGCTCTTGATTGTTAAACAAATTCTCCTTTTCGGAACCAAGACATGTGTAGAGAACAGAGAGAATATGCATACTGATGTTAAGGTGTAAAGAGTTTACACCTTAACATCAGTATGCATATTCTAGCAAGCAGAATTTGATTAATTACCTAGTGCTTTATTAGTTAGTAATCATTTCCCTTATTCTTATGATCTTTATGTGATTCAGGAATAATAATGTAAGGAGAAAATAGATGCGTGGCAATCTTAGGGGTCAAAAAGGTTAAAAGTTTTGGTTTTGTTTCAAATTTGCATCCTCACATTCACCACAGTAACTGCAAACTCAGCCTGTCCACTCAACTAAACAAGTTGGACAATACAAAAAGACTGTACTGGCTTGGAAAGAGCCTGAGAACTAAAGTGGAATGCTTACTTGCCACAATTGACAACATGCAATATAGCACAATCTTGCCACTTACACTACAGAGGTACTACAGACAATTTCATTGTTGTGGTATGAAAAGTTGTACAAAGTATATATTCACTTAAGCCCACTGACATCAGTTCCCTTGTGACACTTTAACTTACTTGAAGAATCGTGAAGTTCTCCAACACACTGTTCATCATGTACTTTTCGGGCAACTGTTTAAGTTTGTGAACAAAATTGATCATGTATTCGCACATTGGGGACCTGTGAATACGGTAAACAAACCGACTGTTTTCGAAGTGGCCAAATTCAGTCTGAAAGAAAAGAGGAAAAAAAAGTCCACATTCATGTTAGAAAGTACATGTATACACAGCTCAATTTTGGTTGCTATACCCAAAGTACATATATGTAACTAAAAAAGAGGAAAGATGGGGTCGCCATCCAAAACATCTGTTTACTAGTATGATGGGTCTCTGAAATGCCAAGAGAAACTCAGCACAATATCTACATGAATGGGCTAAATCAGTCACCAATACTCTCACCACTAATTGTAATTTCTAACTTGCAAGATCAGTAGGCTTTGATTAATTGATCATTGATTATTTTTTGCATTTTGTCTCACCTCCACTTTCTCCACAACTTGCTTGCCAAATGAACAAACTTTTGTGGAACATGTGATGGTCATATTTTCGTTTGACTCATAACTAGAATAAAAGCAAAGGCTTTTCATTAGTGACAATTTACCTTAATTAACTGTCAAGTTCAAATAAGTGGCTAAGTGACAAGTGGCAGTGTAACTTTATCCCCATAAATTTGTAAGGATTTCTATGGATTACTTTTATAAATAATTTCCCACACACATTATATTTTAAGGAAAGGAATTCAGGCACTTTACAGGGTTATGTACAATTTCTTGCATATAATGAAGTATAAACCAAATAACCTATGGCCAAACTTCATTTGAAACAGTAATATGGGTAGTTCAGTGAGTGTAAAAACTTATCCAATAAACTGATTGTACTGTAATTTAAAAATAAGACACTCACGTGCTTGAAACACCATAAAATGCTCCAGCTTCATCATGTATGTTTGTATTCAGATCAGCCTAGGAAGGAAAATCAGAAAAACCCTTAATTTACACCCTAAAATCAGTAACGATATTCTTCATACTCTCCTCTATACATTTTCCTGCTACAAACAAGGAGAATTCATTTTATGATCAAAGCTTCTCAAGTTGGTAATCCTTTTGTTTATTCTCATGATCTTAATAACCCTTTAACTCCCATGAGTGACCAAGACAGAATTTCTCCTTACTATATCAATAACATGTGAACCAGATTAGTGATGAGAATTGAAAAAAATCAATTTGGGGATAATTAGCTGATCCAATACTAAATTCTCTGAAGAATTGTATGGTTGACAGTAAGGAGAATAACAAACTTGATCTAGGAGTTAAAGGGTTAAAGAATAATTCAGCAGTATTACTGTAAAGAGAAATTAGATGTTGGTCACCCTCAGGGTTGGAGGGTTAACAAGAAGTGTGTCTATAACCAAAACTAACAACCAAAGGAACATCAGAATTATACTTCATAACACAGAAAGTCCTGACAGTCCTGCCTACCCAAAATTTCACCAAGAAAAATACTGCTTGGGGTCCCTTGTCATAAAGCTCTTTAAGGCCTCCTTTCTTCTCAGGAAACTTGTCATAAATCTGGCGAATGTCGACCGCCTTCAGTTCAACAAAAGAAGAAAAAAATAGTGATGTTACCACTTGTTGAAATTTTTTCACTACCCCGCTGAGACAAACTGCATGATAAAGCTGCTTGGTCACACATCCACAGATATTTTTGTGCAAACAAGCCCTAATTAAGAGTTCATAATTTTAGAAATTGTTGGCAATCCACTACAGTGGAATCTCAATTATCCCGACTTGCCTCTCTGGTCCTATTTTTTCATGAAAGTCAATCATTCACAAATGAGATCTGTAACAACTCTTTCCCATCAAACCAAGCAGATGCACTGAAACAATTTCAATAATGCAGCTTCAAAGAGTTGAAGAATTAGCAAGGTGCACATGTAAGCATTCTAGGTCATAAAATGTAGTCCTTGTAAAATGATTTGTAAATACTTTAACAAGTATTGGCAATGATGCACAGTTATTTGAGAATGTACTTTCATTCTTGTATGACATTGGTTTAATATATGTATTCAGTTTTATTTTGGGGCCATTTCATTTATGCACATTATTCAGCCCAGTCCCCCTGAGTCTGGATAATTGAGATTCCACAGTATAATAACAACCAATAAAATTGTATTCAATCCATGCATTCTAATTAAATGCTTTACCTCCAGGTGAGGGTCACCAAGATCTGTGTTTGGTCCTAAGTGAACAAACAAATGCTTGTGGTACTAAAGGAAAGGAATGAAGAGGAATTTAGTTTAAAATTCAAGCTTGACACTTGTTCAAAACTTCAATGTTTGAAAGCTGTTTTGTTTGTTTCCACTGCCACATTATCTTGCTTACTGGACATTTCTTCAGTTACTTAGGATTTTGACGTATGTGTAGCTGTTAACTTGTAAAAGACACTGCAGTCTATCCAATGCAACACACTACGGGCTGTGTGTATATCTTAAATTTGCAATTAATAGCTTAACATGTGTCTGGTGGAGATTCTAATTACCGACTCAGGTTCCATTCGCTGTTGTTCGAGAAATGCTGAGAAGTCCACCAGCCGCAGGGGCTAAAATCAAACAAAATTAAGTTAACTAAAATCATGAAAGTCACAAAGTTAGAGGAGCTAAAAGGTTCTCCCTCTTTTTCTCACTGGTGACTAATACAAGTATCTATATTCCCTTTACAGTATCATTAATGAGTCAAACGCTCAGAACATGAAAATAAAGGAAATGATCCACAACTCAAGCAGTTCCTGATTGTTGAATGAGTTCACCTGGTCAGTGCTAGTTGGAATGTATAGAGAACAGTATGGAAAGTGTGCATAATGATGTTTAGTTATTAAGGGTTTTCATAACATGTAACGTTTGAATATCAAAATATAAAAATGATGTGAAAGACCCAGAAAGTCAAATCCAAATAGTAATAGTTAATAACTATTCACCAAAGTGGAGGTGTTTGGTGATGAATATTTACCAAGCTAGCCACCAACACTGTGATAAACTGCTGTTTTCGTATACACTAAAACAGACAGGTAATATGGCACAAAAATATGATTTCAACTCATTTATTTCTGTAATGAGTTGATTATTTTTGGGGATAATTCCTGAGTGAGTTGCTCTGAGGTGGACAGCAAAGAATATTAAGCCTATTATTTGGATATCTACCATTTATAATATACTTATAGTAATTGGCCAATATTGCTTATAATAAAAGTGTAAATCGACCTTTAGACAACACTGCTGCAGTAGTAAGAGGTGCACTTACTAGCTGCTGTTCAACAGATCTCTGAGGCCATGTTGAGCTGCCATGTGCAGCAAAAGTTGGTGGTGTAGAGGATACAGTTCCTCTGCTGTGTGTGACACTCCTCTGCAAAAAAAAAAATAAAAAAAAAAAAGACAATCAAATCCCACTCTTAATGTACTGGATGGAATGGGAAAGTAAAATGAAAGAATAGAATCTTAAATTATCCTACTCTTACAGGGTGAAAAGCATGTAACTTGTCTGGACAGTATCACCTCTGAACCAAACATTTAATTCATGAGAGTAAAGGAAATGACTATGAACTCAAGAAGCTCCTAATTGTTGAACAAATTCCCTTTGTAACTACCATAGGAAATGTCCAGATAAAAGTATGGAAAACACATATACTGCTGTGAGGATGTAAAGGGTTGATAGTAAAGGATGTAACCTTCATCTTGCTCTCACTCGGCTCTTAAAAAATTTCATGTTTTACCTTTAACCTGGCAATCAACAATCAACAGACATCCTTAAATCTCAGTCCATCCTATTAAAATCATTGTACAGAAAACTTACCATGTCTTCAGGAGTACTGACAACAGCTCCAGTGGGGCTTGCAACTGAAGCTGTGGACACAACACTACCAGGTACACTGGCTTGGACTCCTGGACTGCCATACGGAGCTTGTGAGGCATTGTTATAACTGCCTGGCACTGGCTGCCCTGCGCTAGATGGCCAGTATTGTTGCTAAAATAAACAAAAAACATTATTTTGACTGGAAAAAGGAATGGCCCAAGAATCTACTTTAAGATTTAAAAGGATGAAGTTATTTCAGAAAGACCTCTTCCAGTTCCCCGAAAACACTCCCAGTAAATTTTTCAATCTTCCAAATACCGGTAACCTTAATTGATTTAAGAGAGCAAAGAGCACTCTAATCAGAGTGTTCGTAAAAACTAAATCTTGACCTAGCTTTTCTGAAAGGGTCAGTCTGAGAAAAAAAAAATATTAATTCAAAATTTTCAACTTAAGCTGGTTTATCTGATGACCTTAAAGACCATGCAACAGATAACAAGTTTTAGAAACATGTAGTGTGAAAAGTTTTGAGATATCTATTAATTATAATTGTACTGGACATACTTGGTATCCTTGGCTTTCATTGTTAAATGCAGGCATTCCAGCTGCCGCCAGAGCCTTGCTATGAAGTACAGAGGCTGACACAATTTGTGCCGATGACATTGAGGCCATAGTCTGAAGAGCTTTGTCTCGTGCAGCCTGGTCCTACATTTGACATTGATAAAAAAATCATTAATCTTGGAATTAACTCCGAAAGCTAGAAATACCATTGAAAAAAAGTTTGAGATTAGGAAAACAATAATGATAAGATGAAATACAAAAGCTTAGAAAGGTTGAGGTTATTTCCTATGGTGAAATACTATTATGGCTAATAATACAATAACACCATTTATCTCCGGAATCAATCAATTTATTTTGATTCTAAGGTTTCAACCAAACAGTACTATTCTACTTCAGGTGCTGAGGTCAACTGGTCCTTTGTTACTTTATAACAGGATGCTCGAAAGCGACTTTTGGTTTTCAACAACTGTAATTGCTGACTTGTAATTCTTTGTAATTGTTACTCTAAGTGTTATAATCTTACACCTACAGTATACACTTATGTACAAACCTTAATTTTTGCATGCACTTCTCTTGGTTTTCTCCTCGCTAACACCTGAATGTGACTTGAAACCTATCAAACACAAATAAAAAAAAATAAGCAGTGTAACTAACCTTAAGTTTGCCTTGAATCTCCCTTGCCTTTTTCCTTGCTAACACTTGAATGTGACTGGAAACCTATGTAAGAAAAAAATTTGAAAAATCTCAACTTCACCCAGTAAGCACCCAGCTTGAAAATATTGCCACCTGAACCAATCAGAACTTTTGTCTGGTGCTAGATAAAAAAAAGCCTCTTTTTGGGATCATAGCTTTCATTAATTTTTTTTTTCCACAAAAAAGAATATCATAATTGGCACCACAAAAAAAAATGGAACAGTCAAGCTGCAAGAGGTACCCCTTCTTCTGAATTTCTCACAGTATCACTAGATACAGGTGCGTGCAAAAGGAAAACTGGCTGATGGAGCAAAACGTTTTGAAAAGTTACTATTACTGATGTGAACCAGCCAAGTTGAAGTCAAAGAGAAAAATATAACTTCAGTTTAAGAAATTTGTCAATATTCTTATTAATAGATTCATTCCCCACTTTGAGAGTCAAAACACTATCTTGATTGTAACTCCTAGATTTAAAATAGTTACCTGTTTCCTTGTTCTTGTTTTTCCAGTTCTCAGCTTGATGTATCGAGCAATCAACTCATTACGGCCTGCATTCAAAAACAGAAAAGAGCTCTAACTTGAATTCTACAATTTAGGAAGACAGGCGCTTAATTTAGATTACATAGGGAAGACTCATTATCAATCAATGTTTCTTTAGCTCATCCTTAATTAAAAGGAAAATTAGTGTGGTCGCACTGCCTTAAATTTAAATCAATATTTGAGAAGTCTTTAGCATTAGCTGTATATTAGGAGACTTGGCACCCATTTCTCATATTATCAGTGATTTCTAAATTACTAGCTTGGTTTATCAGCCAAAACAGTTTCGGAGTAAGATCTTAGTATGCATGTACTTGTACCACCCACACTTTTGTTGAAGAGGCATTATCTTTCCTTGAATTGCACAATAATTATGAAAATAATAATTAAGTAAAGTGTGAATTTTGTTCAAAATTCAACATAACAGAACAAAATCAGTTGTTTTTAACTCTTGGTCTTTAAAATTTGAAAAGTATATTTTTTCAATGCACAAAAATTTCTTTATCACCCATGAAGGACTAAAACTGCCTAAACTGTGGCTGGGGGAAAGGACTATATTGCCAAGAAAATACAAAATTATAATGAACTTCATCTGTATTTTGAACTGAATTTGAAGGAAACAAAGCATTAAGGACTTAATACAGATTACAGGAAAAGGAAAAGTGTGGGTGACATTACCAAAGCACATTTCATAAATTAAGTTTCAGTGTAGCGTATTTTTTCAGCATAGCATTTCATTATATTCTATTCAAGTTGCTTAATATTATCCATGTGGCATACTAATCAGATACAAATATGACGAGGTCTTTGTTCCACAACACATAAAAGTTAGAAAAAAGCTGAGTTTTTTTAAATTTAATGTTCGCCATCTTTTAAACTCAATAAACTAAACATGCATTCCAACAAAATAATTCGTGATCCTTTGTTACAAACGCAATGTAAAACACATGCTATGCCTGAGATCTCAACGGTTCTGAGAGACAAAATAACTGTGGCGATCAAAATGATCTTCTTCTTTTAATCGCCCACAAAATTGACAAGTTGGTCTTCCAAAACACAAATTAAGCAAAACTGATGAGTTATACTGATCATGCAACCGCTGTGGTAAGGGGTTAATGTAAAACTGCGAGTTACATAGCAAGCATATTTCAAACAATTGAACACGCGTAGCTGCGTACGCTTAGCGTTCGTGACATCTTATCATTGGAGCTGAATTTTTAGTTGCTCAGCGAAAACCGCCAAGAAGCCTACAAGTATGCTAACATTTTCATGAACTCTAGCTGGACAGCTGCCACGAGAGATCGGTGTTAAACTGTGAGTGCTGAATGCCAATAATATGTAGTTATTACAACAAGAGATCGCGTTGTTCAGTTGATATAAACAACTCGACTGCCCATTCCATGCCTTCGTGGAAAGCGCGGTATGTAGTGTCAACATTCTCTCTATTCTTAACAAGCCAGCCGTTTCTCATTTTAGAAATAGTTTCAAAGTAAGTGAGTTATGCGAAAGGAGCAAGCAACTTCGTTAGTGACCATAGTTTAGGTTTCCGGGTTGAGCAATATTCAAACAATCGACGCTTGACGAATTAAACAAATTCGAAGACAAGAATGCGCCACTCACCGTACATTTTGCCTTCATCAGAGAGAATAATTTTTCGCCGCCCACAAGGAGGGTAAATTGCCAGAGCCTCCTGAAAGGACTGCTCGATATCTGGCGACCATACTCCTTCGGCATCATTGGCCATGTCGACGGGGCTTTTGGTCGCGCTGCCCTCGTCGGCCGAGTTAGTCATTTCGAGGTCCTCGTGGTCCGAAATCTTGGCGGTTTTGTTGGAAATACTGAGTAAAAAATTGATCTTAGCTGGAGGGAATCTCCAAATACTGTTTATTCTGACCCAGTAGACTTCTAACTGATGGCTTGATCAGTCGTTCCGGAAGCACAAGTCTGGAAAAATGAAAAAAATTCGAACGATTCAACAGGCCGATCGAACATTCGAAGGGGGAAAATCTATCGGATGATTTAAAACCATTCAAAGTTTCGTGAAACGTACCTAACCACACAGAATTCTTCAAAATACAAGAGGAATGATAGTAACGTCGTCCTTCGAAAAATCACCTGGAATTAGCAAGTTGCCCTTTACTTGAGTGAAAACGGAGGCTAACAAAGAATGCGAGGAATGACACAACTATGCCTGGCGCGCCCACAAAAGACTTGAGCAATTTCTTCCTAGAGGGGGGTCAATGACATTTCCTTTCGTCACGCGTTTGTTCAAGAAGAATTCGAAGCTCGCGTGGTTCGATGCCCAAACACGGGGATAGAATTCGAAGAATGTTTTCTTTAACGCAAAGGTCTTCAAATCATACTTAATCTCGCAAAGTATTTTCCTTTATAATTTTTGGAAAAGAGGATCAATTAATGGCTTCTTGGAACCACAAATTACAAATTTAGCACCTGATCAAATGCAAGTTTCTCTGTACACCGTTTGGTTGAATTGTGTTGATACAAAAATAATTAGTAAACCACGTCGTTCCTCGCATATTTTAGGAAAACTCTGAATTGTGATTGGCTGAGGTGAAACACACCCCATTATATCAAGATTAGGCATACTCGAGACTATAATACTGTGCTAAACAACAAAAAAACTTTATTTCAACTCAAAGAAAAAGTGTTTCCAAATTGGTTTATTCGCTTTCAACTGCAGACGCCCCTAACCCGAACATTGTCAATTATTTATTCTGCATAATGAATCGACTTCTCTTTTTTCTTCGGTAATTTTATATTTTTTTATGACAGACTACACCACAAAGAGAACCTGTTTTACTAGACGGGGGTTTTCTAAATCAAAGACACTGATAGAAACTGTAGCTGGTCTGATGTTCTCCCTATTTCCCTTGCGCTTCTAATTAGCTCAGTTATACGACCACTCGATGAGGTACGAGCAGTTCGACTCAGGAAATCGTGACATGCTCCAAGTGCCAGTGGCTTAAGATCCCAGACAAAGGTTATTGAATTTTCTTGAAGCCAAGTATCGATGGCCGCTGCTCTCCCAAAAAAGTGTTTCACTACACCACCGGCAGAACTTGACGACAATCGATATACGCTTCAGCGATCTTTAATTGAACTCAGTGGACTGAACAAATTCAAATATGTCGCGTTGAAATTTCGGTTTTGCTAGTGATAAAAGGATGACATTTAACCCTTTTGTTCAGGTGGCTCTTTGTCGTGAATTGACAGGACTGATTAACAAGACAATTGAACCAAACTTGACTCAGAAACAGATGGTCGCGTTGCCATTAGATTTATTATAGCCTCGCTAGATATGCTGAGTTTGAATGGCATCCGGTGTAGTTAAAAAAATTTTAGTCGTTTTTCTCCACCCTCTTAGTCTCTCAAAAAATCACGATAGGCTCACAAGTCAAGACGCTCGGATATTGTCGATAAATGAGCAGTACATCTAAACGCTTGACCTAAAATGTCTTCTGGATTAGGTAGATTTTGATATTTTATTTTTATTTTTTTCATTCGTTTGTTTGTTTGTTTTGTTTTGTTTTTTTCAGGTTAATATAGTATTTGAGGAGAAGAAAACGATTGACAGCATCCTCCTTCCTGCTTGCTAAAGAACGCTAAAGAAGTCAGTAGCTAATAGTTCTTTCTATCTCAGGTTAATGATACGGAGATTTTCCTTCAAGCGCCGGAAACTGGTTCAGTTTCTGCACTTAGCCTGCTTTACTTAGCCTCTTCTTAAAACCTCTATATTTGCACTTAGTCTTTATTATATGCATTATATTTCATTATATAATCAGTACTGCTTATATTGCCTTCTCACAAGACAGCGGAGCCTTTAGGGTGCAATCCATTAGGTTCAGTTTTGCTATATTTGACCAAGCTGGAGATGTTTGACCGAAAAAAGTAGAAATTTTGGCGATAAATTGATTTGTTTTTAGTAATTATGAGGAAATGTGTGGTTGATTGTTCAGTTCTATCTGGCTCGAAATTCACCTCGTAGTGAGATTAAATTGTGCAGTGTTTAGATTTTGAGGGTATAAATAGTGCATTCTTAGCGGGAATTTATCAATTATCTGAAAGATGACTTTTTGGAACTCAATTATTCCTGATGAATGAATAAAATTTCATTTTAAACACACGAAGGGCGCAACTCAATCGGGCTACTCATTCAATCTTGAGTTTCGTTAAGCGAAACTCGCCCACAGAAAGGAGTAGAACAGAATAATAATCAGCCTCTTGTGCAGCGAACAGATCAATGATGACAAACCATATGTTTTCACTCGCTCAAAACCAAAGGATCAATGTACTTCATAGATCTGATTTCACTTCGTGGGATTTGTGATTCCGGAATATTCGGGAAAAACTTAATTTCCAAACTGAACAAGCCTTAGTTGTTCCTTAAAAGAGGTCTTAATTCATTCATTCATTCTGCGCTATAATTGAGTGTTCGTAAAAGGAAAAATCGTACGTGAAAATCACTATTTATTGGGATGTTCAGGAAGAAATGAAAGGGACGTCATTCTTTTATTCCAGTTGATTGCCGCTACATGTTTAAGAAATGGCATACCAGACATGATTTGTATGTTGTAGTTCAGAAGTATTTGGTTACGTAATGAGGTTGCAGTTTTGAAACAACATCAGACGATGAGGTAAAATTAAATGTCAACCCTCCGCCGTTTAGCTTTTATTTCAATAAAAAAATAAAAATAGTTTTCATTAATATTTTGAGTTACCTACGCAAAATCCAATGAAATGCAGTGAAATGGCAATAGTCACGCTATCCTTTTTATTTAAGGTTTCTAACCATACTAATAAGCCGCAAAAAGGAAAATAAACAGAATTATAAATACCATTTCCTCAAACGATATACACCAACAAACGAGATAAAAATTCAAACAAAAAAGCAAACAAAGAAGTGGGAAATGCTAATGACGAACCCAGGATAAATTTATAAACGGAAGATCGAGCGGCTGGATAAGTTATCACAAACCTTAAGGTCAATTTGTATAGCTGTAGTTTTTCACTGGACTTTACTCTTAGAATCTCCCAGTCCCTGTTATTTTCAATGGATTTCTGCCGAGTGTAAAATGTTTTTAGTTCATGTTTCTACTTTTAAGGATTTTTAAAGTTGGTTCAGCAAATTTTTGCGGCAGTTTCGAAGAATTTAGCGAAGAGGCTGCTTTATTTATTGTTATGATGAAAAATTTTTGGGCTAGAGTTGCATATCCCTCTAGAATGTTCACTGGCAGCCCTTTCTGATGTTAAGTATGGGTTGAGCACAAGGTGAAATCATCTAAATATAGCGTGTCGTAGCCTCGAGCAATAAACGCTTTGAAATAACACAGTTTAACGCATCTGTATTTGGAAAGAAAACTCACCAAAGACAGCATTGATCGCAAACGGAAATCTCTCAGTTCGAATAAAATATGCAGCTATAATTAGATGTTTCAAATACTCTAAGCTGATAACAGCAGATCAGCTGAACTGGCGAATTATTCTATGTATGCAAAAAATTTGAACGATCACATTACTCCGTGAGATGCAAATCTAAAATTGCAATTTACTTTTCGACTCGTTTTGCATTTCCTCTTTTGCCGTGCTCTCCCTAAATAAGGTCAAGATTCAAGAATGTAAACAATGAATTTTTTCAAAAGAATGTAAAATTTCTATTGAATAGAAATGATGTGCATTTTTTCCAAAGTAGGTCTAATGAACCTTGGTGGGGAGGGGGTGGGGAACGTTTTCTGGTTAGCCAAGACTATGAAGTCTCTTTAAATTATCTATTGTCCTTGCTAGTTTAAAAAGGCTCAAAAAGCAATTTTTGAAATTGTTCACGTGGCTTTTTTTATCGTTTAAAAGATATTAATGTGTAAAGCATATTTAATTGGTTTGTCGAATACGTAATCAAATCCTAGTACGTTAGAAGGTCGTTCATAACTCGCAAGAGGGAAAAGAAAATAACTGGATAATAAGGAATTTGTTGACCAATGTAATTTTGAATACCTGTATGAAAAGTGCCTAATGAGTGTACAGCGTGTACTTCGCAGATGTAAGTAAGTTGGTCGTGTTATGGGTAAAAGGCTGATTGTTTACTGGTGAAGTTTCGGATCGAGCATAACTTAGCTCTGGTCGCGACGACAGACAGCTGATCCAATTATTGGCTTAGGTAATCAGTTAGCACTAGACGGTATTTATGATATCACTTAACTAAGCTTCCCGTGTTCGGATAAAAATAGAGTGCGTAAACTCTATTTTATGTATGCAATTAAATTTCCGCTCTGTGTAAAGTTTCACTCGGCTTTCAGTCTGCAAAGATGCCAGAGCTTGTGTGTAGAAGCGTTTTTCTATCAGAGTGCAGTGCAAATATGCAATATGAAAGAGGCTCACGCGTGCACGGTCGCAATACTGCGGCCTGTTAGTCTCACTGATCCCCCTTGAAATGAGCCTTCCAGAATAGAAATATTAAAAAAAATTGTACGCACACTTCCTATATACTTTGTAAACTACCCTGACCTGAAATGACCCCGGTTGAGTCATTAGAAACATAGTTATGCCAAAATTTAGCCAAAGTCAATTACTAGGGCGAGTAATTGCGTAATCGCATGGACGTTTGCAGTTATTGTGGTCAGATAATATATACTGAAATATCTTAATCCCAGAGAATTGCGTTATTGCATTGACCTTCACAGCTATTGTGGTCGCCGTTTCAGTGTTTTCTTTCATCCACATTTTAAAACAAACGGAAATCGAGTCATAAACTGCGAAGGAAGTGACTGATTAGTAATACAATCCGACTCAAGGAATTTGACCTCTCAGGCTACTTATTGTTTTTTTGTTTTTTTTTTGTTTTTTTTTTCAGAAAAAAAACTTAAAGAGGAAATGAAACCAAAGAAATCACACGTTAGAACCCATCAAATATTTGCGCTCGCGCACGCTTGGTCTAAACACATCACGAGTTCGAATACGCCCCAGCTAAAACTGGGAAGTATTCGATGATATGCCGCAAGTGATATTCTCAAATTTCAAACTTTACGTTTACTTCTTCAATTCCGGTACGGTCAAATATCCGTGCATATTTTCGCGCATATGGAGGCTATAGATATCACTTATTGTCGTTATTTACCTATTTATTATTTTTCTTTTTTGGAGAAAACATCTTAGAATATTTTTTGAAAGGATACGTAACGTGTACTGGCTTATATTAATTAATACACCGCTTTTGTATTGGTCGTCACTGGGATATGAGGAGCTTCTATCAGCGCTCTGTTTACAACCTCTGTTATGAAAAGTAGATGCGGGAATAAACTACGCTTCTCCTACCAGTTGGATTTTTAAATTTTCGTCTGATCGTCCATACCTTGGTATTTACTGTGGTCAGATAAACCTTCTATGTTTTGTCAATTGACTTTTTTTCTAACTGTGGCTGCATTGGTGAAGTATTCCATTCGATGTATTTACCCAAATAACGAAGACCTCACTAATTGTTGGAAAGTTAGTAAAGAACCTGGTTTACATTATTTTTTAATGATGCACAAATTTATGTCAATTTTCTGCTTCCATGTCAAGTCGATTAATTTATAAATGTATACGCAATAAAAGGCATCACACATGATGACGCAGTCGAAGAACTCTTGGTGAATTTTGTCTAGTGTGAAGGCAAAAACGATCTCTCTCAGCGTCAAAAAACTTGAAAATCTGTGCAACTATATTAAACATTGTAATTGAAAATGGAGGAGGAAACAAGGTTTAGACACATTCATTTAAATACACGTATATTCGTTAACATTAGCAAAATGTGGGTTCCCAGTTTTGAGGCTATCGTTCAGCGCTAAAAAAGATAGCGAAAGCTTAGTTTCGAACGGCTGAAGACTGAGAAACGAAGGTTCACATATCAGGAATTTTTTCAAGCAAAGAACGCTTTTTTCTTGTAGAAAACACATAATTCAACTGATTTGCATGTCAACCCTTAAGCCCGCAAAGGCAATAAGCACACAAGTTTCCCTCACAGTGTCAATTCCTTTTCGCGTTATTACCTAGCAGAGAGGTGATAAGAGCAGACTAACGAATTCAGGCAAACAAGCTATATTCTAGCGCTTTTCTTTCAAGAAAAAAAAACTTTCAAGAAAACAGGCTATTCATTGGCATTTTCCTGGTGCAGGATAACATGCGATGAACTTCGTATTTTTCTTGAGTTTTACTGAGGGTGAACAGTGAATCTGCCATTTGTTCTCAGATATCAGAAAACCTTAGTGTAATGTTGAATTTTTCAGTCTTTCACCATTTCGGAAATTAATGGTGAACGACGGTTTTTGTGCCGTGGAAGCAATCAGCAAGAGAGTGTCGTCTCAATCGAAAAACAACGAAAAGGTCCCATTTATTGAGAGAGCTGTACTAAGGTCACGATGAGTTTGACTCCTTTCAATCTAACAAGAAACTCACTTTGATAGATTATTTTTGTCATTTTATCGTTATCTTTATCAATGTAGTTTTTCAAGCAGTCTTTCGGCACTCGAAAGTCTTCTGTTGATGTTGTATTTAGTATTTAGTATGTAATAAGTAGTCTTTCACCAAGTGGTAATGTTTAAAATTCGGGGCTACTTCTCTCTCGTAAGAGGAATTCCCCCCCTCCCCCAGTTCGGGACAGGGGTAGGTATAAATGACATGATGGGTAGAATAGGTAGTAATGTTTTTGTTTTTCCATTGATTAATGGCTCAGGGGATACCATAGTCATGAATGTGTTTTCAGGTTGCGTAGTTTCCTTACCAGTTTGAATAAGCTCAAAAGGCCATTTCATATTCGACCTTTTTTAGGCTATATCTATGGTATGATAATGAATAAATTATTTATAGAATTATACTTGATCAAATATTTATTGAAATCCGAGTATGTTAGGACCTCTTGAGAAAATCTCGCAAAAAAAAAACGCAAAATAACAGAACGAAAGAATAAGAAAGTTGTTGACTTGTGGTAATTTGCATCAAAATCAGTATGAAGTGTGTTTAATGAGTTTACAGAGTAGTCTTTCTAGATGTACGTGATTCGGTCGAGTAATGGAAAAAGGCCGATTGTTTACTAATGAAGTCTTCGATCAAAACAGAGCTTTGCTTAGGACGCGACGACAGACAAGCTGATGCAATTACTGGCTTAGGTGATCATTTGGCTTGGAACTGTATTTTATTATCACTTCAAGCAATCTTCTAATGTTCGAATAAGATTAAAGTGTGAAAAATCGATTTGTTTCTCAAATTGAATTTCCGCTCTGTTTTAGGTTTCACCGTTCCTTCATTCTTCAGAGATGGAAGAGTTCGATCAGACCATGTGTGTACAAAAGCATTTTAAACTGCGTGCAGTGCATATACGTTGGAAGTTCGGAAGTCAGGAACTCACGTGCACATGGTCGTGTTACCGCCTGTTAGTTCCACTGCTCCCGCGTGAAGTGAGCCCTTACCACACTCTCTAGTCTAGCCTGATCTAAAATGACTCTAAGTGAGTCATCAGGAAGCGTATGGAATTCCAGCATTTAGCCAAAGTCATTAATAATGCCGAGTAATTGCGCAATCGCATTTTCCTTCTGACAGCTATTGTGGTCAGAAAATGTACTGAAGTATACTAATGCTGAGGAACTGCGCAGTTGCCTTGACCTTTCCAGCTATTGTGGTCAGAATATATGCATTAGAAAAACCTATTCTTTCATCTATTTTCGTTCATCAACCCAAGGAAAAATGAGCGGTGAATTAAGAAGGAAGTTACTGAGATTAAAGTGATTGATTTATGGCGCAATCCTCCTCTGGGATTTTGGGTTCTCCAGCAACTTGTTTATCAAAAAAAGAAAAGAAAAGAAAAGAATCATTGACGTTCTTCTGAAATCTTTAGAGAAAAACAACTGAAAATTTCTTAAAAGTATACGCAAAGTTGTTGTTACTTTATCAATTCACGACTTTTGCCCTTTCATTTTATTAAGAATGGGTGAAGATGTAGCGCGCAGTTGGATTTTTTTATTCTCTAGCTTTCAAACATCACGCGATTATCACGCAACTATTTCATTTTGTACACCCAGTTTACACCTGTCAAATTATTTCTCAGCGTGGCTTGATGACCCGAACATAACCTTTCTTTTTTCGTGTGCCTATTTGATTGTTTGTTTTTTCAAATTTACACCTAAAGTAGGAGAGTGTCTTCAAGAGAAACTAGCATTATACGCTCCTGATCACTTGAATGAACGAATAACTTTATTTAACTACGATAAAATATTCAGCATAGCTGGTAGGGTCTTGCATTTAACTAATAATAACCATAAATGGCTACAAAAAAAATATTAAAATGTTAAAATATATATACAATTCCTAAAATGTTTCTCCACTTGATTTGATAATTTAATTAAGTTAGCTGATCTTCCAAATCTTGTTATTGACTGTGGTCTTATAGACCTGATGTTTGTTCCCTCCATGAAAAGGTTTGGTGTCAGCTGATCGCCCAAATCTTCTTATTGACTGTGGTGTTATAGACCTGATATATTTGCTCCCTCCATGAATAGGTTTGGTGCCGGCTGATCGTCCAAATCTTGGTATTGACTGTGGTCTTATAGACCTGATATATTTGTTCCCTCCATGTGTAGGTTTGGTGCCAGCTGATAGTCCAAATCTTTTTACTGATTTTTGTCTTTTAGACCTAATATATTTGTTCCCTCCATAAATACGTTTGGTGTCAGCTGATAGTCCAAATCTCGTTATTGACTGTGGTCTTATAGACCTGATATATTTGTTCCCTCCAGGAATAGGTTTGGTGCCAGCTGATCGTCCAAATCTCGTTATTGACTGTGGTCTTATAGACCTGATATACTTGTTCCCTCCACGAATAGGTTTAGTGCAAGTTGATAGTCCAAATCTTTCTGTTGACTGTGAACTGATAGACCCTCCATCTCTTGTCCATTGACTGATAGGATTTTTATCTGCGAACCTTCCAAATCTTGTTATTGACTGTGGTCTTAAAGACCTGATATATTTGTTCCCTCCATAAATAGGTTTGGTGTCAGCTGATCGTCCAAATCTTGTTATTGACTGTGGTGTTATAGACCTGATATATTTGTTCCCTCCATGAATAGGTTTGGTGCCAGCAGATTGTCCAAATCTTCTTATTGACTGTGGTCTTATAGACCTGATATATTTGTTCCCTCCATGCGTAGGTTTGGTACCAGCTGATAGTCCAAATCTTTTTATTGATTTTTGTCTTATAGACCTGATATATTTGTTCCCTCCATGACTAGATTTGGTGTCAGCTGATCGTCCAAATCTCGTTATTGACTGTGGTCTTATAGACCTAATATATTTGTTCCCTCCATGAATAGGTTTGGTGCCAGCTGATCGTCCAAATCTTGTTGTTGACTGCGGTCTTATAGACCTGATATATTTGTTCCATCTATGTGTAGGTTTGGTGCCAGCTGATAGTCCAAATCGTTTTATTGATTTTTGTTTTAGAGACCTGATATATTTGTTCCCTCCATGAATAGGTTTGGTGTCAGCTGATCGTCCAAATCTCGTTATTGACTGTGGTCTTATAGAACTGATATATTTGTTCCCTCCATGAATAGGTTTGGTGCCAACTGATAGTCCAAATCTTGTTATTGACTGTGGTCCTATAGACCTGATATATTTGTTCCCTCAATGAATAGGTTTGGTGCCAGCGGATCCTCCAAATCTTGTTATTGACTGTGGTCTTATAGACCTGATATATTTGTTCCCTCCATGAATAGTTTTGGTGCCAGCTGATGGTCCAAATCTTTTTTTTGACTGTGATCTAACAGACCCTCCATCTCTTGTCTATTGACTGATAGGATTTTTATCTGCAGACCTTCCAAATCTTGTTATTGACTGTGGTCTTATAGACCTGATATATTTGTTCCCTCATAAATAGGTTTGGTGTCAGCTGATCGTCCAAATCTCGTTATTGACTGTGGTGTTATAGACCTGATATATTTGTTCCCTCCATGAATAGGTTTGGTGTCAGCTGATCGTCCAAATCTCGTTATTGACTGTGGTCTTATAGACCTGATATATTTGTTCCCTCCATGAATAGGTTTGGTGCCAGCTGATCGTCCAAATCTCGTTATTGACTGTGGTCTTATAGACCTGATATATTTGTTCCCTCCATAAATAGGTTTGGTGTCGGCTGATCGTCCAAATCTCGTTATTGACTGTGGTGTTATAGACCTGATATATTTGTTCCCTCCATGAATAGGTTTGGTGTCAGCTGATCGTCCAAATCTCGTTATTGACTGTGGTGTTATAGACCTGATATATTTGTTCCCTCCATGATTAGGTTTGGTGTCAGCTGATCGTCCAAATCTCGTTATTGACTGTGGTGTTATAGATCTGATATATTTGTTCACTCCATAAATAGGTTTGGTGTCAGCTGATAGTCCAAATCTCGCTATTGACTGTAGTCTTATAGACCTGATATATTTGTTCCCTCCATAAATAGGTTTGGTGTCAGCTGATCGTCCAAATCTTGTTATTGACTGTGGTCTTATAGACCTGATATATTTGTTCCCTCCATGAATAGGTTTGGTGCCAGCTGACCGTCCAAATCCCGTTATTGACTGTGGTCGTATAGACCTGATATATTTGTTCCCTCCATGAATAGGTTCAGTGCCAGTTGATAGTCCAAATCTTTTTGTTGACTGTGATCTGATAGACCCTCCATCTCTTGTCCTTTGACTGATAGGATTTTTATCTGCGGACCTTCCAAATCTTGTTAGTGACTGTGGCCTTATAGACCTGATATATTTGTTCCCTCCATAAATAGGTTTGATGTCAGCTGATCGTCCAAATCTTGTCGTTGACTGTGGTGTTATAGACCTGATATATTTGTTCCCTCCATGAATAGGTTTGGAGCCAGCAGATTGTCCAAGTCTTCTTATTGACTGTGGTCTTATAGACCTGATATATTTGTTCCATATATGAGTAGGTTTGGTGCCAGCTGATAGTCCAAATCTTTTTATTGACTGTGGTCTTATAGACCTGATATATTTGTTCCATATATGAGTAGGTTTGGTGCCAGCTGATAGTCCAAATCTTTTTATTGATTTTTGTCTTATAGACCTGATATATTTGTTCCATATATGAGTAGGTTTGGTGCCAGCTGATAGTCCAAATCTCGCTATTGACTGTAGTCTTATAGACCTGATATATTTGTTCACTCCATAAATAGGTTTGGTGTCAGCTGATAGTCCAAATCTCGCTATTGACTGTAGTCTTATAGACCTGATATATTTGTTCCCTCCATAAATAGGTTTGGTGTCAGCTGATCGTCCAAATCTTGTTATTGACTGTGGTCTTATAGACCTGATATATTTGTTCCCTCCATGAATAGGTTTGGTGCCAGCTGATCGTCCAAATCTTGTTATTGACTGTGGTCTTATAGACCTGATATATTTGTTCCATATATGAGTAGGTTTGGTACCAGCTGATAGTCCAAATCTCGCTATTGACTGTGGTCTTATAGACCTGATATATTTGTTCCCTCCATGAATAGGTTTGGTGTCAGCTGATCGTCCAAATCTCGTTATTGACTGTGGTCTTATAGACCTGATATATTTGTTCCATATATGAGTAGGTTTGGTGCCAGCTGATAGTCCAAATCTCGCTATTGACTGTGGTGTTATAGACCTGATATATTTGTTCCCTCCATGAATAGGTTTGGTGTCAGCTGATCGTCCAAATCTCGTTATTGACTGTGGTCTTATAGACATGATATATTTGTTCCCTCCATGAATAGGTTTGGTGCCAGCTGATCGTCCAAATCTCGTTATTGACTGTGGTCTTATAGACCTGATATATTTGTTCCCTCCATAAATAGGTTTGGTGTCGGCTGATCGTCCAAATCTCGTTATTGACTGTGGTGTTATAGACCTGATATATTTGTTCCCTCCATGAATAGGTTTGGTGTCAGCTGATCGTCCAAAATCGGACCTTCCAAATTGATTGACTGTGGTGTTATAGACCTGATATATTTGTTCCCTCCATGACTAGGTTTGGTGTCAGCTGATCGTCCAAATCTCGTTATTGACTGTGGTGTTATAGACCTGATATATTTGTTCACTCCATAAATAGGTTTGGTGTCAGCTGATAGTCCAAATCTCGCTATTGACTGTGGTCTTATAGACCTGATATATTTGTTCCCTCCATGAATAGGTTTGGTGTCAGCTGATCGTCCAAATCTCGTTATTGACTGTGGTCTTATAGACCTGATATATTTGTTCCCTCCATGAATAGGTTTGTTGCCAGCTAATAGTCCAAATCCCGTTATTGACTGTGGTCTTATAGACCTGATATATTTGTTCCCTCCATGAATAGGTTTGGTGCCAGCAGATTGTCCAAATCTTGTTATTGACTGTGGTCTTATAGACCTGATATATTTGTTCCATATATGAGTAGGTTTGGTGCCAGCTGATAGTCCAAATCTTTTTATTGATTTTTGTCTTATAGATCTGATATATTTGTTCCCTCCATGAATAGGTTTGGTGTCAGCTGATCGTCCAAATCTCGTTATTGACTGTAGTCTTATAGATCTGATATATTTGTTCCCTCCATGAATAGGTTTGTTGCCAGCTAATAGTCCAAATCCCGTTATTGACTGTGGTCTTATAGACCTGATATATTTGTTCTCTCCATAGTTAGGTTTGGTGCTAGCGGATCGTCCAAATCTTGTTATTGACTGTGGTCTTATAGACCTGATATATTTGTTCCCTCCATGAATAGGTTTAGTGCCAGTTGATAGTCCAAATCTTTTTGTTGACTGTGATCTGATAGACACGCCATCTCTTGTCCTTTGACTGATAGGATTTTTATCTGCGGACCTTCCAAATCTTGTTATTGACTGTGGTCTTATAGACCTGATATATTTGTTCCCTCCATAAATAGTTTTGGTGTCAGCTGATCGTCCAAATCTTGTCGGTGACTGTGGTGTTATAGACTTGATATATTTGTTACCTCCATGAATAGGTTTGGTGCCAGCAGATTGTCCAAATCTTGTTATTGACTGTGGTCTTATAGACCTGATATATTTGTTCCCTCTATGTGTAGGTTTGGTGCCAGCTGATCGTCCAAATCTTTTTATTGACTGTGGTCTTATAGACCTGATATATTTGTTCCATATATGAGTAGGTTTGGTGCCAGCTGATAGTCCAAATCTTTTTATTGATTTTTGTCTTATAGATCTGATATATTTGTTCCCTCCATGAATAGGTTTGGTGTCAGCTGATCGTCCAAATCTCGTTATTGACTGTGGTCTTACAGACCTGATATATTTGTTCCCTCCATGAATAGGTTTGTTGCCAGCTAATAGTCCAAATCCCGTTATTGACTGTGGTCTTATAGACCTGATATATTTGTTCCCTCCATGAATAGTTTTGGTGCCAGCTGATAGTCCAAATCTTTTTGTTGACTTTGATCTGATAGACCCTCCATCTCTTGTCCATTGACTAGTAGGATTTTTATCTGCAGACCTTCCAAATCTTGTTATTGACTGTTGTCTTATGGACCTGATATATTTGTTCCCTCCATAAATAGGTTTGGTGCCGGCTGATCGTCCAAAATTTGCTATTGACTGTGGACTTATAGACCTGTTATATTTGTTCCCTCCATGAATAGGTTTGGTGCCAGCTGATCGTCCAAATCTCGTTATTGACTGTGGTCTTATAGACCTGATATATTTGGTTTCTCCATGAATAGTTTTGGTGCCAGCTGATAGTCCAAATCTTTTTGTTGATTTTGATCTGATAGGCCTTCCATCTCTTGTCCATTGACTGATAGGATTTTTATCTGCGGACCTTCCAAATCTTGTTATTGACTGAGGTATTATTGACCTGGTATAACTGTCACCTCCATGAATAGGTTTGGTGTCAGCTGATCGTCCAAATTTTGTTACTGACTGTGGTCTTATAGACCTTCCATGTCTTTTCCATTGACTGATAGGATTTTTATCTGCGAACCCCCGAAATCTTGCTATTGACTGTGGTATTATTGAACTGATATAATTGTTACCTCCACGAATTGGTTTGGTGTCAGCTGATCGTCCAAATCTTGTTACTGACTGTGGTCTTAAAGACTTCCCATGTCTTGTCCATGGAGTTGTGGGGGGATTGCTATCAGATGATCGTCCACATCTAGTCATTGACTGTGGCTGGAGAGAACTTTTACTCTCTTGAGGTATTCCATGTGATATCTTCGGCTCGTCCTTTTTCAGTCCATGTATCGTTAGTGATAATTTCCACAGAAGTATTAGTTGGTAAATAGGCACAACAACTATTTTCATAGTGGTTTTTCTGATTTAGCAAAAATTCTTGGAAGGATTTATGTGGTCGCAAGCCTCTTGAGCTGTACTTTATAAGAATGGTTTGAGTAGCTGATTTATGATGATATGTTTTACCCAAATGGCGAGGGTCAGACTAATTGTAGGACTATTAGAGAGCCTTATTTATATCTTTCATAGAAAACTCTACAACTGTGAAAAGAGATGACCAGGTTGGAACTGTCAGTGCAAAGGAACAACCATGAGCATCCATCTGTGCAACGAAAACATCACAAATGATAAAAGAATTCACCATGGTTGACACAGCTTCGTAAAAGAGCAAAATTTCGGTTCTCAGTTTGCAGCCTTTTGTTTAGTTTTTAAAAGCTTGAGAACGTAAGCCGAAAGTTTGGTTATTATCAGGGATAAAATCGTGAAAAGGGCAATACACTAACGACGGAGAACTATTAATAAACATTAGTAAGCGTGAAGGCGAGGACGATCCCTATACTAAAGATTGAACATCTGCGCGACGAAAACATCGCAGATGAAAATAGATAAGCAAATACGATAAAAAACGGATTCCTTTGGTTCACCAGGTTTTTAGAGGGCGAAATTTCGGTTCCTAGTTTGCAGCCTCTTCATAGGTATTTAAAAGCTCAAGCATATAAGCCGAAAGATTCTTTAAAAACGAATACTGTTTCAACCAAATGACTCCTTTTTCATGTAAATATCAAAACTTTCTAGCTAATGCACATGTTTACATGTAAACTGCAGAAGTGATAAGTTTCCAATTTCTCAACACAATATTATTAACGAGTCCTGAGATAAGGACAACCTAAATATGTGTCAAAAAGAAGGTGCTGTCTGATTCGAAAAGTACTTTTCTCAAATCAGCATGGTTCTATTCATGCAAAGCCTTGTGTTTGAGTCTCATATAACTCATCAGTTTATTTATCACTATTATTTCTGTCTCCATAATGGAAGTCTTCTGAGTCCGAAAGGCTTCTCTCGATGTTGGAGGTCTCTTCCGGAAAGGCTGAGAGGCCTTCCCAAGGAAAAAGGAATGATATCGGGGGTGAATCTTGATGACTGCTTCTCTTTCATGTTCAGTGCGTTTTTTTATCCAGATGTATTTAACTAAAGTATTAGCTGAGTAATAGCCACAAGGACTCTTTTGATCGGATCGGTTTTTTTGTTTTAGGCAAACTTCAAGAATTTTCTTTGAATCTCTTAGATCAGTTTTCGATTTTGTCCTTGTTGGCGGTTACAAGACACAAGAAAACATGCTAATAGAATTTGGTAAGAGGGGCAAACACAGTACAGTTACATATTTAAACAAATAAAAGGATATATTTTGGTGAACAAAGTCTCTTAAAGAGCGAAATTTCGGTTGTCAGCTTATAGCCTATCCTTTACTTTTCAAAAAAAGCGGGTGATAAGGACAGCCCTCTATACGTCAACAAGAGCGAAGGATTTGTCTCAATAGAAGACAACTTTTCTCAAATCAGTATGGTCTTATACATGCAAAGCCTTGTGTTTGAGAAAAAAACTACGATCCGTTTGAGAGGGGCAGGAACAATGAAAGAGCTGATTTACTCATCAGTTTTTTCATGATCGTAGTTTTTGTCTCCCTGATGGCAGTCTTCTAGATCTGAATGTGTTTTCTTGATGTTGGAGATCTCTTTCGAGAAGGCTAAGAGGCCTTCCCATGGAAGAGGGACTGATGTCGGTGGTGAATCTTGATGACTGCTTCTCTTTCTCTTTCAGTGCTTTTTCATTTTAAAAGTATATTCAACTGAAGTATTAGCTGAATACTGAATAAGCACAAGAATCCTGTTCGTTGGGTGGTTTTTTTTTTGTTTTGCCAAGCTTCAGGAATTTTCTTTGGATAGCTTTGTTCTTTTGCGATACTGATCAAAGTTGTGGATTATATTAATATTTTCCTTCACGTTTCCCCCAACAGGCGAAAACCTTACTGTCGGTCGTGAAGTAGGTGACATTGTTTCGATATAATCACACGTCCCAGGTGTTAGTTAGTAATAACAGACAGCAAACGTGGAGATAAAGCTGTAGTGTTAAAAATAGATTAAATGAGGCTAAATAACGAAGACTTAAAATAGATTTTTTACATTTTTAACATCTGTATATTCGCAGTTGAAAATTCTTATATTGATAATTGTGCAATATAAGTCTCTAAAACATTTAAGCTGCGGGTACTGCAAGAGATTACAATCAGCTTATAACCTCTTGCAGTTTAAACATGTAAACTAACCGGAAGGTGTAGTAATTACACGTCCCAGGTGTAAGTTAGTAATAACAGACAGCAAACGTGGAGATAAAGCTGTAGTGTTAAAAATAGATTAAATGAGGCTAAATAACGAAGACTTAAAATAGATTTTTTACATTTTTAACATCTGTATATTCGCAATAAACTGCCTCTTTTAGGTATTATTTTATTATACTGTTTGTGAGAGAAGCCTTTTTCAGCGTCGTCCAAATCTTGTTATTGACTGTGGACTCAAAGTTCTGCTGAATTTTGCCCTTGCCGTGATGAAATAGTTTTCAGCTGATGGTCTAAATCTTAGTATTGATTATGGCTTCAGAGACCTTCCATAACTTGGGTATAGATTGGTAGGATTGCTAGAAGGTGATGGTCCTAATGTTATTATTGCTAATAGACCTGGCATCTCTTCGCCTAACTTCGAGCTAACTTTCGGTACTCGATTTACAGCCTCTCTCTTTTAGTTTTCAAAAGTGCAAGAATATAACTCGAAAGTATAGTAGTTAGAAGACTATTTTAACCAAATAATATCTTTTTTTCGAGTAATATCAAAACTTTATAGCTGATGCCCATGGTTATCCTTAGCCTCCAGAGGTGATGAGCTCACAGCTTCATAACACAATATGATTGTCGCATCGAGTCCTTGTCTTGCAAAGCGGAGATGAGGTCAGCCTTTCACACGTCAAAAAGAGGGTGTGTCACAATCACAAACAATTTTTCTAAAACCAGCATGGTACTATTCATGCAAAGTCTTGTGTTTGAGGAAGAAGTACGACCCGTTGGAAATGAAAAAGAAGATTAAAAGAGCTAATTTTCATATTTTTTCATCGGTTTTTCTATGCTCAAAATTGTTGTCGTGAATGGCAGTGTTTTGGCTCTGAAAGGCTTTTCTTGATGTTGGAGGTCCCATTCTGATAGGCAATGAGTTGGACGGGGGGGGGGCTCCGGCCTTTTCAAATTTTTAGGCATCTCAAATTTTTTGGGCAGCAAGAGAGATCAGTTTGGGAAAAGTAAGTTTTTGCAAAAGTTGCTTTTAGAAAAGTAGCCCTAAGAAGGCCATCAGATGGCAGTGGAAGGACATTATTTGAAGCAACCGGCCTCTTATATAGAATACTTAATGCCCACTGCTTGCGTTAAACCGCGGTTTGGGTTAGATCTTCTGTAAATAACCGGTCCTCAGTGCTGCTCAGGATTACTTTCTACACATACAGTAGAAAGATAAACTCCATGGTTCATTCTGTGTCATAGCATCCTATAGGGCAAAGTTGAGCACATGTCCGTGTCAGTGGACGTAGATACCGAGCGGAAAGCACCCTTCCACTCTTGAAGAGAGTCCTTATGTACAACGTTTTAATCAGCCGCCCCATCGAATGCTTTAACAATCCTGTTCTTGAGACTTCACCAGTGTATACAGTGCCTTTCCTTCGTTTGATTCCATGGAGTAGAAATCAATGAATGCTTATTAGAAAATAGAATAAAACAATGAAAACTTTCGTAAAAACTGACTTAGCCCAAATTTCTCTCCCTGCCCAAAATTTGGGAGGCTGCAGCCCCAAGCCTCCCCCGTTCATACACCTATGCTAAAATAGACACAAAAACATTGGATCAAGTGATCAAGATCAACATCAACTTTATTTAAACATGCTGGTTTCCAGTAGGGGCGTGAACTAAGTGTAAAAGTTAAAAACTACTTAAACTATTGGGTTGAAATAAGCTCGTCAAACGTAGCCTAAGTTTCACAACTACGTGTTTCATTCGACAAGGAATAGCAGATCTTAGCACCATTCTACGTAATCTCCAGCCAAGATGACCTTAAGCTAATTCAGACTATCCAGCCTACTCGCTATTGATTTATCATATCACTTGTGAGAGAAGGATTTTTTAGCCAGCAATCGTGATCGAACGATCAGTTACAAAAGATTCAAAACCAAAATCGAAGCTGTGAGAAGAAAATGACGGAAAAACAGGTCTGTAGTCGTGATGCCTCCTCTGTTTTTTTTAGGTGTTCCTGTTGCAAAGAAAAAATTCCGTTACTTGTCAAAAAAAAAACGAAAATGGCAAACTCATTATTCATTGCCTGACCTAAGATTACAGTTTATGGCAATGGTAAAGTTTGCTCTTATAACTGCAAGAGGGACAATTGTGGGTATTTCATATTTCTTTGATAGTTTTCAATAGAAAAAAAAAACCGTCGACTTGTATGCACACCGAATTTACTGGATAGAACACTCCAACATTGAGGGCTGAGGGATTAGGGGTAGCTGTGACCCCCTGGTATTCCTGTGACCCCCTGGTATTCCTGTGCCCCATTCAAGCATGTTTGTTGGCATGTTTCACGATATTTAGAGAACCAACTTGAGCTGCAACATTTCCCCAGAATTTTACAATCTTGGGTGGCTAAAACAGTACCTCCCCCCCCCCCCAAAAAAAAAAACACAAGAACTTACCTCTTCTTATCTTGAATTTGATTTGATTTGGGAGATTGCAGTCTCGCTCTAGGTGAAAAATATAAAGGAGACGATTGATCTCGCAAAAAAGGCAACAACACAGGTCCTACTCAAAGGTTTAGGCGGTCAAAATAATGTGCCATTGATGTTGAGGCTTATTCTAGCATCTGGAACAAAAAACTACTAGCGGAATTGCAATTTTTCCCGGGCGAACCCATTGACATAAGTCTTGACCAACGACCTAGCCTGGTCTCTGGTATGGAGACAATGCAGCGGCTGGGGCATCTCCGGTTGTCTTCCCCCCTCCGGTTCAAATGCTCCACCCTGTTACTCACTGGATTTTTTTTCTCACTTGCCTCGGTTTAGAGCGCTAACTACTCGACGAATGCCACTGTACAGGGGCGTAGCCAGGATCTTTCAAGGGAGTGTTAGGGTTAGCGTTAGGGTTGGGGAGGGGTCTCACTATGTCAAACAGAGGGTACTCAACAGGCTGTCTTGTCGACCTCCACGCTGAGGTTTTCTCAATGTGACGAAAAAGGTTTACAAAGTGGGGTCACGAGCAACCCTAGACCCTCCTTCCCTAGTTACGCCCTTGCTGTAACTTGCGGATTAAGCAAATGCAATACTCATTTGAAATTTTTGAAAACCTGAGCAGGAAAGTGAAGACGATTCTCCGTATATTCCGATGTTGATTGGAGGACAAGTTTCAGAGGAATTGTAACCTGAAATTCGAGGTAAACGCAAATGAACTTTAAGTTCATGTACACGGTTAATGATCATATTAGTGGAGGTATTGGTTTCCCCCAACACATTGGAAATTCAGCACATAAGCCCGTGGCTTGCTCAGAAAAGTATAAGGTTGGAGGGCAGTGGCCGTTGTTTTGCTGATTAGATTTCTTGGTTTATCACTCTGCAAAACAGGAGGTTTTGTTTTAACAAAGTCATCGGGACAGACATGTTTCTAGAATAATAAACGGTACTCGACGTAAATTGGCTTCCTAAAGTAACATTTTTGTATTTGAAAGGGTTCCTGGCCAAGTTAAAGATCATGAATTTGATCGTCATTAAAAGTTACAAGTAACTGATCGGTGAATGTTCCTACCGGCACAAAGGTTTGTAAACTGCAGCTGCATCTCTTCTCCTTCTCCTTAAAAAAGCAAAACATAGCTAAATGCAAAACTATTTCTAGATAGGCGTTTCGTGGCGAAAAGCTTTTGAAGTGAGCGTCATCAACATGAAGATCAGATTCAACTCAAGTCACCACGCTTGCTCATTATTGATTCAAAATGATGTTTCTTTGGAAAAGGCACTCAGAATCAAAGATAGAAATGTATGAAAGTGGTTTTGCACTCCCTGACTCGGTGATTGGAGGCAAAAAGGTTACGTAATTTTCTCATCTGATAATCTTTACAACTAAAACTGGGGGTTACTAGTTTACTTATGAATTCCCGCGCTTTTAGACCAGTTACCTGGTTTCATTTCAATTTCTTGTTCAGTAGCTTCTATTGAACTTTTTCTTTGTTCTGATTGGCCTCTGTTGTTTGATGTTGTTGCTGTTCTTGTTTTGTTTTGTCTAGTTTTTTAAGGGGGGTGAGGGTGAACAATGCCCTGTCAGAAAGCATTCGCCTGGTCATTTATCTAATGCAGGGCGTGAAATTAATTTGTTTTTCTGATAGCCACTTGGCTCCTAAATTCTTCTAAGTGGTAAATGAATAAAGGGGGTGGTGCTGCTTCGGTGGGAGAGTATAGCAGGTAATTTAGTGATCGCTCTGACGAAGGGCTAACGCTCGAAACGTCAGCTTTTTTACCCTTTACGGTGGCCAATTTACGTTTTCATCTCAGCTGTTAACACTAAATTATCTTCAAAGTGGTAGCCAATTCAAAAAAAGTTGGTCGCCATTTTCAAAGACAAAAAAACCTTTTTTTCCACTGTCAGCGTTCTAAATACTCTCCAAAATTAAGTTAGGGTAAAAATCTTTAATGTGCTACAAAGTGGACACTAGGATGGATGATATACAACGTTCAATCCCACCTAAATCCATGATGGCGTCTAGTTATCAATCGAGATGCACGTGCTGCGTTTTGGAAACAAACTTAACGAGGAAGTTTGCCGCGGATTTATCTTTGCAAATCTTTTTAATTCACTATATCTCTTGGTAAGGTTATGATGAAACATTCTAGTAGCCAATTTGGCAACTACTTTTCAGGATTTGGTGTGCCAAAGTGAAACATTTAGTCGCATTGACGTCTCTCACGCCCTGTAATGTGAGATTAAAAAGGTTACCTGCCGGTCCAACTTTGAGAGTGTAATCGTCTGGACCCGGAGTATCTGTTACCCTTGATGCATACACAGTCACAGTGCCATATTGTGGTACAACCTGCAGCAAACACCAAAGTCTTGTAACGTGTCGATCAATTTGAAGGTTCCACATTTCCACACCGGGCAACCCACGGGCATTTGATTTTGTCGTCTGAGTAGAGAACCCTGCCTGGGTGGGGTGAGATGGGGTGGGGGATTTGAATTGGAACTTTCAAGTCTTTCGAGCAGAATACAAGTGGTTTATTTTTTAATATGGAGGTGTTTACAGGTAAATAGTTTACTTTCGCAAGCAAAGGGCTCACAACAAAAGTTCTAAAATAATGTCACGGTCGCTAAGTTTGCCTTTTCCGAAAAAATTGACGATCAAGTCCATAACTTAGATGGAGTATTGGAACACAGGTTTAGCCCCAGGGGAGGGGGTGTGGGATTGAACGAACTAATCTTCAAAAGTTTACATCCATGGAGAGTTTCCCGGGGAAGAGGGGAAGGGGGGAAGTTGATGCTTCGAATTGATCGACGCATACGCTCGACATCTCCTCTAGTAGTAAGAACTCAGGTTTAAAAAAATGGATTATTATGACTCAGCGACGTATTGTCAGGAGACGAAAAAACTAGAAACATACTTACGTCAATAAAAATTTCCTCGACCCCGAAAAAAAGCTCCGCCGGCAAAGTAAAGAATCGTGCCTTATTTGGAGAAACGAACGCTACGACTTCTGTGGAGTCCTTTGACTCAGTGAAGTTCAAGTCCATGTTAATAGGTGCTGCAAAGAGAACATATTGATATGGCAGAGGTTGAAAAGTGGCGGCGGGCAGTAACACATGTCCACAAAGCAATTCAAGACAGGATAGTTGCTCAGTGTGACGGAAAACCACAGAACATTGGTTAAGTGATAATGTGGCATAAATCTCAAAGTGGAGAAATGAAGGAGCATTAGTTGGGTTGGAGAAAATCAACTCGGAGTGGAAATGATCAGCCTTTTAATTACTTTAGTAAATGTTTAAGATTTCTAAACGTGAAACAGCTCCTTTCACTCGTCCAGGAGTTACCATGTCATTATTAATTACCGAATATGATCTTCACGCTTACAGAGCAAATTTCAACTTTGTGAGGAGTCTATAGCGGATGATATAAGGACATTTTCAATTGCACTATCAAGGACTCTTCTTCACGCTTGGGTCAAAGATATATTTGAGGCCTGATGATTCGGCAGCATATCTTCACACAAGTCAAATTAGAAACTCCCTGCTCGCGAGAAGGAAAAGCCTAAACTATTTTTTAATTAAATGTCATGTTAAATCCATAATTCTAAGGCTACATACTCTACGAAATTAAATTATCAGGACGCTAGCAACGGGTTAAGTTAACCCTTTAACATCAATGAACTGATTGTTAATTCTCCCTTCTATCTGCTACACATTTCCCTGCAACGAGAATTTAGTATTGGAACAAGATAACAACCTCTACCTAAGAAGTTTGAGAATTCTCGTTACCGGTTAGGTGGATAATGTATGGGTATTATAGGTTAAAATTTCATGTCAATCACAGAATTCGAAACTCACCATTACAAGCCCTTGTTCTCAGCGACGTGACCAACTCAGGAAGTTTGTCGAAGTTTTCAGCAGTGAAAACATGGTGCTTCTCGTCAGTAGCAATCAAACGCAGCTCGAAAAGATCGTAATTTGCGACCCCAACAGAAATCATAGTCAGGTCTGAAATGTTTAAGTTTCAGAGTGAAATTCATTATACACAGACAAGGCATGGGCTACACCTGAAGCCTATGATTTACCAAATAAGGTTGTATCACTGTATTTCTACATACAGCCATGCAAGAAAATTTGTGTACAGAACTATGCCATTTCATTGGGCGGAAGGAAGTTGTTTAATCTCCGTCAATGATAAACCTTTTCCCAATGTTACAACACATACTTAGCTTTAGAGGTACGAGTTGTTAGTTCTGTTGGCTGATAGGAGAGTAGGGCGGCGACCATTTTCAGTCCCTGGGAGTGAAGAAACTTTGTTCTTGCGCATCTTTACTCGTTTCCGTTGCAACGCTTGGCATTCTAGAACAAAGCGTTATATCCCCTAGGCCTCAACATAACTGTCTGCCTATTAAGCAGCACAAGTCCTTCTGCTCATAGATTACAGATAAAATCAAATGATGAGTGAACTTCGTTCGGTTCTCGAGGGCGCCAAAAATGTTTTATCTCTCTGCTAAATATAAGTGAACATTACCCTTTATGTCTTTCTTCAAATCCTTCGCCGCGTTCTTCAAGGCGTAACGATCGTCAGAATGGCCGTCTGTGAGTACAATGACGATCTATGTCACACAGAAAAGTTGGCTTAGCTTATAGATTGATATATGGTGACTGATGATAGGCCCCCTCAATCCTAGTTATGCGCCTTCCCCCCCACCCACCTTCACCACCATTCATAGATTATTTGATCTCTGCAAAGTTGTATGTTGAATAATCCATTCGTGATAGGTACTAAGGTCGTACCTGTACTGTTTCTATGTCGCTCACTGGATTGTCCAAAGCGGGTCGTAATACATCGTAGTGAACAATCTCTAGAGCCACTGCAGTCCGCGTGGAGCCGCCTATGGAAGAAAAATTTGTTTTTTACTTCAGAGCCCTCTTATGTCTTCGTAAAATTTAGCTTAGTTTTAAACCTAATCTGTGGAATAGACAAGAGAATACAATGCAATCAACAGGTTTAATGATGTGATAAGCTATTGCTTTGAAAACAAGGAAATTTTATTTTTTCCATTTAAGATCCCTTTAGATGGTCAGCACATTATGTAATAGATTCATTGGAGTTTCGAGATGCTTTGTGCATGATTTCAAAAAACATAGTTCAAGTTCTCCGGGGTTGATTTACCTTAAAACTCGCAGCTATTCAGACCGAAAAATCTACGTTATACTTGTGTAAATCAAAATTCGTTTGGTTAGAAACAAAAATGTTCAAGGGTGAAGAACAATCTTGATATGCTAATTGCAATCGAACAATTCGCTATTGGGGATTACTCAACTCTTTGGTAAGTTACAGGCACAAAGATATAGCTAAATTACGAGTCAAGAAGACGTAGCGTTGCTGGGTAACCTTTTGCTTTGAAGGAAACCAAAAATTGACAGTGTGTGTGTGTGAGAGACTTTAATAGCTCAAGCAAATAAAAAATTTGGTTCAACAAAAACTGAAAAGTTGAAACTGTTTTGAAAGGCCTTGAATCAGCCGTCTGCAATTGAAAAAAGTTTTTCGTAAAACTGTTGTCATTCAGATGGTAATAATTAAATGATTGGTTTTCTAGGTAGACGCCCTTAATCGAAGGAGGACTAACGAAGGATTGGTGACGTTCGAAACGGGCTTAAGAATTTCTTTACGCGTCTGATTGGGGTATGATAAGATAATTTGGTAAACCCAAATTAAGATTTATAATGGCTTAGGAGGATGGGACACAACTGACACTCATTCAAAATGACACTTTTTTATGACACTCTACAATATTTAAACCGTGAAGAAGTTGTTAAAAAGAACTTAAGATTTGGAACTCTAAGACCTTAGGAGGATGGGACACAACTGACACTCATTCAAAATGACACTTTTTTATGACACTCTACAATATTTAAACCGTGAAGAAGCTGTTTTCAAGAACTCGAGCCTTTTGGAACTCTAAGACCTTGTGAAACTGTATGTATCAACAAAATTACAAGAATTCACTTCACATCATGTTTTATTAATTTTTGGTAAATAATATTTTGTAAGTTAAGTATCATAAGAGAATTTTAAGTGATGTATGTTGATGCAAATGAAGTTAGATTTAAAATCAAAGAAAAACATACCAGAATACGAGATGTCATCTACTGCGCACATCAGTCGCGTTTTGGAGCCATAGTTGTCTAAAGCTACTGCCACACTGGCTGTACTGGAATACTCAACAATAGCCACGCGAGTTTGACGCGGAGAAATGTCAAATGTTTTAATGATCTCTCTGAAAAATAACAAGCTTTCTACAGTCGAAAGTTTTCCACAAAAATCACAATACCAGTCACGCCTTTCAATTCCTTTCCATTGCTAAAATCTACTAATACCGACAAACAGTCTTAGATTTTAGCACAGTAGATACTTAAAAAGACTTCAAAATATCATCACTGTGAACTGAAAATGACTAACAGTGATTGTAGGTTGAAGGTGATGATAATAGTGATTCTAATGATAGCACTTAGATGATTAAATAATGGTAATACAAACAAAACGATTCGCTTGTTTTGCTTTTACTGACAATATGCATTCAACTCGTGACACCATGTGGGAGTGGTCTTGGAGTATTACTCTGAGAAAACGACGTACAAGGCATAAAAAAATAATTGAATGCTCAAACAAATTTGCCTCACTATATCTACCAAATTCATGAATGCATTTCATTTAGCAAGCAAGAAAGAAGATTCATGTTAATATACCCATCCACGTGCACAAAGTTTGGAGGTTTCTTTTCGCTTTGTTGTTATACCGCAGTAGCGCCGTAAAGCAGCATTACATAAGCGGTGTTATTATTACCACTAACCCGATGAATTCCTTCTCCTTCAAATGGTTGTTAAAACTGACACTTCCTGACTCGTCCATGACAAATACAACATTAGCTGGAATTTCACAATCTAAAAGTAAAAAAATACAGAAGAGTTGACGCATGTAATACGAGTTTATGCGAAAGCAATGAGAATACACTCATAAACAAACTTGTAAGTTCTGACCTTCGCTGTCTTTGTCAATACTGCACTTGGAATTTCCTGCAATATTACCTGCAGAGCAGACAAATTCATTATTAGCAACCTCTTTGTTTTTGACTTTCAGCACTGTATGGCCTATAATACAGCTAAAAACACGTAGTTACTCTTTAGGGAGCAGAATTACCAAAGCAATCAGAAATAAAGAATTGGAAAAAAAATAACATAAAAGTAGTCTTTTCAATGACGTTTCCAATGAAGCTGGTAACAAATACAAAGACAGATACTCACCAAGGTGGGGGAAGAATTTTTCATTTATGTCCTTGGACAGAGAGAGGATTCTGCCTTGATTTACCCTTGTAAGCTGAGCTGAGTTTCTGTCATAGTAGGCGGAGGCAAATCCGTTTATCTCACTCAGAAGATTATCTTTATTGACGATACTTGAAAATTTAGAGTTTCTCTGGCACCTTGCATACGAAGTATCATAAAGGATGCCTGTTTCCAGAAGAAATTAATTGGAAGAATTCAATAACTGCAAATTGGTACACCATGTGCAGAGAATGTATCAAGTTAACAAGACTGTAAGATTAGCATATGGTGACTCCTGTTCAAAGCCACAAATCTGGCAGATTAATTGTTTAACTCCTGGACATAATTAAGGGTAAGGTCTGTAGACTCCTGTCCCCATTCTTGCCTTGGCAACTCAAATTTGCCGCTACAGAAATAATGCAATAAAAATTGTATTGTGTGAAGATAAGTTCTGCAAAACATTTTTGAGTCTGTGTGATTTCCTCAGACTACTAGTGTGAACTTGTCTGGCTATCTATTATTTGTATGTGTCTGCCTGTCCAATTTTTAATCATCATTCCTCTACAAGAATCTTTCTGTCTAAGCTTTATAGCACTAAGGAACTAGAGATATGTCATCAAACAAACATAATAAGAACAGAGGGTATCATGGAGTGGAAAAAACAGGACACTCAACATCAGTCGAGCACTAAGTCTAGTCTTCTGCCATTCAGAAGCAATACCATCTATAAACTTAAAAGAACCAGAATATGGATCAGTGGACTCAGCTATCAAATAAGTTCTCTCAAATGATTTCTCTTTGCAGCCAGCAGCAAATAACTAGTAACAGCAAGCAGATTTTGCATGTATACCCATTCTGCTCTTAGCACTGTTAACTCTAATTTCCAGATACCTGATCCGTAGTACATTCTCAGCAACTGACCAAGCCTAACACCTTTCTTCTTCCATTGGGGGATTCCATGCCCCAGGAGGAACCCATCAACATCTCCCAGTAATTCAGCGTCAGTAGCCTTAGAAGCTGTGTTAGTTAAGGAGTATGAAGCAGGGCATTCAGTTTTTGGGCTCCATGATCCAGACGGACCAAACAAATCTGAAGTGTCACCATTTGCTTTATACAGTGCGCTTCGTCCAAGGCTGTATGCAATTGTTGCTGTAAACAAATTATCAACACGCAGTGGAGCTCCTGAGGTCCATGCTCTGAGTGAGAGGCTTTTATCGCGATTCAGCCCTGCACAAATGCCTAGTAAGACTCGACCCATGGAAATGGTTTCCCGGTCTGATGTTAACACCACACCCTCTCGCCTGCTGGTTTGATCTCTGTAACTGTTTACAACCATGTTCTTCAGGACACGTCTCTCTTCTGAGTTCAAAATAAGGTCTGGAAGTGGATCTGCTTTGCCACACACTATGTTCCACAGATCAGTGTCGTAACCGAGGAGACGAACATAGTTAACAACTTTGTTTATAGAATCTCCACTTGTAATGGTGTGTCTTTCAATCTTCTCCACAAGCTCGATAAAGTAGTCCAGAGTGTAGATGTCATACTTGATTGGAACAGAACGCCTAGCCCTGAAGCAAATATGACCATAACAAAGTGAATTCAGTTTAGATAGTAACACGACTAATAGGATGAAAAAGCAAGTACAAGCTGGCTCGGCAGTATGCTTCAGTTAATGGTCAAACACACACAACACACAAATATCCAATTCAAATAAGAAAAGTATGTCTTTGTTTCTCTGAAGTTTCCCAATCCAAAATCACAAAGCTGGACACAGTAGCATTAACTCAATTTTGCATCAGGGTGACAGTTTGAGGAGAAGGTGAAAGTTACACGGTCATGATAAAACGCAGACTGCAGATGATGCAGACTGTGCAGTTTTTTTTGTCTTTTTTTAAAACTGTGATTTTACATGATTACTCTTTAGAAAATATTAGAACTGTTTCCAATTTTTGGACAACACATGACAAAATTTTTTATTGTTACTTTGAGTAACCTAATCTCAATGCATGCACAGTGTGTGTGAAATGAAAACTAGATGCCTACAAGCATTTACTCAGGATACTTATGTGTGACACAAAAAGAGTAACTTGTCTTCATTGTTAAAGCCCACAGCTCAAATGAAAACGATGGAATTTGAACAAAAATAAAGTGCAGGAGAACAATGCAAAACATTTGCATGGTAACCATGCAGTCATTTAACCCTTTAGTATTGGATCAACTAATTATCCCCAAATTGATATTTTTCCTTATTCTCATCACTTATCTGGTTGATATTGTAATGATATTGTAAGGAGAAATTCTGTCTTGGTCACACATGGGAGTTAAAGGGTTAACAAGAGAAGTCTAGACAAGCCAGTTTACTCCCTGTGAAAGCAATGGTCTCATGTACAAGCTGCACCCACAATTTTAGGCCCAAAACTTAAGCTAAAAGGTGGTGCTTATACACAGGTCTTTACGATATATACCAAAATTGGCAAATAACCATACAATAAGTAAGAAACTAATCCTTACTGTCACTGATATAAGTCCAAGGCGTCTTAATTCTGCTAACGCATTCAATGTCACCTTGAAAGATTCCAATATGGCGTCCATGTTGCCCGGAATATTTTGGTAGTTACGAAAACGAAGACCTTTGTCTGACTGTCTCCTCAGAGTAATCCTCAGTGAAGTCCCTTCTCATTAAACAGTCGGTATTTGTTCCTATGTTCGAGCGTGCTCGAGTAGTTTTGAGTTCATTTGAGTATCTTTGGCATTGTTTTTGACATTGTCTTTGGCATTGCTTTAAGTTTGTTTAGCATTGTTTAAAGTAATTTAGGCAGTGTTATGGCATTTTTTAGGTTCGCAGAACGACCCGTTTGGAAACTAACGCTCGACATCTTTTAGTGTGGACCTACCACGAATAGCGTGTGTGTTCGTAAGTACTTTGAGCGTTCCAGAAGGAAAGCAATTCTTCACTATTTTCAACCAAGCTTTGCACCACGAGAAGTAGAAAGCAGAGACCTAAGGCCTAGTTCAAACGTCGATCTTTACATGTACCGAACCTAACGTTTCTATTAAGTACATGTAAAGATCGACGTTTGAATCAATTAGGATCGGCAGATTTGTATTCGGAGTCGGTTTGTTTTGATTCCTACGTCGGTTGTTCCGAACTTAATGCATACATTTCATGTTTGTTTTACCCACAATTCAAGAAAAATGCGCGAAACTTGAACCATTCAAACAATATGGCAGGAAATGAGGGGTCGTGCTCCTCTTGCAGCGCATTTTTTCCGCCATTTTTATATTTTCAATGGAGTTATATTCAGTTTCGATTAGGATAAACTAAATTCGGATCGACGTTTGAATCAACTGCCGCTCTTAAAATCGACCCAAAAAGGTTCCTAAAGATCGACGTTTGAACTAGGCCTAAGAAGAGCAACCCAAATAGTCGGTTTGGTTTCTCGGTTGCCTCGCTTTCATGTTTGTAGAGAAATACCGCAGAGGGTCATGCAACGCAGGCTTATACTTTCGACAGTGACGTTATAAACATAAATAGAAAATCGAAACCTAATTTTGGCCTCACTTGCACACTGTCCTACTAATAACTTGTGATACGCAGGTACCCGGCAGACGGCACTGGGGTTTCATCGGTATGTTTTTCATTTTACCAAAAATCGAAACATAGAACGAAATGTGTCACTGTTGGTTTGCATTTATCGCTGTTTAGAGCTTGGAGTCAGACGGAGTAATTTGGTACGGTTGAAAGGTCGACGTCGGCTGCGATAAGTTCCCATCAGATGGAAAATAAACAACAAATTTTAATTTCACTCCTCTTTAGCTTTTCTTTAGTTCGTAAGTGTATTATTTAATCAAGAAACAAAGCAAAACGCCTTTCTCAGATTAAAGTTGTCTACAGTATTTGAAGTTTGCATTTGACACACATCAGTGGCTCTCCCACACTTGCAGAATGTTTCTCCAGAAAGTGATCGAAGGTTTTTTTCTTCTCTTACGAGCTGCAATGGAAGCGTTTAGGTTTGTTTTTAGACTGTAGAAGTGCTTTAATCTGACCCAGACTTGAGCTGTACTAGTTGGATTACAGGTCAGAAGAAACGCATGAAACAAGGCACGCAAGCGGCATTCCAAATGGCGCTCGTTTATTGTGTATTACCAATTATCATTCGGTTAAAAACCAGTTCCCAGAAAAGTTTTTTAACTTTCATTTAACGTCCGCCTAGGTGTAAAATAAAATTTTATAAGCGAGAAAACATAACTAAGGCTGAAAAAAACCGCATAATACTAGTGAAATTGGATACCTATCGAAATCAGTTTGTCAGTGTCTCGCGAGCTGTAGCAGTCCAAATTCTCCAGCGAACAAAGCGCGGTCTGCACGCTTTGCAGCCTGCAATTTAGCATGACCGAAAGTCACAGGACCCTTAGTGATCACTGTGATCGCATACAGTTGTGTGTAAAACATCTTAGCATTCTAAAACGCACAACGTACACCGCAAGCATTTTTAAGATGTTAAAATACACACGACAAACCTGTTGATAGGTACTGCATCCTCGTGGCGTATTCCTTCTCCTGGAATAGTGAGAAGTAAATGACTATAAATCCCTTAGAATTACATACAAGCAGATCAGGAATTTCCCGCTCAGCAGCTAGAATGTCATTACAAGACAAGATGATCATAAATACAAGGTTCTTACCATTCAGCAAACACACGGAACAACTGACCACGAAAACAAGCACAATCATGGAAACCGTGTTGTCTGCCATGGCTACCTGGTCTGATGGAGAAAATTCTATGAAGAGAATAAATGAAATTAAGAGCATGCTGGCTTTGACAGGGGAAAGGGTAGGGTTACTTTACATCTCGAGGCACAACTGTGCCTGTATATGTTGATGAAAAGCATAACAAACCTTGGTAATAACTCTACTTTCATCGGTTCATGCAACACTGTTATTATTTGAAAATGAAAACGATCTTCGCAGTAATGAACACTACTTGAGCAGTAGTGATAGTAAGGCCTGAAAAAATTCAGCATTTTTATGATGAAAACCTCCAAAGGTGATAATTTGCTACCGGTAACCGCGTAGCGACACTGTGATAAACATAAAGATGCAGCACCCTAATCTAAGAGAAACAGAATTATTTTCAGCGCTGTGAATTTTAAAGCTTCGAGAAGAACAGTTATGAATAATTAAAAGAGCCGATCGTGATAGAAAACGTGATAGCAAACTGAAGATAATCTGAGTTTTAAAAGACTCCTACCATATACAGGCGTGTCGTGGCTGATTTAGAGCCTCAGACTATACACACATGTAAACATGCCCTAACCGCTTAACATTGCCTATTGAAGTTCCAAATCTAAGGAACACAAGAGTTGGCTAACTAGCTATTTTAAAATTACACCAATGCTCAACTTAAATGAGCAATGAAAATCCCCTCACAACAACAACTGACAAAAAATTAGCCTATTAAAGCCTATTGAAAAAAGGGAATTCATGAAACCAACCTTTCGGTGAAGTCTCACAGTTCGCAAACTTCCTCCTTCCTAGTGATGCGCTGAGTTCTTGGAAAGCGAAAGTAGTGGTAATATGATCTCAACTACTCAATAGCCCTCACAACCGCGCCTAAACGCCTGGATAAACAAACAAACTTCTATTGAAAGCGAGACAGATTTTGCAGTAGACTTCCGATTTGAGGCTGATAGATTCTGTTGTGTGATTCGTCGACCATGCTTTTTTGTAGCTCAAAAAAGAAATTGTTATTTGCCCAAAAAAAACGTGGCGTTGGCTTCATCCGCGATTACTTATTTGACGACGTTGAATTCGCAATGAGCCATATTGCGTGACCTTGGATAAACACCACCTCCATAATATTGGCGCGATGTACTTTGGGAAATTTGGACAGATCATATTTAAAATCAATTCTTTGATTCAAAGCTTGCACTATCAAAGAACATCCAGAATGCCTTTTTTATTCTATATTATTTGTGAGGGACGGGAGTGTGATCAGCATACGGTGGCCTCTCTCTTCGTCAGAGATAAAGAGATTTTATGCTCTGTGAAACATCTTTGACATTGACGACATTGATAAGTTACCAAAGCTGGGCTGGGGGCACGGACAAAATAAAAATGAACGTTCCAAGCATAACTTTAAAAAAATATCTCAAAAAAATATGTCAAAAATTTTGCAATGCGCGTAAAAAATTTTTAACCAATAGCTAACTGTATGCAGCGTGGAATGTTTTCTTTGGGGTGTTCCCTGATACGACTTAATGAACGAAAAAAGAAATCCTTCCTTCTGTAACAACCACTAACCCCTCTTTCATCTTGAATTAAATTTGAAACGAAGATTCATTGTAGTGGACATAATGGATCATAATGAAGAATATTTGTATTCCTCAGTTAATCCTATATAGAATCTAACCCGAGTGACATCTGCTTGTTGCGTCAGTTGTTTGAGCCACATACTTATATGTACTAAGACATGAATATTCTGACAAAGCAAGCAAAGACTGATTTATCACTCACTATCATGTATCAAGTCCCAACTTTCGTCGACGACAGTAACTCGCCATAACCAGTGGTCCACGCCTCAGCAATTCTGAACTGCAAATGAAGAAATGCGCCTCAGAAACGATAGATTTGTATCTTCTCTATTAGAAAATTGAGGAATCTATGTGCCATTGCCATATTTGAAGACTCCAAGGAGTGCCCAATCCTAGTTTGGGTGGGGAAGATGTCTTTAGGAATCTTGGTTTGAAGTCTGGCAGCTTACTCGGGAAGTAACAGTCCATCTCCTCTTAAATTCTTATCGATATGTTTAAGTAACTAAGAGCTACAAAAAGGCATTCTTTATTCAAAAGATATAAGCAGTGCGGAGCTGTTTGTGATCTGCACGTTAAGGACCGTGAAAGACTGAGAAGACGTCCAAGGGCAATAAATGATCTGTCGTGACGGAGAATGATGTAAATCTTATTCCAGGCGACGATGAGTGGAGTATAAAGTCGCTTACTGATGTGCAATGACAGTGAGCGTTGTCTAGTAACGATTAAAGATGTGTCAGTTCAGCATGGTTAATGAGGTTTAGTGACGGAGAATGATGTTTTGTGGCTGTAAAAGGCAGTTTGTGACTGCATGTGCCTACTGTTGTAAAGAGTATTGCAGTGAAAAGCAATAAGGTGTAAAATGCAGAGGGTTAGTGAAAAGCTCTTGTCGATGTTTGATGCCAAATTTGTGACAAAAGGAGGACTTGGTTAGAGCAGAGATTGCACAATGGTCAATTGGCGGGGTGGGGACGGGGCAGGAAATTGAACAGAATAGATATATGCTTACATTGTCATAAATGTACATTTACTCAAAACTCTTTCACTTTGTACGCCTTGCGTACCTAGCAACGTTCCTACTCCTCTTGTCCCACTTGAGTCCGAAAGCAGAAGGTTCATGTCCCGACCGTGTCGAGAATTGCATTTTTGTAGAGTTCGATAGAGTTGCTTAGTGTTGTGTCGTCTAGACTCAGTCAAGTTACTCCCTTTATTACTATTGCTCAACTGAATTTTATTAAAGAATCAACAACCTATATTCACAATACAATACTAGGAATCAGTAATACTACTTTTACATAGGAATGTACTTTTACAATCATGTACCGATCGTGTCTTACAGGATATAGCGTGACTATAGTAACGCTTAGGTAACGCAATACACTACACTTAGCTTTTCATTTTTCCAGCAAAAACTGTCGAAATTGCAAAATTCCAGAGAATAGGGAACCAATTGTGATTAACGCCTTGAACAACTGGAAGTCAAGGTACTTCACTTCCGTCACACAAAAAGTTACAAAACGTAAATAACGTTCTTCTTGATGCTTTTCCCGGTGTCACCGATGCCTTTCCCGATGCCTCCGTTGGTTAATATAACAGTAAAAAAAATTGTTACAGTCAAAACTTTTGGAAAATGTCTTAACTTTTTAATCGGCGAAGTATAACTCGGCAACACTTCGGCGTTACAAAATGATTTGCAACTACGAATGATCTATCTTTATTTGAACCATTATAGTTGTTTCACCGCTGATCACTCACATTTCGGACTATTTTCCTTTCTCGGCTCGTCGCCTCCCAAAAAGACTTGGAGGAAGGTTTACGTGCACAATAGTGCGTGAATTTTCTAGTCAGCGGATTCAATTCCCAAAGAATATGTCATGTATACATACTTTTTCTGTCTAAAGAACAGACCGAGTCCCATTACCATCTGCTGTGATACGATAGGACACTACATGTAGCATATACAACATAATACAAACAAGTTTGCCTTGGCGGGATCTGTTGTTTTGAACCGTCAACGTCGTTTCTTGGTGCTGTGACATAGAAATCTCCCTGTAAATCAGCAATATTCTTGCCAAATTTTGGGCACGATACATTTCTCACCTAGTGGCCCATTAGTGTAACTGAACACAAAAACAAACAACGTACAGTAAGTTTATTTTTATCAAATTTTGCAGATCATTTGCACTTTTGTGATAGTTGTTTTTGTGTTTTTGTCTTCAGTCTAATGAATATAATAATTTTATTCTCTTCAATATTACGCCGCACTTTTATCTAAAGAATCATGGAGGAAACTATCAGAGAAGAACTGATTCAGTTTTTAAAGCAGAAAGTACCAGCTGAAACCTTAAGGTATAATACAGTGAGTTGTGGTATACATACGATTTAATATTTATGCCAGATAAGTCTTAAGTAAATGAACTCTTCACTGTTTGACATGACCTGAATCCCAAATCTTAAGGCAGACTTGAAGTTGTGGTGCAGATATGCATAAGCTTCAAAAGTTTCAGTTTCCTCGCCTATCTAAGAAGCCACTTTATTCTGAATTCTGTCAATATTATGAATTGGTTCGTGCAACAATTTTTGCTGATTAAGATATGAAGCATTCTGGAAAATTTTAGACACAAGCAAGAGCAATAATTTTACCTTCATGAGTGCTTCAAAAACTTTCCAAGTGCCTCATATCTTAATCAATGCAGAGCTGACGCATGAACCAACTGCTTAAGAACATTGTTATCACAGTATTTTATTAAATGACATGCAAAGCAAAATTCCCTCTAGGGACCATGCAAAGGGAGAGGTGGGGGACGGCTTTATCCTCCCTTCCCACTGTTTTGCTCTGCTATGTATGCCCCCTCTCCTTGTTGGTTGAAGCTAAGATATTGGTCTCCAGCCCTCCCCTTCCCCATCCAAAAATTTGCTCTACAGGCCCAGTAAATTTATATGCACATGTTATCAAAATGCACAATGGGAATATGAAGTATGCTTGGGGAATTGAATTTGTTTATGTATGCATGTGTGATTTTCTCTCTCTCAGTATGCCTCTCGTTTGTTGTCTTTTCTAAATTTTCTTTTTGTTTTTACTAGTTCTGTAGATGACATTGTTCTTGGTTATATTGTTAATGTCTTGGAACAACTTGGTGAAGATGATGAGTTTGATGTGGATGACTTCTCTGAAATAATGACTGCTTATATCCCAGAGTTTGATGAAGTCAATAGGTGCCTAGTTGTTATCTTGACTCGCAAGTACTGAAATTAGAACCTGTTTGACCAATTTTTTCTGGTTAATTTTAAATGTTACTCTTTGAATTAGTTACAAATCTTAGTAACAGATGAGATAACCTTGCTCATCTAGCAGTTTGTTTGGTTGGTTATCTCTCAGATTAAATTTAGTGCTAGATACAGGATCAGCAGACCTTTATGGTGGTTGTGACTGGATACATGTTCATTTCATTATGTCTTGAGACATCCTTTTGTCAAATATATCCATTTAACCTAAAAAAGGTTTTATTGAGAATTAGGATGACAACTGATAGGAAATTAAGTGTAGGATTCTCTAAGACAATGGACTTTAACTTTCTGTCAGTTGTCAGCAAATTGAAAACAGAAAACATGCTGGTAGATGATTTATTGATAAGCTTTTAATCCTATGCATGTAGGGATGCTGTTCAAAGTTGGATGCTTGACTTAGCAGACAAGCTAGTCAAGAGTAGAACTGCAAGGAATACATGTAGTTTCTCAGGTAAATCAAGGTCTTTTAACACTAGATTGACTGTGTACCTGTGTTTTGAGTCAAGGCCTCTGACCACTAAATCCTTAGCATTCAACTTTTGGTGATACGGGTTAGGGCATGGGTAATACATGGTTTAATTTTGCTGAAAGCAACTGCTTTTGTTGATATTTATGTGTGATTGCAAAGGCTGAGTTGAAAACCACACTGTGCCTTGCTAATGTTTGAACATGGTAAGAGTGAATTTATACAAAAAAGGTTAGTCCCTGAAGGTCAACTAAGCACAGCTTTGGTTGTTGTGTGACAAACTCTTTTCAACCTTCTTTAAGATGCTTACACTGTGATGAGAGAAGACAAATGCAGCAGATCAGTGGCCAGTTTAGAGCCAAAGAGTGTTCAAAGTGGTGATATTGCTAAAGATCATCAAATAATAACTTCACTTAGACAGTTTAGTTCCTGTGAACAGGGTACGAACAGTTTTGCGCTTGAGACAGGCAAGCTCTCACCCTTGTCAAAGAGTAATTGCAATCAGGACACCAAAGCTGAGCACTATATCGAACTCAAAGAAAGTGTAGGCAATGCAAGGTAAATAAAATTTTCTGATAAAATTGTTTTATTAGATTCCTGTAATTTTACACCATGTAGCAAATACATGTATTGTGACCTAATTACTATGACACAGGTTAAATTCTCCTGATGAAATTTTACATACAATGCTTTCTAGTTGTTTTCATGTAGAAAATAACTTGATACAGTCAAGTAACTCACTTAATTTCATCTTATTTGAAAAACCCAAAGGGGAATGTATCTGAGATGTTACTGTACAGGCTAAAAGGCAGAACTGGATTGAAATTTAAAAGGAGTCCTGGTTACATTCTTTGTTGCTTAATGGTTGCTAAAAAAATTCAGAACTCAGAGACTTGCAGGACTCATACTGTTGCAAAATTGGATTTAAAATAACAGTCATTTTCATATTTCTGTACTTGAGTTCTAGATGAGGGTAAGCTTTCAGGGTATATAATCAGCCTTTATCACAAAGGTAAATCTTACTCTGATTAACAGCTTCAGGGAAGAAATTTTGATGCTAACAGAGGTTTTTCCAGAGGCGTGCTCTTTAGAAATACAAAACTGTCTGATGGTGGCAAATGGTGATGTTGAGTCCGCTGTCCAACTGATGTTAGTAAAGAAAGAAAACATTGATGAAGAATGGAAGGAGAACGTTCATCAAACTGTAGACCATGTTTCTCCAAAGGTGACCTTTTTGTTTGTCGGTTTCTCTAATTTGATTTTACAGGTCACAAATGAGTCAGCACTCAATACAGAATATGAATATTTTATATGCATTGCAATGGAAATGGCTCCCAAAGAAAGTAGTTTATAGTTTTGATTCTCTCTAGTTTGTTACTTCTTACTCCAGTGGTTCAGCAAATTTATCAGTTACAGGTAGATAGATTCAATCTTGATCTTTATGAGAATTTCATCATTAGGTGACTGTACAACATACTTGTAAATGTACTGAGAAGAAATCTGACAAACCAATTTTGCTTTACTAGAGTAGCAAAGAATATCTCTTCTTTTTGCTGAGATACATGTAACTAGTAAATGTAAGCTCAGTACGATAGAGAACCCTACATGCCAAACCTCATTCCAGCTGGTGCACAGTAAACAGGGGTACTGCTACCTCATCTATGAAACACTAGTCCATCCAAGATCTCCTCACAGCATTTTGCTGGGACGGCCTGATAGCTTGTCATTACTGCTGAGTAACATTTCTCTTTTTGCTCAAGGATGTCACACAATGTTCCTCACTCTTTTGATTAAAAGTGAATGTCACTTTTTAAAATACCAAACTAGTAAACTACTCTGTTGCCTAGCGTTGTACTTTTACAAATACAAGAATGTTGAAAACATTCCACATACACGTACAGTATATATCATAAACATGTAAAATTCATGTGGTTATGGATTTGACTAACTGTTAAAGTGTCCAGTCATTTATAAATAAGGTTCACATGCAACATACTCTTGTGGTGTGATGAACCATAGTCTTCCTTATGCAAAAGAACTAAATGAATATACCATGAACAGATGAAAAATTTGATGCAGTTTACCTTTTGTAGACACATCTTCCAACTGCAAAGAAGGAACAACTACATCAGGATGAACAGCATGGTCTTAAGGAACAAATTATGGCAAAGTATGTTCAGATTTTTCAGATGGCTTCCCCACCACCCCCCTCCCACTCCCCTCTGTTCAATTCTTGTTAGAATTTACTTGTAAATGGAGTGTTGCTTTTGCATTTATGTTTCCTTTTTGGATAAGGCAAGGCTCATGTGGGGATGACAAGGATTGAGAGCTGTTTTAAAACTTCATGAGGCTAATACCATTCTCTGATCATTGAACCCTCCCCAAGATGCACCATATAAGTGCATTATTTTTAATGATTCAATTTTAAAAATCCGGATTATTCACTACTGTTGTAATTAAAACTTTTAGTTTCAATTAGTTTAGAGCTTTTCTTTGTTTTTATGCAGATATGGGTATGTTGAAGTTAGCCAAGATGAGAAAACATATCAACCGATACTTCACAAACAGGTACAACAAGACTCTTTGAAACCCAGACAACATTATTTGATGTAATAATTCGGAGCCTGAAGTCCACTGACATCGAAGTTGTGCATCAATCACAGCCTTCTAAACCAACCAATCACAAGGGTAAACGGAGTAAGGGACTGGTCATTATTTATGTAGAAGGAGGAAGGGAGGGAGGGAAAAATCTGTTGGACAGATCAAAATTTTCATAAGTCCCCCTCCCTCTTGGCCATGTAAGTAGCAAATTACCCCCTTCTTTATTCAAAATTAACGTGATGACCCCTGCCCCTGCCCCTGCCCCTGCCCCTGCCCCCACCCCTCCCCTCCCTCACCTCACATCTCCTCTTATATACGTAGTTTAATTAAAATTCATGTCACATTCAACCACCAGATGGTTACTTTGCATGAAACCCACCTTCAGCTTGGGCAATGGACCACTCTTAAAATGTACCTCAAACTGCTGACCCTCCCTAATCTTCTTTATAAAAAGTTTACCCCCCTTTTAGCCAATCTGAAAAAGCCTTGACCCCTCCCCCCTTCTTTTCCTTTCCCCCTTCTCCCTTCTTTCCTTCCCCCTCCCCCCTTCTTTTCCTTTTCCCTCTTCATAATGAATGAGCGGTTTCTGAGTTTCACGAGAAATTGTGGTGCTGAGAGCGAATGACGAATGACTAAAGCCAGCTTTACATTATCATTACAATTGATAAAACCAAATTATCCAATCATACGTCAGTATTCTCCTTGATATGGTGGTGCATAAATCGCATTTGGAAGAAATGAAAATGAAAATAAAAAATAACATTTCGAGTGAAAGACTCACCCAGTAGACTTCCCTATCACCAAGCCTGTTAAGCTTCGTTTGTGTCTTATAAATTACCAAGAAAAACCGTGCCTCGATAAAAGATCAATCACGAAATGAAAACACATCTAAGGTACTCAAATAGATTTAGAGCCAGATGTATATAATAATTAAGACAGACATGTACACGTCATTGGGGGTAAAATTAATATTTCGTGCAAACGGGTGAGAAGAATGGTGCCCTTTTTTTCTCTCTAGTTTCAGTCTGTCTTAATCACAGGTCAAAACTAATCAATCGCTTTTGTTCTTTAAATTCAACGAAGTTCGACGGGTGAAAACAAAACGGGACTTTTGAGTGAGTGAATATACACTTACTATGTTTTTTTCTGTCCAAAAGAAATCGTTTAGGTTAATGAAAACCTCGATTTTCGATTAAAGAAAGGTTTAAACTTCCGTCACGAGGTTAAGACAAATAAAAATAGTAATCTACGATTCACAGAAACCTCGTTAGCGAGCCAGGACATGGAGGCGTTAGTGTAGACTAGTCGTCAATGAGTTAGAAAATCTGATATCTCTAGGAAGATTAAACGGATAACCTTTAATTTTTTGTAGCGATGTTGACGTGTCTAGGTAACAAAGGGCCATTGAATCACATCGATAGCTTTTTCAGCCTTTTCTTTTTTGCCGTTATTGTGACAGGATGAAAAGAAACTGGTTCGATATCGAGACAATCAAGTCGTTAGCACAAAGGGTGAACGATTTTCTTTGGTGAAGCAAGAGGAGTCTGAGGAAATGAAGAAGACATATGTGAACATCAAACCGGCACGGAAATATCGATTCCACTGATGTTTCAAATTCTATACCGAACGTGGATGAACTGAACCCGCGCAGAAGATATTCAAGTCTTCAAGACATACGCCATGGCAGGAAACTTGTACGATGTGGAAAGGCGAACTCTATTGCAGTTTTTTCTACACCAATTTGACGACAAGTTTTTATACGCCACAAAATTGAAAGCGATCTGGGACAGAGCGGAAGACGATCGCGCCTTATTCGTTATCAAGTGTTATAGATATGAGAAGGAATTGCTTTTGAGGGTAACTCATAGATAATAAATCATCTTACTTAATGAATTTAAGGCCATTACAGGATTTATAATTTAAAGCTTTCTCCCTCACCAAGACGAAATACAATTTTAGTTCTGTTTACCTAAAGAAAACGCCTTAAGCGACATAAGTCATGTTAAATTTGGACGTAGATCGATGTAAATATCTCTTTATTGATTTTTCTATTTTTAATCGTTTTGTTTGAACATCTTTATCACTTTTCGTGTTTGCCTCATGTAACGTGTCGTAACACAATTCACAACGTCTTTTCCACCGTGCGTAGGTTTCAAGATTGTCATATTTTTTAATTCAAGTAATTGATTTTTTTATTTCAGGATCGTAAAGTTCTTGACAGCTTTTGACAATGTTGTGTTTGCTTTTTCGGTGCAATCCAAATGTATACAGCTGCACTTTCTAAACAGATTCTACTTCGTCATGTTGGCATTTGTCATTTCTAAGCAATTATTCGAATTTTGACGCATTTTTAACAATATAAGATTTTATTTCCTCTTGTTTATACGGCCAGCACAATTAAAATCTGAATTACGTGATAAACTTTCTATCTTGTGCATACAGTAGCAACTGAAAAGGATAGTTTGAAAGACATGTATTGACCCGTTCATCGAAAAATTACATTCTCGTTTTTATGCAGATCTCGTTGAGTGTACATTCATTATGGTGAAAGACAGCTACCTTGATAAAACACCCACCACATTTCAAAACCTTACTTTAAAAGCGCACTTAAGCTGTATTTTAATATCTCGCTGATAATTAAATACATCAACCAGACATCTGCCTTTCTATATTTGAGATAAAGGTCAGTAAATTCTATTAAGTAAAACTTAATCTTTATCCGTTTTGATATTAGTGTAAGAGGAACTGAATTTCTTTTTTTTTTTTTCTTTTTTTTTTTTTTTTTTAAATCATTTTTTCAGTGCTAATTCAAAATTCGAGACTTCGTCCCATTAACCTTACCAGCTGTTCTTTGTTTTACAATTCGGTCAATAAACGAGACACCCTTGCATTATCTTTTATTTTGTTGAGATCTTGTGAGGCTTTTCCCATGCATTAACCAGAGATCTGTGAAATATTTATTAGCGCCACTGACTGCAAGTTTAATGTGGAAGGAGTTGTTACAGCGCTTGGGGCAGGAAATTCACTCGTGTTATTCCGTGAAAGATGCTGTTCCCTTCGCGACCGCTGCGGCACTTTGTTCAAATGAAAAAGTTTCCTAAATACAGACTTAAAGTCTGGCTTCATGAATGAATACAGTAAAGGATTTACAATAGAGCCAAAGGCTAGCGTGAATGGCGAGAGTAGGGCAACGTGCTTGGGCAATAGCTGCGGCTTCCCAAGTGCGTAGACCAAAGTAGTCCATATAATTGGCAACCAGCTCAAAACAAACATTACGGCTATTACAACGAACACTTTAGTAACCTTTGCCTCCGAGGACACCCTCCTTGCTCTTAAATCTGCTCTGGGACATGCCTTTACGGAACTGACCAGTTTTCTCTCTCTCGTTACAATTTTACGAACTTGGCGGGAAATTCGCACGTAGCTGATAAAGATGCAGACATAAGGTATCGCAATACCCAGAAGGAGAATACAAATCTGATAAATTCTCAGAGCAAAGCCTGCTACATCGCTGTCAGTCCAAGAGAGTGGAAGAACTGCGCAGACCACAGCCATGATCCAACAAAATGCCACGATTGGGAAAAAAGACTTGACGATAGTGTTCGCGTAATTGAAGGGCCTCATACAAGCGACGTATCGGTCGAAAGTTACAGCGCTCAAATTTGCCACACTTCCAACTAAAGCTGTGGTGTACAAGATATTTAGGGTCACTGCTTCTTTTACTGATAGGGCGTACTGAAGAAATAGTGTGACCCCTACCAAGATATCAGACACCGCCAATGAAACGATAAATCCATTTGTGTATGTCCTTAAATTTTTGTTGATACACACCAGAAAGCAAACTACGCCATTAGTGAACATAACAAGGACTGCCAAAATGCTTAAAGGTATCTTTACCTCTGCAGAGACCATTTTCATATGCTACCCACGAAGATCTTCTCAAACTCAAGTCTTGATTACTTCTAACACGTTAATCAACAACTTGTTTTATGCAAAGATTTATCACCTGAAAAGGATATAAAATTTACATCAGCTGGGCTTCGCACATGAAAGCAAAAAACCGTCGCGAACAAGGAAGGCGAGGAAATAGTATTCAACCGGCTCACCGGCCAGACTCACCGGCAGAGTTGTATTAAGTTTTCATCTTTTCCCAACCACCAGCGGCAAAAACGGAGTTATTTTGAAAGAGCATTATCCAATATTGTAGATAAGTTTCTCTTAGCGCGCTGCGCACGTAAGCCTTACAGTAACCAATGAAAAACGATTTTTCTTGGAAATATATGCACGGGCTTTAGGCAGGATTTACTGTGATGGAAAGTTAGAGTTAGCAGTTGCCTCGTTTATTCTTTTTTTCTAATATAAGATTTTGATTGTCCCAAAGAAGCAAATGGAATTTCTAAATTTGTTTAAAAAAATTGAATATGTAAATCGCGTTGCGCAAAAGATTTAAGAATAATGTTATTTGCAGCTGGTTGAGGGAAGAAAACAGGACTTGTTATCTACATTGAGGTTTTTGGAACCTTTAAATCTCGACAACTTTTTTCCGTTTTATTCGAAGAGGAATTCTCAAAGTCAAGGACACGGTCGAGAGATATGAATCACTATTGCAGAGCATTTTGCAGCTGTGTTTTTGTTCATTTGGTTAGTGCAAACAGCTTACCTTTTCAGGAGAAAATAAAAGAGCCAAGTCACGTTGGTTTCACACCCATGTATTTATGTCGCGTTCAAGACAATGAAGAGTTATATTTTCTCCTGTTTCGTAGATTTGCTGATGCGATAACATAATTACTTCCATCAAGTGAGCTATAAAATGCATGCACTTCGAAATGTAATAAATTTCAATGTCTTCCAGACCGGTGGACGAGGGCGGTTTGTGGCTTGGAACCGAATGGTAAAGCATAAATCTTTGTTTTCGTTGAAAATGTGCTGACTTCCCAAACTACTCTCATCTAATCCTTGCATGGTAGTGTTCCAATGCCTCGAAGGTGTTGGCACTGTCTTTTAAGTGCACCAAATGATTACAAGAGGGATTGCCTCCAAGCAAACATAACTTTCTTTTTTTGATTACGTTCTGTCGGAAGTTAGTCAATTGAATTAAGTAACTCAGAAAGAAGGGGAATTTCAAGGTCGTTCGTCTACGGTAGAATGAAATTAATTGAAGAACTCTGTATTTTTAAGAAATGCTTCAAAATTGGCTTATTGACTGAATCTGTTCTTTTTTTATCCAAATCTCCTGAGGGCCCTGTCAACAGTCGTAGGTGCTATCAAAGAAAAATGACTTTATGTCCCTCATTCTGGTTCTCGAGTCGTCTTCGGTCGCCAGAAAGAGCCGAATGAAGCTTTCATTGACTTAATTTTGATGAAAAGTATTTTGGTTCTATTTTTATCCCATCCTCATCATAATTTCTGAGATAGAAGACCGCTAGAAGGGAGCCAAACACATTTTCAGAAGAATTTAAATTGTGAGTTTTTTTTATCGTAATGATTGCTGTGTTTTGTTATAATCCCTGTCAACCAATGGTCGGTGAGTTCACTTCACTTTTATCTGAGAACGCGTCGTAAACTAACAGTTTTAGACTTCAAACATTTGCCAAGCAAACAGCTAAAAGCCTCAATAAGGAGATTTTCAGCATCTGTTCAAGCGAAGTGACGCCACGCATGAGGAGTAAATGAATACGATATTGTTGGGATAGTCTAAATTTAACCATAATGTGATTATTCTTCCATTAAAATGCGATTTTTTGGATCACAATAAATCTAATTCTGGAAGGGGCAAAAATTTTCAATAACCATCACCAAAAAGGAAATTTTACCTTTTATAGACTCAATAATTCATCACAAAATGAATTGCAACTTGAACACCAAGAGTGTTTGTTTTGACTCGGAGTTCCGCACTCAGGTGATCACCTGCCATTGTAAGTCTGGGTATTGGTGATAAAGTACTTTTTCTAGGTAAATATACCACAATCTTGCAGTTTTTGAGCGCCATAAACTCACCCGGAATTTTGGAGAAAATAATAATATTTTGAAAAAGTGGTCACTCGCCACACGACTCTTGATTTACAAGTATTTGAGATTGTTCTTTCAATACCCCAAGTGGGTGAAGGACGACATAAAACCCGTGAAAGCTGGTCTATTGCATTTATGACTTGACAGAGAAAAACGTTTGTTGCAGGAAGACAATAGATGTTCTCCTAATTTCATAATTATTACCGAGTCATGAAAGTCTCGAGAGGTCGTGAGAAACTAGTGAAAGCACCCACTTAAAATGAACAACAGTGCTGAGGCAGAATGAAGAACCGGTGAGAAGAACAAGAGCCTCATTAACAAGAAGGCACCAGGAAACATGCGCTCCAAACATAGTTATTTTGTAGGGTAAAGTAACTGAGATGTATTTCAGATCCCCTTGTATTCAGTTACAAGAAGGCACCAGCAAACATGCGCTCCAAACATAGTTATTTTGTAGGGTAAAGTAACTGAGATGTATTTCAGATCCCCTTGTATTCAGTTTCGTACAGTAATACACCTCAGAAATGTGAAAACCGCGGCAAAAGGCTCAAGAATTGCCAATCACGTCTGGGCCAATAGTCACGCAATAGACTTTGATAATGCGTCTATTATTGACAAAGGCGGTTTCAGAACAAGAAAAACACTAGAAGCGTGGCATTCCAAGTTAACTCCCAATGCGGACAACAATTCCTGTCCTTTGCCTGGACAATACAACATTCTTTTTAACAAACATTCTTAGTTATCAGCATTTTTAATTTTTACTTTGTACTTCACACCTAGTATTTTTTACCTTTTTATCATTTTACCCGTTGAAGGCTGTAGCGCAAACAGCCGAAAGCTCGTATTTTTAAAAGTTTTAGCCAGAGATCGTTTTTTAAATTTCATAAGATGTTTTATCCTGGCTGCGGCCCCTCTATCTTTTCACATTCTTTATCCTACTGAAGTGATAACAAGCGACGACAAAAATCATCTCTACCAACACCGTGAGCTCCCAGGAGAGCAGCAAGTTAAGAAACTGAATCCACCAAGTAGGTATTATTCCCTCATCATTTCCTTCGGTTGCCGTCACTTTGAGAACAAATCAGAAACCTTGCAGTGCACGCATGACTTCTCAAATAGAATTACAAAAAAGAAAACACCAGAAAGCAAACTACTACAAAACAGCCATGTTGTGAGCCCAATTCTGTTACGTCACAGGTAAGCTTTGGCTAGGTTCCTAAGGGATATTCAAGCTAGAAGCTTTCGTAATCGAAGTTTTGAGGTTACTTTTTCTTACAAAACGCAATCAGTTTGACTATCCCTTTGTGAGCGAGGACAATCATAATCACATAATCATTTGGCCCCTACAATATATCTCTCGTTTGAAATGTAACAATAAATGTTACACAGACCTTCAATAAAGTTAGTGTTTTGGTATTGAATGAACAGACGTGTATTGAAGGTCACCCTTGTCGAAAAAAATTAAAAGAGAGTAATTCAGTGCTTAATTCTCGAATTGTCCTTAGATCGCCGAAAACTGGGGTTATAAAAAAATGGTATGTGCTAAGGAATGAGGCCTCTATGGAAGATTCATTTCTTAACCTGATACACTCTTGGGGAGTTTATATTTCTTTCATAGTTGCACTTGCTTTGTGGATAATTTCATGGACAGTTTCATAGAGAGCGAGTTCTGTTTTCATGAAAATCAGACTTACACGACGGCTGCATCGAGTAAAAGTGAGGCAGTCCTAATAAGGATAATTCTCGAATCAATATTAATGTTATCTGTCTTATTGCCTTCATGATAGTGTTTCAACAACGAACTGCTTCAAACTTTTCTTCATTCTTGTATTGCTTGTAGAAAATGAAATATTGTTATTTTTTTTTTATCATTGCTGGAAATGGCACCGTCACTAACACAAATTTGCTCTTAAGATGGCATTTATGCCAATTGTCCCTCGTAGATTTTCGGAAAAGATCGGTAGAGAATTTACCAGTTTACCGGAAAAGAAAAGGAGCTTCTTTCAGGTTTGTGAATTCAATATCGGCTTAGGTTTTGTAAGTTTGCCCTTCGCAATATGAGGTAATATCCGTCATTCTTGACCGAATAATTTTACCTTGATGGAACCTCTTAAGCTTATCCAACTAATATTTCGAGGTTTTCCTCCTATTCAATGGAAAATTTTCATAATCCCCGCTTAAAAATACTTCGAATATTGGTAGCTTTCGTTTGTTTTAAAGTTGCGTTGACATCTACCTGAATCGAGAATGGTACGATAGTAACGAAGGTCGTTATTGCAAGAAGTGACCTCATTTTTGTCCTGTCACTGAAGAAAGGGTCAATATTGTCAGTACACACTGCTGGAGCCGCTTAAAGCTATTGTTTGGTATTCTAGAGTGAAATAACTCTGTCACTGAATGAATCGACTATTTAAACGATATTTTATGAACAGCTTTCATTGTTAGCCAATCAAAAACGTTTACAAACAACTGTAGACGATATTTGGTCAGGATAAGAATTGAATCGTCTTTTGGGTGCACTCCTTGCTCAAGCTGTGAAGAAATAGCCTAATGTGAGCAATAATTTAGGTCAACTTTTATATATGACAAGAATGTGAATAAGAGAGAGTTTTTTACAACAAATGAGTAGCTGTAAAATCATATAATAAAAAGTGTTTCCACGAATTTCTCACAGCACGAAAACGAGGCGTGGGTTTGCAGGCATCACAAACGCCTTGTGGTGTAACATGCATTTTTCGGCAATGTTTAAAAAATGCAGAAGGCTTCTACAGTCTTGGCCATACTCTCTCGGATCCAAATCGAAGCGATCTGAATTTTATATTTTTCTACAGAAGGCCGAGATTTTATTTGTTTGTTGTGGAGCAGATGAAGATCACTGTATAAAAAATAAGAAGAGAGAAACACTGGAAGTTAAAAATGTATTTATATTAGCGATACCTGTTTTCCGCTCATTAAGTATTGAAAGAAAAAGTGCGTCGGCCGGGAATCGAACCCGGGTCAACTGCTTGGAAGGCAGCTATGCTCACCACTATACCACCGACGCTGTTCATGTTTCACGACTTTGTCCACGTACCAGCTTACGTAGCAGGTAAATAAGCAAACACCTGCAATGAAGATCCAAAGGCCGAAGTTGAACTATGAAATGGAATGGACGGAACTCCAATGGAGCGGTGAAAACGTTCAAAATAAAGTGGCGTTAAAAATCGAGGAGGTATTGAAACGAATCGAAAGAGGAAAATCCAAATGTAATAAGTGTTGATCAGCCGGCAGGATATAGAATTCTTTGATATTGCTTTCACAGCATCAGCATAAGGGGAAAGAAAATTCTAAAAGCAGCCTGTTTCATGTTCATTCATCCAAGGATGAACATAGGCGTTGCACAACTCGTGTTACATTTTACAGTGGCAAGCGCTATATACCTGGAGAACCAAATATTACCTAGAAATTCATGCCATAAGGACAAAATGACTGCGTCGACCGGGAATCGAGCCTGGGTTAGTTGGTTGTGAGGCAGCTATGCTCACCACTATACGGAAAGAAAGGGAGTAATTGAGAAAAAGGACACTTCTTGGTATAAACGTTTTGATTTATTGTACTTCATCAATTTCAAAGCAAAGACGATTCTGGGTTTCCCTGGGATCCAGATTCCTAATCCAAGGAAATATTACAGTGGTTAGTGTAGCCTCACTTTTCTCTGCAATTTAGAGATAATATGAATTCATGGGTATAAGTGAGCAACTAAAAATAGCACGAGTACTAGTTGGTAATAACGATATTAAATTTACGAAATTATGATTTGGTAGCTCCGCAAATTTACTTAAAAAAAAAAAGCAAACATTGTTTTGCAGGTAGTATAAGCACTGCATTGCATGCAAATGGTAAAAATGAAAATAACTGGGGAATATCCAGGGTTCTTTTTACAGAAGTGGTACGTAAAAAGGAAGTGTTTGGCCTCTCTGTTGGGGGAGTCTCTGCACCAAACTTTGTCAAGAGCCCCGTTTTAAGGTCACTGAGAGGAAGGGGAGTAGTTTTGGTCGTGTCAATGTAATATCACTCTAAGCAGGGATTGCCATCTTCTGCCTCTTTTTCGACTAAATGCATTATGAGTCGGGAAAGGCTGCACTTTTCCCTTGTACACTGTTCGTCATACAAGAATCTGATGTCAAGTCCCTCTCACATAAAAAGTTAAACTCAAGTTAGACTTCGTTTGTCTTTCTCCACGATTTTTATTAAACAGAAGAAGATCAAACAAAAAAACTAATAGATCAAAGAACAATAAATCAGGTTAATTCCAGAATCTTCCTCAGGTTGCCGAAAACTGGGTTCACAGGGAAAATGGAATGTGGTTAGGAATGAGGATTCTATGGAAGATTTTTATTTCTTAACTTGATACTCTCTTGTTGAGTTTAACGTCGTCTCTTAGTTACATTTGCTCTGTGGATAATTTTCATACTGAGGATCAATCTTATTTCTTGCAAAGCACTTCACTGCGTCGCTGTCACACCGACAGATAGCAAGCTGGCACTTGTCATTTGAAGGGGCTGCAAGATCCACACACAAAAAAAGAACCAAAATAAGTACAATGCTTTCGTCTACAACAGAATCAGGCGTATCCTTATGAAATGTCATTTTAAGTAAAAGTGTTACGATGTCTAGGCTGTGAAGTTTGGTTTTCCCTCATTCACAGAGTACATTAAATTTTTATTACGAACAGAAAGAAATAATTTTAAGTGGTAGAATTCGTCCGCGTCCCAATTCATACTACACTCTTATTCAAAATATAAAAAGGGAGAAGCATTGGCGCAAAGATTTAGAATAAATACTGTGACAGTTACACTCATAATCAAGTCGCTGGAATACATTCATTAAACAATCTGGTTAATTATTTAACATGACCATCGTAAAACTCCTTTTAAAAGTTCCTCATACCACATTCAGCGCATCCTTCTCTCTTGTAAACTTTTGTGTAGATGTTCCAGGAAAAAGTACACAGCTTGTCGCGGTTTATCCGCCTGTAACATGCATCATGTGTTTGACAACACCTGAAATAAGTTAAACAGTTTCAGTGTGACTTTTCAATCGTGGTTATTATTCACGAGTGAATCGTGCTCTTCTTTCGATATAAAACATTGTAGATGGTAGTGATAAGATAAAACGAGGGCGGAAAAGGGGATGGGAAGGTGAAGAACTGAGGTGGAATCGATATGAATGATTCGGAGGAGGAAGAGGAGACGACGGAGTAAAGACCAAGCAAGCTCTTACTCTTATAGGTAGTTCGACCGCTTGAAGTAACCGGCATAGTTCCACAGTCGGTCGCTCAATGGCTAAGATGCAAAATCAAACCATGGATCACAATTTAATTGGATTTAAATTTATCGCTCCTTTGTAAAAAAATAATAAATGTACTCTCCTCCTACAGTATACGAGCATTTTAGGGTCCTTACCTATCAAGACCATCCACTGGGGTCCCCTTCCCTCCAAGTCCACAATAACATCCGTAATGATTGTACTTTAACGGGTCGTTAGAGGTCGCGCAATCAATCATCTTGTAGAACTGAATTAAGTTTCTACGAGACCTGGCATGATTGTGATCATCTGTAATGGATGTGATAAGTTTGTCGCACTGAGCAAGTGCAATACATGAGCACTTCATTATATGAATAATACAAAAAGTCCCACATACTGTATCTACGCATTATGAATTTCGAATTAAGCATACAGATTTGTTGAAATGTTACATTTTTATCATATGGTTATATTCAACACCGAAATTACTTGACCATGCATCGAGTAAGATAATCGTATAGTTTTTTAATTGATACCGTGTATCCAATGTTGAGAACCATCATCCGCGGAATTCTGCAAAACAAAAGAAAATAAAATATTCAGAACAGGGATGATTTTAGAGAACTAGTCATCAACAGCTTAATCTTCCAAGTATGACAATGATCGTTGCACGTTTAGATGTAATTCATTTCGATGAAAATTGAGATAAATCTATTGAGGATAAAGTGATGTAGCTGAAAATTTGTTCAGGCCTTGTCGCAGATTTCATTCATTTAAATGCGAGACAGGAAAGACACAGGCCACAATCTTTTAAGATTGATTGATATGAGAGCTTCTCTTTTAAGTTCAGTGTCTGAATCAATATGCTTGCTTTTCTAGTTTTAGTTTGGGTCCAAATTCAAATTAATCTCTGTTTAAGAAAACTTCGGCATCTGAACCGGGCTCAATTTTCCTTAAATACGTTTTGGAATCAGACGACTTATAATGAACAAGCGGACGAGCATACAAGACGACTGCATAATAAACAAGTGTAGAAGATCAAGAAATGTCCTCAGACATAGTTAACCAGAATTCTCGAATCAAGCTCAAAGTTATTCCGTCTTATTAACTTCATTAGGGAGTTTAAGAAAACTACGACAGCAAAGGGAACGTCACTTAACAAAGGTTTCATAAGCCTGAGAGCAATTGCTTTCCACGTGCGTTATAAATCTTTGTAAATTTCTCTGCGTCCTTTGCAAAACAACAACGTGAAATGACCAAACTTCGCGTTGTCTGGAGAACGTGAACGGCGACGGCTAATTTTTTACATTTCTATTTTTAATTTAACGCTGTGTTACATGTTCAGTTTTGAGATACTTTTAACGGTGGGAAACAAGCTAAATGACTTTAGAGTATCGCGTTCAAGTTAAATTTTTAATTAACTTTGTCCACGGCGTCGCCGTCGTCGTTCCTTAAACTCCCTGTTTCAAAAACGAGTTAGATCACTCTGTTTTTTCATTCTTGTTTAACATGTAGAGAAAAAAAATCTTAAAATCGTCGGTTTTTACTGAAAATGGCTTTTTGATCATACGGTGTTATTCGTGCCAAAGATCCGAAATAGATTTTTCAAAAGGGTAGGAAGAAAATTTGCCAGTTAGTATAAAGCCTCTTTGAGGTTTGTGGACTCAAAGTAGCCGAAGTTTTGCAAGTTTGCTCTTCGCAATCTGAGCCATTCTCTACCATCCCCGCATATTTTTACCTTTTTGGTACTTTTCCAGTCCTACCAGGCCAATATTTAAGGTTTCCTCTTGCTCAATGGAAATCTCCTAGAACCCTGCATTTAAAATATTCGTATTTCCCGTTACTTAAAAAAAGGTGCCTTAATAACTACCTGATTTGGGAGTGACATAACACCTTCAAAAACTGCAATGAAAGCGATCATAATAAGAATTGACCTCATTTCTGTCCTGTTTCTCGAGAAAGGGTCGATACTGTTAGTGCTCAAAGCTAAAGCCCTTCAAAAGCTATGCTTGGTATCCGAAATTTCGGCGACTTTATTTTTGTACGAATCAAATACTTAAACGATATTCTCCTGTAAGATTTCATCGTTAGCCAATCAAAAAAGTTTATCGATATAAGTTTTGACGTCAGTTGGTCAGGATAAGAGCTGAATTTACTTCTTTAAAACGTCTTTTGGGTGCGCTGCTTGCTCAGGCTGCCAAGAAATTTACTTAAAGGATCAAACATTTAACCCAGCTTTGATATATGACAAGAATGTGGATGAAACTTCGTTTGTTGCAGCTGCACTTTAATGAGAAATTAGCAACTGTAAAAATCACAGGATAACAAATGTTTTCTCGAATTTCTCACGACCCTAAGGCGAGGCATGGGCTGTTTTCAGTCAAGAGAAACGCTTTGTGGTGTAATATGATTAATGTGCCTTTAAAAATGTAAAAAAAAACCTGCTTTTCATTCATACTAACTCAGATCCAATTTGAGTTTTTTTATCCTGAACAAACACAAATTGTGTTTGCTTTAGCTAGATCCCAACTTAAAGCGCGAAATTGCTTTCGAAAATGCCCAAATTAATCTCCACAAATGCGCACTCAGGGAAAGAGGAGTAAACCCGGTAGAGTTTTCCTTTGTGTTACTATGGAGCAGATCGAGTTCACTGTCTAAAAGTAAAGAACGGGACACAGACGATGGTAAAAATGTCCTGCAATTAATGATAAAAAAATTTCCGTTCATCGAGCAAGGAAGAACTGAAACCTCTTCAGAATGAAATGTAGAATCGTTTGAATAGCTTAACAAATGCAAGAATCGTAAAAGAGAGGAGACGCAGGAGTAAATGATACGCACTTGAGCTGCAATGACCGACGAACCAGAATAACTTTAACAGCTACAGAACTTAAACATTTAATCATTGAGAAAACTTTGTTTCTGTGCCATATTGACACAACATTAACTTGACTTTATGTCGTTTTTTTTTTTTATTCCGTTTCTGTTTCTTTTCTAAGTTATAGTCCGAATCAGAAGCGAGAAAATTTTCATTGGCATTCACTTTATATTTCTCTCTCCTGGGTACAACTTATTTTGTCTGATAGGTTCCATGGTGTAATGGTTAGCACTCTGGACTCTGAATCCAGCGATCCGAGTTCAAGTCTCGGTGGGACCTTATCCTTTTACATCTTAAACAGCAATAACAGAGTTGAACAAAGTAGAGTGGACGGTAAAACCTGGCAGCTGCATATGTTCTTATAAAAGGATTTCGTACAGTAAGAGAAGTCAGGAATTTTCTTTTTGTTCCAATGAAATGAAACGAATTCGACGATTTTGAAAAACGTCAACTTCTATAATGCCAGGGTATCAAATAAGGTTTCCAGTCATTCAACGCAGTCTTTTTCATTTCCTTAAGATATAAAAGCTTAGAGAAAACTACTTTGTTTCATTTTCTTTTTCTTTATTTATTTGTTATTGATGCCACAATTGAATACACAAAGAAGGTAGACTCCATGTTACCGTGCGCCTGTTTAGTAACAGATTTAACTTGAACTTAAATACAAATTCCAAATTATTTCATTGATCGAGTCAATTCGATCAATTTGGGGACAATTTAATACAGAATACAAGATTCTTTAAAATAAGCCGCCTTAAATATTTACTTAGTTAAAAAAGTCAGTGTCTACGACTATTTACAAAAGATAGAAAAATTAATCTAAACTAATAACAGAAATAAGATAATTACGATAAAAAATTGGCACTGAACTTATCATAAAAATAATGAAACAATTTCTTGCGATATACTAGCTCGGTGTTAGAATCCCTAATGTTGAGAGGTAGTTCGTTCCATGGGCGATAAATCTGAGTAAAAAATGAATTCTTCAAAGTTTCTGTTCGACTTAAAGGGGACATCGAGTGTTTAATAATCAAAATTTCTCAGGGGCTCGTTACAAGAGCGAAATGAGGCAAAAATGTCTAAATCATGTATATTCTTAAGACATTTAAGGAGGCTCTATGTTTTGCTTGAGAATTTTTGTTTTCGCTTTTCAAGGTCACTAAAAGCCATAAAAAGGCGATGAGCAAGGTTCGGACTATTGTTTGCTGTTGTAAATATTATCAAAATGATTTTCGTTATTAAGCTAAGGCTCCACGAAAGGAGGCGCTCGCCAGCGATAATTTGGCTTTTCCTTTGATTTTCTTCAATTTGTTTGAGTGGAATCTCTCAAAATTTTCACAATTTTTAAAATTTGTCCTGCCGATCATTTAAAGCCGAAAAAAAAGAGGATATTGCAAAAGCAGTTTCCTCGCTTTGTGCAATTTTGTGTTTTCTTCCACTATCTCAAATTTGGTCTTACGAATTTTTTTCTGTCAACAGGCACTAAGAAGGGCACAAATATGTTTAACAGTCCAGCAAATCTTAGGAAATTCCACCGAAGGAAACGCGATAAATCATGCTCGAAAGATCCCTATTTTCTTTATCGCAAAACATCACGTAATGGAAAAGAACTTGGTCAAGATCTATATCTCAACGTGCGTAAACTTTCGAATCTCTCGCCTTTTGACAATCTTCTTACGGTGTTTTTTTTCCGGTTGACCTCTTTATCAGGCGTAGAAGTCTTATGAATATTACGGGTGATGTTGCTGAAAAAACCCTAGATTCCATCACATAAAAACTGCATCTTGTTAAACTGTTTTAACACACCTTTTCAGATAACAATCGCGCGATCACATCGAGCTGCCATGTTTGATTTGCATGTTGGCATTTTTAAAGCTCCGTCATGTTCGCACCCAGATCTCGCGTGGTAAAAAACGTTCGAAATTCAGTGGTGTTGAATATCGACGAGGCATTGAAAGCGAATCAAAATGGAAAAATCAAAATGGAAAAATTAAAATATAACAACTCTTGGTCAGCCGGTATGATTCCTGAAATGATAGAACATCTCATTAATGAAAATAACATAACAATGGCAAACCAAAGTTAAATAAAAATTGTTCACAGATGTTTGTATTAAGGACAAAACTGTGATAACTGCGTCGGCCGGGAATCGAACCCGGGTCAACTGCTTGGAAGGCAGCTATGCTCACCACTATACCACCGATGCGGCTACAGGATGTAGCCAAATAAGAAACGTTTGTGATGTTGTCATCGTGAAGACGCAAATCCTGAGTTTGAAATATGAAATCGTCGTTGAGTGGAACGGTGAAAACGTTCGAAATTCTGTGGCGTTGAATATCGACGAGGCATTGACAACATATTTTCTTTAACTGTGAAGCCTCGTAAGACGGGCTGCCAACTGCTCTGAGTTTGGGGCATGGTTCTTACCAAGATTTCCTGTCATGTTTTTTCCCCAAAGGGGTTTTTTCTGGCAGGTTTTTTCTGGCCTCCGTATAACCGTAGTAATGTCCATGTAAGCGGTTACTCATTTCTGTTAATCCCGACTTGGTGAAGTTTGCATGTTAGTAATGTATACCTATTTTTGAATGTGGAAGGAGTTGACTGCATATCAGGATTGTATATAACCGTAGTAATGTCCTTGTAGGCGGTTGCCCATCTCTGTTAATCCCGACTTGGTGAAGTTTGCATGGTAGTAATGTATACCTATTTTTGAATATGTAAGGAGTTGACTGTGTATCAGGATTGTATATAACCGTAGTAATGTCCTTGTAGGCGGTTGCCCATCTCTGTTAATCCCGACTTGGTAAAGTTTGCATGTTAGTAATGTATACCTATTTTTGAATGTGTAAGGAATTGACTGTATATCAGGATTGTATATGGTATATCAGTTGCGAATGTATGTATGTACGCATGCCTCGGGCTATGTATGCCTCGGGTTGGTTCTCGGCAGGCTTCCCCAGATAAACTTATTTGGTGTACGCTACATTTGTTGTGTATTGCGAAGCTGTACTTTTCCCTTGTACAATTTACGTCTTACTAGAATCTGATTTTCAGAATGAAATGTAGAATCATTTGAATAGCTGAACAAATGCCAGAATTTCAAAACAGAGGAAACATCAGGAGTAAATGATTTGCACTTAAGCTGTAACGACCGACGAACCAGAATAGCAGCTACGGAACTTAAACCCTTAATCATTGAAAAAACTTTGTTCAGTTCTGTGCCATATTAAGACAACATTTAGCTTGACTTGATATTTTTCTTATTCCGTTTCTACTTCTTTTCTGAAGTTAAAGTCAGAATCGAAGCTAGAAAATTTTCATTTGCATTCACTTTATATTTCTCTCTCCTGGCTCCCACGTAGGTCCCATGGTGTAATGGTTAGCACTCTGGACTCTGAATCCAGCGATCCGAGTTCAAGTCTCGGTGGGACCTTGTCCTTTTACATTTTAACCAGCAATTGCAACAACAGAGTTGAACAGAATGGGGTGGACGGTAAAACCTGGAAGCTGCATATGTTCTTATAAAAGGAATTCATATACAGTTGAACCCCGATTACTCGAATTCCCCGCGAACTCGAAGCAAAAATGATGTACATTTTCTGTAATTTTAACCTCTTTTGAAATTTTAACTCCCTCGATAATTCTTTGTAATTTTAGATTTTTCACTTTTGGGGACCAATGAGTCATAACATCTTGCACCGAAGATTACATTTAATCTCGTTTACTCGTAGTTTTCATGCTTTTGTTTTGTCGCTCTTATGCTAGATAAATAAATAAAACATGTATAAACACAAAACCTCTTTAATCAAGTGTTTCTGGTATTTTTGTTTAAAACCCCTATAACTCGAAACCCTGATAACTCGAAGTATTTCAATTTCCCTTGGCAATTCGAGTTACCGAGGTTCAACTGCAGTAACAGGAGCCAGAAGTTTTCTTTTTGGTCCTATGAAATCAAACGAATTCGACAATTTTTAGAAACGCCAGCTTCTAATGCAAGGTTACCGATTAAGGTTTCCAATCACTTGACGTAGTCTTTTTCATTTCCTAACGAAATAAAAACTCAGCTTCTCTGTCCCATTTTTCATTTCTTTGTTATTGATGCCACAATTAAATTCACACACAGTAAGCAGATTCCATGTTCCCATGCGCCTGTTCAGGAACAGATCAACTGAGATAACGACAAAATGTGATTGGAAGAAAAATTGGCAAACAAGGCGCAGCCGAGTGTGTCAGAATATTCCACCATATTTTGACGTCTTCTGTGAACAAGTACTGTATTGATCAGCAACGCGCTGAAATGGAATATACATATTTTATGAGATGGAAAAGTAAATTTTAAGGTGATGTCATCTAAACTTCTGTCCTGCATTAGATCATAAGGAACAACCAATCAAATGCGTATATAGTTCAGCTTACTGTAAAAATGGATTAGTTTAAAAAGAGTTGAATTAGCCTCATTGCGTCGGCCGGGAATCGAACCCGGGTCAACTGCTTGGAAGGCAGCTATGCTTACCACTATACCACCGACGCGACTACAGGTTGTTCTGTGGCTAAAGAAGAAACGTTTGTAATGTTGTCATCGTGAAGACGCAAATCCTGAGGTTGAAATATGAAATCGTCGTTGGGTGGAGCGGTGAAAACGTTCGAAATTCTGTGGCGTTGAATATCGACGAGGCATTGACAACGAATTAAAATGAAAAAAATAATATGTAACAACTCTTGATCAGCCAGCAGGATTCCTAAAATGATGGAATAGCTCACTAAAGAAAATAGCATTCGCCAACCAGCCTTTCTTATGTTCATGCATTCAAGGAGGAAGTAAGGAGTCGCACAGTCGTGTTACATTTAACAGGGGCAAACCAAAGTTAAACGAAAATTGTTCATAAATGTTTGCACTATAGACAAAATGGCTGCGTCGGCCGGGAATCGAACCCAGGTCAACTGCTTGGAGGGCAGCTATTCTCACCACTATACCACCGACGCCTGGGCAATGCTTAAATAGGCTAAAAGCACATGGACTTGTTTTTAGTAAAAAAAAATGGTATTTCTGACGATAGAGTCTGCGAATAAGGCAGAAATAAATATTTTGTCGGCACGAGATACGACAAGGCCCGGGCCTTAGGCCCGAGCATCATGGGTAATGATGCAGTGGTATAGAAGGGGGAGTATAGCACGTGGTGTCCATCTAGGCTTCAGAACCAACCGTCCACCTCTGGCTAATGACAAATTTATTTTAGTTTAAAAAAACATTTTCTTTAACTGTGAAGTCTCGTAGGACGGGCTGCCAACTGCACTGAGTTTGGGGCATGGTTCTTACCCAGATTTCCTGTCATGTTTTTTCCCCAAAGGGGTTTTTTCTGGCCTCCGTATAACCGTAGTAATGTCCTTGTTAGCGGTTGCTCATTTCTGTTAATCCTGACTTGGTGAAGTTTGCATGTTAGTAATGTATACCTATATTTGAATGTGTAAGGAGTTGACTGCATATCAGGATTGTATATAACCGTAGTAATGTCCTTGTAGGCGGTTGCCCATCTCTGTTAATCCTGACTTAGTGAAGTTTGCATGTTAGTAATGTATACCTATTTTTGAATGTGTAAGGAGTTGACTGTGTATCAGGATTGTATATAACCGTAGTAATGTCCTTGTAAGCGGTTGTCCATCTCTGTTAATCCCGACTTGGTGAAGTTCGCATGTTAGTAATGTATACCTATTTTTGAATGTGAAAGGAATTGACTGTATATCAGGATTGTATATGGTATATCAGTTGCGAATGTATGTATGTACGGATGCCTCGGGCTATGTATGCCTCGGGTTGGTTCTCGGCAGGCTTCCCCAGATAAACTTATTTGGTGTACGCTACCGTGTTATTTGTTGTGTATTGGGGACTAAATTAACTGAGAAAAAAGGTACTTCTTTGTGTACTGATTTGAGCTTTTGTGCCTCATAACATTCTTGTCAATCAAAGAGGATTGTGCAGTTCCCTGGGCTCCAGATCGCTAATCCACGGTAACATTACGGTGAATAGTAAAGGACATGCTCTTCATGAACTTCACTTTATTCTGATATTTGGTAATAATATGAGGAATAACATCCTCTGCCTGACCTTCGACTAAATACGAGTCGGGAGAAGCTGTACTTTTTCCTTGTACAATGTACGTCTTACTAGAATGTGATCTTAACATCCCTTTTACATACAAAATTAGAATTAAGTCAGACTCAGTTTTGTGTTTTCCCTCGACTTTAATTGTCATTACAGGCTCTCATACAATTTTGTGTGTAATATGTCAAGCTAAATCATAAGAAGTTTGTTCCTTTTTCTCTCTCTTTCTCCCGATTCTTAACTGTTGTTGCTGGTGTATTTTCAATTCTGTGCGTCAGCAGTGTTCGGATGGATAGTTATAATGCTCTTCATTCCATTCCGACTCGGCAAAACACCTGGCTGCTGCTCCGTCACATTCACAAATGGCTCGCTCACATGAACCCTCTTCATCAACTGCATGAGTTTCGTCAAATAAGAACCATACGTGTTAGTAATAGTAATATTAGTTTTAATTGTTGTGTCTATTTAAATCTTCGAACAAATAAAAGATAACAAAATTACAAACATTCTGCTTTTTGTTTTCAAGTAAAGAGTACGTTGAGAAGAAGACTGATTATCGGGACATCTTTGTATAGTTTACAAATGCGTATCAGCGATATAGCATTCCCATAATTTCAAATTAGATAGGAAAATAGAAAACCAGTGTGCATTTTATTACACTGATTCTTTCAATTCGATTGCGAAAAATTACAAAGGTACAAAATATTGGTATTGCTTCAATTCCCATCTTTTAAACAGAATTCGCACATTTTTTGCCCAGTGACATCTATCAAGTGAACTGCTATCGGGTACCGCAATAAAATAAACGAAAGTTCTCAAGAGTTAGAAAGACTCATAAGTAAATAAAAAAGTGCTGAACTTATCTAGACTTACCACAACCAGTACAGGTGTCATCTCTACTGTATATTTTCCAATAAACAGACGAAGAGAACGTGCACAAGTCTGGATCTTTCATTATACGACCGTAACATTCATCATGAACTTGACAGCATCTGAAATTGGAGCATTTTATAACTACCGTCATTTACTACCTCTATCAGATTGTTGTGGTTCTTGAAACCAGAAATGGTGCTGATGGCTTTCTAAAGAAATTTTCCAAGATTTCCTACTTAAGGGGAACTCTACCTTATCACAAGCGCTTTGCTATAATCAAATCCGTTTCCCTCCTAGAAGGGAAATAAAGGAATGCCCATCTATTTCGCTTTATAACAAGAAAGCGGGGATGCTGCAGTGGCAAAAATTTATCTCAGAGATGTGGCTCGGGATGAAGTCTCATGTGGGTAAGAAGGTGTCTTCTGCAGTACATAAACAAGTGATTCTTTACAGATGAACTGGTGTTTGATATGACTGCGCCTACCTATCAGTAGCATCTAATGGATTTCCTGTTCCTCCATAACCGCAATAACAGCCATAGTCGACGTAATACACAGAACTTCGTGACGTGGTACACTTAATCATGTTGTGAAACTGCACAAGGTTCCTCTGCGTACGGGTAAAGTCTTCTGTAAATGACAAAATTCAATGTGCGAGGAAGCATCAGAGCTAAGTTGTTATAACTTAATTTTTTTAGGGAAGCGGGGAAATCAAGTGGCCATGGGAACACGCACTCGACCTCATAGAGCTACATTAGATATGAGAATATGGCTACCTCTTAACATATACAGAAAAAAAAACATCCATTCCCCCTTCCTACTTATCCGAATGGCCACAAACGTTCTTTTTGTTTCCCAAAAACCATGCCACAGCTTGATCAATTTAAGAGGCCTTCCTCGGTTATTCAAGTCCCTAAATTAAACAGCTAAATGTCTCACTGAAGAGAAACTAAAAGTAAGACTTTTTCATATATACACGTCAATCATTCGGATCGGAGTGTAATTACATGTGTTAGTTGGGTTTTAAAAATCTCAGCCCGCGATTCATCAACCCAAAGCCTTCTGGTTTAATTTCAGTTTGAAATTATAAGGGACAAACTTCGCCAATAAGAGAGTATGGAATCTCGCACAAGAACTTAGCCTTTGCTAAAAGGGAGATTGTAGGGAGTGAAGAAGACGCTTTATCATAACTTGCACAAGCCATACATTACTTTTACCTCACCTGAACTAATTATTTTCTGCTCGAAGTCTTGTTGTGGTTCATCCTGTAATAACCCGAAAAATAAGACACGACCTAAAGACGTGGTCTCCACAAATCCACGCATATCTAAATAAACTCCGACGATGGGCTGAGTTTTCCCTATAAAAGGAACTATATCTATAGAAAAGAGCTCTCTTTATTTTAAAGAATGCACAAATCTTCACTTTCTTTAAAGAACCTTTGTTAAAGTTCGCGTCAAGTGAAAGATTTAGTGTTAACTTTGCAACGTACAGTTCTTTAAATTAGTCCGCATATCGATGCATCCTTTTACTCTTATTTCTTTTGGGTGTTTCGTTTCTTCTTATGTTGCTCTATTCTTGCGAGCTCGCTTTATAGCGGGGTTATAATCGGAGATAATTTTCGAAAATATACGAAACTACCTTTGCAATAACTTAGGGTCTGAATGAGGTCAACCGTTAGCCGTAAAACGGCCCAAAAATTCAGTCGTTAGGCGAAAAAATTGAAATCCGTAAGTCGTTACAACAGTGAACCGTAAAAACTACATCCCTTTTAACTACCTACCTTGCGAGATGGGAGAGAGAACGTAGAAGATAAAACGACCATCGTTAGCAAGATTATACCCTGCATTGTGTTGGCTGTTCCCACCTTCTCCCTTTTGATACTTTTGAACCAGAGTTTCTTTTAGTGAAATATGGCTGAGTTGAGCATCTCTGTTTATCTCTACAATATCTTATTTGATTTAGTAATGTGTATTGCGTGTTTTAATCACCTAACACTGTCACAGCCTTAAGGGTTAGCAAAATATCTGGGGTGTGAAACGATCATCTGCTCCAGCTGATTCATTGACGTGATATTGAAATAACAAATAATGAAACTATCACTGCGTAGATTGATAAACTCTACAAGAGTTTGAAGAGTACAAATCTAAGTGACCTTAAGAGAGCAGATAACTTATACCCTTCATCATCCATGACGCGAGCGAAATGACAGCTGGAGAATTCAAATTTCGTGCAAAAATTGTCGATAACCCGTGACGTTCGCGATAATCGGATTTCTTGTCGTTTGCACAACTCTAGTATAGTATTATAAGGAGAAAAAAGTTGAGGACTCACTCTTTCAGCCTCTTTTTCTATCGAAAATAGCCTTGAAATGTTTCAAGGAAAGTTCATCGATCCGCTTTACCTTAATGAAGCGGTAAACCATGAAGCAAATCTCAATAGAGATATTTGTAAAAAAAAAAAAAAAACCATTTAAAAATGGTGCTTCTGCTTCACTTGTGGCGAAGCTAGGACCGGTCTCTTTATCCCAAAGGGCGCATTTTCAACTGATAGGATTGGAAAATTTTATTGAGAGGGTTATATTCAGTAGCTTGATAGAAGAAACAGTTGAAAATCGTAGCTGACCGGCCAGCCTTTAATCAATAAGGATCTGAATAATGTGAACCACCAACGAGAAGTAGATTTCATTTAAGTATATGACTAGCAGTCATGAATATTCGTGATAATTCCGTGCGAACACCTCGAGGGTCCCAAATAATGGATGGCAAAATTGTAAGAACTTAAAGGAAACATTTGTTTCAGTATATTTTACTCATCAAATACTCATTACAAAGTGCCAATGAGAAATTATCAGTGGAAATACGTGGCTGAAAGTAAAAGACACTTGAGTTCCTTATCAACAAAAATATGATTATGTTTGCTGTAAAAGAGCACCATTATTATTGCCATTAAAAAAGTGAATAAATCATAACATTACAAACAGAACATGTAACGTTTTTCAAAGTTAACTGAACCAAATCTACTGTTTTTCACCCTCTGTGCTTTCTTTTATGTGTCTTACGCTAAAACATCTTTAATTTGCTTCGTAGTTTCATTTAAAAAATGTGTGTTATGGGTTTGAAACTGTTATTACCACGTTAAGATGTTTGATTCACTTTGTAGTAAAGTTAAGAAGGAACTTTATGTTGTTTTCATATGGGACTATGTGAGGAAACGAAGAGAGCTGTGTGCGCGTTCACGTTGAGAAGACGAAAAATGTGGGTTATGGGTTTGAAACTGTAATTACCACGTTAAGATGTTTGATTCACTTTTGTAGTAAGGTTAAGAAGGAACTTTATGTTGTTTTCATATGGGACTATGTGAGGAAACGAAGAGAGCTGTGTGCACGTTCACGTTGGGAAGACGAAAAATTGAATCTAAAAGCTAGCAAACAATTTTCAGGCCACTTAAACTTCTAAAGTATTTAATTTTGGTGGAAAGTCCCCTCTAAAATACGGCCTCCTCAAGTAAAGGCACGGTGTTTCTTGTTTGTTTTTCCATAGAAATCAACCAGCTGAAAATTTGAATTTCCATCCCAGATCACGCATTCGTAAAAAGAATAACATATAAAAGTAACGCGAATTTAGTGAAAAAGTGTCCTAGATTTTAAAAATCAAACAAGCGTTCTCGCGATTCCACAGAAAAAGAATTAGAAAATGAAGCGATTAGTTTCCTTTCTTCACTGCTTCGCCATTTTTCAAATGACAATGGCTGCAAGTCCTCTCGTTCAGGTATGGCACACTTTTAATGGTAAAAAAAGAAGTATTTTTTGCAAGTCAAAGAACTTATCTTTAAGTATGGGGAAAAACATTGAATGAAGTATTTTCTTGAAAAAGCGTTCTTACTTCGTAGGGAACCTTTACATAAGTATTTAAGCACCATAATTATAGGAGGGCCTCACGTTTATTAGTTCCGGTTATTTCGTGCTAACCCTCATAAAATAAAATCTTTACTTACTTACTTACTTACTTACTATAGGAAGTGAAAGGTTTTGATTATTATTCTTCCTACATCAATATCGATATTTGATTCCTCAAGGAATAAGAGGCGTTTAGGTGAAACTGAACACTGAGCGCTAAGAAAAGACTGGAAAACTAAATGGTGTTAGGAGCAATGCCTATCAAAAAGCTACGTTTGTTTTTTAATCAGGGTCTTGAGACTAGTTCAATAGTATTTGTAATTTGAAGCTGTATCAAACGGTCCTTGTGCACGGTTTGTAACGTGTATTTCAAGACTAGATGGGTGCATAATCAGCCTGAGTTCATGTCTCCGGCTTTACTAATGGAGCTGTTATTCAGAATGAAACAACTTCGGCTCCTACCCCAACACTATTTGCACATGAGAGTGAAAAGACTCTCCTGCTTTAGACGGAGTAAAGGGTAAGATAACCATTTAAACAGCATTTCACTGAGCTTGAAGAGTAACTAACGGTAATTATTCACCTACTGATGTACTGACTTCTTTATTTTCAACAGGACAAAGAAGGGATCTTGGCACTTAAAGGTTTTATACCTATCATAAATACAATATCACTGTAATTTGTCATGTGTAGACATTGCCGACCAACTTTTCCAAGATACAGTCGCAACAACATATTTCTTCTTTCTTCCCCCTGTTAAATCTAGAGCAATAAAATATGTCCTAGTCACTAACTGTGCCATCAGCTAAAAGCATTTAGATGAGCAATTGCACCAAACCTTTGAATCACATGGTTTTCCACAAATCTTAAATGCGTCCTTACTAAGGTTCAACTTCTCGTTTTAACGACAGCAGAGGATGAGGAAAGATATGCCTTGATTTCATGTAGCAAGATTTATGTAGACAGTACTTAAAAGAAATGATAGCTTCGATTTCCGACCCGAGAAGGTAAGGTCTTTCTCTATTTCCTGCTAGATCATGATTACTTGTTAAAGGGCAATCTCTTTCTTTTTTGAGTAGAAAGTGCTGATTCCCCCATAACATCCCCCAACTCTAGAAGTATTTTGGGATTCGGTCTGATGATATTGTGCGGAGTCAATAGAAACCCCCTCGACTACAATGGTTACGGATGCTACTGCGGACTCGGCGGAGAGGGAACACCAGTTGATGATGTCGACGGGTAAGTGGTAAAATGAAAAAATCGATTGCCTTAACACACAACGCAATTTGCAAATTATGCCTCTTGTCGCTGCCTGGTCGATCATACGATGCTGCATTTGCGGGCTAAAACTCTAAGACAGGATCAGAAGGAAGAGACCATCATGATCAAATTGAAGACAAAGTCAAAGTAATCAAATTATTTCAAAGCGGGCCTGGGTATCAAAAACTATTTAGGCAACTGTTTGAAGCTTTGATAACACCAGGGAAGCAAACTTTCCTTTGTAAGTATTATTTCCGATTCTGTTTAATGAGAAGGCAGCCTGCACCAGGTTTGCGACCGTGAACTCCGTTAAACAGGCAAGAAATTTTCAAAGATGTACGCTTAACTCAGTAACTGAAGTAAAACTTGCCATATTTCTTGAATCTCGGCTACATGGCTGACGTTTGCCTATGAACCGGGACAGCTTGTCCTTGCTTTGAACATTCGGTTCCTAATATCCTATGGAAAAAAGAACTTTTAACTGTTTCGTTTCAAAGGAAAAGTCAGAAGTTCGAGATTATTTCCTCTATTGTCATTTCTGCTCTCACGACGTTAATGTTTGATGCAGCAGTTATTCACATGAGTCAAAGAGTTAACAGTCTTGCTTTGTCGCCAGGTGTTGCCAAATACACGATGCCTGCTATAATGCAGTGCAGGACTCGGGCAGTTGCCCGTTTGATGTGGCAATTTATGTCATGCCCTACAGTAGGAGAGGTTGTCTTGGATGCGGTAAGATGTTACGTTTTTAACTGTACAGCAAAAAGTTCAATACAAGTTGGTATGGTTGAAGATAGCACCATGTGCAGAAGTAATTTAGATTTTAAGACGACTTCCTCTTTAAACCAAACAGAGGCAAGCCTCAAGATTAGTTTGTCCAGTTCAGGGGTGTACCTGGACAGAAGATAACGTGTTGCTGGAATATTAGAACATTATTTAACCCTACGAAACACTTCAGTTCCTATTATCTTAAGCGCAGTTAATAGGCTGGGCAAGGGTTTTAGCCCCGGTCGTACCTCGAAGAACCGACTAGGCTAAGAACACGAAAAGGGAACAAACTCCTTTCACCAATGACTGGTAATGAGTCGTCTTCATTCTGCGTCAACTTAGCTATTACCTTACTGCAGCTCAAAACCGGCCTCTCGAAAGCACGGTTTGCTAAGATTTTTCTTTAGCAACCTGTGCTTAGCAAAACTAGTAAAGCAAAATAAATGGGTTGTAATTGATAGATTCACAGCTAGATGTACAAAACCTAATCAATCAAATTGGTTTCGTGTCATGCTAAAGTCACTATTCTTGGGAAAAACAAGCGAAGATAATTCAAAACTTGAACTGTAAGTGGCGAATCACCAGTTCACAAAAATATTACGGACACCGTCACTGCCCCCTTGAAAATCATTATTTGTTCATATTGTTGTGTAATAACAACATAAATCAGATTTACTCGTACATCGACTCGTGGTTTGATGCGAAAATTTGGTTGTCGAGGTGAAGGGATAAGACATTACTGATCGTTGAACTATGCTGCACTCTCTCATCAGAGCCTGCTAGTTACTACTGGTTTTACGGCAAGTGTCGGAACGCTTTGTGTGAGTGTGACAGTGAGGCTGTCCAGTGTTTCAAGAGTGCTACGTTCAATGATGCTTACAAAGATCATCCACAAGAAAAATGTTAAAAATGCAATGCCCGAGACATTAAGTGATTATTCAATGAATTAAAAAAGAAAACCGCTATTAAAAGAGTCTTATCTTATCTGATAATGTTCGATATCTTCCACTAGCAATCTTATCAACGTTACGAGGCCTGTTTTGCAATTTGCATGCTAAATATAAATGCAAACGTCCTTTCACAACAAAAAAGGGTCGAAAAAAAAAAGCTCCTAAGATTGTGTAGACACCAGTACAATTTCCATTAAACAGGAGCATTTATTGCACTGATACAAAAGTATTCGTTTCCACCTACTCCAACTTTATTTAAAAAATGTTCTTAACCACCCCTTCCAAGCACTAATAATCGACAAAATTAGATTTAGAGAATGGTCTGAAAAAGGGTCCAAAAGATTAGTCAAAAAATGGCTAGTGGTCAATAGGACTTATGGTCCAGACCGTTTTTTTTCCTTTTCCGTTTCTGTAGTTATTTTAAAGGCAACTAATATTGATCCATCTTAGGCACAGTTCCGTTAGGATTATCAAGAATGAAGTTATCCTCCCTTGAGAGCTGTTATGTTTTTGCTTTGACGCGGCTGAGAGTTAGCTTTGATTCGTCTTTCTTGCTTTAGACTGTATTTGGTGTTTTCGTCGAGATTTTTATCTTGAAAAAAGCCTTGAAATTTATTGACACCATCAGGAAACGATCGGAGCACGAATGGTCTACATTTCGCAACATAAACAATGCGTGCCAAAAAGCACTTTGAACTTCATCTGCCACGTGCTCTGAACGTTATGCACCCATAAATGTCAAATTGTAAGAAGTCAGTGCGTTAACTCAGGTGCTCATGTACGCACTTGGTCAGTGTAGGACCTCTCACATTTTCAGACATCGAGATAATTCTCCACAATGTCGCACTCTTTGTTCTGACGAGTGTTTTAACATCTTAGATCAAGCTTCCACAACTTTTCAACTTGAAATCAAAGAAGCTATTCACATTCAGTGGGAGTAACCTACACTTAATCATCAACTTTATTATGTTAATTCAAAACTTTCCTTGTAAATGCATGCATTGTTCTGTTGCGATTGTTTGTTTTGTCCAATCAGTATTTTGTTACACACTTAAAATGCAACTTTGTATTATTCCAGAACTGAAGATGACAGAAGAACTATCGAAACATGTTTTTAAAAAGCATCGTTCATTTTCTTAATTCGTTCCACATCTGCATCTATCCAGACCTTTTGGCAATAGAATCGCAGAAGGAAGAAAAGCCGGCAGGGCAAGTGACAAAAAACCGGACCCGCCCCTCCCTACTCAGCTCAAGGTCTGGAACCGCCATTGTTAATCCCCCCTTTTCGTCTGAAATGACGTCTCCATTTATCTTTTATGGAGCTCAACCAGTAGCTGCTTCGATTTGTGGAAAATGTCTGCGATTAAAAACCGCTTTGGATCGGTGGATACTCAGCAAAATTCACGGTACACAGGGATGTTCTGCTTGCAGTTCTGAATGAAAGTCATAATCCGGTTGTTCTGCTCTTTTAAAACAACTCAACTCTTTTAATTAAGCTAATCTGTCAACCGACTGTCGACCGATATATCGGTCGAGTATCGACTGACCCTCGACCGATATATCGACCGCTATATCGGTCGCGATTACCTAAAATAAACATGATCCCTAACCTTTTCCCTTCCATATACTAGTCTGAAGTCAAATCCAGAAAAAAAGTATCCCCAGTCGGACGGCACATTCCTGTAGAAGACCATGGCAAGTAGTATCACATCCGTCTTCCCCAGCGGCATAAACTCACGTCTCGAGAAATAGCAAACGATCAATTCATGAAAGCGTCACACGTTGTGTGACTCTTTGTAAAGTTACAAAATCAAACACGCTGTAAGGAATAGTATGAGGAACGAAATATGGTCGCTTTACAACGATAAATATTTCGAAATATGAACATTATACACGTAAAATCAATAGAACTTACGCACACTGTTATTCCTGCCATAGGACGAAGGAATAACGGTGATCGTAAAACAGAAATCGCCAGAAACTCTCGTAACTCAATACCGAGTCACACAACGCGTGACGCTTTCATGAATTAATCATTTTCTTTTTCTCGAGAGGTGAACTTGGGCCGCTTGTGATGCAACGGGATAAAATAAATCGGGTCAACCATCAAAGGTCGCATTCGGAGCGTGCTTCGGAAAAAGAGAAATATGCAAGAAAATCTTCCAAATATAAATGAAATAGTTGCTACTCTTCTTTCTTTCTCTATTGGAGATTTTTTCAGTGTCTTAACTCTTGAAGATGTTCGCCCTTCAGAGAGAACAAGCCGTAGAAAAGACAGCGGTAAAGCTTAGTATTATTCTGGTCGTTATGCAACGGAGCGTTCTCAGTCACCCTCCTCAGTCACGCTAACCGGAAACGGATGTTGACTATCGCCCTCCAAATTTTCACTTTACATCAGAGCAAGTATTATTTTTCTACTAATAAAGTTTTAAGATGCCTAAGACATGTCGTGGAACTGCAAGCGAGCTATTTTTTGTGTAAATGTTTGGAACTAGGCTCTCAGAGAAATTTTTTCGGTTATGTCACACCTGCACGTGCATGCTTTGTGTTATATAATACTGGTTGGCACGTGCCGCTCTCAGACTTCTTCACGCGGAAATATTCGTCAGTGAAATCCATAGTTGGAGGTAGGCGCCTTTGCCTTGTGTTCTCTCTGGTAATTTTTCCATCTTGCAATAGGTAGCTAAAAGAATTTAACGGTAAGAGTTCCTGATAGAACACTTTTATTGTGAGCGGCATGTGAACATTATGGCGGAATCAATGACTACAGAGATCGAGGGCGAAAGAATATGTCGAACTTCATCCGTGTCTCCATGCACAACCAAATTAAAGGGACAAAAAGTAGGTATTTATTTTTTTCTTTCGAGTGGATTTTCGATATTATAAGAATTAGTAAAGGTGTTTGTGTCAAATTCTCGAGATTGTATCAGAATTATGCCTTGATATTGTGCTTACGACCCACTACATGTTCGGTTTGTCGCACACTTTACGCGTAACCACGGCGCTCGAGTAGTTTCCTATACATGTACCGCAAACGGTGGACACTTCATTAAATTATTGGCACCAAACTGAATGAAGCTTTTGTGTGTTCTACATAAGACAGGTAAATTGTTTCTTTAATATATTCTTTAATATTTGTAGACGTATCGAAATATTTCAACATCAACATCTTGTCAAAACATGTTCAATGTAATATCCTCGGATACTGAGCTTATGATTTATTTTATTTAAATGTTGGTGATCCTTCTGTAATTAGTCCTTCTATCCTTTGAAACAATTCGTACTTTCGAATTAAAACATTCCCCATTGAAAAAGAAAATTTAGAGCAAAATGTTCTGTTTTTGTTGTCCCTCAGATGGAATATTCTCATAGACTTGCTGAAAAAAGACGAAGGGACCGAATGAATATCAGTATTTCAGAAATTGCGCAGTTGTTGCCATCCTCGTCCGTCTCAAAACAGGTATTTTAACTTTTTTAGTTGCCATTTTAAACTGTATTTATTCATTCTTGTTTATTTATACTAATATGCATGTACCGCTAAGTTTATGGTGCTAATCAGCTATCCATGTATCAAAATATTTTTAATTCAGTCGTCTTAGCTTTAGTTTTAAATATCATTATTTGTGAAGTAGCCATCAGTGGCGATCTATGTGAACCAGGTAACTTGCGAACGACTTCTGATCATACTACTACAGTAAGCTGTTTATCGTACTCTGGTGCTGATCCTAAGGGACAGGTCAACGGGTTACACTCGAATTGATACATCAGGACAGTCACTGCTGCGCTTTAATCACCATTTTGATATTGTACATTTCCTAAGTGGATTTAGTCTGAAATTTTTAACCCTGTAATAGGTTGGAACTACATTGGACTATGGTCTTTCAATACTCCAATATTAGATGGTCAGGCCATTCTCTTGATTTTTAAGCATGATACCAGTAAAGTATGACACTAGCACCATCATAAAGGCCATGCCAAAGTAATTTTTCATGAATGCATCTTAAAGTTATTGAAATACATCGATGATGTGTAAACAACACACAGCTTTGATTCTTGTGTGATTTTTATTCCTTATGCACATTACTTTCAAGCTGGAGAAAGCTGAAATTCTGGAAAAGACCATAAGTTACATAAAAACACTTCAAGGCCTTACTGAAGATGTAAAGGCAGACTGTGAGACTGAGAGTTTAGAGGCAAAAGGTGAGTCTGTTAACTTTTGCAGCCATAAATGGTCAGTACAAGACAAAAACTTTGAATTCTGAAGATGATTCTCCTGATTAGCTCCATGATGCATTTATACTTAGACACTCTTGGGTCCATCTAAATGTTTTTTATATAAATGATATCTTGTTGGGTAGGAGAAATAATGGCAAATGTAAATGGTTTTTCTCTAAATATAGCATTATATTTGTTTTTTTTGATGAAAAGAAATACTTGTCAACTTTGTTCAAGTATGATACCAATGATATTAACAGCTCTAAACCTATCAATTGGTATATAAATATTTCTTTTAGAAAACCAAAATGCCACTGAACCACAAGAGAGCCAACCATCTACCGCACAGGTAGACATAAATTCCAAGTACTTCAATGGTTTCAGCGATTGTGTCAAGGAGGTGTTTCATTGTCTTACCAATGTGGAAGCTATGGACATTGAGCAGCCTTGTTTTCAAAGACTTATGCGCCACTTGCAGATTGAGCTGCAGGTTTTGTGTAAGCAAGTAGACTTGGTTGGCTCTGATGATAACCATAAAGACAAGTATTCAAAGGCAGTTCTTGATTTGTGGCAGTGCAAAAGAACCCATGAGAACAGTGAAAATCCTAGCAGCCAAGACAAATCCTCCAGTGGAGAGCCTGCTTCTAAACGGACACATCGAGATTCAGATAAGAATTCATGTAGTGATGGCCGTGGAAGCAGGTTTTCATTAGGCACAGTGAGTAGCAGCTCAAACAAAGAGAAAAGGAAAGTTACCATGGATGCAAACTGTACTTGGGATGAAAATGGAAGCAATTCAGCAAACTCCAGAGGCAACAGCAGTGTTTCATCGAAAGAAAAAGAATCAATCCCAAACAATTTCAAAAGTGAAAGTGGGAACAATTATGACAAGGCAAACTGTGATGCTGGTGGTTATGTACCTTGTGGTGTAGGTTTGAACTGGAAATGGCCAAGTCATGGTCTTGATGGCCTGATTCAAGCCACTCCCATTTCACCTAGGACCCCTTACATACCAAACCCCTACACTCTACCTACCTATGCTCTACATCCATCTGGCACCCACTTCATCCCTGTAGTTCTTCATGTGAGCATTCCTTTGCCTCCATTTCCTGATACGAATGGACGTTTGAACCCAGTACCAAATGGATATCTTGGTGCATTCAACCAAATGAGAATGGGGTATCCTCATTTCCCTTATTTCCCTGGTTTTCCCTTTTCACCACAACTCTGTGGCAGCCTTACAGGCATGACTGGTGGGCAGAATCCCAAGGATGAGTCAAGACAGAAGCAGCGTCAGTCTAAACCACAGGATTCAGATCCTTTAAACATGAATCATGAACATTTGTCAGTTAATGCTTGTACAAATCAAGAACTATCAAACACTGTTGAGTAGACAGGTTTGTTATTTGATTTAACCCTTTAACTCCCGTGAGTGACCAAAACAGAATTTCTCTGATAGAATTTCAGTACAATATTAACCAGATAAGTGATGAGAATAAAGAAAAATATCAATTTGGGGATAATTAGTTGATCCAGTAATAAATTCTTTATGCTAGCATAAGTGTTGTATTGTTGACATTAAGAAGAATTACAAATTTGATCTGGGAGTTAAAAGGTTAATTGAGGAATTTTGAAATACATGTACCTTTGCTCCACTGTAACATATTAAGCTGTGTATTGAGGTGCAGTGATATGACTTTAAATTCACTGAAGCTGATTATTTTCTAATTGCATCAGCAAATTTTTCCTTTTCCAGTAGAACCGTTTAATGGAAAACAAAGTCACATCATCCTTCCCTCAAGGATTACAGAGCAAGGCAGGCTTGAACTAACAATCTAGGGAAGTAGTTGAAGCATATACAATTATACATTGCAAGTCAGTTTGGACCAGTTAGCTGTGAGTTTCAAAGCCTAGTTCATCATGTATTGCCAGCAACTGGCTGGGTTACACTATTATAAACTCAAAGGAAGCAGTGGAGTTGTCAATTCAAAATTTAATAATGAGACCAAGATTAAGAGGGCACTCAGAGACTTGAATTAGTAAGCTGAATGTTTTGTTACTCTCTTTCCATGTCTTTTGTTAGGCATCATAATATATTATTATGAATATATAATTAAATACATAAATTTGAATATCCTCCTGAGTTTTACATGGTAGTAACTAGGATTCAGTGTATTCTAGGGTATGAATTGTATAAATTGTAACTTAATGGTTTGTTTGCTAAATATTGCATGTAGACAGTGTCTAATGGAAGGTACTACAGAGCTAAGAGGACACTTTGTCATTGTTTTGTCTGTGTTATGATGCAGAGACACATTTTATACACTCAGATGCAGGTCATAAACATGTATATACACTATTAATGTGTGCATAGACTTATGTATCTTTATCATTCAGTGCTACACTAATTTGATCTTAATGAGAGCTATTGATTTGAAAAATCAAAATGTAATTATGTGACCTTATAGACATGTAGAGATTGAAATTGGGCAGCTAAAGGTTCCACCAAGTCCTTTTCATGTCTCTTGGTAGAAGGGTGAAGAATAAATTATGTAAGGTTGTAAATAGTACTCACATGTAGTGTTTGTCAAGATATGTATTGACCAAACAGCTGCCTGCTTCTTCTTATTAAACTCCTCCTTATTATTATGTGAAGAAACTATCAGTGAGCATTTCCGTAGCTACAACCCAAATCTAAGAGCCAATGTGTGTTCCATGCATGTGACCCCAAGAGCTCCAAGTGGAGAGAAAAACACCTGCCATAACCAAACAGTACAAGGAATGGTAAAATTTATGCACAGCCCCATACTACATTTTGCATTCAGTTCTTGGATTGAGAAAACAATGACAAAAACAATACAGTGCCATTGGGAAAGCAGATCTGTTTTACAATAGCATAGTGCTGTGTGGAAATTTTACCCAAGGAAACAAATTATCCCAGAGTTTGTTTAGAGTACAATGAAAGTTCAACTTGTAAGAATCGTTTGCTCTCTCTTGTGACTGAAGAAGAAGTGACTTTCACTTAGACCTTGAGTCCTCACCTTTCCTTTTTTCAGCAGCACCTATCCCTCCACTTGATCTGACCAAGAAGAAGGGTAAAAACTTCAACACCACTACAACACAACCTCACAGCGGAGTAAGGAAGTAAGGTTGCCTTCTTTATGATTGGGTGTCTGTGAATGTGTGGCTGGCGCTGGAGGCTTGTGACCCTTAGAGTCCATACATGTATCTGGATGGTGGCTAGGACTTCCAGGCTCTCGATTCCCACAGTCCCAACTTCATGTTCTTCAGAGATACAGCTACTAACAATCATCAACTGAACCCTAACATCCATTTTAATCTGAGTTTCTTAATACCTTGACGGTGTTCCTTTGTATGTCCTGCACCCTTACATTTAACCGATCTATATCACACTTCGTACTTATACCCCATCCCAGATTAAGATGTGTAGTGATGTCCCTACTCACCAAGTTATTCTTGCCTTTAAGATTCAATTTGCATTGTTTATACGTATCTTGCGAACACTACTATTGATCCAGATACCAGCACTGTATTATCCACAGCAGAATAAAGCTCGTAGAACGAAAGCCCGCTTTTATACTGAGACCATCTCTTGTAGTAACTCGACCACTGATGTACGAAGATCAGGTTATCTTTCAAAAGAATCTGAACACCCAACTGAAAATAGCGAGGGTAATTGTTGAAAAACTAAGTGTAACCTGCCACCTGTTAATTGAAGAGATACCTCTAGTTGGTTCAGGTTTCTTGTCGCTAAATAATGCAACTTTTGTCGTTTTCATAACGGTCGATATCCCTTTTAGAGCGCCAATAACAATGAGGTATTGAAACTAGATCGCTGCGACACTTACAGGGGCCTGGGAACTACACAACAAACGATTTGTTTTTAAAGGGACAGAAAGCCTTGTGTAGATTACCACTAATCACTTGCTTTCAAAGGAATTTTCTGGTACAGTACTATTGAAAATTAGAAGAGGACGAGGATATTCAAGGTGAATATTTTTTGAACCTTGATTGATTTCCGGAATTGACCCAAACCACTTAAAAGTCACCCTGGGACTTTTAGGTTTGAACGTAATTGTCAAATTGAAATACTAAACCGCACAACTTGAAGGACATATTGAGAACGTTTCCAAGCTTCAATCGCATTAAAAAGAAAGAACTTTCAGAGTCCGCTCTAATGATTAGAGACATTCTTAAAAAAGAAAAAAAAAAAGTGTTTTTTGAAATAAAGACCCAAAGAACGACCTCTGCACGAAAGGATATGAAGATTGAGTCAATGTACTGTAAACATTAATTCTGGCTCGATAGCTTGAAAAAAATAAATTGATCGTATCGATTTGCTGTTGATGATGTCAATTGATACATACCGCGGTCAAAAAGTTGTTAAGTTTATTGATATTCGGCTCATCCATTAAGTTATCCGTTATTTGCAACCAATAGGAATTCTAAATTGACTTCCAAACAGATACATTACGCTTACAACATGCTAATTCATTCACACTCGGCGACAACCATGCAATTTCAGTAAAAATTATGATTGGCCAACTTAGTAAAATCTAAACAAACCGTTGTGATAGTTGCCCAAATATTCTTGAGGTTTAAAATGATTGCCTTCCAGTTTCGATGTTAAATCATTAGTCTTCCGCCATTTCCAAGTCTCAGGTTTCATCAGGTTTTGGGTCCTTGTATCTTTGTTGCTTGACTTAAAACTACTGAATTCACTTTTTTGAAAAAATGAAGTCACTGGCCGCACCTGCAATTTTTCTTATCGTTTCCAGTGTTGTATGTGTCCTGTCCCTGCCGTCTTTATTCAAGGTAGGTGAGTCAAGGTTCGAAAAATGAGTGCTTGGTTCCTTTATATCACTCAATTTCACACGGTACTAAGCCGTAAAAATCGTTTAAAACTCACTCTCTCAATCTTCGAGATATTTCACATTATAATCGCTCCTACTCTAGCAAAAAGCTCATTTCGTACTACCAAGACCCCCAACCAAAGCTAAGGGTACCCAATGCCAAGGGTTTTTCAGGTTAGGAGGATAGCAAAGTTTCCTGGTGGTACATGTAATTTCTATATCTTCAAATAGTCCACATAATAAGTCCCTCTGACAGAAAGCTAGCGCTCGAAACGTTAGAAACTCTTTACGGTGGCCAATTTATTATCAACTCAGTTGACAAAATCAAATTATCACATCCTAAGTCGAACTACCAAAGTCTATTAGAGTACCAAAGTTCAGTTGTTGGCGGTAGGTATTTACACTTTGGTGGTTATCTTGCCTCCAGGAGAGAATCGACAAACCATCTCTCGAGAGGAAACAAAGTAAGTTCATTAATGACATAAACGTAGGTAAACGTTCTAAGCGCAGCTGCATTAATACAAATGTGTTAGCACGGAAATTAAACCTGTGTATCCTCTTTCAAGACAAATTATGAAGTAACAGTACGCCATAGGAAGCCTTCCCTCGCACGAAAACTGCAGGACTGATGAAAATAACTTTAGGAATCTGTCCTTTGAGAGGCTCTCTCTAAAACTTAAAGATTTGTCAAAGTGGAGTTATGAAGTCTATTCTCTTACATGAAATTTTGTGCATTTTTAATTTCTTTTCAAGAAACCTTATTCAATAAAAATACGAACAGGTACAAGGACCACGTCTTTTATAATGAACAGATTTTAGAAAAAATTATGATGGGCACCCCACGACTTCCACTGACCTTCAGTGGGAACAATGGCTCGAAGAATGTCATCCAAAAATTAATATTGAAAATCAATCCTAATCGAATCCCTTATACCAACCAATCGGCTAGCTTTCCAACCAGAAAATGTTTTTCGATACATTTTTTATCAATCAAAAGAGAAAAAAAGGACCTACTGCCTAACTCTAACAGATTAAAGTCACTAATAACAAATGATAGCAGAGGCCAAACGGGGAGAAAATTCAAGAAATCGAGAAAGAGTTAATAATTTTAGACGTAAATATATTTAAATTGAGTCAATGCATTGCCAACTATTTTATACCTATTTAAAATTTGGCCTCTGAAGCGCGGAACCTGTATCAGTTTGGATTAATGATCTGGTGCGCCACAAGTCGGAGTCCATGGGATTATTACGATTATGGATGTTGGTGTGGATATGGCGGATCAGGTACTCCTGTTGATGACACTGACAGGTATTGTTACCTTAAACTGCTTCGTAGGCTTTCACTTTTGTTAAAGCCTTTAAAAAGTTATGTTAAATAGATCAATTTTCACTTCCTTGCTGCAGCGGTAATCTGAAATTGCATAAATTTGGCTTACCGCGCTACGATATTGGTCGAAAATGACTTGAAAAAGCAGATGGAAAACTGAAACCCATCGGTACTTAGTCACTCGTATTGTCCTCGCTTGAAGCAAGTTTACACGTCTGCACCTGAAAATCAATTAATAATTGCTCCATACGACAATTTCGTTGTTACGATTGACTACCATATGAACTTACGTTTTTGGTTTTACAACACCCAGTCGTTAAATGCTATATTTGACATGACGTCTATAACAAACTAAAACACCATTCCCTTTATTTGCCTTCCATATACCCACGCTTTTTTCCGCGCCAGACGATAGAGAAAATGGTGGGGTCCCTGGGCACACTACAATAGACATGCGATACCTTACACCGTGCTTCTCTTCGACAGTTCACTCGTTCTTTAAGTATATTTTAAGCCGATGTTTTTTGTCCTACAACTATCACGCAGCCAATGCTTACAAGATGACAAAAATTCTTAAAGCCCATAGCATTTATAGTTTGTTTACAATGGCATAAAATTGTCTTTCATCCTGAAAGGAGAACTTATTTTCCCAGTGAACCTGCATATCGCTCATAATTCACCATTATATCTTTATCAATTTGTATTTTAGATGCTGCCAAATACACGACTCATGTTACGATGTTCTTGTTAACAACAGCATCTGTTCTACATGGTGGAAGCCGTACTTTCTTAACTACCTTTTCACTCCCTGTCACAAATGTGGTAAGAGTTCGTGCATATAGAAATCAGTCGTTTATTTTCTCTCACTATTCCAAAGTCAATCATCAGCTTAACGCATTCAATAGCCTTCAAGGTAAGGGAAATGTTTTTGCATTTTTCAGGCATGCGCGAAATGCGTGTCCGTTGCAAAAACGGAAGCACAAAGAAATGACGCTATTTTAATTACCCACTGCGACAACTACGGCAAAGTTGCTACTTGTTCATTTTGATGTCATTTTGGTATCAATCAATTCTAAAGAAGACGGATCTTATCGGAAAAAAAGGATCAAACAAATTAAACAAGGAAAAAAACAGCATCAAAAAGAGACGAAGTGGTTGTGTAGTGCGTTCAACTCTGAGAGATTTGAACAACGGAGCTTTCCTGTTACTTAAGATTAGAAGGAGACAAACTCAAAAAGATTTCCATTGCATCGATTATAAATTTGTTCTTAACTTACTTGTAACCTGAGAGTAACAACAAGTGCGAACACTTACATTTATTGATCATGATGAAGAGCAGAAAAAGAATGATTTTGCACTTTTTGTATTGCTACTACTACTACTACTACTACTACTACTACTACTACTACTACTACTACTACTACTACTACTACTACTACTACTACTACTACTACTACTACTACTTAACTTTAACAGAGGCTAAGGGTCCCAATGAAATGGGATTGATATCAAGCCAGATTTTAACGACGAGTTTAGTTTCTTATTTTACACATTTTTCATTTGCTCTAAAGTACTGCACATTATGATAGCGAGATGAAGAAAGCCCAGGGAAAGAGGTGCTTTAGTACAGTAGCTATTATTGTAGAAGAAAAAAATGCAAAAGAAATGACGAGAAAAGGAGTGTTGCAGAATCAAAAGCGATGTATTCCTTGCCTTCATTTTAGCAGCTTTTATAAATTTCTTTTTTTATCACCATCTCTTTTCAGACCCTGAATCTAGTTATCCATCTGATGAAGTGGATGTCACGTGCAAGAGAGCTCTTTGTGAATGTGACAGCCAAGCCACCAAATGTTTTGCGAATTCAACTTTTAATGCGGCGAATATCGACTACGACACTTCAAAGTGCTGATGCATAAATAATGAATGAAAAATGGTTAGATACCTTAATAAAAAAAAGGTGCCTTATCAGAGAAAAATTCTATTCTATCTGCGCGAATTAAAGAACAATATTGAAAACCGAAATTTCATCCCGAAAGCTCTATCACTTCCCAACCCACCCTTCCCTCCTGGTTATGTAGAGCAAACAACATTAAGGCCTTTTTTGTCAAATCGTTGTCTCAATTCTCTAAGAGTCATCATTTTATTGAAAGTCCGATAGAAATTGGCCACATACTCTAAAATATCATATTTCTTTGGGGTCTGGCCACAAAGCGATCGATCTCAATTGTTAGTACTGGCCATACCATCCAAGATGGCGTTCCTTCTTGATGTGCTTTGCGTTAATTACGGATAGACGGGTGGGCTTAGCAGGGTTAAACTACGATCGAATTTTTATTAAGCATTGTCTCTGGAAAAAAAAGAGAAAAAAATACAGATGAACGAGTTTGAAGTCAGAACGGAATTTTAAAAAAGTGTGAGTAAATTTACTTTGAATTACACTGTTACGTAAGTGTCGGTGACGTCCTAAACCTGTGTAAATACCGAATTCGACATTTTCGATCATTGTTGTCTTTTTCTCTTTTCTAGATATAGATGAAGTAAGTTTAGCCAGAGAAACAATTTCAACAAAAACAATCGTTCAATTCTCATAAAAGAGTCATTTTGGGATGACAAAGGAACCGCAGGATTTGCTCACTCTTTACATTGAATGTGTCCATAGCAAGAACATCTTTTGTCATATGTTCTTTCAAAGAGCGGGTCCGCGATATTCATGATCCGATGATAAAGACTTATTTCCCATGTCCTCTACAACGTTTCCTTAGATGAGATGCTGCACGGTTTAAAAATTGATAATTAAATGCTGGTTTTAAAAAATTTAGTAATAGGGACCAAGAAGAAGTTCAATTGGCAACATTTAAGCAGGAAATATGATGAGCAAACGAAAAAGTATTATGTAGTGTGTGGTAAAAGGTTTTATGCAAACAACTCATTGTTGTGTAAATGAAAATCCAGAGTTACTTTAAATCATGAAACAGGTGCAATGACGCCTTTTCATAATTCAGCATTCATTTGTCAATCAGCATAGTATGAAAGGCAAACAAATTTTGTGGTAACCACGTTCTTCGTCTTCTACACTCGGCTTTGTTATGTTAGGCTTTTAAAGCTCTGAAGCCCAAGAGCAGAGATGTCCAGGAAATTTTGGCAAAGATTTCTTTTCGTTCTACCTACCGCTTTAGCTTATTTAGTTCTTTGTATTCTCCTTCAAAATGAGGTGAGGATCGTATTTTAAGTTATCAGAGCTAACAGCGAGCTAATTTATCTAATATGATCTGATAATTTGATCCATTGGATTTAAATAACCAAAGGCCAAAGCAAAAATCCTCAAAGCTTTTATCTTTTGTTTTCAGGCTTTGAGTGAACCTCTCAATAACAAAGGTAGGGATCAGTACTGTTAAGTTGGTTCGTGAGTGGGATATAGATACCATTAGGGTGAATTATTAAAATGCCATAAACTTGTTCAGAATGGTTCTCCACGAAAGTTTGAATCATGACTATTAATTAATCAAAGGGAATAAGGAGCACGAGCAGTCATAGTGTGGACACGTGGGAAAACAGCTTTTAACGAATTTCGCCGAAACTGATCATGTCGGAAAAGTTCGCCCTCTTTATCGAGATTAAAGTTCCTCTCAGATCTCTTCAAAGTGCCGTAGGTTAAAAGCACTTCCCCTGAGTCCATCATCTGTAGCAAAATTTAATTTGGATAAGAGTTATAGATCATGTATTAGTTATCTTGCTTATATGACTTAAGCTTTAGTTCTGTTGGTTGATTGTGGATGGTAAAGAAAAGGGGAAGTTTTCCTTTGTTGCTTCAAAGCCCAATATGTGCGTTGCACAATCAAAACGAATTAACAACTTACACGAAAACCATTAGATTACCCGCAGGAAGATTACAATATTGTCAGTATAAGAACCAAGCCGTTTAGAGAAACCAAGCCAGGATTTCTAATAAATACTTCACGTCTCCTTTCGTTCAAATTTACAGCCCGAAATTTGTATCAGTTTGGTAACATGGTAAACTGTATGACAAACAGAAGCAGATTTGATTATGCTGACTATGGTTGTTGGTGTGGAGCAGGAGGAAGCGGAAAGCCTGTGGACCACGTAGACAAGTATGCTTTTCTGTAACAGTAGGATTATAGAATAGTTAACGTCCATTGGTGCATGATACCTAAAAGGAACTACTGCAAACTTCGAGCTATTGGAGCTCAAGAACAGAAGGGTACAAATGAAATAATATCACTTCGACGATGTCAACAAAGGGCGCGTTAGATTTATATTTTGGTGACAACATGATCCCCTTTTCATACCAATGTTACCGTAGAGGTGAATAAGCATGTTATCTTAACGGCACTTTTCGAATTTCTGTCGTTAACAGATGCTGTCAAATTCATGACAAATGCTACGACGTCGCCATGGTCGAGAAGTGTTACTTTTATTTTCATGTTTATTCCGTGGTTTATAGATACCAAGGATGCAGGCAGTGTGGTAGGTAGCGTATATTAGAATTAAAAATGTCTTTATCTCTCTTTCAACTCGGAATTGAATATTCTATTCACTTTTACTAATCATTTACTGAGCAACTTCCGAGCTGAGCAAACAATCATAAGAACATTTACTCCCAAAGTTGTATGCATCGGTAATTGTCGGAATCAATAAGCGATAATCTATTAAAGATATCACAACAACTCGAAACTATGAAACGTAAAAAAGAAAAAAAAACTTGGACAACACATAGAAACTTCAGACTCTATTAGGGAAAACTTTTTTTAAGATAAATGCAGATTTCGTTTTGAAATTTGAAAATCACAAAAGGTAACTACGCTGTAAGTTTGTACTCATATTTTAAATGCTTTTTTTTCATTTCCACCTTCGCTTGTTTCAGATCCTATTTCCAGCTACCCCTCATGGGAAGACAAAGTTGATGTGGAATGTAAGAAGGCTGTGTGTGACTGTGACAGCGATGCTGCACTCTGTTTTAGTCAATCTGTTTATAATTCGTCTCTTTACAACTATGACACATCAAAATGTTAGATACTGACTTAAAACGCGCATAAATAAACTTCCAGAAGTATTTGAAACATTTGGAACAGTAATTTTCAACGCCTCGGCTGTGTTACTGGTCTTTTAGGTATTCTCATGTGTTCAAAATTGATAGATCGAATTATAAAAAATATGGATTTAGATCAATTATGAAATATATACTTGTATCTAAATGTTAAGTAGGTACCCCTTACTTCATATGTATATTAATGAGATTAAATTGTGGGAAAATATTTTCTCTTCGTAAGGAAACTGATAATGGACAATTTTTGACCATATATTAAAAGACATGTTCACCAAAGATAAGGAAACATAAATACAGGACGTTAAAATAACATGAGATAAAGATAGTTTCCTTTTAACAGGAAAGGTTTGCCTCAATTCAATCGAACTCCGTCACCCACTTCAGAAGTACACGATTCAGCAAAACTAAACTTGACCGAGGGGGGAAGAACATTCACAGTTAGAACTGTTAAAAATTGCAAGCGTTCGGAAAAGTACTCAGGATTAATGACCACAATTTCGAAAAAAACGGTCAAACAGAGAAGGAAGAAAAACAGGGGGATTTGCCCTCCCCCCTCCATACCTTCTTATCAGCAGACTCAACTAACGTTCAATTTTACCGTATATTAGCAAAGTTTCTGAGAGATATGCATAAAGCTACGTTTTCAGAGAAGCACGTAGGTCCCTTTCCAATGGCAATTATTCTTTTAAAATTCTCAATTGTTAGACAGGACTGTTCTCATCAGAAAAGACAGATATGATTGATGAAAACTAGGGTTTTTTTTCTAGTGGCAGTAGAAATTTCAGGTATTGGAACAAAAACTCAACAGGAAAGAAGCACATTGAGACTTTCTACGCTATCATGCCAATGTTTCGAGTAAATAACTCACAGTTTGCTGTCATACAAATCATCATGTGAACATCACCAGTGACAGACTTGGTACGCCCTCTGCCGAGCGTTTAAACCGAACTTGAAACTCAAAAAAGGATAGACTTTCAATAACATTTTCATCCATCGTTTATTACTCACATGCGTAGTGCAATTCTAAGAAAGATTGTGCAATATTGATAATTACTTTGTCCTTGTTGTTAATTATAATTTCAATCAAATATTTTGAATACTGTTTGAATTGTAAAGCGAAGTATACATGGAGTGACTTCATACATTAATCCGCTTATTGATCACAAGTTATTTTCGTCAATATCACCTCAACACTGAATCCGTTCTTTAAATTAGCGAAGACCAGCCTGTTTCCTCGGCTTGGTTTCTCGCCACTTGCTCTTTCGACCACGTGAACCCTTGGCACGTAGCCAGTTGGAGAACCGTGCACTACGGGCGTTTTTGGAAGAGTAGTGCTCACAGTGCGTGCCAAGGTGACTTCAACTTGTATCTCACCGCTTTCTATTTGATACATCTCCCGAGCTCCAATATCGCCGGAGGTTTGCAAGACTTTTGAGCCAGGGAAATTCAGGTCGGGGTAACTAATGCTTAAGTAAATCTCCTGAGTACTTTCTTCCGCCATAATCCTGCACTGTCTGTTCACTCCCGAGACAATCCCCCAGGAAGGAAGATATGAGGTTTCTTGAAAAAAAACATAACCGTATAGTGGAACCAAGACATGATCACGTTCAGGAGATCTTTCAAATCGGACCACATGAGCCTCACTGTCTTGCTTAATAACCCTGTATAGCTTACGTGACTTATGAAATTGTTGTTTGTTCCAATAATAGTCAGCAGAGCCTTTATATGAAGGAGTATTTATGTGAACTGCGTACTCGTAACTCCCATCAGGTGTACTGTGCTCCAGCCAGGCAGTACCGTAGGTGCCACTGGATGGTTTAGCTGAGGACGTTTGCGAGTTTTGTGTTTGTACGTGAACCTTAAGATCGGATGCACTTGATCTTGGAATGTAGTAGCTGTTGCCTTTGGTGTCCACCAGAGTAGTGTATCCCCTTCTACTTCCTTTTGGAGTTGAAAATGGGGTTATGGCGTCAAAAAGAGTTGAATCATCTTTTCGCTCATCGTCAACTTCAATGGACGAGCTGTCACTTATCAGCTTGTCTTGAAAAAGGGTCGTTTGAGCTTGAGTTGCTCCGCCATTGTTTATTCTGATGTTGCTTCCTAGGCAGACCAACACGTTTTGATAAAAGAAAACAGATTTCTTAAAGCGGAGATTGATATTTGGATAGGGGTGGCTCTCCTCCATAAAACTGTACCTGGGTTGGCGGAAGTGCATGCCAAATACTCCGCTGGATAAAGGCTCTGGTCCTCTGTAGGTAACTCCTCCAGCAGAAGAGCGTGGACTGAAGTTTCTTGCCTTACTCAGCCTCGTCTGAGTGAGAGTCAGGGACATTGTTGTGGCTCCAGGTATTTTTGTCCAATCCCATCCATTGTTTATATCGTGAGCCTTCAATGCTTCTTCGCTGTTCGCTATCAGCATTGAACCATGACTCTGATAGGTACCATAAACATTTTCAGGTTTTTTGATCTTTGTAGATCCCTCAAAGTCCCAGACAAACCGGTTAAAGCCTTTTATCGTCACTGCCCAGTCTTTACGACGATGAATTGAGAGAGCAGCAAAGTTCTTGGACCAGTGACCTTCAGGGGAGGGCTCAGGAGATGTACCTTTAGAAAAGACCTATGTTCGAGAAAACATATAATAAAATCAGCAAAGTTGCCCAAATTTAATACATTAGACTGCATCAAACACTTGGTGAAATTATATAAATACAAGAAAAAAAACACCATAGTTAATAAAAGGGCAAGACTACATTTCTCGAAAAAAATTATCCTAACATTCTTCCTTAAGTTTTTTTTCTAGAATTTTAGTCCCTCGTCCTTTCTTTAAAGGGTTACAGTGCAATGTTTTATTGTAGGAAGGAAGGTTACAAGTAACAGCAAAGTGGTGTATTGTGCGAATTGCAGGACGTTAGGCAGCAACATAATTATTATTGCATTGTTACGCAGGCACAAACAAAATAAGCTTTTTATTTAAAACCCAATTTCGACGAAATCTCACATTGGAATTGCGGGTTTTTCTAAAAATTCCCTTTTTCAATGAGCACAATCACGGTGTTCCTAAAAGGGTCTAACGTATCCAAAACCTTTTTGCTGTTTTCCTTCTAGGAATATATTTCGTTCCACTTGACAAAAATCTGATTAAAATTCATAAAAATACTGAGGTAAGCAACTTTATGTATAGGCATTCAGCACGGTTCAGTTAACAAACTTACGGTCGACATAATTTTCAGTGATCCAAGGCTGTTCATATATGATTTTCCCCTGCTAACCGTTCCATCTTCCAAATACATTTTAATAGATTCGTCAGTAGGCTGGTACAAACGTAAAAACATTCCAACGTTCCTAACAGCAGGCACTGTGACTTCTTTGGCTGGGGTTGATGCCAGTGGCCCAGATGGATGAGAAACACTGATGTAAGCGTATGCTGGGAGAATTTTTACCAAAATCTTTTTAGAATAGTCTACAATGCGTCCTCCGACACTGTTTGGTGTTGAATACTTAACTGCTACTAGCCTCATTGTTTCAAGGGCTTCCAGTAAATTTCGTTTCGACTCATCTGACAGAGCAAAATCTGTTCCTTCCAAGAGGTATTGCACTTGCGCAGCTGTATGATATGCGTGTGGGGCATACGCAGATGCGTAGAATGTCTTGTGATGAAAGCCAGTATAATCAGGTTTAATGACTCCACCGAAGGCTTTGTTAATACTCAGGGCGTTATCCATCCACCTTTTCAAAGCATCCATATCCCTCTGCCTTTCCTTTATTTCCATATCCGACTTAGCAGGCATTATCAACACAATCATGAGCCGAAACAACATTATTGTAATCATTCTGTCAGCCGTAGTTCCACTAAACTCGAACGTCGATTGGTAAACTTCACCAAAATCATTGTACCACTTGGCAGTGTTTATTAGGTTTAAAAGTCTTGATCTGTATTTAGCGTCCCCGTGCAAAGTGTCTTTCAGCAAGAAAAGAGTGTGCATGTACCCAGCACCACCACGGTTCATTTCATGATCCAGGGAGCCTATTGCACTTCCATCAGCCCATCCTTGGTCTTCAATGTAGTCAAGCAGTTTAATTATTCTCTCAAGGCGTTTTTTATTTTCGTCATTCAATATTTTGCGTATTTGGTCCTTTGTGTAAGGTTTCGTCAAACTTTCAAGGTACTCGCGGAACACTTTCTGCCTGTTTGCGTTGTTTCCACAAATCCTTTCAATGGCACTGTCCACATCGACTTTGTTAGTAGAACTTAGTTCAGGAGTTTCTTCTGTCACAGTTCGGGAAATTTCTTCGTCGCGGGATTTAAGATAAAACTCTATCGCCAAAGGAAGCATGATACGCATTTGGACGAAGCTGAACTTTCTTGTTGGATCTTTCTTGGAATACGCTCGTGTTCCCCTATCACAACCACGACAAAACAAAGGAGGCCCGGCTATCACTTTCTTCCCTGAGTCTAGCGTCCTAAATACAAGTCTATCGTATTCCAGATATGCAGCGTCAATGCTCCTCACCAGTTTATCCCAACGCTTCTTGGTTTCTCCAGAGAAGTCATAGGTGGTTTCCCTCTCGTCGCAATACCAGTTTTTCAAGCGACTCTCGATGTGAGTGAGACTCAAGGACTTTGAAGCAACCACCGTTTCCGGAAGGGCAGTCGGAGCTCGCCGACTCCAACGGTAGCTTTGCTGCCAGAAGTTGCTCGAGTCGTATCGTGAGCCGAATCTTGTGAAGGGTGGAACTATTTTGTCGCGAGACTGCATCGACATTCCTCCCACGAATTCAAGCATATCGATATGAACTGTGTCATGATGTCCCAAAACAAAATCGACTCTATAAATTGCAGCGGGAGAGTCGAGGCTATGAGAGTAACGTTTGCATTCTCCATAGGACACCCATATTCCTCGCCATCCCTTAAATCCCAATTTAATATCAAATGATCCAACTTGGTTGTTCCGAGCAGTATCTCTAAATCTAACTTGCATGCTCCTTCCGGGTGAGGGAGTCTCTTTGTAGATCCACATCTTCACACCTCCTCGGCTTAGTTCACTTCCTCTGATGCGGGCAGATCGGGGCCTGGTGTACCTCAACTTCGATTTCCCTGTGGTGCCAGATTCCCATCTCAGTGACCTTGAGCCGAGCTTAGCTACCGACGTTGAGAATGTTATTGTCCCTCTGTTTTCTGGTGAACGTACCAGGCAATTTTCCTGTGAACCCCCTTCGAAGTCTAATAGTTGCTGACAATCTGCAATAAATGCCAAAACAAAATTATGATGAAAGGATACTACTCTAAAGAAACGACCGCAACAATGCACAGTTTACCATTACAGGTACATTTAGCTTGACTCAAACTTTTTTTAAAATTTATTATTTTCAGTGACGTAAGGGTTGAAATTAGAGCGTTGAGAAAAGTGTTTTTTTCAATAACCTTCTGAAATTTAGGCTTAGAGTACACTGGAATTTGAAAACGCAACAAATTTCTCCTCTACGAGATGGGTAAACGGAGAGAAATTTTTTTTAGTCTGGAAACAGTAAATGAATTCAAAGCATACTTTAAACCTAAAAAATAATGGCCTTAGTGGAAGATATATATGAATTGTTTGAGTGATCATTTCTAAAGGGAAATAGTGATCTCTGTAAGATCTTGACGACTGACACATCAGAAATGTAAGATACAGGTCGTTAGCTCTTACTAACGAATAACCTACCGTCTTGAGCCGATGTAAACTCCACCAACAAGAGTGCAAGCCCAGTCAAAAAAAGACAAAAACCTCCTCTTCCAGACATGCCTCAAAACGGAAAATGATAAGATGAGGAAGATTAGAGAGACTAGTTCCTCGGATACGCTACCAAGGAGGCTCGTGTAAGATAATAAAAGTGGGTTCCTGGGACAAAATTCCCAAATCAAGGCCTACCCAACAAAGGAAGTTAACATTTTACTTGGCATAAACCTCTTCTGGCGTCTAATCTCACCACAGGATAATGAATCAGTTGAAAGGTTGTTCATCGACAAAATCTAGGACAGTTTACGAAGAGGAGAAACTTACCAAGCATTTGCACCCAAATACGATGAAAATCGAAAGAACATTCATGGGTATGTTACCAAAAATCATGAATAAACAGCACGGAAGGAATAGTCTACAATAAAATATTTCCACGCACCTTTGCCGAAGGCAGTGTTTTTTCCTGATCTCTTTCCTTTTCTTTGATATTGTTATGGCCGAAATCTGATTTCGACAGAGTAAATCCAACAGTTAACCACTTCAAAAAACCGCCAAGCAACAAACTACGTGCTGAACTTACCTGTAATGACAGAGAGGAACCCTCCGTTTGTCGTCCTTCTCTACCTTCTAAGTTGAGCTCTATTTAAAGCAAACTATCATTCCGTGGAAATTGTTGAGCAGTCTGGTGATGGCAATCTGGTCGTGCTCTGATTGGCTGTGTAGCAACTTATTACTAAATCTCCTGCGAGACAATTGAATCATGAGGGGATGACAGCAGATATTTACGGTCGAAGTGCACGAGAGAGATATGGTTATGAATCAAAAACCTGCTTCTTACATCAGAGAGCAGAGTTTATGAGTGAGCGAGATGACAAAATTTACTAATCTTTTAATCTGCTTTAACACGACTGTAGGGTGGACTTAAATGAAACCAGTAGAGTATGACAGCAGAGAAAATTATTGAAGTGCTTGGAAGATGTTTGCCTTGTTTATGAAATGATGTCCTGTTTCTGATACAAAAGAGCTCAGGCTACGAGTGAGATGACAAAAATAAATCTATTCCTGAATATGCTTTTACCGGACGGTTTGTCAAAGGAATTGTAGAGCGTGAAAGCAAGAATTACGTCACAGATTGACCATAACGATCTGGAAAAATTGACAACTAACTACTTTTACGTAAATTCATTAACTAAGAACCTTTTCACAACGTTTTACTCTTTCAAGTTCTTTTTAAGATAAAGCTCACGACGATAGACAAATTTGACTATAAGCGGGTTTGATGAAATTTTCTTAAGGTGGCTCATCACTAATACCTTCTTTTTTTATTTATTAGGAGGATGACAGCATTACAACAAGGAACGGTTAGCAAAAAAAGTGACAGCTAACCAGCAAACTCCAGGTTAAACGAACAATCCGCTTTTCACGGCAGAAATTGTGACTAATGAATGAGATATTACGTTACTTCCTTTCACTAACATAAATTTCCCCCTTTACCATTTTTCTGTGGCTAGAATCTCTGTCTGCCATTGATAAAATAGTACAAGAAAAATTTTCACTTTAAATATAACGACCTCTCATGAACTAACAACCGCTTTTCATGTCTGCGAAAATGTAATTAATGCCGGAAACCGCATTAGATAAAGACAGGGCCTGCATATCAGCCGAGAATATGAGTTTCGCTAAGACGTAATCTTCATTGCAGTTTTCTAAAAAATGGTTTAGAGTTTTTTTCTCTTTTTCCTTGACATACATATTAGATTCAGTGACTTTTACTCAAATCGAATCATCACAACAGCATGGTACGACTCTTGCATGCAGGATTTCGAAATTCGAGGGTGTATGGGATTCAATCCTCTTGGATGAATCGCATATAAATGCCCCATGCTTGCTTTTCAATGTCTATCATCTGAATCTTTCTATAAATAACATTGTTAGAACGGTAGAGAACAACTCTGTGAAAGTCATATAACGCTTTTGGTAACTTATGAGACTTTTTGGAATCTTCTTTATTGATTAGAAAGTCGTATCATGAAAACAATATGATACCCGAGCTCGAGGGCAGAAAACTATGTTCTAAATCCAAACAATTGACAGGGTTAAAAAACAACCCGCCTTTGCTACCAAAAATATTTCTAGTACAAGTAAGATCGACTACCATTTGTTTTTTTCATAAGAAGGATATTATGACTATGATTTCCAAAGAGTGATCTGACCGCTCCAAATTGTCTTTCAATGTGCTCAGATCTATGATACGGGCGCCGCCAAATCTTATTCATTGCTAAGGAGAAGGACATCAAAACAACAATGCACGTTTAGCGAAAAAGTGACAGATATAATGAACTACTAAAATTAGAGGATTTTGGGAACTACTAAAATTGGGAATCTTCTGGCTAAATGTTTGGGAATTATTTAGACCTGTTAGATTATTTTGAAATCCTTATTTAAGTCTTGTGAGCCTTGGTTTGTTACGTGCTGCAAGACCACACATTTATTTACCCCTTTGAGTGATGTGTTCTTGACCGTTGTATTATGGCTTAATTCTCGTACGATAATCGTCATTGCTAGACGTGTTTACGTTTGTCCTTAACCTTGCTCTGAGTCCTCAACAGGAAGTTTTGTTTAGGTTTTAGTTCGCGAAGATTGGTTGTTTTCCAAGTACTTTGTTGTTCATCTCGAATGTCTTGTGAGACTGTTTTGGTTATTGTTCTTAAAAGATATATATACTCTGCCAAGGTCAGTTGTCCAGTAAGCCCAAACATACCCACTGATAGGGTATTTAAGAGCGTGTACTGAGGGATGAATTTTGAGAAGAAAAAAGAGACAGTGCCTTTGAGATGGAAATTAACTATTCCTAAAGGCCCTAGCAAACGGCTTCAACATTTGCTTCAATATCCTTTCGATTTTGTTGAATGGCAATGTTGAAAGCGTTTGCCACCCCCTTTCCGCCATGTTGAAACGTGTTGAAGCGAAGTTGAAACGATGTTGGACGAGTTTAAAAGCCTTTGAACGGATGTTGAAGCAAATGTTGAAGCCGTTTGCTAGGGCCTTAATCAGACTCCTGGTGCTTCCTGTTTGCGCATGGTATTCGAATTAGCCTACTGACCTCAAAAGTACAATATAGCTAGCTAGCATAGTCCAAATCAAACGAGCAACCTGCTTTTCAAAGCAGAAATTTTGACTAATGAGATAAAACCTCAATTATTTTCTCTAACACAAATATCCCTCTCTACATTTTTTCTGTGGCTATAACCACATCCTGCCACTGAAAGACCATTCCACCTTAAACTCTCTTATCTCTTATGGACCGCATGAGATTTAAAACAGGGCCTGTATATCAGCCGAGAAGATAAGTTTAGCAATTATGTATTCTACATGAAAGCTTTCTAGAAATTTTTAGGAGTTTTTTATTGACCTTTACCTTGACATACCCAAGCTTGAGGGCAGAAGTCTTAATAATTGACCGGGTTAGAGCAAAAAAAAGCAGCCTGCCCTTTCCGTAAAAATTTATTGAGTCTGAATGAAATCCTCTAGCATTTTTTTTCTTCGTCAGTAGGATGTTTAAAAATGATTTCCCAAAAGAAATCTATAATCACTCCAAAATTGTCTTAAGATATGCCCAAAACTAGAATAAGGACGCTGCCATATTGGAAAATAAATTTAGTATCCTGGCTGCACACGCACTTAAACGTCCCAGGGTTAGATTACATAAAGCTGGTCTTCTGATTACCAGCAAATTTTTATCATTTGAGTCGAAAGTGCCTTTTACGTAGCTCGTCATTGTTTAAAAGATTGCCAAGAGAGGATAAAATCGAGAAAACAAAAAGAGATTTAACAAGTCACAGGTAAGAGTCCAGGGGCGTGTTTGTCAAAAGTCCAGAAACCTTTTAAGATTCGATTTTCAGGGTCCTTTTAGGGTCCGCCATTGCCTCGAGGCCCACAGAAACTTTTCTTTCTCGTCTTCGCTGACGAGTTCATTGACCACATTTGTCGGAGCTGAGTTACAAGCTCATAACCTGGCCCCCTTCAACCAATCAGAAGGCTAATCGTGCCCTAGTTTTTACCAATTTGATCTAGAGTCTGGATCAAGCCATAAACTGAAAAAACCTGAAAATAATTGCAATTTTGCAAAAACGTAAAGTCAGGATAATAAACGAGTTTAGATATGATGCTAATACAGATCCTATTTTCAAGAAACCCACGTGCGTTAATTTCACGACATTTGTTTTGTACACTGGTCATGTTCATATTCTCATTCAAAAAAATATCCTCGCTCGAAAATTTTGAAACAGATTCATGGGAAACAACCACACCAACAGGTACAACACAAAGCACGAAGAATCCTTTAATCTACATTACGTAGTACAAATATTTCCCTGATGATTATTATAATCTCGATCAAATAAACACATTAAGAATCGGTTAAGAAGTCAACAATTTATTTTGGTCAGTTTAACTTCCACGCTGAATCCGTTCTTCAGATTGGCAAAGACTAGTTTGTTTCCTCGGCTCGGTTTCTCGGTAACTGTTCTAATCACTCGAACCCTTGGCTCGTAACTAGTTGGAGAACCGTGTACCTTGGGTAGTTCTGGAAGAGTTGTGCTCACAATGCGTGCCAAGGCGACTTCAACTTGGATCTCATCGCTTTCTATTCGAAACATTTCCCGAGCTTTGATATCGTCGGAGGTTCGCAAGACTTTTGAGCCAGGGAAATTCAGGTCGGGGTAACTAATGCTTAAGTAAATCTCCTGAGTGTTTTCTTCCGCCATAATCCTGCATTGTCTGCTCACTCCCGAGACAATCCCCCAGGAAGGAAGAGATGAGGTTTCTTGGAAAACAACATAACCGTATAGTGGAACCAAGACATGATCACGTTCAGGAGATCTTTCAAATCGGACCACATGAGCCTCACTGTCTTGCTTAATAACCCTGTATAGCTTAAGTGACTTATCAAATTGTTGTTTTTTCCAATAATAGTCAGCAGAGCCTTTATATGAAGGAGTATTTATGTGAACTGCGTACTCGTAACTCCCATCAGGTGTACTGTGCTCCAGCCAGGCGGTACCGTAGGTGCCACTGGATGGTTTAGCTGAGGGCGTTTGCGAGTTTTGTGTTTGTACATGAACCTTAAGATCGGATGCACTTGATCTTGGAATGTAGTAGCTGTTGCCTTTGGTGTCCACCAAAGTAGTGTATCCCCTTCTACTTCCTTTTGGAGTTGAAAATGGGGTCATGGCGTTAAAAAGAGTTGAATCATCCTTTCGGTCATCGTCAACTTTAATGGACGTGCTGTCACTTATCAGCTTGTCTTGAAAAAGGGTCGTTTGAGCTTGAGTTGCTCCGCCATTGTTTATTCTGATGTTGCTTCCTAGGCAGACCAACACGTTTTGATAAAAGAAAACAGATTTCTTAAAGCGGAGATTGATATTTGGATAGGGGTGGCTCGCCTCCATAAAACTGTACCTGGGTTGGCGGAAGTGCATGCCAAATACTCCGCTGGATAAAGGCTCTGGTCCTCTGTAGGTTACTCCTCCAGCAGAAGATCGTGGACTGAAGTTTCTTGCCTTACTCAGACTCGTCTGAGCGAGAGTCAGGGACATTGTTGTGGCTCCAGGTATTTTTGTCCAATCCCATCCATTGTTTATATCGTGAGCCTTCAATGCTTCTTCGCTGTTCGCTATCAACATTGAACCATGACTCTGATAGGTACCATAAACATTTTCAGGTTTTCCTACCCTTGTAGATCCCTCAAAGTCCCAGACAAACCGGTTAAAGCCTTTTATCGTCACTGCCCAGTCCTTACGACGATGAATTGAGAGAGCAGCAAAGTTCTTGGACCAATGACCTTCAGGGGAGGGCTCAGGAGATGTACCTTTAGAAAAGACCTAGGTTCGATAAAAACAAGAAAGAAATCAGCAAAGATACTAAAAAATTAAAATATAACTTTGCACCAAATAATATGTACAGTGCTATTGTTACAAGCTTATAAAAGGGTAAGAATGTGCCCCCAATCTCTCTTTTTCTCTCATTTTTTATGATTTTTGTCTTTCATCCTATCTTTAAAGGGTTGCTGTGCAATGTTGTATTGCAGGAAGGAAGCTTTATATTAACAGCATTGGGGTGTATTTTGCGAAACGTTGAACTTTAGGCAGGAACATAATTATTCTTGCATCGTTCTTCTAGTACACACAAGCAAGCTTTTCGCTCAAATGTGAAAGCAATTCTTAACTTATTATAAACGAAAGGAATCAAATGAAGCCCAATTTTCATGTAGCCTTGCATTGGAATTACATTAAAAAGGGGTTAACTACCTTTAAAGTCTATTCCTCTTTTTGGAATCAAATCCAAAGTAGCTTATTCAACACCTTATTCTTGTTTTACTTATATATATATAGGAATGTGATTCCTGCCACTAGAAAAAAATCTGATTAAAATCTTTAAAAAGGTTGAGGAAGCAGCTACATGTATAGGCATTCAGCAACGTTCAGTTAATAAACTTACGATGGACATAATCTTCAGTGATCCAAGACTGTTCATATACGATTTTCCCCTGTTAACCGTTCCATCTTCCAAGTACTTTTTAACAAATTCATCAGTAGGCTGGTACAGACGTAAAAACATCCCAACGTTCTTAACGGCAGGAACTGAGATTTCTTCGGCTGGGGTTGATGCCAGTGGCCCAGATGGATGGGAAACACTGATGTAGGCGTATGCTGGGAGAATTCTTATCAAAACCTTTTTGGAATAGTCTACAAAGCGTCCTCCGACGCTGTTTGGTGTTGAATACTTTACTGCTACCAGCCTTAATGTTTCAAGGGCTTCCCGTAAATTTTGTTTTGACCCATCTGAAAGAGCAAAGTCGGTTCCTTCAAGAAGATATTGCACTTGCGCAGCTGTATGATATGCGTGTGGGGCATACGCAGATGCGTAGAATGTCATGTGATGAAAGCCAGTATAGTCAGGTTTAATGACTCCACCGAAGGCTTTGTTAATACTCAGGGCGTTATCCATCCACCTTTTCAAAGCATCCATATCCCTCTGCCTCTCCTTTTTTTCCATATCCGACTTAGCAGGCATTATCAACACAATCATAAGTCGAAACAACATTATTGTAATCATTCTGTCAGCCGTAGTTCCATTATACTCAAACGTCGATTGGTAAACTTCACCAAAATCATTATACCACTTGGCAGTATTTATTAAGTTTAAAAGTCTTGATCTGTATTTAGTGTCCCCTTGTAAGGCGTCTTTCAACAAGAAAAGAGTGTGTGTGTACCCAGCACCACCACGGTTCATTTCATGATCCAGGGAGCCTATTGCACTTCCATCAGCCCATCCTTGGTCTTCAATGTAGTCAAGCAGTTTAATTATTCTCTCAAGACGTTTTTTGTTTCCGTCATTTAATATTTTGCGTACTTGGTCCTTTGTGTAAGGTTTCGTCAAACTTTCAAGGTACTCGCGGAACTCTTTCTGCCTGTTTGCGTCGTTTCCACAAATCCTTTCAATGGCACGGTCCACATCGACTTTGTTAGTAGAACTCAGTTCAGGAGTTTCTTCTGTCACAGTTCGGGAAATTTCTTTGGCGCGGGATTTAAGATAAAACTCTATTGCCAAAGGAAGCATGATACGCATTTGGACGAAGCTGAACTTTCTTGTTGGATCTTTCGTGGAATACGCTCGTGTTCCTCTTTTACAACCGCGACAGAACAAAGGAGGCCCGACTATCACTGTCTTTCCTGAGTCTAGCGTTCTAAATACAAGTCTATCGTATTCCAGATATGCAGCGTCAATGCTACTCACTAGTTTATTCCAACGCTTCTTGGCTTCTCCAGAGAGATCATAGGTGGTTTCTCTCTCATCGCAATACCAGTTTTTCAAGCGACTCTCGATGTGAGTGAGACTCAAGGACTTTGAAGCAACCACCGTTTCTGGAAGGGCAGTCGGAGCTCGCCGACTCCAACGGTAGCTTTGCTGCCAGACTTTCCCAGAATCATATCGTGAGCCGAATCTTGTGAAAGGTGGAACTATTTTGTCACGAGACTGAAATGACATCCTTCCCACAAAGTCAAGCATATCGATATAAATTATGTCGTGATGACTCAAGACAAAATCGACCCTATAAATTGAAGCGGGAGAGTTGAGGCTATGAGAGTAACGTTTGCATTCCCTATAGGACACCCATATTCCTCGCCATCCTTTAAATCCTAATTCAATATTAAATGATCCAACTTGGTTGCTCCGAGCAGTATCTCTGAATCTAACTTGCATGCTCCTTCCGGGTGAGGGAGTCTCTTTGTAGATCCACATCTTCACACCTCCTCGGCTTAGTTCGCTTCCTCTAATGCGGGCAGATCGGGGCCTGGTGTACCTCAGTCGCGATTTTCCTGTGGTGCCAGATTCCCATCTCAGTGACCTTGAGCCGAGCTTGGCTACGGACGTTGAGAATGTTATTGCTCCTTTGGTTTCTGGTATACGTCCCAAACAGTTTTCCTGTGATTCCCCTTCGAAGTCTAATAGTTGCTGACAATCTGCAATGGATGCCAAAACAATAATATGATGAAAGGATATCACTATGAAGAAACGACCGAAACAATACACTGTCAATCACTACATGTACATTTAGCTTGACTCAAATTTCATTTTCTCTACTCTTCAGTGATGCAAGGGTGGAAATGAAAGCGTTGAGCAAAGTGTTGTTTTCAATAACCTTCTGAAATTTAGGCTTGGAGTACACTGGGATTTGGAATCGCAATAAATTCTCTTTAACGAGATAGATGAACGGATAGACATTTTTGAGTCTAAAAACAGCACATGAATTCAAAGCATACCTTGAAACTAAAAAATAATGGACTTAGTGAAAGATATATATGAATTGTTTGAGTGATCATTTCGAAAGGGAAATAGGGATCCTTGTAAGATCTTGACGACTGACACATCAGAAATGTAAGATACATGTCCTTAGCTCTTACTAACGAATAACCTACCGTCTTGAGCCGATGTAAACTCCACCAGCAAGAGTACAAGCCCGGTCAAAACAAGAAAAAAACCTCCTCTTCCAGACATGCCTCAAAACGGAAAATAATAAAGATGGGGAAGATTAGGGAGAGAGACTAGTTCCTCGGATACGTTATCAAGGAGGCTCGTGTAAGGTAATCAAAGTGGGTTTAAAGGACAAAATTCCTAAATAAGGCCTACTCAACAAAGGAAGGTAACATTTTACATGGAATAAACCTCTTCTAGCGTACAATTTCACTACAGGATAATGAATAAGGTTGAAAGGTTACTCATCCAAAAAGGCTAAGTTTACGATGAGGAGAAATTTACCAATCATTTGCACTCAAAGACGATGAAAATCGAAAGAATATTCATGGTTATGTTACCAATAAATCACGAAAAAACAGCGTAGAGGGGACCGTCTACAATAAAGTATTTCCACGCCTCTTTGCCGAAGGCAATGTTTTTTTCCTGATCTTTTTCCTTTTTTTATTATTGTTATTGTTAAGGCCAAATCTGATTTCGACGTAGTATATCCATTAGTTAACCACTTCAAAAAAACTACCAAGCAACAAACTACGTACTGAACTTACCTGTAATGACAGAGAGGAACCCTCCGTTTAGTGTTCTTCTCTCGGTTCCAAGTTAAGCTCTATTTAAAGCAAACTATCATTCCGTGGAAATTGTTGAGCAATCTAATAATGGCAATGCGGTTGTGCTCTGATTGGTTGTATAACAACTTATTACTAAATCTACTGCGAGACAATTGAATCATGAGGGGATGACAGCAGATATTAACGATCGAAATGCAAGAAAGAGATATGGTTATGAATCAAAAACCTGCTTCTTACATCAGAGAGCAGAGGTTATGAGTGAGCGAAATGACAAAATTTATCAATCTTTAAATTTACTTTAACAGGACTATAGGGTGGACCTAAATGAAATCAGGAGTGTATGACAGCGGAGAAAATTATTGAAATGTTTGGAAGATGTTTGCCTTGTTTGTGAATTGATGTCCAGCTTCTGATACAAAAGAGCTCAGGCTACGAGTGAGATGACAAAAATAAATCTATTCCTAAATCTGCTTTTACCGGACGGTTTGTTAAAGGAATCGAAGAGCGGGAAAGCAGGAATTACGTCACAGGGTGACCATAACGATCTAGAAAAATTGACGAACAGCTGCTTTGAAGAAAAATAAATTAACTTAGAACTTTTCCGTCCACAAAGTTTTACTCTTTCAAATTCTTTTTAAGATAAAGCTCACAACGATAGAGTCGACCGGAAGCGGGTTTAACGAAATTTTCTTAAGGTTGCTCATAATTGATACGATCTTCTTTTACTTATTAGGAGGAGGTCAGCATTACAACAATAAACAGTTCGTAAAAAAGTGACAGCTAACTAGCAAACTTCAAATTTAACGAGCAACCTGCTTTTCACGGCAGAAATTGTGACCAGTGAATGAGATGTTATCTTAATTCCTTTCGCTAACACAAATTTTCCCCTTTACCATTTTTCTGTGGCTAGAATCTCTGTCTGCCATAAAAAAAAAAAAGATTTCACCTTACTCTTAGCGACCTCTCAACGTACCTCGACTTCAACTGAAAAACGCTTTTCACGTCTGTGAAAATGTAATTGATCCCGGAAACCGCATTAGATAAAGACAGGGCCTGCATATCAGCCGAGAATATGATTTTCGCCTAGAAATAATCTTCATTGAAGTTTTCTAGAATTTGTTAAGAGTTCGTCTTTCTTGCCTTTTTCCTTGGCATAGATCTTAGATTCAATGTCTGTTACTCCAGTTATTATGGCATGATGGTGATCTGTCTTAAAAATTTAGGACAACAGCATGGTAGGACTGTTGTATGCAGGATTACGAAATTCGGTGCATGGGATTCAATCCTCCTGGATGAATCGCTATACAATGACTACCATCTGAATCTTTCCCTAAAAAAAAATTGTTAGCGAATAGTTTTATTGTATATAATCATTTCAAGGTTAAATGAAAGGTTACGATGAAATGCTGTCTAGTTATGAAATAAACCTGTAGATTACAACTCTGTGAAAGCCGTATAACACTTTCGGTGACTTATTAGACTTTTTGAAATCTTCTTTATTGACTAGAAAATCACATCACGAAAATAATATGTTACTCGAGCTCGAGGGCAGAAAACTATGTTCTAAATCCAAACAATTGACAGGGTTAAAAACAAGCCGCCTTTGTTACCAAAAATATTTCTAGTGCAGGTGAAATCGAATAGTATTTGTTTTCTTCATAAGAAGGATCTCATGACAATCTTTCAATGTGCTCAGATATATGACACGGGCGCCGCCACATCTTGTTCATAGCTAAGGAGGAGGACAACAAAACAACAGTGCACGTTTAGCGCAAAAGTGACAGCTGTTATGAACTACTAAACTTAGAAGTGATTGGGAACTACTGAAATTAGGAATGTTCTGGCTAAATGTCTGGGAATTGTTTAGACCTGTTAGATTATCTTAAAATCCTTATGCAAGTACTGTGATCCTTGGTTTGTTACATGCTGCAAGACCACACATTTATTTTTCCCCTTTAAGTGATGTGTCCTTCACCGTTGTGATAGGGCTTAATTATCGTACGATAAACCTCAGAGAGTGACATAAAAGTTCCTGATCAGACTCCTGGCATGGTGCTTCCCGTTTGCGCGTGGTATTCGAGTTAGTCTACTAACCTCAACAGTACAATAAAACTAACCAGCAAACTCCAAATTAGACGAGCAACCCTGCATTTCAAAGCAGAGGTTTTGACAAATGAATGAGATATTACCTCACTTATTTTCTCTAACGCGAATATCCCTCTCTACCTTTTTTCTGTGGCTATAACCACTGCCTGCAGTAAAGGACCATTCCACCTTAAACTCTTATATCTCCTATGAATTGGCAACCACTTTTCTTGTCTGTGAAATGCACTGGAAATGCTAGAGACAACATAAGATTAAAATAGAGCCTATACATCAGCCGAGAAGATGAGTTTGACGAATGTATATTCTACATGAAAGTTCTCTAGAGGTTAGGAGTTTTTTATTGACTGGGTATTGACTTTAACCTGGCTCCCTTCAGCCAATCAGAACGCTTATCGTGCTCTAGTTTTTACCAATTTGATTTAGAGTCTGGATCAAACTATAAACTGAAAAAGTCTGAAAATAATTGCAATTTTGCAAAAACGTAAAGTCAGGATAATAAACGAGTCTAGATATGATGCTAATACAGATCCTATTTTCAAGAAACCCTCGTGCGTTAATTTGACGACATTCATTTTACACTCTGGTCATGTTCATATTCTCATTCAAAAAAATTTCCTCACTCGAAAATTTTGAAGTAGATTCAGGAGAAACAACCAAATCAACCCATAGCACGAAGAATCCTTTAATCTACATTACGCAGTATAAATATTTCCTGTTGATAATGATAATCTCAAATATGTTGTTTATTGTTTAAAATACATCGATACATAGAAGTAACCACATTAAGAATCCGTTAAAAAGTCAACAATTTATTTTGGTCAGTTTAACTTCCACGCTGAATCCGTTCTTCAGATTGGCAAAGACTAGTTTGTTTCCTCGGCTTGGTTTCTCGGCAACTGTTCCAATCACTCGAACCCTTGGCACGTAATCAGTTGGAGAACCATGTACCTTGGGCAGTTCTGGAAGAGTTGTGCTCACAACGCGTGCCAAGGTGACTTCAACTTGGATCTCCTCACTTTCCATTCGAAACAGTTCCCGAGCTTTGACATCGCCGGAAGTTTGCAAGACCTTAGAGCCAGGAAAATTTAGGTCGGGGTAACTGATGCTTAAAAAAAGCTCCTCGAAATTTTCTTCAGCCACAATCCTGCATTGTCTGTTCACTGACGAGACAATCCCCCAGGAAGGAAGAGGGACAGAAGTCGCTTGGAAAAAGACATAACCATAGAGTGGAACTAAGACATGATCACGTTCAGGAGATCTTTCAAATCGGACCACATGAGCCTCACTGTCTTGCTTAATAACCCTGTATAGCTTATGTGACACATCAGAATTTTGTATTTCCCAATAAGAGCCAGTAGAGCCTTCGTATGAAGGAGTATTAATGTGAACTGCATACTCATAACTCCCATCAGACGCACTGTGCTCAAGCCAGGCAGTTCCGTAGGTGCCACTGGATGGTTTAGCTGAGGACGTTTGCGAGTTTTGTGTTTGTACATGAACCTTAAGATCGGATGCACTTGATCTTGGAATGTAGTAGCTGTTGCCTTTGGTGTCCACCAAAGTAGTGTATCCCCTTCTACTTCCTTTTGGAGTTGAAAATGGGGTCATGGCGTTAAAAAGAGTTGAATCATCTTTTCGCTCATCGTCAACTTTAATGGACGTGCTGTCACTTATCAGCTTGTCCTGAAAAAGGGTCGTTTGAGCTTGAGTTGCCCCGCCATTGTTTATTCTGATGTTGCTTCCTAGGCAGACCAACACGTTTTGATAAAAGAAAACAGATTTCTTAAAGCGGAGATTGATATTTGGATAGGGGTGGCTCTCCTCCAAAAAACTGTACCTGGGTTGGCGGAAGTGCATGCCAAATACTCCGCTGGATAAAGGCTCTGGTCCTCTGTAGGTTACTCCTCCAGCAGAAGATCGTGGACTGAAGTTTCTTGCCTTACTCAGACTCGTCTGAGCGAGAGTCAGGGACATTGTTGTGGCTCCAGGTATTTTTGTCCAATCCCATCCATTGTTTATATCGTGAGCCTTCAATGCTTCTTCGCTGTTCGCTATCAACATTGAACCATGACTCTGATAGGTACCATAAACATTTTCAGGTTTTCCTACCCTTGTAGATCCCTCAAAGTCCCAGACAAACCGGTTAAAGCCTTTTATCGTCACTGCCCAGTCCTTACGACGATGAATTGAGAGAGCAGCAAAGTTCTTGGACCAATGACCTTCAGGGGAGGGCTCAGGAGATGTACCTTTAGAAAAGACCTATGTTCGAGAAAACGAACGAGAAATCAGCAAATGTGCTAAAAATCGAAACATAACTTTGCACTAAGTAATTTGCCTAAAAAAAGCACAATGCTATTGTTACAAGCTTATAAAAGGGTAAGAATGTGCCCCCAATCTCTCTTTCTCTCTCCTTTTTTATGCATAGAGTTTCGTTTACAATGTTTTATTGCAGGAAGGAAGGTTTAAATCAACAGCATTGGGGCAGCAACATAATCATTCTTGCATCGTTCTTCTGGTGCACACAAACAAGTTTTTTCGTTCAAGTATAAAAGCAATCCCTAACTTATTAAAAACGAAAGGAATTAAATGAAGCCCAATTTTCATGTAGCCCTGCATTGGAATTGCATTAAAAAGGGGTTAACTAGCTTTTAAGTATTTTCTTCTTTTTTGAATCAATTCTTTAAGATAGTCGACCAGCAACAAAGTGCACGGTAACGGGGTTCCTAAGTTTATGTTCACCTCAAATTTGATGCAGATTGTTAACAGTGGTGTAGTGTATCCAAAACATTATTGGTGCTCTACTTATAGGAATGAGATTCCTTGTATTAGAAAAAAATCTGATATAAGTTCTCAGAAATATTGAGGTAAACTACTATATGTATATGCATTCAGCAACGTTCAGTTAATAAACTTACGATGGACATAATTTTCAGTGATCCAAGGCTGTTCATGTACGATTTTCCCCTGTTAACCGTTCCATCTTCCAAGTACTTTTTAACAAATTCGTCAGTAGGCTGGTACAAACGTAAAAACATCCCAACGTTCTTAACAGCAGGAACTGACACTGCTTTGGCTGGGGTTGATGCCAGTGGCCCAGATGGATGGGAAACACTGATGTAGGCGTATGCTGGGAGAATTTTTACCAAAATCTTTTTGGAATAGTCTACAATGCGTCCGCCGACACTGTTTGGTGTTGAATACTTTACTGCTACTAGCCTCATTGTTTCGAGAGCTTCCAGTAAATTTCGCTTCGACTCATCTGACAGTGCAAAATCTGTTCCTTCTAAGAGGTATTGCACTTGTGCAGCCGTATGATATGCGTGTGGGGCATACGCAGATGCGTAGAATGTCTTGTGATGAAAGCCAGTGTAATCAGGTTTAATAACTCCACCGAAGGCTTTGTTGATACTCAGGGCGTTATCCATCCATCGTTTCAAAGCATCCATATCCCTTTGCCTCTCCTTTTTTTCCATATCCGACTTAGCAGGCATTATCAACACAATCATGAGCCGAAACAACATTATTGTAATCATTCTGTCAGCCGTAGTTCCACTATACTCGAACGTCGATTGGTAAACTTCACCAAAATCATTATACCACTTGGCAGTATTTATTAAGTTTAAAAGTCTTGGTCTGTATTTAGTGTTCCCTTGTAAGGCGTCCTTCAACAAGAAAAGAGTGTGTGTGTATCCAGCACCACCACGGTTCATTTCATGATCCAGGGAGCCTATTGCACTTCCATCAGCCCATCCTTGGTCTTCAATGTAGTCAAGCAGTTTAATTATTCTCTCAAGGCGGTTTTTGTTTTCGTCATTTAATATTTTGCGTACTTGGTCCTCTGTGTAAGGTTTCTTCAGACTTTCGAGGTACTCACGGAACTTTTTCTGTCTGTTTGCATTGTTTCCACAAATCCTTTTAATGGCACCGTCCACATCGACTTTGTTAGTAGAGCTCAATTGGGGAGTTTCTTCTGTCACAGTTCGAGAAACTTCTTTGGCGCGGGATTTAAGATAAAACTCTATGGCTAAAGGAAGCATGATACGCATTTGGACGAAGCTGAACTTTCTTGTCGGATCTTTCGTGGAATACGCTCGTGTTCCTCTTTTACAACCGCGACAGAACAGAGGAGGCCCGACTATCACTGTTTTTCCTGAGTCTAGCGTCCTAAATAAAAGTCTATCGTATTCCAGATATGCAGCGTCAATGCTCCTCACCAGTTTATCCCAACGCTTCTTGGCTTCTCCAGAGAAGTCGTAGGTGGTTTCCCTCTCATCGCAATACCAGTTTTTCAAGCGACTCTCGATGTGAGTGAGACTCAAGGACTTTGAAGCAACCACCCTTTCTGGAAGGGCAGTTGGAGCCTGCTGACTCCAACGGTAGCTTTGCTGCCAGAAGTTGCTTGAATCATATCGTGAGCCGAATCTTGTGAAAGGTGGAACTATTTTGTCACGAGACTGAAATGACATCCTTCTCACAAAGTCAAGCATATCGATATGAATTGTGTCGTGATGGCTCAAGGCAAAATCGACTCTATCAATTTCAGCGGGAGAGTTGAGGCTATGAGAGTAACGTTTGCATTCTTTATAGGACACCCATATTCCTCGCCATCCTTTAAACCCCAAGTCAATATCAAATGACCCAACTTGGTTCTTCCGAGCTGTATCTCTAAATCTAACTTGCATGCTTCTTCCAGGTGAGGGAGTCTGTTTGTAGATCCACATCTTCACCCCTCCTCGGCTTAGGTCACGTCCTTTGATGCGGGCAGATGGGGGCCTGGTGTACCTCAATCGCGATTTTCCTGTGGTGCCAGATTCCCATCTCAGTGACCTTGAGCCGAGCTTGGCTACGGACGTTGAGAATGTTATTGTTCCTCTGGTTTCTGGTATACGTCTCAGGCAGTTTTCCTGTGATTTCCCCTCAAAGTCTAATAATTTCTGACAATCTGCAATAAATGTCAAGATACAATGTAATATGATGAAAGGATACCACTATAAAGAAACGACCGTAATAATGCACGGTTTACCACTACGTGTACATTTGGCATGACTTAAACAATTTTCTTTTCTAATCTTCAGTGACGCAAGGGGTGGAATGAGAGCATTGAGCTAAGTTGTATTTTCAGTAACCTTCTGAAATTTAGGCTGGGGGTACACCGGGATTTTGAAAACGCAACAAATATTTTAAAAAGTGGATGAAAACGATTATTTTAAAACTGGATAAAAGAAGGAAGAAAGTGCGAAGTAATGGCCTCTAATGGGATATTTATTACTAATTTGAATATTTACTTTATTAGAGCAGTTATCTTTCTAAGATTCTGACGATACTGAAGATAAAAGATGCAAGATAGACTTGGTTGGCTTTTACTAACGAATAACCTACCGTCTTGAGCCGATGATAACTCTAATAGCAAGAGTACAAGCCCAGTCAAAACAAGACAAAAACCTCTTCTTCCAGACATGCCTCAAAACAGAAAACAATAAAAATGAAGAATATGAGTAACTTCAAACGAATCTAGCTTTTCGGATACTCCACCAAGAAAGCTTGTGTAGAGCAATCCAAGTGGGCTGCTGGTACAAAATTCCCAAGCGTTGCTTGGATTTTATCGGGAGTTCGCATTACGATATATAAATTAGCTTAATATTTGGTGGTGAATCCACTATTATGAATACCATGCGATGAACAGTCTACAATAAACCTTTGCCGAAGGCAATGTTTTGTACTAAGCTTTTCCTTTTTCTTTGATATGATTATGGCCGAAATCTGATCGACAAAATATATCAAATAGTTAATCGCTTCGAAAAAACTGCTAAGTAACAAACTACGGAACTTACTTGTACTGACAGAAGAGAAAGCTCCATTGATTTTCTCCCTTTACGTTCTAATTTGTTCTCTATTTAAAGCAAACTATCATTCCAGGAAAATTGCTGTGCGGTCTTGTAATGGAATTCTGGTCGTTCTCTAATTGGCTGGATAACAACTCATTGCTAAATCTGCTGTGAGACAATCAAATCAAGCTGGGAGACGGCAGAGGAATAACATTGAAATACAAGAAAGAAATATGGTTTTTAATCAATAACTTGATTCTGTCATGAAAGAGCAGAGGTCGTGTGGAACTGAAGTTCACTTATCTGCCCTCACAGGACTGTATGCAGGAAGTCAATGGAATCAGGAGAGTATGACAGCAGAAAAAAATGTTTGAAATACTTGGAAGATGTATGCCTTGGTTATGAATTGATTACCTGCTTCTGATACGAGAGCACTCAGGCTATGAGTGAGATGATAAAAATAAACTTATTTCTAAATCTGCTTTTACCGGACAGTGCGCTGTAAGTCAAAGGAATCGTAGAGCGTGATAGCAGGTATTAAGTCACAGGTTGACCAAAACGATCCAGCAAAATTGACAACCTGCTACTTTTCATTTGGAAAATCAATTGAAAAACGTTTCTTCCAAAGCGTTTTACTCTTTCCAGTTTTTTTAAAGACGAAGCGAAAAAACGGAAACAGAAATAACACTGGTGACCGTTATAAGAAAAAAACAGGGCCTACACATCAGTCGAGAAAAACTTTAGTTAAGATATAATCTACATGTACGTTTTCCGTGGGAAATTGTCTGGAGATATTCCTTGAAGTTTTCATTGATTCAAGGTCTATCACTTGGATCATTAAAGCATGATCGTGACCTCCTTTAACATGATCTTCACCTTGAAAAATCTGAGACAAACAGGATGTTAGAACGCTTGTATGAAAAACTGCCAAATCCGCTCGCTATACAATGAATTTCATCTCTCATTTAAGCAAAATTTTCCGCAAAAACGTCTAGCATAAATAATCACTTCGAGATTAATATGAAATATATAATTCTATAAAAAGCATCTTTTCCGTAAACCTTTTCCCTCTCTAGTTGAATTTGGAACGGAATTCACCAAAAGGTAATTGGCCATATTAAGGTGAAAGGTTATCTAGTGACAAAATATACCCAAAGTGAACAAAACAGTGAAACTGTCTTGTGTTTCAGCCATGAAAAGCTTGGGGCGTCTGTCTACACATATCAAACTCTCCTTTCTTGGTTAGCAAGCATTATCATATATATATGACACCAGAACTTGAGGGCAGAATGTTTTGAACCAATTCCAAAAATTTGACAGGCTTGAAAAGCTTAACTTGCCTTTGTTATACAAACGATCTCGAGTACAACTGAAATAGTCTAGCTTTCTTTTCCTTCATAAGAAGGGTCTTGTGAAAATGATTTCCGACCGGTTACCTAGTCGCTCCAAAATTGTCTTAAAGTACGGACGCCCAGTGTTTTAAAAAAAATTGATAACTTTGTCAGTTCACAAACAACTGGTGGTCTGGGTATCACCAAAACTTTATTATTTGAGTCGGGATGGCCTTTCGTGTGACTTAAAATCGTTCCACAGACTACCACGAGATAGAAAAACTACAAAAAGAGTTTGAGACTCTACAGGTAGGAGGCCAAGGGCCCGTTTCTCAAAAGTGTAGTTGCCTTGTAGGGCTCACCGCGACAGTTCGTAATCTAAGTTTAAGAAATAGTACGGCGAGTCTCAAATATCAATCCATTTTATTTCATTCCTGATCCTTGTTTTCAGAACCTAAACCTTGAGAAAAGAAGCATTTCATGTCTACTTTCATATCGTCATCAATCAGAACCCCACTGCACACGTCAATGAAATGGTCTAACTTGGGGTAGTTTTAGATGAAAATGTAACATGGAAATCGCATATATCTGACGTAGCTAGTAAAAATATCGAAATCTACACTGTAGATTTAGATAATTTTACTAGCTACGTTAGCTACCTGAGGTATACTTTTTGGATCCTCTCGTCGCAAGCCATATGAAGACCCCAAACCTTAATGATTGTAATTTAATCTGCGGATGAAGCTACAAAACAAATGATCATAGAATTGTCATTTAGCAAAAACGTTTCATCGAGAAAGTCAACAAGTCTAACTATGATACTCAGAAAGATCCTATTTTTAAGAAACTTATAATCACTGCATATCCTCGAATAATCGTCCGGGTGCCTTTTCAATATTTCAGCTTGAAAGAGGGGCGCTCATCGGAAGGAGGGCGCTTAATCGAGGAGAGCGCTTATAACGAAACTATTAACCTGTACTGATTCCTCTGTAGTTGAAGCTTAAAAAAGTCATGAATAAAGCGGAAATAGAAACAGCTTTTCCTTGTATCCCTATTATTAAAAAAAGTGAGGGATGAGGGGAGGGGGGTTCTTTATTCGAGAGGGCACTTGTATGATATTAGGGAACTTTAGCAAAGCACGACGGCGACGGAAATGAGGACGTCAAAACAAAAGATCCTATGAGCAGAACGATAGCTCAGCGGGAGCATTTTAAAACTGTGTACATTTCTTAGCCTTCTTCTGCAAAATAACAACTTGAAATCATCAAAATTTTCGTGGTCCGAGAGAGAAAATCCCATTAGCAAATTAGTTAAGTTTCTGTTGGGAACTCTACGCAGTTCTCATACGTTATGCTGAGGTTAACTTGCGGCGCTGTAAGAGATGGTTAACACATCCAGTCATTCGCGAAATTCCATTCAATATATATTCATTTTTAAATCTACGTCTTCCTTTACATTGCTGTCCTAACTGCTAAAGATCCCTAATATGGCCACGAGGGTGGGCGCTTATTCGAGAAAATACGGTGACTTACTTAAATTCCACGACATTCATTTGATGAAGCTTGGTCATTTCATGCTTTAGTTCAAAAGATCCTCCCTTAAAAATTTCAAAGTATATTCATGAGAAACAACCGAATCCATTGCCACACACAAGGCACGCAAACTCCTTTCGTCTACATTTTGTAGAACAAATATATTCAGCAATTTTCTTCAACTCCCTTACTTTTGAGATCACTGGCTCTTCATCTCTAGCATTTTTCAGAAAAAAGATTTGAGATAATTTTTCTCAGCAACTATTCATTCTTCCATGGATAATAAACATGGCTTGTAAACTCGGTATTTACTCTTTTGATGTCTGGGTTTATTCACCTGAATACTTTTTGTAGGGGAACCTATGCTTACAATACTTAAGGGTATTTATTAGATTTCCCTGCCATTAATCCGTCTTTCTTTAGCAATTGTTGTAAATTGATGAAATTGTATTTGAATGGCACAGAAAGATAAACGAATGACAAGTTGTTTGGACTGCTAACTGTCACGACTTCCGAGAAACGAAAGAATTGAGTCCTTCAAAATCTTGAAGAGAAAGGTCCTTGAAATCTCAAAATTTGGACTTTGTTACAACTTTTCTTACCTATAACGAGACATTTGCTCAACAGGAAACAGCATGAGCAAGAATATAAAAGATTATGATTCTCGGAAGTTAACATGATCAGCTTGCGTCGGTACAGAAATGGTAATCATACATTAAGGTAAGAGGGAAGATCTGTTGCCGGAAAAAAGAGCGAAAAGGAGGTTATAACTCTTCACTAAGATAATAGTAAAAAAGTCTTTTTCTGTGATTCCGTCAGTTAGATGCTGGTTTTTATTACCTACATTTTCTTATCGAAAATATACAAGCCGAAGTCTTGTTCTCTTCGTAGAGTTTTCGGCAAAAAGGAGTCACATTACACTAAAGTTTTTGACATTTGTCGACTCTTACTTTCCGCCACTGAAGTAGGAAACGACAGGTTCTCGTAACACTAATTTGGCTGCGCTAAACAGAACTTTTCAGGTCAAGGCTTTCTACAATTACTCGACCTCTATTGTCTGGCGGTTTGGTTTTGAACTCGGAGAGAATTTACAGTAACTTGTAACTCGTTCTCTTGAGTAAATTCATAATGTTATACTAAATTTATTTGCGCCCAAACTAAGATATTGTTTGGGAGTATGACTAAAGTTTGATAATCGGAACTTGGAGGGAACTTACAGGAAATTGTGGCTCGTTTCTCGTGAGTGACGCCATGATAACTTTATTTATTTGCTCCCAAATAAAGATATTTACGTCTTCACTAAATATAATCTATGGCCCTTGGGCTTGTTGCGTCGATCGCTTGATTAAGGCTTAAGGGATCTCACATAAAATTTGATTTATGTATTAAGAAAACTACCTTTTTAAAATGCATCAGCGTCAGAGGAAGTACAATTGTTGGAGCAAAATCACTCGCATTGAACTTCGTTCTCACGCAAGTACTACATATGGTTTTCAAAAGCGATAAATCAGCGAGTGTCTCACTGGGGTGATAAATTTTTTTACTGCTAACGTTTAATTTCTTTCCGCTACGGTTAAAAAGAAATTAACAATTAACTTTTTTACGACTAACGGTTAAAAGTTGCCAAGTTTTTCGCTTAACGGGTAAATTTTTTTTTTTCGTTTTACAGCTCATGATTAGACCCAATGAGACCTTCATCACTCTCTAGATCTGGAAGAGTAAAATCTTCAGATACTGACGTCGTACTTCGATCAAGCGATCCACTAACCCCCACGGTCCTTCTGTTTACGAAATCTGGTGATTGTTCGAAACGCGGCAGATATTAAATATTCAACACCATTCTTTTAGGACAATTAGATCTGTATATCTAAGGTTCATGCCTCTGACAACTAAACCCTCGACAGAAGCTTTAAGATATCGTAAATTTTGACTTGTTAGCTTTTTCTTCCTTTAAAATGAGTTGCCTCCAAATGTATAGCAATGTCTCTTTATATTTTGGGAGTCGCCACGTATACAAAAATGGGTTTATACCTGAGTTTGCGTATGTCAGACTTCCTGAAAATCCGAAAGAAATCATCAGTAATGGTAAATGTGGATGGCACGCTTTGCATAAGTAGATCAACACTTGAACAATGAACCACGGAAGGTAGCAGATGAGAAAAGCACAGACAACGACCGATATTGCCTTGAAGAGATCTTTTTCTCTTTGCATTATAATGTTACGATCTCTGAGTGAGTGTCCTTCTGCTCTTTCTTTGGAGTATCGGTGAAAGTAGTTTAAGATCGTTACGTACATGGCCAACATGCCCAAAAGCATAAATAGAAGTTGAAAGTTGTAGACAGCCCCGACTATGGCAAATGAATCGCGCAACACAAGGAATGCACTTCCAAAAGCTATGAAATAAATCCAGCAAGCACAGTTGGCGATAAAAACTCTCTTATTTGTAACTGTTGCACGGTAACGAAGTGGCGTGGTTACGGCGAAGACTCTGTCTACTGTTAGAAGGAACATATGACCAAAACTCACGTTTACAGAGAAAACGTTGATGGCAAATATCACAGAAAGATCTAGCGGTGATTCTCCTCGGAAAGATATCACCCAGCCCCAATAAGCAGTTATTGGACAAACCACCAAGCCAACTAAAAGATCTGCTATGGCCATGGATGTCAAAATGAGGTTGGAGGGTGATGATCGGAGTTTCTTGAGAGGATCTTTCCAAACTGCAACTAAGACCAAAATATTTCCAAATATGATTACTGGTGCCATTGCTATCGATAAGGCAGCGCTGATCGCTGAAAGTGGCCTCACGTTTTGTAAGCTTAGCCATCCTTCTTCAAGAGCTTGCTCGCTTGTTATGTTCCAGAAGTTGTAGTGGCCAAGAACGGCCGCCATTTCAATCTGTTATCTGGTTTCCTCGATGGAGTCTCGTGTAAAATGAAGTCGATTTTGCATTCGTCACAGTATTTTGAAAACACCTTGGCTTTCGTTGACCTCAAGACAATGACCTTATAAGGTTTGCGGTTTAACGAAAGATATTGGAAGCTTTTATTTCCAATGATGTATTGTCTCAACTTGGGCTCCAATAAATGCTTCTTTAAAGCAGAAGACGAGACTTAAACAAAGAAAACAAGAAAACTGGACAAACAAAAACTTAATCGTACTTCTATGTTTACGTTTATGATTCAACCTTCGTCTTTCAATTTGTGAAAATGCTCATGACATGCTTCTTTATCTTCATTGACGTCATTAAGACGGAAACGACATTTTGACAACTACTAATATCCTTATCGTTCAAAATCGTCTTATTGTTTTTAGATGCCCCCTCAAATTTCCCTTTGTGAAAGGTATTGATGCATGCGGCTGGATCACGTAATAATCAACCAACAATTTGGTTAGGGCCGGGTCGCATTACAGACGATTTTACAGAAAACTGTTTACTTTAGGGACTAAAATCTGTCAACATACCTGTTTTCTAGTGCGACCCCTCATTTGTGATTTTTCAAAAATTTCAAAATCGGGAGAAAACGACCGTATAAGCTCAATTCATTTTCATTTCCGGTCTGAAGCAATTTGATTTTCCAGCCGACTTTTTCGAGCCAAAATGAAAATTGGTCTGTAATGCGACCTAGCCCTTAGGCCAATTTTCACAGTTCAAAAATTTAATCAATGTCTACACTCATATTACTTTTCTTGTCTTTACTTCTTTTAGAGACTTTTATCCATGCAAAAAGATTTGCTTTATAGCGCAAATAAAAAATTTTCAACGACTTGACGAGATTGCTTTAAATTTGCATGCATCTTTCGATAGCATCCCTTCTCATAGATCATATCAATTACAGCCTACAAGTTCACCTTACAGCAATGTATTTTAAAGGATAGTTTGCTTAAATGAATTGAACGAAAACCCAGAAATTGTAAATGATAAATAACTTCCTAATGTCACGTCCTCGAGCCAAACATTTTCCCGTCCGCCCCTCCCCCCTCCCCTCCACCCTCTCCTTTCCCTTTCCCCTCCCCCTCCCCTTCCCCCACCCAGTCTATGAGTAGATAGTAATGAGTCGCGAATTGCATCGGATTGGACAACGATGTACTGTATTTTCTCGATTAAACGCCCGACCCTTATTAAACGCCGGCATCGAAAAAACGCCGGATAAAAACTGCCGATTTTTAAATAAACGCCAGGGGCGTTTAATGGAGAAAAAAGGTAATCGATAAATTTGTTAAAAGCTGCTTAGTTCAAACAACACATTTTGATTAATTTCAACAACAACAAATTTACATTTCTTATCTTTTGAAAAATACCTTCCTGAGAAAACTCATATGACAGACCCTAGGCATTAACTATATGCAAAATCAATATCATGCCTTCCTAATAACATAGGCCCTCAAAGTCAGTCGGTCAAACCAAAATCATAAAATCTAATGCAATTAGGCTCCTTCAAATTCCAATGTTTAACTTGGTCAGATTCAGCAATTGCGATACTGAACAGAAAATCTTCCCCGATGTGGTGCACAAAAGTACCTTTACTGCTTTCATGTAAAAATCCTATGGCTCTTATTTCTAAATCATTACATTTTTTTTAATCACTTCATCTCTCTATTCAATGAGGGAATATAACTTAATTGATGACTCTGAAAATGACGTTAACGGCAGTGTCAGTCTTATATAGCCCTTACATCTACACTGATTAAAACTGAACTGCCAAGTACACCTCATGTTTACAGCTAATGTAAATATTCAAGAGGTGGTCAATATTTCAGATTTGCAGTTTATTGTACACTAGATTCGTAACAGCTCTCCATTAACGAAAAGGAGTGACAGCTGAATACAACAGTAGATATTGATATGTCCTCGCGCTTTTCGCCTACGCACCAGTACAATCAGTGTGTTGTGTTTCCTTGGCTGGTCACAAACACAAGTCAATCTTGTCCATCATTCAAAGTCGAACGTTTCGGTTGCTAGCATCAAAATTCTTAAATATTTTTCTTGAGCGACCAAATTGTATTTTTTTAAAAAATGCTTGGCTGGTGTGAACGCGTTTAATCTCTCCGTATCTTTGTACACCAGTGAGAGATCCCTCAAAGACACCGAATCGCTTTTCAAGCTCAAAGTAAGCGCATTTTCAAAAGCTTAATTTTCAGCTGAGCACTGATAACTTGGTAATCCCCTCGTGAGTACGATAGCGTATGATGATTAGTTTGAAATGAAGATCGTGAAATTTGAACACGACCTAGGCAATTAGCTTTCGCCTCGGCGCATTTGTTCAATTACATGGTCACAAATTGCTGAAACAGCAAATATTAATATCCTGTCATTATCTTTGCCTAGTTTACAAACCAAACAATGTCAAGTTCGGAATCTCCTTAATTAGAGTCCTCATGGCAAATCACAAACCCCATGTAAATTAGACAAGGGACCTAACTTCAGCTGCTTTCGTTTTGAATGAGAATGACTGCGCTTGTGAGCCACCACGATTTTTGGAATATGACAAACAAAGAAACTTTAAATGTACTCTAGCTGAGAGTGGACAACATAGAGACTACATCTGTAACCTTTGTCATTCTTGGGATCGCACGTGCTCCGTTAATTGTCTTTGGAAACTCGTTCGTAATTTGGTCAGTTTGGAAAAAAAATTGATAACTTTGTCAGTTCATAAAAAAACTGGTGGTCTGGGTATCACCAAAATTTTATTATTTGAGTCGGGATGGCCTTTTTGTGTGACTTGTAATCGTTCCACGAGATAGAAAAACCACTAAAAGAGATTGAGACTCTACAAGGTCACAGGTAGGGGGCTAAGGGCCCGTTTCTCAAAAGTGTAGTTAACTTTTAGGGCTCGCATAATCTAAATTTAAGAAATAGTGGGGCGAATCCAAATATCAATCCATCTTATTTCATTCCCGATACTTGTTTTCAGAACTTAAACCTTGAGAAAAGAAGCATTTCATGTCGACTTTCATATCGTCATCAATCAGAAACCCACTGCACACGTCAATAAAATGATCTAACTTGGGTTAGTTTTAGATGAAAATGTAACATGGAAATCGCATATATCTGACGTAGCTAGTAAAAATATTGAAATCTACAGGTATACTTTTTAGATCTAGTTTCATTCTTTCCAAATCCTCTCGTCCCATGATGACCCCAAACCTTAAAGATTGTAATTTAATCTGCGGATGAAGCTCTAAAAACAAATGATCATAGAATTGTCATTAAGCAAAAATGTTTCATCGGGAAAATAAATAAGTCTCACCATGGTACTCAGACGGATCCTATTTTCAAGAAACTTATAATCACCGCATATCCTCGAACAATCGCCCAGGTGCCTTTTTAAAGTTTCGGCCTAAAGGAGGGGCGCTTATCGGAAGGAGGGCGCGTAATCGAAGGGGGTGCTTAATAATAATAATAATAATAATAATAATAATAATAATAATATCTTTTATTTAAACACGATAGGGTTTAAAGCTCAAAGCTTGTGGGGTCGTGTGAAAATAATTACTATATCAAACTATATTAAAATAGGGATAGCATTACTTGCAAAATACAACTACCATGGTAAAAATTTAAAAATATTCAAGTTTCTAAAAAAGAAACTATCAACCTGTACTGATTCCTCTGTAGTTGAAGCTTAAAAAAGTTATAAATAAAGCGGAAACAGAAACAGCTTTTCCTCGTATCCCTAATATTAAAAACAGTGAGGGAGGAGGGGGGGGGTTCTTATTCGAGGGGGCACTTGCTTGATATTAGGGACCTTAAGCAAAGCACGACGGCGACGGCAACGAGGACGTGACAAAACAAACGGTCTTATAATCAGAACAATAGCTCAGCAGGTGCGTTTTAAAACTGTGTACATTTCTTCACCTTCTTCTGCAAAATAACAACGTGAAATCATCAAAATTTGCGTGGTCCGAGAGAGGAAATCCCGACGGCAAATTAGTTAAGTTTCTATTGGGAACTCTACGCCTCTCTCATATGTTATGCTGAGGTTAACTTGCGGCCCTGTATGAGATGGTAAACACATCCAGTCATTCTCGAAATTCCAACTATAAACATATATATTCATTTTTAATTGATGTCTTCCTTGACGTTGCTGTCCTAACTGCTAAAGGTCCCCAATATGGCCACGGGGGTTGTCGGTTATTCGGGAGAGGCGCTTACTTGAGCGTAGGTGCTTATTCGAGAAAATACGGTAACTTGCTTAAAAAGCTTGGTCATTTCATGCTTTCGTTCAAAAGATCCTCCCTTAAAAATCTCAAAGTATATTCATGAGAAACAACCGAACCCATTGCCACAACACAAGGCACGCAAACTCCTTTCCTCTACATTTTGTGAAACAAATATGTTCAGCAGTTTTCTTCAACTCCCTTAATCTTGAGATCACTGGCTCCTCATCTCTAGCATTCTTCAGAAAAAAGATTTGAGATAACTTTTCTTAGCAACTACTCATTCTTCCATGGATAATAAATATGGCTTGTAAACTTGGTATTTACTATTCTGTTATCTAGGGTTATTTGACTGAATACTTTTTGTGGAGGAACCCAAGCCTACAATACTTAATGGTATTTATTAGATTTTCCTGCTATTAATCCGTCTTTCTTTAACAATTGTTGTAAACTGATGTAATTGTATTTGAAATGGCACAGAAAGATAAACGAATGACAAGTTTTTTGGACTCCTAACTGTCACGACTTCCTAGAAACGAAAGAGTTGAGAACTTCAAAAAATTTTACCGAGAAAGATCCTTGAAACCTCAAAATTTGGACTTTGTTACAACTATTTTTACCTATAACGAGACATTTACTCGACAGAAAACAGCATGAACAGGACTGTAAAGGATTATGATTCTCGGAAGTTAACATGATCAGTTTGCGTGTACAGAATAGTAATCATAGAGTTAGGTAAGAGGGACGATCTGTTGCCGGAAAAAAGAGTGAAAAGGAGGTTATAGAACTTCATTAAGATATTAATTGAAAGCAAAGGGTCATTTTCTGTGCCTCCGTCAGTTAGATGCTGGTTTCATTACCTACATTTACTCATCGGAAATATAAGCCTAAGCCTTGTTCTCCTCATAGAGTTTTCGGCAAAAAGGAGTCACATTACACCAAAGTTTTTAACATTTTTCTACTCTTGCTTTCCGCCACTGAAGTAGGAAGCGACAGGTTCTCATAACGCAAATCAGGCTGCGCTAAACAGAACTTTTTCGGGTCAAAGCTTTCTACAATTACTCGCCCTCTACTGTCTGGTGGTTTGGTTTTTAACTCGGACAGAAGTTACAGAAAGTTGTAACTCGATTCTCTTGAGTAATGCCTGATGTTATTCTAAATTTATTTGCACCCTAATAATAGACATTGAAAAATTAATCAGTTATGATTGGTTGAGATAAATGCAGTTTTCTGCTAATTTAGTTCAGATGAGGGTTGATTTAGTGCAAAGAAGTAACAAACCAATTTCTGATCAGTCGATAATCAAAGAAACTCACAGATAGGCAATCAAATGGAGCCTTGAATGTCGCAACAAAATTTGAAAATTTGCGAGCGGAACAATGGCCGGCGATTTAAGTAGGTTTTCTTTCGCCATCGCAGCTGAAAAACAGCTCTAACAACGAAAACAATGTAAAAAGCACTGCTTTTTGGTTGTCGGTTTGGAGAAAGTGGCGTTTAGAGAAGTGAATTACCAAGGAAATCGAAAATTACGAGCCGACCCAGCTTAACACTTTGCCCGAGCGATCCTACGCCGAAGTAAAAAACAAACACGGTTAAACCTCGGAAACGACGATTCCATTTCATCGCCGATGAAAGTGATTCGGACAAAGACTGAACAATTCCTTTAACTGTTTAGTCGGACTTTAAACTTTTTTGTGCCTTAAAGATGTGAAGATATCATTGTATATTAACGTTTTGATCGTACGCGGTTGTTTTGACCGAACGCACGGTTTGCACAAGTTACTTTTGGACTTGATGCGCGCGCTTTGCTTCTGCTTAATTATGATAAGCTATCTTACATTTTTTCATGTATATTATTAACACGTAATCACATGATTTTTCTCGTGCAATTTGGAATATATAAGCACTTGTTAATGTTTTCAAAGACCACAAATTGCACTCACCCTACGAGCTCGTGCAATTTTATTAGTCTTTAAAAAAAAATTACTCGTGCTTATTTATTCCAAATTGCCCTTAAAATCATGTGATTACCTATACAAACTAAGATATTGGTGATCGGAACTTAAAAAAAAACTTACAGGTAATTGAAACTCGTTTCTCGTGAATGACTTCATGACAACTTTATTTATTTGCTCCCAAATAAAGATATTTACGAGATATTGCCCTTAGAGCTTGGTGTGTCGATCGCTTGATTAAGGCTCAAAGGATCTCATATTAATTTATCAAACTCAAATGAAAATCGCAACACGCAAGAAAACTACCTTCTAATATGCATCAGTTTCAATGCGAGTGAAACTCGCATTGAACTTCGCTCTCCCGCAAGTGCTATTTATGGTTTTCAAAGGCGATAAATCACTGAGTGCCTCACTGGGGTGATAACTTCTTTTACTGCTAACAGTTGAAATGTTAACCATTTTACTGCTAACGTTTAATTTCTTTCCGTTACGGTTGAAAGAAAATTTTAACCATTAACTTTCTTTACGACTAACAGTTAAAAGTTGTCAAGTTTTTTTTGCCTAACGGCTAACTTTTATTTGCCGTTTAACGGCTCATGGTTAAACCCAATGAGACCCTCGTCACTCTCTAAATCTGGAAGGGTAAAATCTTCAGATACTGACGTCGTACTTCCATCAAGCGATCCACTAACCCCCACGGTCCTTCTCTTTATGAAATCTGGTGATTGTTCGAAACACGGCAGATATTAAATATTCAACACCATCCTTCTATGCAATTAGATCTGTGTATTTAAGGTTCGTGCTTTCTGACAACTAAACCCTCGACAGAAGCTTTAAGATATCGTAATTTTTGACTTGTTAGCTTTTCCTTTCTTTAAAATGAGTTGCCTCCAAAAGTATAGCAATGTTTCTCTATACTTTGGGAGTCGCCACGTATACAAAAATGGGTTTAAACCCGAGTTTGCGCACTTCAGACTTCCTGAAAATGCGAAAGAAATCATCAGTAATGATAGATGTGTTTGGCACGCTTTGCAAAAGTAGATCAACGTTTTAACAATGAACCACGGCATGTAACAGATGAGAAATGCGCAGACGACGACCGATATGGCCTTGAAGAGATCTTTTTCTCTTTGCATTATAATGTTACGATCTCTGAGTGAGTGTCCTTCTGCTCTTTCTTTGGAGTATCGGTGAAAGTAGTTTAAGATCATTACGTACATGGCCAACATGCCCAAAAGCATAAATAGAAGTTGAAAGTTGTACACAGCCCCCATTATGGCAAATAAATCGCGCAACACGAGGAATGCACTCCCAAAAGCTATGAAATAAATCCAGCAGGCACAGTTGGCGATAAAAACTCTCTTATTTTTAACTGTTGCACGGTAACGAAGGGGCGTAATTACGGCGAAGACTCTGTCCACTGTTAGAAGGAACATATGGCCAAAACTCACGTTTACAGAGAAAACGTTGAGGGCACATATCACAGAAAGATCAAGTGGTGATTCTTCTCGGACAGATATCACCAAGCCCCAATAAGCAGTTATCGGACAAACCACCAAGCCAACTAATAGGTCTGCTATGGCCATGGATGTCAAAATGAGGTTGGAGGGTGACGATCGGAGTTTCTTGAGAGGATCTTTCCAAACTGCAACTAAGACCAAAATATTTCCAAATATGATTACTGGTGCCATTGCTATCGATAAGGCAGCGCTGATCGCTGAAAGTGGCCTCACGTTTTGTAGGCTTAGCCATCCTTCTTGAAGAGCTCGGCCGCTTGTTAAGTTCCAAATGTTGTAGTGGCCAAGAAAGGCTGCCATTTCAACCTGTTATCTGGGTTAATTCCTCGATGGAGTCTGCAACTCGGTGACTCGTGTAAAAATAAGTCATATGTTGAAGACACTTTGGTTCGCTTTGACCTCAAGAAGATAATGACAATATAAAGTTTGCGGTTGTATTGAAGTATATTGGAAGCTTATATTTCCAATTGTGTATTCTCTCCACTTTGACTCCAAAAAATTCTTCTTTAAAGCAGAAGACGAGACTTTTACAAAGAAAACAAGAAAATTATACACACAAAAACCTAATCGTACTTCTATGTTTACGATTATGATTCAACCTTCGTCTTTCAATTTGTGAAAATGCTCATGACATGCTTCTTTATCTTCATTGATGTCATTAAGACGGAAAAGATATTTTAACAACTACTAATATCCTTATTGTTCAAAACCGTCTTATTGTTTTTAGATGCCCCCTCAAATCTCCCTTTGTGAAAGATATTGATGCATGCGGTTGGATCACGTAACAATCAACTAACAATTTGGTTAGGCCAACTTTCACAGTTCAAAAATTTAATCAATGATTATACTCATATTATTCTATTGTCTTAAATTCTTTTAGAGACTTTAATCATGCAAAAATATTTGCTTTATAGCGCAAATAAAAAAGTTTCAACAACTTGACGAGATTGCTTAATTGCATGCAACTTTCGATAGCGTCCCTTCTCATAGATCATATCAGTTATTAATCTCTCTATATCTTTGTACACTAGTAAGAGACCCCTCAAAGAGCCCGAATCCATTTTTAAGCCCGAGGCAACACATTGTCAAAAGCTAAATTTTCAGCTGAGTATCACTGAATAACTTAGTCATCTCCTCGTGAGTACGATAGCGTAAGATGATTAGTTTGAAATGAAGATTGTGAAATTTGAATACGACCTAACTGATTAGCTTTCGCTTCGGCACATTAGTTCAATTACATGCTCACAAATTGCTGAAACAGCAAATATTAACATCCTGTCATTATCTTGGCCTAGTTTACAAACAATGTGATGTTCAGAATCTCCTTAATTAGAGTCCTCAAAGCAAATCACAAACCTCATGTAAATCAGACAAGGGACTTAACTTCAGCTACTTTCTACATTTGAATTGCGTTTTGAATGAGAATGACTGCGCTTGTGAGCCATCACGATTTTTGGAAAATGACAAGCAAAGAAACTTTCAATGTACTCTGGCTGAGAGTGGACAACTTAGAGACTATAACTGTAACTTTAACTTTGTCATTCTTGGAATCGCATGTGCTCCGATAATTGTCTTTGGATACTCGTTGGTCATTTGGTCAATTTGGAAAGACCCTCTAAAGAAGCTTCGCAGATCGCCATCTGGGTTGATCGTGTTATCAATGGCCACTGCCGATTTTCTTGTTGGATCAGTTCTACTCCCTACAGCCGTGACTTGGGGTTGGTCCGTGTTTCCGTGACTTGGGGTTGGTCCGTGTTTCATCTTTCAAAATGCCCCGAATTCCATACAGTATTTATATGCGCTATTTCGATCATATGCAGCGCTTTCTTCGTCTACGTTAGCGTTGGTCACATCTTCCATCTAACACTTGACAGATTCTTTGCCATCATAACACCGCTTCAGTATCGAGCTGTTGTCACGCCTAAAGGAATCAGTGTTGCTATTGTTAGCCGTTGGATTTATTTCTTCATCTTTGAAATTACCTTTGGCTTATTGCAACACCGATACTTTATCATAATGGAAACTGCGTACAGTATTCAAATTATCAGCATTCTCCTTAGCATATCTGTAATGTCTGCTGTGATGGTAAAACGCTTCCATTTATATTGCCAGAAGTCGGAATTAACACATCAATCAACAACTCAACGTCAGATGATCCTTCAACGGGAAAGAGAGCTCTGCAAAGCTATAGCAGTTGTCATTTGCGCATACCTATTTTGTTTCATAAAGGGGTAAGTTTCTAAAGAAACTGTGGTGCTGCATCGGTAGGGGAGTATAGCAGGTAATTTAGTGTTAACAACTGCGTTAAAAACGTAAATTAGCCACCGTAAAGGGTAAAAAAGCTGTCGTTTCGGGCGTTAGCCCTTCGTTAGAGCGATTGGAGGAATTGTGGGTTGTGTGTGGGTTTATATGCAGAAAGTGGAGCTACGTCATTGGTGGGAATACGGTGACAAGAAAACAGGAATAAATTAGTTGAATGGAAAGCGCTCGTTGATTCCGTGGGGATTGACGGTTTTACGGAACTTTCCGAACTGCGTAGATGTAAGGATAGGCCGCAAACTGCCATGTGCTGTTTAGAATGATTAGGAAGATTAAAGTGTCTAGTGACTGGTTTGGATGCGTCCTTGTCATTTCTTTCCACGTTGCGAGGGTTTTCTCGGAATCGGTCACCTAGTCGTCTTCCTGTTTCGCCGATGTATAACTTATTGCAATAAGTGCAAGTTATGCAGTAAATAACATTAGCGGAGGTACACGTAAAGTGATCAGTGATCTTAATGGATCTCTTTGGGTCCCGATATTTTCTCTACGTTATGAATGAAAGAACAAGTTTTGCATCGTGAGCGAGCGCATTTGAAAGTTCCAGATTGGTCATTGGTTTGAAATGAACTCCTGACTAAAAAGTTGCCTATGTTTTTGTCACGTTTGAATGAAATAAGTGGGGGTTGCAAAAAGATAGTGCCAGTCTCTGAATCGTTTTGGTGTAATTTAAAATTTTTAAGAATGATAGATTTAACTGCGTGGTTGTGAAGATGAAATGTAAGAGTAAATGGAATGCGGTCAGTGTTATCCTTCTCAGCCGTTTGTAGTGCTGCCTGTCGATCAATTTGTTGGGCACGGTGGTGGCCCGCTTGAACGACAGAGACAGGATAGCCACGTTTATCGAAAAACTGGCACATTGCCTCTGATTTTTCGGAAAAATCAGAGTCGTCACTACATAAACGACGAAGTCTGAGAAACTGTGAAAAAGGTATGGAGTTCTTGATGTGTGATGGATGTGAAGATGAATGCAACAAGTAACTATGTGAATCTGTAGGTTTGAAGTAAACGCTAGTGCATAAACCGTTGCCTTCAATTGAAATTTTGATGTCTAGAAAAGGCAAAGAAGTGTCGAAAAGGTATATTTAAGAGCCGGATGAAAGGAATTGACGGTGGTTATAAATTGAGGGAGCTCCTCTTTGGTAGAGGAGGTAGCGCCGATGTAATCGTCAGTGTAACGGCCGTAGAGTTCAGGTTTTGGGCCGTGGTATTGACTAAAAAATTGATGTTCGATAAAACCTACAAAAAGATTGGCGTAGCTGGGTCCCATTTTGGTACCCATGGCTACGCCATTAGTTTGTTTGTAGTAGTTACCACCGAATGAAAAACAATTGAGTGTGAGTACTAGTTCGGCCAAACGGAATAGTTTTCAGAGCTAGATTCCCTAACAGTGTGATGATCGAAAAAATGTTTGAGGGCCCGGAGACCTTCCCACCAATAGCGTAGCTCCACTTTCTACATATAAACCCACACAGAACCCACAATTCCTCCAATCGCTCTGACGAAGGGCTAACGCTCGAAACGTCAGCTTTTTTACCCTTTACGGTGGCTAATTTACGTTTTCAACTCAGTTGTTAACACTAAATTACCTGCTATTTTGTTTCATACCTTGGTTTGTGACTCACTTTCAAATCTATTTCTGTCTGCCTTGTTTTAGCGATTTATCTAACTTATGTTTGAGTTACGTTGTTTCAACAAGTTTAATGCACGCAAACTCGGGTGTGAATCCATTCATATACGCATGGAGGTTTCCAAAATATCGGGAGACTTTCATGCACTTGTTGAAAAGGCGAAATAATCGAAGCGGACAATTCATTGAGCACCAGTTTTACGACACTAGGCTTTAAAATATCAAGGAAAGCAATTATACTCGCAGATGATCGGCAACTTAAGCAATTGCAATCGTAGCTCAGTTGGTATTTGAGCCTAACTTGTACCCGGAAGCCTCGGGTTCGAACTCCTTCGAAGGTTCAATTTCGTTCTTTTTTTTTTTTCTTTTTTTTTTCAGGCCTTTTTCTCTGCAAATGGTAAAATTGCAGCTCACCTGCCAGGATTATTGTTTTACTTGATCATAACATTTTAGGTGAACTTATTTCTGCATATTTAAAATTATGCTATGGTTTCAAGAAGAAGATTTTAAATATTTCCTAATGTCTGTTTAAATTTTGTCATGTTTATTAATTTAAAGAGGGCCCCTGGTTAATTAGGATTTTTTAATTACTATTTTGTGCCACCCTTGTTGAAAAAAGGCTTTACTACACTCAAACTCTCCTTGAGTTTCTTGGTTAGCAAGCATCACCACTAATATGTTACCCGAACTTTAGGGCAGAATGTTGTGTACCAAATCCAAAAATTTGACAGATTTGAAAAACTTAACTTGCCTTTGTTATACAAACGATCTCGAGTACAACTGAAATAGTCTAGCTTTCTTTTTCTTCATAGGAAGGGTCTTATGAAAATGATTTCCGACCAGTTACCTAATCGCTCCAAAATTGTCTTAAGTTAAAAATTAAAATACAGACGCCTTTATGTTTCAAAAAAATTTGATAACTTTGTCAGTTCACAAACAACTGGTGGTCTGCTTATCACCAAAATTTTATCATTTGAGTCGAGATGGCCTTTCGTGTGATTGTATTCGTTCCACAGACTACCACGAGATAGAAAAATTACTAAAAGAGATTGAGACTCCAGAAGGTCACAGGTAGAGGGCCAAGGGCCCGTTTCTTAACAGTGTGGTTAACTTTTAGGGCTCGCCACGACAGTTCATTATCTAAATTTAAGAAATAGTAGGGCAAATATCAATCCATTTTATTTCATTCCTGATACTTGTTTTTAGAACTTAAACCTTAAGAAAAGAAGTATTTCATATCGACTTTCATATCGTCATCAATCAGACACCCATCGTACATGTCAATGAAACAGTCTAACTTGGGGTAGTTTTAGATGAAAATGTAACATGGAAATCGCATATATCTGACGTAGCTAGCAAAAATATCTAAATCTACAAGTCTACTTTTTTAGATCTAGTTTCATTCTTTCCAAATCCTATCCCATGATGACCCCAAGTCTTAATGATTATAATTTAATCTGCGGATGAAGCTATAAAAACAAATGATCATAGATTGGCATTTAGCAAAGACGTTTCATCAGGAAAGTAAACAAGTCTCACCATGATACTCAGACAGATCCTATTTACAAGAAACCCTAACCCTAAACCCTAAACCCTAACCCTGACCCTGGTGCCTTTTTAAAATTTCGGCCTAAAGGAGAGCGCTTATCGGAAGGCGGGCGCTTAATCGAGGGGGGCGCTTATAAAGAAACTATCAACCTGTACTGATTCCTCTGTGGTTGAAGCTTAAAAAAGTTATGAATAAAGCGGAAATAGAAACAGCTTTTCCTTTTATCCCTGATATTAAAAAAGTGAGGGAGGAGGGGAGGGGGGTTCTTTATTCGAGGGAGCACTTGTTTGATATTAAGGACCTTTAGCAAAGCACGACGGCGACGGCAACGAGGACGTGACAAAACAAACGGTCTTATAAGCAGAGCAATAGCTCAGCAGGTGCGTTTTAAAACTGTGTACATTTCTTCGCTATCTGCAAAATAACAACGTGAAATCATCAAAATTTGCGTGGTCCGAGAGAGGAAATCCCGCTGGCAAATTAGTTAAGTTTCTGTTGGGAACTCTACGCCTCTCTCATATGTTATGCTGAGGTTAACTTGCGGCGCTGTAAGAGATGGTAAACACATCCAGTCATTCTCGAAATTCCAAATATAAATATATATATTCATTTTCAAATCGACGTCATATGGCCACGGGGGTGGTCGGTTATTCGGGAGAGGCGCTTATTTGAGCGTAGGTGCTTATTCGAGAAAATACGGTAACTTGCTTAAAAAGCTTGGTCATTTCATGCTTTCGTTCAAAAGATCCTCCCTCAAAAATTTCAAAATATATTCATGAAAAACTCCTTTCCTCTACATTTTGTAGAACAAATATATTCAACAGTTTTCTTCAACTCCATTGATCTTGAGATCACTGGCTTCTCATCTCTAGCATTCTTTAGAAAAAAAGTTTTGAGATATCTTTTCTCAGCAACTACTCATTCTTCCATGGATAATAAATATGGCCTGTAAACTTGGTATTTACTATTCTGTTTTCTAGGTATATTTAATTGAATACTTTTTGTGGGGGAACCCACGCCTACAATACTTAATAGTATTTATTAGATTTCCCTGCTATTAATCCGTCTTTCTTTAGCAATTGTTGTAAACTGATGTAATTGTATTTGAAATGGCGCAGAAAGATAAACGAATGACAAGTTTTTTGGACTCCTAACTGTCACGACTTCCCAGAAACGAAAGAGTTGAGACCTTCAAAATCTTGTCGAGAAAAGTCCTTGAAATCTCAAAATTTGGACTTTGTTACAACTCTGATGACGATGAAAGTGATTCGGACAAAGACTGAACAATTCCTTTAACTGTTTAGTCGGACTTTGAACTTTTTTGTGCCTTAAAGATGTGATGATATCATTGTCTATTACTGTTTTGATCGTACGCGTTTGTTTTGACCGAACGCACGCAAATTATTTTTACACTTGATGCGCGCGCTTTGCTTCTGCTTGATTATGATGAGCTATCTCGTATTTTTTCATGTTTTTTATTAACACGTAGTCACATGATTTTTCTCGTGCAATTTGGAATATATAAGCACTTGTTAATTTTTTCAAAGACCACAAATTGCACTCACCCTACGGGCTCGTGCAATTTTGTTAGTCTTTAAAAACATTTTATTCGTGCTTATTTATTCCAAATTGCCATTAAAATCATGTGATTACCTATACAAACTAAGATATTGGTGATCGGAACTTAGAGAAAACTTACAGGAAATTGAAACTCGTTTCTCGTGAGTGATTTCATGATAACTCTATTTATTTGCTCCCAAATAAAGATATTTACGAGACATTGCCCTAGAGCTTGGTGTGTCGATCACTTGATTAAAGCTCAAGGGATCTCATATTAATTTATCAAACTAAAAATGAAAATCCCGACACGCAAGAAAACTACCTTCTAATATGCATCAGTTTCAATGCGAGTGAAACTCGCATTGAACTTCGCTTTCCCGCAAGTGCTATTTATGGTTTTTAAAGGCGATAAATCACTGAGTGTCTCACTTGGGTGATAGCTTCTTTTACTGCTAACAGTTGAAATGTTAATCATTTTACCGCTAACATTTAATTTCTTTCCGTTACGGTTGAAAGAAAATTTTAACCATTAACTTTCTTTACGACTAACAGTTAAAAGTTGTCAACTTTTTCGCCTAACGGCTAACTTTTATTTGCCGTTTTACAGCTCATGATTAGACCCAAAGAGACCTTCATCTCTCTCTAAATCTGGAAGGGTAAAATCTTCAGATACTGACGTCGTACTTCCATCAAGCGATCAACTAACCCCCACGGTCTTTCTGTTTACGAAATCTGGTGATTGTTTGAAACGCGGCAGATATTAAATATTCAACACCATTCTTCTAGGACAATTAGATCTCTATATTTAAGGTTCGTGCTTTCTGACAACTAAACCCTCAACAGAAGCTTTAAGATATCGTAAATTTTGATTTGTTAGCTTTTCCTTTCTTTAAAATGAGTTGCCTCCAAAAGTATAGTAATGTTTCTCTATACTTTGGGAGTCGCCACGTATACAAAAATGGGTTTAAACCCGAGTTTGCGCACTTCAGACTTTCTGAAAATCCGAGAGAAACCATCAGTAATGGTAAATGTGGATGGCACGCTTTGCAAAAGTAGATCAACGTATTAACGATTAACCACGGCATGTAACAGATGAGAAATGCGCAGACGACAACTGAGATTGCCTTAAAGAGATCTTTTTCTCTTTGCATTATAATGTTACGATCTCTGAGTGAGTGTCCTTCTGCTCTTTCTTTGGAGTATCGGTGAAAGTAGTTTAAGATCATTACGTACATGGCCAACATGCCCAAAAGCATAAATAGAAGTTGAAAGTTGTACACAGCCCCCATTATGGCAAATAAATGGGGCAACATGAGGAATGCACTCCCAAAAGCTATGAAATAAATCCAGCAAGCACAGTTGGCGATAAAAACTCTCTTATTTGTAACTCTTACACGATAACGAAGTGGCGTAGTTACGGCGAAGACTCTGTCCACTGTTAGAAGGAACATATGGCCAAAACTCACGTTTTCAGAGAAAACGTTGAGGGCACATATCACAGAAAGATCTAGCGGTGATTCTCCTCGCACAAATATCACCAAGCCCCAATAAGCAGTTATCGGACAAACCACCAAGCCAACTAATAGGTCTGCTATGGCCATGGATGTCAAAATGAGGTTAGAGGGTGATGATCGGAGTTTCTTGAGGGGATCTTTCCAAACTGCAACTAAGACCAATATATTTCCAAATACGATTACTGGTGCCATTGCTATCGATAGGGCAGCGCTGATCGCTGAAAGTGACCTCACGTTTTGTAGGCTTAGCCATCCTTCTTGAAGAGCTTGCTCGCTTGTTACGTTCCAGATGTTGTAGTGACCATGAACGGCCGCCATTTCAACCTATTATCTGGTTTTCCCGATGAAGTCTGCAACTCGGTGACTCGTGTAAAAATAAGTCGTATTTTGAAGACACTTTGGCTCCCTTGAACCTCAAGGAGATAATGACGATATAAAGTTTGCGGTGTTATTGAAGTATATTGGAAGCCTCTATTTCCAATTATGTATTATCTCTGCTTCGGCTCCAATAAATGCTTCTTACAGCAGAAAACGAGACTTTTACAAGAAAACAAGAAAACTGTACAAACGAAAACCTAATCGTACTTCTATGTTTACGTCTATGATTCAACCTTCGTCTTTCAATCTGTGAAAATGATTATGACATGCTTTTTTCTCTTCATTGACGTCATTAAAACGGAAACGACATTTTGATAACTACTAATATCCTTAATGTTCAGAATCGTCCTATTGTTTTTAGATGCCCCCCTCAAATTTCCCTTTGTGAAAGATATACGGTTGGATCACGCAACAATCAACCAACAATTTGGTTAGGCCAACTTTCACAGTTCAAAAATTTAATCAATGATTATACTCATATTATTTTACTGTCTTTACTTCTTTAAGGGCCTTTTATCCATGCCAAAAGATTTGCTCTATAGCGCAAATAAAAAAGTTTCAACAACTTGACGAGATTGCTTGATTGCATGCATCTTTCGATGGCGTCCCTTCTCATAGATCATATCAATTACAGCGTATATATATATTAACCTTACAGCAAAACGATTTTAAGGATAGTTTGCTTAAATGAATTGAACGAACACTAGAAATTGTAACCGATAAATAACTTTCTAATGATTTTAAAGGGGGTTAATTGTGTCACAGATGCTGTTCCTTGTTGCAGTTCAAAAAAAGCGTAATTCATAACATTTACGTAGGGGATCTCGTAACTCAGTAGGTAGATTCTTTGAAAATAGAATTTCCTGAAATATCCTTCCCTCTTTCCCCTAACTGTAGACTGGAGTGCTTCTTCTACGTGGCGAATTTTTTCAAGTAATTGTGCGCAAAGGGAAATTGAATTGAAATTTACACTTCATGAAATACTGCTTATTCCATGTACGCGGATGTAAAGTTTATTCCCTCTGCTGAAATGTTATAAATTAATAGGAAAATAAGGAAATAGATCAAGTCACCGGAGGACCGTTATTTCACGTCCAAAAATACGCAGTTAACCAGAAATGGTTCAAAAAGGATAAATGCAAAACAACTGATGCCCTATGCATATCGTAAACGTAATACTTCCGAGCCAGAGTAAGAGGACCGAGAAGTTACAACAGCAGTGACCACTAATTACAATTATACCACTATTACATGTTACAGGGTTGTATTTCAAACATTGAGGAAGTTGCCTCTTTTGCCATCTGACTACAGCCTCAGACTAGTAGTTGCTTCTAAAAGCTCTTCAAAGTGTCCTTTTGGGAGTCACTATGCATATCGCAATAAGTTCAAAACCAAATTTGCAGCTATTCAGCTTCCTAAAAATACAATAAAATTTCAAAAGAGGCATTTGAACAATAAACCACGGCGTGGGCCACTTATTCCAAAAATGCACAAGTAACAATGGATGGAAATGGAGTTGAAGAGATTTTTTTCTTTTCAGGACCCTAAGCGAATTTGTGCTTCTGATTTGGTACTAGTCTCCGTCTTTTGGATCATCTGTAAAAGCTAAACGTGATCACAGAGCACTGATGATAAGCACGAAGGATAAAAATTATAAGAAGTCTGCAAAAGGTCGTCGAGAAAATATTTGGCTCTCAGTCATGATTCACGGACCGCGCTGCGCTCGTTCCGTATGTCATGTCCTCGAGCCAAACACTTTCTCATCCGCCCCTCCCCCCTCTCCTTTCCCCTTCTCCTGCCCCCCTCCCCCTCAGCGCCTCCCCTTCTCCCATCCAGTCTATGAATAGATAGTAATGAGTCGCGAACTGCATCGGATTCGACTACGATGTAACGTATTTTCTCGATTAAACGCCGGCCTCGAAAAAACGCTGAATCAAAACTGTCGATTTTAAATAAACGCCGGAGGCGTTTAATCAAGAAAAAAAGGTAATCAATAACTATGTTTAAAGCTACTTAGTTCAAACAACACATTTTGATTAATTTCGACAACAAAAATTTACATTTCATATCTTTTGAAAAATACCTTCCTAAGAAAACTCATATGACTGACGTTAGGCATTAACGATATAACGATATCACGCCTTCCTATCGCCGTCCCTGCCAATAACATTGGTCCTCAAAGTCAATCAGTCAAACCAAGATCATAAAATCTGATGCAAAAAGGCTCCTTCAAACTCCAATGTTTATCTTGGTCAGGTTCAGCAATTACGATGTACAACAGAAAATCTTCCCTGATGTGATGTACAAAAGTACCTTTACTGCTTTCATGTAAAACCCTTATGGCTCTTATTTCTAAATCATTACATTGTTTTTAATCACTTCATCTCTCTATTCTAGGAGGGAGTATAACTTCATTGATGACTTTGAGAATGACGTTAACGGCGGTATTCTTATATAGCCTTTATACTGACCCTGATTAAAACTGAACTGCCAAATACATCTCATGTTCACAGCTAATCTAAATATTCAAGCGATGGTCAATATTTCAAATTTGCAGTTTATTGTACACTAGATACCTACCAGCTCTCCATTAACGAAAAAGAGTGACAGCTGAATGCAATAGTAGATATTGATATGTCCTCGTACGTTTCGCCCACGCACCAGTATAACAAATGTTTGTGTTTCCTTGGCTGGTCACAAAAACAAGTCAATCATTCAAAGTCGGACGTTTCGGTCGCTAGCGTCAACGTTCTTAAATATTTTTCTTCGGCGACCAAATTGTATTTTTTAAAAATGCTCAGCTGGTGTGAACGCGCTTGAATCTCTTTTTAACTTTGTACGCCAATGAGAGACCCCTAAAAGAGACCGAATCACTTTTCAAGCTCAAAGTAAGCACATTTTCAAAAGTTTGATTTTCAGCTGAGCACTAATAACTTGGTAATCCCCTCGTGAGTACGATAGCGTATGATGATTAGTTTGAAATGAAGATCGTGACATTTGAACACGACCTAACCAATTAGCTTTCGCCTCGGCGCATTAGTTCAATTACATGCTCACGAATTGCTGAAAAAACATATATTAACATCCTGTCATTATCTTGGCCAAGTTTATAAACAATGCCAAGTTCGGAATCTCCCTAATTAGAGTCCTCAAAGCGAATCACAAACTTCATGTAAATCAGACAAGGGACCTAACTTCAGCTGCTTTTTACATTTCAACTTCGTTTTGAATGAGAATGGCTGCGCTTGTTGGCCACCACGATTTTTGGAATATGACCAGCGAAGAAACTTTAAATGTACTCTGGCTGAGAGTGGACAACTTAGAGACTATATCTGTAACCTTTGTCATCCTTGGAATCGCATGTACTCCGGTAATTGTCTTTGGAAACTCGTTGGTCATTTGGTCAATTTGGAAAGATCCTCTAAAGAAGCTTCGCAGATCGCCATCTGGGTTGATCGTGTTATCAATGGCCACTGCCGATTTTCTTGTTGGATCATTTCTACTTCCTACAGCCACGTTTTGGGGTTGGTCCATGTTTCATTTCAAAAAGCCCCGAATTCCATACTTGGCGGTCAGTGCAGTCTTCGTCAACGTTAGCGTTGGTCACATCTTCCTTCTAACACTTGATAGATTCTTTGCCATTGTAACACCGCTCCAGTATCGAGCTGTTGTCACACCTAAAAGAATCAGTGTTGCTATTATTAGCTGTTGGATCTATTTCTTCATCTTTGGAATTATCTTTGGCTTATTGCAACACCAATATTTTATTATAATGCAAACTGCGTACAATATTCAAATTATCAGCATTCTCCTTGGCATATCTGTAATGTCTGCTGTGATGGTAAAACGCTTCCATTCGTATTGCCAGAGGTCGGAATTTACACACCAATCAACAACTCAACGTCAGATGATCCTTCAACGGGAAAGAGGGCTTTGCAAAGCTATAGCAGTTGTCATTTGCGCCTATCTATTTTGTTTCATACCTTGGTTTGTGACTCACTTTCTTATCTATTTCTGTCTGCCTTGTTTTAACGATTTATCTAACTTATGTTTGAGTTACGTTGTTTCAACAAGTTTAATGCACGCAAACTCGGGTGTGAATCCATTCATATACGCATGGAGGTTTCCAAAATATCGGGAGACTTTCATGCACTTGTTGAAAAGGCGAAATAATCAAAGTGGACAATTCACTGAGCATCAGTTTTACAACACTAGGCTTTAAAACATCAAGGAAAGCAATGATACTCGCAGATAATCAGCAATTTAAGCAATTGCAATCGTAGCTCAGTTGGTATTTGTACCAGGAAGCCTCGGGTTCGAACTCCTTCGAAGGTTCAATTTTTCCTTTTTTTTTCAGGCCTTTTTCACTACAACTGGTAAAATTACAGCTCACCTGCCAGGATTATTGTTTTACCTGATCATAACATTTTGCGTGAACTTATTTCTACATATTTAAAATTATTCTATGGTTTGAAGAAGAAGATTTTAAACATTTCCTTAAATTTTAAACACTGGTTAATTAGGATTTTTCAATTACCATTTTGTGCCACCCTTGTTAAAAAAAGGCTTTACTTACTTACTATCTCCGTTAAGCTGATTGAAGTTGCAGGGTGGCTCTGAGTTCAATTTTTCAAAACTCGTTGTTTGTATTTTGACTTGCCCTACGATCTTGTCAAACTACGGCACAACTCGTAAAAATACTCAACCATACTACACAACAAAAATTTCGAATAAAATATATGTCTTCGCGACCCGAATCCACCACAAAATAAAAATAGCTAATAAACGAGTCAGCATCGCAAATGACGAGACCTGTTCAGGATTTGAATTGTTTGTTTTGCAATTTGAAGGCGTGTTCAGTGATAAGTATAAAGTTGGTAATTTACTTTATCAGTCTTCCGCTAATTGGCGAAGAACCGGGGATGGAAACTATTCCTGAAGCCTATATTTAAGGTTTCCGTGGTTTTCTTTGCCCAGCGTCTTGATGCGTTATTTTCCGAAGAATTCGAAAATTATCCTTTTACATTTTAATGTTACCAATTGCCAGTTGACGGACGGTGAAAATTACTCAGCTGTCTCCAACTTTGAACAATAGTATGACTCAGTTGTCATAAGCTTCCTTGAGCAAATACGAAGGAAATTTGCCAGCCGAAAGCAACAATTTACAACATTAACCCTAAACAGAACACCGTTATTATATCTGTTCTAAAGTAAACAAAAAAAATTTCCATTTCCTAAGCGGGCTGTTTAAACACTATAAAGATGTGTACCAAAAGAGAAACGCTTTAATTTGTTACTTGCTTTCAGTGACAGAAGTGACTTTGAGAACAAAAACCGTGTCTATTTCTTTGCATCTGTCAGAAATAAAAATTAAAAATGCCACTCTTCTGTTATGGAGATAATTTGTCTCAGTACACTCTTTAGGGTCTTAATATCAACTACCAAAAATTATTCTCTGGAATAACCCAAGATCTAGAAAATCTCACAATAACTTTAAAATTTTGTTCCAAAGTTTAAAGTGTCTGCTATCTGCTACTCTATCGCGACTGATATATTCTAAGATTATGATATAAAAAAATAATATTTCAATGGCTGTTGGCGAAAATAAATAAGAAAATTGGCATATGAACCGAAAAAAAACCTTCAGACAGAATATGTCCATAAATGCAAATGTTAGAAAGATTTACTGACGTACTTTAGCTAGCTCAACGAAGAAAAAGGCAAGGCCCTCAAATGTAAACGTACCTCACCGGTGCGTTTACATTTGAGGGCCTTGACAAAAAGGAGGATTCCTCTTAAAGCAAGATAACCATTACGAGACAAAGCATTTGTTTCAACAATGACAAGGTGATCTAATGAAAGAAAGAACCGTTAACTTTTTCCCCTGGAACGTTCTGCAAAGTCGTTGTAGGTTAACGATGGCGGTATAATCATGCTTGATGTGGAAAGAACTAGTCATTACCTATTATGGAGGATTTTGGGGGGAACAAATGGTTTTCATAGAAGGGGGATCAGTCGTCGCCAACAGAGTACAAAAGGGGGGAATATGGACATTTAAATTCCAATTGACTGCCAATGAGGTGGGGGGTTGATGGGGGGAATCATGAGAATATTACAGAGCCTTATGGAGTATCAAGTGAATTTAATCGTGACACAGCCAGTCGTTTCTTTCATTTTTGGCTCATTTTCCCAAAATTATCAGTCACGCTCAATACAATGTAATTTCAATTGATGCTGACATCATACGCTTCATCTGAAGAAGAACATTCCCTATCTTCGAAAATTTGCTCAAAACATTAGGAATAACAACGAAGGTCCTCAGCTGCTTAAAGATATCGCTTTGTAAGTTGTCAGAACATCGTCCCCAGGTTCCAGACCTCGTCAATTCTCTGAATTAACCAGTCTGCTTGTAGAAGTTTTGTCCCTAAATCAACCCATCTGCCTGTATCAGTCTTAGAGAGTCCTTCCAACGTAGCGACCTATCATAATTCATAACACTTGGGGGGGGGTGGTATTTTATGGGGATCACATGGTTTTCAGGGGGGACAGAGGAGGTATCAGCCGTCAACAACAATGTATAAAGGGGGGAATTTAGAAAATTGACTGCCAATGTGGGGGATCAAACCAATATTACAGAGCCTTATAGGGGGATCAGATAAATTTTATAGTGACACAACAAAATCCTATCTCCACATCTGCCAGGTGATAAATAATGATCAGTCTCCTCCTTCCTTCCCTCGCATAATCTGCCACTCTGTCTGTATTACTATAATTAACGAGGAACCTTACGCGGAAGAGTCCACCTTGTCGACTTCCTTTGAAAAATGAAGAATGTTCTGTCGACAATCATCACGATTCGACATGAGAGGATTCTCCTGGATTCAATGAAAAATAATTAAAGAACTCGCTTTCTCTAATTTCGACCAAATTCAACAAACAAAAAGTCATTTGTTCCTTTCCTTCCTCTTTATCATTACTCAGTAATATGGCGTTAATGTCCAACACTTTAAAATAAAATTCAACCGCAAAAAAATAATAAATAATTTTATCAGAAAAGTCACCACGGTCCTATACCCTTAACGGCATTACATTCATCTTAGGTTATCCATTAGATCACCTTTCGTGCTGCAAATATTTTAAGGTCACATTATTTTTAAAGTTTAATTATGTTTCCAGCCTTTTAAGTTTATATCTAAATAAACAATATTTGCATATATATTATATCTGTACTTGTATACTAATGCACAGTTGACAAACCCTCCAATGAAAGTGTTCCCTTTAAAAACAACATTACATGCGAAATCAGTTAATATTCGTTTCTATCTGAAAGATGTCATCACACTTCCGCTAGCTGACGCAAGTACAATCCTAGTTTTTCTTCAAATGAACAGAACATTAACGGTAAAATTTAATTACAACCATTCTTTTCCTTTACACCAATTAATGAGAGATAAAAAAAACTCTAAGCAAAGTCGTGCTGAAAATCGAGAATTTCCACGAAAGCTGACGGCACAGCAAAAGAAGATTCATTCACTTTCTATAGAAAAGAGTTAACAAAAATCTCATAAAATCTTCGAACTCTACGTTCTCTCGGCCTCGGAAGCCACAGGAAATATCATGGCGGCACTGCTAGGGCACATGAATTTCTGGAACGCCTCAGTACAATCAGCCATTGACGTATTTATTGAAGAGCTGAAAGCCCCCGAGTCTCGTGGAATAGCGACGATTTTTGGCTTCATCTACTCATTGTTATCACTGATAACTGTGGTGGGGAATGCACTTGTAATCATTGCAGTCTACAAAGACCCTTTGAAGATCCTGAAAAACTCTCCTTCAAACCTCATACTTTTGTCATTATCAGAAGCGGACTTGATTGTGGGGTTGATGATTGGCCCTGGGGCAGCCGTGTGGTTCTTCCGAATTGGAAAGGCAGCTCCATCTTTAGGATACATCATTGTGATACTTAGTTGTTCGTCCTTGGTAGTCTCTGTTGGCAATGCGTTGTTGCTGACTATCGACAGGTACTATGCATTGGCAACACCTCTAAAATATCGAGTGATAATCACCAAAAAGACGGTGACGATCGCATCTAGCGCTATATGGGTGTATTCTATTTGCTATGCATTAACATTCAGCCTCCTGCAACAATATTTCCTTCTTATTTGGTTTGTTTCTGTTGTACTGCTGTTTATTTGCTCTGAATGCATTTGTATTCTGTACTTCGTTACTCTGAGAAATCTTGCCAAACACTCTCACTCAAGAATAGTGGTTAGTAATTCACAATCAAATACAGCTTTGGCTTATCAGAGAGAGAAAAAAGTTTTCAAAGTTATCCTTTCAGTTATTTTTGTATTTTACCTCTGTTTTATACCATGGCTGGGAAATCAATTCGTGATATACTTTTGCAAAGGTTGCCACAGTCATCGAAAAACGGTGATGGTTAGCACCTATGCAACGCAATTGTTTGCTATCTTAAATTCTGCTTTGAATCCAGTGTTATATTCCTACAGGTTTGCAAAATTTCAAGCCACCTTTCGGTATTTCTTGAGAAAGATTTTTCCGCATAAAGGAAGAAAAAAGTCAGTTAGAGTAAACGAGAGAAGGCAAGCGTATAATACACGTCTATAAGGGCATCTCACCTTTTTAATTTCTAGCTGAATCTAACCCTAGCTGATGAATCAGGAACATAATTCTAATTCAAATTTTTCAATTCATGAACATGTTTAGTACATCGGCAGGTGTTCAGTCTCTTGAAATTATATTGAAAAAATCTTATGTAGTTTAGCTCTCAAAGAGTGCTGATATAACTTCACTCAGTTTGGACCGAAATCCATATTCTATAGTTTCTCTAATCCCGAGTATCGACTTCCTCAGATATTTCTTTCGGGAAGGTTCGGTTTTCTACACTGGCCGGGGTTCCTCTGTGCTTTTCTCTTAAAAGTAATGCAACAAAAATAAATATCAATTTTCAGCTCACTGGGAACACTGGAGGTAAGCTCTGAGTATCATGTTCGGCACAGCGTGGAGTAACAGAACAAATGAAGATTGTCCTTCTTCAGTTGAATACTCCAAGCTCCTGTTTTTACTCGTCTTTGCACTGGCCCGATGGAAAAATTTATCTCAAAGAATGGTACGAAGAAACGATGGAAGGATATGAAACTAATCCTGATTGTGTAAATTCTGCAAATACAGTATTAAATTTTCATCATAATTTCTTTGCTCGCTTGTCATATTTCTTGTCCTGCTTCAAGCCTTGTTAATCTTTATTTCTAATTTAAATTGCTTTTCATCTCCGAGTTGTTGACACCGACTGCGCCGGTATTATTATGAAAACAAAAAAAAACACTTTATCTTCCTCCTAAAATTCAAAGTATCAATGGGTAGAAACAATGATTTTTTTATTTACGTCTGCCAATGATGAGCAAAATTGATTGATGTCAAAAATTTTCCAGAACAAATTTCTTTGTTATGAAATCCGCCTTTAGTTGACACATGAAGACCTGTCACGATTTAGAACCGTATTTTAAAAAAAATCTGACACACCTATTAAACCCACAATAAAAACTGAAAATCTAAGTAGATGAAATTTACTTAGATTTCATTTTTACATGAAAGATTGATTTAGTCTCGCATAATTTCATAGCTATTTCATATAAGTTACGCATCATTATCTGGCCAGATAGGAAAGAAAATTGAAAAATTATATCGTTTCCCACCCAAAAGATTTTCAATCCATCTTCATGATCATTCGTCCCGAATGATATTTCAAAGGATAATTTTTTATCATTTAGCAATCTCCAATCTTAGGGAATGGAGTTAAAAAGACGACTCGTATCTAGTATCTGAAAATTTCTTTCTTGTTCAGCAGTACGTTTATTATATGAGCTGCCAAAAAACCTCCCTTATCACTTACACACGACAAACGCCACCCTTAAAGTTTGTAATTACCGTCAAAGTCTCAAACAAACAGAAAAAAAAAAAAAAAAAAAACGAGACGGTCTCTAGTACTGAGCTGTGATACATTATGTAACTTTACACCACCTACGCACTTCACCGCCACCATAATATTACCACCAATGGTCAAGTTTTTGATTGGTTCCTTGTTCTTTACCTAGATTTTCTGAGAGTCCACCCTTTTTGGCGCAATTTTTTCCTTTTTTTTAAGCCCACAATTGAACCTCATAGGTGCAGTTTCAAGAGTTGGGATCACTATTTCTCAGTATATTTGTATATTTTCCCTGAATATACAAACCAATCTAATAAAAAATATCACCTTAAATTCAAAAAGCCCGAATCGAATAAAGAAACTAACCCTCCTACTTTTGATCAAAGAATGTACTGACTTTAATTTGATGATCAGAGCTTTGACTGCCTTTCAATGGCGGCTGTGATTGTTCCCTTCCTTCTCTTATATATAAGCGTATCTTTGTCCATTCAAACTAAAAAACACAAACAACACAGAAGAACCGCGATTCTAAAGGTGAATTTCTTTTATTATTTAAAAGTCTGGCTCGTACAAACGCCATCTATACCTCACTGACAATACAAGGCTTTTATAAAACCTGCACAACCACTGATAACACACTAGAGCCCATAGTTGGACGATAACATTAACCATTAACACGAAACGCGCTCTATAAATAGTAAACAGTGAGCTCGCCTGACAAAATATGAAAAGTCACATGACAAATAACGCCACAACTGGACTGGAAACTAGTTAACAAAACCGCTTAACTAACATGCACCGATTTTACGTATTCAACAACGACGTTTAACTGCTTCACAGTGACGTATTACTGAATCCCAACACCAACAGTGACGATATATAAACGTCACAAGTGACGTCACCAACTGTGGTACACAAAAAGCACATGCGCAAAGGTCACCGCCAAGACGAAGAACAAACGTACACAGTCACGTGATCTAGGCGAGGCAAAGACAAGGGAACGTGTTAGAAGCGCTGCACGATGACACACATTTACTACAAGCACTTGACTATGATTACTACCACCACAGCACACTCTACGACAGTCTGTCCTCATCAATATTTCTGCCAGAAATGAGCTCTAATTGTCAGTAATTCGCCAGTCATAACTCTCACCATTCATCTAGAAATCCAAGAAATCCTGCGCCGAATTTTTTCATTGCACGTTAGCGGAAACTTCAGGCTTCTGGGATACAAACCAAACTCAGTCATACTGGTTACACTGGTCAAAGAACAGTAAGCGACCCTGCTCTTTGGCACGTGTTTATACAGCAGTAATAGAACCCATTTTTCAATGAGTTCCAACCAAAATAAACACCCACAAAGGAAGAATTCATATGTGTTCCACGGTGCGTCCAATAGACACAGACCGTTTCTTTATCCTGCTGCCATAACCTCTGCACTCTTTCCTAACAGGTGGATTCCTCCACGATTACAACTAACAGCTAAAGACATTATTGATGCTTTGTGCACTTAAGTGGCTTCCCCCATGAAACCTGAATTCTAACAATACAAAAGGACACATCTCCCTACCCCTTGTGACAATTGGGTTTTGTTTATATCTACATCACCTTCTTTCACTGAAAAAGTTGTCTTAAATAGCCATTTATAATTCTTTATACGTTTAAGTCTCTAAATCTATTTCCAGGGCTTATGTTTTGTTCATAGTCAGTCATATCAAGGGCACGAAATCTTTCATTTCGCAGAAGGTAAGATTAACAAGGAACTAACAATATTTTTCCTATCTCCAGATTAACAAGATTCAATGGAAAACTCCCCATACTAGTGCACAGTCAAGAATTCTGCAAGTTAAGGCTGAAGGAATGGTCATGAGCATAAGTGTTCCAATGAGGGCAGTCCTCCCATGTTTTAGCAACAACTGAGTATTAAAAGGTTTGCATGAGTTATGAAAGTAATGATGTGTAATGAGAGGAAGGGAATGAAAACTTGACACAGACGCACTTTGCCTGAAACTGGAGGCAGACCTCTGAGTGATGTCTTGGTAGCACAAAGTAAAATTTAAAAGCTGCCTGGATGACATAAGAATGAAAATGTGATTTTTTTAGTCAGTAAACTATGGCACTCAAGGCTTGCACAAATGGCATTAGATGATAATAAACATAGTTTACTCACCAGGGGTTAGTAGGGTCTATTTGCATCTTTTGGTCTTTTAAGCTGAACTTTGAGTCTCTTTGTCCCTATCTGAAAACCATTCATGGATGTAATGGCATTCTGAGCAGAGACTGGGTTATCATAACTGACAAAGCCTGCAATAAAGAAAGAGCAAATATCTGCTTACAACAAGGCACAACTATTGAGAAATGTTGTCTCATTAGTGCCAGTTTGCATGGCTAGTGTAATGATGGCCTAGTGGGCCAAGTGAATGGGTAGAATTGGAGAGATCTAACTACTGAGAGTAATTATCACGTGCAAAGCTTCATTTCCTAGTTTTGTTCAACTTGGAAGCATATTTTGACCTCAGGTAGAAGGAGAAGGAAAACCAGTAGAACAAAAAGAACCATTAACACACATCTATCTCAAAATACCCTCTTAAAAGAAACACATGTTAGTTAAAGTACTCTGTGCCAAGAAACACAAAATGTAACTTGTAAGATTGTTCACAATTCAAAGATGCCAATCCCTTTCTCATAGTGTTTACATAAACTTGTGCTCAGAGCTGAAATTATTTGTTTGTGATATTTTACTATTCAAACGAGTTGACAGAATAACTAAAATCTTTAAACTACTATTTTTATTACTGATGCCATGTCACACAACATGCCATTAGAAAGCAAAATTTCAACCTTTCTAAACTAGATATTACTTACCTGTAGAACTTGAGGATTTGTAATGGTGACTTAAGTAAGAAGAAGAACTTTTGAAAGAGGCAAAAATTTTTAAACTCCCCCTTAGAAGCACTTTGAGACAGTTATCTCTTGCTATGCCAAATTGGTTGATCAAATGTTCAACAAAATGCAATGCACCACATGCAAAACTTTATTCCTAATTGCAAGTACAAAAACTTACCAAAGCATTTGCTTAGGTTTGTGCTTTTATCTATAAACACTTTAGCACTTAATACATTGCCAAATGGCATAAATGTCTGCATGAGGTCAGCATCAGTAAACTCTTGAGGCAAGTGATAAATAAATAAATTTGCTCCCTCAGGACCTAAGTAACAGCAAACAATGAACAGTTAGCAGAGAAGTAATTGGCATGTGAAATGTAACAGGCAACCAATAGTCCCATTGACTATACTTTAGTGTAAATACACAGTAACTCATAGGAAATTGTGCATACCTTCCTTTTGGGGTTGTCTTTGGAGTTGTTGCTGTTGGAATATAGTTTGACCATAAACACCAGGAAATTGTGCTGCAGGAAAAAAAGATTACACATAACTAAGCACAATCTTCAGTTTTTGTATGTGACCAACTACATCAATTGAGATTTTAAGCTAGTGGTAAAACTACTGAGTGTTGGGCACAGTCTGGTCCAAAAAACTTCAAACTTACAATTATCACTTAAATCTCTTATCTTTAAACTTGTCACCTCTTGCTGTAAAGGAAGGTTGTTTCATTACTGCACATTTGAAAGGAGTAATCTCATGTCACATGACTGTGAACTCTGAAACAATTTCTTTAGCGACCATGTGCAGAAGTTGTTTACTAGTTTTAGAGTAAGATTCGCCATATATATTTGCTATATTGGAGGTCAAGTTCAGTCAAACCATGAAACTCAAAACCATGCTGGTAGAAGAGCAAGGTTTACATTGTGGGGTTCCGCTAAAAGTGAGCAAATGCTCTATGCTTACTTACCATTATACTGTTGTATTCCAGAGTATGCCTGAGTGAGTGCATCTCCAGTCTGAATGTTACCACCAACACTTGAGACACCAGTCATGTTACCAAGGCCAGGAATCCCAGCCATACTGAGAGCACCAGCAGCTCCCATAGTACCAAGATTTCCTACACCCATTCCAGGCATGTTCATACCTAAAATGAATGATGAAATGAAATTTTTTGCATTGACTTGTGTTTATTTGTCTCAAAATGTAGTCACTTTACATGTTGATTACAACATTTCAACTCCAAACTATTAGTCTTCTTCACACCATAATGTCAACTGGAATCTGTCACCTTTTGAACCAACTAAGAGACTCCCCTATGACTACAACAAGTGCATTTTCAAGGACTTAGAGTATTAATGCAGTATTCACTACAGGTATAAACAACTGCACATCTAAATGCTGTTAACAATAATCTGAAGTCCTACAGGTCTCAAGCCTTAGATTATTCTGCCCCCTAACTCTGGAATACTTTGCTTGAAGACATCCGCTCATGTGACAATTTAGACACTCTTAAATCTAAGCTGAAGACCTATTATATGAAAAAGGTTTTTTTCATAGCAACTTCAATTTTTTTAAAATATTGATTTAGTTTCTTTTTGTTCCTTAATTTTGTAAATCACCTAGCATGAATTGGATAGGTGTTATACAAGCATTTGTTATTATTATTATTATTATTATTATTATTATTATTATTATTATCAGTAGTATAATTGTTATTATTATTAATATAATTATTATTAAAGTATTGTCAATGTTATCATTTTTATCTATATTTACCAATGCCAGTGACTCCTGGAACACCTTGTACTCCTATCATTGAAGAGGTATTTGTAGCACCACCTGTAGACACAGCATTACTGTTCACTAAACCTCCTGTGCCTCCTATTATGTTATTTTGTGATGTTGCTGTCTGTTGAACTGCTTGATGCTGTTGTTGTTGTGCAGCAATGACTGAGGCAGCTACAAGGGCACCCATGGTCCCAGGAGCCACACCTACAACAGTCAAGAACCAAGGTCATTACCAAAAAGGAAAATGTCTTTTAATCTAAGCAAAGTCGAACAAAAGAACTGCAAATTGATAACAACAGTTTAACATGAATAATATAGCAATGTTACCAAGACATTATTGAAAGAAATATTCATAATTCTAACAATTACCCGGTCCAGTGACACCAGGAATGACATTGAAGCCAGTTGGTAGTGTCCCTGATGGTAAGGTGGCAGCCTGCTGTTGAAGAAACTGATAATAATTAAACATCACTACTTCACCATGTTGGAAAAAAAGTCAATTCCCAGTCCATAATTTCAAATAAAATACCCATGGCATTTTCAATCAATAATTATCACCTGTACTTCCCCTCACACACTAAATCCAGTTGTGTATATTTTCTGACAAAGTGCAGTCCCTTGTGGGTTTAACATTTACGACTGAGCAAAAAGTAGAATGTAATGAGGTTAACATTTAGAAAGATGTTCCTTCATTAAGTTTTCAGTACAAACAAAATGTCTCTTTAAAGTTGAATTCAACTTAGGTAATGTTTACATATTTTAAAAAACCCTTCATAAAAAATTAAAACTACCACATTGGTGAAAAATTACCTTGACAACAATATATCTTCACATGTGAAGATATAAACAGAAGCCTCAATGTGTATCGCAGCTGACCAAAACTGTTAATACAGTTGACTTCTATCTATATCAATTGGTGTTCTTCCTCACCTGCTGACATGCTGCATTATAATTTGCATGCTGGAAATAAGGAAGTCCCATTCCAATTCCCATCCCAAGGTTCATGCCCATACCATGAAGTGCAACCATCTGCTGCATTTTCTTCTGAAGTTTTTCTTTTTCTGTGTCAGCAAACTTAACAACTATTGGTGATGGACAACCCTAAAAACAAAAGGAAACTACTTTAATTAATTAAGGGGGATCAATGTCTGAAATAAGGACATCTGAAGAAATGGCACTCAACACCCTTCGCATATTCTCCTTACTGTTCTCTATACATTTCCTAAGATACTGACAAGGAGAATTTGAATCATTGATCATTTCCATTATTCTCATGACTACAATATGCAATTCAGGGGGTGTTACTCTTAGGAGAATTTACAGGTTAGTCAGTGTTAGGGGTCAAAGGATTAAGATGACACTGTTGAGTGGTTTGGTGCAATGGAGACTGCACAGAGAAATCTTTCACACTGAATACACATTGATTTATTCTCAGTACTGCTATAGGATACAAATGACAAACCTCCATAGTAGTACTGTTGTGCATCTCTGCAATAGCATTTTGAGCTTGCATTCTGGTTGGAAACTTTAAGAAAGCACAACCTAGAGAAACAATTCCAGTTTCAGCTCACAAATAACTAAATTTAGAGATCAAGATTCTGAAAAGGTTTTTTTAACTACTCCTCCTAAGAAAAGCATAGAACACAGATAGCACACCTTTACTCTTTCCATCACTATCTCTTAAAATTGTCAGTTCCTCTATTGTACCAAAAGGAGAAAACATCATTCGAAGGTCATCCTCTGTGGCTTTTTTAGATATCATACCAATAAAAAGTTTACGATCCTCTACAAGAAAAGAGAAATGTTAGAAAGTCTTATTAGCAGCAAAGGATTAATAGTTTCAACACATGTTCTGCAGAGTAGTTCATCAATTGATTTAAACTAATCAAAGTAAACTAGGTATCAAAGAATCCCTGTGAAAGAGTTCCCAAAAAAGTCTGGAAACTAATGTGACATTATATGAAAAAAAATAGCACCATAACTAAAAAGAAGTAAGGACAAATCAAAGAGCCTTAACCCTATAGCTTCCAATGTCTCATTAGTTCTTCTCCTTACCGTCCCCTTACAATTCTTATCATGTTAGTTTAGAGAATTTGGTATTGGATCAACTAATAATCCACTAATAGATATTTTCCTTCATTCTCATTACTTGTCTGCTTGGAATTGTATTGACATTGTAAGGATAAATTCTGTCTTTGTCACTCATGGGAGTTCAAGGGTTCAATTTTAATAGAAACTATGACTTTGTTTGTCATGTTTAAATTATTAACAATATATGATGGCATAACTCTACAAATGTGATCAAAATGCATTTTAATGTTCTAAGCTACCTGATCACAGGTTTAGATCCATTAAAACTAGAAGATTACATTCACTCCCGGAAATGGAAAATGTTTCCACAATATATCATTCTTAACTCTTTACAGCCTAACATCTAAAATATATTAAAGTTCACATGGCAACCAGGTGGACAATCAGACATGGTTTGATGCTACTCTGGTTTACAGATCTAATGACTGGAACTGAAGAAGTTACAATTCATAGACCCAACATTTTGACACTCCTGCTGAGTGCCTTCATCAGGGGTGATCTAAATGCTGCAACAAGAGGTCCTTTTATACAATCACTAATTAGCTGATGAGGTGTTAATAGGCATCAGGAAGTAAGCCACCTAACATCTGTGTGCATAATCTTCATATTTTTTATATTCATTTCCTAAGGTGCTGATACTGAGATTTTTCTTAAAACTCAAGAGCTTCTTCAGTTAGTGATCGATTCCTTAATTTTCTTGACAAGGATTTTATTCAGGGGTGATAAAATAATTGTAAGGAGAAATTTGATGCCAGTCACTGTCAGGGGTCAAAAGGTTAAGAACTTTCACTTCAGTGCTCATGAGTAAAAGCAATTCACATGTGTACAGTATATTAAGTTTAGATAGGAAAAGACATATTTTCAGGTATTTTCTGTACAAGATGAAGCCAGTCCTGGCTCATCTCTCACAGAAACTTTACCCAACTTACCAGATCTAGATTCACTTTCTGCTGGTTTAACTTGCATTGCATTTTGCATCTGTTGGAAAAAGAAACCTTTTGTATTAATGTGGCAAAATTATCCAATCTACACCAAAAGTTTATTTGCAAGAACAGACATAATAATTATAAGGAACTCTGAGGTTTTCTCTAAGAATCCTAACTTAGTAAGGTTTCAAGGGTAACACCATACAAGTAACATTTATTTAATTTAACCCTTCAACTCTCACAATCTCAACTTCTAGTCCCCTAATAATTGATATTTTTCCTTACTCTCATAACTTGTCTGCTTGATATTGTATAGATATCACAATTCTGTTTTGGTCACTCACAGGAGTTAGAGGATTAGAAAAATAAAATTCTTAACAATCTCTGTCACATTGTCATAGTGGACAACAGTTTGGTTGTTAAAAGTTCTGGAAACTTCCCTGAAGCAAGTGGACACAGGCTAAATGACTTTTCACTTGATTTTGTGACAAATCATGATTCCTCTGTGGTTAACATCATAAAGACTACAAAATTAATTTTTTGCTCAAACCCCTTAACCATATTAAGTTTAAATGCATTTCTATCATTCAAGAATCTTAACTGGTACAGACACCTCACAAAAATTAACATAATTTATCAAAAGAATAGACAAAACATCTTTTCTTCCTGTTGCACAAACGGAACCTCCTGAGTAAAAAACACAACTTAAGAAAGAACCAGAAAGAACACTGATTGCCAACAACAAACTTAAAAACCTTAAGACTGGATTTTTCAGGGAGAACAAACCACTACATCACTCCTTCTAACAAGCTGTTGAAAATTTTATGTAAATTATCCACTTATATCAACAATTTTTAAGTTCAACATTAAGTACTACCCGAATTTGTCACTTTCAATAAAACAATCATCAAAAACGTTCTTAAAGAGGAAAACCTGCAGCTATTGAATGTTTAATTCTAACGTAAGGTTTACTAACAGTTAAAAGTTGTTTACAGCACTCATGACATTTAATTGAGCTCAGCCCCAATTTGTAGCAGGCCTCAAACCGAAACAAAAATTTATCAGACCATGTCAAGTGCCCTTGCACACGTTCAGAACTTTTCAATCAGGAATTCACTTTTTTTTATCAACGTAACACCTGAGAAAGCGCCAAGAATTAAGCCAACGATATTTCACAGGTTACAAAACAGTCTAACCTCCTTGTACCATGGATTAATATTACTTAAAGATAAGAAAGTGCATCAAGTTGTAGTATTTCTTCCATTTGAAAATGCCCTTCAGTTACAAGCAGATTGAACCACGTTAATAACTTAGCTCATATTTAACTTCTGCATGCAAATAATACACTCAATCATAAAATTACCGAAGAAACGTGGTTTCTACAGTACACCAACGGCAAACAGAGAAGGCGGAAATGTTACAGACTATTAAATATCAAATAAAGTTGCAACAGATGCATTGAAGGTCGGCAAGTGTCTATTTTTCAAGCAATAGATCTGCAGCTTATCGCTACAAAAATTTATATTCATGAAGAATAGCTATAGATACTAATGCAGGCCCCATGGGTATTTGCCGACAAAAACCTTACCAACAACTACATTCTGTACTTACGAAGCTTACCCCGGGTAAAGTTTTCTTCTCGTGTAAGTCCTTTTGAGCGCTCAAAGCAGCTTCGCGGGAGCAAAATGTTAGAAATGCACAACCTACAACACAAAAGACATGAGAAATTGCTCAAAAATTTTCAAGAGGAATATACAAAATCCAGATTACCTTTATGACTTTTAGTTATTCGGTCTCGTAACACCGTGAGCTCGTGTATTTGTCCATAGCTTTCGAAATAGGGCCTGAGATCTTTGGCATCCCACGTTCTCGGGACCTGCCCTATGAACAGTTTGATCGCATCTGCGTCTCGCATAGGAACTGTTCCACCGTTGGCTATCTGTGTCACGTCCATGGTAACGGTAGTTGTAGAAGAAATAAAGAAATCAAAAGTATACAAGAGAAAATACGGAACTGAAGAAAAATATGATGACAGACACTACATGTGGGTATCCCAGTGTTCTTTGGGGAGTGAGGCTAGTACCCAAGTTCCCCACAGGAGCGTAGCCTTTCACCTATGGTTAATGCTCAGTAGAAATTTAGTAGCAGCACTTGCTGTACGCTTAAGTACATCTAATCAACTAGTTAACGACAAGGAGCAATTGTACCATAATTGATGGCCCTGTCTTTACGGTACTGTTCGACTGGTTCTTCACCCGCAGCTGGACAATTTGTCGGCTCAAACTGAAAGGGCTGCATGCCATTAATACTTGCAAAATGAAGACCAATAAATGTGAGGTTTGCACTTAATAAGCGTTGATATGCGGCCTTTTCAAGTGAGAAGTATGTCATTTTTTCACCACAGACGTCACATTCTACTGCTATTGATCATTTTGAGCCCAAGGTTGAACAACAAGAAGTGAATGGAAATAACTGCAAAACTATTTTATGTATCTGAAGTTAAGCAGAAGTAAATTTTTGGCTTCAGTTTCCCTTAAACGTTTTTTACTTCTTCATACTTTCAGCTCAAGCACATTTTTGGCCAGTCCGTTCCCAAAGGGTTTCGTCCGCTAATAATATAAGGTTTTAGAGCCATGATAGCAAAGGAATGGAAGATCAAATCTCCTTTTGATTTGTTACTTTCGCGGTAGCCAAAGCTGCGTAATGCAACTAATAGAGTGACATGAACTGGCCATTATCTATCGCCAGGAGGAAAGAGGGGAGGGGGGAGTCGGGAGGTTTTGGCTGTGGCACAAAAACGTTTTCCTGTTACTCATATAAGGCTCTGTAGTATTTTCATGATCTCCCCTTTACCGGAAGTAAACTGGCCGTAAATACTCAATGGTCCTCTTTTTCTCTTTTTATACTATGTTAGCGACAACTAATCCCTCCCTCCTCTCGCTGGAAAACCGAATGATTTCTGAGCCGCCCGCCCTCACCCTCCCTTCCCCCCCCCTCCCTCACTCGCCGCATAAGAACGAGAAAAAAAATACGAAGTCCTTCTCACAGCTAAATCAGTCAATATAATTTCCCCTCCTCTCGAGCTCCTCTCCGCTCTTATTTTTCTTGACTTGCTCAAGACTATAGTACTCGAGGTCTAGAATCGAGATATCTTGTTCGATTTTGAGAATTTAGACTGAGAGCTATTTATTCGTCTCATATCGCCCCGTGGCCATTTAATATATATGTTAATTCTCGTCAAAGTCTTGCCTATTCTTGCATTAATTGGGATGCAGTTAAACATATGTCCACGATTCGCCGTCTTTTTAATGTTTGCCGCAATTTTAAACACCCTCTGAACTAACACCTTTAACAGCTTAATTACCAGCTGTATACGTGACCAAAGCGTTTGGACTTTAAGTTATAAAAAGATAGCATCATGTTTGCATTTCTCCTTTTTCGTTATGTGATATGAAAGGTTAAGAAAAAAAGAAAGCAAAAAAGTACCAAAGTAACTTAACCCTAAGACTCATAGCTCATATACGTCTAAGTTTTATTTGCATGCCTGGTGATATCATAGTCTGGTTTTTTTTTTTCAGTTGAAACAGCATTAAAATTGAGTATTCTAATTCTCAAACACTTGCTAATGAACCAAAGGGATCAGTAATTTTCAAGACCATAAAGTTGCCTAGTTACAATGGATTGTGTTGACTTAACTTCGTTTCCCCATTCTTACGGATAATTTAAACTCTTATTGTAAAAGTCACTTTTCTCTGAAGAATAGATTCCAAAGATCTTTATTGCGACGAATTGCCACATTAGATATCAATTTGTCACATAAAAAAATTTCAGTTTAAAGTTTCAAATTTCCGATAATATTACATTTAACACCTGTCAGTAATTGAAATGAATCATTTTCAGAAACAAAAGCGTGCGTGCATGAAGTAAGCGAAGATGTGCTGAGTTGAAGTTACAACATTTAACCAAAATTTCACGCACTTAAGACAACTTTTTTTGGGTATGACTTGCTGAAATCCATAACTCCAATTTTATCCTCGTAAACCAGGCGATTGAAAACTTGTTTAGTTTTCTGTGGCTTGGGTTTTCTCCGCTTGTAAGGAGGTATTATATTGAAGTACGAGAAACTGTACGAGCGTGATATCATGTGTTCGTGAATCGTATTTCTCAGTTCACGAGTCATGTCATACTTATGAGCGAGCTTATTCGCTACGATTTCCTTCTCCCTGGGGCTTAGTTCAAGTGCAGATTCGCTTAAAACAGAGGTGGGACGAGAATAATCTCTCTCTCCTTCTGTTCCAAAGTCAGACAATGATGCCTCACTTTTCCCCTCTGTTTGCCTCATCCAATCGTCTGAAGTGGCAGATATATGGGGTAGTCGAATTCTTGGCTCTGATGCGGGACGCAAATTTTCTTCATCTTGCTCCACAGCTTCTCGTGCTATTTCAGCGCGGAGTTCATCTTCGCCTAGTTTCATTCTTTCCAGTCGTGTAGTCATTTTAATCAGTCGACTGTGTTGTTTATCCGCTCTAATGGATCTTTTCTTTAGCTTAGTTTGCAATCTTTCCTGGATTTTCGCTTTCTTCTCCTTTTCTTTTGTTGTTATTTGTCCCTCCAATTTTTTCAGCTTGGAAAGAGTGTCGCTCGTTGTACGTGCTAGTCTTTGGCGATTCTCATACGGAGTATAATCCGGGCTTGCTTTTCGTTCGTTGTCTTTCAATATTCCGTGCCTTGTTTCCTTCAGGTCTCTTTGGAGCTTTTTCTTCTCCGCTTTTAGCCCTTGCAGCTTAGTCTTTTTCTTTTTCTTCTTTTTCTTGTTACCATTTGGTGTTTCTAACTTTTGTGTATGTAAAGTTTCGTCTAATGAAGAAAACCTTCCCTCTGCTGCTTCAGTAAAGCGAACTTGTTTTTTTGACGCTGACATTCCTGCTTTAACGGCTCAGTGGTAAACAGTCGCGTCGACACGTTTCCGCACTGTATCTTTACACCGCAAAAGTGATATATGTCCGAGAGTAACTTCTTGTGATAAACCAGTCGTAGCCATGGTGAAAACTTGAAGCTCATAAATTTATGATAACTATCAAAGCCCCAGAATAACAGAACCGAAAACGCACCGCAGGAAATTTTCAGCTCTTTGTTTCGAACCAAAAACCCACGAGTACTTAATGACTGTCTCCGACATTATAACGCCTTTCATTAAATCGAGAAAAGAAAAACACCCAAGAATTCTTCAAGCTTCAATGCAGTCTTTTCAAAACGAAAATAAAAAAACAAAGGACTTTCTCGGTTGTCGCTCCCAGCCTTGAATGATATTAAACCAATGACATCACAGCATTTAACGAGTTAACAGCAAACATTTGCTAACGGTTTTGACCATTGTGTCATGTTTGACGAGCAGGTGGCGAAAATTAACAACTGTATTCTAAAATAAATTGTGTCATTTCCAAAACGTCACAATTTAAAATAAATAGTCGCACTTCCCTACATTAAAGGTTAAATACACATCCTCAAAAGTTGAGTGAAATACGAGATAGGAAATGAAGCACAGTTCCCTCGTTCCTAGAGAAGAGAGAAATATTTTTATAGTTATCTAATCGCATCTTTCAACCAAATTCTAACAAAGAAACAATTGTCACACAAGCTATGACTAAGAGCAAAGCTATGCATAGTCACGTATACAAAATTTTTGACCAACTTCTCATGATATTCCGTGCTTCTCAGCGCTTAGCGAGGTTTTTTTTTTTTTAAACAAAATTAAAACAACAAGCACTAAGACTGGTCGCTTCCCAGGATCTCTAGGAGCTAACCTAAGAGTGGCGGGAGAGGAGGAGTAGGACTTAGTTCCAAACAGATGTTATAGGACTTACCACCCTTCACGGGAAGTGATGACGTTTTTGATGCTGCCAAAAAGGAACGGTAAGGGGGGGAGAGATTTCTCCGAGTTTAGGGAACACGAGAGGCTAATTGGCATACTCTACTCTCAGTTTACGGAAAACGAGAGACCAAGTTTTTCCCAAAGTTACGCTGTAACGCTCAAGGGAGAGAGGCATTCTTATTAGTGAACTAGATTTATTATGGAATTTAATTCCAAACTACTTGCGAGGGACTCACTGCCCTCGGGGAAAAATTTTTGGTACAATAACTGACGAATGGGAAGACAGTTTTTTCCAAAGTTTAGGGAAAAACAGAGGCTGCCTCACCTTTTTTAATATTTAATAAAAAAATATTTTTAATATTTAATAAAAAAAATAACTATGTTAGTGTGTAGAGTGTTATGTTGCTCGCACCGATCAGATCGCCGCATTAGGGTATGTATCTCGTAGATTGATGGTCAATTTTTCCGGCAAGAATGTCGCTGATAAAGGATAAAAAAAGGTTCAAGAACTGTAATTGCCTTCATTTTGGTTTTAAAGAACAATGAAGCGGAAAGTTACATTTTTCACGTGTTTGTTTATTTGTTTGTTTGTTTGTTTGTTTTGGTCCTTTTTTGTCTTTGTTCTTGTTTTGCGTTACTTAGATTTTTTTTTATAGAAGAGAGCTTCACGGCTACACTCTTGCGTCAACTACCTATACAAGTTTAGATTGAATAATGAAAATGCGAATTACACGCGAATTTCACGCGAAGGTCACTTATGTCTATTTTCATTACATTGGTGGCCGAAACCGCGCCAATCTCTCTTGTTTGCTCGTCCCGGACAGCGGGATCGTCAACGGGACGTTTGGCAGTTTCCGCTGGCGTACTGTACAGTCAGTTCAAAAGCGTCGAGATTTGGTAGTGTGGGAAAAATGGCTTCAGGTGGAGGAGACTCTAGTGAAAATAATCAGGATATTCCGCCTAACGAGGACGAAAGAACTGTATTCCAAGATACTGAAGGGATTTTCAGACATTTTATGTTCCAACGCTATCAGGATGAGACACAAAGAGGAGAAGAACATGGTGAAATGGACAGTCCTTCGGCCAGCGCACGTCCAGACGCGCTGGAAGAATTGCGTTCTTGCAATGACATCCATCCATTTTCACAGCATGTACCAGTTATCGGTAGACGCCTCGGAGAGATAGGCGATGAAATAGATGCTAAATACAAAGATCAATTCAAGGATATGATAGACTCATTAAGCCTAACGCCAGCAACGGCCTACGAGACATTTGCCGCAGTCGCTCGGAGGTTGTTTCGTACAGGTATAAACTGGGGAAGAGTAGTTGCTCTTCTTTGCTTTGGCTACGAAATTGCCGTGACTGTCATACGCAGAGGTTTTAGTGGTAGTTTTCTACGTAGAATCATACGATTTGTGGTGGATTTTATCTTCAAAGAGCGGATCGCTCGCTGGATCGCTCAGCATGGAGGATGGGTAAGATTGATTGTTAGATTCACTGTAAAATGTCGGTTACTCGATATTGAGGGATGTATGGAGCTAACTTATGACTTTTGGTAAAAAGTCTAGAATAATCTCACCCTTCTCTCTGCTCGATATCCCCTTCATTGTTTATTTCTCAATGGATTGAGTTCGTTTAGAAATATCCGTAATTCCTTGTTATTTCTTAATCTGCTTGTTTAAATAAGACTCTTGTCGATCGATTGTTAGGGTGTAAATGCACGCTAACATGCGTGTAGTCGTTTGATAATAATGTGTTGTGTACTTCATTGATCAGTGTGTAAACTTGTTTCATTGTGTGTGCAGATGAATCAGATTTTTCGATTATTTTTTTCGATTTTCTTTTTGATGCGTCTTTTAGTGACCGGCATTGACTTTAAGCGAAATTTTGACAGCTCAGAAAGTGCTCATTAATGCGCCGATTTGAAACTTAGTACATCCATTTCAAGGAAATTATATCAGGTATCAGGTTAAAAGAAAGTTACTAATGTTTGTGTAGGGTGACTTTTGATGGAAAGGGGTTAAAATGAAAGCTTCTTGAAAATATTGTTTCTATAGAAATATTGCATCAGCAATGTGTGTTGCATCAATGGAATGACTTGGAAATAATAACTAGGGAAAAATGCGGAAAGTTTTTGAGGAAGGTGTTAATTTCTGACTAGAAATGGGAGACAAAAAAATCTGAGTCCTGTAGAAGTCACCTACTATAAATAATGTTTGCTTACAAACAAGTTTTCTGTAGTGCAGCAACAGAGCATCAGACTGGGAAATAAGAAGGTCTCAGTAAAGAGAGATGTTTTGTCTTGTTGTGAGTGTTGACAAAGAAAAAAATTCTCCATGAGAAAATTGAACCTCAAATCTTTGGATTCTTTGCACCAGTGCTCTATTACTGAGCTGTGGATACGTTAAGGTCAGCAAGGCCATTACCAGGGTTTCTAATTATGAAGGTTTCAGGATTGGATCCTCCTGGAATTCAAATTGTTCATGGTCCTATGGTCATGACATGGGAATAACATTTTCCTATTACAGCAACCATATGTAAATTGCACTAGATTTTGTTATTGATTGTACAGAGAAAGTGTTTGTTTTAGGTCAGAATGAACTTTGTGTAATCTTGAATTTTCCTTTTTGCAGAGAGCTGTGATGGATTTTCGCCTGTCAGAACCCAGCTGGTACACAGTTGGTATTGTGCTTTTGTTAGGAACCATGGCTGTTTTCTTGGCCACTCGGAAAACATGATGTAATTTCTAAATAACAATGATATTATTTTTATTTCTAAAATTATGCCAAATAATTTGTGTCTCTTAATTTTCACTTAAAATGATTTAACATCTGGAATAGTCTGGTTATAAGGGAGTCAAGATTTTCAAACAGTTTTCTATTTATGTGATTTTCATACAAAGAAAGGTGGACTTAGAAGTTTCACAAACCTTTGTGGATGATTCAGCTGTGAAGATGGAAGCAATAAGAAGCATCCTTCACAACTGTACATGTCCTTAGCCACATTTACTTGTATTTTAGCATCCTTAGGGACATCAAAGTGCAATTTCAAAAGGAGAGGATGAAAATGTAATTGCCTGCTAAACTTCCTGCTACTAAGAATATTGTTTCTTTATTGAATGACTTTTTTTCAGTCAGTCTGAAATCTCAGAAAGTTGTCAACAGAGCAGTGACAAAGCAATCCAATCTTGTCATTGTAGCTGAGACATGTGTTTCAGTTCCTTTTTACTCATTGCTTTACTTGCTCCAGAACCTGGAGATCAATACTGATGACATGGGTGGTGATTGGTTTTGGGGGCTTAATAGACTGTTGAAATGTCATCCGTTAGCTCATAAGATGTGGGATGATGAGAAATCTTTGACTGAAGTTTTTGTAAGTTGCTTCAAGTTGTAATGTTATTTGGTTCATGAAATACGACGTTTTGGAAAGATGTTCTGTGAAACTGTTATCAATGTTCTTCAATGTCCTTTGTATCGATAATAATACTAACTGTGGAGATAATAATTGTGAGAAAAAACTTTGATCACAGGGGTAGAAAATTTTGATATTTGTGGATTCTATTGTATCCCACACCCTCCTTGTGTAATAACAAACAATTTTTTGAGACATGTTTATATTGAAGTGATATCCAAAATTAAAGGGGGTGTGGGAGGGGGCTGAGACCTATCTTTTAGCTTTGATTCGATGCATAGTTTGGTAGTTACTGGTAATCCAAGGTAGCTTGATTTTTGTCAAGGTAACTGAGTTCAATAGGCCTCTCAAAAACAGGATTTTATTTGATAACAGCTTCTTGGGATCATCAGCACAATCTTGAATGGCTGAATTGCAAAGGAATACACTCAGAAAACTCAGATCCTTATAGGAATTAATTCTAACTTACCTTCTCCTTTGCTTTTTACCTCCCATGCATTGTAAATAGGCCAAGCCAAATGACAATCTTTGCCCTTACTTTTGTGTAAATAGTATTTGCATTCTCAATTAGTAGCTCAAAGCTGAACCTTTAGAAGCATCACTTGGTTTCTACAGGCTCTTGTTGTAGAAACCTGGGTTGCTTAGCTCATTTCCATAAAAGAAAAGTTATACATGTTGCTTTAAGACAATAGTTGCCTTTGACAGCTGAGTCCTGCTAGACCACAAACTTGTGACTGTTTGCATCCATAATTGAGAGCAGTAAATTAATCTTAGTTGGTTTCCATTTCAAGAGTGGGCTACATGAAGGCTATAATGTTCTTGGTAATGTTCCCAAAATGATCTTGAAAGTTCAAACTAACAGTTGAAATAATCAAAGTGTTTCTTTGATCACTTAAGGCTGAACTGAAAATTAGTGTTTATTGTCTGATTTCTGATTGAATGTCCAAAACAATCTTAACCATGTGCTCACTTAACAGAATTTTCACCAAATTTTAGTACAATAGAGAGCAAGGAAAAAAAATCCTTATTTTGGTAACAACAACATCATTCCAAAATAAAGAACAAAAAGCTTAATAACATAAGAAATTGTTTCTGGCCCAGTTTTTTGGGCTGAAACTACCCAAAATTGTGTAAGTGACCTAGTCCTGTTCAGGCTTTCAGTATTTTCCCTGAGTTTTTACTCTTCACCATTTCTTGAAAGAAACCTGCCGGACAGTCGGACAGTGCTAAATTCAAATGATATCTAAGATGTTGATGATTTCTGAAATCACTGCCAGGGCTTTTGTTGAAAGAACAGACTGTTGACAACCTTAGTGCTTTTGCATGATCATATGATTGAATGAAATATGAATTATTTATTGAAACTCTTGATCAAAATGTAAATGTTACTGTCTTGAGTTAATTATATTTGCACACTAGTGTGAGTATCAGTTGAAAATAAATTTAAATTTAGGGCCTCATTCATATCTGTTTTGCACTTTTCTGAAATTTCTGAACACACAAATTGAGCAGATTTTGTGGTAATCTGGTGTGGAGACTTCCATTGAAAACAAAGCAAAAATCGAAAGCAAAATCAGCATCAGTTGTAAAGCTTATTATTCTTAAATTATGATTTTCAACCCAAAACAAATTGAAGTTTTAGATTATCAATTTTAATTTTCAGTGTGCAATTCAGGGGTGCAATTTGTTCTATGAATTGTTTTGTATCTTGCAACTATGTAAGGTTCAGATTCACGTCTTTTTTTCATGCAATTTATTTTTATTTTTTCACTCCTTTCTTGCTTATACTAATAAAAAAAAAGTAAGATTAGTTTGAGGAGCTCAAAGCTGGAAAAGTTATTGCTGTAATTACTAAATAAAGCCTTGCTTTGTACTTGTCTTCAGTATGATTTCTTTGTATTTGTGTGTTAACTTCTACAGCTGTATTAAGTTGGGTGTTAATATTCACAGTTCATGTACAACTGAGATGGGCATTATTGGGAGAAGTGACATGTTAAACACTTCTGGGAGTTTAAGAGCTAACTGACAATGAATCGAATTAAAAGTGTGAAGCTCCATTTCGATTGTTTGGTTTTCAACAACTCATGCAGCATGCAATGAAAACATTGTTGTCTGCATCAGAAGGGACTTTCTTGGGAGATAAAAGACCTTTAAAACACTCCATTTAAATTATTTTCAATCTTTTACCTCAATGAGTTACAAGAACCTTTGGATTATGTAAAATTTAGTCTATTGTCAATTCCTTAACATTACTGCAAATTTAAAAATTTCCTTAAAATGTTCAATCTCACACCAACTGAATTATTCAAAATGTTTTCATTGGGATATTCACTTACAACAATCATAGATGGTTGATCATCTTTAAACTAAGAATACCACAAAATATTAAATAGTGCTAGAGTAACTGTTCTTGTTGCTGATATGCAATAAATAAATATGAGTTATCTTGGGTAACTGTCCCTAACCAAAGGATAATTTCATTACTTATAATAAAAAAAATTTAAATCAATAGACACTAGAGAAAGAATGCTTTTAATGTAATGATTATTTAATGTAAAATACCAGTAAGGATAAGAGCCCAATGACTGCCACAGCCAATCCTGGTTCCTTAGACTTAACACAACTGAGAATATTGTCACTTATTTTTGGTGGATTTCCCTTTCCTCCTAAACCAGATATTTTGCCTATTTTCCTTTAAGTTTGTATTTTTCAGATACCCATTATCACTCTGGGATGGGGAGAGGTACTGCAAGAGTAAACCATCTTATCCAAGAACACATTAGAAAATATTTAACAAAGGAATGCACGGAGACACTTATTCATGCCTTTATATCTAGCCGCTTGGACTATTGTATTAGCCTCCTATCTGGAGATACTGAGTGCCATCTTCACAAATTACAGAGAGTCCAGAATGCAGCTGCACACCTTATATTCCAGGAGAGCAGATTTTGTCATATCACACCTCTGCTCAGATCATTACACTGGCTGCCTGTAAAATATCACATAGTTTTTAAAATTATCTTAATTGCTCTTAAAGCAATACATGGTCTTGCCCCAGCCTACATAAGTGAGCTGATTTCTGTTATAGACACCGGAAGATATGATTTCCATTCCAATGACAGCTTACTCCTTGCTCCTTGCAGGGGTAAAACACTCACCATGCTCAGTGATTGATCTTTCCATGCCGTTGCCCCTAAATTGTGGAACGATCCTCTGGGCTCTATTAGAAACACCCAATCTTCAAACAAGTTTAAGGAGCCATTAAGACTTTTTTATTTGCCAAAGCTTTTTAATTCTTTATATCTAATTTCATATTTTTACATTTTCTTAGTGATCATTTTTATTTATTTATTTAATTTTTTTACAATTTTTTTTATTTTTATTTTTATTTACTTATTTATTTATTTTTTAATTTTTAGTTTTAAGTATCTATGTAGGGGTTGAATTTTTAACATTTAATTGTAATGTGCAATTGAAAATTCTTATATTGATAATTGCACAATATAAGTCAATAAATTATTATTATTATTACAACCCAACCACAGAGTTTACCACCAGATGATAATGTCTATGGATGAAATAAAATGTCAAAGTCTTCAATTTTGACAGTATCATCCCTTCACCATGTCACACCATAATCACTGTGTGTTCTTATTGGAATTACTCCTCTAAGATATAAGTATAAAGCACAGGTCCACACAGGGGCCTTTCTTTTGCAAATTTCATATGAAAGGAAAAAGTATTCAATACCTAGCTCTTATGGAGTCCTTCACATCTCTAAAAATGGGACCTGAATGAGATATAACACTAGCTAAGCTGAAATGGATGCTATATAGATAAGCACCTATGTCATCTGTGCTTATTTCAAATTTCAGCTAAAAGGAGGTGTACATATTGGAAGGAGGGTGCTTATTTAAGGGGGGGAAGGCTCATGAAACTATTACCATGTATTGATGCTGCTGTAGTTGAAGCTTACAAAGTTATTAGTAAGGTGGCAATAGAAACAGGTTTTCCTTGTATCCCTACTATCTAAGATAGTGAGGGTGGAGGGGTGGCTATCTGAGGGGCAGTTGTTTCATATTATGGCCTAAGGGGTGGGCAGTTTTGTGGAGGGGGCACTTATTAGAACGAGAGCACTTATTTGAGGCAATATGCTATTTGAAATTGCCATTTGGATAATTGTTGAAGTCTTACACTCCATGGTTTAGAGGAAAATTTGCACGTTCCTGTGTCTTCATGTATGACTTTCTGCATAACGATTTTGTGCTTTCACCTTTTGATCCCTAAGATTAAGTGCCTAACTCTGTCACCCCTGAATCACACTTTAAGGTCAGCAGAATTAGGGAAATGATCACCAAATAATAAAGTTCTTGATTGTTTAAAAAATTCTCCTCATCAGCACCTTAGGAAATGTATAGAGAACAGTTGTGGAGAATATGCATATTGATGTTAGGGTGTAGAGGGTTAATTAATGACCCAAACTTTAAATAAGAATAGTGATGATAATATCTCACTAGATTAGGACCCTGTATGCCACTCAGCACTGATTTGATTCTGTTATCTACATCAACCCTCTCCATAGAAAGTATCCTATTACAGGCATTACAACACTTATCAGAAGACTAGATACAAAGTTAACAGCATGATTGTCCAGAATGGCTCGTCCAGATATGTGTTTAACTGTTGGGGATGGTTTGTGAACCACACATTTCTTGACTGAACAATACCCTGAGTACTGAAGAGTGGCTCCTAGTATAGAGTCAAATGCTGATCCCAAAAAGCCTCCTAAACAACCAATCAAAATAATTGGCCATTGAGGCGGAACAGCTATAATTCTACGGATAGTCAATAACGTCAGTAAAGTTATATAGTAGGCAATCCCAATCACTGTGCCTCCAAGGATGCTTGCTATGGTTCCTGTTATTGTGACTCCTCCATTTGTACCAACAGGGACCTTTGAAAATGTTGTTATGAGCAAAGGAACGTGTGAACTCATCACTGTTCCTATTTCAGAGGCCCACGTGTCACCACAGCTACAAGCGAATGATCCAAGCACAGAAACCGAAAGCACTGATGCAGTAAAATCCTTTGCATAATCAATCGCATGTTCGCCAATACCAACATCGATCATGTAAAATAGAGCCAGTAATGTTGGGATGCCACCATTACAAAAGACTTGAATCCAATTTCTTTGGCCTCCTATAAAACAAAATGGATAAAACTGAATTAAATTGACAGAGTAGAAAACAATCTAGTAAGTTACCTCAATCGAAAGAAACATGCTTCCGAAGAAATTTTGACAACAATCACACTGAAGATTTGCTTCTCTCTCGATTGGGTCATAGCGTTCAACCATTTTAAAAGATCAATTAATACTCAGGATTATTCATATCAACAGATAACATCACAATGGCGGGAACTGCACGCAAAACATGCATTGTAGTTTTTTTAATGGTTTAATTACCCACTTCCTCCTTACATGATGCCATGTGGAACAGGTACCAATTTTAAAGTTCTGTGGCATTTTGCTACAAATAACTTCTATCTCTAGTTCTACCTCTTAAAGATGAAGTAGATCATGCAGCACTGTGTTTTTCCAGAATGGCAAAACTTAAATGGGCATTGCATGGATATCTAGATCAATGATTCGCTTACTTATGCTTTATCGTCTTTGTTTACATACATTAAGGTCGGATCGAATTGATCACAATACAGGTCAATCCTGATCTAGCTTTTTAAAACAAAATTAGCATTATAGAGACAAACCTTTTTTGAAATCGTCTTCAATTTTTTCCTTCACGTCCGATTTAAACTTCGTTAATTTAGAGCTCGTTAGGAAAAAGGTTATGCAGGAGGCGAAGAAACACAAGTTGCTCAGAGTCAATATAAACCCAACTATAACAGCAGCGAAGGCACCCGTGAAATCGAGTGATTGTTTCTTCAGACCGTTTCTAACAATAACCAGACACGAAAAAACAGCGAAGGAAGCTCTTGCTAGAAAGTAATGAATAACCATCTTGACCAGCAGGTTCCTCTCAATCAGCTCCAAAGTTGTCCAAAGTACGTTTCATCACCTTCTCTTTCACCATTTGAACTATTTCGAATCACTCGTCTTAGTCTCCCCGCGACTTTTTTCAAAATGGCGGCTTAATGACCGTTGTTGTTAGGGCGTACAAAACCTACACAGAAAGATTACAGTGATAACCAAGAAAAATGCATAAAGGACTAGAGGGAGATACATTCTCAGATGATTCCCTTGGTGAGTCGACTCGGTCTTTGCTAACTCCAGTGTATGGCAATTCAGGTCGATTTGAAGAACCGGAACTATCCGGGGATTCCTTGAGCGATGACGACGAAACAGACCACGAAAAGGACTACAGCTTTGAATTTGGAGGAACAACCAGCACTCCTAAGAGCAAGACCAAAGTATCAAGAAGCTACACTCCCCCGACTAGTTCGTCATTTTCAGGATTGAAAAAATCCGGTAGTAAATGCACAAACTCAGCTCCGAGATCAAATGCCAAATACAGCAAAACAACTATCTCAAAGACAGTTGAGAACCAAGGAAACCGTCTTTCTCCGTGGGAAACCTGGCTAATTAAAAAGGCTGCAGAAGATCGTGAAAAAATGAAGACGAGAAGACTTGAAAAGAAGAAGGCGCGAGAGGAAAAAGATAAAAAGGAGAGAGAAAGGGAAGAACTTTTGAGAGTTGCAAGTGAGAAATATGTCGAATGGCTGGAAATCAAAAATAAGTCTTTTACAGAGGAGAGGAGAATAAAACATAGAGAAGAACGCCTTGAAGAGAAGAAAAAAGAAAACATGAACCGTATTACTCAAGAGAAAGCAGCAATCAAATTCAACAATTGGCTCCAGGAGAAGAAGACAAAAGAATATGATAGAAAAATAAAGGAGGAAGAACATGCGAGAATAAAAAAGGATCAAGAAGTTACTAGGAAAATGAACAATGAAGAAGCTTACAGCAAATGGATTGCAGCAGTTAAAGAAAAACCTAAACCTGTGTACAACAGTTTTGGTTACACAGGAGGAATGTTAACAGGGTATTATGAATGGGGTTCATATCCAGCACCTAGTTACTGCAATCCTATTCCATGGGTGCCTCCTAAAATTAAAAGAGATTGTAACAGAAGGAAGGGCAAAGTAGAAATGCAGCCTGCATCCCCACCTCTTCTCTTTAGAGACATTGAAAACAGACAAGCAAGACAGAAGAAAAAATAATCAGTGCAATTTTTAGTTTGTATTTTATTATTGAACCCCACACACAGTTTCACATTCAGCTATTTTCTAAACACTGTCAATTTTTTTCTGATGAATCAATTTAATATTAAAATAAACACTTTATTTAAATGGGCACACAAACAATACATTCATAAAATAAATGTATGGTCTGAACGTTACATTATGTAAGGCTGTTGTACATTTTTCAAGTTGCATAGTATTTTACTGAGCTCCATAGGGGTAAGGGAGAGTACAAGCATTGACTAAAATGTCTGTGTGTTTGTCATATGCAAAACCATTTGTGTCCATTGTGGTTTCCAGCGTTCTCTGCCGTTTTAAGCTTGCTTTGCCATCACTGGTATTTCTGAATACCAGTGATAGCAAAGCAAGCTTAATAGAGCAAAGAACACCAGAAACCACAACTGACACTCGAGGTGAGGGAAAATTATATCGATTTTACGTGTAAAATGTTCATATTCTGAAATATTTATTGTTGTAAATTGACCATATTTTGTTCCCCATACTATTCCTTATAACATGTTCAAGTTCTCAATGGTTCCTATCATAACTTAAAACCGAGTCACACAATGCATGAGGCTTTCATGAATTAATCGTTTGCTTTTTCTTGAGATGTGAGCTTGGGACACCTGTGATAGTATCAATCAAATATGGCGTGCATGAAAGACAGACTAAGATGGAAACAACACAAGTCCAACCCTTGAAGTGTTTTCTATGACCAACAAAAAAAAAACCTAATGCAGTGTAATACTGTGGCATATTTGCATGTTCCATTGTCCTAGCGTGGTAAAATAGGGTAGTAAAGGAATAATACAATATCTGATGCATTTCCCTCAGCAATTTCCCCCATTTCAAAAGTTGTAATTTCTATTGTAAATTGAGAAGAGTTGTCTACCACATTCATTGATTAAGTGGGAGAGAAAATACCTGGTTCAAGGCCACAACATGCAGACCAAGGACAGCCATCACATATGGCCCTTAATAAAATAATTTTTTATAATATTTTAAAAATACCATGTGCAGTCATATTAAAAACATACTTATCTCCAACAATAGGTAGGTAATAATACTACAAATCAAAATTCCAAGCTGTTTCTTATCCATATCCATAGCATGGTATATTCCACCTTGCATCTAACATAACCTGGCTATGGGCACCAGAATTTGCAGTAGCTGTTGTTTACAAGACTAAATGATCACCATTTATCAAGCACAAACAGTAAGTGTGGCTTAATGATTGGATTATTAAGCTTTTACATGAAATACTACTCAGGTGTATATAATATGGATGTTGCTTGTTTTCAGAAAGTTGTTGAAAATGATTTTCTGCCCAACAGTATTTCCTTTGAGCCAAATGAAGAAGTGAGAGCAAGGCAAATGTTTGGCAAAAGTCATGTCAAGGGCTGAGGAGGGGGAGGGATGGGGAGGGCCCTCCCCTCCATTGAAGGAAGTGAAAATACTGCTGTTCAAGCTAATGATCGACTAGTGTAAATTTAAGAAAGATGTACTTTGTAAAGAAGAGCAAGATAAAAATTCACTATGAATAATGCTTGAACACAAATGATTGCCTCTTAACATCACAGAAACAGTTAAGGCCCTGTTTCCAGACCATGGTAACAGCTCACTCTTTGCCCCTATGCTTCATTGTGGGCTGCTTCTGTTATGTAATGTGCAATCTTCTGCCCACATTCCAAAACCTTCTAATAGCACAACTGCCTACACCTTGTCAATGTAAGAGTCCCAAATAAGCTCCTGTTCAGTCTTCATTCTTGTGAAATTGGGCCAGGAACCTACAAAAAAAGTTTTGATACAAGATGTCAAGGAATAAAGAAAGCAGATGTACTATTTAATCAAACATAATTATAACAAGGTTCATCTTGGTGAACTTATATGACAAGAATTACTTCTGTTCTAATCTTAAAAAAAAAAAGTTGAAATCTGTCCTCCTACCGGCACATCATATAAGTATAATGACATGAGCAATAATGAACCAAAGTGTAAGATAGTTACAGCACTAAATTTGTCTCAGTATGAACCAAAGCAACAAATTAAAGCATATATTTTGGCCTAAAGCTCACAGCTTTTTAACCAAAATTGCATAAATGAGGCATCCTTTTCTGCTCAAAAGTGAAAATAACTTACTAATAACCACCAAACTAACCAGTCGCTTTGTACAGGAAGCAATATTCACTGCTCTGTTTTTTTAAAAACTTTTCATTCAGCAGAACTCATAAGATGGGGAAATGAACTGTAAGAACTTTGTACAAATCTACCTTTCAGGAAAATGAATTCTGGTTCCAACACAGTAGCCTTTACTAATGAATAGCTTTATCTCAGAAGGAGGCTCCAGACGTACCACCACTATAATCAGTGCTAATACCTAACAGTGAACAAAGCTGACACAAAATTGAACACAATTAACACAAAATAAACCTGCAGTTTTCTTAAAAAAGAGTAATGCCTAAAATGTACAGAAACAAGTGAAGTTCCATAAAATTTGAAGTGTCTGGCTTTGATATGATAAAAATACAGTCAGGGAAAAACTATAGGCCATGTTTGTCACATAATAGACTCTTTGCCTCACTTTAATAAATGCAGTAAATCAACTTTTCAAGATAATGTAAGCTATGTTGTGAGTGCATTTCCTTTCCTGTGTACACAAACCATGCAACCATGCACAAGACAAAAATTCCCCTTTCGTTTTACCATATGACTAATATTTTAGAAGAATGATGAAAGAAAAAATGATCTTCATTCATATTAAGAATTTCCAAGCACATAAGCTCATCAGTGTAACTCCACCTTGTGCCTACCTGTTTATACTTGGCCCGAATCTTTTCAAGGTTAACAAATAATTCCTCACTGGTGACATCATTTATTGGGAGAGAAGAGATCATCTCCTTTAATGTCTCTAACAACTTAATATGCCTTAAAAAAAGAAAAAGAAAGAAAAAATGGCTGTTTGGTATCCGTAATAAATGTTAAATGCAAAATGACTTCACACAAGAAAAAATTGCCAAGTACAGTAGAACCCAGTAACTAGAACAAGATCCAATTTCCCTTGACTCCATTTTTTCAGACATGTATTATCAGCTACCTCAACCCTGGCCCCCTTTCCCCCTAACTCAAATCATTTTTTGTTTTCCTTGGAAGGTTGAGATGGTGGGGTTTTACATTACTATGGTACTTAACCCTTTAAATCCCAAGATCTCATTAGTAATTCTCCTTACTGTCTGCCATACAGCTCTGGTAATGTTAGTTCAGAGAATTTGGTATTGGATCAACTTATAATCCCCAAATTGATATTTTTCTTTACTCTCATCACTTGTCTGCTTGATTTTATATTGATATTGTAAGGAGAAATTCTGTCTTGGTCACTCATGGGAGTTAAAGGGTTAAAGAAGAAATGATAGTGTTCAATTCTGTTTTCAAACTTGTCAAAACAGATGCAGTAAAGCCCTGTTTAAACTGTTTGAAATTAATTCTTTCACAAATAAAATCAGAGGACCACCCTGATTAATCAAACCCATCCAAGTAGTTAATTGTGTGTAGTGAATATTCAAGACTTTGGTATATACTGATTCATTAAACAGTAAATTCTTATAAATAAGGAAAATTATTTTTAAAGGCTTCCATTACGTGAATCAATACCTTTGTTTTGGGTCAGGAGTTTCATTCAAAATTTCAAGCCAGAGAGAGACAAATCCAAGATAGAATCCAACCTGAAAGGGATCATACTGGTCAGTCCCATAAATCTGTTAAGTTTTGTATTTGTGTATTCAATGTTATCTTCTTTTCAGCAATAGCCATTGAATTAACATGAATTAAACAAAACTACAGTAAATGAATGAGTTCAAAAGCCAACTCAACTTCAGCAATCTTTCAAGGTACAGCAAAAACAAAAAATAACAGGATTTGTCTTGATGAGGTTTAATGAGTACTGTAAATTCCTTGAATAAGTGTCCATGCTCTAATAAGCACCCTCCTCCAAATAAGCACCCACCCCCTTGGCATAACATCAAACAGGTGTCCCTCTTGAAACAAATACCCCCCCTCCCCTTCTCCCTCACTTTCTTAGATAGTAGGGATACAAATAAAACCTATTTTTACTGCCACTTTATTATAACTTTTTAAGCGTCAGCTATAGCAGAATCAGCACAAGTTAATAGTTTATAGCATAGACTCCTCTTGATTAAGCATCTCCCTTCCGATAATTGCCCCTCCATCAAGCTGAAATTAAAAAAAAAAAAGGCGTCCCGGCGCTTATTCAAAGTAGTACAGTATTTAGTTAATCAATACGTAGATGTCAATTTGTTGATTGGATGTTCTTAATTCATGGAATAACTTTTCAAAAAGCAGCTCGTGGAAGATTTATATTTCTATTAATCTTTCTATTCCCTGGTTTGGGAAGAAAAAACGTACGAGGAAAAAAACTGGAACCTAGTTTAAAAAGACTGGAAAGACTCAGGAACCCCTCAACAGATAGACAAAACCCTCGTCTGTCAAAAGATTCCCACCAAACTAAAACCAAACTAAAAATAAATTTCTGATAAAAACAAAGTAGGTTGAATCAAAACTGAACTCACCTCGCCCCCAACTTCGCTTCCTTTCACCATACCAAGTTCTCGTCCTTCTTCCATACCCTTCAAAAGACCAGCCTGATAGCCTCTCTTATGACCTTCTTCATAGCATCTAGTGTGTAAAAAGTTTCCCTTATTTCTAATTGATTTTTAAAGTATCCAACAAGTCTAAGGTTACCTTTCCTCCAGGAAAACAACTGCATCAAACCCATCGTCGATCTCGTCTCTGTACGCCATGATAGTTTTTTCCCAGATAGCCTTGCGCGCTTGATAGAGACCACAAATAATTAGAGTGGAATGGACTTTGGAAATACCCCCCGAACAGGAGCCCGTGGGCCCCCGCTCTCGAATCAATAAATCTTCCGGCCTTCATAGTGCTGAGACTAAAAGGTTGTGATTACTTTCGCCAAACTTGGGGCACCTGTGCGCCGAGGAGACGCAGCGAGTTCAAACGACTGTAATTGCATCGTATCGAGTAAATTATTTTGAATTTTAACAGGACTCCTGATTTTAACCATAATTTCTTTGCAAAGTTCAGTTAGAATCCCATAATTAATCTTGTGTTTAAGCAAAGGAAACCATCACTTTGCTGTCACTCAAGGAAATTTATCATAGGGGAAATGATAAGCCTGATACTATTTTAATATCTAAAAATAAATTTTTGTCATTTTTTCCCTCTTTTAACAACCTTCCCTCACCCTCCTTACGTTGTGAAGTTAGCTCATCGTTAAGCTCTTGTATTAAATCAGAGGGAAAATAACTTCCCCAACCAGACAGAGTAAAGCTAAAAAAATACGATGAAAATTTCTACGATCTGAGAGCACACTTAATTACCGATTATACTATACCCGGGGGTGTGGCCGGTGTCACTGACAGCGTCTGCAAGTCCGTTTAAATGTCAAATCAAATTTCGTCAACCAAAACAACATTTGGCGATATGGAAATCGATAAAATTACTCTATAAAGGATGCTTTTTCAATAATTGGTGCGACTTTTTTCGTCCATGTTAACGTTAAAATCTTTTGGCTTCAATTTTCGGCCTCCATTGCGGTAGATAATGTATCAGTGTATACCTTTGGTATATTGTGGCGACATCCTTCAGATCATGCTCTCCGTGCCAAATCTAAACAAAATGTAAATGGCTTTAGTAACCCCCACGGATTGTTAATATTTTTTATTTCTTTAGCAGAAATAGCTTGAATAGACTGAATAGGGTAAAGAAACAAAAAAGAGGTTCTATGAACGATGAAGATGACGCCTTACAGGTATCTCGTTATCTGGCTATTCAAAAATCTAATATGCTTGGAAAATCCCTGTAGGTGGTTGACTGCTTTTGTTCACCTTGGGAAAGGAAAACCTTTGTCTTTTAATACCAGACTGAAACAAAGAGAAACATGAAAGAAACAGAAAAAAACGTTTCCGATGTCGATTTTTGTACATGAAAAGCAAATTTCAACATTTGAGTGATTAGGACACTTGTTGATTGAAGAATCCCTTAAAAAATGTACATACCACTTCAAACCTTGGGCATGGATATAACTTTTATTAAGCTCGGCTTAGCTGATGAAACTTTTTAATTATTCCTGCTCACAAAGCACTTCGCTGTTTTGTCCTTAATTATTTATCCCGTAGCTCAAAGTCGGATAGAATTAAAATTTAACTGTCTCGCCCATAGCAGCAAATAATAGTTATCATTATTTCGAACCGAAAACATATCTCAAGTTTAAGATTTTCCTCTAATACTCGAAAAGTATCAGAAATGTTAACTGGCTGCTTGACACGATCCCAGTAAAATGTTTTAAAAGTTTCTTTCAATCAACGTGCAGAGGTGTAGAGGCCATTTTTTGAGATTTTTTTTTTAGCTCGTGCTCCTTTCATTGACATACGCATTCAGCATGGCGCCGACCTCCTTTTTCATGCTTGTCACAGCGATAAATAATCGCACACAGCAACATCGAATAGCTAAAAAATACTCACGTATTCCACTATCAACGAGAACCAGTATTTAGTCTCTTGAAACAGTCCACGGGGTGTCAAAAAAAACCCACAAAATATATATATATATTTTTTCTACTGGGAATAATTTTAACAGGAAACGTTCAAATTTTTATTTGCTCCTAAGCTTGCATGACCATAAGAAATTCTAGGTGATAATCCAGTCAAATGATCTCGTGTCATGCACGTTAAGTTGCGTGTATGAAAAAGGGATCTTGTAGCAAAGTGTAGTTTATTCTCAAGTTTGAATCAACAGGTGCTGTGAAAAAAAAAAAAACAGACAAACAAAAAGACAAGCTTAAGGGATTCGCACGCTATAATTAAAGAGCTGGATTGTTATTTATATCCAGGCTAGCTGTAAATAGCAAATGAAGCCTACGTTGATGTCAAATAACAGTACAGCTGGTAAATGATATTCCTGAATACTTGTGTGGCCCGGTGTAGCCCAGGGAAGTTGTCTTTTCGCTACCAATGTTTTGACATTCGACAAGATGCCAACGACCTCCTTAAAATGGGAATTTCAAACTAATAGCAAAACGGTAAAGCGTCCAGCGAGCAATAAACGAAAAATATAGTCTACATTTACTTGCCAAGAAGGAAAAGGTTGATGTATCCAATGACAACGCGATATCAATAATTTATATGTAATCAATTTTGCTAATTTATGCAAATGAAGCGACTTGTGCGGTTCTACGCTTCTGATTGGCTCGCATTCAATACACAACGTCTTTTCGTTCAGCTGTTATTCTGTCGCTTTTCTTTGTGATGAATATCCGGTGAATGGAGAGAATAAAACCTTCAGAAAAAGACGAGCCGCAGAGGCTGACACAACCTTTATACTCGTTCTAAAGGAAGTTAAGACATAGGGAAGAAAATGTGGTGTTTTATTTCGGAGCCAAACGGGATAATTCACGAAATATTCCTTCCGAAGAATGCAGTAGGACAAGATTGTTTAGAGAAGGTGAGGAATTACAACTCAGCGACTCAAACTCCCATGAATATTCCCAAGACACCTGTACACGCGTTGAATTTTTCGCTCTCTTTTTAATCATTCGCTTTCCTTACACTAGTCTGGTAATTATTTTATTGTTTTCAATCTTCGCAGGTTTGCGAAAAGCTAAAACTCGTCGAAAGAGACTATTTTGGTTTGAAATTCGGTGGCGCGAAAGGAACACAGTTTTGGCTGAATTTGAGAAATTCTATGTCATCGCAGCTCACTGGGAAACCACCGTATCGACTGCATTTCTTGGTAAAATTTTTCGTCAAACCACAAGAACTTCAGCAAGAAATTACACGGTAAGCAAACCTGGTGAAAATTTGATGCATATTTTGCTTTGGGTACCTGTCGAATAAACCGTGCTGAAATAAATACTCTTACCTCGGATGGTGTTTGTCCTGTAATTATTTTATCGGAAAAATATGTATTCTGTCATTTTCGTCTGTTTATCGCTATAACTGAAATATGATTTTCTTTCACTTTCAGACACCAGTATTATCTTACTTTAAAGAACTTTATAAACGAAGGAAAGTTAGATTTGTCTTCCGTTCAAACGAAAACTATTGCCCGATTATGCGCTTTGGTTGCTCATATAGAGAGCGGAGATTTCAGCCAGGAGCGGGTGGCAAAATATTCATCGTATATTCCCATTTCTGTTTATAACGACTACGCCAAAACCTCCAACCTTCAAAAGGATGCAGCAATTGAACACAGCAAGTTAGTCGGCGTTCCCGTCAGCGAGTCAAAAATTGAATTCTTGCACATAGCTTGCAGTATTCACGGCTACGGGATTGAGTTATTTCACGGAAGATTGAGCGACGATAAAACGCTCAAGAAGGTAGAAATTCACGTTGGAAACGATGGTATACGTGTCTTCAGCATTAACCATGAATTCGATCTGAAACAAGGAAAAGACGTTACGAGAAGAATTCTCGAAAAAAGGTAAGCTTTTCTCTTTGTTGTGTAGAATTCGTTTGATATAGAAACAAAGATTTAGATGTGTGCGAAACTGGTTTCGATATAACTTGCCTTTTTTTAGTTAATTCTAACCTCTAACAAAAGCGTCATAAGTTTCAAGTCGGAGCAGAAGTATTGTTAACAACAGCTTTAATGTTGCCCTTAACTGCCTATCACGTATTATTTTTCTGGGGATTGCGGATAATTATCACAGGAAAATTTTAATGTCTTCAAGTTGAAGAAATTAACCTTTCGGTTGAAATTATTACTTGCTTTATTGTTATTTTTTTTATCTTTGCTTAAAGTAAATGTAAAATCTCCCCCATTTTAACAGGGAGATATCCTCTAGACCAAAACTTCTCCCTAAACAGAATTTTTATCGTAACAAGTGAGGATTTACTTCCATATTCGTCGAAAGTAATCGAGACATGAATATATTTCGGAATTTTTTCTGGCTGTTTCTCGACATGATTTACTTTTCGAAATCTCGCGGCTGTAATGATTGAGTCCAATTTCGATTTCCTACCAGAGTAGAGATTCAAAGTCATGTTGTGAAATATAAGTGAAATGTTCAAGTGTTTATTTCGCGCTTGCCGACTGGCGGTGCAGGGAAGGGATATTACTTTTCTTGCATAATTTATTCCACAAGTCAAAACCGCAAACAGGACTTTTTCAGTAATGGGGATATTCTACCCTTTTTCCTCTTTTGTATTGAGGCTTTCTGAATAAAGAAACTTTTACATAGCTTTGTGGAATTTAGAACACAAGATTGTCCGCTAAAAATTTGTTCCTCTTTCAATATATTTAATTTAAATGCGTTTCTGTCTTCTCTGCGGCAGCTCATTCAGTAAAATACACAATTTCAACGACGACACAACAAGGAAAGAGTTCTCAACAGAACAGAATAGCAGGATGTCAGATATTCGATAGCACAGTTCGACTTCAGAAAAAACAACTGCGACAAGATGTTGACATACAGTAGTAACTGTGTCGCTATACAAGCAGATGCAATTTCTGCAAATAAATATGAGTGAAGCGGACTCAGATTACATCTCTGATATTAAAATTTCTCCTTCGAACTACTAGTCAAATCAACTGCAAGTAAATAATAACGTTGAGAGTTTTATTAATCACAGCTTTTTTTAAAAATTTTACTTACATAAATTTTTGTTCTATTTTCGCAAGCGATTGTTTTGACACACTCTAACGTTGTTTGCCTTCATAATAATAATATTTCAACACAGCTGCTTGATGTAGCATGGCTGTCATTGCGCGCACTCGCGGTATTTTGTTATAACTCTCCCTTCGCTGCTCAATATCCGTTCATTTGTAAACTGTGGTGTGCGGCTGGCACGCCTCGCGATCACTGATTGCAAATGTCTTCCAAGAGTGATCTTGTCTCTGTTGTTAGTCATCTGTCGTTTTTAGCAAGGCCCGGTGCACCCCTTAGTGAAAAGACCCGTTTTGAAGTGCGAATGCCCAGTTAAAACGTTCAGTCTTAATCCCCTCACCTTCATTTTTGCTGACCATAGTTCTCCGATTAGATTCGGAAACGCCATCAGAGTAACTTCTTGTGACCCAAAACGAATAAATTAGAAAACGCTATTTTCCGTTTTTACTCTTTTGACGGATGTGATGTCATCGTTTCCTAAAAGCTCCCTCCGTCGTTTACACCAAAATGACAAGCCTGTGTTGAACTTTTTAGCCCGTTTCAGAAAAGTTTGGTACATACCGAGTTGGTCCATATTTTAAAAACTTTTAAGCCGTTTTGGTTCGTTTAAAGTTTACCAGACTTACATTAGACATATTAAATACAACAGGAAAGAGAGGAGACCCGAGTCCACCAATCCAGAAGATTTAAGTGGATTAGTGTAGACGAGATATAACAGTTCATGTTGCACTCGCTTTATTTCGTGTCCTATGGCCAAGAAGGTTTTAACTTTTTTGCACTTGTAGAAATGGGCCTCGCGGTTACTTGGGGGAATGTAATTTTGGATATTGGCAGGAAGAGGAAAGATTGGTGACTCCCGTTTGATTCGTTGCATTTGTGCTGCGAAATGAATGTAGTTCTGCAGAAATTATAAATTTAAGACGACAGGTGCAATGGTTATAGACCATGGCTTTACAGATTTACCATCAAATGTCCGTGATTAGGGAAATAAAAAAGAAAAAGTGTTCCATATTGTGTTCTAGTTTCTTATTTTCATCGTCTCAATCTTCTACTTCGTTCATTATCTTTGTTTACCGTTTTTTCTTTTATTTTGTTGTTTAAGATTTTCCAAAGCAATATTATGTGGTTTTTCTCACGTTAAAATATTAAATTCTGATGTCGCAATCGAAGACTCGAAATATCATGTCTTTTGCCTCTAAGAACCTCCTCTTGAAATAAAAAAACAGATGGGAATTTATTGTTTTTCCTTATTTGTTGTTCTTAGAATATTTTTCTACTAGAAAAGGTTCATCTTCCTGTGTGGGTTGAAGGCATTTTAGAACCCTTCTAACAGGTGTTATCCGTTAGCGTTTTGTGACGTTTAGGAAAACTGTTCCCGAGTTTTCCTTGATATATGAATATTTATACTATTCATTTTCACATCCTATGTTGTCTGTGCAATTGTTAAACTGTAAACTCGTGGGATTCTTCACCGTTTTAACGAAAAAGGGAACAAACGGAACAATGGAAAATGTTGAACAATATACACAATTAGCGTAGTAAAGTGAGTAAGGTTTGGCCTAAGGGCGAAGTCTCTCGGGGCACAAAGAAGATATGAGAAATTGGTAAAGCGGAAGAATGATACAGATGTTTAATAAAATTGTGCGTGTCGTTTGACATGTGTTGCAGGGTTTCGTTTGAAGATGTCTCCACTGTATCCTACAACAATCGCTCATTTACTGTTGTCCACGGGGGAACTGGACCTCAGGCGCAGCGAGACACTTACAAGATGAAGTGCGAAAGCGATGCCGTAGCTTTGTTCCGGACTTTTACGGAGTTCCATACGTTTTACCAGTGCAACACTGTCAAACGATCCGTTATTGATCAGTGTACAAGGACTCTAGCTGGTCGGCTGTTTTCCATGTTTGTACCGCGTAATGAGTTTGGTAGGATTTTCCTGTTCGACGTGCAGCGCACGCGTCGCCAAGCCTACAGTCACGCGTGGGGTGAACTCAATTCGTGCCGCATGATTGACATGGCAAGTTCCACCTCTGGAAGTTTGCGTTCATCTCCTGGGTCAGCGGAGTACCGCCCAGTCCAGTCCCCTCTCTCTCAACGGAGATTTTACAGCACCAAGAGATATGATGAAGCAGGACCATCAAGGGGTGAATGCCGGAGAGCCTTTGTTGAGAGAGAGTCCATGGAGAACATGACTCCAGATCAACTCAAGGTTATGGTGCGACACCTACAGGATGCCAGAATCTGTCAGATCTGCATGGATAGTGAGGTTGCGACTGCCTTCTGCCCCTGCGGCCATGTGGTTTGTTGTGTGGAGTGTTCATCCATGTGTAAAGAGTGCCCATTATGTCGAAGTCAGATTACTTATGCTCAACGAGTCTTCTTTCCTTGTGAGTAAAAATGGTACAATGTATTGGTCCGGCGGCAAATGAAGTTCGTGACACTTACATGATCATGCGGTCGATGATTTAATTCAATGGCCACAATGGGGCTGACATCATCAACTACACTACAGTAGTCTAGTATTATGTACGAAGTTTAAGTCTACCACGGAGTGTCAGTAAAAAGCCCAAACTAATTTTAAAGTTCAACTTTTTAACATTGCCGTGCCATTGCAAAGAACGTGGATTTTGCACTTAATTTTTGAGAAAATCGTTGTTTATTTCGGTTCAAGTAACGTCAATGATAGGTGAAAAGATCATGTTTAATACAACAAGAATTTCAAAATGTCCAAAGGACTTTGACGATTTCATTAGCCTTTTGAAAGAATTTCAGAAAAACGAGTTTAAGTTAAATGCATGCTGGCCGGACTTTAAGATCCTCGAGGAGATAAAAATTTAAGTTGTATATTAAATCACTTTTCGTAGTCAGATGATATAATGTAGTAAGATAACGTCAGTTGATTAGGAATTGGCTCTCGATCAACATTTATTAAGGTTTTGTACGAGCCAAGTGGCGTAATTTCATAATTAATGTAGATGTCAATATAAAGAATAGATAGATATTTCTTAATGTAATTAAAAAAATAATCTCAGTAGTTAAAGATGTAGCCAGTTAGCGAACTCTCACGTGGATGGTGGGGGCGTGAAAGAGGAAAGCGTAAAAGTTACTTAGAGGCTGCTAAAAACATGACTTTTTCAACTATTTTGGAACGATATTTATTGAGAGAGGTGAACATCATGCCTTATTTGGAGGACTTAGAATAGAATTTAGTGAATTGGTAGCTGAGCTGTTGCACGAATATTGTGTTGCGATCTTTTACAAGATGGATTTAGGCATTCAGTTTTCTCAGTTGAAGTGAGTATGTGGTGGGGCAATTTAAAACTGCCTTTTTATGTGGACAGCGTACGAGTGCCTGTCGTTAAAGGAGCTTTATGATTTAAGTCGTTTTTGCGACAAATTAAAATTGCCTTTGTAGTGGGGTAGAAAAGCAAACGGCAAAAGTAGAAGCGGTGCCTTAGCACCTTTGGAGTTTGTATGGAACTCTTGCTTTATTGTTAGCTTCATTTTTGCTTAGAAAAGATTCATCTTTATATCAGTATGGCTATTTGTTTTGTTTTCTAAAAAAGGGTCAACATGTGACTCGCTAGTATGTACTATCGTTATATATTTTGTGTTAAAGCACTTAAGGTGATTCCTCAGTATTGCACTGCGCATCCTGTACCGCGTTTAAAAATCACGTAATCAGACAATTAAGCGCGCACGCATTCTGAGAATACAGTATTGTTTTTCAATCGATAGACCAAGTAAAGAGGTACGCTGGTCTTTAGCTCTTGAACAAGAACGGTGACCTATATTTTTTCTATTGCATAATTTTGTGTACAAAATTATCTCCTTTAAATTGGGGAAATAAAAATTAAAATCATCAGGGGAAATAAGACAGAGCTAAAAGCGTTCAAGAAGCCCGTCACGTGATGATACAAACTATAACCTTACACAAACGACTTCAGGAGCGCTTTGAGTCGATGTCGTCTAAAATCCGTGATTTTTCCACAAGTTTTCCACTTGAATAAGCCAGGGGACACTATGTTTTTAATTGTATAATTTCGAAACAGACATTGGTAGGGAATATTTAAGGAAAGTCTAAACAAAATTGTTCGATAACTTTTTTCCTGAGGAATCACCTTAAGTTTATTTAACAGTTTATATTGCTAGTAATTTAACAGACACTTGATATTGAAATACTTGTTGAGAGAGTTGCACTTTGAAGGTCAAGTACAGAGTAGGAAACTCTCCAATTTCTCACTTACTTTTTGAGTTTTCTAGTCCAATGAAATTTTTGAGTCTCTCAGTCCAGTTACAATATGTAGATTTTTAAGAGAAATAATTCTAATTCCATAATAAAAGTGACGATGTGTTTATGTACTTTCTCTGATCTGAAACCTTTGCTATGCTGCGGTAGGGAATGGTCGGGGGAGGGTTTTTTTTTTTCTTTTTTTTTTTTTTTTTTTTTTTTTTGGGGGGAGTATAAACATGGCATTATACCAGAGATGGTTCATTATTGCAAGACTTTCCAGCTCAAGGTAATCCGCAGAAGATAAATTAAAGGTGATTAGCCTTTGAATTGTTTTCACTTAAGTTTGGGAACTTTGAAAAAAATCAAGCTGTATTTTTCGAATTCAGTCGGCAATGAACCTCTGGTGCACTTTTCGTATATAGAGTGCTGTATCTGAAATTGATTAACGACCAAGTAAACGAACTGATTTTATGCGAATGAGAGTTTTGTGGAAAGCCCTCGTAGAATCCTTTTTCCACTCTTCAGTGCAGCAAAATGATTGACAATTATCGGGTGAGGATGAAAGAGCTACGAACAACGACTTATCATTAGCAGGCAGATCAAATACCATGTACGAGACACAAGCTTACTCGAGGACTAGCTTGAAATGGCAAGTGTTCAAGGAAAAGCTACCGCGTGGACACTGGAAACTAAGATGGCGGACAGGTAACGTAGAAGATAAAAGATGACTTGGTCGTAAGTTAGAGATTAGCGATGGGACAAGATCAAAGCAGTGGCTCTCCAGGTCAGATGGGCCATCCAAATGTTCCTGCTTCCGCACATTCCGTAGGGAAAGTTAAAGATGACGATGGAAAATCGAAATCCAAACAGAGAGCGAAATTGGAAGACATCATGGTCGTGAATGCCCCAACAGGAAAGACAAAGCTTGTTTCCAAAAATGAAGATCACGATATAAGGAATTTGAACGAATTACCTTACTTTCTACCACTGCTGAGAAGCACTGTCAATGTTCCTGCGAGCAGAGACTTAGATTTCTTGGATAAATTCGATTTGCGTCCTTGCTTGTCGTTGTGTTCGCGCTACGAGAAACATTTGAAACAGTGCGCTGAAGCTGTATCGTTTGATCAACATATGCTGTCATCACAGATTCGAGAAATGGATACATACTGTGCCTCAGTTCTACGAAGAGTGAACGACAGATATAAAAGATTGTCTCAGGTAGCGATGCAGATGAAAAAAGTCGAAGAAATGAATACAAATTTGAGGAGAATTGATGCTAATCTAAAGCGCCTTGTTCCAATGATGGAAAGACTAAATAACGTTTTACCCGATGAAGAACGCCTCGAGGAGTTTGCTTTATCTCCATATAGTATACAACGATGATACCGAGACCTATTGTGGCTAAAGGCAACGTACATGTAATTTTAGCCTTTATTTCAGCTTTAAAGCACCTAGCCACCTATCTTTATCTCATTATCTAATGTGCTGTTCCTTGTCCCTCAAACTTTACAGACAAGTTTGAACTCAATTCTGCTGTGTTCTATATAATATTATACAGTGAGCTAAGTTACCCATGCAGTTTGATTGCTGTTACAATATATTGGAGTACAGACACGTAGATGACTTCATTAGTGACAGTTTCTGGCTTCTTCATCACATAAAACGAATAGATTCCATGTTGCCCTGCATCTGTAGATCGAAATGTGTTAACCCTTTAACTCCCAGAAGTGATTCACGAGTAACTTCTCCCTCTAATATCCATGCATTATCCAGCAAACTTATTAGGTTGGAGTTCTTTTCTAGATAAAACACCAAATTATCATAACTGATTTCCAAGGAAATGTGTTGCAGTTTAAGGAGAAAATTCTCAATTGGATCTTGAGAGTCAATGGTTGAGAACTAAAAAGTGGCACATGAGGCACAGCTAAGTGTCATTGTTCCTACCACATTCTGATATCATGTGATCTGTTACCAACAGACACACACCCAACATGAAATCTATAATTTTTGTTAAACTGATGCTCCAAGCTCTAGCTCCCAAAAGGGCTGATGACCTGAGGTGAAGACTCAAATGACAATGAGAGGCTTAAAATAGTCAGTTTGTGAATTGAAGAGTGGCTCACCTCTGAAGCCTCTTCTTGCTCTGTGGTAAAGTCAACTTAATAGTTATCTGACATCTTTTTTTAGCTTCTCTTTGTTTTTTCCTTTGGATATGTGCACCTCTAGTCATTTCATTTTTCACAATGTTTTGAACTCTAAGATACAACCTTCTCCTGGTTCCCATTAAATCTGAAATCTATTTTTTCCATGAAGATTTAATTTTAATGTAGAAAAAGGCTACTGTAAGTTTCTAAAGAAACTGGTGCTGGTTGGTGCAGGCATCTTGTTATACTTGGAGGGACTTGATTAAATGTTACTCAAAAGAATCTCTTAATTACTAAACTTCAAAAAACAAGAAATAGTACAAAAAGCTTTTGTAGGATATCTACCAAATTTGTGATTCCACTGGGAGGATTACAGGCAGAATTATACTACATATGGGGTATTTTCACACAATAGGATGCATTTGCTAATCTTTATTATAAGATCTTCCAAGAGAGACTCAGCTCAAGACGCTACACAGTCTTATACACAATTAGTAAGTGCAAGGAAAAACTGTTCAAACTATTTAAATATTCAAGGCACTAAAAACTAATTCTAAATGGGCTGTACAAACATTGATGACTGAGGACCACTGACTGGGGCAGAGAGTGAAAGGAAAACAGAGTTCAGAGGTCAATTTGTAAAATATAAATAAATACTTTCTTGCTCTCAATTGGCCTCAAAGATCATCAAAGGAACTAAATAATACATGTATCTCTTGTCTGAGGCTCGACTTTAATGTGATTTCAAGTTGTGAAGCTCAACCATGAAGCTGGCAAAATGAACATGTTTTAGTAACAACTGTATGTGATAAGAATTTTTAACTCCTTGAGAATTTCTTTGACCCTTAATAATGGGGCATAGCTAAGACTACAATTCCCTTATTTGTCTGAGTTAAATCTTCAATTCCTCCTCTGGTGAATTATCAGGGGAGGGAGGAGGGAGGACATAATCTTAAGTGAATTAGAAAAATAGATGTCTTAAAAGGGTTAGCCTTTGTTGCAGACAGCCTCTGCCTCTCAATCCAGGTTCAGAATAACACATGGCAGAAATGCAAGCTACAACGGTTATGCTCCACAAGTTTTGAGGATGATGAAATTCCCCCCTTTTTTTTTCAGTGCACTCTTTTCTGTTGACGACTCCTGTAGATGTCATTCTCAGGTGGTGCAGCAGAACTCTCATCATCACTTTCATGATCAGCCCCAGGTCTTTTGACACCCCGTTTGTTTTGATCAACTTCTATTCCATCTTCACCACCCTCAACACCATTCAGTGGACCCATCTCAGTGTCTGGTAAACCTGCAGTAATTAGAAAGCATTACAGCGTAACATGATGCATCAATCAATTCAAAGCGTAAACATACCCCTCCTCTCCCCTGCACATTTGAACTTTTGAAGATTGGTTCCTTTGAATTCCAAGATTTTTTACGATAACTTTTTGTAAAAGGGAAGGAAGTGAATTCTTTACCTTACAACACCTCTGTTTTAAAAGATAAAACAAATTTGCTGTGCTGAACAGACTTGAAAATTTGTATTCAAATTTCCCACCCCCAGGTGAGACAACAATCAAATACCCATGTTTGCCCAAGGGGGGTAGGGAGATATCAACGCTTTGAATTGAGCAGCGCGCAACTCACAATGCATGCAATGTCTGATTTACGCCACTTGCATGGCAATTTTCCTATGGAGATCTGAGCAAGGAAAATTTGCCTTTATTTTCACATACATCAAAGAAGTTTTTGAGATAACTTATGTTAAAACTGAATAAAGCAACTAACAGTATAAAGCAAAAAAAAGGGAGATATCAAGTGAAGAAAATGTTATCTGAAATTTAACTCAGCAATACCCTCTCATTTGAAACATGTATTACACTGTATCAAGGTCACATAAGCCAAAGTTTTCACCAACCTGAAGGCGCTGGTTCTGGTATTTCAGACTCTAAAGTTAACTGAATGAAGTCATCAACCATTACAAATGGACCCTATATATACAACAAAAATAAAGGGTGAGACCAGCTGAGTGGCACAGCTAATTTCTGAGAAAATCATAAAGTGCAGTGACCATGGCAAGTGGCAACAGAAACAAAGGACAACACAAGGTAAGTAAAGGTCTATTAATTACATTGTCAGGTGATGATCTGTTCAAGAGGGAGTAATCAGAATACCCCAAACCATAAAATGTTTTGACCCAATCTGTAAATTCCCTGGCTGAAAGGCCAACCGAAGACTGACCAGGATGCAATCCACAATCTGAACTTCTCAACAGAATATGGAATCTTGGCCCAAAAGTTGAGCCAGTTTGCAAACCTAATAAATTTTTGAATCCACAAATCTGCTTAACTTTGACAATATTCCACAACCAGTGAGTTTTTAAGGCTAGATCCCTGATCTGCTGATCTATTCTGCCTCTTTAGCAAACCATGTATGACAAAGAGGGCACCACTGTTCCTACCAAATTGGTGAGAGGAAAGTGCTCCAGCCCTTAAAGTTAATTAATATAGCACTGGTATTTCTCACAATGTCTACAAAAAGTCATGTCAGATTTTCACAGTGCAACAAAACACCTCCAACATTAGAACAGTGTTGTTGCATTGAAAATAGCCATTTGAAAGTCATTTGTCACTTAAGAAAAATTTCAGACCATGATGAGGATAAAACCTGTTTATAAATTTACTTGAAATTAACATCTGCACAAGGTAACTGTAATTCCAGGAATGACTACCTCATTCAAACAGATTGACATTTCCCTCAGCCAAACAATTTAATCCTGGACATATCTTCCTTAATCAAACCATGCGATATTGTTTAATTGAATCAGTTCCCTAATGATTTCCATCACTCAAACTAGGTTAAGCATGACGAATATAAGGGGGTAAGTTTCTAAAGAAACTGAGCTGCTACATTGGTGGGAGAGTATAACAGGGTAATTTGGTATTATTGACTATGTTGATAATGTAAATTGGCCACCATTAAGTGTTTCAAAGCTGATGTTTCAAGCATTAGCCCTTTCTCAGAGCGAATGGAGGAATTGTGGGTTGTTTGAGCATTTGTATATATGTAGAAAATAGAGCCATGTTATTGGTGGGAACATGGTAACAAGAAAAACAAGAATAAAAAGGTTGAGGCTGTGGCCAACTAGTCTGCAATACACTACCTGGAAGCAAGATGGAGGAGGTAAAAGAGTCATAAGATGTGCTGCCACAGGTGGAACTGGAAAAACTCCCCCTGGTACTGAGTGAAGCCCAACTGCAAAGCAATAAACAATTATTTGATGAGGTTTAGCATGATATCATGCAAAACCAAATTCAATAATTTTTTTTTGGTGTAGTGTTCAGTTACTTTGAGTTCCTCTCTGAGTTTGCAAAAGTTTGAGAACACTGTACATAGATGAGGGGCTTGGAAACTAGGCAAACTTTGAACTCAACATGATAAATGCAATATCCAGTGCAGATGTTGCATTTATCATTTCAAATTCACATGCTATTGTATATTGATTGAATATTTTGGCCAATCAGATAATTCATAGTAAGTGTAATGTATAATAATAGGGATTATTCATGTACTGACTATTATTTCATGAGAAAAAACTATTCAAGATAATCACAAAATACATATTGTTTTCCTAGCTCCTAACTGCCTCTCCCCCCACTTCCCCTCATGCATTGCAGGTCACACTGCACCTTGTGTAAGCCATTTAATGACTACATTGTAATAAATTGATCAAAAGATTAAGAGCCGGTCACAAACAATCTTAGTGGAATAACGATACTGAATGGCTGCCATATGTCACTTTGTAATACTGGTGGTGTGCAGTAGGTATGAACGTCACAGCTTTAATGATCTTGGCTTGTAAAGACCATAATAAAGAGAAGTACAAATATGGCTAAAAAATAAGTCAGAAGTCCTAAGAGAAACTGAATTTGTTGATGGAGTGCCATTGTGACATGATGCATAACTTAAATGAAAATCCAAATGAGTTGAAAGCCTTTAGAGTCATTCTGCAATATGTGACTTTGTTAATCTAACCACCCCATTGATTGAATCAAATCAAAATTTGTTGGCCCAAAACTGGATCATGGTAAATCAGAGTTCCACAGACTCATGTAAATAAGACTTCAATTTCATCACAATCCTAAATTTTCAAATCTAAATTAAAGACTTTGAGTAAACTCTTACCAGCTCCTGCAGCTGGTTTAAACGGTGTCATCTGTGATGTGTCTGGCCGAGGATATTTCACAGGTTTTTCTTCATTCTGTTCACTTTGAGAAGGAACAGAGGACAGCATGCTTGGTGCATTGCCATTCTGTTTCGTTGAGCCCTTAAGTTTAAAATGTTTGAAAATCAAATGTTAGCATTGGACTCAAGATTTTGATCCAACAATCAAAACAAACAGGACATCAACATTTTATTTTGGTTTTCACCCCGAGTTACAAGGTTACTCTAAAATAATTACAAAGTTGATACTTTTTGATGCAGGCACCATAGTAGGAAGAAATTTCTAGGAAAATGACTCTTACCACATAGCCCATTATTTTTAGTTCCAAAGAAGTACAAGGAAAAAGGTCTAAGTATTTATATCTGTCAACAAGCACTGATGTTTCATGGCCTTCCAGTTCCTGTAAAAAGAAAATTTAAAAAATAGACCATGAGTAAAATTGAAAGAACAATCAGAATCCAGATTTAAATGCATTTGCTTTTGGCTGAGCAAAGTGACATGCAGAAAAGAGCAGAGTACATATTGTAGCTTAAAATAATTAAGTAGGTTTCAGATTAAAATTAATTTAACTTCACTTTCATTGATTTTTGAATGACTCTGGTGAGGTCTGTCAGATGGTAATCAATGTAACAGGAACAAACAATTTAAGTACATCATTTACATATTAGTTTTCATAATAATACATGTTTCATGCGCAAGGAAAAGTAAGGAAATACTCATAGGCCCATGAAGTCTGACAGCTAGCCTTAGCTTACCTCTCTATAGATTTCAAGTTTTCTGTTCTCTACTTTTACTAAGCTGGCCAAGTCACCACTTGTGGTTTCGAATTCCAAGAATTTCCCCCAAACTTCACTAACAATGTGTAAATAAACAAATACATCAACTTGAATTTTATTAGAAGTATTGCATTAACAATCTCCAGCAAAGTAACTGGAGGGGAGATTTTCACTGCAGTTAAAACTGTGACCAACCTTGCTTTGTCTTTGGGCATGGAACTCAGAACTTTCTCAAACAGTACTCTTGTGTTGTTATCATCTAAAACAAAAAGAAACACATCAAATTGGATAAAACAATCTCATCAATATGCCCTAAATAACCTTTTCCTTTTGATAAAAATTGACTTTACAAATTCAGCATTGTTAATAAAATGATGTTGTTTTAACTGTTCAACACCCAGAAGTGATTAAAGTGCAGCCTCTCCCTATAATATCCATGGATACACTATTGAGCAAAAGGGTAATGAGAATACTCAAAGTTATCACTAAGTAGAAGTTGCTATCTTAATCTCACACAAATTTCTTGAAACTAATTCACAAGGAAATGTGTAGCGGCTGAAAGAGAGAATTAAGAATCAAATCTTGGGAGTTAAAAAGTTGATTGGAATGCTTAACTTACCATTTAAATGTGATAAATAATCAACATAAGCCAGTACATAGTCTGTTTCATTCATATATTTCTGAAAAGGAAGCACAGATATTCAACGCAATTTGTGTGAAAACAATAAAACAACCTCTACTCTGACCAGCATTTGACTGAGCCACACTTTCAATTGGTAATTCACCAGTTTCAAATCAAAACAAAATTTGTCTGCATGCATTTGATTGCCAGCCTTACCTTCAAGCCCAGCTCAAAGATCTTAAATGCCACTGCTTTGTCCTGGAACAAAATTGAACGCCCAGTTCAGCTAGTAGCAATTAGCAACTTTGCATTTGCTATTGAAATAATTTCACAAATAACTTTTGAATAATTTACTAGGAACAGGACTTACTTTACTGCAGTAGTACTCCATGAGGGCAGCAGATATAAACACCTAACAGCAAATTACCAGACAATCAAAAAAGTGAGTATCCCATGAAACAAATATGGGACAAGTAAATTATTCAATATAAAATAAAATAACATGTCACCTGTCTACATTTTGCATCAATGTCTGTAAGTTAGAGTTAATGTTGGACTGGGAAGGGGCACATGTATGGTTCCTCAGATACTTCAACATTGATCCAAGATTTCTCATTCATCACTGAAGGAGTATTAATTAATTGCTTTTTCTACACCTACATGAAAGTTTGTTCTTGAATCCTCTCTTGCTTTCTTAAAAATTGCTCTGCTTTCTTTGACACTCTCAGACCTTCTTGCAAATTTCATGAATTGAATATAAACCTGGGAGAAAAAAATAATAATAATGATAATTCACTGGAAATTCCACTGTTAACTTAACTAGCACCAACACCTTGGTAATTGTTTCAATGGATAATTATAATCTAGCCCAAGATAAAGTTTTTGTCTATCCAGGTTCATCAAAGTACAAATTTGTTTGTTTCTTCAAACACTACCCACTTTTTTTTATACTTTGATCTTTCAATTTATTTACTATAATCAGATTAGGGAGATCAAATTAAAACAATACTACCCCTAACCCTACACAAATTATACTCACCAAAGTTGGGTCAATATCCTCAAGTGCTAAGTATTTTTCATAAATTTCCTTTGCCTTCTGGAACTTCATTCTCCCCTATCCAAGCAGAGGAAATACAAAGGAAATAACAGTTCATGACCACCACTACTAGTACTGTGTATTATGGAAATACTGTGTTTTCTCAAATAAGTACCCCTCCTCTGATAAGCACCCTCCCCCAAAATATATGCCCACCCCAACAAGCACCTCTCACAAATGCCCCCCCCCCTCCCTCCACTCCCATCTCACCATCCTAAATAGTAGGGATACAAGGAAAACCTGTTTCTATTGCCACTTTATTATAACTATTAGGCTTCAATAACAGCAGAATCAGTACAAGAGAATAATTAGCAACCCTCTTTACAAAGCACCCACCTATCAATAAGTGATCTTTCTCTCTGCTGAAATTTGAAATAAGTGCCTTGCAGGAACCCATTCAAGGACTTATAGTGGTTTTTCTAAAAGTCATATTGTCAAGTAACTTTTTTTTTTTACCTCTTCAAAGTCAGCATATGCAAAATACAATAGCATGCTGTGTTTCATGATCCCTGTGATGGCTCTTTCATACATGGCAGCAGTCTCATCTCCAAGTACTTTAGATCCCTGCATGTCCTGTAATTCCAAAAACATAAATTACAGAGAAATTAATTGATGCTTCAAAGGCAAAAACAAATAATGTCAAATCAGCATTTTAAATTAACTGGTTTAACAACAAATTTAGAGAAAATTCTGTAAGTAGGGAGATAAAAAATGGGAATTAAGAGAAAAACCAAGAATTTCAGGAGTACACTGTGAGCAAAGAATAACCAGTCAAGCCCCAAGTCAGAGTAGTTTACTTGAACTAATATTAAATGAAAACTTGTCTTTCTATAGTTTGACCAAAGCCTTCATCCCACCCAAAGCCAAGTTTCAGACCTGCAAGCTTCAAGTGACTACAGGATAGCTAACCTAGAGGGGATATGAACATCATCAATTGGGTAAGTTTGATATGAAGAAAACTCCAAAACAATGGAGGAAATAAAGTCAATTTACCCCCTTATCCATCAACTTCTGACTGACTTTTTCCAAGTACAATGATGCCTCACACCAGATGTTTGGATGAAACCCCATTGTCTGCAAGCACTGTTCATATGAATACACAACTGCAAAAGCACAGAGTGATGCTTCATATCAATAAACATTAAGGTATGAAAACAGTACCATTTCCTTAGTCAAGCTGGGACACTACTGAACCTAATAAATATACATGCCAACTAACTCTCACATCTTATTCAGGAGTACCATGCCAACAGAATGAAATCACCAGTCTCATAAACCTGGCACTACCTGTACATTGTGCCAGCAAATAAGAGTTTTAAGTCCAATGGCTTGCAGCCAGGATCAGGTTTGGTAAATAATTACAGCAATTTCAAACTACACAACAATTTCTAAATACACCTTCTTTCTCAATTTGAAAAGGTTTTTAGCTAACCAAGGTATGCCTGTCGCACAAAGCTCAAAAGACTTATTTCACCCACCAAAATTGGTAGTCAGGAGAAAATTTCGAGAGAGAGTTTTTCGTTCCACCAGCAATTTTCTGTTGTTTGTTTTTCAGCCAAAAAATCCCAAAAAATCTTAGAAAAATACAATAGACTAGATTCTGTTTGTTATGCACAATCCAATCAAAAATAATAACTATGCCAAATGTGTCTTCTCTGGCGAGGTATGTAGGAGAAGGTTCATGATAGCAAGCTAGTGTTTCCACTACAGTGGTAGAGATAAAGTTAACTGTAACCCTATAGCATTTACAGAATCACTTTTTAAGTAATACCTCTCTTAGTAAGAAGGGCAGTGTCTTCTGTCCTTAGTGGGTTACTCTTTTCCCAAGCAATATACTTCTTCCATATTTGTAGCTGGCCATTGAATAAAAAAAAATGAAAATCACTCCTGCTGCCAATCAATTGTTACAGTTGTGTTGAATCGAAAGAAGTTGTAATTTGTAAAGGTTGAAGTCAAAGATATGTCCAAGAGAAACCAAGATCCCAACAATTTATCTATACTGGTACCTGTTTAATTTCATCAGCAGTTCCCTGAACAGGAACTGAAGGGTTTCCTCTGACCAGTCCTCTGGTAATGGCTTCATACTCCTGTAAAGAAAGGAAACTCATTCAGACTTCAATTTGATGAACAAGTCTTGAAAGTACATTGTGTCACCAAGAAAAATGTTTGCTCCCTTGGGACTGGAAAAAAAGAGGTTGAAAACTTTCAGTGTGTATTTCCATTTGCTGCATTTAAATGACCACAATTTAAAGGAATTAAAGAAAATACAAATCAACCTGATTTGAAATCATTTATACCTGAAATCCATTTTACAGGAACTAAAGCAGACCAGAGAGGGAGGCTTCAATTCCAAACCAAGTTTGTACTGGAAGTTATATCCCTTAAATCTGAACTTTATGTATTTTGTACAATATTATCATCAATATTCATGTTTTCCTTTAACTTAATGCTACTTTAGGAAGGTAGCTGTTTACCTTTGAAACTCTTCTGGCATTCATGTAATCTCTTGTTTTATCATCAATCAGTTTCTTTGCTAACAGCTTGTTTACACTCTGAAATGTAGACAAGATTGGGCGGTTGTAAAATTTACGATAATTTTCTAAAATTTGTATGTATTCTATTGTGCATTTAGAACTGAGATGTCAACATAAAAATGTTTCTCTTTCTTATGGTTAATAACTATGAATACTGATTTTAAAAAAAACACAAACAGATGACTAGCTCACAAAATGAGGACCAGAGGTTCAGACAATACCTTTAATCAATAAAAATCATATCTACCTGTTCAAAAGCATTATATTCCCTCCAAAGTGCCTCCAAATTTATGATAGGAGTCACCACAGCTCTCTATAAAGAAAAGCACTCAATTTGATAGTGATACTTGAAAAGGTGTTTTTTTAATTCTTGGAAAGAGTCAGTATCAAGAATGAGAGCTCCCCATTGAATGTTGTGGCAGCAGTGAAGTGTTACATAAGTTACCTGATAAACTTTTCTAATGTTGATTATCTTGCGGTTTTCTGCATAACTGCCAACTGCTTCACTGAAATTAAAACAATTGGAAGAACACATTTACAAATTTTAAGCACTTAATATAAGCCAAAATAAGACAAAGTGAAAAAGAAGCCATGTGTCTAGTAACTTGTCTATCAATTATATACCTACCCTGACTTCAAAAAATTGACATAATCCAACCAAATCTATGAAAAAAGTGACAAATCAAAACCAAAACAAGAATTATCAGATAGATAGAAAGAAAAATCCAAGAACAATATCCTTTGTATTTAATAAAATTATTATGTTATTCCCCTTAACAAATGAAAAAAATGTATTAAGTTGTTTCACTTTGTGCATGTGTGCATTTAACCTACATGTGCATATGAAAACTGCTGGAATATCTATCATGGTCTTGATTGACAGGAACATGCCTGTTCATGTCAAAATATACCATTTATGGGAAAATAGCAAGAAAAAAAAAAAGCACACTTTTTCATTTTTTTTGCTTTGTGCATAAATTATGTGTAATTAACCTGCACATGGAATTTGAGTTTTGAGTTCACAAAGACATGTTTTTTGGAAAAAGTTCTGTTTATTGTACAGATACTGCTATTCTCTACTGTGATAGATTAAACCTTCAACATACCCTAGACAAACATATTATCAATAAAACAACCAGGTAAAATAAAAATCAATATAAGATGTATTGCAATATTATATCGACTGACTTGGTAAGAGTTGAAGTCTACTCCAACTTTATCCAGGGCAAATTCATAAGCTTGCTGCATTTTATCTCTGTAAAGTAAAGACCACACCTTTAGCACAAAGGGCTCTACCAGCTGAGGCTGAAAATGTACTGATTAGCAAGAAGAAGAAGGAATACAATGTAATAGCAACAGCAAAACCTTTAATATGTAGATTTCCAATTAAAAGTGAAATTCTGCGTAAAGCAAACACTGGCTCAATTAGTCCCACAACTTTCCTCCTTAATACTGGAGTTGACAATTAATCTATCCCACTTTTGGTTGAAAATGGAGTGAGGGGTCATAGCCAAGTGCAAGGGATCACGCAATGAGATTTAACGTTAAAGATTAAAAACCCCAACAATGAAAAATTAAAAGAGAGTTCAAAGAAAACAGGAGTGGAACTGGTGATGAGCTATTGACAAGATGGAAAGAGGTAAATTATATGGTGGAGCTTTGTTAATTCAGGACAGATGTCTGGTCCTGCACTTCTTAACCCTTCCACCACTTCCTTTTAGAGCACATTTGTAGTTATTTACCATCACCTCAAGTGTAAATCAAGCTAGCCTATGTCTTGAGCTTGTTTCTCAGGGCAGTTTTAGTTCATGTCCACAGGGTTCTACTGCACTGCTGAGTAGCAAGTTCAGTGTTGGCTACATCCTCTCCTGTTTGTTTGTGATTAACTACTACTTTTAACAACGAAAACTAACCCATTCTTCACTCATCCACCCAAAAGGCCCTAAATTCCTCTAATGGTTTTTCCCAAGACTACCAGTAAAACAAGCAAATCTTTCTCGAAAGTAAATTTAATAATACTCTTCCTGGATTTGCTTCATAATTTCACTAAAACTCAACTTCTCAAATTTGTTTCCCTTATTTTCTTCACATTTTTATCCCCAATAACTTACACAAATTGTTGAAGTACAGCATTGTATTATTTTCAGTTCTGCTGTTCCTTCAAAAACTATTGCTTCATTTTAAGTCCTTCTTGTTTGGAAAGAAATTGAATATGAAAATTATTTTGAATTCCCTGTTTGATATTTAAAATCATTTCTGCCCATTCTTTGAGTACCTATCACTCTCCATATATAACACTAACTGACTGCTCCTAATGGTTAGAGTTATTTGGAATCAAATGCAGAAGTTCTATGGATTTAAATTAAATCCATAGAATCTCAGCAGTTGATTCCATCTAACTTCTCCTTCCAGTAATACTGCTAAATTATTCATTAAGACCATGAGAATAAAGAAATTAATCACAAACCTAAGATGCCTTAATTGATAGATGAATTCTTCATGTCAGTACCAAAGGAAAAGTGAAGAGAAGGGTTTTGGGAAATATGGCTACTGATGTTATGGTGTAAAGGGTTATTTGCTTTAGCTTCAACCAAATAAAAATTTCTTTAATGAAATTGAAATGCATGCCTACCTAAAATTTTGAAGAGAGCTTTTAGTCTCCTTTACATATGACAGGTAACACTTCCAGAGATCAATGTTTAACACCTTGATCAAGCATTTCTGGAAGAGCTGAAATAACAAGAGTCAAGAGAGAACAGGTGTAATAAATAAGAAAAGGCCAGCTAACTGAGTTATCTATGCAAACAATTATTGATATTTGAAATATCTCACAGAATCATTTTTTCCTAACTGGCTCAATAGAGGTAGAAGTAACTGACACATTTCAAATCTCGGTTGAAATCATCACAACGCGCAGCTTTACAAAGGAATACAATACAACATCATCCATCTTATAATCCCAGATGGATGCCTCCACTGCTGAACAAATTGTTGTTTACCACTACAAAAATGATTTGAAATATGAAGTTCCCTTAACAGAATGCACAAAAACTGAACAAATTTAAGCTATCTTAAAAGTTTGTTTTAATTTTTTTGCTAGGCACAAGTATGGATTGTATGATATCATATGTCATGTCTTATCATAATCAAAAGTAGCTCTTTTATTTCCATGAGCACCAAGGAGATAACACAAATTGTAGTGGTCACCGTTAAATGCCATACAATCCAAGATAGGGGTGAACAAAACATTCCAGCTTCAAATAAAATAAGTCATCTATTTCAATTTTCTATTGCTGTAAACAATTCATTTCTTCTTGTGCAGACAAATTTTAAATTGGGTTCAAATCCCATACAGGCCTGAATTTTTTTTCAGGCCCTTTTTCCACTACTGCTCAAGTAGTGTTCATTACTGCAAGGATCAAATTTTAACTGTGAGGATTATTTTTTTATTCTATCAATATGTTCTAACAGTGGAGGTCTCCTTTCACCTTTAACTCCCAAGATCTCATTAGTAGTTCTCCTTACTGTCTACCATAAAAATTCTCACGATGTTAGTTCTAAATCCCCTATTTGATATTTTGTCCTAATGGCTTTTTTCTCATCACTTGTCTGCTTTAAAATGCATTACCATTATAAGGAGAACTACTGTCTTGATCAGTTAGTTGAAGACTTAAAGTTAGGTCCCCCTTCCATCAAGTTCTTAAATGCCCCTTTCCACATCCTCCCGGTAATCGAAACCTGAAGCAGATTTAGCGTTGACTGAGTACAGCGGAATGAGAATGAAGTTTTCCCATATTTCACAGGTTGTAGAACAAAGAAATTTATCACTGCCATTGGAATTAACCACAACTGATAATTAAGAAGAAAAAGGGTGATTTGCATTTCAGATCTCTACAAAGTACTATGATTACCAGTTGAGTAAGGCATGGAAAAGGTTTGGCAAAGGTTTTGACCATGAAATAATGGTGTTGTCACAGGCAACCTCTGGCCCTAGCTCATTTCCAATGGTTAACCAAGTCTCAAAAAGAAGTCAATCAACTTGTTGCCATTGGAAATGGTGCCAGTTGCCTGTGACAACACCACAATTTTATAGTCAAAATGTGGTCACCAAACTTACGTTTCATCTTGTTCAACTGAAAATCATATTAACTCTTTCAAGGCCAAAGCCAAGAACATTAACCTGTCTCAGTTAGGTCTATCAAAAAATGATTATCTTAGTACCTTTTCTACTTGTTCATAGTTCTTATGTTTCATCTGAAAGAAAATCAACCATGAAGAATTCACTCAAAACATTCTTAAACTAATTTGACAAAATAAGATGTGCACATCTCCATATTGATACTAAGTGATCTAACCAAACTCGAGTAACATTCTTTTACCCAAAATCAAATTATGAATACTTTGGACAGTACAAATGCCTAACAGTGGCACAATGCATTTCCTATAGCCAATTTTGATAGACACAAAGAGCTAATTTGAAGACTTTTACAGATGTTTGACATGGACAAATTTATCTTGTTTCAAACCAGTTTCAGCTTTGAGAGCAGGGACCTGTTTCTTGAAGGTCCCAGTAACTTATTTAATGGGTCTGTATAGCTGTTCTGTCTTCATTCACAAATGGGGTTTCAAAAGCTTTGAAAATTGTACAATAAAACTTTCAGCCAAAGAAACAAAATGTATTGCTTAGGGGGCTAGAACCTGCTCCTCTTTTCTTTAAATTTTCATTTTCATTTTCATTCAGGCCTGTTAAGCCACCAGGACTTTCAAGAAACAGGCCCCGTGCACATAAAAAAATGGTTTAAAAATACATTTCTCACTAGTACCCTTGATAGGGGAAAAATACAGGAACTGATGCAGATTGATCCTTAAAAATCAAGATATTCAGCCATTATATGCTGCAGTTTAAAACATTCAAAGGATCTCTTGGAATAGTGTCAAGGATTGTTTGAAGTAAATATTAAATGTTTTTCTGTTAGCCATCAACCCTCTTGACATTTCTCAAATTCATGTTTAAATCAAACCCTTGGATATATTAAAACTGATTCAAAAGAAGGTTTTGCCAAACAACAGTTAAACTTTGTTTTTATATTCAGCCTTCATTGTTTGGGGACTATTCTTCATTATTCTTGGCAAGGAAGAGACAAGTGACAGTGCTGAAGTGAAGTTTGGAGGCACCTTAAATTTTGGCATGGAAAAGGGCATCAGTTCTTCACTCCAAGAGTATCAAACTTACAACCAACTAATTTCCACTTCTCTTACATAACAGTTTGGCTTCAAATGGAGCTAAGATTTACTAGGTAGCCAATATGCTTTACAAGCACACCACTGCACACAATTTGTGCAAAGGGAGCAAGGAGGTAAATTACACTATAATTTGTTTTAAGCATGCAAGAATTGGGGTTTTTAGCAACAAACCAATATGGAAGAATCTGTTTCCACTTGGGTAACCTCTGTCCCCCATTTCATCACAGCCCCCTCCCTTATATGAGTAGTGGAAAAAAATACCCCTGATGGAAGGAAGGGGGGCAAGATGAGGAACAACTTAGATTTGTCCACCTTGAAATTAGTCAAGATTTTTAAAAACACAGCAGTCTAGGATAATAATTATGTTTGAAAAGTGTAATTATCCTAGTTAATAACCCCAATATTCTGCATTTTCAACTCTTTCCAAAATAGAAAACTGAATTTGCCTTCTTAAATATAAATCAGAAGCTTGTCAAATTGGTAATGGAAAAAAAGTCCTAAGAGTTCACACATTTTACTTCTTGATTTGGGTTTGTCATTATGGGAGGTTCCAGTACCATAAATAATTGTTTGGTGTTGGAGTCATCCAAGCTGAGTAAGTTGGTAATAAAAAAAGGTCTTAAAACTGATGCAGTTGAGGTTGAGTGGTTGGAAGAGGAGGATAGAGCACAAGGTTAAATTATCAAGTCTTGAGTATTTCAACAGATCAACAGATGCTACCTTCAAAATCTTAACACAAAGTGATTTCAAAGGCATGACAATCAAGAAAAAAAGAATTGAAAATATAGGAAATAGACCATTAAATAAAGCAGAAAATGGTGAAGGAGGATGGTTAAAATGGCCAACTGGCTTCTTTTCTCTTTTACAGCTGACCTCACCCTGTGCTAGGCACTGCACCCCCCCCCCCCCTTCTAACACTAGTTACAATGGCTGCTTTTACATCTGTGGACACAACACTTGAAACTATGAATTTAAATCACTGTAAGTCACCAATGTGAAATTTCTTTCTTCCCTCCATAGGATAAAAAGACCATGACTTGAATTAGGGCAAGACATGTACGCCAGAATACCAGGAGAAACTTATGTACTTTTAAACTAATTATTATCACTTTGAAGGGCACTGCGATGCATTTTGCAGGCTAAAATGGAGATTTCAGACTGTTTAGTAGTCATTTTTTCTTCAGTTTTTATTTTATTGTCCTCCAAAGTGATGATAATTGTAATACAGTATATGTCCTAGAGTATAAACCTGTTATGTACCCTTCCAAGAGTATTTTAACCCTCACCCAAAACTAGTTATGCCTGCAAACATAAACTCTACTTTTCTAATCCACAAACAGGTTGTAAATCCTCTAATCAGGGAGAAAAAGGTTGATATCCCATGGCTCTTCATTGATTCTAAGAAACAAGGGGAAAATAAACCAAACAGGGGAAAGGGAGAAAATGAAGAAGACTGAACAGGAACAAGATAATAAATTGAGCCCTTTCAACAAACCATAGTCCTTGGGGGTGTGAACTGTATTTAAAGAGGAACAGTCACAAGAGGATGGTTTTGTAAGCCAACTGTGACGGATCATCTAAGCGCAGTAATGAAGTGGAAACTGTCTCCACCTATATCAATATGTAACGATCACCTGGGTTCAATTGAACATTTTATGTATGGGCACAAACTGGAAACTATACCGACACTTTTGACCACCAGATTAACCTCTGGACAGAAACAATGCAATATTATTTCTTCAGTTGTAAAATTTTTGTTTGTTTTGTTTGTTTTGTTTCTTAGGGGGTAAAATTTTTCTTTTTATCCCGTCAACAAAGTACTCTCAAGTTTTGGACCATGCCTTAGTATCCTCCTGGTGGAGAGTAAAATTTTGTGCTTATTGGCACTGAACCAGCTACAATATTATGAACAGCCCTGGAAATGGTTTTACTGCATTTAAGTGGCACGTGATATTTCTTTGGTTGATATGGATACTTTAAAAAAAAATTATAATATCTTTAAAATGGTCTCAGAAACAAATTCTACTCTAAAATGAAGAGAAATTTGGACGGTTTAAATACGGAAATAACAACTGAGATATCTAAAAAAAAGAACCCCAGAGGATACTACGTTAAGTAAATGACACTTGAGGCAAATAAAGAGACTGCACACAAATGTAAACACAACACAAACATTTTTGAGAGTCAAATCTCTGTTTAGTCTGAAAAAGGACACAGTATTGAAAAAGCCCATTTATTTCGCTCTTAAACAGAGCAAACAAACATAGCATTTCACTTTAAATAGAGAACTCAACCAAGAACCTTTATTCTGTGGCAATTGTGCCAACAGTTAGGTGACCTTTTGTGCCTACCTTTAACCTCCCTTATTTATGGTCACGTCATATATCTTATGAAATAAATCAAGCTTTTGCACAATTGTAACCCTAGTCAAATAATTTTGTCCTGCACTATGAGCAGACACTATTTCCTTAGAGTTCCTGTACAAACTGCTAGTAATTCTTTGGGCAAAAAAAATCACCTAAATTTGCAGCAAAATTACTAGCAATTTACACAAGTTATCTCTGGTTGCCCAAAAATTAGGCTCAAAATCACAGAGCAATATGTTAACACTACATCACAGGGTCTGCAGAGACTAAGAATGGATTTATAGACACAAGTGCACCAGATACCAAGATCTGAATTTGTAAGAGAGAGACTAGTAAAATTATTTTCAGAGCTAACAAATCTTAAAGAAACTACAAATTCTAAAAACCTCTTGCTCAATGTATAATCTCCAGTAACGACCAGCATTAGGGAATCGTCTTACAAGCTTTTCACACAGAACTCTAGATGTTTCCAAAGGAGTATTCTAAAGCAAATAAAACAGAAAAAATATTTGCTCTTAACATAGAATTAACTCAAACATCTCTGTTGTATTATCAGTTCTAATGATACATACATGGAAATTAATGATGAAAAAATTAAAAATAATAATAATAAAAGAACCTACAGTTTAAAACAATTGAACTGATTAATCCAAAGTGACTTTTAACATTCAACAGCAAAAACAGTGATAAAATGTTTTAAACTAACAAATTGAGAAAATTATTTTTAAGAACTTTTTTGTATTTAAGATAAAAACCAATAAAATTTCAAAGTTTAAAGGGAAACTGAAGCTCTAAATTTTAACCATTTTAAAATTGCGGCTTACAGCTTAAATATAAATGTTCAAAAGTTTTTTTCAGTCTTTGGTTTGAACCTCTCTTTGAAAAAATATTTTTTTACCCAGCAGTACCATGGCTCAGAAAATCAATGTCAGTGGTTAATATCAGTCACTGATATGGAAGAAAGATCAGAACCCTTAGACACTGTTGCCTCAAAACTTGCATTCAGTAGGTTTATTGAAGTTGTGTGGCTTCTTATGATGATTAAAATAAAAAGGGGAATGATAAGGCATGTTTCTCACACTGAGAAAATGTTTGACTTCAGGCTGGGTTTGGATGGCTGAGAATGTCAAATCAATCAGTGAATATGTCTGTGTTGTTTATTTAGCCATCTCTTGACTTCCCACAAACAGTTTTGTATGGTCATATACTTTCTAATTTCTTAAATATTCCATACTTTCATATATAGAAGTTGTTGGAAACCTTATTAGCCCAGTAGTCTGTGGGCAAGAGATCTATGGAAAAACTCAACGTGGTTGTACACAATCCCAAGCACAGTCCGTTAGTAAGTCATTAAATCACACAATTGAGTTGTGTCATTTGTTTATGTAAAGAGATGTGTTTGTGTGTATGGTATGCTTATATACTTTTTTGCAAACACAGTGTGAACTTTTTCAGAGTTAGAGTTAATGTCATTTTGAGAAAGAGATGGACAGTGTTTTCAGGCTTTCTTCAATTTAGTTTCTGACCATCAGTAATTTACTTATGGTGTGTTGCACAGAATATGCATGAGTGAAGTCACACCAAAATCTTCAAAAGAAAATAGCTAGCAAAATTTCTCAAGGAAATAACTAAGCACCTCATTACAAACAATAACTCAAGTTTGAAATTCTTTGAACACCTGCAAAGTACAAGCCAAAGGAGGATGCCATCCCAAAAATATTTTCCTGAAGACCCAACAACAAATCCTCAGCTATCATCTCAAAACTGTCACCGCACACAAGCGAAAAGAGGATTTACATGTGTATTATGAAAACACTCAATTGACCTTAGTATCATTTATCAGGGGACTCAGATTATAATTTACCATAGCTTTTCACTGTGTAGCAGGAATGTCTGTCTATGTGTTTTAGTTAGACCTGTGAGTGAAAGGAATAAAACTACCTATGTATTTTGCCAGTTTCTTGCCTATGTAGGCCAATCAGCTCTTGACAACAAAAGCATTTGTCTGCCAAAAAAATAGCTTCAAAATGTCTGCTGTAAAGACATTGATCATTCAGTGTTTCCAATTCTTGTAGAATGATCAATCACAGCTTCTGTTTCCTCAATGTCTTCTTCCAAGTTGACCAGTTCTTTGCCTGAAGAGTAATTACTGTAATTTCCAGCCTATTACCCGCACAGCCGATTACCTGCACCGCCGATTACCTGCACCGGCCGATTATTGCATACGGCAAAAAAAAAAATGAACAGATTACCCGCACTGGTGGATAACCCACACGTTGTGTTATTGAACTTTTTGGTGGTGAAAATGTGACATTAAGGTGATACATTTCAGTCTTTTAAAAGTTGTCTAATCTAACTTTCGAAAGCTTTAAAGCTTCTTTGTTGAGTTTAAAGGTCGAAGAAATTCAGACGCGTGCACAATTCTGTGTCAATATTAGCATGTTCTTTATCAATAAAATTATACAGTAGAAACACTAGCGGCCCATGCCCAAATCTCAATGTTTCATACTTGACAGAATGCAAATTTGTGGCCACATTTTGTGCGAGCGATCGTTCAGCGTCATGTTGATTTGTTGAAAGAAAGCTAGGTCGGCGATTTCTGAAAAAAATAGATATCTCCCGTTCTCTTGAGCCTAACAAGTCCCTTAAAACAGGAAAATTCTCTTTAGCTCAAGCTAGTGTTAAATGGAAATTTGTTATTGATGCACCAGATATGTTTGGATTATTTTTGTCACCATCAAGGTTTTGTTTTCACACGTGCTGATAATAATAATAATTTGTTTGTCACACAACAAATTATGTGTGAAATAAACTCAAGTCAGCATCATGTTTTCATGCCGCTTTGTGACACTCTTAATACTATAAAATTAATTTGAGAGGTGGAAATGCATGTAGGTGAGAATTTTTTCAATTCAACTCCCAGTAGATTTTAAAATTGTCACATAACCTGCACCTCCCTATCACCCGCAGTGGCGTGCATTTAATGCAAAATCAACAGATTACCCACAGATAAACGACCGGAAATTATGGTAGGCTCACACTAGAAGGGCGACAAACCACTTATACTTGCAAAATAAAGACCAATAAATGTAATGTATACACTTATTATGTACTGATATGCACCTTTTGCAAGAAAAAGCAATGTTTCATTTCCCCACCATTTAACTGCTGCTAATCATTTCAAGCCCGTGGTTTTACAACCACAAAAGCAGTAAAAAGGCAACTCCATATCAACTTTACTCGTAAATAATAGGTGAATAAAAATAAAAACCAAGACTTTATCTTGTTCCACTAAATCTACCTAGAAATGAACTCAGAAAAAAAATCCAACTTAAGGCTTTAGTTCCCCTTTAAGTTACATTACCATCAGGCTAAATGATGGTGAAGATATAAGTATTTATTCATGTTAATCACAAACAATAGTTCAATCAAAGGAGGAGTAAACATGATAGAAATGTTCCTTAGACAGAGAGTTTCAGATGGATGATGTCAGTCTGCATGTTTTAACTTAGATCCCATACCATTAAAAAATAATCTCACAAATGAAGCAATCTAATTTCTTTAGCACTTTCCAAGAATTCTGAAAGGAAGCCAATTTGCATACATAATCATGTAGTTTAATGACTACATGATTGGACTCTGGAAAAGATGTGAAATACGGTATTTTCAAATTAAATCTTACAAAAACTAAAACTTGGTTTGGCAATGATTTTACATTATCAGCCTTGCCTTTTTCCTTCAATATTAGAAAATTTCGGGCAGTTCTACATCTGGGTTACAGCTAATGTAATAACAATAAATAATTCGCATCCTTGCAATAAGTTTTTAGCGCTGATTTGTTTAAAAAAAATCCTGTTTTTACCTGTGCCTCTCTTATTAGTACTCCCCATGATTCTGTGTCGTAAGGATGATGTTGTAGCCGCAGTTCTGCTTTAATTCCGCGTTCAGTTGTGCTCCAAAATGTGACACCTCCATCCTTGACAAGCAAAACCAATTTCATCGATTGGGAAAAGCTCAAATTTAAAATTAACATACAAACTGAACAACCAAAAAAACGGCTAATTTCAAACAAAAAAATAATTCAAATGCTCATAATAAGTTGAAGTGATAATTCTCAGCGGACACTGATTAAGAAACAGAAATGTATCGGCCACTGAGCTACGTCAAATCAACAGATCTCTGGGAAACAGATTTCACAGCTTGCAAAATATGCCTTGGCAGTTAAATTTACCCTGAAGTTTACTTAATTTAACAAAACTCGGTGAAGCTTGGAAGGCACTTTGCTCATCACTTTCTTATTAAGCTCTTAACTACGACAACTTTGCCCCAAAATTGAATTTCTGTGCGGGTTTACCTTGATATGATCAGAGCTCATACGCCTTTCTACTGCACCATTACCAACTACCTGTCCCGCTGCTTGCATCATTTTACGCTCCAACAGTGATTTGAAACATTTCCTTAAACCTATATGGATAGAGTGGAAAGCCCTATAACTAAGTCACCACACGACTAAGAGGTAAAGCGAGGAATCAGACACACAATTTAGGAGGACATGGTGGAACGCGTGGTGGTGAGAAAGGCGATCGTGTAGGCGAGCAAGGAATGATGGGAGTGTGAGACCCAGCCCTACTCGATCATAATTTGCTTTCTGTCTTGATTAGGTTTTGCATTTCCAACCACTCTACGAGAGAGGGATTTTGCTCGAGTATAAAATGTTCTAACGCTGTACCCAAGGAGGATAACTCACTCATCACAGTCATGATAAGGTTACCTCAACACTTAGAAGCAGTAAAATCGATCTAAGTATTGCCCGACTTCACAAGTTTTGGATTGTGCGAAAGTAGCCATACTAGTATGCCCATTGGGACGAAATGATGTAGGCTCCCGAATAATTAATATTTATTCACCAAAGTGGAGGTCAAGAGCGCTTTTTATTCACTTCCGAATTAAACAATCAACGCGCGGGAAAAGCACTATTCACTTGTGTGGCATGTACTAGCTAACAACTCTCATAACTCTCGATAGGTTGTTGTGTTGTTTTTTTAGTTAAAATTTCAACAAAGTAATAGGGGATTCGGAGAGAGCGATTCGTTAAATGGAATCATCTTTTTGAATGAGAAATGTTGGCTTTTCTGTGTTTTTAATGTGTACATGTATTTTACCGCGCTTTATGAGAAAATGCGATACTACTGGACAGATGAAAAATATCAGATTACGGGAATATATATAACGGCGTAATATGTGACTGTAAGATTTTACGCCACTAACCCAGTCGGTAGATTAATTATAATAAATTAATAAATAATTAAATTATATTACTGGCGTAAAATTTACATTATATATATTAACGGCAAGCTTTGTCGCAAGATTCATGATTTGCTGAGTGTGCCGATTATATTTTTCTGGATTAGTTTGCTCGGTGCTATCTCCAGGTGAATGTTTCATTAAAATTAATTCTGGACGATTTTGTGTATATTTTCGATGCCTGGAGAAAGTGATCTTGTGGAGTCGCTTGTGTTTGGCCAAGGACGAATTCAAATACCATCGTTAGCATGTTTATTTGATTTTGTTATCTGGAATGAATAGTTAATATGATGTAATCTACAAACGTTGAAAATATATCAAGTCGAAGGAACAGTTTTGGTCTCGGTCCGCATTTATGTCAACAAAATAAACACATACACTTAAAAAGGATGATAATACGGACCACGTGCAAAACCGTCAATTGCTTCTCGAATGTTTCGCGTGTCAAATATTCAATAGTGACATCTCATTTACATCTACATCTACCTCCACTTTTATTACGTTGGTAAAATCTGTACAGAAATCACACCAACCACCTCGCGCGCAAAGTGAGAAGACTCTATGAAGGCTTGAAATTACATTGCGATCGATTTTCATCATGAAACGGGCTGAAATATTCCAGGATAGCGCAAATAATCGTGGAAGCTGATCGCGGAAAAGCGATTGCGTGACGCTTGGTAAGTTGCAAGATGACATGTTGTCACATACCAGACGAAAAAACTCTTTAGATTCTCAGTCTGCATTTTGTACCCACTCTGCAGTGTGCAGTCAACATTTTGTACCTAGTCTACATTTTGTATCCGGTCTGCAGTCTGCATGTTGTACTAACAGGTACCCGTGGCACCAATATTTTAGTTTTGGTTACAGTTATTCGCACAACACACTCAAAGTACCACAAAATATCTGTGTGTGAGTTAATTCGACATTTTCGTTCTTTTCCGCGCTAATACACTTCTTTCCTTTTGTAAGAATGTAGACATCACTTACAATGTAGTCCACCCATCCTTTGGTATTAAGACAGGCTAAATCGGACAGCAGCCAATTGCAAAGGAACAGAAGTGCTAACCAATGAAAATGAGGAAGAATGCAGGTCGAGAGGTACATATTGACGAAAGATGAACACAGCTACTGGTCATAAGTACACAGAAGCGATTAGTGTCTTTCAGAAGCGTGAAAGACTGAGGAAATCTTTACGGTATAAGAAAGCGCTGACTGAATCTTAAACAATTCAAGAGGAAAAGGACTTCACAGTACTACAGGTAGAGGTAAGCGAAAACTAATCGTCTGTCGGAATGTAAAATTAAAATTATTTGCAACTTAGGATTAAAAAGCTTAGTAGTTTTTGCAACGAGCTGCAGATCTTTTTCAAAGCAGTGTAACAAGCTAGAAAGAATCTACATAATCACTAACAGCTGAGTGGGTGGATGTCCATGAACGTTGGAGGTCCGGGTAATCTAGTTCCATTTAGTGAATAATACCGACTTCGGTTCTTAATCTAACTCTCGAACCTGTGCTGACTGCAAGGTGTTGTTCAACTTCCCTAGCAACGACCACACGGCGATAACTAATTCATGAGGTTAGAATTGTCAAAATTACGAAATGGCAATGGGTGGAAAGCCACAAGTAAATCTGCCAGATTTTTTAATATTCTAATCGACTTTTAAACAACCGCGACACTATCAGTATTACGGATTCCGTTGAATTTGAAATGTTGCGAATTATAACTTCCGCCCGAAAAGTGATCAAAGTGACAGCGTTCAATACCTCCTTACAATAATTAATGCAGAATCATTTATTAAGAGCATGAGGAAAATGGAAATGATAGCCAACTTAAGAAGCTTTGATGTTAAACAAATTCTCGTTGTCAACGAGAAGAATTTAGAGAATATATCAACTGATGTTAGAGCATTAAAGGTTAATGGCTGGCTAGGGTATCCAGTTAGATCGCACCATGGTTAGATCACTCCCAGTTAGATTGCTGCGACCAAAAGTTAGATCACTCCACTCGAAAGTTAGATTGCTCCATCAAATACGTTACTTCGCTACCAACATAAGTTACTTCGCTCCATGTTGTAAAGTGAAGTATTACTTACCAATGATCTTTAAAGTTTATAGGTGATGATGTGTCTTGAGACAATTCAAGTACATCGTATTCACTCTGTCTTTCATATTAGCCACCGAGCTACTGATGTATGATGTACAGTGATGATGGAATAAATGATCATAGAATAAATTATAATGTTATAGTCTGAAGTGTATTGAAAAAGATCATTCAAATACCAATACTATCCAGTGTGGCTTTTTTTTGCAGGTTGATATAACGAAACTGATATCTGCCATCTTTAATTAATAAAGTACATTACACTTTGTGAATACCTTTCATGAGGCTTTACTTGTTCTTTCTGAGTAGCTCAGATTTATTTCAAGCATGCACAAGCAATATCAATCAATTGTTCAGTAAGATATGTACGTCATTTAATGAACTATCAATTTAAATACCTTAGTTTTGCTGCCATTATCTTAGTTTTCTACATGGAGTGAAGTAACTTATGTTGGTGGCAAAGTCACTGATTTGATGAAACTTTGTAACTATCTAACTTTCAGGTGGAGGGATCTAACTTTTGGTTGGAGCAATCTAACTGGGAGCAATCGAACCATGGTGTGATCTAACTGTAATTCCTGGCTAGCATTTGCGCAGAATTAACTTAGGGTGAAGTGTTTGCACTGTCATGTTTAGATTTTTCTTAATTGTTTTTTTCTTGTGCAATTTTAGGGTTAACATGGAGCTAAGGATTATTTGGTTGCATGTTGTTCTGATTTGTTCACTGTCATTAATGTCAGAATCAGCCAGGGATGTTAACAAAGCTTTAAACATGGTAAGGAACGAGATGGCAGATCATCAAGCTAATGCAAACAAGATTATAGACTTCTTAACAAAAGGACCAGGAAAGCATCAAGTTTACAATAGACTTGCAACGTTTGTTGATACATTTGGCAGTCGAATTGCAGGCTCTGCCAATCTGGAACATGCTATAGATTACATGCTTGATGAACTGAAAGAGGATAAACTTGATAATGTACATGGTGAAGAAGTGAATGTAACCCACTGGGTGCGTGGTAAGGAATCAGCCCAAATGATTATGCCCAGGAATCACTCTATTGCCCTGCTTGGCCTTGGAGGTAGTGTAGGTACTCCACCTGAAGGTATAACTGCAGAAGTTTTGGTTGTGAGCTCATTTGACGAACTTCATGCCAAGGCCTCAGAGGTATATGGTACATCTTCTATGTAGTATCAACTCAGTTGATAAATTCAAATTAACTCATAATCCCCCCCCTTCCTCTCCCTACTGATGCAACGATGCAGTTTCTTTAGGAACTTACCTCCTTTTTTCTGTTTTTGCATAGTTAAGTCAAAACTTCATAAGATATCAGGCAGGACTTACCATTAAAGTGGTGGCTCTCTTGTTTAGGACCTAGATCTGGAATTTGGGGGCAAATGCTACTGTTGTTCATCATAATGAATTGTCACTTTCCTTGCCAAACAGCAAGTCATATCCTTCCTGAATTTCTTTTTCCCCTTGTCCCCCTACTGGCTCCCAGTTAACTTCTAGCATCAGAAGTTTCAGTTATTTAAAAGTCATAGGAAACTGTATCATTCATAAATGCTACTTCTATGCTATACTTACTTTACTCACTGGTATTTGCATGAGAACAAATTCGAAGATTAAGGCAGAGACATAATATATATTACAAAAGAATATATTGTGTAAAAAACAACTCTTTTCTCTACTCAAGTTGTCATAATGATATCTTTTTTGCAATATACTTTCCTCCATAAAGGCTAAAGGTAAAATTGTGGTTTTAAATGAGAAATGGATTAGTTATGAGAAGACAGTGGTTTATCGTACACAAGGGGCTGCAGAGGTGGCTAAAGTTGGTGGCCTTGCCTCCCTCATCCGTTCTGTGACACCATTTTCTATCTACAGTCCTCATACTGGTTGGCAATATTATGAGAAAGGTAAACTTATCAATACCTTTAAGTATATTACCTCTCTATCCTTACCTATTGCTTTTTAACCAACCCTGAAAATGATAAGATATGATAAGCCTTTTTTTTTTAATTAGCCTACTAGCCTTTTTTGCAGTGGTCATGTGGTCTCACCATACTCCAGTGTCTCTCACCTACAGGGCAATGCTGAAGAAATGCTGGAATTGAGACCATGAGAGAGTCAGATGAATTTCTTCAAGATTAAATTCTAATTTTTTGAAAGTACAAATTAAGGCAAAATCTCAGAACTTTAAGCATCTTCATCTAGGCCTTGACCAAATCAAGAATTAGTTATAAGAAAAAGAGAAAAAAGTCTGTGAATGGGAAGAAAACCCTTTGGGTCACTTGACTTTAAAAATTTGAAATTTATAATTGGACAATCTTTTGAATAATGTACAAAGAAGCATTAATTGTTGTACCAAACAGATACCTGCAGTATGCAGGTTGAAAATTATTTTACAAGCATCTAACTTTTATTAGAAACAGTCCTATATAATGCAAGGTAGGGCATGGCAATTCAATGGATATTGATGTCGTTTTTTACAGGAGTGAAGAAAATCCCGACAGCCTGTATTACAATAGAGGATGCAGAAATGATGACCAGGATGGCTGCTAGAGGAACAAAAATAATAGTTAATTTGAAAATGGAAGCCCAAAATTTGCCACAAGTAGTTTCTAGGAACACAGTTGCTGAGATAAAAGGCAGCGTGCATCCAGAACAGGTATCTGCATTTCATGGAGCTCATTTTCTCCTTAATGGCTACCAGGGCCCTGTTGGTCAAAGGGTGCTTAATACTATCCAAAGGATAATTCACTGTCCAGTGGATGAGTGTTAACAAAACAGACTTCACTGTCCACCAGTTAGATATTTATCCAATAGATAGCTATATCCACCTTGCGAATAACCAGGGCCTGATTTCTCAATTATGTGTGAATCTTATCATAGTATTTAACATCTATTTGTGATGTCCTCTTTTTCTGTCTTTCAGGTGGTTCTTGTCAGTGGCCATCTCGACAGCTGGGATGTTGGTCAAGGTGCAATGGATGATGGGGGTGGTGCATTCATTTCCTGGCAAGCACTGTCAGTTATTCGACAATTAGGTCTCAAACCAAAACGCACAATGCGGATGGTGCTATGGACAGGAGAAGAGGTGGGTCTTCTTGGAGCAGAACAGTACTACAACCGTCACAAAGATAGTGCAGGAAATTTCAGCTTGGTGATGGAGTCTGATATTGGAACCTTCAAGCCTCTAGGGATAGTGTTTCAAGGCAGTGAAAAAGCAGCAGTCATTATGAAGGATGTGATGGAGCTGTTGAAGCCAATTAATGTCACTAACCTAACAGTTACTCATGTTGGTGGGGATATCACCTTCTGGATCCAAGATGGAGTGCCAGGTGGAAGCTTGAAGAATGAGAACAGCAAGTACTTCTATTTCCACCACTCAAATGGTGACACCATGACTGTACAGGATCCTGATGCCATGGACCTGTGTGCTGCAGTGTGGACTGTTGTGGCTTACACTGTTGCCAATCTGGATGAAATGCTGCCTCGAAACTAGTAACAGCAGAACTATGATTACCAATGTAGTTCTCTTTCATTTTCAGTATTGTAAAAAGTCTTACTACTTTTTTAAGGTAGCAATGAGCTCAAGACACAGACACTAAAGCAAATGAAATAATATTTTTTAAATATAATTTAGTGTGAGATGAGATGAACATTCAGGTAGGAAAGGAGAAGGAGGGTGACATGATCTATACTTTAGAGACAGGAGAACATGTTTTTTAATTCTAATGCATGCCTTTCGCCAGATAGAATAGTTCATTGGAATTTGATTCTAGTAGTTAAAGTATATTTTTTTAAACACAAGTATATACTACTAAAATGATACCCCATTCACACCAAAGCATAGTTTAAAATTTTTTTCTTCATAGAAGCTGCTTAAATTGATGTTTGTTGACGTTAAATGAAGCACGTTGAAAACAGAAGTTGGCCATTTCTTGAATCCTGTGGGAAATTTGGTTTATGAGTTCTCTTAAACATGGTTTAAATCAACAGGTTTTGAAGGTGTGAATTAATTTAAGTTAAGTTAACACTTTGTAGTTGTAGGTTTTTTTTAGGAAACTTAGATAGGGGAATATTTCACTCCTTACTGTTTTGCAAGTTATGGTCCTCTGTACAGGGAAAGAAAAGGTCTTCTGGGGCATTACAATCCTATTCAATAGCTTCCCTAGGACAACTTAACAAATTCCTGTACAAGGAGGATTCCTAATAGCTCTACTATGTAGTCATATGGCACAAGCACAATAGCACCCAAGCTGACATAGACATCAGCAAAAGGTGTTGATTCCCCTTGTTAAAGTGAAACTACGGTCACTATTTTCAGACATACTCTATTCCCCTTCAGGGAAGATGGGTCCTTTGTCATTTTTTCAAATATCAAAGTCCATCCTGCCTTTGGAGGCTTTGACTCATAGCTGAAGCTTACTAATCTCTGTGGGGGAAATCTTGTCTGGACGTAACAACATGTGGATTTTTTTATTTCTGGGATAATCCCTTTTTCAAAATTTTGAGGAAGATTTGTAATTGACAGAATTTTTCAAATAAAAGAATTGTTTTTCAACGGAAACTACTAATGTTGATTTTTAAACCGCCGAGGGATAATTTACGCGAACCAAAAGACCAATATTTCAAAACTCTTCTGGTTTCACTGAGAACCTCCAAAATTAAAATTAAACCACATGGAAGTTTAATTGATAACGCAAAAACTTAACCGAACAGCAGGGAGCGAGGGGGCTGTCGGGCTTTAAGGTTTGAACGAGCTCGCTGCATTTCGAATAAGTCCCAGTGGGTTCTCGCTGAAAGTTTGTCTCTTCACTCAGTAGTCTGAATGGGTACAAGCGAAACCCAACCAGATGCGGAAAGTAGGTTATTTGGAATGGACTAGCGTCTTATATAGAAAGAATTACATTACTCCTTATTGCTTCAAACTAGTCCAGGAGGGATTAGAAAATTACTCGGACGACATTTGTGCTGACCTGTCCAACGCATATAAGGACTTACTAAACTTAACGTAATTTCCCTGTATTTCTGAACGTTCTTACCAAAAAAAGAGTGTACACACACGTATGTATGCTTGGTCCAGAAGCAAAGCCTCGAGGGAAATGTGAAATTTTGAGGACAATCTCTCAGCCGTGGACATTATCAAACCGACAAACCAGCAAGCCAGATAGGTGTTTGTTTATTTGATGACCCTCCCATTAATTTTCATATAATAATGAATGAATAATGGAGATGAAAGCCTTTAGTTAGCTTTTTTCTGCTATCTTTGTCTCTTTTCAAGGAAAATAATCGGAGGACATATATCGAAGTACGTTGACAGGGTTGTTTGGGAAATAACCCCCTTCAGGCGGCTGATAATATTTGCAGCCGAGATATTGTCCGAGAAATGAATATTTGGCAGAGAGCCGAAGCTTCGATGGCAAATGCGAAATTTTGAGGTCATTATCTCAGCCAAGGACACTATCAGCTGACACACCAGCAAGCCAGAAGAGGTTTTATTAATCTTATAACCCTTCCATTAATTTCTATGTCGCACGCAAATTTTGTTGCCTTTTGTACTTTCCGAAGCAGCATTTGAGAGCAGCTTTTTAATGTCGATACCACTGGAGCCAACAAAACAAGTTCGTTTATCTTTTATATACAGTAATAAAGGTGCAAAAGTGAAACTCTTGAGCTGTTTTTTTTTTTTTTTTCTTGCTGGCTTTGTTTCTTTTCGACGGAAATAATAGGAATGCAAATATCGACATAAACGGTATTATTGCGCAATTACTATCCGGTGATTTGTACCGCGTGACATAAAGCAGTTAATAGAATCGTGTGAAAATTAATGAGAGAGTGGAAGAGGTTATAATTAGTAAATAAACCCCTTCAGGCGGCTGGTGTGTCGGCTGATTATGCCTGCGGCTGAGATATTGTCCGAAAAAGGAATACAGCCGAACCTGTAATAAGTGGCACCGTATTGAGCAGTCATCCTGTATAAGCGGTTGGTTTTAAGCATCCCAAAATTTTCTTCACTTGATGAGTGTAATTTTATATGTATTAAGCGGCCACCTCTAGTAAGTGGTCATGGTCACCCTTTACTTAGTCTGATCCCAACAATTACTTGAAGGGCAACCACGCAGATAAAACTAAGAATAATGTTTGAGGAATTTTAGTCGGACTTGTTCAATACACCCTCGTAAATCTTCATAAAATCCAAAGCATTTTCCAATATTATCGGATCTCTCTGATTATCCAGGCATTTTCTCAACATAACAATCTCACGCCTTTGACTCGAAAAAGTTCCCGGGCACGTGGTCACTAGCTAACGCCGGCTGACTTGATGGAGTTGTGTTGACCCCATTCAAAGTTCTTTTTCTTGGAATTACAGAGTCAGAATGGAGTCAAGGGCCGTTTTCCTATGTCTTGCTTGTTTTTGCCTACCACAGTTAACATTAGTGTCGGCCAGGAGTGTTAATAAGGCCTTGAACATGATAAGGAATGAGATAACCGATCATCAAGTTGAAGCGAACAAAATAATGGACTTCTTGACTAAAGGAGCAGGAAAGCATCAAGTTTACGACAGACTTGCAAAATTTGTCGATACATTTGGCAGTCGAGTTGCAGGCTCTGCCAATCTGGAGTATGCTATAAATTACATGCTCGATGAACTGAAAGAGGACAAGCTTGATAATGTACATGGTGAAGAAGTGAATGTAACCCACTGGGTGCGTGGTAAGGAATCAGCCCAAATGATTATGCCCAGGAATCACTCTATTGCCCTGCTTGGCCTCGGAGGCAGTGTAGGTACTCTGCCTGAAGGTATAACTGCAGAAGTTTTGGTTGTGGGCTCATTTGATGAACTTCATGCCAAGGCCTTAGAGGTATATGGTACATCGTACACTATAACGTACTCTACAAATCGAACGGCACTAACAGATCAATTGTACTTCATAGTTTCAGTTGCCCAAATTCAGTAATATCCCTGGTACAAGAAGTATGCTTATAGGATCTTCAAAAAAGAGAGTTGCGACGTCTCTCCATGCCAGCTCTCATTTATGACTTACCCACTCGTTCCAGCCTAACCTCATATCTGAACTCCTGGACTAGTTTGAAGCAATAAGGAGTAATGTAATTCTTTCTATATAAGACGCTAGTCCATTCCAAATAACCTACTTTCCGCATCTGGTTGGGTTTCGCTTGTACCCATTCAGACTACTGGGTGAAGAGACAAACTTTCAGCGAGAACCCACTGGGACTTATTCGAAATGCAGCGAGCTCGTTCAAACCTTAAAGCCACTTTTACTTCCACAAAAAATGACAGTGTAAATTAGCCTGGTGCCACCAACAAGAACTGTCAAACTTCGTGATGAGAGTGACAAAAGCCATGGAAGATCATATCCTCCAACTAAATGCTTTTCATGATTCTGGGCTAAAGAGGTGGCCAGCAGGTTGTTCCCTCTGAATTATTTTAAGAGAAAAATCTTTCGATGATTGCAGTGAAATTCAGTGTCAAGTTACCCTAAAAAAATGCCAAAATGTAAAGCAAACGGGGTAACTATAGCACTTTTTCACTTCCCTGGTATATCTAGATTATGTCATTTCTTTTCCCCTGCAGGCAAAGGGTAAAATTGTGGTTTTTAACGAGAAGTGGATCAGTTATGGAAAGACAGTGGCTTATCGAGTATATGGCGCTATAGAGGTGGCTAAAGTTGGTGGTCTTGCCTCCCTCATCCGTTCTGTGACTCCATTTTCTATCTACAGTCCTCATACTGGTTGGCAAGTTTATGAAGAAGGTATAGTATGCCTGTGTTACCTATATATCTTTTACATATCGGTCTGTCATCAACCAGACAACCATGTAAGACTTTAAAACTTTAAAGGTCAAGAACAGATCCTTGCAGATACCAGAGTTACTGGTAGAAAATTCTGTGCCTGGCAGCTCATTCATATCAGTAATAGGCTATAGTATAAACAATAGTCTCCATTTAGCGCGAAAATACACACTGATATTTGTTCGTGCACATTATCTGTTTCAACTTGCAGACAGTTTTCCGGGAGCGAAGCTGGTGGAAAACTGCAAGCGTCGAGGAACAGGAACAGATAATGTCCTAAGACAAATATACGAGCGTATTTTCGCGCCAAAAAGAGGCTGTAGTGTTTATCATCAAATATATACCTTCAAATATTTTGCGACGCGGGAAAAAAATACTGTTTGCTGCCCGGGATGTTCTCTTTTCAGTACTCTCCGGTATGACGTCATTAACAAACAAAAATGTCCCTTTTTCTGTAACAACCCCAAAACGCTCTGTCATCTTGAATAAACTTTTAAATGGAGGCTCAGCGTAGTTGACGTAAGGTTTGAAATTGTGGAATATCCCTTGAGGTATATCCTCGGATATTCCCCATTTTTAGCTGGGAAGTATTCAGTCATGTGATGCGTTTAGACTAATCGCGCGCGAGCAGAAAATATTTGATTGATTACAATGCTAGGTGTGGCATTCCCATTCATATATATATATTGATGTCGTGTTTCATAGGAGTAAAGAAAATCCCCACAGCCTGTATTACAATAGAAGATGCAGAAATGATGGCCAGGATGGCAGCAAGAGGAACGAAAATAATCGTCAACTTGAAAATGGAAGCCCAAAATTTGCCGCCTGTAATTTCTAGGAACACGGTTGCTGAAATAAAAGGCAGCGTGTATCCAGAGCAGGTAAGTGCCTTTCAAAACTTTCTTTTAGGCTGGGACAACTGGCCCAATCCAACAGTGTTGGATTGGGACCAGTCACGTCACTGTAAAAGTGCAGCAGGTTACATCTGAGCGTAGTTTCGTCGATAATGTTGCTTGGTCAAACACTGAAGAGTTTATCCGGAAAATTTTCAAAGTCGAGCTGGGTTCCATATGATGCTTCGAACTTGACTGATTTAAATTTTTATGTCACGTTGCCTGTTCTTCGCCCCACAAGAGATTATTTCTTCTAAATGATTCATCCGGTCCTCTTTTTCTCTCCAATCATTTGCTTTTTTCCGTCTACAAGTTATTCCATAAGGCTTCTATTACAAATCTAATACCCCTGGTTATTAAAACCATCCCTCGCTTTGTATTTTGCATTTTAACATTACAACCACCTGGTCCCACCCTGGCAACCAAAGGGATTCCAACAAAATAGGTCGCCTGCATTTTCCTGTACTTGGAGCACGTCGCAGTTGTAGGAATTCGGTATAGGCAAGGCTATATCCTTTATACATACTTTATCTCTGATTGACTTTTGTGCTCTAAACAGCTTTTATTTCACTTCACTCAAAAAAGAAGAGCGTTAGTGAACAGTATGGTTCAAAAGACAAAATTAAGAACAAGATGTTCATTTACTTGGGTGATATGAGAATTCTCTAGCCGCTACGCAGAATCCCCCAGCTCAATTTTGATGGCAAGATCTCCTTCCTTTGATTCAGACGAGGAAAATATTATCTTTTTGGGTCACACTGATCTCCCGCTATTAATTTCGTAGCAAAAACTTCGTCAGTGTACAATGATCATGTCTTTTTTTCTTGACTTTTAGGTGGTTCTTGTTGGCAGTCACTTAGACAGCTGGGATGTCGGTCAAGGCGCAATGGATGATGGGGGCGGGGCGTTCATTTCCTGGCAAGCACTGTCAGCCATTCGACAATTAGGTCTCAGACCAAAACGTACAATGCGCATGGTGCTATGGACAGGAGAAGAAGAGAATGTCCTTGGAGGAAAACAGTATTATAACCTTCACAAAAAAAACGCTGGAAAATTCAGCTTAGTGATGGAGTCTGATTATGGAACCTTTAAGCCTGTAGGAATAGCCTTTCAAGGCAGTGAAAAAGCAGCAGATATTATGAGGGAGGTAGTGAAGCTTTTGAAGCCAATTAACGCCACCAATCTCAAAGCTGTTAATCTCGGTGGGGATATCGATCCTTGGATCCGACATGGGGTACCTGGTGGAAGCTTGGACAATGAAAACAGTAAATACTTCTTGTTTCACCACACAAATGGTGACACCATGACTGTACAAGACCCTGATGCCATGGATTTGTGTGCTGCGGTGTGGACTGTTGTGGCTTACACTGTTGCCGATCTAGATGAAATGCTGCCACGAGATTAATGCTAATAGAGAACTTTTTCCTTGGATTTCTATGTCATCCATTAGTTTCATATCTAGCAATTAGCTCACGAAACATAACCTCTGAAAACACATTTCAACAATGCGTGTCAGCAAAAGACAATTTTTATCACAATTTTTTAGGATTAGTCAGTGAAGTGAAGGTCAAGAGATAAGGTTTGGGAAATATCACTAGAATGACATGCACGGTTCTCATAGTCATGAATTTTTAAAAAAAGGGTATAAAAACTTTCAAACTTATATTTTTCTACGGCAAAATTTTTACCAATAAAGGGGTTAATTATGTCTGGGAAGAGTCAATTTTGGGATTGGTATTTCTCATGAAGGACAGATCTTAATGTCGAGTATTTGGAACGTGCTAGGTGACGTGATATGTATATCAATGATCGACTCCCATTAATTTGCTAAGATTGATAATTCGTGTACTTCCGACACTACTGTGTTCAAGGTTTCGAAGTTTTCAATTAATTAGTGCATTATGTTGGGCTTACAGTGAAACTGAGTGGGTACACACACGCACAAACTGATTGCAACGAACATTTCCCTTAACTGATGACGTCGGCAACAGAGAAACATAATTGATCACAAATTCCACTTGTTAAAACACCTGAATCTTAAATTTATCATTTTCGTTATGTCATTCTCTGATAGAACGTAAATAAAGAGTGCCTAGGCAAAAGTTTTGTAAGTGATTTGGGTAAAGCAAACCGAAAGTGGAATTGGCTTTCGCTATACCTTCAAGATGCAAAATAAGATTTACCGGGTTTTTGCAGTGGGAAGATCTGTATTTCTCATAGAGGACTGACTATTCTTCGTAATTTGTACCACGCATCTCTAAAAATGCAATTTTAAAGAGAAAATGTACAAACAGCATTTCGCGGCTAGTTCAACTTTTGGAAAACTGGATCCTGAGTTCGCTAACGTAAAACAATCCATCTCTTAATCCAAGTGCTTTCCAATGACCATCATGACACATGTACATAGTTACATGTACACAGTACAGATGCGAGTGAAGTTGCACGGTTAGTTCTTATCAAATAAAACGCAAAACCTCGGCTTGACATGAATGATATATTCAAAATGCATATAGCGCGTTAAACCCTTTACACCCTAACATTAGCATGTATATTCTCCATACAGTTCTTTATACACTTCCTATAGCACTGACAAGGAGAATTTAGAAAAAATCAGGAGTTTTTTTAAGTTTTTGATCATTTCCTTATTTTCAAGAGCCTTAAGTTTGATTCATTAGGATAACAACAGTGACGCTCTTCACCATAAGAGATTTAAGGGTTGTGATCAGAAATCAGTTCCTTTGCAAATCGTCGGGAATTGGAATACAAACGCTCATTTTAGCTGCAACGATACCCCTGGAAAATTTTGTCGCTGGCTCAATGTAAGATTATTTTGAAAGAGTTGTATAAAAGCTAACTACAACAATGCTTTAAGACGTTCGCTGTCACATTTGTATTGACAATTTCACGGTTGTGCTGAAGACCGTCATCATTTGGATCGAAGGTTGCATTCCTCCGTATTAATCGAAGTGCCATAAAATTAAAACCAAGGCAATCACAAGAGCCAATCATAACAAAGGAAAAAGGAGCTCTAATTTGTTTTAAGAGCCAATGAGAGCTCATAGTGACAGCAACCAAATTTCCTTAAGCGCGGGAAAACGCGGGCGACCAAGTCGCGATTGGTTTTAGTTTTGCATCTGATTGGTTGAAAAAGTGGCGCAAGCCTGGACCAGTTAAAACTTGCAGCACAGCGAAACCAAAGCAAATCCGGATTTGTTTCGACACTCAAATTGATATTTACTGTAGCAATCTAACATTATTATCGATCATTCGGCAGCGCTGTGGGAGGGTAAAGGTGATTTTTTGACAATGCTCCAATTAAATACAAAGTTTTCCGTGGAGTTGTTTTTGCGTCATGTTCCTTCTTTCCTTCTTTTGATTTGCCGCCTTGGTAGTCCTCGACTGAGGATGCTATATTCTCTACAACCTCCTTTTCGTCTAGTTTGTGTGACTTGAGAAATTCCAGCTGTTTTAGGTAAATCTGGATTCTTCTTCTGGCCAGTCGCCTTCGATTAGGAATCAGTATTACCTTTTCTTTTTGTTGCTCACTGTCGTTTTCATCTTTTACTTTTTCCACTTGTTCGTCTTTTGGGCGTTTCTTCGCTTCAGACTTTGGAATCGGGGGCAGAAAAGTATTCGTCCCAGTAACGGTGTCCATTTTCACCACCATCGCTTTTCGCTGGGACTGCGCAGATGATGATAGTCCGGCACGTTTGACTGTGTTTTTGTCTTTATTGTTGATATGAGTCTCTCCGGAACCACAAACAGACATTCTTTTATCGACGTTCAATGTTTTTCCGCGATTGCTAAGCGTGTTTCTTCTCCCGTCCAATGAACGCGCGAGGAACGAGTCACCATTCACCTGAGCCCGGAACACTTTCCTCGCAAACATTTGACTTCCTTGGTCATTGATGTTAACCCAAGCCTGCTTGGACTGCTTTGTCTCTGACACATCTTGAATCTTCTTTATGAAACCGTCAGGCCTGTCACTGATTCGAAGCCATCCCTTATCCATCTCTTTTCGATCTTTTAGTTGCTCTATGTTGAAGCTTTCCAAAGATTCTTCTTCATTCTCGTCTTGTTTCAGTCCCTGTTTGGCTACCTCAACCGGCGACAAGTCATCGGTTGTACATTCTGTCAATCTCTTGTGCTGTTGGGAGTCGTCTTCTTGAAGACTTTTCTCAAATTCATGGAGTTCTTTCGATTTGAAAAGCTTTTTCAGCTTTGGTGAGAGGTCATCGTCGACTTGATTTTGACCAGCAGCATCGCGATGCATCTCTTGGAGAACAACATCGGCCAGATGAGGTCGGCTTTCTGATGAAGCTACTAACAGTTCGGCCAGTGGAACCTTACGATTTAATAAATCGCTGCTGTGAAATCCAACCCTAGGCTTTCTTACGTTCCTGCGCACAAAAGTCCATCGAGTTTTTCCTGCTCTCTCCTTTTCCAGACGCTGCTCCAACTTTTCAACTTTTAGCTCAAGTCGCCTCAACTTCTGTTGGCCATGCATTCTTTGATTTCTCGTTCGGTCTGTTTTCTGGAGCAGTTCCTTAGTTTGTTTTATTTTTTCCTCCAAGTCTGTCTGAACCTCTTCGAGTCTCTCGACTTCTGTTAATTCACGAGTCTCGGTTTGTTGTTCAACGCAATCTTCCCCACTGTCTTCGCTCTCCGAGTCGCTGTCAAATCCGTTAAAAAAACCATTATCATCGAAGAATGCGTCAGAAGAAGAAGTGTCTGACTGAGTTTTTGACGTATTTTTTCGTCCCCGGTTTCGTAAGAAGTTTTGAGTAAAGGATGGAGAGCCTTGATCAGTTTTCTCCTTGATTTTCAATTTAATCTCGTGATCCTCAGGATGTTCTGAATCGGCGATGTCCTCGACTAAACTTTTAACAGTTTTCAATTGCTGTTGGAAGTTTCGTTGTTGAATGATTCCGGGCTTTTTTGCAGTTGTTTTCTTCCTTGACATCGCGGAAGGAATTATTGCAGTCGAGATTCACTAACCTTTACAGGAGAAACGCTAGTGATGTGTCGAGATGGTAACATCACCTTGCTATGTTGCTAAGAACTTTCTGGGCAATACATCAAATAGTAATTTTCACTTTTGTTAGCAGAACACTGCGTGAGTTTGAACGGATATCAAAACAACTTCCACATACCTGATAATTCAATATTAGCTTTACGTAAGTCGTTATAAATAATTAAGAGCAGTTTCAGATGTCGATTTATTTTGGTCCTGTGAGCAAAGTGGTGCCCCTAGCTGCAAAGGGATGAAAATTTTGCGTGAAATAGTTCCTAATTGTCAAGAAGTTCTTTGAGACATTCAAATACACCCAATGTTGTTACAAGGAAAAGTTATAGTCAAGAAGTTGTACCAGTGCTATTGTTTCAATAAGGATGAACATAACGTTTTTGCATAATTTATTAAGTTATTGTCGTAACAGTTTGTTTTAAATTCAAATTTCGTAAGAAAATTTCAGACAAAAGCTAACACCCAGAGCTTTATTCAACTATGCAAGTTGGTTCAGAGTTTTTGCACAGATATTCCAACACCTTTGTAAGGCAATGGTTATTGAAAGAGTGGAAGATATTTCTGGAATATCACTTTAATATTTATTTTTAAAGTAAATAATTCGTATGTCGGCTTACCACCCGCAGCCCAAATCGTGCACCAAGGGTATTACCGAAGTCGATATTTTTAGAAACAGCAAGAACTAAAACCTTAGGTTGCAATGGAAAGGATCATTTCTCATGCCCACACTTCAAAGGGGTACTAGAAATGGGCAATAGAGGATGAAAAAAAAAAGTATTTAATTTGTAAGATCAATGATTAACGGATTTTAGGCTCAAAATACAACTGCGTTACCTGCTCAGGTGTACTTAAAGCCATTTGAATGGCTTCCCTTATCGAGGCAAGGAATTATTTTACGCATTGAGCAAACTTAAATCATCGCGAGTACCATTAGTTTCGACGTTGTGGAATGATATACACGAATAAACGCATTACAGCTTTGCAAGTTTCTACCGCCACCAAGATGTATGTTGATGAGTTCAATTAATCATTAATCTAGTTGCATATAATTTATGTGGCAACTGGCTGTTAGATGCAGACTTCAGCCAATCAGAGTGACGGACATTATTCTCAAGTTCATTTCGCAACGTCAACCGCAAGATGTTAATTTGAGCGTGCTTGAAAAGGCTGGGGTGAAATGTAAAAGCGCGTCAGAAACGAATATTGATTGAGGAATTATTACTAAGCTCTTTTCATGAATGGCCTGGGGGTCTGGACGCGTAACTCACGCATTTCCTCTCTCCACTAAGAAGTTCAAAAGAGTACTTATAAACTGTCAAGAAACTTTAATTAAGTTAGAACTGGAATGATAGCAGTGAGATGGACGTGCGCCCGCCCGCGCACCCAGGAAGGATTAGATATACTAATAATTGTGTCATGCCATTAACAACCGGAATAAGTTTTGGCAATTTGCTTTATTTGGCTCAGAGAGACCCCAGCCCATCAAACTAGTTCCCAGGGCTTTTCCCTCGAATTGAAGGGGGATACGGAGGTCTCCCAGTCTTCAAGGGAAAAGCCCCTTAGAATGAATTTGTCTACACTACCTCAAAATAGTTGATACAAGTCAAAGAGGCGCGTAAATCTTAACTCACGACATTCTGTCACCACGCAATCTACGGTTTTTACTCCGACTAGTGCTCATACTGCGAACTACCGCTTCCAAGCTCCTCTTCCAGTTACAGGCTTACGAAAAATACATCCCATCAAAAGCCACCCCCCCTTTCGGGTATAGGTACCTCTGTCTATAAGCTTGCAAGCGGCAGTTAACAGTATTCACCAGAAATGGGGCATCGAGAGTGCATCTCGGGGAGTATAAGAAGTTAAATATTAAGCGATTTTAACATAGTATCCTCTTCTTCAGTGTCAAATTTGAAAACAACATTAATTCTTCATCGACATGACAAGCTTTATTGCTGGTAAAAATTTGCATCGATTTATATTTACAAATAATTATATCTTTGTTTGTAAAATACCTACACAAAGACTCTAACGATGATGAATATAGAATTCAGGGGGTATCAATTGCATGTAATACCCACTATGCTTCTACAAATTCTATTAAAGTAGACTTTTAACTTAAGTATTTTATTCAACACTGTAATTTTGGAAGCAGGCACATTGCATTCTTTATCTATTTCCTTGAAGATCTGTGAAGGACATTTTAAAAATCATATCTTGTATATAAGATATAACATAAGATGTAACAAAGAATGAAAACATACGAAAGACCTTTGTAATTGCACAATCAAAAAAAGGAAAGGCTTTATCAAAAATGTACATATTTATATGATAAGCTGAATCGTGTGTGAATTTTGACTGGTTCTTACTTATGATCTGTTGGAGGACAGACACATAATAGATATCAACATTAACAAAATGTTGCTTTTTCTTCGTGTAAAACAAATGTAGATGGTATGTTGTTGTTGTCTGTACAGTAATAGATCACAGAAGATACCAAAATGAGAACAATAGTGACATGATCAGCTGCACCTTGTGTGCCCCTTACCACATTTTGACATCGTCTGTTACTGAACTGACCCACAGAAACATGGGATCTATTCATCAAATATGCTTTAACAGGCGGAGGACAAAGTGAAATGATAAAATGAAACAAAAGACAGAAAAAAGTCATGATTGGTGATGTATTGCGTCAGGTAGGAAGAAAGAGAATATTTTTCAGCTGGCATCCATCACAATGAAAAAAAAATTCTTAATTTGGTTCTTGAAAGTACTATTGGCAAATAAAAATTCACATTTTCCCTTTCAAAGTATTAAGATCGTTTGAAGGTTCATTTTAGGCTGTAGTACACAGGGATCATAAGCATTTCATCCAATGACCATCTATCAATCATCATCACTAAAGGAAGATGTTGATGACATCTCTGAGTCAGAGTCATCCTCCTGGGCTGGTGCTGGGCCACCATCTGGGGCTGGGGCATCAGGATTTCTGGAAAACAATGCCATGAAAAAAAAGAATCATATAACTGTTATTGCAAGCCTCTAAGCACTATACAAAATGAAAGAGAGAGAAACAGTACTTTGCAAAGTGCTAGAAAATCTCAACTGGCAGGAGGCAGACCAGTTGGCTATTTACACAGCACAGCTAAGGAGTTGAAGATGGGGCAACCATAAACAAATCACAAATCCAGTGAGTAGCAGGATGGAGGACAGAATACAAGTCCAGCACCCCCTCCACTCACCCCCCCACCTCCTACTATGCTGTAGGGAGAACATGTAAATCATTTCTGTGTATGAAATGCTTGTGATGGTTAATAATCAAAAATAAAAAAAAACTTTGAAAAAGTGGCTGACAGGACAATAAAAGGAAGATTTTCATGATACTTACTCCAGCATACTTGGGTCAAGGCCCTCTGCTCGCATTTTGGGTGCAATTGCCATCAGTGGGACACCCTAAAAAATGAAAAAGTGCCCCCACAAGTTTATACTGAATTTACACCCTCTTAATCAAGAGAATTAAACAAGCCTGATGGAACCTTGGGATAATTTGAGACAGGAATAAAAAAGCAGGTTAAGATTTCTATTTGAATCCTCTCCATTTCACTTTGAAACTTAAGAGAACTGGTCACATGAGAAATATTGATGGAGTGTTGATGCATTTCAAGGAAAATGCGAATCATGCTCTTACAAAACTAAATCCCCTACAGTAACTGCCATTTGTACATGATTTTGGGGTTTGCTTATGTGTCCTGAACTTTCATGTAATTTGTCAGTACTCAATTGAGGTGTCAGCATCAAATCAAAGTGTTAATTGTTTTCTGAGTCCCAAATTAGGGGTATATTTGAAAGAGAAGCACCTACTATATACAGTCTTTAGAATGTGTCAAAAGTAGCAAGTCGCAGTAAGAATTATCATAACATCTGCATTTAATTTTCTTCCTCTAATTTTGCCTTTGCCTTTAATTATGGAAAAATACTCACCACTTTAACCATCTGAAAGTATTTAGCATATCTAGGATCTTTGGAAACAGTCATTGCTAAAAAAACAGATAAAAAAGAAAAGATAAATGATCTAATAGTTGTTTTCCTCAACATTTTTTTTGGTGACATCAAGAAGACTTATTTGTGTTGCCGACACATAAAAGCACCATGTCACAATGTTCTGAGTTGCTTATCCCTTATGCCAAGTTATCTTTTAACAAGGACACCTCACAATTTTAGAGGTTCTAACACTGACAGAAGTTTTGAGCATAAGCCCCATCGTCAAACATATTATATACAGTCCAGCTGAGCCTGAAAGTGTTGAATTTAGCAGTCTAGAGTTAGTTAAATTGGATTTTGAGTAAAGTTTTTCCAGTTTTTTTCTAAGGCAAAGTGCCTAATTGTAATGTACACTTTCCTTTCTTTTAAGTAAATTGACAGTATGGCAATTGTATCTGTTGCTGAGCCTACCTGGTTTCTCTGGTTCTGGAGCTGATCAGTAAATTTCATAGAAAATTAAAAAAGGATAAAACAAGTAGTAAGTGAATTGAGTTAGCTGAACAGAGGATGACAAGGGGATAGCTTCAATGGTTGGTGCATGCTCCATTTGGCTGAGATTAGTAGACCAACCTTCTATTCTGATGAAGGGACCAGGACATTTCTTTTAAATCATAAATGCTACGTCTATTAGCTATTGACATCTCAAGAATTATCAAACTATGACAAATCTATTTCCTTAATACAGAAGATGAACCCATCCTGACCACCTTAGAAAGAAAACTTAGAAATATATCAGTGTTCCCCTACTGAGAGTTTGCAATTATCACATTGTTTTTACAGCAGTACAATTAATTATCATGATGTTGATAAACATCATAAACTATTTAAAAGTTCTTGTTTTACAATTTTTTGCAAAAAAATACTGACTAAGTTCCCAGTATTTTGATTCCTACCTGGTTCTTCTGTGGTGGGTGGATGGGATGCCTGTGTGAATAATCAAGATAAATTGGTCAAGCCAGCTCAATGGCCAAAAGGGCCATCCAGGTTTTCATGCTTTTATTGCATTAACTTACCAGCAATATTAGCACCCCTCACCTCCCCCCCCCCCCCACATGGCCCTCCAGTCCATCACAGAGCTAATCCTCTGTTCCTTAACCCTTTAACTCCCAAGATCTGATTGTTAATTCTCCCCTGCAGCTGCTACACATTTCCTTGTAAATTAGTTATGAGAACTTGGTGCTAGATCAAGATAGCAGATTCTACCTGGTAAGTTTGAATATTCTCATTCCTTGTTTGCTGAAGAATGTATCGATATTGTAGGGAGAAGTTTTATGTTAATCACTTCTGGGAGTTAAAGGCTTAAGTCTGCTTCCTAGCCATTCTTTGGGATGTCATGCAAGGCTTCTCCCCAAGAGAAAGTTTCTCTTGGGGGAGAAAGTTGCTTTGGCTACACAAACTTGTTCTTTTGGGTTGCACAAGTAAAATATTTTCCAAAGTACACAAGATTGTGACTCCACCAGGACTTGAACCTGGGCATTACAATGAGGAGTCCAACAAACCAACCAATTGAGCAAAATGTCTCATGCATTCCGATGCATAAATAGGGAGTTTAAGATGTCACTATGGTGACCTGTGATAAAACATTGCTGAAAAAATGTAATTTATTTTCCTTTAAGACTTTCACTGATAACTAGATACGTTCAATGTTTCTGACAGTACAACATCTTCACTTTGGCATAATATGTAAATGTAATGTTGAGTTCAAGGTAAAAATATGACCAAATTGCTGTTAAGGTTTCCTTGCTAAGAGGACATAAAAGTTGGCAACTTAATGTTTTAGATTTGTATGGGACAGCAAAGAAATGTCCAAAAATTTAAAATACACATGTTTCGCTACTGTTCTGCAGATAGCTTTTATTTTGCTACATTCTCACTGCCGTTGCCATCGTGGTTTTCTTAAAGTCCTTATTATAAGAAGGGGGACTTACTGGTATATCTTAAAAAGTTTGAGGTATGGGTATCATTTAACCCTTTCACTACCAAGATCCCACTATTAATTATTAAGGCTACACTGTTATGCTGTTATTATTTGTTAACTCAACCCTTTGACCTCTAAGACTGACTAACAAGTAATTTCTTCTTATAATAACAACCCACAATCACACATTAAGGTTAGGAGAATATAGGAAATGAACACCAACTCAAGAAGCTCTTGATTGTTAAACAAATTCTCCTTGTCAGTATCTTAGGAAATGTATAGAGAACTATATGGAGAAAATGCATACTGATTTTAGGGTGTAAAGGGTTAACATACTTCTGCTGATGGTTGTGGTGCACCAGGAGCTGGAGGAGGAGCCATGCCTGGAGCAGGAGCAGGAGCAGGTGCTTCCTGGTCAGGCTGACTTGGCGCAGGTGTTGACACTGTTACATCCTCAAGGCCTGGGATAGATGCTAACTACATTGCAAATGAAAAAGATAAATTGATGTGTAATTATTTCTCATCATGACCAGTGGTTGAGAATAAAACCAATCAGTTAAGATCAATGATTTAAAGGAGATACACATGCAGGAAAAACTCTCCGGGAAACTACTGTACACTAAAATGAGAATTATTTTGACTCCAAATGTATGCATAAAACCTTTCCTCACCCACTTCTCTTTTTCAAAGTTGCTTTTGGTTAGTATTTTCGTCAAAAAAAAAAACATGGTTTGATTGTAATGTAATGTAATAATTTATTTATTGTCAAGGACTTGGGAAGTGGTTGCCCAATATTCTAAGCAACAAGGCTCATGTATAAAATGCTTGGCAACAAAACAAAAAAATCTCTAAGATTTAACACACACAACAAAGCAACTTTTCAAGGGAGAGGAAGGGGTATTTCTTACTTATTTATTAGCTAAACTAAAATAATAAGCCTTGAAACAAAATTTTATCAGCAGGTTATGCCCATATTGGATTCCAGTAATTTTTTTGCTAAGACCTGAAGATTCTCCGAGGCTTTGAACATTTAATAATATCTCAACTTTAAATTCCTACTTTTTGAACATTGCAAATGCAGTAATGAGTCCTACCTTGGCTTCTAAAATGCTCATCATTATTTCAATTCTCTGAATCTTATTGGATAAATCTGCTAATTTCTGTGATTCAAAAACATGAGGTACAAACAATTACTTGATATTCTCAGTTACTTAAGTTATAGTCACCATTTCTTTATCAGTTCTTGCTTTATACAATGGAACCTCTCCCTTCGACACTTCTATTCAGGAGACACCTCCATTCAGGGGAGACAAACTTTTGTCCCAGAAAAAAGTTCATATAATCCTTATATCTGTCACCTATTTTGAAGGGACACCCCTATTCAGGGGGAAAGAGACCCTTTTTCTTGGTCCTGTGCTTGAAGACATTTTTGCAACAATGTTAATTACTCACTTTTGTGATAGATACTCACCTCCTCACAAACACATGAAAATCTATTCAGGAATCTAACTGAATGAGTAATAAAATGATTGAGGAATGCTAAGGTTCTCTTGTGGTTTATTGGCCCAACCTGTGAAAATAAACATAACTCATTCAATTTCACATTTGAACAGGGCTACGCACATTGCATTTAAAAGATTTTACCATTTGAATCATATAATGATTATGGCAAAGCCCAAACAAGTTGTACCATAACAAGAGACAAGGAAGCACAGGCTTAGCTTCACTGATTTCTTTCAATTCATTATCTGCCCTACTCTGATGTGCAGACGATCTGTATACACTACGGTTACCCACACTGGAAATTAATTTATGCCCCTGAGCAAGAAATTGCCATTTCCGGGGAGGTGCAATTTCAATTCTTTTCCAGGGCTCCTGAACACGACCGGATTAAAGCATTTTCTTAATGGACGTTTTCTTTTTTCAACTACCAAAAATCCTATGTACCACACGGAAAAGTATAGTTATTAATTTTAAAGTATAAGAATGCATGGGCTACAAATTTTTACACAGGTACGTACCTTGGTGTAATCGACATTTGGTCCTACAATAGGTAAACCATCGCTGTCCATTTTCCTCAATTTTTTTTGTAAATTCAACTACTGCTGGTAATTAATATCTACCCCACGACTCTTTCAAGGCTGCAACGTACTGGAAAGAAATCAAAATTAAGGTCAGTTGTCAAGGCCTTCACACCTTTCGCTTTTAGTTCGATTTCGATATTAACGAAAAACACCTCTAGTATTCTTGAACAGCAGTAGCCCTTTCACTTCAAATAAGAGTCACTAAAATAAGGCACGTGACCACACCTAAGAGGACGCTACGTGTTTTGTTTCGCATAATGGGGGCTGGTTAAATTATAATTTTCTGCCTTTTTGCGAGGTTTTTACATCCCAATCCACGATGGAGCGACAGAAACGATACGAAGTGGCTCTTTTAATTATATACTTGGTTGCTACACTGGTGGTGGGTACTAATGCAGAAGGAGATTCTTGTCGAATGGGGCAGCGATATCCTGGCGAAATGGTCAATATCGCACAGGCCAAGGAAAACGCCAAGCAAGATAACGGAATTGTTACTGTCCCTAAGGGATCTACCGTGAACTCTTCCTTACAGTGTGAGCAAGGTTGCTGCAGTTATGATAACTGCACAGTTTACCTGTTTTACCCTCGACCACCAACACTTGGCGAGGACAAAAAATTTAACTGTTTCTACCTCAACTGTCGGCCTCAAGAGTTGTGCTCTAAGGCCTTTGTTAACGTGAGCGATAAAGCGGAGGGATCTGTGGTTGGGATCCGAGATCTGCAACAAGGTAAATGAGCTGGTGCCTGTAGAATTACCCAATTCTTCGTATGCACAGGACAGTACGTGCGAGGGTAGGATAGCGTAACAAGTTCATAGTTTTGTGTCGATCCACATGATGACATTTACACCACAACTTATATATAATATTATTAAATTTTCAGCCTCGTATTATGTTGCTACTCTTGGATCTACAGTTATTTAGTTCCATGTTCTGGTCGCTAATTATTGGTACGGGGTTGATACATCATTGCACGGTCATATTAGTCGTATCGTTTCAAAACATATTCAGATCATTCTTACTGTTAACAATTCAAGCAAAGCGTTAACAGGCCGTGGTAACTTGAGGGATACAAATTAAAGTAAATTCCCTTTAAATGAAGATCAAGAAGGAAGGAGGATGTGGTAATAACAGTTGAAACAAGGGATTATATTCGTAGTTATACCCAATTTATTAATGAATTGTCCAATTAATTGTTGCATCTTACTATGCTATGCAACAATTCTTAACCAATTCAATTGATATAATTTTCTTTGAATTTCCTGTCACATGATCTCCTGTTTGCTTTGTAGGAAATTAACACTATTTTCTAACATCAAATTTGAATTACTTTTGTTTTCAAGCAACCATTTTCTATCATTTGATTATTATTATGTGTGGCAGGGAATTGTTGTTCAATGGTTGTTTTTTGTTCAACTGGTCAGACTTTTATTAAAACAAGGAGCTTGAAGAGAAAATGCACAAATATACAAATTTTTACTGCACAGCTGGTGTTACCAAGGTGACTGGGAAAAACGTCAGCTTTTTTACTCTTTACAGTGGCCAATTTATGTTTTCAACTCAGTTTTTAACACAAAATTACCTGACTGGAAAACAGCTAACCAATCAAATCACACAATACAGTTGATTAACCAATCATTGTACAGAATCAAAGCAAGCAAAACTAGGGAACTTTTCCCTTTCAAGTTTGTTTTGCATTGATGGTTTTCAATCCAATTATGCTTGATTCAATCAACTTTGGCTGCTTGCATTCTTTGTAATTGGTGATATGATTAGTAAGTTTTATTGATACAGTCCTGGTAACCTTAGCAACACTGTGAAAAAATACATTTGGGGGATTTGAAATGTTTTGCTTTAGAGCGAAAGACTTGATTGTTACATGTTGCTCATTCCCACTCTCTAATGTTCAGTGGCACATTATGATAAATAGTATATGACTACAGAATAAACTAGGAACAGGACATAAGGTAGATTTAAGTGAAGATAAACCAGCAACCATTTGTTTAAATTCATATTATGATATGTGGCATGAAATTGATGTTTTATCATGCCACTCGTAATAATTATCAATAAAACAAAAGTAGTTGCACAGACTAGATTGCATAGAAGGAAGCTTGTAATACCCTTTGAAGCAAAATTCAAGATTTAAATCTTGAGTCATCAAAGACTTGAGATGTTGGACTGAAAGCCCTTTTAAGCCTTAGACTGAAAGTATTTTTGCATTAAAATCTCTTTGAAGAGAGACTGCCTTTTTAAATAATAATATTGGCATAAAATGTTTTGAATATGAGTTTCTTCTGACTTTCAGATAATGCAGTTATACTTCAAGCAGATGGAAAAGCACTAAAAGATGTGTCCACAGAAAAACCAGCTTCTGAAGTGACAAGTGCAACTACTGATCAGTCACATGCTGATGTTTCATCTGTAAAGGTGACTATTGCAGCCTAACAATGATTATTATGATATCATGCAATTTTTTTTTATTTGATATTGGCTGAAAGCCATTTGTACGTTGTTGTTTTGATTCAAAAATTCACTTTCATCCATTACTCCATCATGTTGTCCTTCCAATTCTGTTAACTTTTTCAGTAAATCCACAGACTAGCTTATATAACTTAAGATTACTTCCCACCTTCAGAGGTGGAAAAATATAATTTTTCTTTTATTTGACTGAACTGAATTCAAACATTCAACCTAATGTTTCCAAAAAAAATCTCTGAAATCTTTAAAAGTACCCAAGATATTAAGAAAAATGTCTTTTCAAATAAAAGTTAATAATTGAGGAAGGTGTCATAATCTTGGGCCTCGGCAAGTCATCTGGCAGAATTTTTGGGGTATCCGTTCATCTTGGGGCTCGTTTTTCATGTTATTTCCATATTTTGTTTACGCCGTGGGCTTAACAAAATTCACATGCAGAAGCTTTTTGCTTATGGAAAGATGATTGCTTATGGAAAAATCAAAAACAGAAGAAAGTCCTTGATAAAAAAAAAAAAGATGAAAAGAAAAACAGACCCAAGGAAAGGAGTACCACTCTGTCAAGAAAAGAAAAATTCCTTTGTGGAAGTGACTAGTATTGGCAGAGCTCCACACTGGTGTCCAGATTTCAAACAAAGAAGTTGCTGTTAAACCAAAATTTGCCATACAAAATATTTTCAAGGCTAGTACTTTATGTAAGTACTAGCCTTGATACAAAAACATCAACAATCACCTCAAATCTTAATTTTGAATGCTTTCTGTCAATTCATTGTTTTGCTCCTCAGCACATTCTGTGGTTTTTCCACTTTGGCCGCAGGTTTTGTCTTTGCCTTTGGCAACTTTGCTTATTATTGCGTCATCCTCCTCAATGCTCCTCTGAGCAATCAGGATAAAAAAAACCTTTCTGCAATGGGTTACTTTTCCCGGGAAATCTTGATTCATCATCATTGACACCAGAAGGTCTGGTTGTCCCATTGGTTTGCAGTTTCAGGAGGCAAGATAATCTCCTGGCATGGCATGAGTTGTTTGCAAACCTTTATGAGCTAAAATCTCGCATTTGATTTTGGAAGGAATACAACTACTTTGAGCAAATTTATAGGGTATATAGATGCAGATGCAGCACCCATCATGTCCTGAATTTTCTCAACAAGAATGTCTTCCCTCCAGCCGTTTGTCTGGACAGACATTACATAGTGGAAGGAGTGGTCTTTGAAGATACTGAAACAAAAACAGGCACATCACTTTGCAGATAGATACTCGAGCAAAAATTCAGATGACTTGTAAAGAAAATAAATTTCGCCAAAACATTCCAAGAATAATGAAAAACGAAAGTGTGTCAGAAAATTTTAGATATTTGAAGTATTTGTCCCATGTTGTCCATTTATGTAACACACCTTGCATATTTTCAGCTACTCCAACTTTAGACACCAATATCTAGACAACCAATCGGAATATCAAAAAAGCTTGACACACTTTTGTTGATTGATGCCTTGTGAATAAGACTCTGCAGCCATTTTACTCATGCTGCGGCATCCAAATACCAAATAAATTCAATATAAGAACCTGTGGTTGTTTCATGCTTTACTGGCTCCTGACTCTTGCTCAAAAGAAAAGTCACCTAAATTATATTTTTATCATAATCTGCAGTTATCTGCAAGCTTTCTTCTGCGTACAATTTTTTTTTCCCCAAAGGACACCTGCGAAGGTGGGAAGTAACTTTAAACTATTTCTATAATGTAAAGGTTTCATATATACACCTTTTTGACTCGCAAAAAGTACACTTGAACCTTCACCTTATTTTCGTTGAAGAAAGGAAAGACAAACGCTGCACCTTGAGCTATGGTTGTGGGCTCTTAAATTCTGATTACAATCAATGGTTGTGCTTTAAGCAAAATTAAATTATTTTATGCTTTTGAAGAAGGTAATTAAAAAATGACGCTATCTCTTGGTATTGATCCAGTGACCTCTTGCTTAAGAGGAGAAGCACTGTCCATTGCACCAATTTTGCTGAGCATACTTGAAGATTTCCCTGTGCCTTGTGTGTGTGAACCACAAAAATGAAATATGACCTTTCTTAATCAAAGCTAAAACTCTAATGTGAATACACATCAGTAGCCTTGACATCTCACCCTTTCATAATTCATTTTCTGATTGTAGTGATAGCCACTGCTATCTCTGTTATTTTCTAAACCACTCAAGTACTTCTTTTAGATTGAACATCAAGCTGATGATGCTAGTCTGTTATTGGTCAACACATTTCTTTAAATCTTCCTTTTAAGTCTGAAAGGATTTTTTGTGCTTCAGAAACATTGTTGATGTTTTTTATTATTATCCAGACATCTGTAACTCCTCCTCCAAAGACCACTGCTTATAGTACTGAAATGAAGGAAACATTCAATGTAACAATGAAAGTTGGAATTGAAGGTAATTTCCTGATAAGGGTAATGGTTTGAAATCTTGGAAAGAAGGTTTTATCACTGTACGAATAAGTGGATGCAATTGGCTCTCAAGAACTCAAATCTGTGAAGAAAATAAAAACAAGAATTTGAGTTTTTGAGATGCATGGAGTTGAAAGCAAGTGTTGAGAATTAAGAGCAAAATGATGTTTGTTGTATCCCTCCAATATATACATGACCAGGGTATGTTTTCATAAAATTTTTAATCAAGTTGTGAAACAAAAATGAGTTTAGAAGAAGGAGTTAAGTATAAAAGCTTTAACCCTTCACACCCAAACATGCATATTCTCCATTTTATAACTTCTTGATACATTTCCTAAGATGGTGATGAGGAGAACTTGTTTAACAATCAAAAGTCCTTTACATGTAGTTGGTGATCTTTTTCTTTATTCTCGAGACACCTTACTGTGTGATCCAGGGCTTGTATGGTAAGGAGAAATTAGATACTAAACACTCTTATGGGTCAAAAGGTTGAGAACAGAGTGCATAGAGGTTAAATTTATCAAGAAATATTTGAATTTATAAAAAAGGTGATGAATTATGGTGATAATCTTCACTTCTGGGATGAAAGTTGTGAAATTATTTGTTTCTTTCTAGCCTCAGGAACATCCCTTCCAAAGAAATTGGAAAGAGAATTGTATGGTGACAATCACACCACATATCCATCCCTGGTTATAGCTCTTGGATTCGGTCTTTTGTTCCTTTGTGCTGCTGTTGTTTTGATCGGTCGTCCTTGGTGGTTTGCATTCCACAGACCAAGATATTCCAAGGTGGATTATCTAATGAATGGACTCTGAAGCTCCCATGTAGTTGTTATGTAAATATTGTGATCCACTTTGCCTGTGGCTGTTCAGTAGTAAAAGTCAGGGTGACAGTGGACAAAAGTGTTGAAATAAAAATACAAGGGAATGCCTCTATATTGTTCTTGTCACACTTTGATGTCTCTTTTTAATTAATACCAAGGAGGGGTACAGCAAAATGGAGTATAATTTTTTGAGATGTACTAATAGAGAGGGCAAGGTTTTGGCAATGATGACATCATTAATGGTTGTCTTTGGAAAAGTGTTTATCATAGGGATGAGAACTTATAAAAATGTGTGAATTTGCATAGTTTAGAGTATTATATAAAGAGTAATATTTTGTGAGATATTGGATGACCATTCTCAACTTGTCACAACAATCTGCAATTTTTTTTAACAGGTAATGTTGTGGTGGGGTGATATAGAATGCATGTGTATATATAGCTGTACCAGCTATTAAAACTAGCCATTTTATGAAAGCCATTCATATTTATCAAAGAAAAGAGCATCCTAATTATCATAGTACTAAGTATACCTATTTACTTTATGTCTAAGCTGTTAAAAAATGCATGTATGGAAGGTTTGGCAATGGTGAGATAATTTTTTAACAAATTCATGTAACCAAAGTCCTTATCAAAACTTGTCATCATTGTCATTTATTGTTGATGTTGCTTTGATGAAATATATGTCTCTTCAATCTAGGCCATTTAGAGACATATCAGGGTGAATTTCTTAGGAGTGCAATGCTGTTTCTAGTTTTCTTCCTAGAGATATACAAGTTGTGAACATACAAAAACTAGAGATTTGTTGATGTCATACACTCAATCAAATTTTTCTGTGAAAATGAAGTACACATCTAAACTAATTTATAACTGTAGGATTTTACAATCAGAACAACAGTTTGTGTCACTAGTGAGTATATTGGAGGATGAAATTTTGATCGTAGTAGCTTTACAAGTCCTAAATGGACTATTTGAATAGGGTAATTAGACAGTTTCAATTTTTATTGGAAGTCTTCATTCTTGATTTTCTTTATGTGGGAGGTGATTAAGCTTGTCTTATAAACCATAGACAAAAGAGGAAAACACCTTTTTGATTTTGTTAAGGATTTGATTTTAGTATTGAGTGGCACTAGTGTGTATACCTTAAAATCTTTTGTTGCAGTCACTGTGATAGGTATTACATCAGGGGTTACATATATCTAAAAATTACATATTACTTACTATAATTGTTGGCTTACTTATTGCAACCATGAAATGGGGAAAGGTATGGAGGCTAATTATTATTAAGGTTGATTCAATCATTTTCCTCGGTAAAACATGTGGGACTTAAAAATGCTGATTAATAATGCATCCATTTGATTCCCCAAACAGTGAGGATGAAAGGTAAATCCTAAACTTTGGGTAAAAGTGACATTACTATGTTGCGAGGCAAGAGCAGTTCTAAGTTGGTAAATTTGCTTAAGGTGATATTAATAAAGTTATGTTCTCATAAAAGTAGCTACCTTCAGCACACTCCCAATTAATAAACACATTTATGTTGCTTTGGATCAGTTGCATATGAAGTCATTTGGCCAGTCATAAATATGCTACATTTATACATACACACCTATTAAACATGTAGTTTTGCAATCTATATTTACCTACCTTGTTCGTGAGTGAAAATATGAAATGAGTGAGTTTGGGTGGAATATTTCCTTTACAAATAGATAGGGGAGATAAAAGTGATGATTTTTGTTCAGCTGAGAGGTACATATTATTTTGTAATCATGGGGTTAGAGCATTGTTTAGATCATTACCATGAGTTATTTGAAAGCTTTAGACACAATAGCATCATGTTGAAGAAAAGAGTATTTTAGTTTATCTCAGACCCCAACAGCTTCATGAGATATCTTGTTCATGAGAAACAGTCATCTGTGATCATCTAAATTTAGGTGCACCTCAAGGGTGATAAAAACCTAACTGATTGTCCTGAGCTAGTAGATTTCCCAGCAGGGGCAAGCTTGGGTAATAGTCTGGGCATGCTATTTTTAAATCCCAAAGGAAGGCAGGTTTATTTTCTACTGACCTAGTATTTCTGCATTCATAATCCCTTAAAACCAGTAGCTAGTGAAAATGCCAGAACATCGTTTTCCAATTAATTTGTAGGTCATGATGCAAAACATAAATCAAGTAGACCATGGATTTCGATGACTTTTTCATTAATTGGTGAAGTAAATGGTAAAATAGACTGCTGTGACCACTTTGGATTAAATCCTTAAAGATGGCAGCAAGAGGCCTTAAGAGAACTAGTGAACTGCAGGTGACTGGCATTGGTTAAAACCACTGAATACAAGCAAAGCAAGTACAAGAACTTAACCTTCAGTTTTAATTTTTTAATTAAAAAGGAAGATCAAATGTAGAAATCTCATTTTCCAGAGTTGTTCTTTGAAGATATTTTTAAGAGGAAATAGCTCTTTTTTTATCATGATCAGAAACTTTTAAGGACACATAAGTAGGGAGAGAGCCCATTTGGTGTTTAGGTGGTAATTAAAACCTGGTTCCTTTAGCTTTTTATTATCAATGAATTTATGGAAAGGAATTGGAAAGGGAAGTTGTGCTGGTCCATTTTGCAGTTGAAATATGGGTGTTTACATATACTCACTGTGCACAACATCAAGGAAAAAATGGAAGAGGCATTTGTCAAATTTGTTCTGTTTGTTCAGGATGATAATGGAAAAGGCAACTTCATAAGGAAGCAAAGAAAGAGGGGGGGTGGTACTCCATCTCTCTGTTTCAGTACAGGGACCTGGGTGCTTCTACTATTGTGGAATTTAGGGGAAAAATGCATCTTTAAGGAGCAATTTTTAGAGACCATCAATTTAAGATTTGAAAATTATAAAAAAATCTTGTACTGGTTATTAGTACTGGCCATCTCAGAGGAAGTTAGTAAGATTAGGACAGTGTTAAACCCTAATGATTTCAATTTTTTGTCTCCTTTTTTTTTCAGTGTAAAATGGTGGCATGGCGTTTCTGATGTCAAGTGCACTAACTCTCCCTAGTAGTTCTTTCTGGTAGAGTGCAAAGTAATTTCTGATTCAACTTAAGCAATAGGATTTTCTTGAGGGGGTGGAGGAGGAGGTGGTTGATATAAGCTTACATTGAGGTGGCCAGAAATAAAGTACTTAAAATGTGACATCCTTAGGCTTCCTGCTAATGACATATAAGGCATTGACAAAGACAGGCATGTCCAAGCATAAATTCATATATCAAGTACTCCCACACAATGACGTTTTTAACTTAGATAAAATAAACATTGTTTTGAAAATAAGCCAATTTTATTTTATACCCTAACTTCCAAAATGCCTATTCCAGAGAAGTGTTAAGGAAAAATCATGAGATAATTTTCAGTTTCAGTCTTGTGTAATTATGAAGAAAGCAGAACACTGACCTGTTCCTCTTTTTAATTGATTCCTGAATTTGGGGAAAATTTGTTCGATAATCTTGTGATTTTTTTTTAAAAGATGAGACTGAAAGTCACATTTTATGTAACCCTTAAAAAACACCTGCTGATTCATGCAAAATTGAAAAATTCTAAAAATAACTCATCACAAGAAAGGGTTTGTTTTTCAAATTAAATTTTGTATGGGGGCACCATACTGTCTGTTATCAAAACACCTCTCCTTGATAGGTTGCCTCCCCATGAATTTCCCTAAAGTAAGAGGAAAACAATTCATTAGTGAAAGATTCAAGACCTTAAAAATAAATGCAAATGAGGCAAAAGATCTATTTTTCATCCTCCAGTAATTTATCTTAGTAAATCCAGATTAAGAAATCAAAAGACAGATTTGACAGACACAACTTTATTACTTCATTTCATTCTTTTCCATTCAGGCTAATTTTATAGTGAGAGAAAGTTGCTTTGTCATATCAGAGTAATTTCCTTTAAGTTCCTTTCTGTTGTTTTGAAACTTTTAATTTCTTAAACTTTAAATACCTTAACAGAGCTGTATCTTCAATAACCCTTATGGTTTCACTGCAATAAAACTAAGATAATCTTTATCTCTGGAAGTAGTTTCAAAACAAATCTATATATAAATATATAACCCTCACAGCTGCTCTCCAAATCAAATTAAAACACCAATATTTTTTACTTTAGTTACACAACACCCAGGCATCAAATAGTTGATGTAAAATATGTATCAACTAACAACACACTTGCATGTATGAACTCGAAACATATCGAAATATTCTTCCTTTCCGTAAATACCTTGTTAACAGTTTTTTTAACTTTATTTTGCTTCTTTTTTTCTTTTGCCATTCGCTATAAGAAACACAGAGAACACATATCTTCTAGGATTTTGAACACTTTGAAATCAACATGGAATAGATTCTTTTTCATTATATCACCTAAAAGTAATCATATCATGTTACTGTAGATAGAATGTAATCAAAATATGCAGTATCTGGTGTTGGTACATGTATATTCACATACAGATTCTTTTAATTACAGACTGACTTAAATAATAATAATTATAAGTTCTTCACAGAAGATACAAAGATGTCTGTGCATCGGTTTTACAAATGACTGCTTTAATGCCCAAGGTAATCTGCAGTTTTGAGCTAGAAAATATATTTCACATACATCACTCTTGGATAATCAACAGTCCTGCATATCAAGCTAAAAATGTAACATGCTCACTGATCTAAAAGATACACACAGCTGACACCACCTCCCTTTTCATAAGTTAATCCCTTTCTACAGTAATAATGGTAGTTCTATCTTCTGGATGATTTTTCTTCCTGCTACAAAATGTTTGATAAAACATTCTTGATCCATCTTAATCTTTCATCCAGTTTCTTTTTACAACATAGAGATTATGTAATCACTGTATTATTAACAAAGTCCAACCAAACTAAAAAAACTAGCAAGATAAAATACCAGCAGAGAAGAAAAAGATAAAACTGGTCTATAAAACATTACAGTAACTATGTTTCAACAATTTCAATGCCTTTCATCTGCATGCCAACATGAGCAGGGCACCCAAACCAAGCCCAGCAACAGCAGCGACATGCCAGCCTTTATTCCCCTTTCCTGGAGATTCGTCGTCTCTGTTGAAGAAGGCAATGAAACCATCCTACAAAACAAAAACAGAAGCATGTTACTTCACCCATATAGGAAAACCAATCACTCCTGCAATGGTAGTTTGTCCTGTTCTCTACACCGGTGAGTATCTAGATACAAGCCACAAAAGTAAAATGGAAAAAAACTTTTAGCAGCTGGTGAGCTATAAATATTCTTTCCATGCTTAACTGAACCTTTCCATTCCATTCCATTTATTTATAGGAGATTCCTGGAATTTTTTACAATGGAAATCATTTCAAGTGTCTGTTTAAGGAGACCATCCAACAAAGGACTTGAAGAACATGGCAGTGCTTTCACCATACAATAAGATATAAGTCAATTTAGTTGTGCTCCAGAGCACATACAATGTCACTAGGCAACATTTATGGCAAACATAAAGGAGCAGACCATTCCTGAACAGTGTTATAATGACCGAAAGTAACATAACTGTTCACCTGAGCATTCAACTTTCCTACTACATTAAGATAACAGTGCTTATTATAACATCCTATGTACATCATGCTTTTGATGAGATCAGTGTTCAAAAGGAGAAAAAAATTTTGACACACAAAAGAGATTTCAAGACAGACATCCTTAAGTTGTAAGAAGGGCTTTCCCACCTATGGAATCTCAACAATATAGTTGTAATATAAAAACTGCATGGTCACACTAAGTATGGCTGCTTATATTTTTATATGTAGCGTCTGCAGCTGCTTTCTCCATTAGGTAAATATTGAGTGTAGTACAGAGGTCTGTTGTGGCTAAAAACCTTCAACTCAAACTACAGAAATATGGTCGAATTGACTCGCCCATAGGAAAAAAATTTGAACCAAAAAAATGTTGTTAATGCTGGAAGCCAACCAACTGTAACCTTGTCGCATATCAACTTGCTGGAGCATCGTTAAATCCTACCACGACACCGAGAATTGTAATTGAGGGGAAAAGGAAGGAAGCGATAAAAAAGAGAGTATTTAATCTGCATTGAATATCTCCCCAGAAATGTTACATATATGGAAATGGAGAGATTTCCGCCGCTTTCAAATGAAATTTTTCAAACATTTTTACGTCTAAGTACTAGCTGGAGGCCCCGATACACATCTTGGCGCCGACTAGATGATTCTGGCAATCTGTTAATTCAAATCTGTATTCCAAAACATTGAATTGGTAATTCAACGACTGGAACAACCAAGATCTGCCCCCACATATAGATTACTGAGCAACGTATTTCGAAAACGCTAGCTAGTCACATTATTTTTATAGCATATTTCGTATTCAACCCTCTTCATCAACAAAAACGAAAACAGTTTCTCTTGCCAGTGAGGAATAAAGTCCCCCGGGAAGTAAGAGCTATTCTTGAAAATACACGATCGAACGACACTGACGGGCAGGAAGATCGAAATAAGGATTTTAAATTTATCTCACAACTGAAATTTTTCACTTTCTGGCGCAAAGGAACATTTGTGGATTTTTGTAATTTCCCTTAAATGGGCAAAAAATATTTCGAAGTAAGGCCATCGAGAGGGATTCAACAGCTACCTTCCGTAAGAAGCTTACAATATTTAAGAAGAAATTTTCACGAAACCCTCCCAAGAATTTTCCAACCTTGTTAGATTTGTCGACAAAGTCACTGTCTATATTTTTTGATAATTTACTTCAAAGAGCAACGCAATCCTGTATTTTTTAAAAATATTTTCTACAATTTTACTATTTATAAAAGCGCGCCCTTCATCAAACCAGTCTTGTGTCAACAACGAGTGAATCAGCGATTTTTATACTCCACTGAGTACGTTTACTATACTAAGTATAACCTTATTCCTCTCTTTAAAATCTATAATACTCTCTGCGAAACAAATCTTCGCTGATAATTTTCCTATCCACAATTACTCACCCATCCACCGTTGTCGTCGATCCATGGGCTAAGTTTTTCGTTCATGTACGCGGAGACCCAGTCGACAATGTTGTCAATATTTGAAGCAAGATCCTCTTTTTGCGCACAATGTACAGCTAAAGTGGCCCCAAATGCCAGAAACGCCACTATGCGACCCCAGTTTTCACCATTCTGGAAAATTTCATCTGCAATTCCCACAAAGGTAGGATAAGTTGTGGCATGAGTGAGGTGAAGTTGGTCGCACATGGAATCAAACAATTGGCTGTTCTCTTCTATGAGTTCGTCTGCTACCCGTCGCAAATGACGGGCTGCCTTCGATGGAGGCAAATTCTCATGATATCCTGGCAAGAAAATGTTCTTCTGTCGAAGTCTGTAACCGACGTAGTCATTCACAATGTTGCGAAAAGATTGTAGTCTGTTCTCTTCGGCCATTTCAAACGGTCAGTTTTCACTAGCCCTGCTGAAGCTGTGTCTTCTATGAAATAGTACAATCAACTTGAGGTTCTGTTCTCTACCAATCACGTCACTGGCTGCTATGAAAAGAATTAAATTTATTAGTTTATTAATGACGCAACAGAGATGTCAGTGTGTTTGACGTCTGTTTCCGGTGAGAGTGGTCATGATACAAAATAAACCAGGCCAGAGGAGAAACTTGCACAATGCACCACGCGTTTCTTTTTTTTAATTCGATAGACTAGAGGCCAAAGGCGTTAGCACAAGCATGTAATGACTTGGTTTTCTTGAACACTTCTTGTACACAGAATAATGTATTAAATTCAACACGACAGCTCATAAAACGACAAAAAAAATAATGATTTTGCTTTCAGTTAGTCCAGGATCTTTCCTAGTATGGTATTTGATGTGATATGCGTGTAAAACTAATTTCGTTAGAGTTAAGTTTACTGCGTACGTGATAAAATTCGCGTGGAGCTATTTAAAATACAGCGTCACAATAGCCGGGCGGTAAGAGGTCAAATAAGAGGTGTGCAAGCTTGCAGAAATGCAGAGCGAAGCAGAAATTTATCGTGTTTTAAATTGATTGCTTCTTAATCCACTACTGTTACGCAATTAAAATAGGGTTTAAACATAATTTAAAAGTTAGTAGAGGCGGTAACCAAGATTTTGTTACTGTCGAGAAATCGCATCATGGCTTTTTATGGAAATTTACCAAACCCGGGTAACCGAACTTGTGCCAATCTCTGGAACCAATTTTGGCGTTTTCTAAACATAACTCGAGAAATACTGTTCAAAAATAAATACATTTCCAACAAGTGAATTTTTTCAATTTGGCCTTCTACGCAATAGATAGCGGTACATTCAATTTAAGGCATTTGATAACGAGCTGTTATATCAGAAGGAATGACAAATTATGCAAAAAACAAAAAAAAAACGCAAATTAGTTGTTGCCCTCCTACTCTAGAGGCAATGAGTTTGCTCAGGCCTCGTCAACACGCAAGCACGTGTGTATTTTCGCTAAAACGGCATCCTTCGTTGCTTTATTGCAACGTAACATTTTGAAAGAGAAATAAATATAATTTCTTCAGAGATTTCTTTACGAAGGGTTGGCTCTGAGAATTCAGATGAATTTGTTGATTTCGTGTGAATTTCTAAGTTTTGGTAAACACTGTAAATACTTGTCAATCAGTGCGTTAAATCGCGTGAGTCACATGCGTGCCCAAGTCACAACCTGTTCCGTTTTCTTTTCTTTTATCATCATTGCTCTTTTAGATTGAAAATAAAGATTCACTGCTATTTTTTTCTCATCATCACGTATTGATGGCTACCCCTCCCCCTTGCCTCCCCCCCTCCCCGACCTCGATTTTGATCACATACAGAAATTTACATCATCACGGTTTATCTTTGAGAAGACTGTTTTTTATGATGTTTTGCAGTATTTTTTTTTCTAAAAAACTAGTTAGCCTTTGCACAACAAAAAGATGCTTTGGAAATTGAGGGAAAATTCCATCCCATGCTTATTTTGCTTAGATCTCGATATCTGATCGAGAACTGCGTTACTTATTTATAGAATTCAAAACAGTTCGTGGGTGTTTTTGGTGCCTCTTCGTCTTAAGCGGTTTTTCCGTTTTTTTCTTTTCTCTGTTTATGAATTAGTTCCGGATCGGAAAGCTGTATTGAACCTTCTAATGTAGAAACAGTAACAAAAAGATTGTAATTTGCACGAAGAAGATTGTTTGTCGAACCCCACACATGCAGTGTCAAATGTAGGGCACGCGACTGACTTAAAGGTGACACGAGCCAGGATCTACGAAAACGAGAGAGTTTTTCTTTTTCGCTTGGTCAAAATAGATATATAACAAACAATCGATGTTCTGAGAGTATTTTCGTTTATCATAACAAAAAGCATGATAAAATTTTTGCTAGAATCATCGTCTGCGTTATACTGTCAACTTGATGACCGATACAATAATGCATACGTCAGCATGAAGGTTAAAAAATCTCAACGATTCGAGAAATCCCATCTTATCTTAATTATAGCTTTGATATCAGGCCTTAATATCGTTGGAGTCGAGAAGCTATGCAGACCTGCTGAGGGACTTTAATTGTATCGAGATTCATACCTTCATACCCTTCATTCCACGATGAGTAATTTTTCATCTATGGACACCATAATTTCTTTTTTCTGTTTCTGCCTTGACGTTTTGATTATAATGTTCATTGATTAATGTCATGGTATTTTCTCCTACGTCCATACACCAAATCTCGAGTGCGTGCATATCTTTTAGCCTGGAACAGAATTGCTTTCGCGCACTTCAACTGATTTTGTCTTAAAGTCTCGATATTGCATCATTTACCTAATTCATAAAAGGGACGCTTTACCCATCAATCTGAAAGCGAGATGTGTAATCGGTTTCAACTATTGCTTGTTTCCCCAAAATAATTCCCTAACCTGTAAACGCGGAAACGGTCACTAGATTCGAACTGTATGACTTCAATACCAGACGGAGCCGTGTTACGGAAATAGTTTAAGCTTAGCATACTCTGGCCTGTCATCTTGAGCTTTAGAGGAACTCTATGATGTTGTCGATCATGTTTTGTAATTTTGTTCCGGCCTTGCTGAAAATATGCTGTTCATTCGCAGAAGTTGCACTCTGAACTCTTCGTAGGGGACATCTCATTATTATCACTGTGTTTTTTTTAGAATATTTTTCTCCGAAGGAATTAAAACCGATCATTTTAATTTGTTTGCGAAGCGGCTGAAATCGAATCGACCAATGCAATTGAATAGAAAATCCGGGGAATACTGCATTGGAATGCTTCCAGTATTTTGAATGGTGATGAATTGATGACAAAAATGTTTAGTTGCTATGACAGTAATTAAAGTATGTTTATCTCAATTAATTAATTTCGTATTAAGGTGTATTTACCTGTTATTTTTGATATTAAAGAATAGTGTCAGCCGACTTTGATTTAGACTTTGCCTTCATGTTAATATCAAAACCATCTTCAACAAAACCGTGCGTAAAAAGCGTTCCTGACATTGCTGGCCGAAAAGTATAGAGCCTCTCGGTTTTTCCTTCGACCCCTATTTTCTGTACTAACTTCAAATTTATAGGACGATAATGCTGATTTTTTTGAGATGTACAACGCTTTTGTTATATAAAACTTTTTTAGTTTTGTATTGTACTCTTTATATTTTCCGATTTACGTACTTGAACTCGGTGAAGGTTACATTTTTATTAGGTTAACTTTTACTGAGTTGTTACTCTTGATGAAAATGCGATTGCATTAACCATTCCCTTGGTTGATTGAACTATCTTGGTCGAGAACTTAAAACGTTTTGCAAGTGAGGCTTAACCTAGTTTTCCATTCAACACACCATTGAATTAATCCAGTCATGATAGTGGTCAAAGATTTTTTTGGAAAGCATTAGATGACACGGCTTTGAATTATGCGCTGAACAAACAACGGGATCAAACAATCTGACATAACTGATGAAGCATAAGTTGTACGAAATTGCTTGATTACTCACCTCTGCGATCAGCTCGCCAGACTTTCGCATAAACCTTCTCTCAAAAAGGAATGACTTGCAATGCTAACACCTAAAATATTGCTGTGAAATACTCCGCAATTGTTCAATTTACGTCAGAACTCTTTCCTTACTCACAGTCTGAGAGCTAATGATTTTCACTCAGCAGATGCAATTAACATTAAACACTAAACCGCCGCCTCACGCGAACTTAACTGAGCATTGAGTCATAAGATAAGAATTTCCGGTACTTTTTTTTACGCAGGCCAATACAGATCGCGGATTCTGAACTTGTTTGTAATAGAAAATGATTTCAGGGAAAGACCTTGTACAATTAATGTTTACTTCCTTTTCAGTGTCAAAGCAATCCCGCGGTACTCACGATTTTCAGTTTTAGTTTAAGAAGGTTTGACAATGGTTCTGAGTTGTTTGCCTACATTCCTTGAGAAAACGTATCACAAACATTGATAATTTACAAACAAGTTATGTCATAAACACACAAACTAATTTTGCTGGTGTGGTACAATTCAGTACCTCCGCTCCACAAGAAGCATTTTGTATTACGTTCCGGTCACTGAAGGGTAAAGACCTTGTGGGAAAGTCCCTTTCTCGAGAAGCGTGTTTATAAAATTATTTTTTTCGTTCTCTGCAAATAGTAAGGCAAAGTAGTTTTAATTTTAAAAGGTTATGGCCAGTAAACACCTTAAACTAATTATAGTAATTTTGAGGTCTATGAAGTCCAAACATCGAAGGGGTTCTTTGAAGCCTTTGGGGGCTTTGAGTTCATATTTCACGTTTGCTTTTTGTGAAAAATCTGTGGTAGTCTTATTTGACTAATCATCGACCAAATTTTTGGAAGATGACCGCAATTTTTTAATTAAATGAAGTAACTTCTGCGATTTTCTGATAGTCATTGGATTATGGATAGTTTAACTAAGTTCGGATTTAATGAATACAAAAAATTTTCTGGCGGAGATTTACATTTCATTTTTTGAGAATTTTATGTTCTGCAAGAATTTATCTTTGCAGAGCGCTTTGCGAATAGTCGGGTCACGTAAATATCATAAGGCAAGTCACGCCTCACACTGGTTCAAAAATTCATGAATCACGCTTGCCTTTCTATAGAATTCAAAGCTTAGTCACGCATCACGTATAAACTCTTTGCTAACCTCAACAAAAGGTGGACTCCGATAAAAAGTAAGAAAGCAAGGGCTTCAATTTGCAGAGAGAGGGCCTCTCTGAACAAAGTTCTGAGGAGTTCCCTTGTCTCCTTCTAGCTTACTTCTTCAACAAAATTTCCATCTCTGGCCACCTGGCCATAATTTCTTAAGGAGCGAGTAAACTTATCCACCAGCCTTAGTGGAAAATAAATTGGTTCTGTTTTGATTCTATGAGATAAGATAAAGATCATTCTCAACTGTCGGGCCTTAACTCTAAGTCGCTGACCCTAATCTTCTCTGAATTATACTTCTTCTCAATTCATTCGTAAAGAACTCACAACTATTCCAAGAATGAATTATAAAAAATAAAATTTTCAAATAAATTGAATCAAATTTATGAAAAGAATGATACTTTTAATCTATCGCGATCTTTCAGTGCCATTGCCACCCATCTCTGGCACAGCACTCCGTGGATCCTGATCGAGGCGCCTGTTTGAATACACAAATATCATCGTAAAGAGAGAGGAGGCCTTTGAAAGGGCACTAAATAGTATTACTTCTCAGTGAAATAGTTAAAAAAAAAGGAAATGAAAGTTAGGCTATAGTCATTGAAAGGTTTGTCTGGAAATGCTTTTTAATACCTCGGACAAAAAATTTCTTTTAATATTAATATTACTGATTGTCACGATTGTTTTATGTGTCAGAAAGAAAGCTGTCTACAAACCGAAGCGCTAAACCCAGAGTCGAAGTGACATACATCCGACACATCCGTGACGTGGGGGACCCACTTTGCCCGTTTTGGCTGTCCTCCAACCGGTGAATAAGAAACAATCAGCCCCTTAGAACTATATGGGCACCTGTTCAATGTGTGGTTTTACAACTTAATTGAACGTGATGGGTAGTGATGTGCTGTCACAACTTAGGAAAACGTGGCATTTGTTGACATTAGACAAGTGGCACCAACACATGCTGACTCATCAGTTGTTCAAGTCAATTGTGTCTGTTTCCTTGTTCAAAGTCACGAGTGTCCCGTTAATTACAACGCGTGACCAGGCGGGAACTTCTTGTTTAAACGAAGGGCCTTTTGCCAAAAAGGTGCATGAATCAGTCATAAGGGAAGATGTATCTTTCTATTCTTTTTTTCCTGAGTTGGTCAAGTACGCAAAGGAATGTAACCCGGTACTTCTCTTAGGTAAAGGTACCTGTTACGGAACGTGCCTTTGTGGTTGACTTTGATGCATAAACTTTTGTTTTTTTCTTCAACGTCCCGGAAAAATCAGTGTTCCTCTTATCACGTAGAGCCAGCTGAAAAAAAGGGACATCGTAACAGTACGTGATTTGATCGCAGCATATTACTCTGTTGGAAAGCTAGGCTCAACTTGGGTTTGTACACATGGGATAAGTTTTTAAAGAAACTGTGGTGCTGCGTCGGTGGGAGAGTATAACAGGGTAATTTAGTGTTGTCAATTGAGTTGACAGCGTAAATTGGCCACCGTAAAGACTTTCAAAGCTGACATTGCGATCGTTAGCCCTTAGTCTTTCGCTTTGACGAAGAGCTAACGCTCGAAACGTCAGCTTTGGAACTCTTTATGGTGGCCAATTTACGTTATCAACTCAGTTGATAATACTTAATTACCCTGGGGTTTGTACAAGTTTGGGACCACCCTTCTTTTCTCATGTTATTTTAACCTCCTGTTATGTGCACATCGTTTTAATCTTTTAAGGTTAAAAGTAAATATTACAGCTTATTGATTTGTTTAAGAAATAGACCCCATTTTCCATCAGTTTACCAGCGTAATAACCCATTGAGGATGTTGGAAGAACACTTGAAAAGTTTGTAAATCACTCACCTCTGGCTTGCGATTTACAAATTATTTTTTTGAGTATAAAATAATCGCCAACTTTTCCATGAGTTCAGTGGAACAATAAACGATTTGTTTCCAGCCGATCAAGGCCTTCGTAGTTTATCAATTATTTTCCAAAATATGTCGGAGGGGACTAGATCTACTACTTTAATGATGAAAAGCTACAATATTCATTCTGGTGTGGACAGTTAATGTTTCAACCTGTCAGTTTCAATTCAGTAACTCCAGTGCAAACGAGTTTGTTGCTCAAGTTCTGACAGGAGATTGACAGTCATTCATAGCCATCAAAGTATCGCCAATCACTAGTTTATGCTCCCGTCATTCTTTGCGCTGTATATTGTAACCAAACTGCTCACGTGCATGAAGACGATTAGCATATGTTCCTTCTACCAAGTAAACATTATCAAAATATTTTTCTTTTAAAAATTTCGCTGCCGTTTGTAGTGTGCATGGCCTTAATAAACCAAAATAAACAATACAAAAACGACAAGGCACAATTTTATCGAAAAAAAGCTCTAGTTTAAACAATAGAACGTTTACCATAGTACACGTTATAAGTCGTTATAGGCAATTGGGCATTAACAATCTACAAAAAGAGCAAATAGTTCGTTTTCGGAGAAGAAGTACGTACCTGTAGAAACAGGGTAGGTTCTTCTTCTCCAAAAACTTAGTTTCCAGTTGATATATGGAAGTAGGTGGCCTACTTTCATAAATTAATTGAAAACTACTCAGTATTCAAGGTACACTACTGGAATAAGTTATGGACAAACAATAGCCACAATAAAAGCATTACCAGCTTCAAACAAGTCTGGCGTGGCTTCACTACGAGAATAGCAAAGACACCCAATTCATGGTGCTGAATCAATAGCCTAGAAATTCCAGGAAGAAATGCCAAGAGTGGTATTAGGTCAAAAGTGTCAAGACTGAAAATAATTAGTTAGCTTTCTAATCAAAAGCACCTGCGGAAAAAGAGTAGATTATACTTTAAAATGAATCGATATTAGCCTGTACATTAAGTTGGTTGTATCCGTTCACACAAAAAATCGATATACCAAAGACCAATGTCTAAATTACTTTTTCTAATTTAGGTTTCCCACACCTATATTCATAAAAGTGGATATCGAATACAAAGCACTTCCTATGATATCAAGCTTGTGCGTTTTGGGCATTTTAAAATAAACATGAGCAATCATTCTACTTCTTGTTTTGATGACAACGGCAATTTTTTGAAACACCTGCCTATTCAAAAGGTGTAGTACAATATCCTAAGTAAACTTTAAAACAAGTTCAAGCGCAAAAGACAAATTCGAATTGAATTTCAAAAAGTTCAAATCACTTCGAAAAATCCTGCAATTTTATTTTGTTTTACAATTGAACAAGAAACTGTAAAAAAAGTCCCGTGGTGTGATTATCACGGAGGAGGGCATTTAATCGACATTTAATCGACATTTAATCGACATTTAATCGACATTTAATCAACAATTTACCGCATTTCCTCGAATAAACGCCCACGCTCTGATAAACGCCCTCCCCCGAGTAAGCGCTCACCTTGTAGGCCATAATGTCAAACACGCGCTCCCCTCAAATAGGCAGCCCCCCGTCATCGGCTCGATTACTTTCTTTTGACCTGTTTCTATTGTTCCATTAATTTCTGAGTAGTTATTTAGGCTGGTAATAGACCCAACTGAAACGGTTACGGTTTCTGACAAAATCTTCTCAGAAATCTATAGAAAACCCGCCAGAACTTCGCACCCAGATTCCTGCCTAGAAGACGACACAATTTTGATGAACAAATAAATAAAAGTGGGAAAAAAATTTGAATTAGATCAATAATAAATATCAGTGTTATAGAGCATTAAGCATGGGTCTTGGCCATTTCGAGCCCCAGGCCCATCGAGCCCGTATCAAGCTTTATAGCTTTAAGTTATTGACGAGGAGAGGGGCTGGGGTTTGGTCCCATGTTCGACCTGAGACCAAATTTTAGAGAGAATGAATAAATGATGGGATGTTATTCAGATCCTCGCCGTCTTTAGCACCGGCTAAGGCTATACAGAAAGCATGAAAGTGTAAGTGATAAAGCAACGAGAAAATAATCTTACGAACAGGCTTCAGATGCGAGGGTCGAGGAAGAATTCGCCTGGACTGAAACTGTGGCGGGAAAGGGCTGCTGGGGGAGGGGGTGGTAGAAGTGGAAATGATCGAGAGCGGCCTCCTTTTCTCTTCCCTCCTCTTTACCCTTACCCACTCCTCTCTCTCTTCTTTATTTCCCGTTTCCTCTTTGCCCTATCTAGATAGAGATCCTGTCCACAGGCTACGATTGTACTTGAAACATATTTCAAAGACAAATATCCTTGCTCAGTGGTGCTGTTTTTCTCGAGTTTGAGTGGAGGAGCTTTAGAGTGACCACCTATTGAGGAGAGCAGAAAAATTGATACTTATTTTCTGTTAAGACCTCTTCAATGTGAGTACCCTAAAAATATCAAAATTTTTCGGTAGTTTGATGGTCTGGTGAGTAGATCTGCGACATTCTTATTAATTTGGGGAACCGTGACTGCGGCGCCAAAAACCTACCTCGCTTTTTCACTCCGCCGCTTCTATCGCGCATCTATCGCGCTTCTATGGCGCTTCTGTCGCCGCCTCTATCGCTCTCGTAGACTGGAACAGGCCACGAGAACGATAGCCTGGAACAGGCTATGAGAGCTAAAGAAAGACAGCAGTGGTCGTCTTTTCAGTAATATGAATATTAAAACTGCCATCGTCTTTTTTTAATAATACTGAATTAAACAGCTTATTTGAAAATTTCAACCAAAATCCGAATATAAACAGTAAGAAGCGTTACTGAAGGATACGGTTCTTTCACCAGCTGCAAGTTCCGCTGTATTTTTTTGTTTTGTTTTGTTTTTTTAATTTATTTACTGACAAAAAAAATCGCAGTTATAATTAAAACTATGTTATATTACGAAGGAACAACTCGGTAACGACTAAAAATAGTCTGCTCGATTTTCTTGTAGAAGATCAGAACCCGGCTAAATAATTTATTTCCTTTTATCCAATCACACAACACCTTGAGCTAATTATGCAAGATGGCGTCAATTCGTTGTGTACGGTGGATATGTCGTTACTTGTTAGGAGATTTTGCTTTGTACAGCAAAACTTGGAGGTGATCGATGGAACGTTGGTATAGATAGCCCTTGGAATTAATTTGAATTGTATTTCCTCGAGACTGGAGGTCAGTATTCATAAGTTCATGTATAACATGTGTTTCTCTTCCAATGATAGATAAACACACGCGATATGCAAAATCTCCCCCAATTGTCTTTTCACGTGGCCATTGTGAAGTTTCAGTTCGCCCACTGGCCTTCTTGCTAGCGATTTCTTCAGTGTTTTATCTCGCATGGCGAGAAATGATAGAAACTGAAAGACATCGAAGGGAATTTTAACGGCCTCGAAACCATAGGACTAGCTTACAGTGGTCATACGAGTATCGTATTGAGGTAACATAATGATGTGATATTGAGATCAATTTTGAAGTTTATTCATTTAACCGGTTAGACGAGCTGTTTTATACTCTACAATCTTAAATAATATAACGTCTTTAGCCTAACTTATTCAATCCTAAGTCACGGGGTGCTATTTGGTGGCACGATCTTTAAAAACTTTCTCAAGATCCAACAGAGACGCTTGACTTGTGTTTGGGATTTCACAATGTTACCTGACCATGCAAGTTGACATAACAAGCTAGATATTTTAAAAATAATCTTAGACTTTTGCGATGATTCAAAAATTTCTTTTTGCCTCTTTGTAGGGCGATAAACACTAATATCTCGAAAATCAATGTTGTTTCTCGTTGGTAGAGAATTTACAGTTAATAACAGCCCCCACCGGATGATTCGATGTTGAAATGTTTTTAGGGTAGTTTTATTATGCATATTATTTCATGTTCGGAGTTATTATTTAACGTTTGCGAAACGTTTATTTTTCGCCATATGGGGGATCGATCCCTCTCTTTACAATCTCATCAAATAAGGTTCTCTTTTATTATAAAACACTCGTATAGCTGAAACTTTCCCTTGCTCCTATCGAGTGGTTTGCATTATGTTTTTGAGGACACCGGCGAATAATCTACGGAGTCACATGTCCACTGCATTGTTTAAAACAAACACATCACAATGAGCCACATGTACCTTTTCTAAAAAAGATTTATTCCCTCTAATATGGCACCACCTTCTGTTAGGGCACAGTTGAATGATCAGGAAAGATAAGTGAATTGTAGAATGTTATCACTCCTCAAACACGTACGTGATCTGCACAATATTTTTGTTCATCTTGTTTTATCTCCTATTTTTAAATTGTTGGTGTATTAAGTAAAGTAGATGAAACTTCATGTTGAAGAACTCTGATGCATATGATTTGGAAACTTTCCTCAGTGTAGATAAATTAAGTTTACAAAGTTAATTTAATACATGTTTTGTTTGTAATGTTTTTTTTTCCAGCAGACATTTAAATTTTATTCAATTAGGGAAGGATCTAACAAAGCTAGTAATTATACACTCTTACTGAGTTATGCAAAGTTGCTTCTTTCCTGTTGAAATAAATTTTGAGGTTGTCATGTCTGAAATAGTGCTTGTATTGCTCAAGCAGACCTGCAAGTCCAAATTGTAAATTTGTTGGGAAAGTTTTGTGGTGTGGGAGGACATGTCACAATTATTTTGAGAGTGCATTTGGTTTTTTCTTCAATTGAATATTATGCAAATTTAAGAACTAAATATGGCAAGTAGATTGAAATATTGTTGTTTTTTAAACATGTGAAGTTTTGTATGGGAACAGATGAATGATCAATTATATTGTCATGTTTAGTGGCAGCTGTTACATTTGCATTCAAAGCTTTTCCTGGAGACATTTGGCCAAATGGATTATGAGATTATGATCACTAACAAATAATGTTATACATGTGAAAATTAGGTGTGTGGAATCTTAGTTGAGAGCAAAGAAATTTTTAGTTAGTTTTATTGAACTAATTATCCTTATGTACAACTAAGTAGATATCATTTTTCACCATTGATCATGTCATGTTGGTGGAAATGTTAAATGTCGAAATTGTACTTATGAAATAACATTTGGGAGGAATATGTGGTGAGTACAATCTGCATTGAAACTTCGTATTCAATGTGAACTTGTCTTGGCCAAAGGTAGTTTGTTTGGATCAAGAGATGGTTGAGGGTCAGTGTTTGGTCTAAATTTTATAACTAAACTCTGTGTCTTTTGTTTGAAAATTATGGTTTTTTCACTTTATATATGTTGTTTTTTTATTAACTTTCTTTGTTTTGTATTTTTTTTGTTTTTGAACCCTTGATATTTGGTCAGTTCAAAATAGAATTATGTGAACTGTGGCAGATACGTGATAAAATCTCAATGGATTTCATCTTTCTCTTGGAGAGTATTTGTAGTTCTAAACATTATCAAAAAGTACTGTTATGTATCATTTAATACTCTGAATAGAAGTAGATTATGCTCAGATCATTTGTGGTAATCAAAGTTGCTATTTCAATCGACAGGAGACTGTTGTGTCTTTTGTATGTTTCCTAACCTTGCAAATTTGGGAAAAGTGTTCTCAAAAGGTATTTTGTCTTTCTTTTGTCTTACAGAGTTGATCTGCCTGTGGAAAGTGTAGATCAAAGATGGCTCGGGGTAGAAGCAGTGTTGGTAAAGACAAGGAAAAGGAGAAAGAGAAGGACAGTGACCGCCAGCCAGATCCAAAATATGCTCTTTGGATAATTGCTGCTATTGGTAAAGTTAAGGGACAAAAGCAACGTCCAAGTGAAGACAGAATTGCTCACATTCTGGAAAATGTTTATGGCTTAGAACAACAAGAGGCCTTGGAACAGCTAGAACTGTGTGTAAAGACAGGGAGAGTTCTGAAGGTAGTTTTTAAAAACAAAGCATCATACAAAGACCCTGCAAAAGTACCAGCTCACATGCGAGGTATTGTTGAAAAACCCACCGATCTCCAAGGGTTCATCAAAGAAGCTCTTGAGAATATTGGGGATGAAAATGGTTGCACGCAACAAGCAATTCATAATTATATAGTGGACCATCATGCTGCGAGTTTAGAATCCACTGGTAATGCTCGGATTAAAGAGTCTCTCAAGAAAGGACTTGCTTCTGGAGTTTTCATCAAGGAAGGCAGATATTACAGGCTAGCAACACCACCTAAGGTATAGGCAAACTATAATCTTGTGTGTTTTGAGTATTTGTATATTTAAAAAAGAGACAGCATGAAAACTTCAAATCTTTTTGTATGATTTGTTGGATTGTACTTGCAAACAATGAAGTGATAATTAAAAAAAGTTTCAAATCAAAATATAAATAGCTATTAGGAAGTGAAGAGAATTATTTTCACAAAAGAGAGTTTATGGTTTACTTTGTTATTAAAAATGAGTGACTTTTATGCATATGTTTATTCAGCTTTTGAATGTTTGTTTGTGAGAACACATGGGAAAATGTACAGTGTGAAAGTTTCTATCAGCTTTAAGAAGAGTGGGCATATACAGTTGTTTGAAAATCTGTAGTGAATGCAATATTTACACCATATTTAATGGTTTAACATATACATGTAATGCATGTGGATATTTTGCTTGTTGTGTTATAATGAGTTCGCACAATGAGCAAAATGTCCACTCTTATTTTATTTTAAGCCATTGAATAAGAGATTTATTATTCCACTACTATTTCATTTTTTCTAGTCATTTGGCTTTTACATGTAGTTTTCAAATTACATCCTACATGTACAGTCTATCTGAGCATAGTATTGCATGCATAAGGTCTGCATGAAAATACAAAAACAACATTAACTAGACCACCCAAGAGTTCTATATATGCTCAAAAGTTCATTGCTTTGATAGTCAAGCATAAAAAAGTGAATAAAACAAAAGGTTAGATTTTTCAGTGGCACCATTTTTTTGCTTTGCTTTCTGTTTGTATTTTTGCCCTGTTCTACAGTTTTGGGCATTCTCATGACCTTATTTGTTAAAATGATGTAGCTGTGGAATAGTAATTACATGTAATACAATAATCCTTGTATAATTAATAAAGTCATATCCAAATTTAGGAGTTATTGGATATTGATATACTGGGAATTTTTCTTGAAAGTAACAAGGTACATGAAGTTAACTTAGGTTTTTCTCCGATAAAAGCAGTTGTATTAAATATGAAAGTCATGCAAATGGCTGCATTGTTTTTTTAAACATGACTTGAATTTTTGAAGGTAAACACTGTTAAATGTGAGAGTAAACTGTATTTCATGGCATTTTCAGCCTAAGAAAAAGAAAGTTGATGCCAGCACATATTGTGGCTTTTGCCTTGGAACAGCAGAACGCAATAAAGATGGTGTAGGAGAGGAGCTAATCTCCTGTGCAGATTGTGGAAACAGTGGTAAGTCTCCATTGGAAAACCTACATGTCTGCCCCATTCACACTAACAAAACTAGTTTAGTCAACAAGATTTAATTGGATGAAGATGAGAAACAGAGAACTGAAAAACTGAATTTTCAATAGGCTTTAAAAAGTCACTAGCTTGTATTTTCAATGCGCTAAATTTGAAGTCAACAAACATCAGTTTTAGCAGTTTCCATGAAGAAAACAATTTTCAGCATGTTTAAGCATGGGAGTGAATGGGCTACAAGATGACTTGGTTTCTTTTATCATTCTTTACTGAAAAATGTAAAAGGTTGACTCAAAATATATCATTGATAGTTATGTGAGTTGAGTTGTGTTTTGTTTCAAGGTCACCCATCATGTTTGAAGTACTCTCCTGAGCTGACAGCTCGAATTAAACAAGAACCTTGGCAATGCATTGAGTGTAAAGTGTGCTTTGTATGTCAAGATGCTGGCAATGCTGTAAGAATCGATTCTATTCCTTCAAATGTTACTTTGAATTTCAATGTAACTATGGTTGATCACTGAATTTAATTTGCACAGATGTACATTATGTAATCACACTAATGTAGTGAGATAATTGTGAGCATAGCATAATTTTCTAGATATACATGTACTCACTGAGTTTCTCAGATGTTGATGCAGGAGCTTATAATCTAACATGAACTCTTACTAGAATTATATATTTCCTTGTAATGTAAGTGACAGTCTCCAAAGTCAGTCAACCAGTTAGTAGGTCATTTGGCTCACCCTATGTAAGGTAAAGAATTGCCACTTTGCTATGTACTAAATGACATATTTTGCCTTCTTGTGATCTAATATTTCCCAGAATTAGTTGATTCTGTCAAAGATCAGCAAAATGCTCTTATGTTCCCCTAGCAATATTTGCTCCATGTACGTACATTTGCCTTAATAAAGTCTCACAGTAGTCTCAAAATTATTGATTTTAGATATGATCTCACTGCTTTTAACATACACCATATAACAGTACCTTTCATTGGTTTTCTGGACAATCTCTTTTCTCATTTCAGGATAACCTGTTGTTTTGTGATGCATGTGACAAAGGATTTCATATGGAATGTCTTAGTCCTCCGATGAAAGAAACCCCCACAGGTAGTGACTCTTTAAATCACTAATAGGGTATATTCATTTTTCTGTTTCTATTCAAAAGTAATCCAAATTACCTGTTAAATGTGTCTTAGTGGGGCAGTTAACTTTTGGTATAAAGATATAAAGATAATCAGACCAAATAAGTGGTTATGTTCTTATACATGTCAATCTAGGAAGTTGTTTTCGTTTTGCTTGTAGGAAGCTGGGTTTGTGCAAAATGTAAGGTGAAAACTCCTGGCCGACGAAAGAAAGGACAAGTTGAAACACCTATTACCAGTCCACCGCGCAGAAAAATTCAACCTCAGGCAACAGCTGAAGTTCAAGGGTTAGTATTTGAAACCAGCACTTAGACTTTTTAACCCTTTAACTCCCACAAGTGACCAAGACAGAATTTCTCCTTACAATATCGATGCAATATCAAACAGATAAGTGATGAGAATTGAGAAAAATTTCAATTTGGGGATAATCAGTTGATCCAATACTAAATTCTCTGAACTAACATCATATGAATTGCATGGTTGACATTAAGGAGAATTTCAAATTTGATCTGGGAGTTAAAGGGTTTATGTTGACATCAGTAGACAATGTGATGTATACATGTAGCAGAATTTTAACCCATAAAAGTGCAAAATAAAGAGTCCAATTGTTTTCTTTCTCTGTGCTGATTGCAAATTGTTTCTATTTGTTGAACAGATCAAGTGTATGCCCAACACCTGGATGTGATGGGTCAGGACATGTTAATGGACGATTCACATCTCACCGAAGGTACATACAACAGAACTGTTGTTCATTTTGTTTATGTAAGATTATTTTTAATGCCTCAGGTTGCTGTGCTCATACAAAGTTCATTAATGGAACATTCATTCCCCTTCCCCCCCCCCCCCTCACTAGTTATAGTTCTGTCTATTTGTGCATAAACAGCATTTGTGAACACTTCCTGAAGAGGTATTATATGAATTGCTGGGTACATCTTGTTTGATAAGTTATGTTGATAAATTTGTATTGACATTGGGAACAGTAAGAACAAGTACACTGTGTGGGTTAGAGCAGTGATGTTTAACTGTTGTGGCAAATGCCCTAGAAAGTCAAAACCCTCATAGACCTTTCTAAACAAAATTGACATCTACGTCTTATGTTATTTTGATATTTTCCCCTCTCCCTATGGCATTAAAGCTTGCCTACCAGTAGCACTCTTCACAAAATCATCAAACACCAAGGCCTGTTATGGATATTTTAGTTCATGTGTAATGGATGTGTTTTGAGTTTCAACTTATACCCTTTTTTTCAAGTTCTGTGCTTGAGTAAAATTTTACAATAACAAACACATACTTGTAGGGATGCCAAAGCATTTCTATTCAAAACACTTTTTACCCCAACATCTGTATACCTGCTCCCCATACTGTGTTCTATACATTTCTTATGGTGCTGACATGGAGAACTGCTCTTTTATCAAGAGCTTCTTTATTTGGTGATCCTTTTCTTTATTCTCTTTACTTAATGTGTGATTTATCACTGATGCTGTAAGGAGAAATTAGATGCCAATCACTCTTAGGTTTTAAGGGTTTAAGTATAGGTTAGGTTACTTACTTTTAGATTTTATTGTGTTGCAGTCTTCCAGCTTGTCCAATTGCAAATGAGTCCAAAAAATTTGACGATGATGCCAAAGCTGCTGATGAAACTCCTAAGAGGAGACCTGGTAGACCTCCAGCCTCCAGTAAATCAACACCGATGACTCCGCTCTCCCCTATATCTCCAAGGAAACAGCAACAATTACCACCAGGTCAGTCTATTCAGAAATTTTGGGTGATGGTCCTTTCAACTTTGATTGACAATTTGACGTAGTGGAGGGGCTCTCTGTGGCTTTTAACCCTTTAACTCCCATGAGTGACCAAGACAGAATTTCTCCTTACAATATCAATACAATATCAATCAGACAGGTGATGAGAATGAAAAAAATACAAGTTTGAGGATTTTCTGGTTCATCCAGTACCAAATTCTCAGGAATAGCATTGTAAGAATTGTGTGGCAGACAGTAAGGAGAATTTTTAATGAGATCTTGAGTGTTAAAGGGTTTTAAAAAGAATATGTGAATTCTACATGTGAGCTTCTGTAGACAGGCCATATTGCATCAAATTTGTCGTGGGTGTCAAAATGCATTCAAGGTATTGTCAGAGAATGACCTTAAGTATGTGCGTTTTATGAAGGTTGCATTTTTCAGTGCGCAACCTTTAAGTGTGTATGTGTTGCCTCAAAGGTAAATAGTGAGTGTCTCAAGAGTCTACCAAAATTAATGCTGCCAGTGTTTTTTATTTGTCTATCGGCAGGAGTAACAGAGGAAGATCTGGCCTTGTTCAAACAGGCTCAGGAGAAAGCAAATGCTGCCATGAACCTTGATACATCCACCACCCTTGTGCCAAGTACTCGCTCACCTCCACTGATCCAGTTTGGTCGTTACGAGATTGTTACTTGGTATTCTTCACCATATCCTCAAGAATATGCCAGGTAATTTAGTACATGTGGGTATCTGCTGTTGAATTACACCCTGTGCATGTATGTTTACTGCTTTGTTATAGAGCAGTTTCCATTTGTGTGTTGAAAGGATTGCCAAATTGTTTTTTCTATTTGCTCCACACTGTGATTGGTCTGGAAATCTTGCCCCACCATCTCAACAATCCAAATGCAGAACTGAGACCAATTATGAGTTCTCCACTTGTATTTTTTCATTCTTCAGGCAGTTTGCTTGGTTTTGGTTTGGGTATTTATTAGTTTCTCTTTACTTTTCCTTGCTCTGACTGCTGGTTGTGATCACTTGGTTTTGTTCTCTCAGCATTCAATAAAAAAGAAATACATGTATTTAGGACAGTCACTTGATGTGATAGCAGGATGGAAAAGGGAAGGGGTAGAGGCAAGTTACACGAGACTTGCATTTTTTGACATGCACATGTGCGGTTTTATTGAAAATGAAATGTGATCAGGTATTGGATAAATGGATCAGAGGAAGATGGATTGGACCATAAAATCCAGAGGTCTGAGTGTGGAATCCAAATAGGGAAATGAAATTTCTTCTTTGTCTCATGCTCATAACAAATAGATATACCTATCTGTTTAATTAAGTTGTTAAAATATCAATACCCCTTGTCATGTAGCTTTTTCATAGTTTGCTGAAAATGTTTATCAGATTGAAAAGGTATGGGCCTGTAATAATTGTTAACCCTTTAACTCCCATGAGTGACCAGAACAGAATTTCTCCTTACCAAAATTAATACAATATCAAGCAGGCAAGTGATAAGAATAGAGAAAAATATCAATTAGGGAATTATCAGTTGATCCAATACCAAATTCTCGGAAGTAACATTGTAAAAATTGAATGGCAAACTGTGAGGAGAACTACTAGTCATCATCATCATAGGGGTTTCTTCATGTGTGTAATTTTTTCATGTTTGAAGAACATGGGCCACTTTCGTAGCCATCATGGATCCACTTGTTAAAGTCAATTTTGTTATACTTTAAGATCATGGGAGTGAAAGGTTTAACGCCCCCAGAAGTCAACCATATTGACTATATTATTCCCGGATGATGCCACATTTGCTTGTAATTTATTCTTTTCAAATGATGACATTTTCCTGTCTGTCTTGCAGGCTTCCCAAACTATACCTGTGTGAGTTTTGTCTCAAGTACATGAAGAGTACCAGTATTCTTATGCGCCACATGGTAATTAAAACATGCATGCAACGACCATTATTTTCAAGTTGTTATTCTATTTCACTGTGAGATCAAAAATCTTTACTTTCTTGTTTTTGTAGACAAAGTGTAAATGGTTTCATCCTCCAGCAAACGAAATTTACCGCAAAGGTGAAATCTCTGTGTTTGAGGTGGATGGTGCAGTTAACAAGGTGAGTGCACCGAAAAACCTTTCAGAATTTTATCGGTCAGCTCGTTTCATCTTTTTCAGTATCGCTTTTTGATTTAAATTATTCCTGTACTTGGACAGTTGTGTGATCCTGCCCCTGTCGCCCGTAGTTTCTAATTTCTTTTCTCTTGAATAATATATTTTATTTTCTGCTTTTTTTTTAATCTCACGGGCGGTGCCTCGCATGGATCCCTGTGTCCCGTTAGCACCAGCCCTTTTGGGTCCACGACTTTTTTTTCCTACTTGGCTCTCTCAATAATTGTTCTTGCTTTATCTTGTATTTTCGATTTATATCGTGTATTGTATTATTGTACAAGTAGTATACGAGTCATACCCAGTAAAGCTGTTAAAAAAAAAAAAATACTCCGTTCCATGTAGATGTGCGCGACCGTGTTAAAACGATCTCTGTTAGTATTTGCGTCTACATGTGCTGGTTAAAGTTTGAAAAGTTCACATATTTCAAAGAGCTAAACTAGCATGGTTAAAGCAATTGTGTAATTGTGTTGGGAATGAGTCGTAATAGTACAAGATTCTGGATCAAAAGTTCAGGGCTTTGTCTTTTTTTTGGCAGGGAACTTAATGTCATAGTGTCTTAATGCACCCAAGAATGGTTTTACAATTCGCCTGGTGGCTACGTACGATGGAGCATTAAAGAGTTGCTTCGTTTGATTGAAACAGGGATGCATTCCGGCATAAATAGAAATTCGTAACATTTTATTGACTTGATACAACACTGAAATCAGGTTTTTCTCCTGTTTGTAGCGGTTCCTTCCCAAGTCAACTCTTTCTGTTTCGTTCACACAGATCTATTGTCAGAACCTCTGCCTATTAGCCAAGCTCTTCCTTGATCATAAGACGCTGTACTATGATGTGGAGCCATTCCTGTTTTATGTCCTAACGAAGAACGACAAAAAGGGCTGTCATTTGGTAGGATATTTCTCAAAGGTTAGTTTTCCAAATTGTGAGATTAGACTTAAGTAATGGTGACATCTTTTAATTTCTGTCTGATATCATAATGAGAAGCATTTTTAATAAAAAGAGAAAAATGTCGCAAAACAATGATATAACTTAATGCTCAGAAAGACTTACTCAGCTAATCTGTAATCATTTTCATTTCCTCAGGAAAAGTCTTGTCAACAGAAATACAACGTGTCATGTATTATGACAATGCCCCACTATCAAAGACAAGGGTTTGGCCGACTGCTCATTGACTTTAGTAAGTCCTATTTATTGGTCATACAGCAGCATTTATTCCTCTTACTGGGTCATAGTTTGGGTGCCTTTCTTTGCTAGACCCGGATCGAGACGTTGGGTGTCAAGCCAAGGACGGAGAAGTCTTTTTTTATTGAGCAATGTACTTACATGTAATCCTCATCTCCGGTACCATACATGTACTTCTTTGCATGACTGGTACACTGGTACTGAGAGTTTATACGAGGAAAATATGAACTCATCCAAAATTGTGTCATTAAAAATATGTGGCAGACATTGAGAATTCAAGCAGAGATTTTAGGGTTCAGCATTGCATAATCTTTCCCAAATTTCCCTGTTTTCCCAGAGATATTATTTTAAAAGGTAGTGAATTGTGTTTCTGCTGACTTTTCACTTAGGAGAGAAATAAGTTCTTGATATACCCTTTGAAACAGCCAAAATATATAGATTTTCTTTTACAAAATAAAAATTGCCTTCACAGGTTACCTCTTGTCGAGAATCGAAGGCCAGCCGGGCTCCCCTGAGAAGCCATTGTCAGACCTTGGCTTGATCAGTTATCGTAGCTACTGGAAAAGTGTTTTACTGGAGTATTTGCACGATCACAAGGAAAAGCATGTCACCATAAGAGGTGAGTGAAGCAGGGAATTAGTCTTGAGCTCCACGCAGTTTTCTTCTTGTGTTTGCAGGTGGAAGAAGCGACTATCCTATTCACAAAGTTCTCGTCACACTTTACTTAATGCTTTAAGAATTAAGTTAATTTCCTACGAAATCCATCACTTGTATAGTAAGACAATAAGCGACACTCGTAACCACGATTAGCCTTACTCCTTGAAAGATGAGTTTTAAAGGCCATATTATCAGAAGATGTTGAGTTGTAGAAGTGTCTCGTTCATAAAGCAGCATCTAGCAGACAGCTTAGTTGTTTACTTGCTTGGGACATTCAAGTTGCACATCTAGCTTGCCAGGCTGGGGTTCGGTAAGAATGCGACATGTAACGCGAGTGCGAGATGCCAGTTTAGATCGCTCATCTGGTTTCTACGACCAGAAGCACTGTTACATAGGACACTTGTCGTGTATCGTATATCGGAGCGACTAGTTCTCGGCAGCTTAATGAAGAGTGCATCCGATTATGAAATAAGAAGTTCTCGGGAGAAATGTTTGACATCTGACTTTTCTAGGGTTTTTGTTGCTGTCTTAACTGTGTTCACTTTTGCAGGGATCAGTAAGTCGACTGGAATGGATCCACACGACATTGCTGCCACTCTTCAGATACTTAACATGGTGCACAAAAAGGATGGAAAGTAAGTTTACTAATCTGGTGAGGTCTGGTTTGACAGTGAATCTGTGGGAAGAGACGCGTGCTTGAGCAGATTTACGAATTCAAGTCTTCCCGATGCTTCTGTTTTTATCATTAGCAAAAAACTATGCCTGATCGGGTAATGTTATGAAATCTCAAGTTTTTATTTGCGACGTGCGAAATTACGTCCAGCTTGAAGTAGAGCACAGAATATTAGTTCGGTGAGATAGAAGAGGCAATGATAAACCAAGGGAAGGTGAGGATGGTTTAAAGTGAAGAAGATTCAAAGTGATTCAGTGTGTAAGACGAACGTAATGGGTTAAGGTTAAATTTGTTATGGTGCGCAAACCATCACGCAGTTCCTTGTGGGCTTTGACTTCAGAATTTCCGTTGCTCAGCATTGTAAATGATTGAAACGTTGATCTTGTTGACCTGCAGGTTTGTGCTATGTGTTAACCAACGCTTGATCAACACTCACATGGAAAAATTACGAATGAGTGCTCGCATCACCTTGGACCCTGACGCACTCAGATGGACTCCCTTGGTGCACACTAACCTGGCGCTCGTCGATAAAGAGAACGAAGCTGCAAACGGACATCTCGAAGGCGGAAAGAACGGTGCAGCAGACAACAAGGATGGCTCGGCGGACGCTGGTGATCGGCAAGTAGACGTGCTCAACGACAGTCATGTGGACAAATCGAAAGATGGATTGGTTATAAACGGCATTGCTGAATATGAAGACGAAAGTGCCTCCGAGGATGATGATGAGGGACCGATTATTCGGCCGAGAAAGCGCCGACGAAGTAATACGCTTTCCGACAGCGGCTCGGATAAAACTGAGGAGAAGGTAACTGAAGAAGCGGGAGTGTTGAAGAACGAGGATAAAATGAACAAGGAACTAGCTGGTTTTGACACTACAACAAGTGGAAAGCTGAACAGTGCAGAGAGCGAAAGTGGGATCATCAAGAAGAAAATGAAGCTGAACGATGAAGAGTCGAGCGCCGAAGCCAGCGACGACTCAGCTGATAATTCGGATTCCGAAGATTCCTCCTCCTCATCGTCGTCGTCATCTTCGTCCTCATCTGAAGACAGTGATAATGGCGAACCTATGGACCATACCGAAGATAACCCTTCAAGAGAAAACGAAGACACCCGCAAATGTTCCGAAGATGGCTCAAGCGAGTCTTCGTCCGAGATTAACAACTCCCCGGCGGGCGTCTACTCGGGATTTGGGAGTCAGTTGGATAATAGAAATCCCTTAGAGACTTTAGCAGATATGGACTCTGCCTTCCCGAGATTGTCACCAACAAGTTTCGAGTGTAAGGAGAGTAACAGGTCGGACTCTATGGCCGTAGATCAAGATATGAACCCGGTGGTTGATTTCCCAGATACGGATAGCACAGCTCTTATTAAAGAACTGTCTGAGGAAGTGTTCTCGATCGGCGCCACGCCTTCTCTTGGAGGCCAGCATTCTTCCGACGACGAAATTTGAGTACGGTGTTAGCCTGGTGTGCTTTTTTGGCAGTGCAATTCTTTTCTTTTGTAAAAAATGCTGATTTTCTTGAATAATACTATTCTCTTTTGAAGTCCTTTTACTCTTATATTAAAACCCTTGTTTTCCATTCAGGTGAAATTAAGATCGATTAATAAAACATATGTACATTTATGGAACAGTTTAAACTAAACTTTGTTATGCTCCATTTGAAACTTCAAGTTATCGATGCAAACATAATTAATCTTTTATCGTTTGTTCTCATTTTGTATTGATAGTGGAAGTGTAGAAATGACAACTTAACAAGTAAAGCGTAGTTTAAACTAGGAAGATAAGTTTTTGTTTTTTTTTCGCAGTCAGGTGTTTTCCTTGTGCCACATTTTCATGTAAATTTGTTAAGTAACGTAACGTGGTTTGGCGCATGATTTCTCATTTGTATAAAAAAGTAAAAATTAGTAAAGTCTTTTTGGATGAAACCTTTTGTAATGAACGCATTGTTGGATGAATATTGTAAATTTGGTTGATGAGTAGTTATTAATATATCACAGAGATTATATGTTGGAGTGTCGGCTGTTTGATCAACTTTTTTAGAAACGCAAAACGAGGAGTTCTCTTGGTGGATCATGTGTTGCGAAGGCTAAAACTCAAGATCAGCAGATTGGGTAGACAATAAATATTTTTCACGTTCCAATTCAGTCGGCCAACAATGGCGTCTGCGACCGCCAAAGATACTCCCGATATCCTGCTCTAGAGGCGAAAGAAGCTAAACAGCTAAGTTTAAAGTGTAATAAACCTAAAGATGCGGTTCAACGGAGTCTTGCTTTAGAACTAGGCCGCGAGCAGGCTCTGTAAGGCACGAGTATTAATGATACTTCGTCTGCCAGCTAGTCTGTCGCGGTTGTGCCGTGTTAACCGCGGCGCCTGTATTTGGGGACATGCTGGCCGGCTAAGTTGTATTTTTCATTTTGTTTTCGTTGCCGATCGAATCGTCACAATTTCATTCATGGCCATCATTTTATTTTTCCGGCAATAGAAAATACCACAAATATACATAAAGTGTTTGCGTAGTGGTAAATAGTTTTTCGAGTTTCTTTTTATGGCATATAAACCGTAGGCCGAAACAGTAGAGACTTGTTAGAAAATCAATAACTTTCCTCTCCAGAGTGTGGGATCGTAGACAAGTTAGTTAACAGGTTGCAGCCAATGACGGGCATGTATCTTTTATATTATGTGCGTGTTAGATATTTATAGAAAAGGAAAAAAGGCAAAGATAAGTAGAAGAAACAAAATAAGTTGTGTGGATGTTAATTGCAAGATGCTTATTCGACCTCTTTTGTCACCTCATTATGCTGTGAGGCCTATGAGGCGCCAACTCAACTGGACACATCATGGTGTGTCGGGCAGAAGTACATGCCATCAGGTATGACATAGAGATTAATTGGTGCGGCTTTCGATATGAGTAGACTTTATGGATGAAAGGATCAAAACCTTTCAGTAAACAGCGCAGGCAGATGTTCACAAAGTTGCTGAGGAGCGTGAAGATAGTATCTCGGCGATCAAAATTGAAGCGATATCATGATCGTGTTGGCAGTTTTTGATGCTGATTTTTATGTTGATAAGCCCGACAGAGCGCTTTACTAACGCCATTTGGTCTTAACAATTGAAAAGTTTGGTAAAGAAATTACTCTTCTCTCCTTTAATTTTTACTCATTTAGTAAAGATGAAAATTTTTAGCAGGCAGGCAGCAGGAGTTTTTCTTTTAAGATCTTTTTCAGTGCCAAGGTGATGCAAATAAAGCTTGAATGTTCATCTCGGTTTTCAACTCCAACGATTTCCAGAATTTATGCTTTTACCCGATCAAGGAAAGGCTGCCTCCAAAGGCGCTTGTACAGCAACATTATGTAAATGTAATCGCTATTGCAAAAATAAACTGTGAATGACTAAGTGGAATTATATATAGAAACAACACCTTAAGCAAAGGCTTTTCAAAGAACATAACAATGCTTAGTATCGTTATTTTATAGTTCACCTAACCGAGCACTCAAAATTCTCCTTAGCTGAAAGTGTATGTTAAGCTTTATTAAATGTTTTTCCTTCAACAATTTTTCTATTTTTATTTCCCTTTTGTAAATTTGCATGTTAATTTGAGATTTCGAGTTAAACACTTGAAATTCAAACTACTAGAAAGAAGTGGCGAGAGCGAACGAGTATTTATATTCCGTCGTTAACGGACACAGCTTAGTCATCCCCAAAAAGAAGAAATATCATCCAAAAATAATATACGAATTAATGAACAAATGAGTAAAAACCGAAGAATGAAGAGTTTTTCTATTTCGTTATTAACGTTTTTTTTTTGGTCGATATTTCACCGGATGCAGAATTAATTACTGCCTATTACCTGTCTGAATCGATCATACATGTTAATTTTAATTAATCTGGCAGACTAGTATAACAAGCCTTCAAAGTGTTTATTCTACTGAATACTGACTTAAATATTTAGAGAACATTTTCTTGACAAAGCAGCGGCGCGTTTGTAGCGGACTTGCCAAACTTCATCGTTTTAGTTTTTAGATTTCCAAAGTTTGGTATTTCTGTCATGTTTAGTCTTTTTCTTATATATTAACGAAATTGGTTCAAAAATCCGCTATTCTTCTACACAAACTTTGTTACAATTTTGTTTGGGCGCTCAATATGGAAATATTGATGCTGTATAAAAAAGACATTTTTAGGGAATATTATTTGGGCCGAGAAATTATTCGCAATTTATTTTCATGAGCGTGGCCAAAAAAAAAAAACGGCAAAAATGATGAAAAAAGATAGAAAAAGTCAAAATGATAATTCACTGTCCTTTAAGATGAAAAATAAATAAGAGCGGTTCATAAAACTCATATTATTCTTTCTTCACAAGCGCCCGCGATGGGTGGACATTTATTATGCTGGTTTTGTTTGCATTGTTATGTAAACGTTAGTTGGATAGAAAAGCTGTTAAGCAGACCTCACAAAAACTCGTGACGGACTCATCGATATCATTAGAGCTATGGGTTTCTAATTCATGGGGTGTAAGAACAATCGTAGACATGAGCCACCTTCTTCGGGATATTTCGGGTAAGTGAATCGATCGGAATGACGAAGGAAATGAAACAACATCTAGAATAATTTGTTGAAGGTCGTGATCGAATTTTCTTTTAGAATCAATATTCACCCCCTAAATTTTCTCTTTATTCAAAATATTTCTGAGCAAAAGAACTGTTGACTTAACATCTTGGGGATCACTTTTAGGAGAAAGCGTTTTATTTGAGTTTTGGGCTAATAAGCGCTAGCGAAATCACACCATCACTTCCAAAGCGAAATCAGAACTCACTGCGGCTACTTAGTGCGATAGTTCGACATCCCCAGTCGACTGAAGTTATTCCCCCAATATAGAAAGGGTTATAGTGTATTTATTTGCCTTAATTCAATTCTGATTTCCCGATCTTTCTTCTGTTTAATATTTCATTAGAAGAGCTTATTTCAAAGGGGTAAAATATCGAAAACTTTATGGCGCACGTTTCTCATAGTTTGGCCAAACGACACTGCTTAACGCATCGTATTCGGAAATGCAGGCGTTATTACAGTTTTTTATGCAAATTTACACGAATCAAAATATTCATCCCTCCCTCACATACGACACTTTGTGATTTTTAATTCAGTATCCAATTTCCAATGCTACATTTAAATAAGCAATAGAATGTGTAGTACACGCTCGACAGCTTCCCACATAAACGAAAAATTGTGTGCATTATTGTTTAAGACCGACGGTTTTCCGTAATATACCGCATACGTAGGAAATCCCGTTTATTGTGCTGTGTTTGTATTGAATTTAGAGGCGACACACCACAAAACCACAACTAGTTATGACAGTAGTAATTGCATGAAACGACAATTGTACTTTTTTTTAATGCAAATCATGTATCATTAAGCTCAAACAGAGATGTCAAGACTTAAAATCATGCTTTGACAGCTGTGCCATTTCGAATAATAGGTCTCTTTCTTGTCCATCAAGTCGCGTTTTCTCTCGTGGACGCGTTTATCTGACATATCAGGTTTGCGTATTTTCTGTCGCTAGAGAGAGTATTGGATTTGGGAAATTTTGAAACATTACACGAAACGTATATTCCGAGGGGTCATCTCTGAGGTTACAGAAATCCCATGAAGCCTAGGCAACGCTTACAGGTGATCACTATCCATCAATAAGAACAAAACAGGAGGATTTGAAGAGATTTTAATTTTTCTATGCTGGTATATCGGCACTGCTTACGAGAGTGTGCTTTCGAACTTCAAGGGGAGCCATGTAAATTAACAGGAAGTCACTCAAAATACTTCTGTTCTCATCCTAAGAAATAAGATTGGGAAGGTAAGTGTTCCTTGTATGTTTCCCTTTATCTCCTGTTCTTCTCAATTTCAAAGCTCATTCTGCGTCAGAATATGACCGAACATCTCATTCGCCCTTGAAAGCAAGTGCTAATGACCGAATTTGTTCTTCAAATCAAACGGAAAGCGAGTATGTGTACACTGATAACGCGAAGCGGAAGGCTCCGATTAATGGCTTCACTTCAATCGCATGTCGGAAGAAATTTGCGCTCTCTCGAACAAGCAGCAGTTTTGAAAGTTCGCTCATTCGTTTGTTCAGTTCGTTTCGACGAAAAAATGTTAGAGATATTAATTGGTATGGCAAACGTTCTATTTTTCTTTTTTTAGAAATTTAATTTTTTGTGTTTAGTCAATATACTTTTGTGCGCTTTTGATATCACACACATATTGTTATAGGAGAATTAATTACACGAAAATTTGCAATGTGCTGAGTTCTTCAGAGTTCTGCACACTAATTGTAGTGCGTAGTGTATAGTGTAACTGATGTGTAGGCAACAATTGTTCTTAAAATAAACAATTTTCAACTCCCACGGGCGATTGAATGGCAGTTTACTATTATTATTATTATTATTATTATTATTAACAATAGTATTACTACATTTGTAATTTTCTGGCGCAGTTACCAGTTTGTTTCGAAGATTTCACATCAAATTAGATATAAACAGCAGGTATAATAGGAAAAAAAAGCTTTCAAATGATTAACTTAAGACTGAAATATTTGGCACGTACTGGCATATTCAAGATTCTTTTCTCCGCTCTTCAGTTGTTGTAATACGTTTTCATTGGTCTACAAAATTTAATAGTACGTCTTATTATTTATCTCGGATGATCTCTTTAGTGATATTTGTGGGTCGTGTTTATCTGTCTTTATACAGATACAAATGGACATCATAAACGAAAAGAGATGAAAAAAAATTAGTGTATTCGCCACCGTGCATTCACGGCCATGTGTAATCGAGAAACCGCAAGTTCGAGTCGATTGTGGTCACGCAGGTCGCATTTTCGGAAGCGCTCACTTAAAGAAGTTCTTTGGGACATTTTTAAACTGAAATAGGAACGAAAATCCCTAAAATGAGAAACATTTAGATGGCCATGTACATATCGCTACACCGATTTAAGATCAGCACTTGTTGTTTAACGAACAACAATTGGACATTATTTTGAAAGAAACATCTGTGCTACCGAACTTCAGTAGTACAGGTTTTAGTAATACGGTAGTTCAGTAGTACAGTAGTAGTCGTACAGATTTAGTGATACAGTAGTTCAGGTTTTCCTCGACTCGTTTGCCTAAGGTGCTGAGCTCCTTATGCAAAATAGTCGAGGAAAACCGGATTTGAAACATTGATCACAATGGGTTAAAAAAATTGTAATGAATTCAACCGATCACAGGTGCGATACAAAATATAAGAATTAAACTGTAGTCTCAAGTTCTAGAAATCATCGAAATATTGTGAGAAACATTCCGAATTCAGACCTTTTTGCTAGACTATAACAGTTTATTCAGTTCCGTGGTGGCTGTAACTTAGGGAACATTTGAACTGATAAATTGAAATTAAAAGGAGCGAAATTCGTGACAAATAGATGTACGTAAAACCCTTGTTGGTTAAATTTATATCACCTTAAAGCTACTTCACTGGCGACAAAAAAAATTCCCTTGGAAATCAGACGTAGTACAATACCTTATCTAAAGGTTTCATTTGAGGGTTTTTCATATCATTGCGCCGAAAAACAAATTTAATAACACAAACTTATCTTACAGTACCACGTACGTAACACCTGGAAATAATTAATCTCGCTTTAAGAAAGACAAATGACAATTTTTAGCATGATTTGAACAAGAACAATATTCAGGTGACATACTCCATATCAAGAAGAAGAAAAGCTTTTTTCGGTAACTGGGAAACGAGGTATTCTAGGTTTCCTTAGAGATGCGGTTTATTTCTGTTGAAGCAATCGTCGTCATTTTTTTTTTAAAGAGCTGGTGATTTTAGAGCGATTTTAAGGCGCTTAGGTGTCACTGATCTACAACCTTTAATCAAACTTCGAATGGGAATTAAAGCAAAACTTGTCATCCTGAAATTAATGCCATGGCACCAAGTAGCCTATATACAGACTATTTACGGTAGAAATTCAAAGTTATGTAAATCGCTATTAAAAATGCGTACAGGCGACTTTAGGTCGTCGCGTTAACCTCACGGCGCCTCCATTACTCGTTATCAGCACTGTAAGATGCTTTTTTTGAAAAAACGAGCACTCCGCGTAAGATTGTTGAAATTCGTCTGGCAAGTAAAAAGAACACAATGGCAACCATTCAGAGTATTTGTGAATTGACAGACTGTCACAGTAATAAGAGATGAAAAATGCTTCTTAAGTGCCGAGAGAATTGAAACGTCTCTTGATGAAAATTCATGTTTGATGCCTTTTAAGCCGTTAAGTCTAAGCGCTCTCTAATCTTATTCGTGGCCATGTGCATTTTGTTCTGTTTACCCCAATCGAACCACCTGCAGCATTTTATTGGCTTTTTGCATGAAGTGGCGCAGCGATTGGCTAATGTTTGACAACAGATGTCAAATTTGAGCTGTAGAAATGAACATCATGTTTTCAAAACATGCATCAAATCATCTGGTGGATGCATATAGTGGTTAGTTTCGATTCTCCGCCGTTGTCGAATTCGAGAGAAAGTTACTTCTATGTTCGTTCATAACTGATCGACAATTATTTTCTGTGTGTAATTTTGAAGGTCTCTTCCGATGTTGGGAAATGGGCACTGGAGCTAGCAGCGGAGGATCACAAACAGGCTCGAACCCCAATGTCAAGGAGGGCTCCACACCATCAGCGGAGGACAAATTGTCGAGGAAAACGTCTTCAATTTCGAAAAAACACTCCAATGGCTTCATAACATTAAGTTATGAGCCAACAAATACACCACTTATTCGGAAGCGGGGCTTTATCAAGGAAGGATTTCCCATTCATGGGCTTATTCAAGACAAATATTTTCTTATTAAAGATCATTTTGATGGAATCGACAAGCTCAAGACTTTGGACTTGTACGGGGCTCCGAATTTTCGAAAGAGTCGGGGTCCCTATCCGGTCTACGGAATGGGTCAACCGTCCAGAGATGGATTAGCACAAGTTATTCAAACTCTGGTTGAAAATGGACATAAGGTGAGAGTTTAAACATTATTCATGAAGTATTGTTGCTGTTGGCTCAATTTTGAGTGCTAGTGGTACGTTGTTGGTTTTATTTCCGCGCGAAAACTAGAGAGTTGCCAACGTTTGCGATGTCCTGCTTAATTAATTGAAAACTTCCCTGACGCATTTTAAGCCTAAACTCGTGTAGGGATTCCCTTCGTTCTTTTGAATTATAAAGACAATACATAATCATGTCGAATTAATGTTTTGCGTTTGACTCAGTGACACGAGGACGCAAAGACCAAGCATATCGATTACCCTTACTTAAAAAAACATATTTGGTAACGTTTAAAATTCCTCACGTAACCAGTCCGAAAGGTGATCGATAAATTTTATCCTTTTATGCATGCGAAAAGATTTTTATCCAAGTTAATTATTTTTGGGATATGGGGCAAATATCTTTGCTTTAAGATACTGAATAAGGGCACAGCGTGTTGTAATATTTTCTCGTTATTGTGAGCATAAAAAAAGTGATATTTGCCTTTTGGCATATTTCGTCCTTGTCAGGGAAAGTAATTTTAGTGAGTGGCAGCGCGGTAAAAATCGATTAAATGTCAATAGAAACGGCAAAAATCACACTTGTCCTACTTGGTTTTTGCAAATCGCGCAATAAACCCTCGATCACTTTCGGTATTTTAGGCTCGCCCGTTACTAAACACGTTAAGCGTAAAATTTTTCGTCATTTTGCTTTTCGTTTTAATTAAAGAAGTGTTGTAACACGAATACTTTGGTAAAATTCTATCTTCATTCGCTCGCATTATTATGACGGGAAACTTTCCCGAGGTTTACATGGCAACGTTCTTACGTAAGACAAATTTAATTGATTTTGAAGCCTTTGATAGAGCTACTCGTATTGATTTAGCTGAAAGCATAGGAAAAACCTCACGTAAACATACTCTAAGGTGTATGCTAGTCGTACAAACACTTTAGTTAGTCGGGGTAGCCGACGAAGTATTAAAGGGAAAAAAAACACAAAAAAATCTGAGGTTTTTTCGGCACTTTAATCAACGCTATATTCTCTCACTGAACTGTCGAATAAACGTCATTAATATGCAGCACGTATTTCTCATTTCCGCCTGCCAGCTGCAAGGAACTATCGCTCCGTGGTGTCTCGGAAACGAGATTGCACCTTATCTTTTCTCTTTTTTGACAATGCGTATGTTTGTTATGCGTAACTTCTTAGAAAAAAATACCATTTGTACGGAGCTATAAGGCGATATACTTTTTTCTTAAGAGAACAAACAAAAAAAAATTAAAATTTAAGGATTTCTTTTCCTTTTTTTTAAAAATAAGTATCCGCTCTGTCGACTCTGTTCCTTTGTTGGCATTGTTACTATTTTATTTGTTTTGAATCATCCTTGCTATATCCTTATAAATTTTACTGAAACTCATAGGGTTTTGATATCGTTTGCTATTGGACAAAACGTTGTTTTAACATCATTTTTTTTTAAAGGTTAATCATTTTAACTTTAATATATCGCAAGAGTTTTTGATCACAAGCATTCCCAGACCAATTATCTTGCGTAGACTAAATACTAGTCCATTCTCTAAAAATGTTGAAGTTGTCGATATGGTTTAAAAATTCTTGTGTCATATATTTTTTTGGGTTTTCATCATAATTCGATAGGAGGAAAATTCAAAGCCCTCAATAATATATTATATAGTGTAACACATCTTGCGGTGCAGTAATTAAAAAGTTGAAAGGGTCTATTTATTTACGTTGACCTTTATCAAACTTTGATTGTCATCAGCAATCACTCAGCGTAAAAGCATTCTTTTTCAAAACAACAAAAACGCTGGAAACGTTTTTATAACTATGATGCTCAACATTCACGCCTTTTTGAATTGCTTCTTGTAAAGTACTTGGAAAAAATGCACTTCTGGAACGTTTTTATACATTGCCATAATGTCTTCTCAATCCTTTATCTCGTCATTAACTGTCTTTCAGTCTCTCTTTCAGCTATTGTGTTAAAGTAATTTCCGCAAAATAATGAAAGAACTTGAAATGACTAAGCAGAAGCTAAAAATGACACTTAGTCGAATAAACGATTGGAAAACCAATCACTTGTAAATGACTCGCCCCGTCACGACTTCAGCATTACAGCACTTTTCAATTGAGTGTCAAAGTCCAAACACCAAGTAATCACAACGGCCAATCAAAACACAGGTTAATATCAAAGTTAACCAATGGAAAATTAAAGTTTACACAGGTAAACTGCTTACAACACGGGAAATCGCGCGTGACCAGGTTGCGGTTAATTTTGCATTTGATTGGTTGAAAGGATTGCTGAAATTTTCCAGACCAATTATACAACGAGGCAAAGCAGGATCAATGCAATCTCGTACTACTATCGATATTCAACTCTCTGTTTGCAAGCCTCATCCATCTGTTCCATCCTTCATCCTTGTTACTTCTTGTTTCATTTTGGTTTTCCTGGTGTTTCTTCCCACGAGCAAACGAGTACTTCAAGATTAAATTCTATTAATGGTCGATTCTCTTCGACGCTGAAATGACAAAATACCATATATTTAAGAGCGGATCCTTTGACACTTCTGATCACGGCTTCGTATCCGTTGACTTTTCTTTTGTAGTGATTATTGCATTAGCTGTAAATGGTCATGTAGTAGTTCGGTGATATGACTGCAATCCAATCCTGACTATTTATTAATGTCATTGTCATTATCATCTCATTTACCGGAATTGCACAGGAAATTGTCTCATTTAACTTGAGAGAGGAGCCAGTGATATTCGTTGGTCTCAATCACGACTTTGTGCCATACTCTCCACGGGACCCGACCAGTCTGAAGGGGAACATCGCTAATCACGGAGTGAAACCTGAGGAACTGGCAGAGACAGAGCTCAAAATAAGAGAGGAGGTAAATTACTCTTACTGTGTTTGTGAAAAACTTGAACTCGCTGATGAAGTGTTGCTCAACGACGGTTGTATTTTTTTTTAACTGTTTTAAAAGCCAGTCACCGTCAGAGCGTCAAACCAGCTGATAACCGTTTCAGGTTCAAGCCTTTCTTTAATTCAGTGCTTTGGATCAAAATCATAAGCTCAATGGCCAATCAAGACAGCAGACTTGGTTCTCTGTTAATTCAAATGGTAGTGCTAGACGTGGTACACTGTAAATACCTAGTTGTGGAATTGCTAAAAAAATGAAGCCAATCGGCATACCCAATATTTGCCACTCCCTGCACTTGGCCCCAAAGCGGTTGTCTTGCACCACCGCGCCGTGACAGACAATTTAAAGACGCATCCCATATTCTTAGGCGTTTCTACTTTTAGCAAGACGGTTCAGCCTGCATCCTGCAAAGGTAACCTTTGAGCATGGTAAGCCATTCTCCAACTGATAACTTAGCATTCTCTCAGCTGAAATAAATTCTAGCCAGATATTATATTTGGCGTTTTGATCTTCAAGTGATATTTTCTTTTTGATTTTAAGGTTCGACTTTTTCATCTTTTTTCCCCAGTACACCACAACCTCGATCGGATGGTAACTATCACAGCTGATTCCTCTTTCCTTATCTTCTTTTTTTTTTCTCCAGATAATCAGGTTTTCAATCGATGAAGGAGGTAAATTTTATTTCTACAATAACGTGGAAACGTTCGAGGACGAACCGCACACGTACAACGTCGCATACGAAGAGGATTTGTGTGTTTTGGATGAGATATACAGCAGACAAATCTTCCTTACCCCTCTCCTCAGGTAAAGCGGCTGTACGGGATCCATTTGTCTGTTAGTCATGAATTTGTTGCATGAGGAGGAAGGAGCGGCTATATAATTCTTGAAGGAGGCGCAAAATCAAAAAATTCATTCTCGATGCTACGTTAACTGTTAATGAATTTAGGAGTGATTTCTGAATTGGGGGACTAGTCAGCTCCAATATTAGAAGCTAAGTATCCATTCTTTTGACGTTGATATCATGTCTGTATTAAGAGGTGATCCTCAATTCACGGCTGAAGCGTGGCAGGATTTAGGCTTCAGTTATTCACCTGATTCTTGCTACTTCATAGCACCGGTCCCGGACAAAGTAGCTCTGCTCTTAGAAAAGCGCCAGCCAAAAACATAGCTAATACTGATTTGGAAATATGATCAAAGTATCTTTAGTTTAGACCAGACACACATTTTTGCTCTGTCCACAACGCAGATGATGGTGGTTCATGAACATGAGTGTTGGTCGTCTTTGAGTCTAGTCGACATCACCATCTCTGGCCTTACCATCCTCGTTCGTTCATGGTTGCGAAATGTTTTGTGTGTTGTATAACCTCACTGTGGTAATTTTTTATAAAACCAATAAAATTATCAGACTTTTTCTCGTCAAAATTGGATTTGTGCGATTAGGATAGAGTAAGAGATCTAACAGGCCTTTTGACATCGTGCAGGTATTCTCGGATCCCTATAACTGCCACAAACGCTCCAGAGGAGCAGGATTTTGACCAGTTCATCACTGCCATTAAGGACATACCCCAGTTGTTCGACAAGAATTCCTCAGCTCCTCTGCCGGCCATGTTGTTCAACTGTCACGTGGGCCAAGGTCGCAGCACCACAGGCATGGTCATTGGATGTCTGATTACTTCACATAGGACTGGCTTCCCAACTGAAGCACAGTGAGTGCAGAGAAAACTTTTTTTTTTTTTTAATGATGACTAGGGCTTGATTTGTTTGAGTCAAACAAAGGTGTAGGTTTACACAATCGGCTGGAAGAGTAACCTTCCTCAGGCTGATTAAACACGCCTCTAACGGCAGCTGAGATTCATCAAGGAACTAGCGAACTTATCCCGGGTATAGTTTTTGAAAAGATAATGGAAAATAAAAGAAATAAAGATCAAAAGAGGATAAAATGCGATCATTATTACAGTGCATGTCATAGCCCGGGCCTGAGACGCGGAATACAAGGAACTAACCTATAATTTCCGCGAACTTAGCTTCGACGATGATCTTTGCTTGTGTTATCGAGAGATCCATCTTTACCACAGAAAAGAGGCCTTTTCAGGTCACGTCTATGCTCATCCAGATGATTGGACCACAAAATCAGCTTTTTCTCAGTCCATAGTTAGAACCATCAACGGAAATGCAATTTTTGTTTTCATTACAGTTAAGATTTTCATATCGTGATGACCGCTTACTTGTTCAACTTGTGATGGAGTTATGAAGTGAAATCTGTAACACATTCAGTCATCTATGTTGAAATTACACTGTTTTTCTTCCTAGCGCCATTCCATTGCCTATGGACGAAAACAACCCGAATTTGGAGAAGGGAGAATTCAGAATAATTCAACAGTTGGTGAAAAATCTTCCCAATGGAACACAGATAAAACACGAGGTTTGTTTTCAGTTTAGAAGTTTACCTTGTTAGATCAACCGTCAAATAATGAATCAACCAATTATTTTCGTTGTGCATCGTAACACTTATACAAAGGGCTCCGTTGGCTGGCCCGCCCACCTCTGTTACCGATCTTCCTTAAAATTTTCCCCTTAAACATCATCAAAAGCTTAATTTAGGCAAAGGATCAGTTAGAAAATAGATGAACCATTTTTGAATATCTGTAGGAAGAGACACTGACAAACCTCTAAGAAAATGAAGGCGGCATTGCCGAATGGCCTGTGTTGTTGGTACCGATATACTACTGTCCTAAGCCAAGAGACTAAGATCAAATTCTCAACCCAGACTTTCAAATGGCTTCGTTTATTTATATTCCTGAGTTCAACATTTCCACTGCGTTTTTTCAGTAGTCAATTGTCTTGCCTCTCGTCATAAAGCTGACTCCCGTTTGGTGTATTTCTCTAGGTTGATTCAGTCATCGACATATGTTCTGACGTTATGAATCTGCGGTCTGTCAGCTTTGAATGTAAATGTAAACTAGAAGAGATAAAGGATGACTATAAAATTGAGGTAAGTCAAAAGAGAGGTTTTGTACAAAAATTTTGGCATTGCCCAGATTGCCCAGCTGACTTAGAAGAGGTTCAGTGATAATGTGTATTGCGAAATGATGGAAACTGGTTTTACCTTAGCATAGTCCTTAGCATAGATATAGCGTACTCTGTTTTCATTTAATAAAAAAACTGAAATTATTCGCAGGGTCATAGTGCGCGTGAATACTGGTTAAGAAGAGGTCTGAGTGCCCTGGAAAGATATTTCTTCTTGATACTCTTTAACGCCTACTTACACGAGCAGGTGAGATGAGTGGAAATCATTTGTAAAAGGTCATAAAAGCCTAATATAGCAAGTTGTCGTTTCGAGTAGGAAACTGCACAGCAGAGTCGATGATAAACTAAGATGGCCTTAGGATAATCAAGGATGGAAAAATTCAGGCTGAAATTCTTATGGTCTACAAACTGTAAAGTTGCTTGTAGCGCTGGCGGGATACGATTTTGCCCTTTTGGTCTTGTAAGTGAATATACTGTCGCCCTATTGCATTAGGGCTGAGAAGGGAGGGAACAAATTCCAAAATAAATAGGTAGGATGACAATGAATTAAGCAAAGAACTTTGGTTCTCATTGTTGGTTATTCTATGTTCAAGTCTGCTTGTTGCGTTTATCATGTTGCGGCATGGAAACTCACTCGAGTTTTCTCTCTTATGCTTAGTTCCCACTCATGTTTGCTCAAACGTTCCGGAAATGGATGCAGCACAGGCCATGGCTCTACAGAATGTTGAGTCATATTGACGTCATGGAGAAAGGAGTGACGTCAGAATTTACGTCTAAATACCAAAATCAAACTTGTCTGGTAATTGACTTTTACTTGAGTGTTAACTAAAAGGATATGCAGTGATAAATTATGATAGCTACCTTAAAGATAGTGGCCAAACAAAGCTTATTATGTGATACTTTTAAACCTTGGTGACTTTCTAAAAACATCAAGGTCTTCTTATGTAGAAAATTTCAGGTGTTTAATGTATGATCTTGACGTTGCATTCAGGTTGCTGATGAACAAGTCAGTCTTGATGTTTTAAGCACTCAGCGGGAGTTTGAGGTATTTAATTCTGAAAAAGTGGTTAATTTGTTTTAAAGAGACACGAAATAACTTGCTTAAACGAGGGTAATGGTTTCGTTACTTTTATTTTCAGGTGTCGAATTTCCGCAAGGTTCACGGATTCCCTATTTATGGCATGTGTCAGCCGTCAAGACAGGTACTTCAACAAAAAGAGCAACTTGAACAAAAACGGACACAAAAAACAAAAACACGAAAAAATATAAACATAACAAAAGTAAGAATAGCTTCATAACAGCAAAATAAAGAGAGACAACTACAAAATATATTACTGAAGCACGAATCACTGTTCAGAGGGTCTCAATGGGTGATGGCCTTTACGGCTAGCGGTTAATTTCTTTCTATAGTTTTCACCAGAAATTTTAGTTACGGTTAACTTTTTTTACGGCTAACGGCTAAAGTTTTTAGCCGTTTTACAGCTAACGGTTAACCACATTGAGACGCTTAATTTAGTAACACGTTCCTCTACCTTTTCAGGGCCTAAACAATGTTGCACATTATCTTTTGGGTCCAAAATGTCTTCATCCCAAAGTCGTTTTCTTAAATCTAAGAGAGGATCTTGTCGTGGACTGTGATGGAAGCACATTTAGTCCAAGAGAGGTGAGGATAAAATGAATCGAAACGCATTTTGCCATAGTGACACTTGTTGCAGTTTGCCGTCAATAGCGGTTTGATTATCTTGAACCGTTTTGCTAGCTTTCGCCGGGTAAGGGAGGGGTGGCCGGCTGCATAGCCATAGCGGTTGACACTGGGTTGATGTTGGCGATCTGTGTTCTTTTATAGTTTGCATTTTGTCACGGTCTATTCAGTCCACAGTCCTAGTCCTCAGAGTCAATTGTATCACCTATGATACACAAAGCACGAAACAGGAGTAAACTTAAACCTTGTTTTGATATGCAATAAGACGTGATTTGAAGAGCGCTTACATAGATAAATAATAACTCCTTTATATCTTTCTTCACGTTTCGTCTTGCTTTAGTTTTCTAGTGACAATTCTGCCTTGATTACAAAGAATTTCTAATAGCTGTCAGAATTTTAGAAATCCCCTAAGCTATTGACTTTTTTTTTTACTTCAGTTATCAAGTCTGTGTGAGCATATGCCTTTCAGAGGACTGGACACTTGTGAGATTGAGGTGAGGCCTTGCCTTCACTGTCTCGTGAGAAAAACTTCTCAATCTAATAGTTTAGACCAGGAGCTGTTTCTTGGGTTATTGTGTTGTGTTCCCTTATCGTTTTTCACTCATCTCTCCTGTTTCAAAATTTACAGCAAAAGGAGAGCGAACTGAAGTCAGAACTACTCAAGAAAGGAAAGAGACAATACACACAGGTTAGTTTTGCGTAACAATATTTTTTATTCAGGTTTTGGTAAGGTCTATAGGCTTTCCTTACCAAAATACCGGTAAAAAAAAGTTGACGGAGTAAAACATCCTTTGCGTTTCATTATGATAGAACTATATTTACCCATGTGATGATTTTTTTCTAACATCTGTACTAAGATTTAAATCTCTCATTTTTCCTTTAAATTCCATGCATTTGCTCTCCTTACCGATCATCGCAGCCAAGCTCTAACCTGCTTCTGTTATTGGATATATTGCTAACTTATTTTAGTCAGCCCTTGTTAATACGTTGTATATTTTTCAGGTGTACACTGACATTCAGTATGCTCCCCAGGAGCGAGATTTTCACAGTGTCATAACAGCGCGTGAAGCGGCAGAGCTCTGCATGGCAAAGAATCCCCAGATGCTGTATTTTAGAATGCCATTGTCAGAGGACAAAGCGCCGGAGGAGAAGGTAGAGTGATAAAGGCCTTGGGTTGTTTAGAATTATGGAATCGGATTCAAGAAAATACGTATTATCTTGCCTGTGCAGTTGATATTTGAGTAACTTCTTATTCAAAGATTATACGCTCCATTAACACCGCCAACAACTAAAAGTGACTTGATCAAAGTCGAAAAAACACCAAGGACGACAACTGTGCTATGACATCAAGAGCAGCGACAGCAGCAGCAACAACAATAACAACAAAAACAATTGCAAAAACAACAGCAGTGACAAAAACGATAACAAAAAAGACAACGACTACAGAAACAGACACGGCAAAAATAACAACGACAGAAGCAACAACAATAATAACAGTGCAAAAAAAAAACAATCAATATAAAGAAATCAAGCAAGGAATACCCTGAAGACCATTCACCTTATTTCTGTCTGTATCTTTAAAATATTCAACAAAAGGCAAATTGTCATCCTCGTTTCGAAAACGTCTCACTAAACGTAGTTGTACAGACGATGGTTGGCTTATGTTCTTTATTTCTCCACGTAGGACTTTGATCGAATTTTAACAATAATCAACAGCCTGCATGAGATCTACACTGACGAAGATGGCCCTGCTATCGTCTTTAACTGCGAGATTGGCAAAAGTCGAACGACCACCGGAATGGCAATAGCAGCACTGATTTACTGCAACAAAAGGGTATAGATAAGATTTTTATGTTACTCAATAACACTGCACTGCATGCAATCTTTCACCTCAATTCTTATAGCTCTCTAATGCTTGATCATACGAAGAAGCGTCACCGTTAGAACAATTTGGTTTATTTAGCCTACTTTGTGCAAATACGCGGAGATTTGAGTTCGTATCAATCTTCTGCATGCTCCATCCTTTTTATTTCTTGGTCTGTCATCACTTCGAATGCGTATTTCTCTTTAGTTTGTAGTCTCCTTCAGGGTGAAATGCAGGTTGGAGTAAGTGACGCACGTCACAAATACCGACTCAAAACATAATTACCAAGGGTTATTAAAAACCTGCATAATTGTTTTTAGTTTGGTGAAGTAGCTTTAATAGTTAACACAAGTTCCTAACATAAAATATCTTAAGTCAATTATAGAAAAATACAGCTAGAAAATAGCTTAGTCTTGTAAATGTTTCCTTTCCAAGGGCTTTCCTGTCGGCACGAAGGTGGATGAACAAGATCCAGCTTGTGTCCCAAATGCTAAGTACACACTGGGTGAATTTTCGGTGCGTATTACCCATTAATCATAAGAATAACAATTTTATCGATTGTGATTGGTTTGAAAAACTCCTATTTTCCTCCTATCCACTTCCCAAGTTGTTATCGGACAGTTTGTTGTTGGATAGTTAAAAAATCCAATCATATTCAAAGTGGTTGTGTATTAATCAATCACAACCTTGGTTTCAATCACCATAGCCTCAGCATACAGACTCCTATATCTTTTCTCTCAGAAATTGTAATTTTTATGATTAATTGCTAAGAAAACTTCGTGTCGTCCAATTCGGTCTGTTATCATACTCGTGATAAACAAATCGGACTCCCGCTGCGTGGTCGTCTGATTTTGTTATCACACGTATGATTATAGACCAAATTGGACTTCACTCAGTCCTATTACCATAGCTTATTTTGCTATAACATAATAAGTTAGACAATCACTAAGCAACTGCTGCCTACATAGACACAGCACTGTGCATGTTAGCCCTTTACATCCGAACATCAGTATGCATATTATCCACGCTGTCCTTTATACATTTCCTAAGGTGCTGTTAAGGAGAATTAGTTTAACAGTCAAGAGCTTCTTTAGATGGCCGATCGTTTCCTAAATTCTCATGACCTGAAGGTGTGATGCGACAGAGACACTGTAAGGAGAAATTAGATGCGGGTAACTCTCGCGAATTAAAAGTTGTAACGTTAAAAAGGAGCATTGATGCTGCGTGGGTGGGGTGAGGTGGGGTGGGGTGGGGTAAGGTGGGGTGGGTGAGGTGGTAAGGTGGGGTGGGGTGGGGTGGGCAGAAAGCCTTCGAGACAAGAGTAACGAGTGATCAAGGAGCAGGTAACGCAAGTAACTAACACGAGTATTGTTCATTTTATTTCAGGTTATTCGTCACCTTAAGAGAGTTCTACCTTTTGGTCCACAGAGAAAACGTGAAGTTGATTATGTGTTGGATAGAATTTCAGAGACAATGACACCCATGCATTATCACTCAAGAGAAGTTATATTCTCTACATTTAATTTGGTGAGTCACCTGGAAGTGTTATATTGACCTTTAGTGCGAAAGTCTTCCCTTCCTTATTGCCACTTATCAAGGAGTAATCTCAGATACGCACGATAAGATAGCACTGACGTTGAAGGAAGTGCTAGTAATCCCTCACAATCTATTATCTTCAAATAAAGGTTGAGTAATTTATGCACAAGATCACGGGCTATTGAACCCCCCCAATTTTAAAATCACATACCAATAACCGTATTGCATCTCAACAACGTTTTTCCTGATATTCAACCATCTTGCTGGTCATTTATCTGCTTTTCAATTAACTTGCCCTCCCCCTTTCTCTTCAAATTTTCATCCTGGCCAGCTACCTATCGAAAGACCTGACTTCATATACTTTGCTATTCAAGCTCCCTTTTAAGGATAATTTTACCCTACCTACCTCCGTCCATCATAAGCTAAAACTGCGTGTTTGAAACCTTACCGACTACCTTGCGAACTCCACCATAAACTCAATTTTTTGCAGTATCGCAATGGCGTGTGCAAGAACCGAGAGGAAATTTCGGAGCTGAGAAAAAAGAGTCTCAACTTGTTGGAGAGATATTTCTACCTTATCTTGTTTAATACGTACTTACACATGGAAAGGAGAACCAAATGGCAGCGTTCTTTTAGTCAGTGGATGACTGAAGTTGCAACAGCTGCTGGTGTTTACGAGATCCTCGACAATTTTGGCTTCCATGATTTTGAAAAGACAGAGGAACGCTTGCGCGCTCTGCGCTGGAGATGGCGGGAAAGTTACAAGGGCAAGCCGTCATATTGACAATTCGGCGCGAAATGTAACTTCTAATCAGAGAGAGCACTGTGGACTGTGAATAAAACGGAAAAGCGCCAAAATTTCCGTCAAAACCGAAAAATGGAAATACAATCGCTCCAACCAGAAATTAAGAATCTGAGCTGAAGACGCGAAAGGATATCAAAACCTAAAAAACAGGAGATTTTGTGCGCCTCAATGAACAAAACCGATATAAAGTAATGCGCCTTTCTTACAGATGTATAGTAACTAAGGTTTAGGTGTATTGTTACATATTTATGATCTCTATTTATCACAAGTCATTGAGATGGTAGCCAGTTGTTATTCCTTCCCTGAATGATACAAGAATTCTGGAGAATTGCATGGGCGGACTGTGTTCTGAGCTGTTTCGCTGGGCAATAATGGGCTCTAGACTTGCCAAAAGCCGAAGCAATGGTAAAAACTGTATAGATATTGCCTGAAGGAGATTAGAGCAGACTGCTATTACGTCTGCAGTGCTATTTCATCTCTACCTTGCTGTAAATAGCCCACTGATAACACGAGCGAACTTTAAAATGAATGAGCTTGCGCTTTTTATGGTATTTACTAGAACTGCTCCTATAGAAACTCTCTTGCCAATCAAGAATGACGGGATCATAAATTTCTACATCATGAGTGTTTTTCAATTCATTCTGACATGAAATGAAATACAAATTTGATATTTGTACCAGTTGATCCATAAATTATTATCTCCTGAAACAAACTAACCAAAACAAATCAATACAGAAAAAATGAAAATTTTATGGGAAGCGTTAGGCCCAAGTTATTTTTGTGTTTAAATTAAACATCAAATAAACTTAAACATTTAATGAGTTTGTTTGTAATTAAACTCTGTTTACAACTGTTTATTGGTAGACTTAAATAAAGGAAATAAACGTTATCCTAACGTCCTTAATTTCTTTTGTTTCTTTGGGTCCTGGTATGGTCCAACCCTTATATAAAAAGCGCTTTTTTGCGCTAATTTTTTTGAGTAAGGGGTAAGAATTTCAAGGGAACTGTGCTCGGGTGACTTAAGTGCCCGTGGGATCCCCAATAGCGGAATTGTTTGCCAGGCTACATTAGATCATCGTCACCTATATGACCCCGCCGAAACATTGAATATCGAGTTTCATCTCACATTATCAGTGCCGTCCCTTAGTTTAGCAGTGTCGCATTTTTCTAACGTTTAGAATGGCAGGGGTTTCTGTTGTGATCGTTTTGTTTTGGTTTTTCATCGCCAACATCGTCCAAGGAACAGATTTTGACCATTATGAGAGAAAGAGACACCGTTCTCGCAGATCCCCAGTGACTAATGCGGATTTGGAGATCAAACTCGACTCCATCATATCAATGCTGGGAATGTTAAATGACAAAATTGATTCACAGGAGCGGCGTATTTCTGTTTTAAGCCGACAAGTTAGCAATGTAAACTGCAACGGAGAATCAAGGCAAGGTAGGAAAAACTGCACGCGAAGTGTACACAAAAAATACATACTAAGCATTCTGGAAACACTCCTGCTTTGTGGCTCAACACGTAAGCAAGGAAAACAAGCCCCAAAACACTATCTTTGTTTAGAGTAGTGAAAGATTGGTTGGTAAAATACTTCAGCGCTGAAGCGATACCACTGAAACGAAGGAAAAGAACGGTACAATCGTTCGTACTCCTGACAAGAACTGAGTACTTATTTTTCCATCTGTTTCAAGCGTTAAGACTCCAAGACAGCGCAAATGCATTCACTCCTTTTAAATTCACTCGCGACATTCTCGTCATTTTTATCGGTCGTGTAGGCACGATTATTTCATCGGAAGGTCCAACCATAACTGCTTTGTGCTATTGTCGGAAGGACATGTCAGCACCTTTCATTATCTTCTCTTGACACAGGGGATGGGTGAAGGGAGAGGAGGGTCAGTCACGCACTTTTTGCGTCTTCCTCTTTCTGCCTTTCTGCCTTTGTTGCCTCATTGTTTTGATGTCCACTGCTTTTTGTATCAGTTCAGTTCGAATACTAAAGGTAGGCTTAAACGCCCACAGAAAAACGTGGATTATGTATAAACTTCCCTCCAAAGGCGGTTTTTATTTCTCACTGTCACGCGTGATTCTAATATTTAGTTTGAGAAACCTTCCCATATCCTTCTAAGTGTCAAAATTTAAGGGACAGAATAGACTCTAGAGATGGATCGTTTACATAACTTTTCCTTTAGTTCCTCGTGATTGTGCTGATGTTTACAAGTCTGGTCGTCACAAAAGCGGTATGTACACCATTGACCCTGATGGCGAGGGTACTATGGAAGTCTTTTGTGATCAGGTTAGTACAGGATTTCATCTGTGAGATAATGGAGACAGCGGCTTTGACAGGGTTTTAAACTTGGGCATATTACCAAGGAAGCATTTTGCTGGAAGGAGAAGCAAAGAAGGATGTATGATCAATTTTTTACAAGCTCTCGAATACAGCCACTGGCCACTTATGTCAAACTGAAATGACATACCAATTTGCTCTCGTAACATCATTTTCTAACATGACGGGAAGGCTTTGAGGACAAAATATTGCATATTTCCTACAACAAGGGTGTGGCTGAGGGGAGGGGAGGTCTTAGCTAGGGCTCGTGTAAACACCCCTCAATGTCTAAAAAAAGTTATAAATTAAAGGAAATTACTATCAGGCAAGAAGTGGATCCCCTTCATATAAAGTACTTCTTACTCACCGCTCGATAGATATTTGACTGAGAGGAACACAATCTGTGTCGCGAAAGCCTCAAACTCTATTAAGTGACTGATGTCATCTTCATCTCGAAGATGGAAGATTTTCAAATATTATTGGTGTAGTCACTAGCGCTCTGAACCTAACCACCTTTACTCCCTATAGTTATCAAGAAACACGGTTAATAAAGCCATGATACTCAGTAGTGCTAGAAGCACTTCGTGGCAGAAGTGCGCTATTTGTTCGTTTCTGAATCCATTTTTTTTTCTTGTTTCTTCGACAGACCACAGACGGCGGTGGCTGGACAGTATTTCAGAAGAGACTTGACGGCTCGGTTAACTTTTTCCGTGAATGGAATGAGTACAAAGAGGGGTTTGGCTCTGCTGGAGGTGAATATTGGCTGGGACTGGAAAACATTCACCGACTGACCCATCAGGGAAGAATGGTACTACGCGTGGATTTAATTGGAAAGCAACTTCAGTCTGCGCATGCTTTGTACAAGGATTTTGTTGTCTCTGATGAAAAGCTGAATTATACTTTGGGGCTGGGTTCATACACAGGTTGGTCTTTGTTTTAATCCGCTTTATCTTTCAATTAATGTGTATATTGTTAGAAGTTATTTTCTAACACACGTTGTTCAGTTGAAGGTTTCTTTGTTCTTCTCTTTCTTACATACAACAACATCGGGACTAGTTCAGATCTCTCGATGAATGTGTGGGTCACCGCTAATGAAGGTGACGCTTACTGAGCTGTCAATCTCTAACCTTCGTCATGCTTTTACCCTTAACTAGCGAATTACGTTAAGCTACGTAGAGCGGAGTTCGCATACTAAGTCGGTACCGTCGAGATGTTTACGCTTCACAAATGATTTTCTACCTTAAATTTCTTAGTCTAACGATCAAGTTCGGGTAAAACAAAAACGAGATTGACAATATCAAAATTATGATAAACTTACGAACAGAACTAAAATCATAGTTGAGAAGATATCTTAAGAGAAAATAATCGTCGAAGACAGAATAAACGGAAAATTCGGAGAAGAAAGGGCGTACCCAAAATACCGCCCCTAAAAGGGCTAAGAGCTATTCTTATTAGTTACTTGATTATAAATTCATTGCGGAGGATGAGGTACTACATGTTTACACCTCAAGTCACCTCTAAGAAGAAGAGGTGTCGAGCGTGCTAAATTATACCTGTAAGATAAGACCGCCAAAAGGAGTAAGAAATGATCAACTGGCCTATTATAATTTTTACTGAATGGCTTATGGTAATATATTATTTCCATTCATTTTCAACGTTTAAATAAGTAAAAAAAAACCTATAATGAAAATTCTTGCTCGATGCTAATTTTCTTTCAACAATATGCTTTTAGAGTATAATAAGTGAAAAACCGGTGAAATTTTGAGGCTGCAAGCACAGTCATTTTCTGTAACAGAAAACAGACCAGAATGCCGCATTTATTGAAAATAATAAACACATCCGTTAGCTTCCATCACTAAACCGTAGACTTGTTATGTATGGGAAACTTTCCCAGACGATTTTTTTTTGGTGGAAGGTTTTTTTTTGGTAGTTTTTTTAATTTGAGTACTTTGCACCTCACAGTAAGAAAGGTTTTAAAGGGAGCGTTTTGTGACCTAACTTCAGACCTTTCTCTGCAAAGTTAAGTAGAAAGTATCTATTTAAATATAGCGACAGCTTCTTGAGATCCAGAAGTTAATCACTCTTGTTCTATAGGAACCGCAGGTGATTCTCTGTCCTGGCACAACGGAATGCAATTTACGACCCGCGACAGGGATAACGACAAGTCCGCCGAGGGAAACTGTGCGCGGTTCTACATGGGAGCATGGTGGTACAACGCCTGCTTATTGTCCAATTTGAACGGCGTTTACTTTCAAGAACCACAGACATCGTATGCCAACGGCGTGAACTGGAAGACTTGGGGTGGCCTTCAACACTCTGCGTTTCGAGCGGAAATGAAAGTGCGACCAGTGGGATTCAACGGCAAGCAGTAATACTGACCGCGTGACTATTCTGTATTCATGCATGCTCGGCTGAGCCAAAAAAAAAGCTGTGTTAGTGTGCCTTCATAAAGCTGAAATTTGTTGTAGAAAGCCTCGAAATGAAGGCGTTAGAGGAAGAAGTTTTATCTGTCATTATCGAATGCTTGTTTTCAATAAACGACTTTAAACTTTCCATAAAGTTGTATAGGGTTACGCTGAATATTTTGTTGGTTAAAGAGGAAGGCGCTTTATTTGTATTAGTTCGCGTTCGAGTTTTGTTACTGTGGTTTTGAGCTAGCCGCTATCAGCTTTGCATGGTACCCTTTCTACCGAGAAATCAGTAACATCCAAGCATCCAAGTTTTAGGAAAAACACACATTCAATCAAAAACAAAACGAAACATCAGTTTTTTAGGGGATGGGGCGTTTAGGAGGAAATTCCTGTCATGGGCAAACGTCACGTCCACGAGAAATCTTATTTTGTCTCTTTGTCACTTCAACTCCCGTCCGCTGTGAGCCTGGGAACCAACCCCTTTGGTCACTATTATCATTATGGAGCATTAGAAAATGAAAGCCATCTAATCCCATTTTTATTTGCTTTTAAATTACATTAGCTACAACTGAGAGTAATACTGAGCCTACTGTGCAAATCTGTACTCTTGCGGATGTTATTAAACGGATAATTATTCTACAACCTAAAATGAGCCTGTGTTTTACTGAGGTCAACGAAATTGGGTTTTGAAAATCAAAATAGCCACTTGGTAAATATACTCCCGCTGACTTCATCATTATCAGGTTCGGGCAATTTGGAATTTCAAGCGCGAAACAAACCCGATCCTAACAGTGGAATTTTCACTCTTAAATTCAAGGGGTTGAATTCTCTGCACTAAATGGAGAGTTTTGACCGCTGGGATTTTCTGTGGCCACTCTACATTCCCAGAACCAGCAATGAAATGGTCTCTCTCAGTAAACACTTCTCTCTCAGGATGTCCTCGTCTAATGAAGTTAATAAGCATCGATCGATAAATCGTGAAACTTTAACACGTTCTACAAAGCATCTCATTAATGAATAAGAACCAAAACGTGACGTCGAATTTAGGGAAAAACACTCAAGACCCAAATCACATTATCCACGAAAATCGTTCCTAAAGTTTAAATGATTACATTCCAGCTTAAGCAATCCTATAACTTAATCTTATCTCATTTTTTCAGCCCCCGACTACAACGGTTCTTTGAAGCCTTACTGAACATAATCTTGCGATACAGAGAAAAGCTGAATAACAAAAATTCTGACACCTAAAAACTACAGAAAAGCTTCGAAAAAAATACATTAAGGCGTGCGTGCGTCAAGACCAATAAAATAATATCAACTAAATTAACCTTCTTGGAAGAAATTATTGTCCCCACTGCACATAAGGTCATCACCACCACCATTTCCTTTCGGCTGGATTGAGCTCTGCTCGATTAGAGTTACAGGGAAGACACTATTTAATTCCTATTTCGCACAACTTAAATTTTCTGCGGTAGCTTTTTAAAAGAAAGATACAAAATAACTGGTACATACCTTAGACCCTCCCAATCAGAAGAGTAATTAAGTCCTTAACGTTAGACCAAAAGGTTTTACCCTAGGTGTTAGTTTTAAGCCAAAATTTCAAGCCGATTGTGATGTAAATATACTTTTGGTTATCTGAAGAAAAGGCATAAATTCAATTAAAAGAAATACAGGGCATGAACTAGCAGTATTAAGAGGTAGTGATTAATTATGCGGTAAAATAGTAACTCGATTATATGATTAAACTGAAGTTCCATGTTTAAAGCTCCGTCTTGTATTACAGGTAGTAAGTATACCTGCAAGGCAAAGTTGGAAATACTCAGTCAAAAGATCACATATAAACGAAAACAATCAGAAAATTGAACAAACGAAAAGGTAAAATGGATATATACATTTGGTATATATTAGAGCAGTGTATAGCAACGAAAGCACGCTCTGATTGAGTACTTTAGCTCCCAATAACCTTTGATATTCACCACCAAACAACGTGCGCGGGACTTGCGCCCGAAAACAAGATATCATGAATGAAAATATTGTAATCGTACTTTTAGCAGGAATAAACGAGTTAGAATCGTCTTTTGTGCTGTTTTATCTCACCGTTTTAGTATATTTTTTTACGTTGCTTAATTTTTTTCCAGTTATTCACCTCAGTGTCGGTGGTTAGCGCTCACGGTGTAAATTTACATCACTGCGTCGCGGCTCGGGAAATATCTATCACTAGCCACCTCGGTTTCGGAAATTAACCAATGTAAATGAATGAATGAATGAATTATTTTATGGATACAAAAAATAATAAATAAAGAAATTAAAGATGCCGTTATTCCCGATCTGTGAACTCTCTCTTGACTGAGATATACCTTCTTTTAAATACTAGAAAATGGAATGATCTCGCAGACTGAAAACTTTTCTTATTTTTCTTCATGTCAGTCAAACAAACTTACTTATTTCGTTTGATGTTGTTTCTTCGTGCGATCTTTTCCATGACTGCTTGATCAGGTTGGAGAATTGTGCGGAAACGCTGAAAAAGAAGACGTTGCGTTGCTGAGTTTGTGAAGAACGCAACAAATTTTTTTTCAGGCATCATATTGGTAGGGGGATTTTTGGGGTGGCTGGAATGATTTAGTAGACTTAACAACCTTTTATCATTTTACTGAACCTACAAAAGCCAATAAATTTAAAATCAGTATTCAAGCTGTCTTGGCATAGGAAGAACTGACAACACAAGCAGCGAAAAAAAAGGAACAATACTGTCAACAAACACGTAAACAAAAACAACATCTGCTCAGTAGTCACAACAACAATAACTAGAAACGACCCTTGAGTCCCTAACCGATTTATTGATGTTTTTTGATGGGGAGGGGGAGAGGGAAGTTTAATGGAAACATCATTTTTACCTCGTAAGCAGTTCCCTCTGGTAGTATCCACCACCGATAGAAGGCATATCCAGGGACACACAAAACGGCCGATATACACAACATCCAGCCCAAGAATTCGGCCCATCCGGGATATTGCTTGCCGTTGTAAGATATGCCTGTCCAGTCCACACAGAACCAGACGAAGATGACCTGAAATTTGTTAACAACAAGATATGATGAATATTACCCCTTTAAAGAGTAGATGAGACCTGTCACAGCAAAACTCAATAGAACAAACACGCCACAAATATATGTTCAGCCTGAATAAGGACCGGATTCTCTTCAACCCGATCGCCATGGCGATTTAAATCATTCGTTTTCAATGCATTCATACCAACTCAGTTTTCAACATGCTTGAAATGCATAGTTACTCTGAAAAAATCGTAACGAATGTAACATGCTTACGAAGATGATCAGCGGGGAGATGAATTTCCAGCAAAGACGGAAGTACATGTTGGGACGGTGGCCGATCATATTCTCGATATCAGTGCAAAATTGCTCGATACCTGAAAACAAAAGGGAAAAGTTACATTGCAAAAAAGGAAAAAAAAAAAATTTAAACAAATGTTTAGGGACATTAGCGTTGAGTTGATTTACCACGTGGGCCACATTGTCCCGCTGGATCGCATAAGCACGTTTTCTTTCGCTGTTGTTGTTGAGAACCAACTGTTGAGGTACATGAATGCCCTCACTGACCTTCATTTGTTTTTTTTTTTATTCTGGAATGCCTCACAGAACTTGTAGGAAACATACACAAGCAATGAACTTGAGTTTTAGAAAAGGTAACGATTTATTTAATTTTTTTTTTGCTTTAGCTTTAACCGTATACACGTAAAATATTTGCGAGTGTTGTGAAACAAGTGATATTATGAACGTATTCGTAATTCTATTCGTGGAATTGTCTGTGTTCCCAAACAACAAAAGCTTCACAAAAGAGCGGGTAATTAGAGCCAACAAAAGCAACGGGAGCCTTAAAAAAATTGACTTGCTCAGCTTCTCATTGAAGAAAGTCGAGAGGTTGTAATAGAAGATAATAATTGGCGATTACCAGCGGTGGAAGCTTTTAATAGCTACTACTGTGAAGTAAGCAGAGAAGCATCCGGCTCTTACCGTAGAACCATCCTATGCCTACGGCCTCCATGAAGGCTATCAACACAAGGGATATCCCTCCTGCCTGATAATCAAACATTTGAAACACGTACATGCCACCCTGGAAAAAAAAATTAAAACAAGAAACAAAAAAGATCAGTGGCAGTAATTCTCGAATACCAAATGCATTCGTTTTGTATGTAGCAACGGTGGTTTTGCTGTCTAGTCTAAAGATTTGATTCAAAATTTAGAGGTGAGAAATATCTCTTGTTTCTGCATCAGGGACCGGTCATCGTTTACTAAGGGGAGGGGGGAAGGGCGCTGGAGGATTTTGTTTGTATCACAATGAAATTAACCTGATCCTCCCCGAGGCTTTGTAGTATGTTGATTACCCCCCGCCCCGCCCCTCACTGGCAGTTATATTCTATAGTACCCCCTTTCCCCCAAAACCAAGTGATCCCTAAAAATTCTCCGACCCCCCTCCCAAAAAAAAAAAAGAAAAAAAGCGATGAATAATAAATGGTCCCTAGAACACTAAAATGGCTCAAGGAACAGTCTGAGGCAAGCTTTTGAGACACTTCCGCCCCAGTCTCCCCATGGGGACCCCCTTGAAGGCGGTCGTCTCAGTGCACGCCCGCATTGAAAATTTTGTCTACAAGTGTATCGACCATCACTTCACTTGGTCCAAGATCATAACCGTTACCAGTTTAAAAGCCACATCACGTCGCTTACCTGAGTCACGTGAGCAAGTCCGAGTAGGTAGCAAACGATACAGAAACCCAGCGTAATGACGGATTTATAGCGACGGAAGCCTGGTCTCCAGTCTGCCAGCACTGTTGTGACCGTTTCTACACCGACAAACTGTGTTGCAATCGAAACAGAGAGGCATTAAAAAAATTCTATCACTGAAAAATGCCCTGGCCTCTGAAAATTTACCCCCAATTACACTGCTATGGATCAAGAAAATAAATGATGCCTATGGTTAGTTTTATCCCGAACACAGTTTAGAAACGAGCCAGTCACTAAGACATGAATGTTGAATGTGAATGTTGAATGAATGTCAGTCGGCAGAGTAACGGTAGATCTAATCCGGAGGTCGTGGGTTCGATTCCCACCGAGGTCAAAAGATTTTTTCTTTGCCTCGTGTGGTTCCCTGTTTCCCTTTAATAGGGCTAACGCCCTGTGGGTTATTCATGGGTTTAAGTAGCACTTTAATTTACACTTCAGAGTTAATTCTCTGTTTCACCAGTCACTAAGACAGTCAGACAGACAGTCGATTATAAAATAACCAGCGATTTTAGTTTACTGAGAGACACAAATTATCCAAGGAAACTGCCGGAATACTGACCGACAAATGTGTAGGGAATAGTTAAACAATTCAAATCTAGATCAGCATGCATGACAAGAAACACATACCTGACTGTCCAGTCCAAGATTGAATAACATAAAAAAGAAAATAAAGGCCCAGAAAGGTGATGCAGGCATCTGCTTGATTCCTTCAGGGTAGGCTATGAATGCCAAACCAGGCCCTGCGTAGCAAAAAAATGAACAAGTGGAGAAAAAATAAAATTAAGTAATCTTGCAGTTTTAAAACATTCCTGCGTTCCGTCACAGTTTTAATTTTGCACTTTTTAGACAGTCGCGGCACACTTTCAGTTACGTTTGCTAACGCGTTACCTTGCTACTACAGTTTTAACGACTCTCATACTACGTTGATATTTGAGTCATAGGTTTCCAGCCCGAAACATTCTTTTAGGCTACTGTTCTAATTCCAGGTAGCCAAGTTCCTCTCAACGTGAAGCGAATTTAAGTCACGATGAACTTTGGGTGCGAAGAGTTCACGGTTTCACTGACCGTTGGGGTGATAAAAATATCAATAAACTCTGAGGAAATTGCTTAACAGCACTAGAATCGTTCATTGACAAATAAAGTCAACTCTCTTCAACCGTTTTTATTTCAATCATCTCAAAACGTACCTCCTTTGACGACTTTTTCAACAGTTGTTTGAAGGACATGTGCCATGTAACCCATCATGGTGAATATGACAAAGCCAGCAAAAAGGCTTGTACCACAGTTGATAAGGGACACAATAAGCGTGTCTCTGTAGAAGAGGCATGAGGATTCGAAGGTTACAATGACTCGTTATCTTTTAACGATTTACGGGGTTTAATCAAGTAAACAAGAGTTATTGGCATTCTCTAATAACCTCTAACCCTTTCACTCCCAGCAGTGATCAAGACATAGTTTCTTCACACAATATCAATACAACATCGAGCAGACAAGTGATGTGAATGTCAATTAGGGGATTACATTTGATCCAATACCAAATTCTCAGAACTAAAACTATAGGCAATGTATGGCAGTGAAAGAGCTAATAATATTTCCCGCTTTGAACAATTAACCGATTGAACAATTAAGCCGAGGATTATATTGCCGTCGGAGGGAATTGATTTGTCACATGCAAGAAAAAACATTACTGAGGGGGGAAAGCGGGGGGAAGGAAGAGTAAAGAGTTGATCTCCCTCTAGATTTCCTTACAAGGCGAACAATGTTTTAAGCAATACAGACTGAAGACTAGACAGTTGAAATGTGGAACGAAACTGGACAGGACATGTGGTTCACTTACTTCTCACAGTTGTTCTTAAATTTGTTGTAGCTGCCATATGTTATGAGCCCGCCAAATCCAACACTCAATGAGAAGAAGATCTGACCAGCGGCCGACACCCACACCTTTGACAATAACCATGTAACTGATCAGAAAGTGTAGCTCAAACACCGATCTTAAGAACAGGTGTCTGATTGAATTCTGGTGAAACCTGAACACCACCAACACCAGCTCAAGTGCCTATCTGGTCTTCCTATATTGTCTTTGAAAATGAACCTGTTTTCAGACGACGAGGACACAAAAATTTATGCCTTCCTTGACCTAAATGAAAATGTTTATGAGGCGGACGATTCAAGAATTTCTATTATAGATTTTATTATATTGCTGATGTCCAGTTCTTAAACGCAATATGCAGGGCCAGATTTGTTAATATGGAATGTTGAAGCGACATTGAATTACAAAATCAAATAAGACAAAGGCTCCCTCTTTGTCTTTAACAATACTCGCAATCGAATTTAATTTTAAAAAATCTTCCTTTATCATGCGTGTGTATGGCTAACGCTGTAACTGACCAAAAAAAAATTTAGACCGATTTTGTGAAACCTTATATTGTATAAGACAGATACTACTTGACGCTAGTAAGGGTCCTGTGAAAAAAGTTCCACATTCACGACAAGTTATTTGTCACATTACCTGCGGATCGCTCAGTCTTGTCATGTTGGGTTTCAGATAGAATTCAACCCCCTTGGCTGCACCTTCCAAGGTGGCTCCGCGAATAAGCAGAATAAACAAAACCACATATGGAAACGTGGCTGTGAAATAAACAACCTGGAGGAAAGGAAACAGACAGATACTTGAGTTTTAATTGGTGGGTGATTTCAACTGCGATTACATCGGGTCTGCTTCTCCACGCTCTTGGTTGGTTCCGAAATGTGGGCCCTCTGTTTAACTAATCAAATGCAGAGCTAATAAAAACTGCAATTCGTTTTCCCAGTTGTCTTGCAATGTATTTTTAATCCTCACTGGCACTTAGAAGATTTTCCCTTCGTCTAGAATGAGGAGTAACAATTTGATTCAGCAACACTCCTTGACATGTTATGATACGAGAGAAAGTCCTGAGACGAAGTCACTTAACAAACAGGATTAAAAGATTCAAACAGACACCTTTCCAGCAGACTTTATTCCCTTCCAGACACAGAAGTAAACAACGATCCATCCCAGGAGAAGACACATGGCGAGTTCAAACCTCACTTCACCAGCAGCATGGATACCTTCACTTAGTTGAAGGACTTTTATGCTTAAAGAAAAATTGACACAAATTCGCAATTTATTAAGATAAAGCTTAGTTTGTAGTACCACATCATTTAGTTTTAGTGAGGGGCTACCCTCGTGGGAAACATTTCTCCTTCAACCTCGATCGACAGATCAACTGATTTTCTGTTCCTTGAATCAATAATTCAACGGTCCGTGAGATGTTTACAATATGCTAAAGACAAATATCGCAAGCCATGTATTAATAATGGGAGAGAACAATCTAAATTATTTTGTAAACTGTATGGCTATTAGCCTTATGCACCCCTGAATCACAAACTAAGGAAGCTCTTTATTTTTAAGCAAATTCTCCTTGTAGACACCTCAGGACCTCATACATAGAGAACAGTTTGAAGAAAAGGCATATCGATGTTAGGGTGGAAAGAGTTAAGACTGACTTGTTTCTGGCATCTGTCTGCAAAATTACCTTGCACTCAGACTTTAGAGTAATGTTAAACATCACTTGGTGTACGGAGGTGTTTATTTATAGAACCGTTTGATGCTTGTTGATTCAAACTTATGGCGCACGTGTAAGCTTCGTCTTTGGATCAAGCTGATTCAGATAATGATACTTACTTAAAATATTCTTCTTCTGGGGAGACCCACCCACAATCGTCTTTACCACAGGAAGCTGAGCGGTTTGTCCTTAAATAAGATATTAAGTGCATGAATTAATAATTTTATACATAAAGACTTCGTTCACTGTATGTAGTTATTGTGACAATCATTATGTAGAATTCGTTGGCGCTCCACAAATGACATATGCAAAAAAAGGAACTCTGAGTCCTCTTTTTGATCTTGCCTAAAGTTTTACTCCACAGATAGAATGAAAGAAAAGGTGGAGAGTAACCGAGCATAAAAGATGTTACTTCCCTGTTCAATAGATTTATTGGATAAATTATATGTCTATGAATGCAACATCACCGTACTGAATTGTTTGTGTAGAGATTTGGGCCCACGTACATGCAAAAGAAAGTGTAAATTCAGATTTCACTTACTGACACAAGCCAGTGTTCCATTTATTTCCACAATTTTCCCACGGTAGATGCTTTTGGAATGATGCAAACAGGTAGTAAAATGTCCACGCCAAGATGACATTGTAATACACGCTGCACAAAAAGGTGATGATAACCATGCCAAGGCCTATACCTGTAGTAAGATCACACACATTTTAGGGAAAGATGTCATGATAATTTACGTCGTTTTTGGGACACAGGAAAGTTAACCTTTACACAAAAGGAAAACTTGAAGTTATAATTTTCTCATTATTTTCTTGTTTTTACTCGGATGTTTAAAAATTCACCACACTTAGCCAATTCCTAGCTCTCCTTCAGAGTAGACGAGCGAAGGAGCGAACAAACGAAAAATGACGGTCGCAGTCGTCAATTAACCGTGAGCCTGAAAGAGGCTAAACAAAATTAGGAATTGTACATGAAATTTATAAGGATTAAACAAAAGTAAGATATAGTGTGTAACCCCCTTTTAAAAATGACTTTAAACACTCCCTCAATAAGGTTCGCAGACAACGTTTCATGTTCTGGGAAGAACACGAATTGAACAGGTCCCCATTAGAAAGGCAAAACTGTTGGTGAAATTTCCATGTGTAATCAGCCATTTACGATACATATTCCTTCTCTGTTCCCTTCGTTTTAGCTGTGTTAAAGCGGCTTCAGAAATTAAGACCGTTACAACACAGTTGGCGTTCAATATTCTATATTTGGAATTGGATATGAGAAAAATATCTGTAAGTCAATGTCCATAACTTGTGTCATCGCAGAGTATGTATTGACTTTTTACTATTTCAACCATATTAATATTCTTTATACACTCCATGATTAATGAAGCAAAACAAGCAGTATAAATCTTACCTCCCAAGAAGGGAACATAGGCTGCCCAGGCACCGACCACGCCTTGTTGGGTATACTGACCGAGGGCGACCTCCAGGTAGAAAATGGGAATTCCACAAAACACCAAGAAAATCAGGTAAGGAATCAGGAAGGAAGCTGAACAAGCCAAAAAAGAGATTCATCGAGTCAAAAGTTGTGAAAAAATATCTTAAGCTTTAACCTGATTCTTTTAAACAGTTACATTATGGCCCATCAGATTTGTATTAATTTACAAACAAGTAAAACTGCGAGCAAAATTTTAATAGCAAAAATTAAGAGGGAAAGCTGAAATAGACTACGCTTCGTTACTCCCAGCTGCCGTTAATAAACAAAATACTAAGAATTAGAAATATGTTCTTAACATTCTCGAGTGTCCGATAACGATGGCGTCTAATTTCCCTCGGAGGATTCCCTCGGAGCTTCAGATTTTAAATTATCATGAGAAAATCAGCTTTTTACTTATGAAGCGCTCGTGATAAATGAATGACCATACTTGACGGCGTGAGGCTCGGTTCTTGGGAAGATTTAGGAACCTGTAGATACTTATCGCCGCAGGGCGCGGCGGGGGGGGAAGGGCGTTATGGGGGGAAGGGGACGGATGATCTTTGCCGTGCCACGATCAAATTTTCCTTACCTATAATGCTCTGTAATATTAATAATACCCCCACATTATCAAGTATCTATAGTTCCCCTTTTACACTCTATTGATGACTACTGACCTCCTCCACTCCCGTTCGCCGTGATTGCCATCCGATACCCCCTAGAATCCTTCCCCCTCCCCCCTCAGGTGACAGATACTGACTGATCCGCCACGTCATGGTTATTTGATTCTTAGGATAATGATATGGTAACTAGGTTTCAAAATGTAAATTCGACGGCGCACTTAAGTTATAAACCGGTATTGTTGAGCACTTGGTTGTAATTAACCGCGTGCGATTTGAGTACTCGGAAGTGCAGAAAATAGCAGGCGATGAACAGATTTGCAAGATTTGCAGGAATTTGCAACGAGAAGCAAAAGAACAACGAAAGATTTGTTTCAACTATTTTCAACTTGTCTCTTTTGTACTTCGGGATTTCTGCAGGATACTTTTCTGTTGACGAAACTACATATTCCATCTATTCTAAGTATTGGTTGCTTAGAAAATTACATGACCCAGCCATTTTAGAAAACATTTATAGCATTTAAATAAACTGAAATCGTCATTTCGTTTTGAAATATTTGTTTGTTCCGAAAGGAATATGTTTGATGACAACTTTAAGTGTCTTTGTGTAAGGCCTTGTTCAAGAACAAAGGAGCTTTATTCAATAATTTCGGTTCGGTGAGCGATTTCACAACGCGAGATCATTGCGACTTTTCATTGTCAATTGAAATAAAATGAAATGAGATTTCCTTACTACCTCACGCTGGTAAACAGGAAATATTTTTTTAAGACTTGAAGTGTTCAGATAAGTTATGTCATCGAGTAGTCGAGTTCAAGGCCATTGCATAATGTTACGAATCTTATGCCGGTTGTGCAGTTGTAGAGACAAAGATAACTGTGAGTAGTCTAGTAACTAAATGTGTATGAATAAGGTTAGAGTCTTTTTATGAAACTGGATACTCATCCTTCCTTAAAATTATTCACGTGAGCAACAGATGACGATGGTTCGCGTTCAGTACAATAGTGGCGCCAATACACAGTTGAACGACCGAAAGGACTTTGCAATGTCGGGTTACTCTTTAGAATTTAATATCAGCGTGTCTAATTTCATATAAAAAAAGGGTTTCATATGTATCCGTTTAGGGAAGAACTAGTCGATCAATATCTAATTGTACAGGACTTTGAACAGCAGATTAAAACAAAAAGATGTGAGTTTGAATAATTATGCAAATTTAAGGTTGTTCGTCTAAGCCTTGGGTTTCTGAAAACAGAATTCCATTTTGCGTTTAACTCTGTAAGATCGAATTTTCTGAACAGTAAGCAGTTGAAAAGGCACTGGCAAGTCGTTCATATCTTTAGCTGGCGGATTATATGACGGTTCCTTCAATTGATTGATTCACTCTCGAGAGCCGTCGACTAGGTCACGCTACGTTCCCGCGCTTCCTTGGATTTGCTCTGTGTACCAGCGACTTCAGAACGGAATTAGCACGCTTCCGATTGCTAGAAAATTTTCTATTCGAAATAAAAGAGATATTTTTTCTATAAACTCAGTGCTCAGCGATGCACTAGCCTTAAAAAGTTAACAAGAAGGCGTGAAGTACTTCTGTTGCTCATTATGCATAACTTGTTTGTAGTATTAAATGGCGTAGTACGTAGAACAACTCGACACACACAATGTCATTTACCTCCACCGTTGTTGTAACAAAGATAAGGAAAGCGCCAAACGTTTCCTAGACCGACGGCGTATCCGATGCACGAAAGCAAAAAATCCAGCTTTCTCCCCCAAGTCTCTCGTTCTTCTACGTATTCAACTTCTGGCTCTCCATTGTTACCCAAACTTGTCTTACTTTGCCTGATCTCGGAATCTGCCAAACCTGCGCGGCTATCATAGCCAACTGGGTATAACTCGACCCCTTTGTTCGCCATGGCAAGCCGTTCAACGCTTAAACTCGTTGCTTCTAACACTGCTCAGACTGGGCGGTATATCCGCGTGCTCGATATTACGGATCACTGGTCTTTGGAAACTGCATAATTATTTTGACCACGAGACAAAGGGCTGCATAGTAAAGTTATTATTAAAAACATTCCATTCATGTTATCATGAAATTTGCCGGTTTTCGTTATTCAACTGCAACTCGGATCGTGAAAGGCCTCTCTCGTGTATTCCCTCTCGAGAGGAATACACGATTTTTGATCAGAGTTGAAATATTTCCAGAATTTCCGAGTCTGATCAGTTTCCAGTCTGACCGTTCTGATCAGATTTTAATAATCTCCTGAAAGATATTTTCTGAAGACAACATTCGCAAACATGTTTAGGGGCATGAATTCTCAGAAATTCAGAGGTTGCCGGGTCAGACAGCTTTGAAATTTTTTAACTTTTGCGCTCAACGGAGAGAAATGTGAACATTTATTATGAAGACTAACTCCAGACGGAAAGGTTCCTCGTTGCTGATTGGTTGGAGTTATTACGATGATGTTACAATCGCGAAAGAAAATACTCACTCACGACGCGGCGTGAGTTCAAAACAGGAAACTTCCAGTTTACAAAAGGGCTATTTAATTCCAGTTAAACCGGTTTACCACTGATAAGTTTGTAGACATTGGCTCCTTTCCGTAGTATAGCCATAACACAACAGCGAAGTTAAGAAAAATATTGTTTTCATGACAAAGAAACTGTATTCTACTTGATCAAGAGGGTAGTATAGGTTTACCCAGTCGCTTTCTTTCACTAGCGTGGAAAGTTGGAAAAAGGGCGCATGGCTGTTTCAAACAATACGATCTTTAGACCCAAACTTCACACATTAATCACTTTTCATTGTCATTCGTCCAAGATACCGTGAAGATGTTATCTCTACACCCTTTCTTGGAAGAAAAAGGCATCATTCATGATTTCGCTGCGGCGTCCTTGCGAATTCGCCCTGTTGTTGAACTCCTCGAAAAAAATTATGAAAAACCAAAGTAAAAGTCCAAAATAAGCGTCATTTTATTTGAAGTACAGTTCAGGTGATAATATTTAAGAGGCAAATTGGTGACTGTTTCGTGATATAAATACATCTATTTGAATGATTATCAAGTCAGCACATGTCAGGCACATGTATTTATTGTCTATGATTCTAAGTGTGTTTGTCATCCATAAATTTTCATTGACCGAGTTTCTGAGGGGGGAGGAGGGTGGCACAATGTTGCTTCCCTCTCCCAATTTACATAGCTCAATACCCCAATAGTCTCCTCTCCCGTTTCCTTAAGGAAATGTTTATCCGTAGTCTCCAAAGCCGTCTGGTTGCTACTCAGTTCTCGTAGGCAAAATATCAATTTGGCTGAGAACAACACTACAGCCAACGAAACGTTAAACGAAAATGATCTTGTGATCAACGTTGGTGGTTGGCAGCGTGCCACTTTCTTGTGTGACCCAGCCACAACAACGGCGTCCCTATCTAAAAATGTTCTGAAACTATATACTTATATCACTAACACAGACTGAAACACGCTTTCATACTTCCGTGTGGCACGGTAGTCACGCAAACGACCATCCTTTGTTGACCGTACTATTGCTATTTTTCTATTAAAAGAGGCAAGGTAAGAAATATGTTTGATTCGCATAGTAGCACTCCACCCTCTGGAAATCGAAAGAAAACGCTGAGGCAGAGCCCAGCCAGGCTGAACGGTTCGAGAAACATTCCACGGATGTTACAAATAATGGTCAACAATTTCCGGTTCTGATAACGAAAGATTAACATTTCATAATAAAAAGTAACGAGATAAAACATGACATTTCGGCGACGACATGTCTCCATTATCAACTGTATAATTATTATAAGTTCAGTGATGTTATATAAAAAAAGGAAAGTGTGAAACTAAATTAGAATAAAAATGAGGTGACGTATAATAAAAGAATCTTCATATTTAAATGAGCAGTTTAGCCGGAGTGAAGTCTTTTTGAGTGTTCAACGTTCTGGTCTTGGGAAGCGTGGAATCTCTTGAACATAGAATCAATAAGTTTCCCAGGATTTTTCAGTTTCAGAAACATTGTTTTCAGATCCTGACATTCTTTTGAGGAAGGATCCGGTGAGGATGAAAAGCGGTCGGCGCGATCAACATAGTTCTTATCAGCGATCGTTTATATCTGACGCCACAGCCCTTTTCACTAACGTACCTCTTGAAGAAACTATTCAGATTTTAGCGAAGAAAGCATTCAATGGGAACTGGCTTAACAACACACACGACCTTAACATTTGTGAGGGCGACCTCGACAAGCTGCTTACAATCGCAACTAAAGACTAACTCTTCCAGTTTAACGGTGATTTGTACAAGCAAATAGACGGCGTTGCCATGGGCTCACCATTAGGACCACTAATGGCTAACACCTTTATGTGCTCCATTGAGGAGAAACTTGCACGTGAAAACAAGCTTCCCGATTTCTACAGAAGATACGTCGACAATACCTTCGCTCTAGTACCCGACCTTGCCGCTGCTACTGATTTCTTTTCATTTCAGAATGATGCACACTCAGCAATCCAATTTACAATGGAAGCAGCAATCCTCAGCACCTGTGTCTACAGAAAATAGACCAACAAAGGGTTTCTACTCCATTATCAGAGCCATGTTGAACCAAAACCGAATTGAGCCAATCGACAGCCCGGTACGAATCACTTGCCTTTCAAAGACCAGAAATCCGCCGACACCGTGAGCAGACAGCTAAGCCGGACTTTGGAAAGAAAATCGACCGTGTACAACAACTAGTTTTCACAAGTAGGAGAATCTCGGAAGATTTAAAAGTCACGGAAACAAAGCCCTCACCGGTAAACCAACAATGCGTTTTGTTTGACTATGTAATTCTTGTGATGCGAATTATATAGGGCTACACGAACCGTCACCTCCACCTTCGCACTGAGGAGCACAAATATTCCGTCATCGGTAAACATCTTCAGGACGAACACAATCAAACACGGAACAATCTTCACGAGCAATTTGCCATCCTAAGGAAATGCCGCGGAAAGTTTGAGTGCCTCATTTATGAGATGCTTTTCACGAGGAAAAAGAGCGACTCTGAACACTTAAAAAGATTCCATTCCAGCGAAACTGTTCATTTAATTATGAATGTTGTTTTATTTTACTTCACCTCATTCTTATTCTAATTTAGTTTCACACTTTCCTTTCTTTACACAACGTCACTGAACTTATAATAATTTTACATTTGATAATGGTGATATGTCGTCGCCGAAACGTCATGTATTGATCTCGCTAGTAATTTCCGGTTCCTTTTAATAGATATCAACTACGTTATTTAGCGGTCCTCTGGACTTGTTTAATGCATTTAGCGATCACAATCAGTATTTGCATTTTTATGCGATCCAAATGAATCGGATTAAGATGATTAAGAGAACGAGCGGAAGTGAAAATCGAGCAAATCAAGCTCGGGTTTCCAAGCATAATTCACAATTCGTCTCTAAGGTTAAAAAGGTTGTCTACCCTCTTGCAAGTCTGGCAAGTTTCCGCTATAGAAAAACATTAACGGTCAAATTAAATTGCTTTTAAACCAAACTCGCAAAGTGTTTAATACACTTAAAGCAGCCACTTACCTTTGTAGTGTTTGTTTTCTTAAAAGGTAATTTTTTGATCGAGAAAAGGTTTTATAAACCGTCCACGCAGCGGGCGTGAAACAAAGAAAAGAGCGGAATTCAATCGCAACCGCCCCTGAATGCGATATTTGTAGATCCCAACAATGCACTTTTACACTCGAATTCACTGCCCTCTTTACCCCTTCTGAACGTCGACCACGCAGGTTCATGCGTGAACATCATACATATATCGCTTGTGATTAATGTTTTTTGGCGGTGACTTTGTTTTGGTGAGATATTTGTACTGCACTACGAGCACAGTGCGTAATTTCTATCACTAACATGATAAAGCAGTACGCCGAACGCATGGAAAGGGAAATGAAATTAACGATAAAGTAAGCATGAATTGTACCTACTCATTTTTCAAGTACTAACTTCTGAAGTGAGTTCTGCGGCATAAGTTTAATGCGCTGGCGTCGTCGCTTTCTCAGCAATCGAGTTAGTTTTTTTTTATATAGCCTGACCTTCTCCATATCAAAGGATAGAAAGTTTTACAACACAACCGAGCGAAAGAAAAACATACCTCCACCACCTTTATAACATAGGTAGGGAAATCGCCATACATTGCCAAGACCCACGGCGTAACCTATACAGGACAATAAGAAATCTAGCTTTCTTGACCAAATCTCCCTGCTCCCTAAATCCTGCCCTTCTCCTGGATAACTGTCATCTCCCTTTTCCTCGGACCCGGTGAGCGGCATTTCGCTTGAGACAGCAACATGATGCAGTTCTCGATCCGCTTTACTTTGCGGCTCCGCCATTTTGGGCAGTTCCCGTTCTTTATGTGATTCGTTTGTTTCAGACGCGGTTTGACTTTTGTTAATTTGGTATGTTTGGTACGCAATAAGAACGCGGAGGTCAAAAGCTACGAACAATGATTAATCATAGAAACATAATATAATTAAAACGAAAAATTCCAGACCTGTCACTAATCCCCATGGCTTCCCAAAAGTATTAAAAAGAGAAAATTTTTATGTCTGATTTTCCTGTATTGCATCACGCTTTATTGAATGTGTCTGCATACACGAGCCAGACACAGCTGGGGCACGTGAAAACAGCATTTTGTTCTCAAATTACCAAACTTCCTGTTTTCCAATCGAGAATATTACTGGCGATGCTCAGTTGTACCATTCGTCCGTTGTCTCGTCATACAAACAGTGACCCCTCCCCTCCCAAACAGGTAATTCATCAACTCGGACTCTGGAACAAAATACAAATATTTAATGCTTTTCAAAATCCCGGAAATAACTATTTCGAACCTGTAGGCGGAAGCAAGGTTGGACTTTCAATGTTATATTGATAAAGAAGTTTTCATGTGCTTTAGTTGAAAAAGGTATTAAACTGTCTCGTTACATACTAAACCGAATATCTACTTTGACACTGGCCAGTGAAAATGTAAAAAAAATCGCTAGAGAGCCATGTAGACTATTGAGCACTGTTAAAAAGTTGGCATAGAAACATCTCGGAAAAACAGAGAACCGTATAGACTATTGAGCACAGTTAAAAAGTTGGCAGAGAAACACCACTAAACACAGAGAACCGTATATACTTTTGAGCACAATAAAAAGTTGGCACAGAAACATCTTGGAAAAAGAGCGATCACGTCTTTTTGGTACAAGTGCCAACTGAAATCTTTTACGTTACTAATATAACGTTTGAAAGTGTCGCTCATTTGAAAAAAAAAAAAAAAAAAAAAAAAAAAAAAACATCAGTTGTGTATTTTGGGAGTTATGGGGAGGAGCTTTCAAAATTTACCCCTTTACACCCTGAAATCATTATGAATGTGCACATTCTCCATACTCTTCTCTATACATTTACTTTGGTACTGAAAAGGAGAATTCGTTTAACAATCAAGAGCTTCTTTATTTGATGATCATTTCCGTTATTCTCATGACCTTAATGTTTGATTCAGAGTAACATTGTAGGGAGAAATTAGATATCGGTCGCTCTAAGGGTTTAAGGGCTGGAAGAACTTGAACAACACATTTGTGCTAATAAATCTTGAATTGCCTTAGTTTTGAGAATTTTTGTCCTTCAGTAAATTAAACGAAAGGAAGTAAATCATGCTGAACCTTGTGATACCACAGCTTCAAAACTCATTTACTACGCACTACAACGTGATTCATTTTCAACTGTGGGTTTACACGTAATAAAAGTGCTCTTATTTAATTAACACTGAGATGGTATCATAAATCTTAGGACTGTTAAGCTTAAATCCCTGAAAACTTTTTCCTATTTCCATATAAAAATGAACGTTGACCTCTCTTAAAAGACTAATTTACTTTTGTCGAATATGTTTTTTTCCAAATTAGTAACCTTTATGGCACTATACTCATCTAAATTTTTAATTGGTTACGGTGTCACTTGAACAAAGAGTCAACTCATGCGAAGCTGTTTAATTCTATTCTAATTGTAGCTTTGTACATGGAAGTTCCTCCTCGTTGCAGAACAGGGATTTCGCCTTTATATCTGCAAATAAGGAACAATAAAAAGATCAATGTGTTGGAGACATTGCGGGGATTTTGAAATAAATTCGATAGCAATAAGATTGGGAAGTATGTCAGCCTGAAGTGCGATAGAGACTTCACAATAACTCTCAGCATGGTGAGCAACTGGTGATTGTAAGTTATTAGAGAAGGAGACAAGGGTGAAGTCCGGCCGAGAGGTTAAAGCGCTGGGCTTGTAATTTAGTGGTGCTGGGTTCTATTCCTTCACCCTGCTACGCGCCTGCGCCTTGCATATAGCCAAGTGGTGTGCGTCCTGCCAGTTGGAAGTTTCAAACAATGTGTCTTATCATTCATTTGTTCACGAACTCGTTTATTCGTTAGCCCTGAAAAGCCCAATTGGGCGGAGTGGGTGATCAAGTACACATAGACATACGTACATGGAACCAAGACAAGGAAAAATAATTATTCTTAAACTCCATCACACTCGACTGCTGTATGCACACAGAGAGAACATTCATAGTGGGACATATTCACCAAGTTTTGGTCTTTTATGACCCATTTAATTTCATAAGCATGTCTCTAGTGAGAGTTGAGAGTTGAGTTGTAGTTCTGGTAAACTTACCAGCGCAAATTCGGTTTTGGAGGGAATCCCATTTTGTTGTTCAATCCTCCGCATAGTTGCTTCATCAGGCTTTAGCAAGTTCAAAAATCTCTAAAAAAACACACAAGAAAATTGATCGGCAAGTTTGATGATCGAAAAGCACTGATAATTTTTCTAAAAGAATATCAGTAAATTACTATTACCAGATTACTATCGAGCTAACCCTCTTTTAACTTCATCAAAATTGTACTTTGTAAAGCAAGAGGCAGACTCCTGTTCAGTGGACACTCTCCAACCACTAAGGAAGAAGCATTTATTTGAAATATAAATGGAAGTATAATTGATCCCCTTCACCAGCATAAAAAAAGGCGGCTCTGTGGATCACATTGAAATGAGACGGGAATTTGTTTTTTTTTTTCCGACAGAGAATAGAAAACATGGGTTGCGCTATTTCGTTCTATACTGTTTTCAGCTGATATTGCATGAGATGCGAGGTGGTGCAGTTAACTGTACACTTTCTTTGCTGTTGTTCACATGAGGTCGCTTTACTCCAGTTGTCAAAATTAAGAGTATCAGCACTGTTTATTGGAGGTTTTGCTTGTGCAAAACGCTGTTTTGATAATGTTCACTGAAAAAGGTTTACAGCGTTCTGATAACAGCATTGATTAAAATTGGTTAGAGGATCTTCTTACCTCTTTGAGTGGGAGAGATTTGTCATCAGTCAGTAGCCTGTATAAGGCGTAACCGGGAACACAAAGAATAGAAGAGAGACAAAGTCCCCACCCAACAAATTCGGACCAGACGGGATATTTGTAGTCACCAAGTGACAGTCCAGACCATTCCACGCACTGCCAGACAAATATGACCTGATGGCAGGGAAGAAGTGTAACATACTGAGTGCTTTAGGTTAAACACTGAGTTGAGATCCACATTATCTTATAGAGTGTGGTATGAAACTGACCTATCACATCCGAAGTACATTAGTTATGTCTTTCAACTAAAGGGCTCTCAGGGAAACTGGCATTATTTTTCACATACCACACTTACGATGGTCTTCTGAAAAACAACCCTTCACTTTACCCTTCAGATGCGTCAGTTTCTTTAAAAGCTTGCATTATACCTGTGATAGTGGCATATTTTCTTTCTTTATTTCGAAATTTCTGGTTAATAAAATTCCCTTGGAGAAGTTATGTATCACGGGCGGAAATAGCTTAGATATTTTGCCAGCGGTTATGAAACGTTCCCTTACCAGAATAATGACAGGTGAGATAAACTTCCAGCACCACCTGAAATAGATGTTTGGTCGATGCCCCACCATGCTTTCGATGTTTTTGCAGAATTTTTCTGTGCCTGTTACAAAATAATGAAAACAAGTAAATGAAGAACTGGCCTCTAACTTTTCCTATCTGAATGCACAATTATAGTTACAGAATGTGGTCCATTTTAAACAGTAGAAGCAGCCTACATCTCAAACAGTTGTCTCTGGAAGACAAACCTAACCCCATTTTCAGCTGAACCAATCAGCTTTTAAAGTAATCGAGCAGGTTGTAAAGTTTGTTTTCCTCACCATACACCCATCCAATAGCGACAGTTTCAAGAAGCGCAATAAGAACCAATGAGATTCCTCCGCTCTGAATGTCAAACATCTCGAACACGTACAGTCCACCCTTCAAGAAGATAAAAAATAAAAGGATTGATGAATATACGGCAGTAATCGATTAAAACGAAAGAAAAAAGTATTTTATGTTTCTCAGAGAAAGTTATTAAGTGTCATCACTTTCTATGAAGAGGCAGGTTGGAAAAAAGGCTAATAACAAATGCCTACATTGAGTTTTCGCCGCAAATGAAATATTAAGTATCTAAAAAAAAAAAAATTTGGAGCAAATGGAAGTGAGTGTCTCGGTATCTTCTATAGGTTTGAAATTTATTCAAAGTTTCTGGTGTTTTTCCATTGTATGTACCTGTTTATGGTCAGGAACGGTTAATCAGATCAACTTCCACGTTAATTCGGTGATTTGCCTATAAAGGCTCATGGCTATAATAAATTAGCTAAATAGCAATTTTTTAGTTAGGATTACCTGCGTAACGTGTGCAAGTCCAAGGATGTAACAGATGATACAGAAGCCAAGGGAAATGAAAGACTTGTATTTACGCATGCGTGGTGACCAGTCCAGAATAACCGTGGTACAAGTTTCTACGCCAACAAACTTCAAAAGGAATGAAATACATGTATCACTGATAAGTCATCGACACTTATCTCAAAATTCTTCCACCCAGTTTGCGGACAATTAATTATAAGCTATAAAAGTTATTATCGACAGAGCGTCGAAAGTGATAAGGATTTACCTTGGTTTTCATTGATCCAGAAACTGGCACACTTCCTCAAACATTCAGATTCAAAACTGAAACCAACAGCGACTTTGGTGCTCGCGCTTTACCGCGCTTTAGCTTTTTGGCTTTTTTTCGACTTTGAGTTTTCATAACTCCTTGTGATATTTTTCTTCGTTCTGATGAGCTTTTGTGATTACTTTGGTTTTAGTTTTAGGAGAGTCAATCGAAATGCCCTCAATTTGACAGAACTTCCTGCTCACAAGTTCCACTTATATTTGTTCTAGCGCATCACCTAACTTCTCCGTTCGCTCTGCCCTCTCTTTTTAACTCCCAGAAGTAATAAACACGTAACTACTCTGGGTGAAATCCAGAGAAAAAATGATGAGAAAGAAAAAACTTATCAGCAAAGGGGTACTAACGAGATGTGGCACCAAATTAATACAAAGACATAATCAACCCAGAAAGGGAGAGTTACCAGCTAGATCTGGGGGATTGAAGGATTGATAAATAATATTATTTAGCCCAGAGTTATTTAAAGGGAAGGGATGACGTTAGTTAGGCGAAAAATGAAAAATTCATGTCATTCGTCATACCCTTTCAAGGAGACTCTATGATCAGTTTAATCTAAATAATATGAAGGCGAAATCTAATGATCTGCGCTAGGGAAGAGTTAGATCAAATCGGTTTTACATACTAACCTGGCTGTCAAGTCCAAGATTAAACAACATAAAGAAAAAGAGAAATGCCCAGAGTTGAGATACTGGAAGCTGTTTGATTCCTTCAGGAAACGCCATAAACACCAGACCTGGTCCTGAATATAAAACAAATATTTTTTTTATATATACTTAGCACATTTCGAATAGAAGGGATAGAGATTTCACATGATATTGAAACTTTACTCGCTTTTCACTTAAAGGTGTAGAGTGCCAGTAGACAGGAGGTTGCAGGTAGGCTTTCTCTAAAGTATACAATCTACAGGGGGATGCAACCCTGTGCTTGCACAGCTCAGCTACTCATTGAAATAATAGAACCATGGGGCTAAAGGCAGGGGATAGAAACCATTATTGTCATTGCCTTTATCAGAAACTCACTTAAACCACACCTGAACTTGTATAACTGAATATCATTTACAGTTTCTTACATATTAACAAATGAAATGTCTCTCGGTAGATAAGGGACACAAAGTAGTGTAAAGTTGTAGGCATGGAAAAATCTCCAGGTGAGAATTAAATACATTTGTTTTAGAAGGAGTTTCCAGTCCATTGGCGCCCTAAATGTTGGGAAAGAAACAAACTTGATTTTATCGCTTTCTTTCAAAGACAAGCTAAGATAACAGGTTGACTTGATAAATACTGCAGTTTAAGGCTATTACCTCCTTTAACTGCATTTCCAACTTCAGTTTTCAGTAAGTGTGCCATGAACCCCATCATAGTGAAAACGGTAAAGCCCGCGAAAAAGCTGGTGAAGCAGTTGATAAGTGATACCACTACGCTGTCCCTGAAAATTGAATTTGATACTATTTTAAAAATTAGTTAAAAGCAGGAGCAACCAGACAGAAGTGTCTTGCTCTTACTCGTAATTGATGATAATTCAGTTAGAGATTGAATCTTACATGGGGATGAAATTAGAATCTTGGAGGAATTTAGGGCCTCCAGGGCTCTTGGTCACGAAAGGAGTAAGGCTCTAGGTCTCCAAGAATTAAATATGAAAATTGAATTAAATTTTGGAATACTTTGCTCCATATACAGGGAAGGAAGAGAGATCCTGGCCTAGTTTTTTTCCCTATTCTTGTCTTTTGTATATGGAGGTCAGAGTAAGTCTTATGGTTAGAAATCATTTTCGCTTTTAGGGCTACGTCTTTATTACCTTTCACAATTGTTGTTGAACTTGTTAAAACTGCTGTAGGTGAGAAGTCCTCCCATGCCAATGCTGAGTGAATAAAATATCTGACCGGCGGCTTGCACCCACACCTGTGGAAATTACAACAGATGTGATATTCTTCTAAGGCATTGGCGCTGTTAATAGACGGTTCATATAACACGTAATACGTTTTTGGCGACTACTCAATACAATAAAAGAAACTAGTCAAGTATTAGCAAAGGCATGGTCCAAAACAATGGCTGAACAACACTTCCTTAGGGCATCTTACGCTTGGATAATTTTGCGGAATTTTGTTAACATGTCAAACCTGTCCTTCACTAAACATGCAACATACGTACATATCAAGAGCGATCTCTTGGTGTATATATAATGTAATAGTTTTTAGTCGTGGCTGGCGTTACCGTTGTGGTCTTTGTCGGCTCGAAAACTCCATATTTTTTCCCGGAGAACAGCAGAGCATAAGATGAGGCAATGCCTATCTACTTAGTAAACTGGAACCTCATAACTCCAGACAAGGACCACAAATTCTCACCTTTGGATCCGAGAGTCTGGAGAACTCAGGCTTCAAATAGAACAAGACTCCATCGCCAGCTCCCTCCAAAGTAGCACCTCGCACAAGAAGGATGAACAAAACCAAGTAGGGAAACAACGCAGTGAAGTACACAACCTGTATCAGGAACAAAGAGGGTAAACTTCTAAAGAACTATGGTGCTCTGTCGACTGGGGATGTATCAAGATGATTTTATTTATCAGCTGAGTTGATAATGTAAATTGGCCACTGTAAAGAGTGTCAAAGGCTGGCCTTTTGAGTGTTGGCTCTTTGTTAGAGTGAAGGGTTAATTCCGGTATCAGGAACATCAACAAGTGTTCAGTGTAGTTACAACTGTTCTTTCGTTATGCTTTTGAGAATAAACCACCTTAAAACTGGTGACCAAAGTTAAAAAAGTTTTGCATGAGTATAAATAACCCCCATAGCAAGATCATAATCCAAATTGGATGATCCAGGTTAATGCAGCGAATATCGACTCAGAAATGACAACAATTATTCATTGGCAGACCACTTCATGGTTGAAGTAAATAATTCACCTCAACCATATCATCTCTTACATGAAACAAAGCTTAGTTGAATGACACTTTGCAAGATAACCAAGTAAAAAATGCTCATTCGGATCATTTGGTTACTGGTGCGAATTTCCCGGGTAGATTTTACGTAAATAAGGATTTTCATCATCAGACGCCATTTTGAAAAAGATTATACTATCAAGTAGATTCCACGATAACTGATTTTGATATCATTATAGCAACACTTAGAACTTTGAATATATTATTCTTAGAGCCGGGGTCTCCACGTAAATTATTATTATTATCATGAGAATGACAGTGGTTAAAATTATAAAGAGAAATACCTTTCCAACTGATTTCACCCCTTTCCACACACAGAAGTAAACAGCGATCCAACCTACAAGTAACGCGGCAGCCAGCTCTCCACGTACTTCTCCTGGCTGATCAATTCCATCAGACAACTTGAGGACGTGATTACTAAAACAATAAAGACGGTCACAACTTGAATTAAAAGTTTAAATCACTTTCCTCCAACATAGAAGGCGAAATCCCCCTATCCTGTATTGATGAATAATAACATAACATAAGTATATGGATTTTCCGGTAAGTGGTCCTAAAGTCGTGACTTACTGGCGTTTGGGGAAATGACTTATTTTCATTTTGTTAGCAATGATTATTTTTCTAAACCCCGACAAAGATAGAGATGAAAGGAACTTTGCCCCACTCCGCCTCTCTCCCCATTTCCTGTATTTTTCTCCTTTGCCACGTTTTTCGAGTGAAAATGGTTATACAAGCTTTCTTCAAAGCTGTTTGAAAACTCATTGTTCGCGTACTTAGAGTCAATGAATTTAATTGCGCAGTGGACATATTTCTTACTTGAAGTATTCTTCCTCGGGAGAAATGTAACTTCCAGTACAGTTGACAGGAAGACCAATGGCTGTGCAGTTCACTCTTGCATCCATTACTCGGTCTTTCCTTAAAAAGAAAAAGATAAAGCAAAAAGAATGAATTAATAAACATCAGAATGAAATATACGCAAAGTTTTAAAGCCCACTGAAGGCAACAGAGACGCTAAGTCAGTTAGATATAGCGCTATTTCATGCCTGTAGCTGCAGCCTTAAATGATGTAATCTAAGGGTGTACTAGACAGAGAGTTATTTTCAGTCACTCTGTATGTATCATGCTGTTAGATGTTTACATCCTTCTTATCACATGTGTTTATACACTCTCCTATAGCAATGATACTAATCGTCTTGATTTTTGATTATAGTAGTAACTTACTTGCAGTAGTTAGAATTCCAATCATTTCCACATTCACCCCAAGGCAGAGTCTTTCGGAAAGTCGCAACCAAATAATACAGAGTCCAAGCGATGATGACATTGTAATAAACGCTGATTAGGAAGGTGATCACTAACATAGCATACCCAAGCCCTGCAATTACACAAAATACTGTTTTAACAACTAGTTTTATATTGGGTAATTGGAGCCATTGTCCATCAAGGTAACAACTCTTCTGTGCTGTATTGTGCTGTGCTTCTGTGTTGTCAGTGAGACTGACGAAATTGGCCAAAATAGTTTTATTATCTCCACCCTTCTCGTGGTTTGAAGGTCCCTACCACTTTTGTGAGTGAGACTCCTTTTTTAATCCTATCTCAAGTTAATGGTATGCACTTTGATAAGGTCCTAAAACACCTTCAAATTGCTCTTAGAAGGTTTTTTTTACACCCTAACATTGGTATTTATATTCTCCATTCTTTCCTCCTTACATTTCCCCTGGAATCGAGGAGGAGAATTTGTTTGACAATCAGGAGCTTCCTAAATTAATGATAAGTTCCGTTATTCTTGTGACCTTTACATTTGATTCAAGGGTGATACTGTAAGGAGATATTAAATGCCAGTCACTCTTAGGAGTTAAAGGGTTAATGCTTGACAATATAAATAATGAACTGCAGTACATGCCTCCAAACAAAGGACAAATTGCCGCCCATGATTTGACGATTCCTTTTCCAACGTACTGACCAAGAGCAACTTCCAAGTAGAAGATAGGAATTCCACAGAACACCAAGCAAATCAAGTAAGGGATCAGGAAGGAGGCTGTGAAGTTAACAAATATTGATAATATGTGTGCTTATCTGCTGAGTTTTCTTAGCCTTCAGTGTCTCCCATTACATTTGTGTTGAAAAAAAATTTAACAATCAGTGGTTTTGATGATGACTCCGTGCTGAGGTTAAAATACTTTGAGTTGACAGAATTAACACAGATATGAAAACAAATATGTACCTGGCATTAGCATGCTTCAGCATCGGAAGAAATAACCTTTATGCTTTTTAAATATTAAGTCTAAGACTCAAACCTCATCTGGAGACATTGACAATGAAAGCTATTGTGCTGTTGGGAAGTAAGGGCAAATCGGAACAAACTAAAGAATGATTGGTTTCTCATCATGGAAAAGTATTCAATCAAAGCAGACTTTATTCGTGAACTCACATGTCCAGTTTCTTTCCAGTTCGGCTTCATAAATTTCAAATTTATCTCGTTTAATTCTAGATTTATTACCAGTTGACGTTTTTTAGGACCCTGACCCTCAGTAAGGACTGACTCGGGTAAGTTGTTTGTAAGTTCTTGTATATGTCCATGCAGGCACCTCTTTATTTTCTTCGAGCAGAAATAGTGACTGTCTAGTTGTTGACATGTAAACACGGTTAGGCCTGTCCTGTCCTTGTCTCCTTGTGATGGAAAATTACTTACTTCGAGGAGTTTTCGGAAAATGTTCTCGGGGTCAATAAAGCCTTAAAACATGTAGATACAAGTATCCGTGAGTTTTTCAGTTTAAGACTGAGAACCTTTCTGTTTCAGGAGCCTGTTGTGCTGTTTATTCGTAGCTTTTTCAAATGAAACCTCTTTATTTTATCCGCAGCTGAAAGCAACAGGTTGAGCGACAAACAAATGCAAAATACTAACAACAATTTCGCACACATTACGGAAATTAAAGTAGCACTTGAAAGAAAGTCCATGACGATGAAATAATTCGATTGATACCCCCTTTAAAGCCGGAGGTTGCCTAAGCTCCGGACGAGAGTAGACACCTAGGGCCGGTTCACTGTTATATAACAATCTTTTGAATAGGCAAACTCATCGCTAAAAAGCTTGAATCTCAGGAATGCCAAACAAAGTCTTAGTCTTGCATCAACACGTTTAACGACTTTGTCGACCCAAAGGTTATTTCAGCTTCTGAATCTATCGTCGAATTCAGTAATTTTCCATTTCAAGGACGCGTCTATCCGCGGCACTGTCGTATATGTCGCGTTTGTAAGATGGAAATCACATTTTAAAGTTGTAACCGGTTGTCGCGAATGCGGAATCATTACTACATGATCGTTATAAACTGTATTAGGCAATCAAATTTACCATACTGAACGAAAACGATTTAGTTTAGTACTCTAGCCAACCTTAAGTGAAGCCGTTAGCAACACGAGATCTTTGGGGTTGTGTGTTCGCTTGTTGTTGTTTTAAATCTATCAACAAATAATCTATTTTTTACGAGAAGTACTTTACTAATTAAAGATAAGTGCTCTAAAATGTCTTCTTCTCACGCTTGTATCAAATATAAAGAGATTTCTTCGCCCGAGGACCGGGCTCTAAATTTACCATCTTTCTTAATATATTTATAAACACGAGGCTTTCCAAATTTCTCATCCTATTAGTACGACTAGACAATCACCACAGCCGTTCAACATTCGGAAGAGGATTCAACCGTAAAATTCTAAATTTAGAGGTTCGAATCTTCCTGAGCTTGTAGTGAACTTATTTTCTTGTCCCACAGTTGTGAAAAAAAATCGTTCAACATCTTTCTTCAATGGAAAGATTAGCTCAAAATTTACTATCTATTTTTATACGTTGACCTCTGTAATGTTTATTTTTCTGGATTAGGTACAATTTTTTCCTTTCCATTAGGTAGTAGTTTAGCAGAGCAGTCATGACGATGTGTTTTGGCGATTTTGAAAAAGAAAATCGAAACACAAGGCGGAGCAAATCAATACTTTGCGAGGAAAATTTACAGCCATGCTGATTACTCCAGTTTTTCTTTATACCTATTGAAAGCGAGAAGGTTAAAACAACGATATAAATATAGACGTATTTTATCAAATGATATCTCACCTCCTCCATTGATGTAGCAAAGATACGGAAAACGCCACAAGTTGCCGAGTCCCACAGCATAACCGATGCACGATAAGAGAAAATCAAGTTTTCTTGTCCACTGCTCTCGCTTTCCATCTTCTTCTTCAACAGCCGCACCAGGCCTGGTTTCTTCACTTGAAGAGTTCAAGGGACTCAGAAGTTCGGAGTCGTGTTTGCTCGCCATAACTGCACTGACACCTGATGTGTGTTGATGCTCAAGAAGAATAAACTGGCTAGCTTCAGCCAATGCATGCTTTTAAGTAGTGTGATATCTGTGACTTGGTTTCGCACAAACACGTACGTACCCATTTTTTAATTGAAAAATTCACTGCTTGTTCCTGTCCCCCCCCTTTGTGACCTTTTAATCGGATGATTTGACCCAAGACTTGATGCCAACATTGAACTGATGTTTTCAACTGATTTCATACTGAGTGTTGATGAGTGGATTATGATATAATTGTTTCAAGAGTGCTGTGAGTTTTAGATCGCAGAATTTTCTATGAAATCGTCGCTAGTTGATTTTTACGCATTTTAGAATCAGTAATGATTCAGAGCAATGAGTCACGTAGGTATAACTGACTGAGAATGAAAACAATGACTTCCATCTAATGGAATTGCTGAAAATAACAGGAACTCAGAGAAAATTAGCTTCCAAGGAAGGAAAAGACGAAAATAAACATTTCCAACTTCTGACGAATGTTTTTCATATTCTAAATGCGTATTCTTCCTAAACTTATGTTAACAGCAACATCCTATTGAGCTAATTACTGTCACTGGATCTGAAAATTAAACCCCCTGCATTAATTGAATAGACCTCGAGGTCTCGTCTTTCAATAGACACATTGCCAAGTTGGATGTTTTCGACAGCGAGGGAAGTTTTTATAAAATTAAATTATCTCACAAGTTTCATTTCCGAATTCTTTTTTATCCCACGTTTGTATAATTCTCAGTGATTCAAGTTCACGTAAGCAGTTTGGGCCATTATCGGCTTCTAGCAGTTTGTGCCGTTACCGGCTTCTGCCCAACCTAGAAATCCGGTCTGTTCAGCATGATTTATTGCTGGGTCAGTGAATTTTGGATCTGACTTGCCTTAGCTGAGTCAAAACGCACCCCGAGAATGTTCCCAGGTTAGATTTTAACGGAAACCCCACCGGCCAACTGCAGCCCACAGTTAATTTTCAGTTCCTAAAATTTACTCCCGATGACTTATTTTGGGATGCGGTTGGGATCTGGGTCACGAAAATATCGATGCATGCTTAGCTTCTGTTTTAATTTGACAAACCTTTCTTCGTAACATCCTTCAATCCCTTCACACATCAAAATACATCCTGCAGGTTTTTTTTTCATCTTCGGTACAGACCGCTGACTGAGTGAATTCTCTTTCTTCATAAATGTTGTTGACTTTGAAAGTGACGTAATCGATTGACTGCGGGGGCTTTAAACCTTCTCAACGTTTCGGTTCGCTTTTCCGTGATACGGATTGTCTATCCAAGTGATTTGCATTGCTACTTAGGCTTTTATTATCTAGATCTAACATAGTTCCAAAGCATGCCACATTTTAAAGGTAGATAGATGACGAAAAGCTTCAGGGGAAAAAACTGATATTGGACTGTCTTCCCCTCAGCCGTCTGAGATGATTCTCGAATTACACGTGCAATCTTTAGGACCAAAGTATATTTTTCTATTTTTAATTGAAGCTATTACAAGAGATAAGCTTGACCGAGATATCTTGTGGCATTTCCGTTTTGAGTAAACCTGACCCTATAAAACTTATTTAGAGCTTCTTTTGAAAATGTTCTTCTAGAGCGAATATGTTCAACTTAGATACCTTAGATACTGATTACCGAGAAATGTATTCATGTTGAACGCAAGACGCGTTGCGAAGCTAATTACTATTCAGCCATTAGCTATCGGTACCACAACTTCCTTGATTTCTGAGTCTTGTCTGTCTTGAGGGTTTAAAAGATGAAGGCAGACTTTTTCAATCAAACTTTAGCATAGATTGAACAATAATCTCCATAACATCAAAGATTGATCAAATTTCCTGTAATACTGAAAAGAATATTTAGTAATTTTTTATTTCACATATTTTTGAGTCTTATTTTTTGAGTCTCAAATTGATTGTCAGCATAAGCATCAACTTTGCAAAATAAGAGCCAGAGAAAGTTTCATTTATAATTACGTGACTTACCACAAATTTTCAATAAGTCAGTTCATTATACTGCAATGACAAAAATTATAAATAGCCGAAAATCACTTTGTAATCATTCTTTCACTCGATAATTTTATTCCATTCAGCTTTGAGGGTCTGATTTATAGGTGGGCGGTCAATGTAAAATCTTTAAAGTAGTCTTTACGAACATTTTACAACTGCTAAAGAGAAGAGGAGCCAAAGAAAAAATCTATTTTAGAAACCTAATACTGATTTTGTTAAAACATACTTCGCCCTGTACAATAGCGTCAAATGCCCTCAGAAGACCCCAGACGCTCGAATTTGATAAGCATTGCTTAATAACCCATAATGTTTATCTCAACTCGTCATTGCAAAACGACATGACTATCGATCGTGAATGTTTTCAAAAAAATGGAAATACATCGGAATACTCTGAGAAAGAGCTCAACCATCCCTTCCCCCATCAATACTATTGTGAGCGTGGATTGGTGTGGAGGGTTAACTGATGTTCTCTTTGGTGGGCTGTTTTGTCATATTTCGCGTGAATTAAGCTATTAATCATAACCATGACAATTTCCTCAGATTTGGTTTGTGCGGTAACTGCTATCTTTTTCACTTTTGTAAAGTTGTAATCGGACAGTGGTGATCGGACAGTTGGCTGCATTCCGACACTTGTAATCGAACACAGTGAAGCAGCCAATCGTACTTAGTCCACTCAGTTAAATACACCAATAACAGAATCGATCACAATAAACATAGCAACAACCCCCTATCCTAAGAAAAACTGGGAAATTTCCGAAATGGAGGAATTTTTAATTTTCAAGTTTGTCTCCACTGGAGGTATTTGTTCTACATGTATTTTTATTTTCGGAAATTGTAATGGTTATGATTAGTTGGTTACAGGAATTTGTGTCGTCCAGTTTTGTCTGTAATCATACTGGTAATTGACAAATCGAACTCCCACTTCGCAGTCGTCCAATTTTGTTAATCACTTGTATAATTACAGACCGAATTGGACTCCCACTAGTCCCATTACGATTATAAATCAATCCCTGTTTCAATCCTCTACGTACTGTAACGTGCGAGCAAAATGAATATGAGGCAAGAGAGACTCAACCCGCTACGCCAAGTAGTCATTGACAAATCGCACATTTGGTACCTGAAATTGATTTTGCTTAAAGCCTCTCTTTTCTGATTCTACAATAACGTTATGCACAGCAGTTCGTTTGTTGTAAACTTTTAAAAGGCAGTCGACGGAAATGTTCTATCGTGTCGCTTATTACATACAAGACAGAATATTTCGCATTTGATTGGTCAATGCCTTTGAAATAGGGAATTTTTATATTGCACCCTCTCGAAACTTTCTCTCTGGAAATAAACAAACAAACAAACAAACAAAAAATCAACACAACAAAAAGTATCCAAAAAAAAATCGCGACTTTTTCAAACTTGTGAAAGTGTTGAAGTTATGTGCGCCGAGGACGTACAAGATCGCGTAAGAATACAAATTGTGAAAAATGTAATGCAACAAATACAAGAATTATTCGTGTTTTTATGTGAAATTACACTCGCCTAAGGCTTGTGCAATTCCAGGAGACTTTCAAAACATCCCTCGCGCTCATAAAAATCACGAAATGCACCTGATATTACGCTTACTTTTATCTTCCTCAAGTGGGCTCACTGTAGTAAAATCAACAGGTCCGCGTTTGTGTACGACATTACTATTCCTTATGCTCTTATCCATGATATTCTGGCCCGCGGCAGAGGGAGTACCTCAAAGAGGAGAGAATGAAATCTGCCTCGATGCTCTCGTTATTGTCCACAGACATGCTGGTTGAAGACTGATTACCCTCCTTGGGCTGACCGTTTGCTGTTTACGATGGCACTGACTCCCACTTTTAAATGAAAATGCTGCTTACGTTGATCACTGAGAATGGACTAGTCCGGCATCTTTTTTTATTTTCTTATTTCTTATTATTTTCTTACCTTATTCTTATCGTGCATGTTTGATTATCATAAATTTCTCCAAAGATTATTTATTTTGTTTATTCTTTGATGTTTACTGACCATTTCTGCTGTCGAAAAACTGTCGCTGCGCGGTCGCTCGATAAGAGCTTTCTGATGGTGAGAGGAAGGACAGTAATGACGATTGATCAGGACGCTTAAGCTGTTTTCAGTTTCGGACACGTTACATACCGCGTTCTAAAGCTTTGCGTGACATGATCAAAAGACGGCTACGCCGGAGACTCGTTTGGATGATAGCTTGTCATGATGAACGGAATTAAGAGAGACGAGCTTGAAGCTCGAAATTTTTATTCTCGGCGGCGATGAAAGAACAGTCGGGGTTTCCGGAGCGAGACAGACTGTGATTTGGGTTATAAAACAACATGTCAGTCCAAACATATATTGAGCCTGTGGAAGTTCTCTTAAGTTATCGAGTCTCAATCTTGACCGCTTAAATCCACCCACCCACGCAGTGAGATCTATCTTTTTGATGTTGGATTGGTAAAGTGTGGTTCAAGAGATGCAAAATTATTTTTTTCAAAGGTTTATTTAACGAACCATCAAATAACATCACCCACACCAGTTATAAAATTCATGAAAATACAGAAAACTACATCAGTTCCAAACGTCAATACTAGAATAGATTTAAACCCTTTACATCCTAACATCAGTAGGTACATTATCCATACTGTTATCTATACATTTCCTAAGGTGCTTCTTAGTTTTTGGCCTCTTGAAAAAAGTAAGTTAAGCACAGCATTCCTAATCCGTTTAAATCGTTTCAAGCTCTAATTCTCACACTATCATTTCTGTAAGTTACATTTTATGGCAAAAAAAATTCGTCATGCAATTAAGGAAGCTTAACGTATTGTAAACCCTTGAGAGAGTATCAGTTGATGATATTCATCTATTTCGAGGAAAGGAACCGATACAGCTCAAGAGGCAAGATTAATTACTCATTTTGAATCAAATGAGAAATTCAGGGCACTCCAGAATTGCTAACAAAAATGAAATCCTATCTTTTAATTAATAAAATTATTAAAAAATCTCTAATATTATATTCCTGCACGAATGTCCTAATCAACACCATGTAATGGAATTGCGACCGTATTTATATATTAAGCCTTCATGAAACTATTTAAGTGCTTTGGCAGCTTTTATAAGTGCGAGGTAGTATTTACAGAGAAGGTAACCTGATGCAATTGTACTACTAAATTCTAAGATAACCTGACTAAAATAGCTTTTCCAAATTTTTTTATAAGGTGCATTTTGCAAATACGTCAGATGATGCAGGATAGGGGATGCGGGCTGAAAACCAACGTAAAAGGAACATTTTAGAACCAACTCAAAAAAAACGCACAGTTAATATATAATTTAAACAAAGGTAGAAACAGGCAGAAAGACAACTGAACATCTGGCCAATGCAACACATCCTCTCTATAATGCCTTCATTACTTGTCTTTTTGGAAATTGAAATGAGATTTTTTAAAATTTGAATTGCTGTATGGTCTTGCTTCTGAGTAAGGGAAACTGGAAAGTCTTTATGTACCTGAATGTGACACATTTTTAAGTGATTGATGTTATCTTCTAGTTTGTTTTCAAACTGATATGGTCTTTTGCGAACAAGAGAGGTAGTGGAGCCTTAAAAATTTGAGGTAACTGAGTGAGCTGTTTCGCTGGTCACTCGATCAAGTTCGAAGACGTTTTTATCGGGTTCTTATTACTCGTAAATTCTCAAGAAGATCATAGATTTTAACGAATTTTTATTGTTAACCAAACGTTCTAATTAGTGGAGGGAGGTGGAAAAGGAGGTGAGGGGGGTTGTGTGGGGATATGGAGTGGGGAAGGGGGTAGGGTGGTAGGGTAGGGCGAGTTAGAGAGATTCTAAACCTTAGATATTTTGGCCTTCCCCGCCTTCTTGAGAGGTAGAAAAAGAAAACATAGTTGTTGAAATAACCAGAAACTATACCTGATGGAAGGTTTCATTTAATTACCAACTTCTTCTGTGAGATCCCCTCTTTCTCCTCAACCTCTTTAAATGCGTGTTCATTTGGAACAAGCAACGACTTCAGTCTCTGTAAATGAGTCCAAAAGTCTACGCTCAACTTTGAAATGGCTCGGAAAGCGGTGACAACAACATCAAAATAACAAACAAGTATCCTCCATATAAAAGTCGTAGATAGGAAAAATGAAGATATTGTATAAACGACGAGACAAGATTAATTAAATATGGATAATTCTATTCTCTGAGGATGAACCCCATCAAAGCCAGCAAAGAATGCGCACCTCGAAATTTGCAGGTTGTATCCGACACTTACTTCAAGTACAGTTGTTCCTCTGGAGTTGTAGATGTACTGGAGGATCGCAAATATTGGAATCATCACCATTGAGGCAAGTGCGAGTAACCACCCCAAGAATTCACCCCCTGCAGGGTAAGGCTTGTTGTTGTAAGAGAGGCCGGACCATTGAATCAAACTCGCCAGAATAATCACCTGAATAATTATAACAATAGTAATAATAATAATAATAATAAATAACACTAAGATAAACTCACGACAGCACGGTTTATCCTATTCATAAATTGACCAAAACCATAGACAAAATTCTCGAACATGAAAAAAAAAAAAAAAAAAAAAATGGAGGAAAAAAGGTGGTGCTGGTGGTGATGTTTGTGGTGGAGTTGACGGGCGGAATGATTTGGAGGTACGTTAGGTGAGGACTGGCACCCCTTTCAGTGGTAGTGAAAGTAGTCCTTTCATGCCATGGAAATCGAAATTATCTTTGGCAGCTATAGACCACCCTTCTCGTTCCTTTTATCATATTCTTAGTTTCATTTTATGATGAAGGAAGAAACAAACAAACTAAGAATACCGCACCAGAGTAGCAAGAGGCGAAATGTATTTCCAGCAAATCAGGAAGAAGATATTAGGACGCTTGCCAATCATCTTTTCAATCATGTCACCGAGTGTCTGCGTGCCTAAAATGATAATAACAAAATGATAAAAAAAATTGCTACGTGTACAGACAGCAACCAGAAGAGTTGCCTTGCCCATTAAGTTTTCAGAAGGAATCAGTGAAAACAGGTGCTCTACCGGTGGTTGCAGTTTGTTCCAATCTTCACCTAAAATACCTTATGTTGCAAAGAGAGCCAATGACGTAATCATCAATTTTAAAAAAATATTAGTGCAAACTTAAAAAAAAAAACCACTCTATCACCGCGATGTGATAAAAAAGTCTTTTGGTGTCCTGCCTTCACTGATTCAATCTTCCCTTTCAAAACGTGAGTGAAGTTAATGCCAACGCAATTCTTACTATCCTATTGCTTGGTCCGTAACATACAGCATAACACTCAGGAGTGTTAATAGTAACTTCTGTGATCTACACTCACCAACTCCCCAGCCTATAACAGCTGCCTCGCAAAATCCAATGAAAAGAAGTGAGATGCCGCCTGACTGAGCGTCGAATAGGTTGAACAAGTACATGCCGCCCTAAAAATAGACATTTTAGTTGATGAAGGTTGAATTAACTGCCAAAACAAACAAACAAACAAACAAACAAACAAACAAATAGACAAAAGGCAAACAAAGCGACAGGTAAGAACCAGTAAACAGGACGGAAAGATGGATGAGACTATAAGGCAATAATACTCAGGTTTCCATGTTTATACTACTGTCGTGGTGTGTACATCACTGATGTGTCATACGCAATAACCACTTGATTTTTTTTTTTCAAATGGTAGAAATGGTATGTAGTCGCGTAAGGTGTTACATATATTTCTCAGGGTACAATGATACAATGATGCTTCATCGTCTAAAAGTGTTACCTTAAACACAGGTATATGACTATGGAATTTCAGCATTTGCATGCGTAGATCACACAACTATACAATAGCAAACAGTCGATTCCTACCTCAGCACACATGGGTATGGCGAGCAGGAACATTAACACGCAGACGGCGATGAGGAATAGCCACTTGTACTTTCTGAGGTATTTTGGATACTCATCTGAAAGACCTGTTACGACACACTCTACCATAGCGAACTGTAGGGCCAAGAGAGTAAAATGAGTTCAGGAGGATTTGCTTCTCGTGATGATTCATCAACTTCTCTTAGTAACATTTAGTGATTAGGCAGGTTGAACCCAACTTAAAAACCCCCTAGGTAAATACGGTAGATCTGTCTTTAAGCTTATCAACTAATCTTCCTAGCTAGCTAGCTAGCTACCACCTACCTAACCACTCCCCTTTCCACACTGTACCCACCTACCTCCCTACCTATGCCGGCTACAACCCGTCTATCAACTTATCCAGCTACGCACTGACCACGTACTCACGTGGGTACTCAGCTACCTACCTACATACGTAACTACTTTTCAAACGTATCTGTTTATCAAACTCATCTCTTTGTCAAGCAACTGAACAACCATGCAAATACATTACCTGACTGTCCAACCCAAGAGTAAGCAACATGAAAAAGAACAAGATCGCCCATAATGTGCTTAAAGGCATTTGTGAAATGGCCTCTGGATAACCCACAAATGCAAGCCCGGGACCTGGTGACAAATTCGTAAAAGGTACTTCTATCAGACTAAGTAATTGTAACTACATATATATCAATAAAAACACTAATATATGTATATCACACTATAATTTGGTTATGAAATGATTGGGATACAGTTTTCAGATTGGATGATCCTTTTTTTATACCTGCATGAAAACACCCCTATCAAGTCGGGAGGTAACGAAGATGATTGGAGAATACTTAACTACATGCTTATTCTGGCTGTTTTGCTTTTTAGATTTTTTTATTCATGCTAAATGATCTTACCCGCATACAACTACAGAAGAATTGGAAAAAAATTGTACGTGCTTTTGGAAAGGATGAATTCGAAGTTCCACCCCAGTCATAGACGTATGTAGCATATACGACTGATTACCTGATGTAACCACTTCCCCCACTGGAACATCCAATGTCTTAGCCATGAATCCTAAGACACTGAACACTACAAATCCCGCGAAGAAACTTGTACCGCAATTTATTACGCTCACGATGATAGCATCCCTGTGAATAACAAAAGAGTATATAAGGAGCTTGTAGACGAGCGAGTGGGAGTGGGCAATGGTCTATTTCTTCAGTGGAAATCATTTTTATTTGAAAAGTATGCCATAAAGGTCGAATATTTGCTTCGTGAGAAGATATTTGTAGTTGTTGTTATTGAGGTAAGAGTTCCTATCTTTCTGTGGGATTAGAAGAAAAATAGGAAAAATCAGGGCTTCATTTCCCTTTCGCATTTTATCGTGGAGTACATGCAACTCTTGATTTGCTGGTTAGAAATAATGATCTTTTATAAGGGATGTGATGAAGGAACGACATCAACTGCTATTTTCACTATTCCATACTCAAAAAACAGTTACCTTTGCTGGTTAGAAATGTTAAGTGTATGTCTGAAGACGCTCGACTCCAACAATCGTTAGTGGAGCCTGAATGTTTGCATGCCACTGAAAAAAAAACCTGATTTATGCGGAGTAGAGTGACTGCATGAAAGAAGTACTGGGCAGTCTCAAAGTAGGATGCAATTTCCATTTGTCATTTTAGCCCTTTCTCATTAAAGACAACCACCATCAATCACATCTCCCACAACTGTGACAGTCTTACCTTTCACAGTTGTTATTGAATCTGTTGTAGCTTCCAAACGTGATCAGTGATCCAAATCCTACTCCGAGGGAGTAAAAGATCTGCGATGCAGCTCGAACCCAAACCTAAAACACAATTCGCAAAGTGCATAATTTTTCAAATCGTGAGACACGACGAGCAAGTAAAAGCCAAATGATAAAGTCGTCAAGCCATCTTTTAATTTGAAAATTGACGGAAACAGTCCAAATTGAAGTTATACCTGTGGATCCTTCAGCTTGCCGATTTCCGGGTTGAGATAAAATTTTACTCCTTGTAACGAACCATCCAGAGTGGCACCGCGAATCATCAGGATAAAAAGTACAATATATGGAAAAGTAGCAGTAAAGTAAACAACCTGGAGGAGAAAATTGACCTCCAGTCAGGTATAAGGAGGAAGGTATGAAATCAAGGTAACTTTCTACTGAAAGCTGGGGAGTCGAGGAAGGCATGTTTTTATATCCTATCCATCCACTCGTTCTTTACCAAAGCAGCAAAGAAACTTAATACGTCATTTCCGCGAGACCAGAAATACCTTAGGGCTAAAATTTCTTTGAGTAGGATCAGCTACGAGATAAGGCCTCTAATCACGATTTGATCTCTCTAGCTCTTAGATTGTAATACATTCCATGATACAGCTAAATTATGCCTCATCCAGGTTAGGACGTATTTCAATTAGGATAAAACTCGAAGAAGAACAGCGCTTTTCGCGCGCGCTGATTGGCTAGGTCGGAGGTGATTATTTAGCACTACTTACCTCCGAGCAGCCGAAGAGACCAATCCATGCGTCTAAGGTTGTCTTTAAGTAAATTCGAGTGTTTTCATTGGTCTATTCTTGGTCGGAATTTTGCCCAATACGGCCCTCGCGTTAGATTAGTAAGAAGTAATTTTTCACTTCCACTTCGGTAAATAATCATTATCTTTCGGCTTTTCAGGCCGACCTTTAACTTTACCGCCAATTTTCTACATTCTTAACAATAACATATGTCTGTTAACAATAGTCACGCTTCTAACATGCTGAATTTTGTCTCTTTCTTTCACGTTTTCTTCTTTTTTTTCCCCAAACAATGTTTAGTTTTTACTTACTTTTCCAGAGGATATCACTCCCTTTATAAGGCAAAGGTAGATTATGACCCAAGCAAGGATCAAACACAAGACGATTTGCCAACTCACATCCCCGATGTCAGACAAGCCTTCGGATATCTTCAGGATGTTATTGCTAGAGGAAAAAAGGAAAAAGGAAAAAAAAAGGAAAAGGAAAAAAAAGTCGTCAACAAATCCGTACCGGAAAATTGATCACGGTAATTCTTATGTTCTGCTTTGTCATGTTGATATCTATATTGTACAAGAGTTATGGGCGGATCAGTTCGAATCTGATCCCATCCACATCCCCACATACCCCCTTGGGCAACCCACGGGCATTTGACCGTTGTCTATGCCCGATAGGTGGGGAATTTGAGCTTTTCATGGGTGGGGTAGGAAGGTTCAAGTCCTTCCAGCGTATACACGTGATTTAATGGAGGCGTTTAAAGGTAAAGAGTCTGATTTCGTAAGATTATGGCTTAGGAAGAATTTTTACATCGAAGAAAGATGCGTACAAGTGGAAAACCCAACGGCAGTACCGAAAACTGATTCGTGACTTTTCTAAGTTGTACAACACTTGTTGATCACACAAAGAGTCATTAAATATTGGGTGGGGCATATGAGCGCAATTTCGGCCCCGGGTTGAGTGGGGGTTAAAGGGAGGGCGGAAATTCGAACGAGCCAATGTTCAAAAGTTCAAATGTCAGGAGTGGGGGAAGGGGGAATGTTGCTTCGAACTGATCGGCGCATTATTTTTGAGCTAGAATATGGAGCAGGATCTCAGAAAAAGCTAATCCCTCGGGCATCCTTGAAAATACTATGGACTGCGGAAAACATCCTCGAATTTTAAGGGAATGACCTCCGTATTCCGAGAAAATAAAAATAGGAAACGGAATACCGAAAACCTGTTATAAAAATAAAGTATTTTGATCCCTCAGATTAGAGGGATGTGCTTTTCATTTACAGCCTTTGGATTTTATCTAAAGTCTTCTTTCCCTGTCAAAGAGAGCGTTATACCTTTAAAAACTGATTTTTAGGCAGACGGAAAGGTTTTTTATATTTCTCTCGACCCCGAAATATTGAAAGATTTTTTTTAGCACAAATCCGCCGATACGCAAACCTAAACGTGCATGTACCCCTGAGTGAGCATAATCCTGTAATTCTGTTGCGGTGTCGTCGAATTTTTTTCGACAACCTGAGCGGAATACGTCATCAGGGAAAGTGCTGATGATCTTTGAAACAATGGGATATAAAATTTACTCGGGTAATGTCTCTTACTTAAAGAATTCTTCAGATGGGCTGGTACTCTTGCAGTCAGCGGCGAGGCCTAGACCTGTGCAGTTCAATGAGATATTTCTTCCCGTTGCTCTGTCAGGATGAAAACAAAAGATGGGCAAACAAGTTTTCAAAATTAGATGAATATGTTATCCAGAATAAAGCACGGATAACAACTGCTCAAGCGATTTGAGTCGGTATAATATGCAAGCTCACTTTTTTATGGCAGGTATCAATCATGACAACGAAAATCAAACACCCACAGAAACGAAAAACAATAAGAACAAACAAACAGAAAAGACCAATATTAATTCTTGGTGTTACTTTCCTACTTACTGACAAAGAGGAGTGTTCCATGTATTGCCACATGTTCTCCAAGGTACGTCTTTTCTGAAGGACTGAAACATGTAGAGAAGGCACCAGGCGATGATCATGTTGTAATAAATGGACACCAGAAAGGAAACCATGATCATTCCAAATCCAATTCCTATGAGAACAAAACCCAAGCAAAATGGTCTAAGTTTTATATCTAACTTATTGTCTTTCAGCTTAATCTTTGCTTTCAATTGGAAGCTCGAACATTTTTGTATCTTGAGCATATTAAATAACTCTGTAAAGAAATTATCTGAGTTATTTCGAGTTTTATAATAAAAATATTAACTGCAGTATAACCAAAAGGCTCACCTCTGGCCATAGGGCAGAGAGCTGTCCAGGCTCCAACAGTTCCAAGACTCAGGTATTGACCGATTGCCAGTTCCATATAAAACAAAGGGATCCCATTGATTGCAAGCATCACAAAGTATGGTATCAGGAAAGTTGCTGTCAAATCAATACGAAATATTTCTTTTAAGTTGGGAAAAAGGCGAAATCTTTAAGAACATTTCCCTGCGGAATTAACTCCTAATTAGAGCCCATTACTCGTTAATGAGCTCCTTACTTGATACTGCCTTTGTGTTTGTTCTAGTAGGAGAAACAGGGATGGCGCAGTAGCAGGTACAGTGGTGAGAGCGCTCACATCCCACCACTGTGGCCCGGGTCGATTCCCGGACCTAGTGTCTCGTGTGGGTTAAGATTGTTGCTGGTTCCCGTCCTTGCTCCGAGGGTGTTTTACTCCCTCCACAAAAACCAGATTCCAATTCGACCAGGAAAAAAGAAGAGAAGAAGAGCTATCTCGTGGAATGTCAACTGCTTAATTTGATTTATTATTATTATTATTATTATTATTATTATTATCATCTTATTTATTGCGAAAGTGTATTCGTGGTAATGTAGTAAAAGTCTGCAATCTATTCAAGTGCTGAGGAGACGAACTGTGTGAAACAAATACGTCACAGTGACCTAGCGAGTGTCGGAACGTAGTCTTGATACAGACCCCAGCGCGTCGACTACTTGCCAATCGATATCTTCAGTTTGCTTCTTAAGATGCTGGGTTAAAACCCACAGCCTTGATCAGGAAGCGGGTAAAGACAGTCGGTCTTAATTGTTTCTGTAGAGGGGTGATTGTATACTGGGAGTAAGCTGGGTAATTTAGTATTATCAACTGAGTTAATAACAAAAATTGGCCATCGTAAATGGTTTCAAAGCTGACTTTTCGAGCATTAGCCCTTCCTCAGAGCGAATGGAGGAATTGTGGGTTGTGTGTATATTTATATGCAGAAATTGAAGCTACGCTATCGGTGAGAATATGGTGGCGAGAAAATAAGAATAAATTAGTTGAATGAAAAGCACCCGTTGATACCGTGGGGAATAAGAGTGCCGATTTGAAAGATAAATTTTTGTTCTAGAGTTTTGAGGCTTTTCAAACTGCCTAGATGTAAGGAAAGGCCGCAAGCTGCTATATGCTACCTACCGATTTGAAATATAAATTTTTGTTCTTGAGTTTTGCGGCTTTCCGAACTACCTAGATGTAGGGAAAGGCTGCAAACTGCCGTCGGTTATAGCAACATATTATGTTGCTATAATCAACGAATTTTGAGCCAAGCAAGACGTTGAAAAATTCCTTCTCTGCGTTCAATTGAAAGCCTAGCTATTTTCACGACAAAGAGGATGATTCTAACACCTCGAGCAAAGATACTTACGAAACACTTCAGATTCGAAAGTCTAAATGGACTTCTCCAAAGGGCCAATTCGCATCTTTAGATTTTTCATCAACATATGTCGTCACGATATTAATAAACTTAAATTCAATCGTAACACCAAATTTTTCACAACCGTCCCAGATTTTCCGATAAACTCGCAATCGTAGGGATTTCGGACTTTGTGGGATGGTTGATGAGAAATCGAGAAAGTCGGGAACGCTTCTTCGAAGTCCGACAGGTATTGCAAAGTGCGACAAAAAACACAGTAACCCGAGTTTAAAGTAAAAATGGCCTGGGGAGAAATCTGTAGTTCTCTCGATATATCGACAAATTCTGGAATTTTCGGGAAACAGTAAAATGGGATTTTCCCCATAAATGAAAACCAGGCTTGGAGTTGCTCGAGGCGTAGCCGCGGGCAAGTCTAGCTTCATGAATATCTCTATGAACACAGCTGACGGATGAGACAATCGCTTGTAAATATTGTCAACGCAACGGTTTTCTCAGAAACAAATTGACAACTTTGAGAAAGACAGCGCGACATGAATGTTAAATGAATTGTCTTTTGACCAACACAAGCTCTGTTGAAATAAGAGCTGTTGAATAACTTACCCGATTTCGAAAGTGGAAAATGAAGACCTACGCCTCGAGCAATGCCTCGAGCAACTCTTACCCTTTCCTTGTGCTCACCACTCCTCTTGCGTGATTCATATTCCCATGAACACACGTTGACGGATAAACAAATTTTTATTTTCATTTTGAGCTCCTAAAGGTCAATCTCAATCGGGATGAAACGGAAAAACCATCTTGAAAACATCAAAACTCGCGGCCAAACTGGTTGCAAATTCGCGGTCAATCGCAGAGGAAAATTTTCAGTTTCGAGGCATTTCTAGTAATCCAACGGAACTCCTCACTAGATACATTAACAAAGATCTGGAAACAAGTTAAAGAATTTTAGCGGATGCCATAGGCATTCGCCGGTGTGCAGTTCAAGCAGGGTCTTAAAGAGAAATATAACACCTGACTCGTGTCATACGCGAATATAATAGGTGAGTATCAGTATCATTGACCTATATTTTGTTTCTCATTTCAGAGAAGTGTGACACACAAGGTTACAATAAATTTTATGAATTCCACCATGTCTATTTTTTGGTGCTGCAAATATTTCTTTTCAGCAGAGTTTGATTTCTGTCTCTCTTTTTTTTTTTTTTGCTTTCTGTTTGCAATTATGGGTCGTTCATTTATAAGCAAAAGAAGCACTTTCATATGAAGTGCAAATCATTCAATCTCTTAATAGAAAAATTTGTGATTGGTAGATTTCTGGGGGTGTGTGACAAGGACCTGAGTAACGCTCCCGTCCACTTGTAAACAATTGAGAGTTCCGCTTCTTTGTTGACTTAGTTTGGCGATAAATATCCATCTTGATGTAACTTTTATCTTTCAGTATTATCATGGCTTTTAAAACTTTCGTACTACCGTGTAAATTTTCGCGGGGATGAAGTAGCTTGCTATAGGATGGCGATGAAACCAAGTCGGTGAGAGTGAGAGGGGTAGGCAGGAGAGAGGGTGGCTCGAGCCCATCGTTCATAAAATTTGTTCAGGGACCTTGCCATCGTGCGAAGAAACCAATTAGTTAAACAAGTTGATGTCTTTCAGTTTTCGAGTAACTTAAGAAATTATTCGGGTTTCGATGATGACCCGGCAGTCACGAATTTGTTTCAAGTATCAAGTTGCTTCCAACTGTCTGAAAGAGGGTTAGACGCCTGCCTTATGGCTTTGTATTTCAACAAAAGAACACATTTCAATGGGAGAAAATGAAAGTGGAAGGAAGTCTCTCGAATCACCTTGATTGTCTCAATGACTGTTGCATTAATTTGTAACCCTTTGATGGGCAAAAGACAATTACAATGTAAAGATTGTTATTGAAGTTCACTAGACGCCCACTTATCAACAAATCACGCGTAGCGGTTTTGCTGTTTCCACGTCGACTTAGTGATGCGCCAAGGGCGCGAAAACCCGAAAACAAAAAGCATCTCTGAGAAAATGTCGACACGTCGCTACATGCTGTCTGAATTCGTTCAGCTATTATAACATGATCAAAGTTACTTCTACGTTGATGCTTTTTTTTTCTAGACTGGTCTCGATGATAACAGCCCAACCTTGCGCATAATTAATCGACAACTCAAGGAAAATGACACGCAAATTGATCTGCTAAAACTACTAACAGATCTACAAAACTGTGAGCGATTTCGGTTTTGCAATTGATACTTCCATGGAGTCCCGGCTTTCTGAGTTCCTACTGTTTATTTAATTTACACATACAAAGATCACCGGTAGAAGCGGCGCAGAGATTGATGTAGAATTTTAGGATACTTTCGCTTACAAAGGAGAATCATCCAACGACAAAGTATATTGCAAATCCGGCTGCATTTTTATTCTGCTCGTTCCTTTAGTCGCAAAGAACGCTCAAACTGACGAACGGCTATTTCTAACACACTACTGGGCATTTATGCAAATTAGATTAGGAAATAGAGGGATCCCACAAAATGACGCGTTCAAATCGTAAGCCTTGTTAATTGTTAATCTAAGCGTTTCGGCTTGAAATCGACGTGAAACATTCTGAAAGCCAAACAGCCTGTGATCAAAGGAAGACCCTTGAGTTAGGGAACAAGTTCAAACATTGTGCGGGGTAACTTATCAACACTTTACGCAAAGAATGTACGCTATATCACGTACCTCCACCATTTTCGTAGCACAAGTATGGAAACCTCCAAACATTGCCCAGCCCCACCGCGTAACCAACGCACGAGAGCATGAAGTCCAATTTTTTACCCCATTTCTCTCGGTCATCCTCGACGACTACCTCGTGCTCCTCTATCGCCATCGGCTCGACCAGAGCAGCGCGGCTGTCTTCAGGTCTCGCGAAGGATTTACTGTTGTCCACCATAGCGCCATTGCTGTTCTTTTCTGACATTCTCAATAGTCAATCGATCGCTGCGCGTTCCTGTCGCCTTTGGCTTTCAACCTGGAAATACTTCTTATATATAAGCAAAACTACATTCGTGACTGGCAAATAGGTAGGTTTATCACGAGTTGGCTAAAATTACACAAGGTCACATAAACGAAAACAATATGCAAATGTAAATGGATTTGAATGAATGGGCTGTCAATCAAACGTCGCAGAATAAAACGGCTCTTACGTAATCGCGACAGTAATTTGAATAAACCGTAAGCCGGTAAAGCCGAGAAATTTCCTTGTTCCTTTACTTCTTTTCCTTTAGGTAATTTCCTGGGGTAAAATTTCCGCACAGCCCCATACTTCATTATGCATTCAGTTCTTGGATAGAGATAACTATAATAAAAACAGTACATTGTCATTGGGAAAACAGATTTGTTTTACCATAGTATGAGAAAGTGCTTTTATGCGCCATAGGTCCAATAAATATTTTTATAAATATTCCTTGTCCGATAGTCTTTTCCAAGTACAAAAAGGACTCCTACCGCCGGTTATTCTAAAAAAGGATAACTCCATACTGACAATGAGCGCTCGATAAGGTACTTGATTTCCTGGGAGAAACTATGACGAACCGTACGATCGGCGTGTGAAGCATGCGTTTTCTTACTCCAACGCTCCGATGGAGGTATTGGGCCTTTTCAGTCACAATTCGTCCTTCTGGCTCTCAAGCGCTCGCGCGGTAGCAAGCTTCTTACATACATGCTTACAGAACAGTTGAAAAGAGGAAAGAATATGGAAACACCGTTTGAAAGTGATAAAAGTTTTTAAATATCTTCAGCTGCTTTTCACATGCCTTTTACTGGAAAATTTCATATGCATATCAAGTCTACGTGCGAAGTGAGCGTGAAATCGTGTGGAGTTCACTTTTCATCAGTGAGAGGGCTGCACGCACATGGCGCACGGTCTTCGTTAGACCAAGTGCCTAGCGATTGGGTGATCGAGTGTTGCTCCAAATAGAATCCGTATAACTGATGGAGAAATGTTTTCAACCGACCAATTAAATGCATACAACTGGCAGCGAGTGATGCTCTCAACTGAGCGAATAAGTGCGTAAAACTGACCGCACTGGATGAGAGCTTACAACTAACCGCTTGATGTTTACAACTAACAATACAAGTGCCTAAAATGCAAATGACCGAGTGAGGTTTAAAACTGACAGTGTGACTGTATACAATTGATATGGTAATACAAACAACTGACAATGTAAATATACGTACCACTGACAGAATTATGCTTCACGCTAAATATATATTTCGCACAACTGGTAGAGTAAAGTTGACAAGAAGGGATGTAAAGCTATGTAAGAGCTTCTGACTAATCTCAGTCCGGCTGAAAACAAAACTAAACTTATCATATATGTAGCAATATTTCAAAATTAATTTTATTGATTTACTAGTATTATTGACAACATTTGAAGTTACATTTGCAAAATTTTACCTTCAAATTTCGCCCCTCATTGTATTCATGGTCTTGATTTTTCCACAATGGGTAGAGCAAGGGAGCCTTTCAAATCAACCTGGAAGCGAACATTTTCCGCTGCTGCGTTTGCTTATCTTTTACCTTTTTTCCCGTGAGAAAGCATTTCTGCTTAACGAGTAGTTTCTTTAAAAAATTTTTGAGAGGTGATTTACAGCTGCAAGTTAATATTTCCGCACTTTCAAAAGCTGAGAATGGATCACGAAGTTTTCTCCAATAAATGAATGGTAAACAGGGCCATTACATTACTTATCAGCAATTTCACCCATACGATATCACCTCTTAATCATTATCCGATGGAGTTCGAAACGAATCTCAATGAGCAGAAATGTATCGATGATGTGGCGGGCTCACTTAGTTTCTTGGCTCATGGGAAATTTATTTTAAACTAAAAAATACTGCTCAAATATTCATTGTTGTATTTCTCAATCTTTGAAAATATCTGAATTATATTCCTGCCAATTGACCACAAACTTGGGATATGGAATCTTTGTATTGAAATGTTTATATTTTTAATGCGACAAAGCTCTTTCGTGAGAGGTATGTGAGGCGACACGCATGTCTGTTCCTGATACAATTTCTGTGACGGATGGGGTTCCGCTATCACAGCAGCAAACTAACTGCTTGAAGGCTCGACGGAACTCTGGGATTTTCACAGCGTAGACAATAGGATTGATCGCTGAATTGCTGTAATGCATATACTTTACAAACAAAAGGAGGTCGGTGTTGTAAATTCTGGGTTTGCATGACTCGCAAAACACTATTAGTAACTGAACTGTAAAGAAAGGTAACCAGGCAATTACGAAAAAGCCAATAACTAACGCAATGGTAACTGCAATACGCATGTCACGTTTTATCGATCGTGAACTGTCCCGAGCCGGCTGTATTCGATTCCTGGCCGTGAGCCAAATCTTTGCGTAAGTGAACAGAATAACCAACAATGGAATTACGAAAAATCCCATGAAAAGAAACATCATATTAGCTTTGCGGTTGATTTCCTTTAGTTCCAGTGCAGATAGAGATGCTGCGGCTGGAATAATCCACACGGCCACCAAAAATATATAGTAGACTTTGGGTGAGGTGTTTCGGCGACGAATTGGATAAACCACAGCAAAGAAGCGCTCTAAGCTGATGGTCACGAGATGCAGAATGGAGCAGGTACCGGCAAAGATGTCAAGGATGTAGTAAATGTTCCCTAAAGTTTTACCTCCTGTTGAATAAAGTAGCATGGAGATCCATATGGGTATGGAGACGAGGCCGACCAAGATATCTGCTACAGCGAGGCTGACCACGAAGTAATTTGTTATCGTACGTAGTCGCGAGTACCGAATGAAGGATGCCACAACTAGTCCATTGCCAAAGACTGCAAGGAAAGCAATTTGGACGTAAAAGGCACACCATGTGATAACTGCCTCTCTTTTGAAAGTTTCATTATCAATCAGGGGAGGGGGGCGAACCATACTTGGATTTGATTGGTTAGCCATTTTCCTTGTTCCTGAAAAAGGATCGGGGAAGAAAATATGTTACTGCAATTTAAATAGAAGCAGGTAAAGTACTTCCCAGCCCACGTTTGTAAATACCTCAAAAGTAAAGTGGTGTTTGCTTTGGTGAGTTTGGCAGTTTAACAATTGAAAAACCGGCAAGATCAGCAATAACCATTCAATTTTAGCAATTTCTGCACGGTTTGTTTTACCACGCCGAGTTATTGAAGAGATTAAGTTTCTGATGGAGCGTTCATGTGATTACGAAACAGGCAGATGTATTTTGACTTTACTCATTATCCTGACGCAAACACATGGCATGGCGTGAAATCTGGGAAAAAATATAATTTACCTTGCACTATAATTCCGTTCTGGAGGCTCAGTGAAGATAGATATTTATTGATATCATATTTGTATATTTTCAAATATATTCTGCCATCAATACCATTCAGCGTTTTACTTTTAATAAAAATTTTGAATTCACATTAGGTGCAAATATTTAAAAACGGTTAGACAAGAAAGAAAAGAAATTCAGGGACTTGGCGACTTCACAAGGTCTTAAGCTCCTGATTTGTTCTTCAATTGACTCTGGCATTGACAATGTACAGAAAAATTTCCTGGGATAAAAATTTCTTTTTGATATCATGGATTTACTGTAACAATAGTAAGAAGCACAAATTATGTCGTTTGCCAAGGAGTTGATTTATCGATGTGATCTTTGAGAAAGTGTTAAACTACGATGGACATTGTCAGATCATAGTATGATTTGCTCTTACCTGCTAAATTTAGTTCTTGTGGCAGTTGAACCAAGTTTTCAGACTGGACTAAAATTATTCAACCATGGGGTACTGAACGAAAAACTAGTTATGGACTGAAGTCGAAGGAAAAATATTGCCCTCCGTGAAAGCGAGTTTTAATATGCACAATTTTCTGAGTGCGGTTTTTGAATTACGACCGACTTATCAAAGGGATGCTAATAAAAAAGGTACCAGTTTGCACTGCCGACAGAACGTTTACAGTTGTTAAATGTAGCCGATATTGCATGTTAGAAACAACTGGAGAATTGGAAAGTTTTAGGCAATGGTATTAAGAATGTAATTTCAACTTACTGCTTTTTACCGCCATAACTCTCTTCTTTATGCATTGTCGATGCCGAACTGATTTTAATGTAAATTCCTACGTAGTGTTGAGATTAAGGCCGAGCACGAGAGCAAAAAAATATTAATTAAGGTATATGACATCTTTGAGAGAGTAGAGCCTTTAAATATTAGGGATGAAAAGATAGCTTTCACCAAATAATTACTCAGGAAGCAGTTCCCTAGTCAGATTAAGAGACCCTAAGTCCTAGGCCCGATTTGTTTACCTAAATTATTCGGAATGAATCGAACAGAGGCCGAACAAGACCAAACAGACAGAATTAAGGGTCGTCGCATGAGAAAAACAGTAAGGTTGGAAATAAAATTCGTATCGAACCGTATTTCTTTGGTCTGGAATTTGACGTGAATAGCATATCTTAACTTTACAATAAGGTTTTATTTAGAGTTCTTTTTGTTTACCTGTCTTCTCGATGCCGCTTTTGACCAGTGATTTTCGTTGTTCGTGTCGTTTATTCTTCTCTATCTTTTCGATGGACGTTTCACTTGTTACTCTGATCTAGAGTGAACCAAATGCTTGTAAGGTTTGCTCAAACAGGCAACTTTTTACGTGTTCCCTTTTAAGACGGTGTCAACTTTGGTTGCCAAGTGTTTGAAACACGCCGTCTGTCTTTGTTGATTTTGCTTCTTTTTTTCTCTCTCTTTAGGTGTGTTAATTTTCCTCCAATGTTCTACCTTTTGACATACCTAATTGAGTTTTATAGGAAAAGGTAAACTCATGAATATTGAATATTTTTGTTAACGAATGTGTGAGTCGCCCGCATAAATGTATATTGACACAGTTTGAATTGACATCTCAGCTTGTAACTATTTATTATGAGGGTATAGAATGAGCCAACAGAGGAGTGAACATGATTCCAGCAGCGAATTTAGAGGGAAAATTGTCACTTAACTGGCGATTAGACTTTCCGAATGGTTTCTTGAAAGACGATTTTATCTTGGCCCTATTTTGTCGCAGTTTGAGTTGGAAAATTTGAAGTATTCAATCACGTTGCTACTTATTATTACAAAAGTATTTAAGTACGCCAACAGAGAGGCAAACGTAATTCTTCCAAAGAGTTTAAGCAATATGTCACTTTGCTAGCGTGTTGATCAAACCTTTTCCGTGCAAAGTAAATTTTATCTTTACCGTAATTACTGAAAGATTGCGTTGTTACGTTCAATCTCCATGGCTCCTAGATGCAGATATGCACAAGAAGGGATCAAACTTTTGAATTTAGCCATGGGGGATCTAGTTAAATTTGTCACCTAGCCGTAACTTCCTTGAAAACTATTTTGCTCTGGAACCAGCAGACTCTCCAAGTGTTTCCGTGATAAGACAAAATTTTTCAACCCTAATTGCGGGTAAACAATACTTTTTCCTTCCAATTCTAAAACTCTTGAACAAATTAAAGTTAAAATAGGTCGTTCAAATTAATCGTTTGCGTTTTATTCCTAATTGGTGGCCTCGTTACATTTGTACGTTTTCTCGTGCTGCTTTAAACTTGTCCTAGCCATAAAAAAACATTTATTATAACTTTTTAACCTAGACCGGCTTTAAATTATCATTTTAATGGAATTTTATACAATTTTTCATTCAATCTTGGATTGCTAATCTTCATACTTTGATTTGCATCATTTCTGGAGATAAGATGATCCTCATTGATATTCAATAATTAAACGAGAGCATTTTAGTTTGAATGAAAAATGTCAAATAACCAGTGATTGCAAAATTAAAAAAAGATGATCCTCATTGATATTCAATAATTAAACGAGAGCATTTTAGTTTGAATGAAAAATGTCAAATAACCAGTGATTGCAAAATTAAAAAAAAAATGATTAGAGGTGTTCTATTACACTTTAAACTGTTTTCAGTCATTTGTGGTTTAAAAGGACAAAAACAACTCATCTTATTTCGATAAAAATATGCTTTTTTTATGACCGTTAAATATCGCCCTCTGCATGGGGCAATGCTGGAGGAAACCAAAAGGAATATTTTCATGGTGAGATTCTTTTATCTCCAATTTTAACAATAAAAACTGATTCTAAATAGACGCAAGGGTTATCAACACGTCAACGGCTGACGTAGATATTTTATTCAACAAATCTCCTTGATCCTTTTTGTGCCCCTATTCAAATACCAACCTGCTATCGTGTAGAGAAAAAGGTCCTAAATGACACCTTGCTCAAAGGGTGCTTCAATATTTGTCATATGTTTATCATGCATTACTTTTCAATTTACAGCCTTAGAAACAAATGCGGTCTTTGTTTGCATGGACATCGTTCAATGCCACTTCAGCTCTTATCACCAAGCATGTTCCTTTCGAATGTTTTACAGTGTTTCAACACTGCCATTTTTGTCGGCAATTCGCTTTTATTCTCATTTACATCCAGCATATCATAAAATGCATCCGCAAAACTAAATTTGTTGTCCAAGTAGAAACGTAACCAGTTCTGGAAAAAGAAAATTTTCGAGCATTTCAATTGCGTCATCACAACAACGAGGCTCCTGAAAAAACTGTTTTAGTTTCGAAGTTGAAGTGAGTCCGTACAAACTTCAGCACTCTTTTTGAGCAAGCAACGGTTACCCCCTTAAAAATATACTGCTATAGATGTGACAGAATAAGAGAATGAATTGATCTACTTGTGTGGAAACAGCTGCGCAACATTTCGCTCATTAAGGCTCAGTTCAGCTGTCGTGCTCCTACCGTCCAGGAATTAAGTTTGACAAAGGCACGGCAGAAGCACGGCGTCTCAATTTTAAAAACGTTTTAATCAAGTTCGGCAAGCACTTAAAAGTCCGCGGAAAAGCTCTGCCGTGCTGCATGACTCTGGCGCGACAGCGACTCAAACGTCTTGCGTCTGCCGAGCCAAATAAAATAAATAAAGCACTTTAGTCACGTTAATGTATTTTGGTGAGATTGCACTCCCGCGGGAATACGTGGGAGTTACGACAATAAAGTTTTACTTGGCTTTAGTAAATCCTTAATTTTCCACGAAGACCTAGCCCAACGTCTGAATCAGAGTCGTGCTCCTGCCGTGCTCCAGTCGAACTTAATTGCAATCAAGTTCAACACGGCAGAATCACGACTTCTGAATCGGGCTACGTCCTTAAACTAATATATGAAATACATTATTCAAACTTCCCTGTTTACTTAAATGGCTAACCAACAAGGCGCTAGCGCAGGCGTGCTTTTTAATCGCAGACTTCGAGGCGGCAGTTTTTGAAGTTTATCCCTAAATAATGCGGATACTTCACCCTAGCGTTCACTTTTACTATTTTGTCGGCAAACAAACCGGCACCTAAAAAGAAGCTGGATGAATCATATTGACCTTCGGGTCACGTCATAATTCTTTATTCTTAGTCTTCATTTCTTAACGTCTGCATGTGAGAGATTCTGGAAGCTATTTGGTTGATATACATTTTTCAAGGTTATACCCCACAGTTGTCTTGGACATTGAAGCCGAAAATCTTCATATCTGTTTTCTTTTCATTTTAATTTAATACTTTCTGGCTTTCTTATTTTGAAAATCTTTGGAAAGTTTTGTTTTTGCTTCCGTTGTTATATTCAGATAATTCCATGCACTTCCCTTTGAGACTAAATGCATTTTAATTGAGAATCTTAGAGATGTAGCTATGACTTTTGATCTCCCGAAATCTAAAGGTGTAGTTACTGGACTGTTCTTGTGCCATAATTTGGGATAGAGACGGAGTTTATGTATTAGAAAGTGACTCAAATTAAACGCCAACTCCTAACCGTTACATGTGATCAATTCATTCACCTGCGAAGTTCGATGATGAACAGACTTGTGAATGAGTCATTTATTGCCATTCCTCCTTCTATTCAAGATGGAATCGTAAGATTCAAA